TTGTACCTGGGTATATTTGTGTCGTCCTATAGATCTATCCGAACATGGTAAACGCAAGTCAAAGACGAAAAATAAAATAGAAAGATAGAAAAATAAAAAATAAAAAAAGAGGCGTTATGTACGTTTCTGGAGATGGAGGCTAGTTCGAAATGGAACTGGGGTATGTTATTCATATTCATGCAGCTGAGCTTCGGTTCGTTCTCACATGGTCAGTTCAAGTGCTCCTGCGAACCTTTTTAACTTCGCCAAGATCAATATGAACTGTGATGCTGCAGATGGTCTGGCGAGAGATACGGAAGCCACAGTGGATACTTTCTCGAGGGTAAAGGCGCTTAAAGGAGTGTGCGAAAGAGTCAGTACACAGAATAGAAGGTTTATATGCAACTCAGAATCGAGCTGTTGCATTCTCCGCAGGACACCCAGATGGGTTTTGCATGCAGGAAAGCTAAAGCCTTCCAGCGGACACTCCGGCCGGGAAGAAAGAAAAAAAAACGAGGCAGTTCGAGAATCCAGAGGCCACGTTTTGGAACCGGAACTTTGAGTGAAAAATATGTACGAAAAGAGTTCGGATGCAGTTTGGAAGGAGAGGAATTCTTCAAGGACGAGGATGGGGGAAAAAATATGATATTGAAAAATGAGAGAAAAAGAAAAAGGATTAAAACGGTGGCCTGCCGAGGACCCTGTCTTGGCCGCTGTCTGGAAAAGACAGCAGTTAGCCGAACGGGATTGATTGAGGGGAGGGAAGTCCCCTGTAAAAAGGTCTATGAAAAAGCAAAGGACCGAGCAAGAGTCAAGATGACAGACCAAAAGACTCCGGGTCTAGATTTCCTTTCCACCCACTTCCAGGTGGCTGGTCACCTTGCATTCGAAGACACCAGCGTGAAAACCTTCCACTAATCTCGGGACTTCAAGAAGCTCCCTTGCTTTAGTATATGTCGTATATGTAGCCACGGACGCCGTCGGTGCGCTGTGTAACGCTGCCAGTTTGCTTCCCCTCTCAGGGTGATGTGTTTAACGTTATGCAGAGTCTCCCGGTGGTATATATAGATAATACATACTTACTTACTTAAGTATATATATATTTTCCGGGAGGACGCAGCCACATACCCGATCTTTATCCCGGAATCTTGAAGATATGAAAGGTATGGCGCTCTTTGGGGATCCAACGTTGACTAATGTTGAAAATTCCAACGTGAAAATTTCGTATTGAGGAAAGACCAGTGTGCAACAAGCGCGCTTTAAAGGGCAGCTCTGCGGAAACGACAGGGAAGAGAGCCCATTGGATATGCAAGTGACTTCTGACCTGTCCCGTCGATGCTTCTGCAGCATGTCAAAATGTCCGTTCATGCAGCAGTTTGGACGGTGGGGGGTTAAATAAGTCAGTCAGTAAGTTAGTGAGTAAGTGAGGAAGCACTTAAACAAGTCAGTATGTGGGAAAGGAGTTGCTTTTTAGCTATACGTATCGGCTGTCATTTGGGACGATAAGTTCTTTACCCACCTGGTGTCTAGCTTTTGTTCTCGTGCTCAATATCCCACATGGACAGGTTCCCACTTTTGCTTGGGAGCAAGATCTATGCGAATTTTTTTGATCGAAAGGGTGGAAAGGTGGCCCGAGGATGGGGTTTCTGGCTGAATGCCATGTGCGGAAGAAGATACTGATCGAATAATCAGCTTACACCGGGTACTATGTAAGTAAGTAAGTAGTTACTTAAGTAGTTAAGTACTATGGCTTGGACAGCCATCAGGTTCGTTCGGTGCTAGCTGGCTGCTACATAGTACATAAGTAGGTATGTTTGAAAGCAGCAACAGCAGGCGCAAGACCAAGGCCGGACTAGTGCTCACGCAGACGAGGGATATTGAAGCCCATGCCCAACCGTGCCGATCACGTTGCTAGTAATAACCCGAGGAATCAAAGGTTCCGTAGGGAAGAAAGAAGAAAGAAGAAAGAAAGAAGGGAGGGTGCTCGAATCCTAGGATCCTACATGGTACCTAAGTAAGTAAGTATGTAGCAAGTTGACATGCAGTTGATTGAGAACGGGGTTTCATGTGCTGTCTGTGTCAAAGAAATTGTTATATATGATTTAAGAAGTAAAAGGACGACGACTCGACCGGCTGCATTCGAAAGTATTTTTAAAAGGGAAATAAAAGTCGAGCCAAAGTTAACCTCGATCCAGGTGTGTGCGTGCGTGCGTGCGTGAGTAAGTGTGTGTGTGTATGTCAGGACTGACCTGACCTGACTTGTGAAGTTGAGTCCAAGCAAAATCTTTAAGACAACAGCGGCATATATTTTGAAGAGAAGAAGATCTTACCAAGTCTGCCAAAAAGCAAATAGATCTGGCAGGCCTTAATTACAGAACAGGAAGAAAAGAAAAGAAAAGAAAAGACAGAAAGGAAGGGAAAAGAAAAGAAAGTTAAAGGGAAGAAGGGAGAGGAAGGCTCCACCATACATAGTCGGAAAGGTTCGCCATTATCACAACTCTGATATCGAGCGAGGAGTGGGAGAAAGATCGTATCAACATCAGGATCGTGTAGAATCCCATATTGATACCTACCTACTTACTTACATACATCAGACATACATACTTTTTTATGGCTTATTGCCACGCATGGCTGGCTGGCTCTCCACATCCAACTTTACCGATACCGATACCGACTAGATAGCGAGACACGTCCATTTTTAACCTGAAAGTCGGCCGACGAACGACGGAGATACACGACGAGACATATGTCTATACAGTACACAGTACATACGCAGGTAGACACCGTATCGTATCCGGATCCAAGAAGGAATCGATTCCAGGGGGGCTTCAAGAAATAAATAAAATAAAATAAAATAAAATAAATAAGAATAAAATAGAAGAAAAAAAAAGAGTTAACGTTGTAGATTGGGCAAAAGATCCAGGAGTATCTGACAGCTGGTCCATCTGCATCTACAACAATTAACCCCCTTCCTCGAGTTCGTCTTCGTCTTCGTCTTCATCTTCTTCAACCTCCTCACCTCCTCGTCCTCCTCTTCCTCACCCCCTCTTTTTCTTCCTTCACTTTACTTATCACCTCCTGGTTTCGTTTGTCGATAACGGCATACGTGCTATACCCGTCGGACCGTTTTTTGCTGCTTGCGGGTATCAACCACCACCACCATTAAGATCGCATTCCCCCCCTTGCAGAGCTTACAGATGCTTACAGTCCGGGACACGCTCGCATAACGGTATATTAATACTTTTAGGGAGGACAGACAGACAGACAAACTGACATGCAGATGGATATAACAATGTGACCGAGATATCTAACGGACCTTATATACTACTATTTATACATATATATATAAGTATAAGTATAAGTATAAGTATAAGTATACAATAGCACTTACGTGCTTGGTACCTCTTACTAAGGACTTCCTGGTTGCTATCGAATGGTGATTATTCGCATAAGATAGCATAGCATAGCATAACATAACATAACATAACATAACACTGTCCCCTTTTTCTTTTTTCGTTTTTCTTTTGTTTCCTTTCCTTTCCTTCTTTCTTTCCTTTTTCTTATATTTTTCTATTTTCCTTTAATTTTTTTCTATATTTTTTTTTATCAAATCCATCGATAATCGTACATACATAGTACTATACTTACATACGGGCATACCTGTAACATACCTCACACCTGTACAGTAGGTACTTACTTACTTACTTACTTATTTACTTACATACTTACAACTTACATGGGAAGTAAGCAAGCAAGCAAGCAAGCAAGTGAGTGAGTACTTACTTACTTACTTACTTACTTACTTACTTACTTGGAATAGTATACAAGCTCGACCCTTCAACGGTCTAGGCGAGTCTTTTTTTGGGGGGACCTCATCGACCGGCAGCAGAACACCCTTTCCATATCCACATTCCAAGCCAAAAATTACCCGCTCTGTACCACCCGCCGGCATCAGCATAGCATAGCATAGCATCGGCTTCAATTTCAATTTCAACTTCACCAGCAGCAGCAGCAGCATCGGTAGCGTCGGTGGCATCGGTGGCATCGCCTGAAAAGCCGGCTGCAATTGGCTGGGTCCCCGGAGATCTCTATTCCCGCTTCCCTCCAAGTCTGCTCCAAGTCTGGAACCTCCCTCCCTCCCTCTACAATCAATCAACACTCAGACTATACCAACTAAACCACGAGCATCAACTAACTTATCGCTCCCAGCCTAAGCTAACTAACTAATCCACCCCCCTCCATCCCTTCCCCTCCCCATCCATCCATCTGTCCATCCATCCATCCATCCCGGACGGTCCATTGGCACTAAACTGGCTATCCTTCTTTTTGGCTGTCTGGCTGTCTGGCTGCCTGGGTCTGAGTCCAAACTGGCGGTCTGGAAGTCTCCTTTGCAGCCGACGGCTTTGGAAGGGGCAACAATCTCCCCAACACGCCTGCACCGCACCGTACACAGACACATACCACACCACATATCACACACCACACACCACACCACTCCACACCACACTGCTGCTGTGTCCTGTGTACCGTGTACTGTGGACTGTGTGTACACACCACAGACCTCCGCTCCAAGTTTAACCAGAACCCTCAATTGCTTCCCTTCCCAAAACTGCCTGGCAGGGACAAGCAACCTGTCCCAGAATTGATTGAGCCACCAGACCTGCACGGAGAAGGGAGGAGATTTTTCACCATTTTTCACGGGAACATCACTAAAACGACAAGAAAAGAAAAAAGAAAAAGAAAGAAAGAAAGAAAGAAAAAAGAAACCAATACGGTTAGAAAAGAAGGAAACAGAAATCTTCCCGAAACCAGTAAGAAACTGAATTGAAAAAATAAAATAAAAAAGAATAAAAAAAAAGAATAAAAAATAAACAAAAATAAAACAAAAAAATCTACAATAACACCGAAATCCTGGAAGGAATTGGAGGAAATCAAAAGAATTAATTAGGGTTGGAGGGAGAAGGAGTGAACTTTCCTCCAAGTCCTGTCGGGCGAGACAACATTCTTCGCTGGGCCGAACAATGTCTCGAGGCGGAGGTGTTAGAAGGCCTTCTTCTATTTCCTCGCCATCCCAAATGGAAAATAATCCTAATATACCTGCTCCTCCCCCCTCGGCCACCTTTCCCCTCCCTTCCCCTACCTCTGCTTCCGTTCTTGTCTCTAATCCTTCAAACGTTCCACCGGTTCCTTCTCAGCCATCATCGTCGTCGTCCTCACAGTTGCCCTTCACGTCCCATAATCATCAATCTCCAAACACCCCCTTGGCATCAACAGACCTTACTTATACCAACGGACAGGCTTGGAATCCGATTAATCCTCCTCTGTTAACTACAAGTTCCATTGGCGAGGAAGGCACCGAATATCCTTTCCGTCATTCACCTTCGGAGCCCAGCACCCCATTGCATAGGAGACCTGTAGAGTACACGGCTTCGACTGTATCCGCCAATAGTGCGCCTCCCCGCTCGCCTGCAATCTCTCAGGCCTTCAAACCCAAAATACCGAATTCTTCGACCTCGCAACATAGCCGACGCTCTAGTCACGGCCGTTCTTCGTTAGGGAAGGTCAAAGCAATCTTGAAGTTACCTTTCATCCGGAGGGCTTCGTCCCCGAATACCACTCCGACAGTACCAAGACACCCGGAAACACCTTTGGATATACAGTCACCCGGTGCCAGATCGTCTCATATTGGGCCTCCAGTAGGTGACTCTACGGAAGACAATATGAGAAATACGCCCGGCAGTCCGAGCAGCCGTACGTCTCTCCTCAACAGGAGAATGCAGAGGAATGGTGGGAGTGTAAGTGGAGATATGCAACCGGAGAATATGTGGCCCCAGCCCTCAGCTTTGAACCCGTCAGATATACATTCGAGTGTATCCTCGATACCACCCGTCATGCTTACACCTCCGGAGGATGCAAAACATGTCATCTGGCAGCCTCTCCCTTCGACAAGTCAATCGGCTCCCCGTCAAGTCATGACCAAGCCGAATTCGTTATCACAACAACCCTATTCATCACCATCTCAGTCCGGAGCGGACAGCACCGATAGTAAGGGCGAATCAGCACAGAGGTCTGCTCACTCAACCGAAAGCCCGACTGCCGATGTTTTGGCATCCGTTCTATCGAACGGCCTCGAATCGGGCGAGGAGTGGCTCAAAGACGCCTTGAAAGTTATGCGTAAGTTTGAAGATGAAAACGCCCTTATCATTATCATTATCATTATTATATTTATATTATTATTTATATTATTTATCTTATTTATGGACGCTCGGGCTGACAAGATATTAAAAATAAACCCAATTAGTCTTATCACATCCCCCGGATTTCAGGCCGACAATAGAAGCTGTCAGGCTTATCTCTCATGCTTTACCATGCCCACTACCGCCGAACAGAACACCCGGCGAGCATACCTTCTCAAGCCAGTCGGACTCAGGGGTACTGCCTGAATCTGCATCTGCAGCCCAAGGTGTTGCTGCTGCTGCTGGCTATTTTATGCTTCCATTCACTCAATCGAGAGTAGTCAATGGTTTGCATTGTGCAGAAGATGAAGGGACTACCACCGCTTTGAATGCGATAACCACAGCGATTCAGAAAGTACATGGCAATGACACAAAAAGGGTTTATATCCATGTCTCTCATGCCATATCGTCTAACCCTTCAGCACCTAAACTTCAATCTACGAATTTGACGGGATCTAGCGTTAACAGCGCTGCCACTAGTGCGGGCAGCTTAGTTCCATCGGCTTTCCTGACATCTCCGCCACACGAGAGGGATTTCTTCTCGTCTACCGTTTTTAACAGTATCGTCATGGCCCAGGATCCGATATCTTACGCCGTTCCACCCGGGTTCCCGGCCCCTGTACTCCACCGACCTGCTCCGAATCCTGCTCTACCTCCATTTTCACTCCATTTTTCTCTCCTTGAGCGATATATACCACCTGCGACACCTACAGCTGATTCTGCGATGTTTTCGCCTTTTTCTTCGGTTCTCTTGGATCGTGTTGCTGAGTTATCACCATGCGGCGGAAACCTTCTATTCGTATACCCGACAAAGACCGGTGCTCGACAATTCTTGGATAGATATCTTGGGAAGGTCTTAGATCCATTGTTACGACGACTCATGGTCCTACATCGACTTCGAGCGGATCTGCTCTGGGACATTAGCCGGATGGTAGCTGTCGAAACTATGCAAGAATTTGATGATTTGAAGGAACGGCTGGAACACTTTTGCCGTCGACTGTCAGAAAAAGCCAAGGATGATGGGGTGGAAGACAAGAGATTTTGTGGGCCGAGTTACTTCTTCCCGAGTGTTTCCGTAGTCCACGCGCAGAAGGTCAACATCTCACTGAGTCAGTCTTCATGGAGGGAGTGGTGGACATTCCAGGAATCCAACCGAATCAGAGAAATCGTCAAAGGTCATTTCACAGCGCCACCTCAAGACACACCACAAACTCTCCTTAGTGAATCCCAAGGAGCAGCTGAAGCTGCAGCAGGTTCGCTTTCTACGGCGGTTTACAACGGACCAGTAGATCTGGCCAGAGAGATCCTCGATGGAGTTAAGGCATTGGCTATCCGGCCTAGTAGCCGCGGAATGGGTGAGGCTGTTTTCGCTAGTTCGATGGTAGGCCCGACCTCTAGTTGGGGGATCATTGGCGAAGCCGGTAGTCCCAATCACACCCACAAGAGCAGGCGCCAACAGGAACCGGAGACCATTGAAGTTGGTGTCTTCGTTCTCCGACGGCACGGTTAGGCTGCAATAGATCGGCGTTTTCTGAGGTAGTCCTATTGTTCAAACCGTACTCCAATCTGTGTCCTTTTTTTTCCCCCCTTTTCTTTTTTTTTCTTCTTTCCACCCTCCCATCTCTTATTTCACAACAAAAGCGTTTCGGTTTCTTTTGATTTTTGGAGAACATTGTTTCCTCCCTCCTTTTCTTTCCTATAGTTGTTGTAATAAACCTCAGTTTCCATGATACCACGACCTTTCAAATGCCCCCCTCCTCCCTCTGCCCCCCCCTTCTTTTTTTTTGTCCATATACCAATTCTTTTTTTTTGTATTATGACATTGGTCTACCCCTCATCCAGTTCATCCTTACTTTTTTGTTCAAACCCATGGCGGCTGCACTCTTATTATTATTTTCCACAGCCCTTAATATTTCGCTGGTTTAGCCTCTAGCCTCTAGCCTCTAGTCTATAGCCTCTAGCAAGCATGTTTTGGATTCAAGAGAAGCCCGTCGGCCACTGCAGTTGTCATTCTTCATTCGGGACAGCCTATATATATTTTCCTTTTGTTGGACTAGCTGTCTTTCTCATTGCAGGAGTTTCCCCCCTTTGTCGATTTTATTTTTTTTATTTTATTTTTATTTTTATTATGTTTACTAGATAGGGTTGGAGTTTTATTATTATTTTGTTACTCCTGTGCCCTGGTTTGATCGTGTGGGGCGGATTTTGACTGAATCGGAATAATGAAAATATTCGGGATGGCGGGTGTGGGATTCGGATTCCTTTTTACTTCTATATTAGGACCCCATACGTGCTTCTCGATAGTGTTTCTTCTCTTCTCTCTATCTTTCTCTTTCTCCTACTCTTTTGTTCACTTTCTTCTCTTTCTCTTTCTCTTTCTCTTTCTTCTTCTTCGCCTTTTTTTTTTTTTTTTCCCCCGAAGAAAAAGAATATCGTCTTGGTCCCTTTGTAGTCTTTTCGGGTGTCATTTTTTCCCTTTCATATATCATCATATCTATGTTCGAACCAGCGAGTGTTACCGTTCTAAAAGTGATCATCCCCCTCCCTTTCCCCTCAGACCTCGATTCAGTACCCATATCTGTGTTTTGTTATGGTTTGTTTTTCTTTTGAAGCGGAGTAAAGTGCCAGATAAGATGCTCCTGCTGTCGTCAACGTCGTCTCTGTGTTCGTTAGTGTTGGTTGCGGTTTTCGTCGGTATGGAAGACATAAATTAGGGGAGCTCGAGGAGGGATTTATACGGCACCACGGTAGTTCAGTTCAAGTCTTTTTCTTTTCTTTGTCTTTGTTTTATAAAAAAAAAGAATCGCAGTTGTGTAGGATAGATTTAACTGGTTTGATTTGACTTGATGGAATGGAGATACATAGCGTTGCGGCAGAATTCCCAAATTTATATTTATATGACTACTTCATCAATTACTTGAGTTTTATATATGCTCTATGCACTTTCTTCATGAGAACGTTATGATTGATGGATTTATTTGGTCATGACCTTCATTACATATCATTTATGGTATATACTTAAGTATTTATGATGAAGTGTTCGCGGTTATTAAGCGATGAGGATTGGAATAAACGCGATGCTCCCAATATGGGATGTTTTTTCTAGAAAATGGCCGAGTGGTCTAAGGCGCCAGATAGCGCCCAAAGCGGAATTGTGGCAGAATCATGATGGTTATAGGGGTATCGAAGCTATCAGTTGATGTTAAACAGATGGAATTTTATGTTTCAAAAGAATTTAGTGAAGTTTTAAATGTCGTTTTGGAGATATTTGAGGATTTTTGAATGTGTTGGAAATGTCAACACAAATGTATTGTTTGAATCCATGAATATAAGCGCCTGCTGACTAAGTAAGTGGTAGTAGCCGGTCAGATTGATATTGATATTAATGTTAAAATATTACAGGGTGAAAAGATGAAACGAGGATTTTCAACGGGATTATATAGTATATATAGTAAGTCTATTATGACATCCCGCCTCCTTCATTAACAATGTAAATGTTACATACGCACAGTAGGAGTATAATAGAACTCGGTAAAAATTGTTTCTTTTGGGAGAGGAGTGATCAGAATTTAAGCTCAAACGCCACACTGGAGGGGTTCGAGTACAGCCAAGAGATTGGAGTGGGTATCGACGCGTAGTCCTTGGTAAGTCTGTACATCCAAAATATTATATTTAGACACGGGAAGACTTTTTTCTTGCGTGTGTATCAGTATATGTTATTCCTTTAAGCGTTTTAAGAGGTTACGAGGTATGCGTAAGTCTGGGAGGCGCGTGAGATGATTGAGTAACGTTGGATGTACTTACATAGCAGTTAGATGTAGTTCGTTCAGGGATTTGCGGGGTGAGCTCTCTGACATATATATTAATATGTACATACGTACAGATCTAGATACTATTCTAGCATCGGCATGTGTATGCATTGCATTGTTAACTTGTAGGTAAGCTTGCATGAATATAATATACTTCCTTCTTTGAGGATGTACTATATATACTACAAGTATTGGTATAGACAGCGAACAGCGACCCGCCCGGATAATATAAAGGGCGGACAATGGGAATATTATCGAATCTCGCGAACAATTGCATGGGAATTAATTGGGATCTGACCAATTGAACCGCCCGGCTGGGCAGCAGGCTGGCTGGCGGGGAACCCAGGTTTAATTCTGAATCGAATTCCAATTTTAAATTTAAAGAAATCACACACACACACTTTCCCACTCTCACTTTTGCAGAGAGAGAGAGAGAGAGAGAGTTAAAAAGTGAGAGGAAGTGAGAGTGAGAATCAAAAGGCTAGAGAGGACTAGTTAGAGCGAACTGGGGGGGCAGGAGCAGCTGCCTGTTCTGCCCTGACCGGGTTCGCATGGTGCAGGCTGACTTTTAAAGACTCTGCCGGTCTGGTTATCGATTATCGCGAAAAACTGCGGATATGGTAACTGCTGCCGTAGACTTCCTTCAGTATATATTCTAGAATTCTCTATGTGCATGCATGTGTATATGTATACTTACTTGAGTATAGTTATGATAGTAGTATATCAGATCTGTCAAAAGATGTGTCAGTGTCAGTGCTGTGGAAGGTGAAAAGGATTCATTCAAATCTAAACCAATCTGTGATTGTTGTCTTACAATTTTTTCAATTTTTTTCCTTTATTTTTCTTCTTGTCTTTGTCTCAAAGTCTTTTCGATACATCAATATATTATCGAAGGCTTCAAAGTACATGGAAGCACTTGGTACTGTTATGTTAGTAGGTTAAAGGTAGTTGTGCCTTGTTGGTACCCACTTTTTTCCCTCTTCCCAGCAAAACGACGACATCTTGTACTATACTATACTCCTTCTCTCCCTCTTCTCTCCCTCCACCCTCGCACTCGCCCTCATCTTCATCACCCTCACCACTCCCTCCTCCTCCCTCCCTCCCTCTTTTTTCTCTCTCTCCCTCTCGACCATTCCGACACTGACACTCACCGCATTCTCCATTCCGACAATTATCCGACGATACTACATATCATACTAGTAATAATAACAACAACCTTACTTGGGTACTTACATAACTGAGTACCTATCTACACATTCATTCATTCGTTCGTTATCATCATCGTTGTCGTCGTTGTCGTTGTCGTTATCAGGTTGATAATCTCACTATCAACAGACATCATCATCACCATCACTATCACCACAACTACCATCACCGTAGCACTTGACTCCCTCAGTCCTCACCCGCCGTGTTTGTTTTTATTCCTTGTTTCTTTGCCCAGTCGATCCAAGCCATCCGACAACACCGATCATCGCCTCTTCCCTTGGCTACACCAACCAACTCCCTTCACATCACCATTTCCTTCTCTCTCCATTCCTCGACTCCACCTCGACAATTCCTTTTTTTTTTCTTCTTCCCCTTCTCCCCTTCTCACCGCGTAGAGGAAACTCTTCCAAGTCTAGTTTTTTCTTCTCCCTCTTCCGTCTGTGTGTCTGAGAGAGAGAGAAAGAGAGAGAGAAAAATAAACACTAATTAATAGCCGAAAACATTAAAAGTATCGGGGGGAAATCTTTTAGTCAATCAGTCAAAGTGTCGGCGATATCGAGGTTATCTGTCATCCAACAAGGCGAGGAAAGGGGGCCGTTGCTGCTGTTGACGACGACGACAACAGGATCACCCTCTCACTCGACATCAGCCGGATCTCAGAAAAGCGGGCGGTTTCTGACTTCCAACAGAAGGACGGATACCCGCTGCATTCCGATTAGATGCGAGAAAGACGCCTGTCGAATGTCGAGATCGACGATCAAGACAACAATAACGATTCATCCGACGACCCTGCGCCGATAATATCATCCTCTACGACAACCACAGCTGCTACTACAGTATTAGACCCCGACAACGGCGACACAACAAAGGCGGCTGCTGCAGCGCCGGCGGCAGACTCGAAAACCCCTTCGGGCGAGAAAGCGATGATTGGGACCGGCTCCTGGACCAAGGATGACGAAGACCTGTTGTTGGCTGGGGGGAAGTCGGGACGGAGCAGAATCGGTCGCCGGCCGAGGTTACGATCCGTATGGCATTGTGGGTTCTTGATACTATCGGTTACAGTATGTTCGCTGTTAGGTCTGGCCTCGATATTCCATTCGTCGACAAATCTACAGATGGACCAGAAGGGCTGTCGGATGTCTTACATGCGACCGTCCTATGCGAGACTCGAGGATTTCGACACGGAACATTCGCGTTTTGCCAGCAAGTATAGCATTTATCTTTATCGGGAAGAAAATGTCGACGACACTAGCAAGTCAGCCCTGATGAAGCCTAAGGGGGTACCCGTGTTATTTATTCCGGGAAACGCCGGAAGCTACAAACAAGTCCGACCGATTGCTGCCGAAGCTGCCAACATCTTCCAGGATAGACTAAAGGCGAATGCATCGATACTACAATCCGGGGCTAGGTCGCTAGATTTCTTTACCGTGGACTTTAACGAAGATATTACCGCGTTCCACGGCCAGACCCTGCTCGACCAAGCCGAATTCTTGAACGAAGCCGTTGCTTACATTCTCAGCTTATACCACGATGCGCGGAAAACGACAAAGGAATCGGACCTTCCGGACCCTGCATCCGTTATATTGATAGGACATTCGATGGGTGGTATTGTTGCCCGGACAATGCTCACCATGCCCAATTACCAATCCAACTCGATTAACACAATTATTACCATGTCAGCACCACACGCCAGACCCCCCATCTCATTCGACGCCGAGCTAGTTAGGACTTACGACCGAGTTAATGCTTACTGGAGGAATTCCTATTCTGCCCAGTGGGCTAGTCACAACCCGTTATGGCATGTGACGTTGGTTTCGATAGCTGGAGGAGGGCTAGACACGGTTGTTCCGTCGGACTATGCGTCTGTCGCGTCGCTGATACCGGAGACTCACGGGTTTACGGCATTTACATCGACAGTTCCGGGAGTATGGACTTCAATGGATCATCAGGCTATTTTGTGGTGCGATCAATTCAGAAAGGTCGTTGCGAAGACCTTGTTGGATATCGTGAACGTTAGAAGGCCGGGCCAGACGAAACCTAGAGCTGAACGGATGCGGATCCTGAAGAAGAGCTTCTTGACTGGGATGGAAAGTATCGCGGAGAGGACGATACAAGATGAGGGTAGGGAGATTTTTGTCCAATAAAAAAAAAAGGATGTCATCTTTGCTTACTATGTTTTTGCTGACTGCTTGGCCTCCGATAGCTCTTAATACGCTCCTTACGCTTGAACCGAATACCCAGTCTATTATGCCGTTGGGGGAAACGCTGGTATTGAGAAAGTTGGGAGGAAACCAAAAACCGAAGGCCTACCTATTGCCAACACCGCCTAGTAGGGGAGAAAAGGGGATCATGGCTTTCACTCTTCTTACCGACAGAAATTTGGCTGGGGAATCACCAGATATCGAGGTTTTAATGTGCAGCAGTTTCCCGCTACAAGCCGGACAGGCCCAGAACGTGTTCGCTATGAATATGGTTCTTGCAGAGGACGTAGTAGACGGCACAAGGTTGGCCTGCAAATCGGCCATCGGAGACGTAATGTCGCTACCTGCATCGACTCGCAATACGCGATACCCCTTTGAGGAGGTAACGCCGTTTTCGTATATTCAGTACGATCTTGAAGATATGGGGGAACACCAATTCATCGCTGTGGTTGATAAAGCTCCAATGTTCTCGACCGGATGGTTGGTCGCACAGTTTAGCGAGAAAGCTCAACGGGAAACGACTATTGACATTAGCCTACCGACGCTCCTAAGCCAAGGTGTCCACACGGTGCTTCCAGCGGAAAGGCCATTGGTGACCGAATTGTATATTCCGGTTATTCAGAGCAGCTTGTTGGCTTATAAGCTTTCCGTCGGCGTACAAGCGTGCGGTGATGGTGAGCAGCTCTTCACGCCACTGGTTCGGCAATACCTAAGCGACCCGTACGAATCGAAGTATTTCGTCAACGTTCACCAAGCGGAGATTAGTTTGCATGGAATGGCGCCGTTCATGCCGGAGCCGCTCAAGTCCGCCGAGCGAAGTGGGCTTACGCTGCAAATGTGGTCCGATTCGACATGCAACTCGCCTATTGAGGTCTCGGTAACTGTTGACTATGTCGGCAGCATCGGAAAGCTAGCGATTCGGTACCGAACTGTATTTGCGGCGTTTCCGCTTTTGATCGTAGCGCTTGTCCTTCGACGCCAATTCCAGGAATATGATGCCACTGGGATCTTCATCACCTTCAATGAGGGTCTCGAGTTGGTACTTAGACAGTCTTTGCCGGCGACTTTGGTGGTAGTATCGGTTCTTACCCTTTCCCTTGCCGTCGCGCAATCGCGACAGCACGCTGGAGCTTTGAGCGACGTCGTTGATCGAACAAAGGAGGCCGTAGCGGAATCCTCTCCGTTACTTAGGTTCCTTAAGAATGATGCACTCATTGGGCTTCAGGATCCCTTCTTTTGGTTTCTAACGCCAGTATTCGTTGCAATTTCTGTTGGAGTCTGTGCCGTGCTCAATTATCTCGTTTTGATCATTGTGCATTCGCTCACTGCCATATACGCTTGGTTTTCAACCCGGCCAGCGTGGCTGAGCAATGAGAAAAGGTAAGAGCTGCTCGTACATGTTTCGGAAAAGTTGTATGCTGACGGCTCCTTTCTATTTTAGCAAAAGAGGACCTCCTTCTGCATTCACTTCGGGTCATCCTCGGCGGAGACTCCTAGTCACGTGTGCGCTACTGTTTTTTGTAGCGACTGTTATTCCATACCAATTCGCATACGTTGTGGTTTGCATTGTGCAACTAGTGGTTTGCATTAGAGCGTTGAAATTTGCGAGAGAAAGTGTAAGTACTAGCTAGCTACCTTTCTTCTCCCTTGGCTTCATCTACTGACTAGCTATCTAGGGCTACGGGACTCGTTCCAACATACATTGGGACTTCGCCAACTATAGTCACTCTCTGTTAGTTTTGATGATTTGGATTCTACCGATCAACCTGCCAGTGCTGGTCGTTTGGATACATAATCTCGCTGTTCATTGGTTGACACCTTTCTCATCCCATCATAACGTCCTCTCCGTTATGCCATTCATACTCCTAGTGGAAACTCTCACTTGCGGCAACATGGTTCCGCGATGCGAGAATCCGTACGTTCCCGCCCGCGTACCTCTCGATCAAGGTGGTAAAACTAACAATCCTGCTAGGCTTCGACATATCACAAGTTTATTGTTTTTGGGCGCTGCTGCCTATGCAACAATATACGGAGTAATGTATGCATACATGCTGCACCACGCGGTCAATCTCGTGGCAGCGTGGCTAGTTGTGCTACATTTTAGTTCGACGCCATTTACCATATCTGGACTTGTGGAAATGCTCAACAGCCCGGATGAACCAAAGAAGCTACCCTGAACCCGATGGTAGGTTTCCTTTACTCACGCTCTCAAAAACCTTTTTTTGTCAACTGTACACACCCCATGCGCACATATAGATGGCATCTTCTGAACCTTGTTCTTGCCGCTCCCTGACGACATACGTTATCCATCAACCATTATTTTTCTCATCATTCCTTCTCCCACCCCTTAAGTCCTTCTCCTCCTTTTGAACATTTTACACACATCATTAAGATTTTTGACGTATCGGGGCCTTGAGCGATAAACAGGAAGGTTTTTTTAATGTCCTTTTCCTTTTATTGTTGGTTTTTTTGTAGCAGGTTTACCGGCAGTTTCCTCATTGCTTTCATCTAGACGGCGTACTTGATTCTCTTTTTCTTCTTTTTTCCACTTTCGATTCTTTACTTTTTAATTAATGCCCCCCAACTTTTCGATTCCTACCCATCAGCGTTAGATCTGGGTGTTTCTGTCATTACGGCGTGGCCGAGACGGTTTTTTCTTCATTTTTTTTATCTTCATTTTTTGTCCTCGCCTTCCCCCCCACTTCCTTCCCCGATTCTTCCTCCTACCGGGGTATCCACATACCTTGAACACTTTCATCGTTGTGTCTGAATCAGATGCCTTTCCCCCACAATATAATGTAGATTAGGACTACACCTACCTACCGTCCATCCAACCATCACCAAGACCAGGCCTCGGACTCGAACTATTCCTCGACCCTTCAACATCGGTCATTACTAGCCCGGGAAATCTTCAACTCTCACTCGCGGCCGTTGGCTTGCGGGAGATGTCCCTACTCCTACAAATCTAGCGACAGCCCTTTTCTACATCGTCTACTCTCTTTTCTCCTTTCTTCCGCACTCACTTTCACACACACAGTCGCTCCTTCGATAAAGATACCAATATATTGGGTAGTATTAAATGAGAGAGCAAGTGGAATCTTGCAATGTCGTTTTTATTTCTCGACCTTTCTATCTCTCTTTTTTTTTGTGGTTTTTGTATAGTCCGATCTGATCTGTACTGCCTTCTTTTTTTATACCGTTTTAGCTTTTTAACCTTAAACGCCCTCTCAAAAACCTCCCCAGCTCCTTTTTATTATTATTGTGAAGGGAAGGACCGTTCTCGACGATGTATTATAGTCATCTACATACCTCCATTAGTCAAAAAAAATGACAATGGACAAAATACCGAAATTTTGAAAGTGAATGAATTTGTTCCCCAAACGTCTAGCCTGCCTGTCTAAACTTGATTCTATCGTAGTTTGGGGTTTAAGGGTATTCTATCTTACAAGTCTCCAGCTCCAATGACCAAATTTATAAATGATCGTAAGCATAACTGTGTAGCGTCATCATCATCATCATCATCATTAATGCATTATTATGCATGCGCTAGATAAGTGGGTTTTCATAACTTCAATGATACTGGTGTCCCATTCCAGGTTAATGTAATCTCCTGCTCCAATTCTTCTCCTTCCTCTTCTTCTCCCTCCTCCATTTTTCTAGCTTTCATCTTCTCCGGTTTATGCATAAACTCACCCAACTCGACGTCCTTCACAGCATAATCCCTTTCCACATATCTAGCCCCGATACCAAACCCTCCAATATACCGATTAGCAACCTCATTCCACGCAAATTGCTGTAACAACCCCCCTCTCCCGGTCAATTTAAACTCCAACAAGCCACCATCGTGATCACCATATTTTTGTATCAATATTTCGCCGCCATAAATCGCCTCCAAAGGTGTAACCTTGACGAATCCCAATGCCCGTCGGCTCGCTAGCATTTGTTTTTTCATACCCGGGGTTATATCCCTTACGCTAGCTAGGATGCCTAGGGCGTTATGAGGACGAGAGGCTAGAGCGCCTTCTAGTTCGCGGATGTATTGGGGACCTTTCCAGGATTTTTGTTGGACGTTTTTGCATTGGATTGTTAGTGGGAGGATTTCGGGGTCGTTTTCTGGGGGGTTGGTGGAGTTATTATTATTATTATTATTATTATTATTGTTATTCTCATTGGTATTATTATTGGTGGTAGTTGTTATGGGTATTCGACGACGGGGTATCCTGGGTAACTCCCATTGGCCGAGTAAATCCACACCGGCGTCATCACGGCCTCCGACGCGGGTTAGGGATATTCCAGGTAGACAGCGGGTTAGAGCTGCGAGAACGGTGTATTCGTATAGAGTACCCGTGAAGACTGTGGTTGTTGGGTTTAGAGATGAGATGTCTGCATGGCGAAGGAAGGATGGGATGTCGGTGTGAGAAGAAGACGGGAGGGATGTTATCAATGTTCTTTTTCTCTTTTTTATGGAAGAGTCTTCTTCTATCTTTGATCCTCTGGCTCTTATTATTCCAGAGGAAAAGGTTGGGAGGATGGTGAGGAGGGGGGTGGGTTTGTACATTTATATTTTTAAGTTATAATAGAAAGTGAATGTATTGAAGGTTGAAGTCGAAGTCGAAGTTGAAGTTGGAAAGGGAAGAAGAGAGAGAGGTCTGCTGTTGGATATTTCGTGTTGTGGCGGTCACAACGGCAACGGCGGGCGCGGGAAGCTGGTCGGTCGGGTTGAGCTGCGTAAGTCAATTGCAAGTCGGGGCTAAGCAATGTCAAGCTGGGTCAATTAAACCCCGTATAAACCCCCAAAGCCTCATTCATTCATTACCCTCATCCCTCATCATCCTCATCCTCATCACCACCATCTCACTCCCTCCCTCACTCATACTATCAGTAATAACTCCCACCGCCACCACCACCAAAAAATGTCAATAAACCAATCCGAAGTCCAGAAATACTGGGAAATCTTCGCCGTCTTAGCCAACGGCGGCGACCACCTCGATGGCAGCCAAGCGGCCTCGGTCCTCAAGAACTCTGGGTTGAACGATGCTCAGTTGGAAAGAGTATGGGATCTGGCGGATATCGATAACGATGGACGACTCGATTTCGAGGAGTTTTGCGTGGCGATGAAGCTGATATATAATGTGCTTGGTGGTGTATGTTTTCCCTATTTACCAACAATCCCTCCCCCCAAAGCAGCGGTTTCTGGTCATAACATAACTGTATTCGTTGCTGCTGGTGATAAAATAGTTCCAATTGACTAATTGTTTCTTCATTTATTCATTCTTTATTGATATAAACAGGAAGCATCAGACATCCCAGAGCGTCTACCAGACTACCTTGTTCCCGAAAGTAAATTCCATCTCGTAGCAGCCACCCAAGCTCTCACCAAAACTGCGCCAAAGATCGAAACACCAGAGGAGGAAGACGATACACCCGGTCTCAAAGATGGTTTCGATTGGTACATATCGCCGGCCGATAAAGGGAAATACGAGGCAATATATAGCGCCAACGTGGATAGACATGGCCAGATCACCTGTATGTTCTTCCCCTGGAGGTCACATATTTCATGGGATATAAGAGAGAGAGAGAAAAAGGGGACCTCTAAAGCTAATTGGATAAAACTTATAGTTGCCGCCCTCGACGACCTCTACTCCTCCCTCGACGTTCCGGACACCGATATCCGTTTCGCCTGGAACCTTGTAAACCCCAATGCGGACCTCACTGTCGGTAAAGACCAAGCATTAGCATTCTTACACATGTTGAACCAGCGGAACGAAGGATATAGAATCCCCAGAAGCGTACCGGCATCGTTGAGAGCTTCGTTCGAGAAAAATCAGATAAATTATTCCGTCAGTAGTGTTAAATTGGGTGGGGACAGAGCGCCGTCGGGTGGGTCGACGAGTAAAAAGAATGCATTTGCAGAGGGTTATTTGGATAGACTTGGGCTGGGAGGCAGGACAGGGGGGTATAAGACTAGTGGTAAGCTTTATTCGACCTTTTGAGAGGTCTGAGAAAGGAGAGCCTTGGATGCTGATTTAAACGATGTCTACATAGGAACGGACTTCAGCAGCTCGAAGGAGCAGGATTGGGAGGAAGTCAGGTTGAAGCGACAACTTGCCGATTTAGAATCTAAAATCAAGGATTCAGAAGCCGCAGCATCGAAGAGGGCAGCTAGAGGTGCTGATGGTTCAAGGAACTCGAGAGCTGCTTTGGTTAGACGGGAACTAGAGCAGATGTTGGATTATAAGAGGAGGGAGCTAAGAGATTTGGAGGAAGGGAAGGGGAGTGCACAAGGTGGTGCTAGTCTTGCAAGTGCGAGAGACGATCTGGAGCTTATGAAACAACAGGTTGAGGCACTTGAGTCACACTTAGCACAGAGGAACGATGTGCTAGAAGATTTGAGGAGGCAGATTGATGATGAGAAGGCTCGGAGGTGAAGCTAACACATAACTAGCCTGCTCATTGTGGTCTGGGTGTATGGAGAGGAGGAGAGAATTGGATTAGGTGAATGCATTTGTCTAGCGTATGTGAGCCCCATTTAGTTAAAGTTTTTACTTATTTTAATTTATTTTCATTTCATTGGTGATATCCTATATGTACAATTCTTTCTTCCCTTTGTTTCACCCGTTTTTTGTGTGGACGAGATACCTTTGAATCCCAGAATACTCCTATAAAATATGCATCTACAACGCCGTTGATACAACAAAACTCCCCAAACTAGGAGATGTATGTCGAATGGAGCCAAAATAAACACTACGGTGAGGCATTGGCATCAAGCCTCCCTACCTTGATAGTTTCCAACAATGGTGTGGACATCTTAAGCGCCTTCAATTCTTTCTTCGTCTCCTTTCTCTTCATCTTCTCCAGCTTTTCGAACAGCCCTGCAGCGCCGTGTTTAAGCCTTGTCAGCATGTCTGCTGCCTGACCCTTCGTAAGCCCTTCTTGTCGATACTCCTCGATCGATTTTTTCGTCCTCTTTGATAAGAAATCTAGTTGTCCGTCACTCGCATCCGCTTTTCTCCATGACGCGGCATGAGCTATTAATTGTCGTGGATATCGACCCGTGACAAATGTATCTGCCGCATTGATGATCTCTTCGAGGGTATTGACATGATGCACTACGACCCTTGGGCGCATCAACGGTGTTCCGTACTTTCCTTTAAGTCCCTCCGGTAAAGCTCTTGTCTCCTGTGCCAAAAACCCACCTTCAGGCTTGGCCTGAACACTTATGTAACTATTATCCACTAATCCCAGAATATATTTCCCGGGGCCGACCCATACCCAAGCGTTGACACTGTACTGTCGTACGCTAGCATCTGCTTTCGAATCCTGTACCAAGTCGTGAATACTATCATAATCCACAAAAGTCACGGTCCAAGGTCTGGAGTATATTTCCAGATCAACTTCATCTTCCAATTTGACGTCCGGCGATGTCTGCGATTTCTCTGATTGTTGTCTTTCTAATTCGTCTTGGCTTCCCTGTTGGAGTTCGAATTTATTCTTGACAACATTAGACGACGTTCGATCCAGTACTTCTTCCGGTGATAAGCCAAAGAGTGTCGGCGTCGTCACGACTCCACGGGAAACCGATCCAACTACGTCTATAACATGACAATCCTCTTTCCCGGGATGTAATCTCATCCCTCGTCCGATCATCTGAACCAACAAAGTCCTCGATCTTGTCGGCCTCGCTAGTAGTACGCAGTCGATGTTCGGGATATCCGTACCCTCTGTAAATACTCCACAATTGACCAATACCGGAAATTTACCAGCTTTAAAGTCGTTTAATATCTGTGTTCGTTCCGGCAATGGTGTTTCTCCCGTTACGTAGAAAGCCTCGTATCCGTACCGCCTGAAGAGGTTGGTCATGTCTATGACATGTTTTATATCAACGCAGAACACCAGTGTACTTTTTCTCTCCCCTGCCTTTTCGACCCAACTACGAACTGTGATGTCGTTGTTTTCTGAGGTGTTAACGACATTTGCTAGGTCGCTGATGTTGAAGTCTCCGGTTACCGCCGTAAGTTTCACATTCGTGTAATTTATGTTAGATTTTACCGTTGTGAAAAGGACTTTGGAAAGCCAGCCGGAATCGATCATTGACAAGAAATCCCTGTGATAAACGATGTGATCCATAACAGCGCCCAATCTGAGCCCATCACTTCTTCCGAAAGTCGCGGAGACACCAACGACGTGGACTTCGGACTCGGGCGTCATGGCTCCGAAGTGTTCCAACGTTCTTCGATAACTTTTGGCGACAGCATGGTGTGCTTCGTCGATTAGGATTAATTTATGTAGTTCTGGTCTGAATTTTCCGATTCTTCCGGATGAAGAGATGGACTGGATTGATGCAACTGTGATGTCTGCTGTTCCGCTGGCGTGGCTGTTTCCCATTTCTACTTCGACGATCTTGTCCGGGTAGCGGTTGCGACAGTGGATGGCGGCTTGTTCGACGAGTTCACGACGGTGGACTAGGATCAGAGTTTGGGTTGCCTCTGGGCGGATAGGTAGGATACGGTCTATTAGTTGAGTGAAGATTACCTGGTTGCAAAGCGTTAGTATATCTATTATAATTTTTTTTTTTTAAAGAAAAAAAAAAAAGAATGGGTTGAACGGTTTAAAGAGGTAGAGAAACAGACAGTTTTCCCACTGCCAGTGGCAAGCGAGATACCCAATCGTCGATGACCCTTCTCTTGATGCTCCAGAACTGCTTGTATACATTCTTCCTGGTAGTCTCGAAGCACGAATTGCGATGGTGTTAGGTCCTGTGAGGATGATGTTGGTGGTGGTGTTATCACCGCTTTGAGTTTCGATTTTCGAGGTTTTCGAGACTTTGGAGGCGCTGGCGGTTCTTCTGGTGGCAATGCCACTTTGGACTTCGCCTTTGAAGATTTGTATCGAAAACCGTGCCATTGCGTGGCCGTCCTGGGGAGGATGTAAGGTAGTTGATTGAGATGGCCATGGCGGGGCGCGACGAGGGCCCTGGCGAGGCTCAAGGATCTCCTCATGACATTGTGTGGTATTCGTGGTGGGGGTTTATGGAGTGAAGTTCGGTGTAGGTTGCTATTCGATTGCAGGGTCAGCGAGCTTAAGTCTGCAACCTTGCCAGGCCCAAAACTGGACCAATTGCAAATTAAACACCACGCCATCAAAACTCCTCCAACGCGAGCAACAAATCAACGGAAGAACATATTGTAAAAAAGACGAATGGATAGATGGATGTTTATATATCTCGAGATATAATTGTTCTTAACCATATTAAGTCTATACAGAATGAGAAAGGCGAAGAAAAAGAAAATAGAGCTATAAAAAACCAGTGCGAGTAAATGCCACTATATGGCGTCTATAGTAATATATTTTTGTTAAAAAGGAAACAAAGACCCCCTCAAAATCCGCATGCATGCTGAAGCTCTATCATTCGCCAGGAAGGGCTCTCTCTATTCCTCTTCCCCCCCTATCTTTCCCTTTTCAGCGTCCAGAGCGATAGGTGTAGGTAGTAATTACAAGTTGTTCGCCTTGTGTCTTTTTTGGATGGATGGGAAACAAAATGTACATTTGATGCCGACGATGCAGGTATGTATCGAATAGCAAAAGAACAGAAGGGGGGGATGATAGATGAAGGGAGGAGAGTGTCCTGCAAGATCGACCACATGAATAGACGAGATCTTAAACCATGGATGATACCAAAAATGCTTTTCCTATATGGCAAAATATCTCCGTGATGGAAAACAATGGATATTGAGCTGATGAAAACGGAATTGATAGGATGAAAAATGGACCACACACATTACTTTAAAATGTTATGGAAGATAGAGGGAAATTGAGGAGAGAAAGAAACACAAGATATTCCACGATATTTTTTGTTTTTATTTTTAAAGGAAATAAATACCAAAGATGCGTGGAAGAAGGATACAGGTTCATACTTGCTGACCTCCGGGCAATGCTTGAACCTCTTGTCATCGCCGAAAGAGCCGACAAACCTGTCCTTGGTATCCATCCTAGTTGGTTGTGATAAGGAAATAGCGAAAAAGAGACCAAACAAGGGTTGAAAGGACAAATTCAAGGTCCAAAGAAGAGCCATGACTTGTGAAACGGATCTGTGAACCCAAGTAAATTATTCGTATAACGACTTTGGCTTCTGTGCTGATGATGCTTCAAGAAAAGAAACAAAGGCCTGCACCTCCAAAAAAGTTATGCATAAGCATATGCATGACTTTGCAGCGATCCCATCAACGAATGTATCAAAAGCACCCCACAGGACAGAAAAGAAAAGAAAAGAAAAGAGAAAAACGTCAATACAAGAGAAAGATAAGGACGCTCAAATGGCCCGTAAACGTGAACCCCAGCTATTGCTCAACCCATGTGTTTTTTTAAGTCGTAAAGTCGTTATCTCGTAGAGATACTATACCTTTATTATCGATCGTTTACCCTTCGTCGCATGGGTAAGAAGAGAATAAAAAATCATAGTTAAGTCGGTTAGACGAAACCGGCTTGGGCTTCGATACTAGCGGGTTCCTTACGTTTGACCTTTTTGTTTGGGCTCGCGAGGTCTGGGTTGAAGTCGGCATCTTCTTCGTCTCCGAGCATTTGTTGCAAAAGACCGGCCGCACTCTTGGCCCTACGATGAATGCCATTGCGGGTATTTCCAGAAACTTGCTGTGGTGGAGTGTTGAACTTGGGATCCCACTCCCAGTTAGCGCTGCTTCCGACGGGCTGAGACGCTGTTTCCTGGGGAGGAACTGGAGTGGTCGCGCGACCTCGTTTGAGCTGCAGAAAATTAGCTGCTGAAGAAATCATTATGCCAAAAGCGTTTGCGTACCTTCATCTTGCGAATTCCCTCCTCGATCTTAGCGGCCTCCTCAGTGCTTTCAACGCCCTTAACTGGTTTCCCATTAACAGATTCGGTATCGGTCTCATTATCGCTATCCAACTGTTTGAGCTTCCCCAAGCCTTTCTTCGTCTTCCTCTTCTTGTCGATATTTTCATCAGTTGATGCATCTCTGAATCCAAGGAAACCGCTCTGGGTTGATGGCGGCGGGAGCTTTCCGAGATTCTTGACCATATCGTCGAGTCGAAGAGACTGGCGCTTTCGACCAAGAACGGTGCCACCGGGAGATAGTGGAGAAATCGGCGTAAGGTTTGGTGAGAGGGATGGAGATGGAGGGATAACGCCCATCTTGCGGAGTTGGCCTATATATAGTTAGTTATAGGTCAGTGTTCCTTGGGGGGCTTAAAACTTACGTTCTCCACGGTAAAAGATGATGAAAGTGGCCCAAGGGCTAGAAAGCGGGTCGAGACATGTCACGGTTTGAGACCAAATAAGATCCTTATCAACCTTCTGGGCTGGGGCAAAACTATTTCGTTCGTTAGATTTGTGTGTACCTCGCGAGAGCGTGGTCTTACATACCCGGTCGTGTGGGAGACCTCCGCTTTAGCTGCGGAAGAGGGCTCTGCAATGATGTCTTCTTCGTTCATCATACCATCCTCTTCGTCTTTTTTGGGTTCGAAAACTCCATACTTTGGAGCACCATCGGCAAGTACGCGGTACAGCTTGAGTTTGATTTGGCCCACAGTATTGGTGATTTGAGCGGGTGGTGCTGTGTCTTCGTCATCATCGTTATCTGAAGGAGAAGCGGATCTTGGTGGGGTATCCTCCATTTCGATTTCGCCGTCGTCGGATTGTTGTCGTCTGCTGGACGATCTCGGGGAGCGGGACGAGGAGTTGCGAGAGGTAGCACCGGTAGTGGTGTTCCTTCTATGGAGTCCACGACGACCCGGTTTACCTGATCTTGGTGAGTTACTTCCAGAATTTAAACGGATTGCTTCCTTTTCCTCACGAGATAAATCCAGTCCACCCAAAAAGGTCTCCAACCCGACCTCACGCCACATGAAAGCCTTTTCACCGATGCTGCCATCATCCATAGCGCACCATCGGCTACTTATCCAAGTATCCCTCCTACGAGTCAGCATTGCCGCTGCTTCTTCTTCTTTTCCATCAAGGAAAAGGTAAGCAGCCAGATGTTCCTGTGGATTGTCGGTAAGAGGTTTGTAATCGTCCGATGAGATTGAGATGGAAATGGCGAAGGAATTTGGAGGAGCTGATGGTGGAAAGGTGTTTTTTGGTGCTATGGGTCCTGGTGGTCGCTTAGATTGGGGTGGGCCATCGCCATTTGGAACGGCAATGTAAGCAGTAGTGATGGATTTCCTGGTGTGAGATTTGTACTCCGGAAGAGGCCCGGTGGGTGTGTGGACCGTAATGGTCACTCCTTTGTGAGTGGGCATGATTTTTTGGTGAACGCGAAAGAGCTTGTGGTTGTTAGAGTCGCCGTGTTTGGTAGTTGTTTGGGGAAAAAAATGTCTGAGACGAGCGAGTTACGTAGAGATTACGAATGAACAGGTAGTTTTGGGAGGACGGGACGAGGGAGGTAAGAGAGACGGGGCCGATAGATGGCAGAGATATGAGTCTCTATGAATATGCGAGTGGCGATGTTGAAATGATGCTGAATGATGATGTTGGCGTTGGTTGTGATGAGGAGGAGATGAGGAAGAGAAGAAGAAGGAGGAGAAGGTTTCCTGGTCGAGTGATCTGGTGATTACCTAGTTGCTAGGCAGCGTGTCAGTGAGGGCAAAGCAGCAAAGACAGCCAATTATGATGACATAACATCGAAGTATCTCATCGCTGGCCATGCATATGTTAATTATGGGCTGGGAATTTTAAATTAAAGGCTGAACCGGACTGGACTGAGCTGATCTGATCAAAAGTCGAAATCGAAATCGAAATCAAGCAGAGGGACGGAAACAGAAGCAAACCCCGGACGGAACAGCACAGAACAGGACAGAACAGAACGACTTTGGTTCTCGTCGAGGCCGCTAAGCTTCCGAGAATGCAATGTAAGGACATGTAAGTCCAGCAAGCAACGCCACTATGTTACCACCAACTGCCAGACCATGCCATACAAACAGACAGACAGACATACACTTGTTATGCACCACTTGAACGAAAGCTTATTCGTATAAGTTCGAAAAGGAAGATACGTTGTTGAGGTTGCCTTGGGTTGAGAGTAAGGGAAAGGAAGAGAGGCTCACCTGATCTGGTGTTTCGAAATTTTGTAGTTCAGCGAATCTCTCTTTCTCTCTTTCTCTCTCTTTTTTTTTTTTTTCTTTCTTACCCTTTTCCTTCCTTCCTTCGTCAATCAAACAAACTGGAATTAAATTGCCTGCGCGTGAGGAGATATCCGGCTGAACTAATTAAATTGCCAGAATAGAATAGAACGGAACGGAACAAAACGTGACGTGGAGAAGGATGTCCCAGTTGTCTCTTGTCGGGTATTTTCTCTCTCGAATGGCCGAAGGAAGGGGTTTTTTGTCTTCACCAACAGCAGCCGCAGCAGTAGAGCAAGGAGAAGCAAAAGAAACAGAGTAGATTGTTCAAAAACGAAGTTAAATATCCTGGAGGTTGAGATGAAGAGAGAGAGAAGAGGAAGAGAGAAGAGAGAAGAAAAAGAAGAAGAATTTGATGGATTGGTTATGTCAAATAAATCGGGACGCTAACAACGGATTCGGAGCTGCATGCAGGTTCTATGGCGAGGCAGCCCGTCGAACAGCTGTCCGGTGATCAAGTTGGCACGCTATCTAGGCTAGGTAGGTCGAGTGCTCTGGTTGGTATCAATCGATCAATTCAATCAATTCAATTCATTCAGTCAATCAATCAATCAATCGGTCAATCATTAATCAATCAAGACTTCGAAGAGGGCGGAGATGAACTTTCGATCGAGTGAGTGAATGTTCTAATTGTCCGGCTGGTGGATCACACAAAAACGTCAGGCTTGGGTGATTTGATCGAAGTCATTGCATTGCATGGATTGGTAATTAGGTAGTAGTGGTGATGTTGGTGGTGATGTGAATAATTCCCGGAACAGGAATTGTAATTGGCTTCAAATTGAGCAATTCGATTGACATTGATACGGGGCATGCGCATACATCCGCTTTTGATTTTTCTTTTAAGGCTTCAAGCCGTGATTGTATCTTCGACCCTTCCCACGCACGGAAATGTGACTGGTCTGAGATTAATAAGATTGGACTGTAACGGTGACTCTGCTAGTCAATAAGTTTTTTTTTTTTTTTTCTCTCTCTCTTCTTTTTCTTCTAGGAACTCCCCTTGTCGACCAGAGTAATTCGGACTGTGTTTCTTTTTTGCATTCGCCGCGATAGCTCCAATTTCGGGTGGGATTGGAAGTCTAGTTAATTAACTTAGTTCGTGAGAAAAGCATGGGAGCTTCAAATAAGCGGGTGGTTGGCAGCTTGCCCAACAGCAATTAATATTAATTGCAACTGCCAGTCAAACATATAGTATATCGCATCCGCAAGAGTCTTTTGAATTCAGCGTCAACAATCATCTAGTTTGGCTTAGAATTAAATAATTTTTGAAGTTATAGAGCATTATATAATATAATGTCATAAGAAGTTGGTATATTGTATCAACCCATCAATATGCAGCACCAAATCGAATATTAATCTTCACGACAAGAAATCCTGGATAGGTGGCAGACCCACTGGTACCGTGCCGTCTGGAAGGTAAATTTAATCAAAATGCCAGCTAGCAAGCTTGACCATTTAAGCTTGAGCTCCCAAGCTGGTTAGTTCGGTCAAGTTAACCTTGAAGTTACCTAGACATGCATTCACCCAGCTAGCTCCCTTTACAGCCCTGCATATCCTCTCCTTCAAAAGAAACCAAAGTCAGATCGAAAGGAAGAACAAAGAAGAAGAAGAAAAAGAGAGCTTCCTTTTAACCTTCTAATTTCAAGTTCTCCCCCGTATCACAATTTTTGCAATACATACATACATGTATTCCTGACATGCAAACCATAAAGACAACGAGGCAGAGCATCGATGCCCCGTCCGGAAAGGGAGATGATACAAGGATTCTCAAGCCAAAGTCCTGGGGATCTATGTTTTCTCCATTGGTCAGCGACCCGACGGATGCATGCCAGCGTGCCTGCTCCATGCAAGGAGAACAAGCAGAGAAAGGGGCACTCCTCCTTCTCAAATTATATTAAAAAGATTTCTTGGGAATGCAAATGCGAGGCAAATGATATCATTGTATAGGTACAACTGGAGTAAATTGTTTATGTTGTATACATAAACTATATATTTTTTCTGCTGTAAATCTATAGACGCCTTGACTAATCTTATCCTAGATCCGCCTAATCAGAGATCAATAGGTACCATATTTTACCTCTATAAGTATTTCCAGTAAATGTAAGTATTTATATATTTCTAGACGGTCCATGATATCGATCCGCACGCTTTGCTTCAGTGCAGTGGAGTTATGGCTACTGCAACACGAAAACTGCAACAAAATAATTGATAACTGTCCAGGTTCTGCAATTAATTGAGCTTCCTTGGTTTTGTGCTCAGAGCTTGCTCTGGGGAATATGAGCGAATTATCGTTAGATAGAGTCTTTACGTCTACGTATCAAGAGCCCATATCTTAAGCAAAGCTACATGTAAAATTGCACGCATTATACCTATACAGGAAATATCTTGTCGAACATGTGCGTACGCCACTGGATGTACACATCCGATTTATTGATATCCCACGTTCTCTAAGCTTATAATGCTATATGGATATCTATACCGACGCCCTGGATTTTTTTTTTCGGTGGGGCTGGGTACTAGACAAATTCTAGTTACTATCACTGTTTTCATTTATTTACTTTCTTAAAGAAAATTGAAAAATGCGGGCCTATTTCCTCCTTTACTCTTAAGCTCTTCATCCGCAATTAATGCAATTGCCTATGAGATTGCTTTCAATAGTTTCGACTTAGAAAACGACCTTCTATTCCTCTTCCCTGAAGCCCCGATCCCCGAATTCAACTGGAGTGTATATCCCCACTACCGCTGCTACCCCGTGAACTATTCCGGTTCAAATGGAGGGCATCCTCGCGACGTTCCTGTTCGTACACTACCTGGTGGAGATGGCCCTCCGGATATAATATTATTATATAATAACAAACGCGGCGTCTTTGATAAGGATGAAGATTTTGACTTCAACGAACCTTGCTCTTGGAAAAATGTTCGTGGAATAATACGGTTCAAAGATGCTTTCCCTGAATACTTGTCTCGAGGTGTTGGTAATAGCCAAAAGTACAACATGTTTTATAGCATCACTGCCACTTATTGGAGGGATATTGACCCACAGTTGAGGAGTCTGGCGACGAGACAAGCTTGACCTCACTAGCACTACTACCATCCCGGAGCCATGAGGGTCTATAATTAACAGACTAAAACCCGGAAAATCTGATGTATTGTATTGTTGCCGCAACAATTGGGAAACCATAGACCGGGATGACATAGGACTACCACAGCAAAGGAGGGCGATATATTCCGGTGGGTATTTTACTGATTACTGGTACTTATTTTTTGAATACGGTGCGAGTCTGCTACTGGGCACGGATGACACGGACCCGGATGCTTCTGAAGAGGAAGATGGTGGTGAAGATGGAGGAAACAGAATTGATGAACGTCCGAATAGCCCATAAAAGCCAAGCTCGAGCTCGGGCGATGAAGTCGCATTATCAAAGCCGGAGACTATCGCCCCATCGCTACTATATCCGCAGATGGGGTAGAGGATTTGACAGTCGATATACCGCTGGATACATTAATTGCTGAGGGGTGGATTATAGACAAAGAATAAGGGGCGAAGTACCAAGAGAAACTGAAACGAGAACGATTAGGGGTCAGGGAAGCAGAGATATCCTATCAAATATTAACTGAAGATGAGAAATCTCAACGTTTGAGCCAGTCAGTTTATGACAAGATCTGGGAACAGGAAGAACTAGGATAAAAGCCTACCAATCCTCTCCAGCTTCTGATGGGTTTGAATGCTGATGAACCCGAAAGTATACCCGGCCAGCAGCAACAGGGTGGCCAAGTTAATGTGGCTCAACCCCAAGCAGCCGCTCCAAACTTGAGAATACAAACGGCATTCAGACCGCCAGCTCGCAATCGTATTCATGATTTTCTATCTGGGCCAGGGTCGCCAGCTTAAGCTCTAGAAAGCCTGTACTCTGTTGAGAGAAAGCTAGTGTATGTGTAATTTATGTTCAATCAACTCACCGGCATAGCTTAAAACTAATATTTTATAACTTTTAAAAATAAAAGATTTTGTTCCCTGGTAACCAAAGCCCATCATCTTCCAATATCAAACGATTGGATCGAATTCGTAAATTTATAAACGGAACTGCACTGAATCCATCTCGAATATTCCTGAGCTCTAGCTGTTGCATTTTATGCGTTGCCAACCGTCGCGCAATCAGGCGGTTTCGCACCAGCCAAAAGCATGCCAAGCTCAACCTAAAGCTCTCCTTCCACGCGAACCTGCACGAACCCGCTCTGCTACTTAACTACTAGCTACTACAGTCGCCGAAACACTCTCTCACGGTCTCATGATATCTCGATATCCAAGCTAGTTTGGGTATTCTGGTATATTATAGGAGCATATATCTACCCACTATGGCAGAAATCAAAGCCATCGAGGGCCGTTCGGTACGTAAACTCAAACTTTGAGATATCCAGATATAACGTGACTCGAACCAGAGCTTACATGTGTATATCCATACAGGTCCACCAAATCCAGTCCGGCCAAGTAATCAGCGACGGCCTCTGCTCCGCCGTTAAAGAACTAGTCGAAAACAGCATTGATGCAAATGCTACTTCAATAGGTTCTCCTTTCTAAGCCTTCAACGGCGAATCCTTCTTAAAAACTCACTAACAAAAAGTCAACTAGAAATCAGGTTCAAAAACCATGGCCTTGACCTCATTGAAGTTAGCGATAATGGTCTAGGAATATCCCCAGAAAACTTCGATAAGCTAGGTACATAACATATATCTATAAATAATCTAGAGCCTACTGGATCTGACTTCTTTCCATTATTTACTCCGCCCAGCCCTAAAACACTATACCTCTAAACTCCGCAGCTATGAAGACCTTGAAAGAGTCACAACCTATGGTTTCCGCGGTGAAGCCCTTAGTTCCCTATGCGCCCTCTCAAATCTTTGGGTTACAACTGCAACAGCGGATGTAGCTCCCAAGGGTACAAAGTGCGAATTCCATATCTCAGGCGCCTTGAAATCGACCTCTGTGGCGTCTCATCCAAGGGGGACAACTGTGTCCGTTGAAACATTGTTCAGGAATCTGCCCGTGAGAAAGCAAGAGTTGGAGAGGAATATAAAACGGGAGTTTGCCAGAGTGGTTAGCTTCTTACAAGCTTATGCGATTGTTTGTGTCGGTGTTAAATTTACGGTTTATAACCATCCTCCTAATGGGTATGTATTCAGACTGTCAGTCCGTGCAGATACTTGCAAAGTATTTATATGCTAAAGTAAACTAGGAAGAAGACCCTGCTATTCAGCACCAAGGCAAACAAAACAACTAAAGAAAACATTGCAAATGTTTTTGGCGCAAAAGCTCTGGCAAACTTAATACCTCTCAACTTGGAATTCGAAATGAATACGCCTACATCAGTTCTTCATCGTGGCAGGGAAGATACCCGGAATGTCAAGATTGTGGGACATATATCCCGTCCGGTATTCGGGGAAGGAAGACAAGCGCCTGATAGACAACTGTTCTTTGTCAACTCGAGGCCTTGTAACTTACCGCAGGTGGCAAGGGCGATTAATGAAGTTTATAAATCCTATAACCTTACACAATCGCCATTTGTATTTGCGGATTTGCAATTGGATACAAGTGAGTAACCGTCCTTTAAAACGAAGCTGACGGCATATACTAAAAAATGATGCTGTGAAGCTGCATACGACGTCAATGTTTCGCCGGATAAAAGGACTATTCTCCTACATGACCAAGCCAGCTTGCTAGAGTCGCTGAAAACCTCGTTGACAAAATTGTTCGATGGGGCAGATCAGACAGTCCCAGCGGCGACGCAGTCGAAACTTGGAACGTTTAAGGTGACCGGTGCCGAGCCCGCAAAAACACCGGCGAAACGAATACTTCAGCGGACCTCTGATGATGAAGATGAGGACGGAAATGATGATACTGTGGTAGCTGGACCTTCGAAGCAGCCCGAAATTTCGGTTGCTGTGTTGGAAGAAAGTAATGTTGAAGAAGAGGAATCTAATGCCGCTTTCTCGAGTCTTGTGTCGAAACTCCATCGGAATAGTATAACGAGTGAACCGAGTGTCGAAACCGAACGACCTACGAGTTCGAGGGGTTTAACGTACGCACAAAAGGGAAAGATAGCAAAGGCATTTGCAGCCAAACAGCCATCACATATAGAAAATAACGATGAAGAAGGGACTACTACACCAGCTGAGCCATCCACAAGAACAGCCGCTGAGGAAGGAGAAGAGGAGGAAGAAGAAGAAGAAATAAGTCCACACCCACGTTCCCAGTCCTCTCCCAAGCCCTGGAGAAGACCTTCGCCACAACCGACTACTATCACAATTGGGAACCGAACGGTCATGTCAACACCAAAGCGTAGTCCGTCCAAGGTGTCGTCAAGCATAGTGTCCTCGTCTTCACCAACAAGGAGGGTAGCGGCGAGGAGTAAGAAGGATACATTCGCGAAGAAGTTAAAGGGGTTTAGTGCACCTGGAACACAGAATTCGTTGACGATTCCTGAGGATGATATTTCGGAATCAGAAGAGGAGGCAGTACCTATTGGGAGTCAGGAAGATAACGAAGTGGAATCTCCAAAGGAGTTTGAGGAGAGAGAAGAGAATATGATACCAACCTCACAAGTACCCCGGATAAGCATTGGAACTGAAGACATAGAGCCTAACCAAGAAGTTGGGCCAGAGGAAGAAGCCAACCCTCTGGGGAAGAATTCGGATATTGTGGTGGATTCCGAACCAGTATCAACGGCGTCAGAGAGGATGATCCTCCCATCTTCACCGCCTAGAGCTAGGCGCTCTGTAACAGGTTCCGTTAGGAATGTTGAGCCAGTGATAAATGAAGAGAATGGAACAGAAGAACAACATCGTCAGCGGGAGCGTCGAACAGTTGAAGAACTGATCGCACAGGCCGAAAAACCGCCCACAAAACCTTCTTTGCCAAAAGCCAACTCTACAACAGCCCATAACATCGACCTGAAAGACTCGACACACTGCCTCGTTCAAAATATTCGGTCCCTATCAATCGATAAAATACGGTCACTAGCTAGTACTCTTCGTCCTACAACCACTGACTTGAACTCCAAGGCAAAAGGGAAATCATCCAAACAAGACCTTCTAAAATTCAACCCCGCCGAAGAGAGTTCCAAAGCGGAAGAAAGGCTTTCGCTCACAATCGCAAAATCTGACTTTGCGAAAATGCGAATAGCTGGTCAATTCAACCTCGGTTTCATCCTTGCTACTCGTCTCTCTGAAAAGGGGGACGGTGTCAACGATTTGTTCATCATAGACCAGCATGCTTCCGATGAGAAATATAACTTTGAGAGACTACAGGCTGAGACGGTGGTTCAAAATCAACCGTTGGTGAGGCCCAAAGTGCTGGAACTAAGTGCAATGGATGAACTAGTGGTTATGGATAATATGGACGTTCTTAAGAAGAATGGGTTTGTAGTTGAGATAGATGATGAGGGACCCGTAGGGAAGAGGTGTAGGCTAGTGAGCCTACCAATGAGCAAGGATAAGGTGTTCGATTTGAAGGGTAAGTATTTCCATCACCATGTATACATGCTGTTTGAGGATAAAGATTTAACACTTCAAGACAGACTTCGAGGAACTGCTCCACTTGATCCGTGAACATCCAAATGATGACACAGTCCGACCATCAAAGGTTAGGGCTATGTTTGCGATGAGAGCTTGTCGGAGTAGTATCATGATTGGGCGAACGTTGGGGTTGAAGGATATGAAGAAGGTTGTTAAGCACATGGGGGAGCTTGATAAGCCGTGGAATTGCCCACATGGACGGCCGACAATGAGGCATCTGTGTGACGTGGGACAATTGGAATGTTGGGGGGAGGATGGAGAGAGGGCCTTTGCAGATGATGAGGGGGGTGGGCCCGGTGGGCCCGGTGGGGCACACGATGAAGACGAGGGAGGTGTTAAAGAACGTGACAATGAAGTGGACGACGAGGACGAGGAATGGGTGGAATAGGAGGAGGAGTAGTAGTATCTTTGTGGGATTTTACCTACTATTTACCTTGTTCCACTATCAGAGTATATTAGCGGTTTAGCGGAGTTTCTTACTTTTCTACTCATCTTGCGAATGGGAAGCTCATTCCAGCGCCCTTTTTTCATTAAAACTTCATTATATCTTGCAATGAATTACCGATAAAGCAAGCTAAATGTGATTACAGCATAGGTATCTCGTCCAAACTCCAATAACACCAAGTTCGCCAAGAGCTCCAAGAATCAAAAACTTTGAAGTCATCATTAGATTGCGTCCCAGAAGAAGTCCGTGTATGTACTCCTCTTAAGACGGCTGTCGAGCTTAATCATAGCTACGTCACCTTGGTCCTTTTTATCTGTATAATAATATTAGTAGTCGGAAAACAGTCATGATAGATGTGGGAAGCGTACTAATAATGGCAGAGGAGTAACCGCCAGCACCGTCTTCCTTGAGCTCAATCCCGAATGATCGGTATATCTTCAACCGCAAGCTACCACGCAGTCAGCACTGTTTTCCATACAATATATTTTTTCCGTATCGACTCAAACGAACATAGTTTCATCCTCTGACAAAGCTGTATTGCTCTGCATAGGGCTCTCCAACTCTAGTCCTTCATATTCATCCTTCATCTTGGCTAGATTTGCTTCCATAAGATGATTACTCTTTTCCAACTCCGTCACATTTTTTGCGAGTGCAAATTTCTGCTTATCGAGGTCGAGAATAGTTTTCGCGTGTTCTCTTTTCGCAGCGACAGCTAAAGATGCTTCGGCCGAGGACTTTGCAGCATCAAGGGAGCGAGTGAGGGAGCGCAAGGCAGAGCGAGTTTCATCGAGTTCTGTTTTGCGGAGTTTCTGAAGGGTTTGGGCATTTTCGTTTATAGTAGCTAGACGTTCGATGTCGGATTGGATATGGAATGCTTCGAGAACACTGTGGCAGAGAGTCGCCGGGGGGGTGTCGAGGAGAGGCATGTTGGGTAGGCACTCTTTCTTCTTTGTAGATGCAGGGAAGATTGTCGATACGCGAAGCTTTGAAGCTCTGCAATGTACATACCAGTCTGGTAATACGCTAACGGTTGAGCGGTGTTTCGGTGTTGTTTGTGTTTCATTTCCATTTCCACGACAACGCATTTTTCAGGATTTCGGCATTTTGTGGCGAGTGTGACAAACACCGCCACAGCCACGTGATGAGCGTCCTTATGACGCAAAGCCTCATTTCAGGCCGACCGATCAGATCGTGTGGTTCAAATCTTTATATGTGCAAGCTCCATCCCGACAATTTAATTGCACTTTCCCCGGTTACGCATCCACCAACAAACAATATCCCACCTTTCAACAATATTTCACAACCAACTTAAACATAAGGACGAGAGGATACTGTAGTCCAAAATCTATTTGGTTTCTTCTTATTCATAAGCTATGTCGTCGGATAATTTGCCATGTGAGTTATTACCTACGCCTGTTGTGGTGCTGCTGCTGCTAGTAAAGAATGTCTTGGAGGAGCTTAAGCCGAGGGTTGGGATACTGACAGATTGGTGGACGGATAGATGCCGCTGATGCGGAAAGGTATCGCAATACATACATACCCCGTTTTACTACTACGGCGGATACTCCGAATTCCATGACTTCGATACTGACCCCGAAAAACTAGCCCGTTAAAGGAAGCCGAGCTCGAGGTCCTCCGAAAACAATACGATCGAGAAGGACAATACGTCAGCATCCAGACGAAATTTAACTACGCCTGGGGCCTCATCAAGTCCGACAAGGCTATTGACCAGCGATACGGTATCAAGTTGCTTACTGGTACGAATCTACAATCATCCCCACCTCCGATCCTTTCTAGAGATTTACCGAAGAACTTGGGGTGGCGGGGTACTGACGAAAATGTGGGATAATTTTGTAGAAATCTTCCGCGATGCCCCCGAACGCCGTCGGGAATGTCTTTACTATCTCGCTTTGGGGAACTACAAGCTAGGAAATTATGCAGAGGCGAGGAAATATAACGATTTATTGCTGGAGAAGGAGAATAAGAATATGCAGGCGATGAGCTTGAAAGGACTGATTGAAGATCGAGTCGCTAAGGGTATTATTTTATCATCCTTTACCCTCCAAAGTCTTTTAAAAAAATCATAAGGGGCAAGGCAATAGCTAACGAACATGAACATGAACAGAGGGCATGCTCGGTGTCGCGATACTGAGCGGGGTGGTTATTGCGGCCGGAGTGATGGGCAGCTTTTTGTACAAAGGGTTAACGAAGCGGAGGTAATGCTATTCTATGCCTTGCCACCCTTTTGTTTCTCCTTTCTCCCCTACCCCTTTGGAACTCGAGTTGACAAGACTCTCTCTATGTGATTAGTCTTTGAGTTCTCCCTTCTCGCTCCCTTTACAGACCTCGAAAAGTGATGGGTATGATTTGGGTTAACTAGAGACTAGGGATAGGGACTAAGGAATACACCGATGGTGCGCGTTAAATCTTGTCTGGCATACGGAACGGGGCAAATGCATACGAGGGTGCTAGGCTGTGCTATTTGGGAATATACATAAGTTTTTTTTTACCTTTGAAGGAGGAAGAGGAGGGGGCGGAATGAGTGATTGAGTTTATTCGTCAGAGAGCATGCATACGCTGTTGTTCTATTGAGATTGCATTGTTATTGGTATAATTTAATTGTTTGTACAATGCAGGCGTCCTCGTTCTTTCTTTTTTATACTTTTCTTTACTGATATTCGACACACGCATATTGTTTCGCTTCGTTACTTCTTCCTGGGGTTCTTTGTTTGGGATACATATCTCTCTCTCTCCTCTCTGGCTCTTATTCAGCCCTTCTTTTTTCATTTTTTCATTTTTTTTTCATTTTTTTTTCATTTTCACTTGCTTTATTTTCTGTCGACTCTTGTGGTATCCAATACAGGCGCCATCGAAATACTTAGAATAGCAAACCAGGTTGTGATCGAATACACGTATACGTATAGTCTGGGGGAAGGCTATAGCTAAGCTACGTGCCACAAAGTGCTGACATGACGGCGAGTGTGACGGTTGTGAGACGGCTGCAGTGCACTGATTGGGAGAGCTGTTCTGGAAGATTCGGCACAGACTGGCCAGCCTGGTTCATTAAGTAGCTGCGCACTTCGGAGATGAGACCTTTTTTTTATATATTCATTCATTCATCATATCATTTGTTCGTTCGTAAGTGGTATGAGTCGAAGTCTAAGTTTGGAAGTCTGGGACGCTTTTTATATATAAACTACCATTGGTATCGATATCATATCATGCATGTATGTCCCTTAAACTCAACTTGGATCGATTTGATTTCGAATCTGTCTTGTATCGGCGACGACACTAATGCGGCAGCTTCCCAAAGCACACGCACACATATATTACAGTTATAATAAAATAGGTGTGTAAAGTTCGAATCGGATCGAATCGAATAAAATCCAATCAAATCTAATATTGCAAATCGAATCAAGGTGAGCAACGTACTTAAAGTATGGTTAGTATAGTGCCTGTTAACATACATGGGATTATGATATCACATCGGGCAACCATCATCGCCACCACATCAAATCACCACTCCGTGCACTACTACCAGTATTAGTATTAGTATTGGTAGAACTCCACAAACATGTTTAAACTCCATGGATCCATCCAGCTGTGGCTTACACCTAACATTATCGTTCCATCCCCATTATATTATATCATCTTGTCAGTTGTAATTATAGTAATAATTATAATTATAACAACGTTGTTGATTTCTTTGAGGTGCCTGTCGACAGCAACACGTCGACACAATCTCATCACTCAACGTTAACCTGACAGCCTTCTTTCTTTCTCTCTCGACAATTCAGCTTCCTCCAACTTACATCTTCCTTTCCCTCTCCAACCACCCCGCTCTTCTCCTGCTCTTACTCTTACTCCTACCCCTCCTCCTCCTACTCTTGCTGTCATTCTTACAGACTATCCGAATATCTTCATATATCTTGTCTCCCTTCACCTTTTCCCTTTACCTTCATTTTTGACTCTTCCATTCAGTGCCGGCCACTAGACGTGCTGCTTCATCTCTCTCTCTTTCTCTCTCCCTGTCACCGACATCACCTCGTTCTCTTCTTTTGTACGCTCTAACCTTCCTAGAATCCTAAGACCCCAGCACATCCCAAATCCAACAAATCCAAAAAACCCTCCCACAATGAGCGGTTTGCCGCCGCGCCAACCCTCCGGCAACCAAAGTCGAGAGTTGGTCTTCTGTCATCAGTGCAGGAACGAATGGTACAGGGACCAGCACGGCTTGGTATGTCCGGAATGTGAATCCGATTTCACTGAGATTGTAAGTTGCTTTTTTGACTTCCTTTTCTTATTTTTTGTATCCATTACGAATAGTTGGTTTTGACAAATGTAATTCTACATACAGCTCGAACACGACGAATCAGCCCCTCACCGAACCTTAGTTGACTCGGACGATGACTATGACGAAGAAGACGACGGCTTCTATTCTCACCATCGCCACCATCATGCCGACCATGATCATCGGGATACTGGCTTTGGCCCTGCACCTCATGGTACAGGGTTCACATTACGTATGGGCGGTGGATCGGGTCCTCAGATTAGCTTTCGCACGATACAACCGCAGTTCGGAAGCAGTTCTGGCTCGCCAGGTCCTCAGCACCCCTTTGGCGGTGGCCATGTAATAGGAGGAGTCAGTCCGAACCCTCGACAGCCATCGTTCCCGAGCTCTCCGTTCGACCATTTCCACGCCCATTTCCCGGGTGCGGGCGCTCGATCAATGCGCTCGACCCCACAATCGGACCCATTAAATCAACAGCGAGATGATCGCCACCAGCAACAGCAGCAAGAACAGCAGCAACAACAACAACAGCAACGTTCCTCTCCAGCCGCTACTTCGAACTTCGGAAACGCTTCGCAACCGGTCATGGATATTTTCGCCTCCATAGTACAAAATATTATGGGTGTTCCGCGGGAGGGGGATCCCAACGACAACACTCGAAACCAGCAATACCACGTCCCTGGCGCCTTCCCGGGTGGTAGATCCCCTCCAATGGCTGGCCAGAATAATCCTGGCCAAGGTTCGAGTCAAGCCGAAGGATTGGGTGGGCCTGGACATTCGCCTGGAACTGTACCGTCGCCTGGAGGTTGGTCGCATGGTGGGCCGCCTGGCGGGCCGCACGGTGGGTCGCCGCACGGAATGGAGAGTCCACTATTTATGCAAATGCCGAGAGGGAGAGGTGGGGTCACATATTATTCGTCAACGAGGACGTGGACTGGACCCAATGGGGAGGTAAGGACGATAAGGACATCGTCGCCAATGCCGCCTCACGGGCAGCAGGGGGGTCCCGAAGGTCCGGGCGAAATGAACTTGGCTAGGTGTGTATCTTAAGCTTCTCAATGGATGATGGGAGTTATGGCTAACGAGAGGTGGGGGGGACCTTTGAAGCATCCTCGTCAACATTATCGGATCTGGTGCTCATGGAGACGACGGTAACGGATTTCCACCACTACTTAGAGCGTTTGGACTCGGGCATGGCCAAACAGGTGACTACGCCTGGAACCAACAAGACATGGATAGGATATTATCCCAATTGATGGAGCAGCACCAAGGGAATGCGCCTCCACCAGCTTCCGAGGAATCTATCAGGAATTTATCCAAGGTGAAAGTAACACAGGCGGAAGTGGATGATGGCAGTGAATGTGTGGTTTGCCAGGATGAATATAAGGTTGATGATGAGGTCGTAAAGCTTCCGTGTAAGCATATTTATCATGAGGAGTGTGTAACAAGGTGGTTGGAAACGCATGATGTAAGTACTCCATTGCGCTTTGTCCAACGATCCATGGCATACTAATTATATTTCCAGGCTTGTCCAATATGTCGTACTCCAATTACACCAGAAGACCAACGGCGGCAAAGACCGACACCTGGAGCACCTCCCGGAGCATCTGGGTCCGGGTTCCCACCATTACCAGGCCAAGGTGGTAGTGGAGGCACAGGGGGGAGCGGTGGTGCAGCTGGTGGGAGCAGTAATATGCACACTTCTTCCGGATCAGGCGGAAGCAACGGGGCTCGGTGGACGTGGTCTACTAGCTTTGGTCGTGGTTGAAGCTACGATCTTTAAAGTCTAGAAAGATATATCACCAAAGAACAGGACTTTTGCAGTGCAAGGTCCCCGTGGAAGGGCTTTCCTTAGAGACGGCCGAAATTGCTCTGTCTCAAATAAAAGTGTGCCTTTCTATAGCTACTTAATTACTTACTTATATGGCTCGTGCTTTTTCTTGTTCAGCGCCTTCGTCCTTCGCCTCTTTTTTTCAGTCCCCCGGTCCTTCTCTTTCTTTCTTTCTTTCATTTATACGATCCTTCTTTTTTTGTTAAACAAATGAATTTAATGTAATGGCTCTTCCTGCCTACGTACGACTAACCACGGCTGCCCGAAACCCCCTTTATATTCTGCTTCTTTTTCAGTTAGCGCTAGGTATTATAATGGGGGGAACGATTTTTGTGTTCAGATGAAAACTTCCTTTTTTTGTTTCCCGTTTAAATTTGTTTGCAAGGAACCCTTTAAAGGATCTAATGGGATTTGTACGGACTGGATACAATTGGTCAATGGATATCATAATCTACTATCTGCGGATGGCTGTAATTATCGTGGATGTGGTTATCTTCCTTGACGCTTAGAAACGGCCGGCTGATGTTGAGGTTGTAGTTGAGTCAGAGCTCGAGAGAGGTCAGGCCTGTCGTGCGTTGATACCACAGCACTATCTGCAGCCTTATCTTCGTTTATATTTCCACCTGCCCCACCATTGATTCCACCCAACTTTCCACCTGCTACCTCTTACTTATCACCCATCCAGTATTACTAACGATTGATCTTCTGCTTCATCGTAAATCCCATTAAGATAATTTCACCATTGTTCTACCGATTTAGATATCAGCGAATTTACCTGTTCAGAACCGATCAACTTGACGGTCTCCACCATGGCAGACGACACCGAAGCGATTACTGCCCGCCTCTCCACCCTCGGTTTCGCGGACAAAACCATCAAAGACGCTATTAAGAATCAAAAACACCTTATCTCGCTACTTTCTGTTATCGATGAAGCATCCAGTACCAGCGATGATGTAGCCGGCGAACTACCCCGCGACCAACTCGTACACCTTAATGCGCTCGCCGTGGCTAGCAAGGATACCCCCCTTCCAAACCGATCCTACATAACTGCTGCGATTAGGGACGGCCGGCTAAAATCCTCGGTCCAAATCGAAGCTGCTATCAAATATGCCAAAGAAACACCGGGCGAGATCAACCCAGATGGATTTAATAAAGCTGCTGGTGTTGGCATCGAGTTTACGAAAGACCAGGTTGTGGAGCGTGTCAAGGAATATATCTTGGAGAAGAAGGAAGAGATTGAAGAGCAGAGGTATAAGTTGCTTGGAAGTACTATTGCAAATGTTAAGGCTACGACGGACTTGAAGTGGGCGAATGCGTTGGAAGTTAAGCAGGCTGTTGATGCGGAGTTTTTGAGTCTGCTGGGTCCAAAGGATGAGAGGGACGTTATCAAGAAGGTATGCTTTATATAAAAATTTATTATTGCCTCACAATGAATGGTATTGATGGGAGATATAGGGTAAAGGCGATGCGAAGCCCGCAAAGGAGAAGGTCGAGAAGAAAAAGCAGACAGTGGATACACCGGCCGAACCAGACCCGCTCAATTCTACCAGCATGTTCGAAGAAGGCTTCCTCGGCGCCCTTCACAAACCCGGTGGGAACCCACAGATCAAACCCACCCTCCGCGACGAGCACCTCAAAGCCACTGGTGGAAAAGTATTCACCCGATTCCCACCCGAACCTAATGGATATCTCCACATCGGACATAGCAAGGCCATTGCTGTTAACTTTGGATATGCGAGGTATAACGATGGATGCTGCTATCTACGATACGACGATACAAACCCCGAGGCTGAAGAGGAGAAGTACTTTACTTCTATTAAAGAAATTGTGGAATGGCTTGGGTTCAAGCCATACAAAATTACCTATTCAAGTGATCATTTCCAGAGACTCTATGATTTGGCTGAGGATTTGATCAAGAGGGATAAAGGATATGTTTGCCATTGTACTGGTAGGTCTTGTCTTTTAGGTGAAGATGGTAGTAGCGCAAGGGATAGATGCTGATACAAGAATTCTACAGCGGATGAGATTCACAAACAGAGAGGTGGAAAAGAAGGAGAAGCAGGCGAACGATACGAGTGTGTGCACAGAAATAGACCGATCGAAGAGTCTCTCGCGGAGTTCAGAAATATGAGAGATGGAAAGTATAAGCCCAAGGAGGCTCTACTGCGAATGAAGCAGGATATGAAGAGCGGAAACCCACAAATGTGGGATTTGACAGCGTACAGAGTTTTGGACGCCGAACACCACCGAACTGGGGCAGATTGGAAGATCTACCCAACATATGACTTTACACATTGTCTTTGCGATAGCTTCGAAAATATTACGTAAGTTAATATACTCTCGTTCTTCTTTGAGAGGGGAGGAAGGAAAGAAGGAAGGGGCTGATGAGATATAGGCATTCGTTGTGCACTACGGAGTTCATCACAGCTAGGGAATCTTACGACTGGCTGTGTGATGCTTTGGAGATCTATAAGCCACGTCAGAGCGAGTACGGACGACTTAACTTGACAGGGACGATCATGTCGAAGCGAAAGATCGCGAAGTTGGTTAATGAAGGACATGTACGAGATTGGGACGACCCGAGATTGTATACGCTCGTTGCGATCCGAAGACGTGGTGTTCCACCAGGGGCTATCCTGTCGTTCGTGAACGAATTGGGAGTTACAACGGCTACGACATATATCATGACGACAAGATTTGAGCAGTCGGTCCGAAGGTACTTGGAACAGACTGTCCCCCGATTGTCATTAATCCTGGACCCAATTCTCGTTGTGCTGGAGAATCTCCCAGAGGATCACTACGAAGAGATTTCTGTGCCATTCAAGCCGAATGACCCAAAAATGGGCGAACATAAAGTTGCCTTTACGAATAAGTTCTACATCGACAGGAGCGATTTTAGAGAAGTTGATTCAAAAGATTACTTCCGTATGGCGCCTGGGAAGAGTGTGGGATTGCTCCGAGTTCCGCATACGGTTAAAGTCACCGGGTTTGTGAAGGACGAGGAAACAGGGAAAGTTAAGGAGATTAGGGCGAAATATGAAAATGATGTGGAATTCAAGAAGCCAAAGACTTATCTTCAGTGGATTGGGCACGCACCTGAGAAGGGCTCACCTGTAAAGGTCGAGGCTAGGTTGTTCAACCAGTTATTCCTCAGCGAGAACCCAGAGAGCAACCCGAACGGGTTCTTGGCGGATATTAACCCAAATAGCGAGGAGATTTACGGGGATGCGATTATTGATACCGGGTTCCACGAAGTACGAAGGAGGGCACCTTGGCCGGCGGCTGAAGGAGAAAGGAACGGAGAGGATGTTGGGTTGGAGACGGTTAGGTTCCAGGGATTGAGAGTTGGGTATTTTGCTATGGATCGGGAGTCAACTGATGAGAAGATTGTGCTGAATAGAATTGTGACATTGAAGGAGGATGGAGGGAAGAATTAATAGACTTATTCTTCTTCTTCTTCTTTCTTCTCTTCCTCTGTAGATTTATAATAACAGATTCCTCCTTTTTTTTTTTTTTTTTTTTCAATATGGAATCAATGCCAGCTGAGCGTCGATGAGGTAGCTATGCGTTGAAGCTGTTGGAGGGGAATATCCGAGGTTAGACCGGGGGACAAGCTTCGCAGCTGCAGGATGATGTCTGGTACTTACCTAAGTCCTTATGCTTAGTGCCTATAAGGAATGGTAGCGAACGAATAGCATGCGAGCGATTGCATGGGACGAGAGGTTTAAGTTTAACCAAGCTCAACAGCTTTAAATTGAGCTTGTGACTGGACTGACTATCCCCTGATCCCTTCTGTTGGGACCCTTTTGAGTTACCCCAGTTTTCAAACTGTAGTTTAACTAATTATAACTTAACTTGTATTCATTACTTCTGACACTTTCTGCGACTTACTACTGGATCATTACATCCTCACTCACGACTACCATATGCATACCCGATGATCATTCGATAGATAAGATAACTTCTAAAGGAAAACATCCGCCTAAATGCCTTCTGCTTATATACCTACAATCAAAACCTAAGAAGAACCCGAGGGTTTTTATTATCAATCAAAACAAAGGGGGGGTGGGAAGAAGAAGGAAAAAGAAGAATGGACTTCCAATCCACACCGCGCTCGCCGTTCAGCCCACGACTACCACATCCACCTCTCCCAACATCCACAACCACAAATACCCTCGGAATCCTAAGCTCACATATATTCCCTTCATTAACCCTACACACAACACTTTCACTAGCAGCATATTCAGCAGGAAGATTTACAAACCGTCTCGATGCGAAGGATTTACTCTGGCCGTCTGCTTTCGTGGGCAACGTATGGTACCATGGAGTCGTATGGCCTTACATGAGCGGTAGAGGGAGAGGGGTATGGGAGTTTATAAGGGAAATGGGGTACGGGAATAAATTGATACTGGGAGGGGTGACGGTTTGGGGGTGTAGATTGTTTTGGAAGGTGTTTTGGAGGGTTAAAGGAAGAGAACGGGATGATGGACGGTATGAGAGGTATAGAGAGGTGATTAGGAGGAAGAAAGGGAAGGGGGATCTGGAGAAGGCGGTGGTGATCGATGAAGGGGAGGTGGAGAGGGAGATGTGGAATAAGGCGTTTCTTGGGATATTCTTGCCGGAGGCGGTTGTGCAGAGTTTTGTGAGTTTGGGATGGTCTGGAGTTGGGTATTCGCGATCTTATGGTTCTTTCAACCATCCCGATCAAGGCAGTATCGGTGATACCAAATGGGTTCATGGGATTGCGGTTGGAGTCTTTGCGGCTGGATTGGCGCTGGAGGTTCTTGCGGATTCGCAACTGGGGAGATCTAAGAAGAAGAAGGGAAAGATTGTGAGGGACGGGGTTTGGAGTATTGTCCGCCATCCGAAGTGAGTATTCTTTTACACGATCCATACCTTATACACATACAGGTATCTTGTATATATACTTAAGTATTTATATTACAGACATGCTAACATATTCGATTTACAGTTATCTAGGTGACTTTCTAGTCCACCTCTCGTTTCCTCTGATGGCCCTAGCCGATGGAGTGTTCAATCCCATCATGTTCATCGGGCCCATCGCGAATTATATCTTCTTGAGGTTTATAGGAGGGGACAAGGAAAACGAACAATACCAAATGGAGAAATACAAGAAGGAAGGTGCAGAGAAATACGAGGAGTATAAAGAGTGGAAGGCAGAGAAGAATAGCTTTTGGCCGGGGATTAGGGAAGTCGGGAATCTTTGGACCTGGGTGGTTGTGGGAATCGGTGGACTGGCTGCGGCGGGGGAGTTTTATATTTGCAATTCGACCTATACCATTGTTAATGTTAACTGAGTATAGTAGTTGGCGCTATGGCGGGGTTATAGGTATATATATAGATAGATAGATATATGGTATACAGGTATAGAGATGGGAAGAATGGAGTTCTGCTGTTGGCCACTATTATAACTATACTACTCCTAGCACATTAATTACAATTACTGGTAATACTGGCAGTACTATTATTCATCTCGAGTATTTGGATATCATACAAAATACTAATATAATCGATCTTAACCGTATACTTTATACTCCTCTTTGTTTAGTTCTGTTGGAGTTGCAGTTGCAGTTGCAGCCGCAGTTGGATGTCCCCAGCCACCGGATTAAACGGGATTCAAACGGATTCAAACGGCCAGACAGCCCCACACCACTGCGCTGGCCTTCTTCCCTCCTCTTCTGTATGCATGACGAGCATTCCCATAATATAATCCATGCCTGCTAATGCCTGCCTGTTGTTCGTTCCAGAGTGTCCGTTTTGAGTGTTTTCGTTTGGCGCTTGTTATAAAAGGCCCCCGCCCGGCAACGTTACCTGGCCTCTGTTGAGTTGCGCCTCCAAATTCCTTTGTTTGTTTTGTTTACATTTTCCTTTCTTTTGACTTCTCCACCCCGTCGCTGCTGCTCGTGTCCTCTGTCTGGTCCGCTCGAGTTAACTTCCCCACGACAACAATCGATACCTCAAAGCTTCCCCGGTAACTAGGTACATACCTCTTTCCCCAAAATACAACCTTCTCAACTCTTAACTTTCAACTCAACTCAAACTCCTCAACTCTCAACTCTCAAACTCTCATCCATCGCTTTCGTCATCGCGCCTTCCTCATTAGTTCATCTACCAATCTCTCCCTTCCCTTCCCTTCCCTTTCTACCATCCTTTCTACCATCCTTTCTACCATCCTTTATACCATCCTTTATACCACTCTTTCCCCCCCTCTCGCCATCTTGTTGCATAAAAGGCGAAAAAAACAAATACCGTAAAGATGTCGAACTACTTCGGTAAAATGAACAAGTCGCAGCTGGCCGAATACGCTCGTCCACTCGGCATCAGTACAACTCTCAAAAAACAAGATCTTGTCGAACAAATTGAAGCCGCAGTCGCTAGGGACCGTTCTGCTCTCGAGAAAGATACCTTGTTCCAAGATTACTTTGAGACCTTGACCGATAGTCCTAGGTCGCTCGTTCGAGCCATCACTCCGAGATCTACCACTAGAAGGCGAAGTCGTTATTCCAAGGCTCCTGAGTACGCCATTCCTTATAATCCTCCACCCATTCATCACCATACATGAATAAACTAGGACTAATATTCTGCGTGTTTATATACAGAGATGAAGAAGACACTCGCGAACACTCCTCCGAACCACCAAGCGATCTCGTTACCCCCGCAAAGAAACCAACAAAAGTAGGCGTCAGAAGTACTCGCAAAGCCACCAGCCTCCGCAGCGACACCACAGTAGTAGTCTCTCCACCCGTTGTCCCTCCAGTAGTACACGAAGCGCCCGATATCATCCCAGAGCCAAACCATCCACTATCCCCAAGTCAAGTCGCTCAATCCGTCGCAGTCGAGAGTTTCACCGTTGATAAGATTAGCGAAGGTATCGCTTCTTGGTTCGCTAATGCTGCCGAAACTACCGGATTCTGGGAACATGTCGATTACACCCGTGAAACCCTGTCGGACCCAAGAGCTATTCATTTCCTCATTGCTACCTATGAATTAGCTTGGTTGTGCCATGATTTGACTCCTTGGTCTATAGTTACCGTAAGTCAGCCATTGTACCCACCTTTTCCCCAGCGCATGGTTCCCCCAGCTAATACTTCAAAATAACAGGTCCCCGTCCCAGCCGCCAGAGTTCCATATATGGACTATAATACCGGCCCAACCACTGTCAAAGTCCCAGATCTATTCATTCTCCTCAGCTGGAACGCTTTCTGGTCCCCTATCGTCTACTGGTTCACTCTCGGCATCTCGTTCCCACTTCTTTCCAGCTACTTTGTCAACGTCCGCAAGCGCTCCACTTATGATCCCCTCACGTTCAGCATCTCGAAGGCTTTGATCGCGTACCTTGTCTACACAAAGCAGATCCTCAAACCAGAATTGCCAAGATTGTTTGGTTCCGATACCCCTGCATTGATCAATGAGATTATTGGAGATGAAACGCCTTTGATCGGCGCAGCTATCGGAGGGTTGTTAACACTCTGGGAGGCCATCCTTTCGAGACGTTAGTGAAGTTTTTTAAAAACTACCTAACGAATAAATAAGAGTCGAGAGAGAGAGGAAAGGTAAAATAAATATGACGTAACAAAAAGTGAGTGGTGTTGACAAATGATTTTTGGATTCCTTTTTTCTATGAAAGAATAATCCTTCGTCGTCGGAGTATATCTTGTTCTTTTCTTCTTTCTTTTCTTTCTTTTCTTATCTATATCATGAACATCGACAGATGTAGTCTTCCGCACAGATCTGTTGAATATGATGTATTTGACGTATAACGGATACCTATTGGTTTACTTTTTTTTTAGCATACCCCCCGGCCCCTGTTTGCATTCACCGGCGTGTGTGCTATTTCTCCCCCACTTTCGCACGCTCACAACCCCTCCTTCCTCGTTGAATGCTTTCACCTATGTAGTATAACCCAATCCCCCTCTTTTTTTTTTCGGTTCTTAGGGTAGGCCTTTTTCTGGGGGGTCCCTGTTTTGTGCCGTTTACTAACTTCAACTGATTTCTTTAATAACCTCCCTCTCCCTCTCCCTCTCCCTTCCTTCACCTCCTAACCTTTTTTTCTCTCTTCTGGCGTTCGAAATGGGATCATGCGTTTGATAAAAGGGTAGCTGATGTTTCCAATTTCTCTTGTCTATTTGTTTTTGTTTCTTCAAGTTTTTTAGTTTGTTTTGTATGTAGGCAATTCGTTTTAGTATAGTCAAGTGTCTTTAAGAAATTCAATTGAAAGAGATGAAAAATTCAAAAAAGTATCTTGCAATGGTTTATGCAGTTATTTGATTACACATATGTGTATAGAAAAAGCTCATGAACTCCCTCCTGTGCCCATTTTGTATCAAAGGATACGATTGCTTGCATTCAAGGGAAAAGCTTGAGAAAAAGGAAAACGCCACTCCCAAAATATCTTAACCTAAACAAAGGTGATGATGAGAATGAAAAAATCACAATGCATGCTTTCAACCCTTTGAAACTCCGAGAATAGAAAATAATAGAAGTCCCCGATTGAGTATATGGAGTGCAACTTAAGGTTTGCCAGCTGGTAAGGGGAGGTGGTTTTCAACCCCTTCCTCCGTCATTTCAACATCACGATCATATCCGCCATCAAGCTTCCTGACCTTGACTTTGTAACGACCATCATCCCAATTACGGCCGTGGATACGCTGGAAGACAGGCCGTTCACCACTCGGGAGACACTATACCCCAGGTGTATCTTTCGGCTGTTCTTTTGCGGGTTGGTTGCTGCTGCCGCTATCATTAGTGCTGCTACCTTCGGGCTTTTCGGTAGCTTCTCGCTCAAGTTTGTCAATTGCACCTTCGACTTTCGGGTCCGCTGGGGGGAAGAAAGATCTATGTGACGATTTAGTGGGTGGTTGTTGTATGAAATTGGGGAGGGGGGGAACATACGGAAGAACATCTTCGTAGATTGTTAGATCCTTGTCGAGGAAGACGCAGAAGATGACTTTCTCGATCTGAGAAATAAATGGTTGGGCTGATTCCTTCTTGGTTGCCTTATCGCCTTCTTCTTCTTCTTCTTCTTCTCCTCCGGCAACCTTACCTTCAGTCTTTTCATCGCCAGTCTTTTCATCTCCAGTCTTCTCGTCTTTTGTCTCTGGGGCTTCCTTTTGCTCGTCCTTAATCACAGCTTCTCCCTTAGCATCCTCGGCTACCTTCTCACTGGTTTCGGCAGGTTTAGCATCCTTAACTTCTCCTTCTTCAACATCATCTTCCTCCTTCTTCCCAGAAATGACTATCTTTTCCTCCTTATCTTCAACCGTCTCTCCAATGTTCTCTGGAACATTCTCAACATCGTCTGTACCAAACAAAGTCTCTTCAAGCTGAGCCTCCAAATACTCCCTAACAACCCTACAAGCAACCACAGCAGCCCTATCATTAGGATACCCATAAATCCCCGTACTAATACAAGGGAAAGCCACGCTTTTACACCCATTCCTTCTCGCAACATCCAAACTGTTCACATAGCAATTCTTGAGAAATTCAGCTGGATCGCGGCCTTCATCTTTGTGATCCCAATATATGGGACCAACAGTGTGGATTACGTGTTTAGCGGGAAGACGGTATCCCTTTGTTATCTTTGCCTCTCCGGTTTCGCAACCGTGGAGGTCGAAACATTCGTCGTAGAGGCCTCGACCTGCGGCGCGATGGATTGCACCGTCGATTCCGCCGCCGCCGAGGAGGGATTTGTTGGCTGCGTTGACGATGGCGTCGACGGCCTATTGGTTTTTTTTTATGTCAGTTTTCTTTTCTTTCTTTTCATACTTTTTTTCTTTTATCTTTTGTACTTTTATTTTGTTTTATCTTGGATTGGATTGGGAAACATTGGAGTAGTTGGAAAAAAAAGAATGGTGCACATACCATGCGAGTCATATCCATTTGCACGAGGATAACCTGGTCATTGAACGTTGCCGAAGGCGGCGAAATTGCAGTTTGAGCTATCGAAGCATCTAATTTTCCAGATGTGTAGAGATTCGTAAGGTTTGACGAATCTAGTTCTTCAAGAGACTTCACGGGGATTCGGGAAAAAGATGCCATTTTTTGGTTTTTTAGGGAAGCGGAGAAAGTACGAGAAAGGATCTTGAAGCGGGAGATGATGTTTGATGGAATTGTGGATGGGTTTTGATGAATTTTGATGATGAATTTGATGGAGTTGATGGATGGATGGGGTGATAGGTGAGCAAACGGATGGATTGATGGATGCGATGGCCTCTGTTGCTGAGGTTGATTACGTTGGTTTTTGATGAGGTTTCGGCGGGTTGAGTTGGGGATTGTTGGATTTTTTGGAGGGGAAGGAGGGGTGTCGCGAGAGGAGGGGCAGTTACTATAGTATCGGAGAGGAGGGGCGAGGGGCTTGATGTTAGCAGGGATATCGATCTAAGGGGAAACTGCCTAGGTACTAGGTAGGTAGCATATGCGGGCTATGATATCACTGGTTAGAACTATCAGAGCGCTATGTGGTATTTAACGTCCGTTGAACCTAGTGGTAGCTTTGCCAGAGCTAGACCTATAGAGTGCATGCGTATGCAATGATGGGTGAGGTGGTAGATATACTAGTATACTGATATATTGATATCGCTAGTTGATTGAGAATAGGAAGAGTGGATGGCTAGAATATCTGGGCTGCTATTAGAATTTATATTCTTGTAGTTTTGCAATTGGGCACCTAATTTGGGTACCTGATAGTTGATGTCAACGCGGGGCTGGTCCCTGTATCTATTTCTGTATGCACCAGCTAGCCTGCCTGTCCCGAGCTGATCCTTCGCAAGTTTTCCTCTCTCAAGGCAACCGTACTCCACTCTTCTGCTCTGCTCGCTTTGTTTCTAAATTTCCCAGCCTTCAATTCTTTTCATTTCGAATATTTCTATTTATCGGTCAAAGACTATGTTAATTATATTGTAGGGAACACTTATTATTAAGCGAGCAAGTCGTTGTATTTACAGGTTTTGCAAAGCAGAATTTGCCATTGCAATTGTCTATGTACAAAAAGCTGATGATATGATATGATATGATATGATATGATACGGGATATATAAAATATGTGCGTCTTTGGGAGAACCAGGTGAAGTGATATCTTCTGCACAGCTGTCTATCTTATAAGTACTCCAAACTCCCCGGTCTTCTTTCGTTTCTTTTCTCTCCACTTTTTTTCTTTTAGTGTCCTCCTTTTATTATTATCATACAGTTCGTTCGCCGTCTTAATTTTTTGCGATTATTTAGAAAAGAGATTAGCTCTTCGTTTTATGTCCTGCACAGGCACCCTGAGGTAGGTATGAAACTGTTACATTTCCATATCCATAGTTACCCCGGGATTGAACGTCTTCAGTAGAGTCTGGTACATCACCAGCATGGTTCCTATCGTACTATCGTTAGTATATATTTTTCTATGTATTAAAAACAGAACAGTCATGAATATGTATACTCACCCGACTGAATACTTGTCCACACGCCCCTCGGGAACACCCCTCTGAACAATCCCACCACCCCCTCATGTCTAAATATCAGCCGTAACCCGGTCAAAATGCTGTCCGTTTCCAAAATCATCGCTCCATTCTTCATCGGCGGCGTCGTACTCGGCCCACCCGTCGAAATGTTCCTCAAGTGACTCTGCATCGACCCGACACCCTTCGCCAATGTCGATTGCGGTGGTATTGCGGACGAGTAAGTGTGTAGATGTTTTATTGCTGTCATTTGTCGTGGAATATTAATCGTATGTGTTTGTATACGTGGTTTTGTGTCGGCTGAAGGGAGAGGTTCGTGTGGGAGATCGGTGCGGACTTGTGTCTGGATTCGTGTTTTGACAACGTCGAGTGGGGTGGTCAAAGTACCGGCTAGGCCACCTGCTGCGCAACCTGTGAGGATTTCAAGGCCTATTCCTATATCTTCACCGACGCATGAAGCTTTCGCCCATTTTTGGAATTGCTCTGAAATGGTGTAAGGAATTAGTTTCGTGAGCGAGATAGGTAGTTCGAGATGGGGCTAAGGTGAGTTTACCCCAGAATGCGAACTGTAGAGCGGAAAACGGCAGATCTCGCATTAATGTTGCTTTGTAGCCGTAAAACATTGCATTCCACCCTTCTGTTCTTACGATCGTTCGGGCCGCATCGAAGGTGTTTCGATAATTGTACCCGCTCTGGAAGAATGGATTGTTGTAACGTCCTTGTAGTTGTAATCGAGTCTTGAGGACCTGTATCCAAAAAACCCTATAAGTTAATATGCCGCACTTCTATTGAAATCATAAACCTGGAATATGCATACCTCTGAAGGCACATATACCACCGAAGCAAATAAGTCTCCCAAGAACCCTATCTGACCGTCAGCACCCTCCCTTTAATCCGGATGAATCCCATTCAATATCACATACCAGCCGACAAATAAACCAAACTTTCAGGACACCACCTCCAATGTTGCAGCATATTTCGTTTACTCCATTCGTAAGTCGCAAAAAAGATCATCGTCCCCGGTAAACTCCCCAGAAAAGCTGGCGTAACACCTCCATAAAGACCTCTTCTAAACCCTTCTTCTCGAAAGATCGTCGTATAGGCTCGTCCTAGAGTTTCGTACTTTATCGCATTGGGGGCACCTTGTTGACGGGTTTTGACGGTGTCGAGGGAGTGCATCAGCATGTCACCTGTGCAGCCGCCTAGGCCGCCGGCGAGCATGCACTATTTTACGGGGGAAAAATTAGTCATCTTTGTTTAGTATTTGATAAAACAAAGAGAGTTTATAGATAGAAGAGGGTAAAGTACTTGGTGAAGCGGCGGCCGAACGGTATCATTGTTACCGCCTCCGGAACCCCCCATGGGCAGCTATGCGAGCAATGGGGATAAAAAGGTTCCAAGCTTTTTTAAAAGGAAAAGAAAACGATTGAGTGTTATATCGAATAGCGGTGCTTCATGCTTCAATTATTGTCCGGGATATTCTTATTTATAATGGGATGGATTCAAGCTTCCTTAAGCTATCGGCGACCGCGATGTCGGAGTCCTTTTTTCGAAATCTGCCCCGCCAAGTTCCGCCTTACTGATTTGTTGAGAGGGACAGTGAGGTTTTGAGATGAGATGGGAAATGACGTAGAGATGAGGCGCAGATGGAGAGGCAAGAACCAGCCACTTGTGTATGAAGCTGACGAAGTCGAAGAAAAGAAAGGTCCAATGGGAATGTTGATAACGGACGAAAAAATAAACACGCACAAGGTGGGTTCGGACTTTGTGAATGAAGCAAGAAGAGAAGAAAATTATTCGGTGTCGTCGCCAAAGCCGGGATGTTTCCATTTCGGGCCTTAGCTCGTCCGACAATGCCCAAATTGGATATATCCGACTCGGTGATAACATAATGCAACGTTGCCCAACGCACTTTCTTAGCAAAATATTTAAATTTGGTTGATATCGTGATTAGAGTATCCTTTCATTCTGATCTTCCTAGAATGACCTATAAATATTATGACGAAGCAGATGAGAGATATAAAATACAACGCCAGGGTATAAACGCCCGCTATTCAAACAAAACTGTAAAGATGGAAAGGGACAGAATACTCAGAACCCCAATCAAGCGAATAACTAACCAAGCAGTCCTGAAATAGTCAATCAGGCCACCACTGCAACTGGAACATCACTGACCCCAAATGCGAAACTTGTGCTCAACCTCCCAGCCTTTTCCCCCATATCCAAGCTTTTTTTCCCCGGCAGGCCCAAAGCACCCAGCTCAGCCGATAAGTCTTCTACCTCGATCCTCCTCCTGGCCCTCACCCCTCTCCCATAATTGTATTCAACAAGCTGTTTTAAGAGCCCCACAAGTTGCGCAACCATAGGATATCCCTGTACATACACCCCGTCCGGCTGCACAATACTCTTCTCAGTTCCGTATTCCTCAGGAATATATAAATCTTCCACTACATCCGCAAATATCTTTAAGTCTTTATCCCCAAACTTCCCGTTCTTATCCAACTTTCTTCTATCCAACGTTACCAAAGCCGCCAAAACCGGTAACGCAAAATCCTTCCCAAACTCATTTGCAATATTTCGTAAAGCTTTCACTTGCTTTTGTGAAAACTCCTTGGCTGGGAATAAAGACTCCCAATCTCGTTGAGGAATGGGGCCCCACCAATACCTCGCCGAATGCGGTTGTACACAGGGTATCTCGGTGTATAATCCCATATCAAGAAGCGATTGCACAGTAACAGCTTTAAACCCCGGCCCTTCTACTGGCCCATGAACAAGATACTCATGGTCATACGGACTATCACATAACCCTGCCTTCATCATATCCGGGCAATGGTAAACCTTCGTATGTTTGGGAAGATTATACCGGTCTAACACACAGATTAAGCCCCCCTGGGAAGCTCTACTATACCCATACTGCAACACTAACGCCAATGTAGCCGCCCATGACGAGAATTGTGAGTAGGTGGGATCTGTACGGGCCGGTCGTTGGCCGGATAAGTGACCGACGGCCATGCGTCGGGTTACTTGATAAGGGATATCGTGGATTGATTTGTTACCGCCATTGGGGAGCCGTACGCCGTTGGTATCGACGAAAGCGTGTGGGAAGACGCCATTGATGGTGTTAAGACCTTTAAGGCCGCCCCCAGATGTTGGAGAACAGGCGCGGAATAGGTATCTCGGTATGTTTTTTGTGGTTTCTAGGATTACTATTAGCAAAACGAAAAGATTAACTGACACCTCTTAGTGAGAAAACCTACCTTCAAGCTGTTTCAGCTTCTGCGCCTCTGTTGCAGTTTTCTTAGTGTCGCCAGAAGAAGAACCACTGGCGGCCAATGCCGCCGATGCTGCAGGCGTGGGAGCAGGTGTAACAGTTACTGGAGTAGCAGTTACTACCGCTGCCACCGGTGTCGTGTCGAGCCCAGGTGTATATTTCGTCCCGTAGGGTCTCGATCTTAATACTCGAAAACTAGTCGGCGCAATCGGGTCTACGGCTTTTCGTTTTCCTTTCGGCAGAACCTAAACCCATCATAGCCGTTAGCAGCGTTCTCAGGGCTAACACCTATCAACAATTGATCTAGGAAACTCGAATGTCGTCGCTCGCTACCCCAAGCTTTGGATCCTTTCCTAGCCTCCCACCCCCCCCTTCACAGAAATATCTCCACATATATAGGAAAAAGCAAAATAATTTACGACTTACCATATCTTTTATCCTTTGTCCAAAGCTCTTTTTAGGAGTATATGCAGCAGCACTAGCACCTGTATTTCGAGAATAACGGTTCTTCCCAAACAACGCCATCTCGAAAACTTCCTCGCGGGAGGAGGATGGGGGGACCAGCCGGCTTATATATCTATCAATTAATACACTCGAATCACTTTGTCACCCCTCAAGGTGACCAAAACCCCGGAATTCGATATTGGCTTTGCGCGGTGTTTCCCTGATGCAGGACAAGAAAGCACGTGCTAACGTGCGTCGCCCTGGTAAAAGTATGGATCCTGCTGCTAATATAGGGCCCTCTTTTCTTTATGAAATGATTATAAGGCCCCCCTAGATGGGGTGTGGGAGGTTTAAAAAAAAAAACCGGGGTCCAATCAGGAAAAAGGAAAGTATCGAAAAAATAGAAAAAGGATATGAGTCGAAGATATACGTTTTTCTTTTAACTACCCTGACCTTGTGTGATGCGTCGTAGGTAGCTTATCGGCTCGATGTAGATGTAGCTTATGTAATATGATTAGATCTCGTTGATTCTCTGGTCGATTTTCGCTCGTGGTGCGGTTGATATGAAGTATCTACAAGAGTGTGGAAATATCCGAACTGGTTCCCAAGGTCTCGAATTATATCAAGCAACAAGATCCTAAATTCGAGAAGGATAAAAAAGATATAGAATATAAAGAGGTTCAAGAAAAATCCTACTTTCACAAAAAATGGTGGGACGTCCAAGAAGCTATATTATATCCCCCTCCCTCCCAATCCCTCTGTCTTCTTTCTAAAAAACAAGGTGGAAGACTGGCCTCTCTAGGTAAACAACGTTTACAAAAAGGTATACCCTGTAATGTATATGGCCCGTGAACTGAAATCCCAAACTTACAAAGTTGCAGCCTCCAGGTATTCTACTATAGCTACTGATTGCGTGGCTTTGACATCCCCCCTCTTCTGATTCCCTCCCGAAGCAGTTACATCCCATTGCGAAAAAGATACAATATGCCCAACTAAAAGCCGTGCAAGATCCTTGTCTTCTCGAATCCGGCCTCTTTCACTTGTGAAGCGAAGTGAGGGCACTTCCTTGCTTTGCTTGCTCTGTGTCCCTCTAGTACCACCTCAAAAAAAGAATGTTAGACCAGTCATCGAGGGATGAACAACAGAGCATCCGAGTCTTGCATGGTATCATGCCTATGGGATGTGCCGTGTTTGAACCGCTGCGTCTTGTAGGATCCGCTCCCCATCCAACTAGTTTTCCCCGGGTCGCCCTCCAAAAAGCAACCGAAGTCCTGGGAACTTACAGAACGGAAAACATTGAATTCTGACTAACATTTCTGATCCCATCCATCGCTAGATTTGTTTTTCTTTATTTTCTTTATTTTTTCTTCTTTTCTTTGATTAGTTTCCTTCAATCAATTAATCAAAGTAGTACGTTAGTCTCCCCATCAGGCTCCATTCTGCTGCTGTTCCAGACTTGAAGGCTCACACGGAGTAGTCACCGTCCAAAACTGCAAGCCTGATAACGTTTGCTCACTTTTGAGTGGTTCGCCTGATGGCGGGTCGCGAGTGCTACAGATTAACGAGCACCATCAACCCCAATATTCCATGAATATACTGAATTGAGCTAATTATAATTATCGGGGGCTAAATAATTGCAAATCGAGACTAAAAAGGGTTAATCTACACAGTATTTTGTAAAGCCTCGTGAGGATTTATGCAGACTAGCTAGTAGCTAAACGGGGCGGACATTGCAAGTCTGGACCAGGGCCTGGTGAGTTAGGCTCGCAATTGAGATCGCTGCCTTCGGTTCTTCGAGGGAAGAGAGGCTGAGAATCAAAGGATGTGTTGAACTGTCGTTGGTGGGAATTTGTCAGGTTCGTTCGGGTTATTAGCGGACGGGTAGATTCGGCGTGCATATTTTGGTCGGCCTTGTCGAGATCTTGAGCCTCAAAACAGGACTGTGCAACTAGCTGACTAGCTAACGTTTTTACTTTTCGATGTCCACCCAACGGAGTTTTCAATCAAAGCTTCTTGCAAGTTGGGACTCATTGGTCATTATATATGGATTTAAATACATAAATATACCAAGGAAAGGCGTAACATCTCGAACACATTTCCATAATTATAAACCTTAAAAGATTGCATCTTTCGCCTTCAGACATTCCGTAAATATATCAATGAGATCCGTGAATGTCGAACTCGCATATATATTCCCCACGGCCCGCAAGGGCTTGTAAATTTCCAAGGAACCAGCAAAGAATAAGAATAGGATACAACGAAACAGAAAGAAGAAGAAGAAGAAGAAGAAGAAGCACGCACGCCACACTTTAAAACTCCAGAAATAGAAATACAAAGCTTGGTATCGATCCATTTTCTGTTTTCCCGGCGCAAACATCAACAGCCTCAAAACGCAAGGGAAAGACGGGGAAACCGGAAGGAAGGGGGATAAAAGAAAAGAGAAGGGGGGCGTCTTGCAGACACGGAATAGGCAGCTAGGGGAACAGTCGAAAGGGGAGTAAAAATGTTGCAGGATGAAGAGAAAAGGGACGCCGTCTGCATCTAAGCGACTTCTGACCCCTTCATCTTCCCCGGCTGTAGCAAATGGAGAACTAGACTGATGTCTGTGTCTCCTGCACTTTCCTTAGAAACGATGTTAATCGAGCCGTGTCTACATCCACAGGCTCACTTTCAACAGACTGCAACAGCCCTCCGAGAACATCATTAATCATGTTCTCCTCAACGCCAGCGCACAATGCCACAACCTTCTTGATGTTGGCCTCGAGTTCCAATGACCGACCTCGGAGTGTCTGCGCTAACTCGTCTAAAATCTTTTCGTTGAGCTCATATCCCACAGTACGGGCTTTTAATATCGATGCTGGTGGTAGCGTCTTCAAATATTGTGACTGGGTAGCCGTCAGATTCTTGAAATCTCCGTTCACCATCTCCGGGCTAAGTTTGTAAGGTTCATTTGGGTCTGATGCCGATAAGTCGTTCTCGGTAACCTGTCCGTTTGCCAACTTGTTGTGAAGATCTAAGAATTTTCTTTTCTCTTCTTGGGCCGCTCGGTTGAGGTTTTGACTCTTTTGCCCTAGCTCCGCTTTCTCATTGATTCGCTGCCGAAGCATTTCCAACTTTCGTCGGTCCTCGCTCAGCTTCAGTGTTATTTCACGAAGTTGCGTGTGGGTTGCGTCTATTTCGGTTTGTTTCTCCTTGATTTCGGCCTGGAAATCACCATCTAGCCCACTTATCATGCTAGTCATCGCTACATTTGTAAATTAGTCACGAGTTCTCGAGGATCATTATCATGAATCATAGAGAAACTTACAAGTAACGATATCCTCACTTTTTTGCAACACGTTCTGTGGAACCACCCATGGCTGATCTCTTGGACGTACAATCTGCACCGGGTCACCACCAACTCCAAAATCCAGAGGACACAATCCCGCACGGTTTGGAATGGCGGGATCAGCGCCGACTTCCAGCAGCTGCGACACTATACTCTTATTGCCTATGCGTGCAGCAATGTTCAAGGCCGTGTCGCCACTCTTATCTTGCGCATTGACAATCTCCGACATGAATCTTCCCAAATTGATACCCTTGCTATTCGGGTTGCTCGAGTTTGCAGCGCCGTATTTTACAACGAACTCAAGAAGACTTTCCAAATAGTACCTGCTAGCCTGACTCCGCCCTTTGATCCCTGACATTAGGGCAATGTGGTGCAGTACTGTTCGTCCGGAGTCATCGACTACTGATATTCCCAAATGCAAGAGATCGAGAAGAGCTGGGAATGTCGAGTTTTCTAAGTTGTTGGTAACGAGGCAGCCTCGTATTAACGGTGTTTCGCCCGCAAAGTTCACTCTTAGAACAGAGGCGCCCTTCGAGACAAGGGTCTTAATCAAGGGAATGTTCGCCAACGCAGCAGCCCAATGCATTGCCGTATGACCCATTTTGTCTATAGGTAGTTCAATCTCCTCCGCTGTGAGTTGTTGAAGATCCGGATGGTCCTCATAACTAGCCGGTCCTGCCGAGGGCGGAGAGATGAACAAGCTTGTTAAGATCTCTGTCGCTTTCTCAGTTGAAGGAGTGGGTTCCCGCACAATAGGGAGGAGTGCCCGCGGTGTTGACTCAACATCAACAAATGTGGCCCCAAATTGTTGCTGCTCCGAATCCGGGGTCGGTCGAAATCTCTTCCTTGGAGGCTCGCTGAGGTCTGCTGCCGAGTTTCCGTAGTTGTTGGGGCCAAAGGATCCACCGTAGTTGGACGTTTGGTCCGGTATTGTCGGCGCAAAACTAGCTTCCATGGGATAAGTGTTATTCTGCGTCGATTCCTGGGATTGGGGTATGTTGAATGAATTCTGAGGGGTAAGCTTCGGAGTCGCTCTCGGATTTGTATCATACTGGGCGGCTTTACTGATGGCGGCGAGGGCGGTAGAGGCGGTTTCGGAGATATTGGAAAAATAGTTCCCTTGCGAATTACTTGCAGCTTGTGAACTAGAATTGTACATTCGTTTCCTTTTCGCCGCCATTGCCTGCTCTTTCGTAGGTGTAGCATCCACACCGTCACGATGAGGGTTGTACTCTAATAACGGACGTAGGACATCTTCAACAGCGTACCGCCGACAGAATTCCTTTCCTCGCTCAAAGTTAATCCTAGAATTCGGAAACCAAATAATTAGATATCGGCAGGAATGTTCTGCGTGAAAAAGCCGAGCGTGCCTACCAAGTACCCTGATATTTTCCATACCCTCCCTGCACTTTTTCATGAACACCGGTGAGAATTTCCTTCTCTAAAACCTTTGTCCTCTTTCCCTTCTCAACACCCGCCACCTTCAGGATCTGTGTAGCGTTTAACCAGTCATCATCCCGCCGGCGCATTACTGCCACGTTGTTTACTGTCATTTCGTAGACGGAAACTCCTGAATATACCGCCTAATTCGCAACAAAGATTGTATCAGCCACCGAAATTTCAAGAGCTGCTGGCGTCATAAACGAGCCAAGGGAGGGCAATGTACCGAATATATAAGCGGAGCCGGATTTTGACTCTCAGAGAAACTAGCTGTCGGTGGAGGAGTCTATAGTGTTCACACGAAACATCAGTATATCCGATCGACTTTTTTACAAAATTATTGACAGCCGAACTCACACCAACAGGTGTCGAATTGACAGAGGCAGAGCTCACACCGGCATTGAAAGAACCTCCAGGGCCAGCATGGCTGAGGGATGAAGCACTCCTGTGCAATGAAGCAGGAGGTCTAGCAGTTGTCGCCATCAAGAATGCGACCTGAGAGACGAATTAAAGGAGACGGTCGGAAATGTACGGCGAAAGGGGCAGTGAAGGCAGAGAGTGTGGTTCGAGCGCCAGTGTGGGGATATGAGGCGATCGTTGAAGGCCTGGACGGAACCGAGTCGCTGAAATCTATCCAATCACGGGGCAAATGGTAATGTTTGGAGGGAAGCAAAGGGTGACGTTCAGATGACCGGAAAAAGAGTCGAGGGTTCCCTGAAGAGCTGCGACCAAGACAAAAACAACCGACTAAAATACACTAAGACTATATAGGACTCGGACTCAAACTAAGAAAGAATAAAGATGGTGATGAAGATGGAGAGAAATATGGCGATGAAGATGACAGGAAGCGGTTTCGAGCGAATGGATTGGTATATATTTGTTGATGGCGCCCTGCAATGTAATGCGACTGGGACTGGAGACGGTTTGAAGAAGTTGTTGTTGCTGTGGGAAGAAGTTTGATTGGGAACAAAACGGGGTTTTTGTTTGTCCTGACCAGGCCGGACCAGGTACTAACTATGACCGGTACTATATTCTGTAGTATAATATAACCCGACAACCGACGGTGACAATACGAATAGCCAGTTTATATTTGATTTGATAGGAAGAAGGATGAAGAGGGTGAAGGAGATGCATTAGAACATGTATAAATATAGTATAATATATGTAGGTGCTTAAGTTGCTGGGCAGTTGGCCATGGAGGATAGTTAAAGGTATCCTGCGCAGCACATGTGCATGTCTACGCGTGAACTCGTTCTTATTGGCTGCTCTTCGCGGAGACCCACTTGGCTGTTCGATATATTCCCCAGTTGAGAACATTTGTCCATTTTATAACATTTACAATCGATCCAAATCGGAATTAATTCCAATCCGGAGTATCGACATCGATATATCTAGAAATGTGCAACATATATATCGTTGTCATCATATCATACAGTGGTGCTTTTGATATTGTACAAGAAATTTCGAAAAGGATGAAAGAAATACTCCAAATCGCCAATATAACATGGTATATAGTATATATAATATCTTCAATCACAATTAGTTTCATTCATCGTCCTTCTGTCCTTCTTCGTCTCCATCTTCATCCTGTTTGCTCTTCTTGATCTGCCGTATCATTTCCTGCAATTCATCTGCATCTTTCTTCTCTTCCTCTGTCATCTTGCTGTACTTTTCTGCATCCCTCCTCTTCCTCTTCCGTTCTCTCTGATCTTCCCTCTGATCTTTGCTCTCCTGCTTCCCGCTCCATGCGAAGTTTTTCTTCTTGTTCTCTAGTCTGTGCTCCTTTTCCTGTTGCATCTTCTCTTGGAACTCTTCAGTCTGTCGGTATTGTATACCTTCTTGTCTTTGTTTTTCCCTTGCTTTGTCCTTGAACTTGATCCCATCGACATCAACTTCCTCCTTCAACTGTAAGTCGATATCTGTAACCCCCTTCAGTTCCGGCATCTTTGGCATCTTGAGTAAAGCCCATCCCCTCCCAGCCTCGCTCCAATCCATATCCTCAATCCTAAAGATCGAACTCGTAACATGAGCTTTATAACTCCTAACCCAGCTCACAAACCCCTGCATCCCCTTCTCATAAACCGCTCTGTCGCCTCTTACCACCCTCCTTAATTTTTCAAGTCCTTCCTTCACATCTTTCTCTTCGGGAGCTCGGATCTCAATGTCGGGGATCAGCCTCATCGGCGTTTTCCTAACCTTCATGAACCCGGCATAATCTTCCTCCCTCCCTTTTGTCAATAGCAGGACTGCCTTCCCCCTCCTTCCCGCTCTCCCAGATCGTCCACATCGATGCATGAATTGTTTTGGATCCTGTGGCGCATCCAACTGAACTACCAGATCTACCTCAGGCACATCTAGCCCTCTCGCCGCCACATCTGTGGTAAGTAGCATCGTAACTCCCGTCGAATTCACGAACTCCTCGAAATTCTTCCCCCGATTAACCGAAGATTGTCGTCCATGTAACGCGATAACTTTAAAATGTGCCGGAAGTATAACTGGCAGCAAATGTGCAAAGTAATCTACCGCATGGCAGGTCGAAAAGTAAACAATGGTCTTTTGTGGCGGTAAGGGCAGTGATTCGATTATCCGTGGTACCCAAAACAGCTTTTCGGAAGCTTGAACGGGTATATATCCGATATCTAAACTGACCGGCGTTCTTTTCTCTTCATCTTTGTGATCCCGAACCTTCACATTAATCCTTACACCATTCCGTACACCAACCCATCCCATAACGCCCTCCACAGCATCAGTAACACTTGCACTGAACAAGCCGGTCCTCCTTTGCTTTGGCAGCCGGGCAAGGATTTTCATCAGTGTTTCTTTAAATCCCAGATCCAATAGTCTATCCGCTTCGTCGAGTACTAATACATCAAAACTCGAAGTTCTGACATAATCCGACTGTAGTAAGTCATTAAGTCGTCCCGGTGTTGCAATAATCAGATTTGTAGAAGTCGACAAAAAGAGCTTAAGATCCTTCTGCGGCGTCGTATTCGATCCTCCAACTAGTAATTGCGGTCGTATCGGACACGGAACAACGCTCGATCCCTCATCCCCATCCCCACCTTCGGTGACCGGCCAGAACTTCAGTAGTCCCTCACAAACGCCGTGGATCTGTGTTGCCAATTCTCTCGTCGGTGAAATAATAATCCCTTCCAAAAACCCCTTCCCGCGAGTTTCTTTACTCCGTATAAGTCGTTCAATGACAGGTATCAAGAAAGCAAGTGTCTTCCCGCTGCCGGTAACGGCCTCGACGACAACGTCTTTATTACCGAGGAACAGTGGGATTGTAGATGCTTGCACTGGAGTCATTTTTGTAAAGCCCATTGTGGCGACGGCATCGAGAAGCCATGGGGAGAGGGTTGTGAGGGAGGACCATAATTGCTTTTCAACAGATGAGGTCGTAGAAGATGGTTTCGGCTTCGATTTCGATTTCGATTTCGACGGCATTATAGGGAAAGGTGGTGGGTTATGTGGATGCTAGCGAGTGTCTGTCGCATAAGTCTTGAGATAAATTTAAAAAATGTCGACAAGGTTTGAAATGCGACAGAAGGCTTGGTCTTGGCATTGTATGTTGGAATTTGACTGGTCAACGCGAAAACACCCAGTTCCCGGCTCTAGTTATCTGTTATAATTACAAGACTGTTCTTCCACACCCCCTTCATCATCTCAATTAGCACCTACTATCTTCAGTCTCATATCATAACCAAACCGACCCAACAACTGTCAAGACAATTAGCATTACACAACCGGAGTACTAGAACATACATGCACGTTTTATTTCAAGTTTAATGTTGCGCTAACTAGTGATAACCCAAAGCGTACCATAATCTAAAACTTAACACAAAAGATGAGAGAAAAACCTCGAAAAAGGTTACCGCGGCCGCTTCACTGTCCCAGTCAACTCCACGATGGAACAGTTATTCTTGCGCTTTACGCAATCAATCAAATCTCGTGGGTATTTGTGCCGGTCAGGATCCGCCCCGGAGAATTCTCTAGCATCCACAACAAACTCCTTTAGCCCCGCCACCGCCACAGAATACAATCGTAAATCCACGCTGTCTCCACCCACCCACCAACGGCCCTCCAATCCCATAGGCGTAATGTTGAGTTTTAACTGCTTCACGCCTGAAAAATGGTGGGAAGCAAATTTCCGCCACCAAGCAACCGAAACTGTTGCATAGTACTCCACAACTTCGCAAGTCTCAGGGGGTATCATAAAGAAAGATGGGTGGAAGAAAATCTGCTCGCTAGTACAATCTGTGGACTCGTCGTTTCCAATCTTAAGCACCCGTAATCGTTTGAGATTTCCGATAGCGGTTTGGAGGTTTTCCAAAGGTTCGGCAAGCTTTGGATCGTGGATCGAGCCTGGTCCATCCTCCATACATCTTCCTATATTTGCACGGAATCTTAACTCCCTTAGCTCGGCTGTCTGGTTTAGAACCCCTGGCAACGTGGCGAGATATCTATCGCCTTGGTTTATGTGTGCACTTTGGCCCGGGGTAGTCTCGTATTCCGGGGGTCTCCTAAAATCCAAAGTCATGCACACCGATAACTTTGTGAGAAGCCGAAACTCTACAACATCCGCCTCAACCAAAGACAAGATGTTACTGGTAGCTATATTCATCGAGAACTCTCGGATAGACTTTGACTGAGCGTATTCTTTAATCCGGCGCAAGAAAACCAAACTCGGGGAGTTGCATTTCCCGGTATCATCGTACTCATCATATCGAATTTGAGGCCATCTGTTGATTCCTTCAAGGATAGCCGTTAGATTTAAAGAGCAATTATAACAGGATACATGTTGCCTATTCTTGCCATATCGCCATAGTTTCAATATCACCACAGGGTATATATAACAAGTCTTACAAGCTCAAGGCATTTTTTAAACAAAGACTTACCATTTCCTCTAATATAAATCTCTCGAAGATCAATCTTCCCAGATTCGATCAAACCCAATAGAATATCGTGGAACCCGCTTTTCCTGCTCTGACTTGGGCCAAAACTATTCCTCGGTGTTAGAACTTCTATTTTCTTGATATGGTGATACCCGAGAACATCTGTGCCGACTTCACGGGTGAGGTCTGCCAATTTAGCCAAATAATTCGATACATCCTGCCAGTACTCGTGGAACGTAAATGTTGACCATACGCGTCGTCTAAGAACCGAGTAAAAATGTTTCGAAGTTCGCATAAAATAGACTATCTCGCATTCATCGAGGTAGGATGTGACGCAGTAGATTAGTTCGACTGGAAGGAGACTTAAAGTTGCCATTGCGCGAGGTAGTCTTTCATAGTTGGGCCTTGCGATTCCGTGTTCTTTTTTTGGCAGATTCTACCTAAAAGTCGTATCTTGGGAACTCGATCGCTTCACAATCCAACCTGGTCGAAAAGCAGTGTTAAATACTCGAGCATGTGGGTATATGTACACCTGTCAGTGAGTCCCATCTGTGCTGCGCATGTCGCTTGCCGTTGAAGCCCCCGCCTTGGCATGGAGTAGGTCTGACTATGGAGAGATATTAGCTTGTGATTGGCTACATACATGCAGCTACATATTCGAATCCTTTGCACAAAAAGTCGCCTTGTATGCAAATGATCCGTCTAAACTTTCCTAGACTCCCAGAATTTCATTGTACTTGTATCGGGGGTTTTTTTAAAGCTTCTCTGTCCTGTGTCCTATCCTTGACGATTTTTTTAATTAATATTATAATATGTTTACAGGATCCTTGCACCCGAACTACCATAATTCAAGATCAAACTATGCATATTAATATTGTCAGTCGATCTATATAGCTATGTAGCGATGGTTGTCCTGCTGCAGACAGCTACTCCAAAAAAGCATGATGTTATGGTTGACGGAATTAACTTCGTGCGAGCTCAAATTATTCTGTAAGATACGCGGAGAAAAGATTTTGGCTGCTGGCATTCAGATCAAAAATTGGACCATGGTCATTAGGCTGTCATAGTTGAGTATATATGATACGGCTCAAATATCATGATTTCATACCATGGGCAATGTCACTTGCAAGGACTATATCCGATACATATACATAGCTTTAGGCCGTATAATAGCGAAGGTCCATACCCATCTAAATTTAAAAAAGGTAGCACCGAAATTTCGAAATATGATCATAGTTGAATATTCGAATGGTTCACCTTCAATTAATCGGAAGCAAATCTATTTATTATAGTTAAATCAATCGATACCGCTAGCGCATAATTAGTATACAAAAAGCTTTAGTCCAGACATCTGTTTGTATAAAACATTAACCCATTACATTACATCGTGCACATATATATATTATAAACCCCCAAAAATGACTCGTTCAAACGGCAGTCAAAATTCGATCAAAATCAAAGCCACCAAAGCCACACCGACGCAAATCATGCAAATCCAAAGCCCCGCCGATGACCAACCTGGATAGGCTTCCCCGTCCAGGTTAAACCTATAATGCCGCAATAATATAATCCTTAATACCCTTTTCTATCTCAAAAAATATTCGCACCTGAGGGAGTCGCACTGAGAGTGTAGGAAGTTTTCGCACTGGTATATCTTACACCATGTCGGCCTTTGCCTTTTTCTTTTTCTTTAGCTCTTTCGCCTGTTTCTTCTGTTCCCTCCTTATCCTCCTCAATTCTGGGTTTTGAAAGTCCCTTATTTGAGTCGGAATGTGTATAAAGACGAATAAAAGTGCCCTTATGAAATTATCCCTAAAAAAGTGCCACAATGCGGGTAAAAATCCGTGATGTGCAGTCGTCCAAGCTTTGAAGGGGGGTGAAAGTCTCGTGAGCGCTATTGCAGAGACAATGGAAAAGCCTGTGCAGCAAAGAGCTACAACGAAGAACCATTTTAGATGGGGGACGTTGTCCTGCCATTCACCTATGTTCATCCCAAATATCGAGGTTGCGAAGGTCAGGGGGATGAAAATGAAGGCCAGGCGAGTAAGTTGGTTAACACTTTCCGCCTGTGCTACGGATCTTCTGGCTTCGTAGATGGATTCTTGGGCAGATACCAATGCAGAGGTCTCCTTAAGTCTCTCTCGTAGTTCCATAATTTCTTCCTGAACCCTGTACATATCTCCCATGGCAACGGAAATAGCGACGTCGGCGATTTCCATGTGAGGTTTGGTACGGTCGAGCCATGGAGAAGAAAGATGGTCCCTTAGGGAGCGGTGTGTTTTTGTAAAGCCGCCGTTGACCTTTTGGAGCCCCTGAAAGGGATTCATCTTCTCGTGGCCCCAGCGGCTTTCTGAGCTTTGTCTCGTCATAAGAGACTTGTCAAGGCCTGCTTCCCCGAGTCCGTAGTAGGTAATGTGATCTCTGATTTGCCAGACATCCTGGGACGTTTCCAAGCAATATCCTCTGACGAGCGGGAGGATGGTTAGAATTGGCTGCGATACGCATGCTTCGAGTTCTATGCTTGATTGCCGTGATAATCGGAGGAAGCAGGTCTCGGCTTCGTTCTGAGGCTGCCTCCATTTATCGTATGACTCAGAGGGCAGGTAAATCGTGGGGTTCATGATATCGCGGTTTACAACGTTAGTCGGATAGAAGCCTGAGTCTGAGTCTTTGGTAATCATAATAAGAACTATAGATAATTACCAAACTTAGCAATTTCTTGAAGAATATGTATAAATGACTTCGGTTATTGTATAATTACCCGTTTTGAAGGACTGTGAGGGATTGGAAACCAAACACATCATCATTTTTTTCGGACGAGTATAAACTGCTCTCTCGAAAAGTATTGGCGAAAAGTGGGCTTCTGACGGCAGGTATTCGGGACATGTATCCCTAATAGGGAGATCGGTAATGTCAAAGTTCACAGAAGAATGCCGAAGTCGGTATTCTTGCAGAAACCTTGGATTAAGATCGTAGAACGAAGCGATGGTATGCAATGATGCTGCGTCCGTGTGGGAGAGGTGATGCAAACAAAACAACATCCGTAGCCTTGTGCCAGCGGGAGCAGATGTCAGAAATTCTTCTGCATTATTTTTGTCGTCCATTGGCCCTTGTCCGCGGACTGTGAAGCTTCGTGACGCTTCCGTGAATTCCCCAATATCCACGGCGTACAATGATGGGCGGTTTATGTTGTAAGGCCCGGTTGTCCATTGCTCCCTCATATATATGGGGACGATATCTGTAAAGGCCCCCCGAGCTTTTGATAAGTACTTATGGTAGGTCTCATGTTGTCTGGAATAGCCTGGTGGGGGACCCGAAGGACCAAAGGTATCTTGGGACAGCATGGGAAATTTGGCGGGTTCGTTTGGATTATTTGCCATTTTTCAGATAGAAACCAATCTGACGTCGGGTAAATTAAAGTATATATAAGAAGACGATAGAGCTAACTCAATTAAAAGTGGAAATTCGAAAGTGGAAATACTAGGATATTATCGTGATATCATAAAAAATGCGACCCGCGCAAGGCTGAAAGACTTTTCGCTGAAGGAATCGAATCTAGGATTCGACCGTCCAGCTAATGTGAATGAAGCGCAGGCGCAAATTGTATGTAGAAAATGCTTGGGAGTCGTGAGAGTAATGAAACAAACGCTGAACAGCACGGCAGATGCGGGCACAGCCTAGAATATATACAGGTCTAGCTAGGCCTCGGTCCGCCCGAAGTGTAAGGTTGGAGATGCCGTTGGTCACGACTCCTGTACCGTGTTAACGATTTGGAGGCGCCTAATTTTAGCTAAGCGCTGTGCCCTTGCAAACCAGCTGCAGGTGCATACGTGCAATCACAGTCAACTTTCAAGGGGCAATACTTAGCAAAATGTGGCACAGAAGTTTACTAGAACCGAAATAGCTGGAGCTTACACAGCTGACTGGCCGATCCTCCATGTATATAGACATATAGTTCGATTCTCGAGCTCTCTCCTTTTAATTCGGGCTCCAGCTGGGTTCGGTCCTAGTTGACGACCCCTGCAGCGTCCCACAAATGCGTTGGCGTTTCAAAATACCACACCGATAGACTTTCTTGTGTTACCTTTGGTCCGGGCAGACCAACCTCAACCACACCCGAGTTTCTGCGCATACGCAACAAATCGGAGAACTCCCCGACCCGCCATCCCATCCGCCAAAACCTACTAAAAGTCGATGGCATGGCAGCGCCTTCGCCATCCCCTTCGAGATGGGCCACCCTGCTCCGCCAAGGCGTTCAGCTCCCTCTGGCTGTTAAGGTCTCAATAGGTGTTCTATCCTGGCTTCCTGTTGCTATATTCTTCTTCGACAATGTCTACCACGTCTCATGGGTCTCCGGTCGTAGCATGTATCCAACTTTCCTCCCAGACTCTAATGCTGGTATGCGAGATCTAATCCTCTTGAAAAAGTGGAACGCGAAGAAGGATTTGAAACGTGGAGAGGTTGTGGTCTATAGGTCGCCGGTTAACCCTGAAGTCACTGCTATTAAGCGGGTCGTGGGTTTAGAAGGTGATATTGTTCTTACGAAGAAACCCTTCCCAGTAGATGAAGTTGTGGTGCCCCGAAACCATGTGTGGGTGGAAGGGGATGATATTCATAGCCATGATAGTAATCATTTTGGTGCAGTATGTAAACCGGGATCAAACACCTTGAAGCTTTTGGTCTGTAAGGCTAATATCAGATACTGTGTCGAAAAATAAAGATCAGTGCGCATTTAATCCAAGCAAAGGTTACTCATATTGTATGGCCGTTCTCGAGACAAGGGGCAGTCGAAAAGAGTCTGCCGTTATCGGCACAACGGAGAGTGATTCCCGCGGAAAGAAGAATCGTGACCGTTTTTGGTGGGTGAGCTTGGATTTTCGGATCACGTTAATCTATAGCTAGTCTGTTAGGAGGTAATATTACAAGTAATTACTTTCATAATTGATCAAAGGGAATCAGAAGCAGGACGTCCTTGTATGCGTGTGTACGCTGCTGTAGATGGACACCGTGATGTTATTACAAACTGACGGAAGCATGCAAACAGAGGCCAAGTAATGTTTTGTCCACTAAAAAAAACCATCGCTCAAATAAAAAATGCTCAGAAACGATGTCCCATATCATAACACTCCGGTCTATGAATAATAACTCCTTAATTTAATCGATAAAATAAGCAAAAGCAAGGGAAACCATCGTGCTGATTACTTCGCCGCTTTAACGATGATTTCATCTGTTGAATGCAACCGCTCAATTTCAACGCCAATCGCTATAACCCAAAGATCTCTTTCTTGGCGAGACCGTGCCTTGAATACCATCGACTTGCCAGTGGATCCCAAAGCCGTAACTCTTTTAACTTTAGCTCTCTTCCCTCCATCATCCTTCGACCGAATCGATGTATGCTTAGCACCATGCCAAACAACAAAGCAGGTCATGACATCTTCGTCTGTAGCCATCCATCCATCTTCGTAAACGCGGGGTAAAGCATGGCGCCCAGGATTATTGCTGTCAAATGTCTGGTTCTGATAAAGCAGCTGACTCTCCGTTGCAATACCGCTGTACACATATGCATCTCGGAGTGAAATTTCTTGCCGCTTGAGTTGGTGGACGCAGTCAAGGGGTTCTCCAGTATATTTTCGGACAGTATTATTAAAGATTAAAAGCTTTCCATGGCAGGCTACTACGTGATATTTCTGAAATGTTGCGTGCCGGGTTTGTTTTTGATATAGATGTCCGCTGTACTATATTGGGTGTTAGGATTGGTGCTATCATAGAAAACCGCCCTGTTGAAACTTACAGTAAGTGTACGGCATGAAGAGATACCGCAAACGTTCCATACCAACGGCGAAGACCGGGTATTCTGAACTTCCCACTTCTTCCCGTATTGGCCAATATAAGCTTCCATTTCCTCATCGATGCGCAGAAGGTCGAGATTTTCATGGCGGGTCTCCTTAAGAATAGCCACATCTGCACCTCGCCGCTTCTTCCAGTATATGATGAGATCCGCAAGTCTGTGCATCCACTCGTTTCGAGTTTCCAGATCGAAGGTCTAACAAAGTTTAGCAAAGATCTAAAAACTTAGGAGGGGGATCATCATCATCATACCTGGAGTCTAATAATGAGGCCACTAGTTAGAACAATCTCGAATGTCCTTGCATCATCTAATGCCTTCACTTGTCCATCAGGCCGGTCGGAATCTGGCACATCCCGATGAAAATCGGCATCCCCTCCTGTAGGGACTCTTTGTGGGAGATTTTCTGTTCCAAACGGTCGGACGTGGTCGATTTTCAGGAGGTCGACAAACCCATCCGCCCTCAGCACAGAGTTCACTTTTCGTTCTGCTTCGTTATATGCATCCTCATCTTTGTGCTCCTGAAACGTGGCATTCCCAGTCTTCATCCAACCGACTTCGCCGTCCTCGATAGAATAAGGCGATACGGCATATATTAACGGGATTGTTTCTATTTAAAAGGACAGGTTAGAAGGCATTAAGCCGAACTGGGAATCGGGTGGTGTTACCTATTATATGATCCGAGTCGGGTACCTTATCGCCCTGCTTAGGGGGGAGTTTCGGAGGAGGTGGGGGAAGAGCTCTTGCGGGTTTGCAAAAGTACAACAAGTTGTCATGGGTATAGAAATACAGTCTCTTATAAAAAAGCTTCCGTTGCTCTTTGCCCATTCCTGAAGTCAAACGGAGAAGGAAGCCCTCAACTATTTCCGAAATTAGCTCCGGACATTTCATCCGGCTCGGAAAATTTACGTACCTGGTGGCGGCTCGAGGACGGTACTTCCATTTTCAGACACGATCGAGGTAGGGTAGTGAATCTTTGGACGCAATTCTAGCTCATGGGTTTTCTGCATGGCCATCGAACCATACATCTTTTTTTCATTCATCTGACAGGGGGGTTAGCTAGAAGTCAAAGAGATGCATGATGTCACACCTACCCCGTGCACCCACTCAAGGCGGTCATACCGCCTCCATGCCAACCCAAGTCTATCATTTTGCTTCCAAAGCCGCAAAACCTCATCCCATTCTTTATTTTGACTGAGTAGCTGAAGTGACGTCCGCATGATGTACTTAGAAACCGTGCCGTCGTCCTTGTTCTTCCTTATTTCCTGTGAGATAGCCTCGTCGTCGACGTTCTTTTTCGGGGTATCGTCGAAAGGGTCTATTATTCTTAGGTTCATTGATAGGTCGGGGACATGCACGATCAAATTTTCCGGTCGATTCCATCCTAATGCCTTGCGCAAAAAGGTGTGCCATTCTACAGAAGAGGCTGCTGCCCTTGGTCGCATCAAGAAGATAATTGTCCCACGTTTGAATGGAAGCCATAGACACAAAGTCTTATCGAGGGAAGAGAATAGATTGACATGCGTCTCCCTTGGATTGAGAGGAATCTCCCTCGTCGAATGCTTGGCTATTCTCTTACGTTCGATTGCCGGAATGGTCTATAGGGGTTAGCAAATCTGACTCTCCAAAAGGTCTGTGGCCGTGGGTGCTAGATGATTACCCTGCTCTTGTGGATCTTCAATGTGAGAGGGGCGTCGTCCTCTCCAGTCTGTCTGCAGACAACTACGAACTCCCTCCACTTCTCGATGGTCCTCGTCTCGATATGTGACATCTCATTCTCATCAAAATCTGGAGATAAATCCGCCAATGTTGTTTCCACTCGAACAAGCATAGTGGCCATCTTGACAATTTCTCCTTCCCTTGATTTCCTCAGCGATCTCCCTTTCGGTATCGACCGTCTTCTCGACGCATGCGCGAGTTTTCTTTGTAGTTCCTGGTCCCTGCTTAGGACATCATCGTTTGTTTGGAATCGCACCAACCCGGTGGAAACTTTATCCCTCGTCTTCTTCGGAGGTGGGTTCGGCTCAGCAATTGCAACTTGGGCTGAGAGTGGTGTAGATTTCGAATGCTTTAATGCAGATTTGATGGGCTTCGCGGCACTATTCGGTTCTTTCTGTCCCTGACGATTATGGGGCAAGAGGGATGAGAGTGAATTGGTAGGGTCCGGCGTTTGGGTTCTTGTTCTTACCAGATTGGCCGTACTATCAAGTTCCTGGCTTGTATCCGTAGGTTTCATAGTTGATAACTGGCTTAAATCCGACTTCACGGCCGACGCCTCGGGAATCGCGCGTTTCGAGAAATCGAGTTCATTTGACGGACCACCGTTGGGAGACTGTTCATTTGACTCTTCGGAAGATGGACTGGCTTTTGGGGATGTTAAGGATTCGCTCGCTGTATGAAATGAATCGCCGCTTAGATTTCCACTACTGCCTGGCGGTATAGATGACCGTCGTCGCACAATTGGTATATCTAATCCTAGATCATGACTTGCAGTTCCTGGCGACAATGGCGACTCCCCTGGGTCGACTACCGAGCCCAGACATGCCCCCATAGATGCTCCCATTCGTGATGATTCGCCATTTAAGGCCATTCCTTCTGCCGCGAGTGGCGTCAAGTCCGGTTTCGTTCCAAATCCTAGGGAGGTAAGCCGTCGCTTCCTGGAAACATTATCCTCTGCTACCATCCCAGCCTCCTTTCTCGAGTAGTATCCAGTAATGTGCCTTGTATACCATGATTGCTTGTGCGCATTCAGCCAGCCTTTTGGTATCGGTCCTATGAATCTACACCAAAAAGGAATTATTAGATCATATTTTTTGTATACATGGCTAACCTAGAGGAAAACTTGCATTCTCCGAGTTGTTAGGTGGAGGTGTTCCGGGGTTGCATGGTGCTAAAAATTGGATCATTAGTTTTATAGCAAAAAAAGCGGCTTCTAAGAAGAGATGAAAATAATTCGTACCAGCCGGTGGGCCGTATATGAAGAAGGATCTAGGAGTGTCGGGTTTTCGTATTCTAATTCGCAGCCGGCTTGAATTTGGGATTCCGCCGCAAAGAACTGGGAATCGTCATCTGAGTCCGCCATACGGTTTGGGTATCGCCAACAACGCCCCCTTGGTAAACAGAGTAAAAGACGTGTATTTAAGATCTTCTAGAATCGGGTCGTCGGAGTATTGTAGTTGAAGGAAATAGGTTGTGGAAGAGTCAAGGAAGACGGTCTAATGGCTAGCATTCTCCTGACTTGACAAGCGCAAGTGCAAAAGTTGGAATGGGAAATAGGCAGGCAAGGTGCACTTTTTGCCTTGTGAAAACGAAATGATGGATGGATGGTGACGTGCAGGGAGGTTGACTTGGATCTCAATCTTGATTCGATTGCAGCAATGGTGGCTGGGCTTGGCAATGGTACGGTCGGCCCGGGTGGTATGGAACGGGTCCAAATCTCGGGCCGAGTTAAGAAATGCAGTACCCGTGAAGTAATATATCCCGCAGCTCATCCACATAACTAACTTCTTAATTTAAGTGGATGGGTAGGCAAGTACCTAGGTACTTACCTAGGTATTATCAAGTAAATCCTCTGCCACCAGACTTAACCAGTCCGGAATAGTATTACGTTCGATTCGCTTGTTAGCTATAGTTAGTTCTCTAGTCTGCCCTTCATCTTTCACGTTAAACGGAGACACCGACCAGGTTTTCCAGTAGATATAAAAGCATCCGGAAAAAAAAAAAAAAATACAATAAAATGAAAAATATATAAAAATGTATAAAAACTTACCAAAATGCTTGATAACATGAATCAAATCAAAGGCCTTGTATTGATGCACTACAGATGTAGAAACCACAAGCACACTAGTACTACACCGAGCCAACTAGGTACCTCAGTAAGTACTTAAGTCGCCTCAAGACTAAGAAACCGCTAAGCACAGGGTATACAGCTCCTGTAAATTGAGGATTGTATTGGTTATAAATTTAAATTTATAAGACCCAGACTATAAAGTTTCTGTCACATAGAATTCCTTACTAGTACTAACTGGTTTATCTGCCTAAGTAGGAAATTAGTACTAGTCTGGTGGAGCTCCCTGTGCAACAGTTTGTACTAGGCAAGTAAGCACACACCCACTTACATACCCGACCTGCTTAGGTACGTACTAGTTAGTATAGTCGGTAGGTAATTAGGTACTTAAGTAGGTAAGAAGTAATATGTCAATGCCTCTTACTTATCGAGCCGGTATTTAAGCACTCGCTACTTATCTCGTAAACCAGGATTAATATTAATGCTACGGCTCGCCACCAATAGCTAGTGGCTAGGTATTACTACATTGACTGGCAGCTATAGACCGGCCTGACCACTTCTGATCAGCTTCATTGACGTATACCTAACCATTGGCTTTTTTACCACAGGTTCGCAAATTGCCGGTCTATTCCACCCTTTTTTTTCACTCTAACGACCCCACATATCAGATACACATGGGAGAGACACTATACTTCGCATATGGCAGCAACCTCTCTTTCGAGCAGATGGCCAGACGTTGCCCCCAGAGTCGCTATGTCGGCCGTGCCCGACTTCAAGGATACCAGTTTCAGATCAACGAGCGCGGTTATGCTAATGTAGTGGAGCGACCTGGACTATTCGTTGAAGGTCTCTGCTACCGTCTTAACCCCGAAGACGAAGCCCGGCTGGATCGTGCTGAGGGAGTACCGAATGCGTATGTTAAAGAGGGGAAAAATGTTGAGTTTTTCCCGGCGCAAGCGGCACTTTTAGGGAGAACGGTGACAGATCTGATCCAAGAACCTACTCCGATTAATCAGAATCAACAACGGGATCAGAGTAGAGAAGGCGAAGAAGTCCTCGCGATGGTTTACTTGAGCACTAGATACGTCACTCCCGGCCCTCCTTGGGATGAGTATATTATCCGCATGGAACAAGGACTTCAACAGGCCTTACGGCTAGGGGTTTCATCCGACTATGTTGACAGCGAAGTTCGACCAGTTCTAAAGATCGGGAAGGGGGTTAGAGCGGATAGGGTCACGTCTCCGGTTTCTTCCATGAATAGAAAATGACACAAGGGGTCAAGGCTACACAGAAGCCCGGGAAATCGAAAAGAATCAAGGCAACCCTGAGGCCCGAGACCACATGAGGAATTTACACATTATTCAGAGCCTAGTCGGGATCAAGATCAAGAAGCCCCGTTGGTGTGCACGATAGAAAATTCAGAGCCTCGTCAGGATTAACAGCAAACAGTTCTGTTTAGATATGGTGTATATGCATACGACAGGCGTCATGTACATGTTTCTTTCTTTTCGGAACACTTTGTATCTACGAGTATTCTCAAATAACTTGCACTTCGAACACTGATCGTAATTTGGATCAGGTAAAAATCCTGCGTCATGTTGCATGTTGTTACTATTTTGTGTTTATACCCCTCAGTAAATAGTCCCAATGGTCTCATGAACGAAAAGGGTGCTGGAAAATCTAAAATTTATGCCCGAGGCTCTGGGAATGTGCATGGGGGTTCAAATTTCGTTGCGGTATGTTGATGTTCCAAATTCGAAAGGTGCATACATAGAGGCAGATGCATAATTGGTTTTTCTTATTTATCGATTCTAGCCAGCCTCGCAACCAAGATTCTAGCCTCGAAGCCTCAAGACTCGGCGCAGTTGTAGTTAACTAGTTATTGATATATTTTTCAGCAAATAGCATCGATTCCCCACTAATACTATAGCTATAGTACGGAGAAAGGTTTTCCAAATCAGGCAGCCACGGCCTAGATTTTATAGAGCCTTGAGACTTAAAATCTGCCCGTACGCGCATCCTGATATCAGCTGATATCATGAACATGACCATGGACTCTAGAAGAATGGAAGGCGTTTATTGGTTGCAGAAGACTACTAAGTATACGTAGTTAGCCGCCTTGCAACATGCAACAATGCACACTAAAAAGGACATTGTAACTGGGAACGAGACTACTTCACTGCTAGCCTCAGTTGAGCTGCAGTATAATTCATAGTGTCGATATCGCGCGCTTGATCATGATCAAGCATACAATATATTCGCAATGCAACAGATATAGAGCAACAGGCCCAGGAGCATCTTAATTTCACTTAGTAGTCATAGAGAAGGAGATAGCCCGCGTAAATATTGTCTAGGTTACTTTCACTTAGGACCAATATGTACTTGAGCTCATGAGGAGGAGTACTGGTGTTGAAGACGCTGTGAACTTTTAATAGGCATATAGATAGCTTTAATTTGGTGATGGAAGTACTTTATAGTTTCTTCAAAGGAAGATGATTAAGATATCTAGATACCTAGGTAGATACCTAGTACTTTCTTACCTACTTAGATATTTATTAAGATATGCAGACCTACGAAGAGGCCGGCCTGATAGTATCCACTCTTCTAATCCTGCTTCTTCTATGCATGTTCTAGTGTACACGCGTACACGGGTAGTATATATTCCAGTTTACCCGACCCCGAGATTTCAGAACAAGAATTAGGTATATACCTCGTCAGTAGTTAAACGTTTAAACCGGCGATGGGTCAATAAATTCAATAATTATATAAACTTGTATCTTGGCCGGCTCCTTGTAATTCTTAGCGTGGCTCCAGCATGCAGGTACAACCGGCCTACTTCTGCGGACCGCAGGAAAATCTAGTTTTGTGAATCGCCTTCTTCCTATTAATATGATCATGCCCCCAGATTTAAACAGAGGACCGTCGATTCAATTTCTCGAAATTATATCAGATTATCCACTCCTAGGATCCTTAGTTTATTTTGATAAATACGTACACTTGTCTTAAGATCTTGAGTATATCGACTAAAGAGATTTATAATCATGTCTACAGCCATTAACCTAGGCCGGCTTTGGTATTGAAATTGAATCGGAAATCCGGCCGAAAGTACCTTCTGCAGATCTGGTGATGATTATAAACACCGTTTTGTAGTGCTGCTATCCAACAATAATTTACCGGTAGCCGTAGCCACAGGTACGATCAAGTACCCACCCGACTACGATCACAAATGGTGGATCACGAATGGTAGTTCAATAAGATGTTCTCAGTCTGATCCCGGTACGTAAAGTTCTAAATTCTGCTTGCCAATTATCCTTAGATATCTATAGCTAGGTAGATTGGAGTCGTCGGCCTCATGCGGGATGCATGATGGTGTATTTTAATGGTTCGCTTGTACTGATTTTATGATATAGTCTCCATGGAGTCCGTATCCCCCGTTAGGAACTTCAATGCAGGTGAATGGAGAGTGGAAAAGAAGAAGTCCCGGTCTATTATGAAAACGATGTTCGAAGTAAAGAAAAACAGGAGTTGCGGATCACATATTCATGTTGCACCCTGGAGAGATAAATTCACCCTCAAACAAGCAAAGACCATCGCCTTCGCATGTTGCTACTACGATCCATATATAATATCCTTCATGCCGGAAGAGCGACGCGACCATAGGTACTGCCAACGGAATAGTAAGGTATCCCCAAAGATGTCGCTCCCATTCGAAAATGGGGACATGGCCGCTATTGCGAAAGATACCAGGAAATTATCATCAACAGAGTCTTTGATTGACTATATGCAAGGCGAATCGACCGAATCGAGATATTTTTTGTGGAACTTCCAACCTTTGGCAAATCCTCGCACTGGCACTATTGAGTTCCGAGGAGGGAGGCATGCGAGGGCCAAACAGGACCATCAGTTGGATAACATTTCGTGGTTGTCTTCATCATGTTGGCTTTAGAAGAGGTAGGTATCCTTGAATAATATTGGTGTTTTAGTTTCAAAGTACCTCCGAGTTAAGTATATAATAGGTAACTAACCAATTTGGTTGACTTGGTACCTTCTCCACAAGCAGACCGCCTACAGGGCAGTCAAAAACGGCAAAAGATCAGAAGTTCAAGAGTTTTGGGATAAGTTCCTATCTTATGCGGAAAGGTTGGGGGTTAGGGACGACCTCCCCGATGGATTCAAAATGATGAGTGAAAAGCAAGTTGGTCAAGTGAAAGTAAGTTTGGTTTAATCAATACGACATCTTAGGATCCTGGATTTGTAGACTGACCCACGTACCTTTTTGTTGAAACTAGTATAGATCAGTGTACCTCGTCCGACCCGAAGAGTGACTACCCACTAAATGAGCCCCAAAAATTTGTCTCATATCCAACTCCGACAGCTAGGACCGAAAACCCAAGATAGAGAGAGCCTTCCATCTCGGTCTCTCACCTTCATTCTCATCCTTCTCATCATCATCGTCATCATCATCTTCTTCTTCATCATCGTGGTTGCGTCGATTGTCCTCATCATCAATCTCATCCTCAAACCAGCTACCTTTATTCCTACCCTCAATTGCATGATCAAACTGGCTATCTCTATTCTTACCCTTATCCTTATCCTTATCCTTATCCTTATCCTCGTCCTTATCATTATCTTTATCCTTACTAAGCCTACCAGAACATCCAAAAGCAGGATGTTAAGCCGGAATTGAAATTAGAATATTGAAAGAATAGGTATGTTACGAAGTCTCTTGAAAGGCTTCGTCTACAGAACCACAAATTTGAAATGGAACAAGTACAGGTTTTCGAGCATTACAAACACCACAGAATTTTTAGCTCAGTGCTACAAATTTTGCTACAGAACGAGAGAGATTTGGATTTATTAGGAAATTTGCAATGTTAAATGCGATGAAAGTCTAGTCCTGTCATATAAAATACTCAGAATGTCAAACAATAGTGGAAATATTCCCCAAACGCTTAAGTACCAATCAACTAAATTTACGCATATAGGCTTCACATCAGTTGCTGTTGATGTAATGATTAAAAGAGCAAGAACCCAAAGATTGTAGTCGAGTGAATTGATCAATCTGTACACCAGTTCCTTGCATTTGGTTTTTCTAGCCCAGTAAGGGTCTGCGGGCTACCCGGCCTTAGTCTCGTATTAATTTTCAGACACGGTCCGCACTTCGATTCACATCATATCCATACGTAGTCTTGTTTGGGCGTATTACATATAAAGTGGGACTGTTGCATCTATAGAGCGTTAATTAAATCGAAGCTTTTCTGGAATAATCTCCAACATTGTACTCGCATATACTATACTGTTGTACTGCGTTTGGAAGTATATACCATACCTTCCACCTTGCTATAAATTGAAACGTGTGTTTATAGCGTCCCAAATGCGTCAAATGTTTTTATGTATATGTCAGGCAGAAAAAATAGGCCCGTCAACCACATATAATTATATAACCGTCTAACCTATTTTGGGCCAAACTTCATTAGCCATTTATGCATTCCAGGACCTGACCCACAGATTGATATTTACAAACTGTTTGTTTATAGACTGTTTATTCGCAAGCTACTTTACAGACTACTGATTTACAAACTAGGTACCTAGGCAGGTAGTAACTTATAAACTGGTGGCTTACAAACCAATAATTTACAGGCTAATTAAGACGGCTTATAGAAAATTAGGTAGTTGGCCAACCTACCCGCCTATAGACCAGCCTATAGTCCGGCTAATTAAGTATACCTGTTCTTTCGTTTAACATATATATAAAAGCTTCTGATACATTTGGGACGCTATACAGTCGACCCTTAAAGATCTGGGGAAGGTTTTATATCTAAATCTGACATCCCCCCATATATTATATATCCCGACAGAGAATTCGCGATATATATCGGCTACCTAGCTAGGCACAGTAACTATTGTATACATATAATATTATATAATGTGATTTTGGAATATTAAATATCCTCCCGACCTAAACCTTTCTTGGATTTCCCTTTCAGGATTATGAAAATGTCTTATTTGCCGAGAACGGCCGATAGGGCAGCCGCGGGTTTACATACCCTTACATCGATCGATCATCTACAGTTGAACCTCATCTTCATATAGAAAGGCCCATCAACTTCTCCATTGCAGTTATTTTCCTGATGCCTCTTAAACACGAAAATTCCTTCCTGAGCGATCAAATTAACCACATCCCTGATAGTTTCATGTGGCGTTATTTTCTTGTCCTTCGAGCCGTAGGAATCATGTTTCGATGAAGACGTATCTTTATCTGGGAACGTGATGTAGTAAATCTCAAATGTCATCCGACCATCCTTGCCTGTTAATTCCATACAGGGGTCGCAATAACAGTGCTCCTTCTTATGTAACTCATTATCACTATTGTCATCCTCATCCGGGGGTAGACTCTCATCAATATCTAGAGGCACCATCATCGGCTCGTCCAAAACCGGAGAGCTAATAATATCTATGGATTGATAGTTACATGACGCGATGATATGCTCCAATTTGCCTTGATGGATTGTAAGTAACAATGAGGACTCTCTGTCGAAGAGCATGTGTATGCGATGGTGGTATTCAACTTGCTCGGGTTGAACATACAGCTTGTAACCATCTTTTTGACCTTCTGGGTGGTAACGTCGTCTGCGGAGGAGTTTGCTATTGAAGATGATATCCTGCCAGAGGTGGCAAGTCAAGCTCGCTATCAATTGGTCGGCAAAACTAAGATAGGAAAATATTTGTGAAAGAGTCTCGACGGGGAGTTGGATAGAAGGAGTATGTGCCATTGCAAGATCGTCGCCCCAGTATAACCTAGCTTGTGCGAGAATTGGGAGACGGGTGGACTGAGGGTTAATGTCTCTTATATACCTACTGTCCTTCAATTTGAACTATCGCTTTTCTTTTTTTCTTTCTAGAACGACGAGATAAGTGACCTGTGCTGGGCTAAGTTTGTTATGGAGATTTTAGGCCGTGGTTCATCCACAAGTGGAGCTGTAGCGTCCCCCAGACTACCCAGGAAGTAATCTGGCAAGCGTTCACTACTACCTATGTCCAAGTATGACTACTTAAGTACTGCAAGTCTTATATAAGACACTACTCACATAGTGCACTTCTTGGATAATCCCCGTTTAGACGCGGATATATAACGTACAGTATAGTACTTAACGCCGAGGCCGTTAAAGTATGCAGTATTGACCAATGCAATGCCTTCATGTTACTATAAAATCCCGAGCAACGCGCGAATTAACTCGAGCCACGAAATAATAATAAGCTTGAGTATACACAAGTAATTCTCCAGAAAAAAAAAGAAGGAAAAAAGGAAAAGGAAAACCTAAAGTCGAAAGATGAGTTCTAGTGACCTCGGGTCTTCTGATCAGGAGTCGGATTCTCACAAGCCTCACACCCTTTCTCTCGATAATCATTGTCTCGGCATCGATGAAGCACAACTACTTGTTCAGGGACAAATTCAAGACGCCTACTTCAATTATTGCCAAGAATGGGATTCGTTCGTTGCCCTGCTCGGCTCCCTTCATTCCAAACCTCGCCTCTATCATCTCATCATTGTTGCCAGTGAAGAGGACCTTCCATCTCTCAGAATATTTCTCGAACTTCTTGAACCTGGATTAGAGACACTTTGCCTGCTCGTGGATTTCACCCACGGTGAATTTTCGGAATACCGATATCCAATAAGTAATGAACTGATATTGAAACATTCTTCTACGCTTCGACACTTCGGCATACTCGAGCGTACTGGCCCTAGTGCAGATGAAGCGAGTATTGTGATCGGGGGAGATGATTTCTCTTTTATCAAGCCGATTCTTGAGGCCTGCAACCTGAAAGAATTATCCATGCCAGTAGATGTCGAGATTCGTGTAGGTATCATTTTACAACCCCCTCCCATCAAGAGAATAAGGATTAACCCCATATAAATTCTGATATGCTATAGGACGGCGACGATTGCATAGTTGGGGGGGATTTCGACGGCCTTCCGTTGGATAATCTTGAGACTTTGTACTTGGTGCCAGAAGTTTGGCCATCCGTGGTATGGTCCATGGGATGTGATGGGAGGTGGCGATACCCCAGAATGGAATTTGTATTGGCAAACTTCTTGCGGAACGTAATCGGGATCAGACCGAATAGACCAAACCTGAAATATATCTGTCTTGGGGGCAATGCTGATCATAACCCGGATGAATTCACATACGGAATTAAATGGAGGAGGAACAGATTGGTGGGAAGGAAAACGGTATGGTATCCAATATTGGAGGAGGTGAGCTTTGGAAAACTGAATAAAAAGTTATGGCCGGCGTTTTTCTCCGGGGAAGCTTAAAAGGATGATCGATATACGCGATATAACGAGCAGGTGTTGTTTCATGTTCGATTCATGTTCGAACGTTCTCAACGTTATCATTACCTTCGGAATCTATATACTGTGTCGAATTTGGTCTCAAAATTAAATTTATACTAAGAGAATATAGCTAGAATGTCGTACTATTTGCTGCTTATGCATATATGGACCTTGCGCTCCATACCGGAGGTATCAATGGCGTTCGGCGTCATTTTATCATGATTGATCGAAGCTTGGCCAGGTACTTAAGCGATACGTATACCTAAGTACTTAGGTAATTAATTGGAAGCGCCTGTCCGGTATTATAGTGATGAGCGTAGGGACTTAGCTAGGTACCGACTTAAATAACTACTTAAGTAGCTACTAGGAACCAATTGGTTGTATACTTATATTTACACCCTCAATATTTACTAGAACTCGGTTGATGAGGTTCCGATTACTAGTGCTATTAATATCGTTGGGTTCTGAGATGCACTGTGACAAACACGGTGTATAAAATGTTTAGAAGGCAGTTTTGGGCGTCAGATTTTCGCCCAGAAAACATTAATACCCTCAATTGCTCAATTCCCTCCGAGATTGGCCATTGGGCCGCATTTACACGTAACAGCCGCTATAGAATGCAATGCAACTCGAATTCGAAATGTGACACATCGATGTAATATTCATTGCATTACATTACCTGTTTCTACGGTTCCGGCGCCGGCTCCAGCCCCAATTAAACCCCCAATAAACCAATGCCATAAAAATGTGTAGATCTGAGGTACTTACCCGAACAATTGAACCAATTCCCGTTATTCCAACGGGTCGTCTACAGGTAGCCCGCCCCGCCTGTGGCTTCCCCCATTGGCCGCCCAGGACCAATTCCTTGGAGCCATAGATGGTGTGATATGCAGCCTGGCATACTTCCAAAGCCTCCCACCGTCGGCTAGCGTGTCCCCCTGGTGCTACTCCGCAGTTAGCTTAGAGTTTCTACTCTCAAATATGTACAGGGATTGACAGGCGTAGCTCCCCCAAACTGGACCGTTTAAAAACACGAAGCTTTGTCCGGTCCTGGAGCTTGACCCCTCATTCTTTCAGTTCGATAGAACAAAAATCCAAAAGCCCTTCACTCCCCTATTATACCATTTTCGTAGAACGTATATTTTACTTCAGTATATTTCATTCTTTTTGAAAAAGAATCCAAAATGTCCAGCTCCGACGCACAAACATTCATTGCCGGCGTTAAGGTCTCCTTCAAGGATGTCCCCACAACTCCCGGTGTAGACACCGTCAGCTTCCTTGGAGCTTCCGAGTCCCTGGTTGGACTCTTCGGTATGTCATGGATGCGTGCAATCGCGTATTTCTTTCCCTCGCATGGGCTAGATACTGATATTTATACCTATCAGATATCCTAGGTTCGACCTCCTTCGGCCCTGTCAAGTCGGATTTGAATGGAAACATTACCGTAAGTCGACCAAATTCGCTGCATGTTCATCTTGTTTAATACACAATCTATTACTTTATTAGCTCTAGAATGAGTACTTACTTTATATTATTCTCAATGGATTATAGAAACTCCAAAAGCGTTACGACGCCGCAAAGGAGAAATCCGGAACTCTCCAGGAACTCGTTCTTGCAGAGCGGGCCGAGAAGAAGAAGGACGCTACTGAAGGTCTCGTTTGGTTGCTCAGGTACGTGCTTAGGCTGTAGTTGTGGTTTGGAAAGGAGGAGGTTTGCATATATTATGAGATTCGTACTAACGATTGCTGTGTAGAGGTCTTGACTTCACTGCCAGAGGTATCCGTCACAACCTCGATAACCCAACTGAAGAACTCGCTACTTCTTTCCAACACGCCTACGATGGGACTCTTAAGCAATACCACAACTTCGTGGTTAAGGGAATCTTCAGCGTTGCTATGAAGGCTACCCCATACCGCAAGGATTTCTACCCCAAGGTTGGAGACGAGGCAAGTATCAAGGAGTGGCTTGAGGCCCTTGAGAAGAATGTCACCATCCTTCAAAAATTCTACGATGACACCCCAGAAGCCAAGTTCTAGAAGAAGCGTTGAGAGCCAGGTATTACCAGCAACCTACACCGTAGGGTTCGATGGAAATGCTTACCTTTAACACGCCTCGTGGAAATTTCTTTCCCTTGCTACTTGCTTTCTTTACATCTGCTGTTGTTCATAAAATAAAAAAGAAGGAGGAACCATTCCCGAGCCGTGACTGGGGGGAAACGCTGTAGATGAATCGGAAAATATCGATGTGGATGAACGAAAATAGGAGCACATCAGGAGGGAACGCACTTACAAAAAACGGGATTCCCCCCTCTACATGTCTGGACATGCATTCGCGATGTTTCTGTCTCCGTCGTCCCCCGCACTCGCTTTTTTTGTCCTATACGATGAAACGATGAATTGCATGCTATATGATCATGCGTTATGATTCTCAGGGAAACCAAAAGATCCTTTCTATCGTTCATATCCGGTTGAAGTGAAGTGGAATGCTAGAAAATACGTACTATACAAGTTCACGTCATATTGTGCAATACAACTATGCTATAGAACGAGCCGAGCATCTACAAAGTTGAACGGTAGGACCTACTCGGGCAGGCATTTGCTATCCTAATCCAATTCCCAATACTACCTTACTGCATTGACGACAAGACGCACTCAGGTACTTTGAAACAGTACACGGCAGGCTTGCATGCTTGAAGCTTCAGTTCGGCAAGTTAGCTCAGCATGCTAAAGCATCGGCCGGCTATGTCCGAGGGCCCTTTTAGTCTACTTCTAAACGACCCTGTTACTTTTCTGGAAATTTCCCAATACAGATCCTTCACCAATCTCAATTATCGTGGATAGATTAGGGTACCGGCTGCTCTAAGTACATATTAAAGTTATATAAACCGTCTTCAATTTAACTTCGTACTTCGAATCGCCAATTCAATTAACTCACAGCATTCAATTGTTCAATTAGCTGTTACCTCCATTTGGCCCCGCTAGACCTAGAGCCAACCTCTGGACCACGGACGCCGATAGACCCACTCTCAATCCCCAACATAATCAACACGAAAATAGTCATGTCTTCCAGCACTTCATCAGCCGGCATCATTAGGAAGGCCGTTAAAGAAGGTATATGAGCCAATCTATAACACGATCAGCCTACAATCTAACAATTACACAAGATGTTCCCGAAATCCTAGCAATGGTTCGAGAACTTGCAGAATACGAAAATGAACTGGAAAGCTGCAAAGCAACTGAAGAACTTCTTTACAAAAACCTCGGTTTCAACGGTGGGCCTGCATATGCACACACTGTGCTGATATGTGAAGGTGAACAAACTGTTGGAATGGCCCTGTATGTTTCGCTCCCGTCTAGCCACGGCGACACCCGACCTTTGTGAAGAATATATGGGTATTAATGGTATATACATATGATACAGGTATTTCTATAACTTTGGAACATGGACAGCAAAGCCAGGAATATATCTTGAGGATTTATTCGTTAGACCTGAGTACCGTGGGAAGGGGTACGGTACAGCATTGTTAGCCTATCTTGCTCGGGAGGTGAAGAAAATGGATGGCGGGAGGTTGGATTGGCAGGTCCTAGATTGGAATAAACCGAGCATAGACTTTTAGTAAGTATTTCTAGATCAATCGTGACGACTTTCCATGTCGTGCTAACTTTAAGATAGTAAAAGCATTGGTGCTAAGCATATGGAGAATTGGTGGAATATGCGAGTCGATGGTGATGGCTTGGGTAAATTAGGAGAATTGGGTCCTAAATTGGAGACAATCGAATAGACGGTCGCATACACTTTGACTAACGTCAATAAAGATCCGAATGCTTCAACTTCCAATAAAATTTTCTGGAACCTTTCCTTCTTCCTTCTTTTTATCCAACCAACCGGAAAACGCCGTAGCTTTCCCTTTTGCTTTCCTCCTCTTCGCAGCCGACTTCCCAGATAACTTCTTATTTGGGTTTAATATTGTCCCTTCTGGCTCTCCCTTGTCATCCACGCCCTCGAAGTCCTCGGGGTCACCTGGGGTATGGAGCATGGTTGTTAACACCGGCGAGTATACAGCAACAAACTTTTCGTTTTGAGGTCTGTACTCCAACATTGGGAATTGCTCCAGAACATGTTTTAGTATCCTCCTCTGCATCCTCGCATTATACATATTCGGCCGCAGCTTCTTAGGTCCTGCTCGTGTTTCTCTTGTGATAAACTTTCGTTTCGGTGGGATGGTCTTCCTCCAACCCATAACCAGCATTTCCAGTCTTTCAAAATCGACTGGCTCTAGCGGCGGGACGACTCGTTTAAGGATCATAGATCTGTGTCGCCATTTCATATTGGCAGTTCTACTCAGAGAGAACGGTTTTCCCGATACAGAGAACTCTGGGATTTCGGGCTCTATGGCTTTGATTGTTTTTCCAACTGCGCCTTTGAACAATGCCGACAGTTTTGGTGTCGTTCCCGGGGTAGCTGACCGAACGCGATTTGGAATGATAGGAGCCTCTGGCACTACTTCTTTAAGCAATGGCTACATGAATTGTTACTATTAGCTTTCCCATTCAGACCCACTGATTTTCTGACAAAGAAAGTCATCACCAACCTTCATTATCTGGTGCCTAATCTTCCCCCTCCTCCCATAAGCATGCTCCAAAACATTTAAGGTCCGCCATTTATCCCCATTATTCGCCCTCGTCAAAGTCGACAGCACCCTCCTCGCATCCTTCAAATACTTCGTCCGTCTCTGTTCATCCGTGACCTCCTGACACTCTCTATACCTCTCTCTAATCCTATTTTTTATCTGTTGTCGCCCAACTTCATCGAATAGACATGATGTTTCGCGGTATAACTTGCGGAGGAGGTAGATCGCCTGCTGGGATTTTGTAAACTCGACGGGCTTACGGAGCACGATGCTCGGGAGGGATGACATGCGGTTGTTTTATTTCAATCATTCATATTACGTAGTTTGCCGTCAAAAAGAAATTAGAGGGTACGTCTTTAAACTTATGGGAAAAAAAAAACTGGGGTCTAGTTCGCGTTCGTCTGCCGTCGGACTTCGAAGGTGGGATGAAATTCTGCATGGATATCATCGGCCTCGGCTGTCGCACTAATCCGGCTACGGACCTTCTCAACACAAGAAAAGAAATACCCTTTCACGAGGAGGGACTCAAGTTACGAAGCTCCGTTCCCTCATCCCACTTCTACATCTTGACCGCAGCATTATACAATCATGAATACCTCGACCCTCTTAAGGCACTCCCTCCGTGCTAGCGGCCGGCAAGCCACGATATCCCGTCCATACGTGGGTACCCACTTCTCACGACGACTTGCAAGCACGCTAGCACTCTTCGAACAACGGGACGGTAAACTCCAATCCTCGGCGCAGAATGTTGTCACCGCAGCCAAAAAGCTAGGAAACCCTGTTATTGGATTTGTAGCTGGTAAAGCTGCCAAGGAGGCTGCAGAGCAAGCTGCAAAGATTGAGGGTCTGGATAAGGTTGTTTATGTTGCGAATGAGGCTTATGAGAAGGTGTGTGTAGATTCCGCATACATGCCGAGATACAAAACATATAAATATATTCTACGACAGCGAAGCTATGAATAGCATACTGAAACAAAACTATGGTCTAGGGCTTACCGGAATCATACGCCCCTCTTGTTGCTGAAAACGCTGCCGACGATGTAACTCATATAGTATCAATGCACTCCGCCTTCGGCAAGAATGTCATGCCCCGTCTCGCTGCCATCCTCGACGTCCAGCAGGTTTCCGACGTCATCTCGATTGAGTCAGCAGATACCTTTGTCCGACCAATCTATGCCGGTAACGCCATTGCCACAGTACAATCTTCAGACCCCAAGAAACTTCTTACAATCCGTGGAACTGCATTCGGAAACGCACCGGCGGGGAGTGGGGCTGCCGAAATCGTTGAGGGGAAGGATTCAAAGCACCAGGGATCAGTAGAATGGGTTGAGGAGAATCTTACATTGTCTGATAGACCGGATCTGGATACTGCATCGAAGGTGGTTAGCGGTGGACGAGGTCTTAAAGACAAGGAGAACTTCGAAAAGATTATGATCCCACTAGCGGACTCCATGGGAGCTGCCATTGGTGCTAGCAGAGCAGCTGTTGACAGTGGATTTGCTGATAACTCGCTGCAAGTTGGGCAGACTGGTAAGGTTGTGGCGCCCGAGCTATACCTGAGCGTCGGTATTAGCGGTGCCATTCAGCATCTTGCGGGTATGAAGGATTCCAAGGTTATTGCTGCGATTAATAAGGGTAAGATACACAACCAATGTCTTGAAATGGTGTGACTATCTAACAACCGCGAATAGATCCCGATGCACCTATCTTCCAAGTTGCGGATGTCGGCTTAGTAGCCGATTTGTTTAAGGCTGTGCCAGAGTTGACCGAGAAGCTGAAGAAATAGATATCATCATCTATTCAATTTTCTTCATTCCTTCTTATCTTCATCTAGCCTGTGTATATTAGGACTATATAGTATAATTTTCAGCAGGTTTTAGCAAATCACACGGGGAAAAGCTAAATGATCGTTCTTGAATTTGTTGGATTATTATTCTTTATTTGACTTTGATTATCGACTATACAAGTCGACTGATGCCACAGTTTTTGTATGGATAGATAGAGGGAAATCGTCATCAAGGAATGCACAAAGGCTAGGTAAAGGAAGAAACGCAAGGGATTAAAGGACAAAGGGAATAATATTTACAGAAGAAGAAGGATAAGAAGGGGAAGGGTGTAGAAGCAAGGGGAAACAAGGAAAAGTGAACCCATCCGTTTATAAAAAATCCGCTCCCAAACAAAACCCGCCGTCATAGTAAAAGAAAATTAATATTTATAAATTGATATGGGGGGAACTGAATCCCTTAGTAAAGATATCTTTCTTTTGGTCTCGTAATCGATCTGGATTTTTTTTGCAAAGCCGGGAAAGCAAAAGACGAAGAAAAAAAAAGTAATGGTAATCCCAGAGATCCGCTGCGCCAAGGTAATAAAAAAAAGTGAAAGAAAAGATCTTGATTATGGTAAGGTTGTGTTTTTGAAGGGTGAATTGTATTTAGGCATACTGTGCTGTGATTTGATGTTTGCCGTCATATCGGTAGGTAGATTAATGAGCGTCTTCGCCACGGCCGAGGGCGAATTCGAGGAGAATGAACACAACATAAATAGCTAAGAGGGCGGTTCCCATCCATCTCCTTCCGCCGTAGAAGACGATAACGGTGAACAGAGCGGAAGAGACCCAGGTCATGATAATCTCAAACGAGGTGACCGAGTTAGCGAACTGCTTGAGGTCACCGGCGAGGAAGAGAACACCAGCACAGAGGGTAAGCAAGAAGATATTGCTACCGGCAGTATTCGCAACAACGATACCGCCCTGTCCTTTTCTTCCGCCGACGACGGCAACGAATTTCTCCGGAAGGGTCGTAGCGAAAGAAAGGAGTGTGACACCAACCAGTGTATCCGACAAACCGAAGGATTCACCAATGGTACCAACGCTGTGAGAAAGAACATATCCGGAGATCGAAACAGTGACGAAACCGACGAGGAGTTGGGCGAAGTGGTAGACAACGGAACGAGCCGGCTTTCGGGGGCTGACGTGGGAGACACTAGAGCTGCGTGCGCGGCCGTTGGTCTTGCTGATCTTATGGCTAATGCTGGAAGACTTCCTATGAACGCGAAGTGGGATGGCCTCGACAGAAGAGCCGCCATCATCACTGCTGCTACTGCTGCGATATCCCTCCATAACCTTCTTCATATGCTTAGCAGATTCCTCATCGTCGGTCTCATCGTCAGAGTCAGAATCAGAGTCGCTATCGGAGTCCGAATCGCTGTCTTCTGGTGGGTCCATAACACCACGATAGATCCCCCATGCGATCGAGGCAATGTAGATGAAAAACGCGATACAGAACAGCCATCCTCCAAAGCGGCCAAACTCAACTCGATAGACGGCGAGGAAGAAGCAGAAGACGGTAGTTATTATCGACAGAACTCCGACGTAGATTTTCGAGCTACGGTCGAAATAGATGACTGGATCTTTCGAGAAAATGAGGCCAAGCGAGAAGGCACCGAGGATGTTGGATATCGAAGAACCAAGGATGTTTCCCAGGGCCAGGGCCGAGTTATTTTGGGCTAACGATGCAATAACCACAACGAGCTAGATCGACGAGTTAGCCATGCCTGTATACGTATGATCCATGAATATGCAGGTAATTCCGCACCTCTTCCCATTCTGCACCTGCCGTGAGTAGGCCTATCAAGGTCGCGGAAATTCCCAACTTTCGTGCTATAACAGCGGTATGGTCGACGAATTTGTCTGCTCCATAGTCCAACAAGAACACTCCGGTGATAAATGCACAGGCGTTAAATATCAGCGTATCATAATTTAAAGCTGTTGCCATCTCTTGAATAGACTACCAAGTATTGTGACTTGTGTAGTTTCCGAAGGGTCCGTAGGATGTTTGTCTGTTGTGAAACGAAGGTTCTACGATGACGAAGTCGACAGAGGAAGAAATATGGTGTTTGCTTTGAGTTTGACTTTACGTAACCTTCCCAAACGTTAAAAGAGCAGGATTGCTGAAGATTAATTAAAGGAGATAGAATGGCGATAGGAAGATGGAGAGAATTATTATTATATAAAATAAAGGACGAAGAATGAGGTGGCCAAGGTGGGAACGGATGGTTCGGATGCGGAAGGGCTAGGCGTGCGACAAATCGACGATAGCTTTTCTTGACTTTTACGACTGCGACAGTCCTATCAATGCAAAGAAGAAAAAAGCGAGAGGAAGTTGTATTTCGTTTGAAGAAAAACAGAGATCTAAAGAGAACGAATGGACGCGGCTGAACTGCTGGGCGATACAGATGATTATATCGAACAACAGGGCAGAATTCCGCAGCTGGTAGATGCAATGTGGGTAACGACAGACAAAATCCGACCGACACTTACGAGGAACGAAGGGCAGCGAAGAAGACGATGAAAAGGGAAAATCACAAAAAGGGAGAAGGTCAAGGGGTTTGAGAGCACGATTCCAGCACAGCACGCTGCATTACTTCCTGTCAGAAAAGGAGTGATATGATATTAAACGGGACGCCAACTGCCTTGGCCGATTGGGCTAGCACAGGTCCACTTTCTCACCGCCCAGATTACCTTGGACCCAGCGAACGCGAACGAGCTTGTATTGTTCTCTGTGAGCGATATATGCTATCTTCAGACATTTCCCAGGAAGCCCAGATCGAATCCCCAAGAAGCATGTAGTCATAATAGCGAACGTCTAAGCCTCCCGTCGATGCCATCAAAGCCAGATTGCATCGATTGCCCGGCATCGATCAAAATTGCGTCCCAATTAATCCGAAGAAGCGCGAGGGACACGCAATTTCCATTCCCTGGCGCTGGACATAGTAGCTTCAGGGGTCCATTCTTCCACCACAGAAAAATAGGATCACCAGAATGGAAAGTCTATGTGGGTCAGTTTCTTCTGGTTCACTTGCATGCATACCTGTCCATACCAAAGCTGCCACCTCCGGCTTTGGAGGGAGAACAGGCGAACGCTTTCACTTCTTCGCAAAGAAGCTTTTGATCCAATCACAGAATGTGAGAGGCGGGTTGACATAAACATTTCGGCTGGTTTTGACGTTTTGTTGAGCAATTGAGGCTGTCGTGGTTGGCCAAATTAAAGTGATGGCCCGAACCGGAAAAGCAACAGAGCCAACACGTTGACCATTAGCCCAATACTCCAACTATGGCGTCTATACGGATAGTCAGTCTCGTAACCTAATCTCGGTATCACCAGTGATGTTAGGTAATTTTCATTCAAAATACATAAAGTTGAACACGCGCATATCCATAATTAGGTAAGAAGTATTGTGCGGTAAGTGGTTATACCCAGAGAGTCTGAGTGTTGAGACGAAACATATATCCATATAGGTATCGAGTAAAGTATTCAATTCGGATCATCAGGAGAGATGGTTAGCCGAATAGCACACTAGCCAAGAGGTGGAACTAATTCTTTACGTAGTCTCATACGTAATTGTAATATCCCGTTGAGGGCCCGAATAAAGGTAAGTCGCTGTTGTAGATCTAGACAAGGGACCGAGGGCTTACCAACAGTTAATTATAACCTACGAACGCTCGAACTAGCTCGGAATTGTGGTTCGATTGAATCCGACTGAGTTATGGGTTGAACTCTGCACGGAACCGCTACGGGCTTGCTTGCATAACTCGCTTCAAAGAATTCCTAACACCCGGCTATTTCTGTGCACTTGGATATCCAGATACTCTTGTCAGTTTTCCTTTCGCTTCCCGTTATCGAATTATCGCATGGCGGGTGCCTGAAGTTTAATGGTTGCCGTGAGGGAAACATTTCCCAATTTCGAACCTGGCGAGCTGGCAAAACTACCACGAAAACAACACACAACGAGCTCATTTTGGGTGATATGCGACGACAATCCCGGGTCCGGCCCCAACGTTGGTATTCCAATATTATAGCGAGATCTAAATGTCGGAAACATGAGCGGAAATTTAGAGACTGTATCGTGTCCACATCCGATTACGTAGGGCTGTAAGATATTGATATCCAGACGCCCACCAACGGTTTCAAACTCAGATGGAAAATGGTGTGCCTCCTGCTAGCGGCAACCCTTCTCTTTGCCGTTGCCGGCAATTCGCAGCTTACGGCAACGACGACGACGCTATTCTCAACTTTCCGTCGAACAAAGACGATTCTTCGGGGTACATGTGGCTCGAACTTGGATGTTTTGCCTCTATGTGACAATATACAGTGGGGTTCGTTCAATTCCAGGACTCAAGATAAAGCTTCGACTTCTCAGATGACAAATCCTTCAACAAGCGCTCCCGATACGACCTCTTCGTTCTCCCAGAGCACAATCGTCTCTACGAGTACTGTATCGAGTAACGCCGGCGCTCCAACAGAATTCCGGTTAAGAGCTCTTATTCCAGGCTTTGATGATGCATATGTGAATACAACATACAATGGGCCAATTATCATCGATGTCGATGCAGAAAATAGACTTCTCCAACGGGACGATTTACTCAACAATCCTATACCCAGAGTCGTAAATAACGCCGACTTTAAGCTTACGCCAGAAGGAACAATCAGTGCAATAAGTGCAAACCAGCGCCTTGTCGTATATAGACGCCAGACGAGTAGTGTTGGGACGCCAAATGACTATGGAGATGTCTTGATCCTGCGAGGAAATACTCTAGCGGATAATGATCTCTCTCGTAATTGGTATTTTAAGGGCTGCAGTTTGGATTTACAGAATCCGTCTACCTTTCAGCTCTATAGGGTGTATCTGCTTCAGATAGAAAGGACGAGGTATGCCGTAAAGATGGGAGCAGTAGGAGCACAGGTTCCCTTGACTTTTGAGGCATATGACCTCTGCTATGAACCAGCTGTCCGTTCGAGTACATCAACTTCCAGCGCAAGGACGACCTTACCTATCAGCTCTGTTATTTCTAGCTCATTATCATCATCGTATCGGCCACCTAGCACGTCATCCGATCTGTCATCTAATGTACCCGAAAGCTCACCCGCTATGATATCGTCTACTCCATTGTCTAGTTTGTCTTCAGAGACATCCTCGAGTTCATATATGCAATCGCCATCCAGTTCAGCTTCAAGCGTGATGCTTAATGCTTACGATATTATCACACTCGAAGCACTGTACTCATTTTGTTCCAACCTACTACGCTCCACGGTGACCTCGACATCTTCGACGGTTACATCATCCTCTAGTGCAGAAGTATCAACAAAAATAATCACTTCATCAGAACTCGTTGTATGTACCAGTTCCCATATCGAATACGTTTCGACATCCTATATCCCTACAGAGACAAGCGTCACAGATCTACGACAAAAGAAAGCTTCTATCGCAAAAAGGCAAGAGCCATATACAACCCCAGCCCCTTTAACCTCCTTCAATGATGCCGAAGTCAGGGCCGGCTGCTCTAGTGCCATTGCAGCACCAACAACCACGGTAGACTCGACAACCACGAGCGTTGTTGTCATTCCTTATCCATCGACCACAGATTTCAGTTCCACGGAGACAAGTTACTCAACGGAACTGGTTTCAAGTACCATTCAATCCGTCCTAACTTCTACCATTGCGGCGAACGGCTATTATAAAATGAAAAATGATAGTCTCGGGACTTTCGACAACTATTACTTTTGGATTGACCCCAAAAATCATCAAGGTACCCTACCCGATACCACACCCATAGCGAACACAACGAGGGAAACATTTTGGCAAGCAATATGGGACGGCACCTCGGGGGGTTGGAGGTTGAGATACGACTGGTGGCGTTTTATCAATGGAGTCAATACCACCGAGTCATTTTATCTCGTATATTTTACTACAATACCGAATCCCCAAAGGATACAAGCTAGGTGGCTTGGAATAACGAAAAACACCGCTATTGTAGGAGCTGGGAAAATGCTACAATACACTTTATTTGACATTAATGATGGGTATGCAACGATACGTCCATCGTTGGAAGGAACCAGAACTACGCTATGGACTTGTCTGGATGGAGGCACTGCGCAACGGCCTCCATCATTTTGGTATTATGCGAGTACTGGCTGGACCGACTTCGTCAACACTGCACTGGACGGCCCAAATGACAATGGGCAATATGTTACATATACGTTGCATGACTGTGTTGTAGTCCCCGGATTCCATATATTAGGATGGTGATGTTTTAAATTTGTTATCTGGTAATATCTCGGAAATATCAGGAATTATAGAATGCTCACCTCTCTAGGGCTGCAGGATTAGGCTCTAGAATAATATTAGTGGACCTGTGCGTAGACGCAGGTCGGATATATTTGGTGAGAAAGTATACTAGTATATACTTAACTAACTACCTACATAATACCTTGTAAATGCATATATTTAGCCCCCTTTCTATGTTTAAAACCTAAAACTTACACAGGTTTTCTTTTTTAGATTGGTAGCTTCTCAGGCAAGATCTTTGAGAGACAGATTTAGCTCGAGATTAGAAGTTTTGAAATTAAATTCTCGATCTGCTTAGCGTCACCCCCACAGCAAAGACAAACCTCGTTACAAAGTCGAGTCCCAGTACGAATCCAAGTTGCAAACTCAATCAATTGAAATCGAGCGCCAGTGAGCTAGCGGCAAAGAAATAAATTACATACATACATGTAGTACCTACTCCGTATTGAGTATTGGTATAAACTAGGCCTCTCGGCAAGCCTGTGCCGATGGTAGCTTTTCCCAACGCCATGCCAGACCATGTGGGTCTGTATTCGTGTCGTTTGGCCCTGATCAACAATGCATGCGATGCTTATTGGTGCTTGGACTTCGAGGCCAATTGATGCTTGTTACGTCCAAGTCCTTCCCTGCAAACCTTGTTGTACTCTGTAGTTCAAAATTAGTGGATATTTAAATTGAACTTCTGAGAATTCAAAAAGCGATTCGGGTTTGGGGGCTTCATTTGAATTACCATTAATTCGACGGACTAGGCCTAAATTTAATCCGTCCGGCGTCCTGGCGTGAACCTAAATACGTTATGGATTGCAACACAGGCAATTAATGGGACTACAAAGCATTGCAATATACTTACAATGCAATTGATTTTGATGTATCGTCTACGTACGAGCCTCTCTTGTTGAAACCACCCTTGTCTATTCCGGGTATGTTGTACACTTATGGGACTTGTTTCGTGACTTATAACTTATATTGACTTCTGGGATAGCTTAGATAGCATCGACTGAAGCATATTGATTTATGCACCTTCGACGCACTCGCCAAAGCGATGGCTCCCGTTACCCGGGTATGCCCGCATGACATACCCAACCCGCTCTATTCTCCTCTTTTGGATACAAAAATTTCAAAGTCACCAGACAAGTTGTCGTTCTGGGATATTTCTGGTGGAGAAGTCTATGTCCCAAGGTCGAGCTTCAAGCTTCAAGCTTCAGAATACCACCACTTTTGTCAGATATTACATAACAACTCCGCTATCGTTGATTCCTGTGCGCGGGAGCTCCAACCCAAGACACATCCGCGTACCTTGGCCTAGCTTGGTCGCCAGTCTTGGAGAGGCAACGGAACCCGGCAGCCAATGAAGCTTGCTTGCTTATCAGAATCATATCATGCGGCGAAAATGCTTGGGACGGCAAACCGTCTGCATGCGTTCCTCGCCTGCAAAAAGCTTGGCCGCCTTGATTTTTCAGCTCAGGTTCCAGTCCAACCCCTCGACCCTCGCAGATTGCTCAAGTTTTCACAAATCGAATCTCGCCCTGCCGATGAACCATGAGATGCTGCCGCTGCAGATAATATATATGTATCTGCGAGATTGGTCTGATAGTTAACCGGAATTTGAAAACTTAGTAGGATCTAGTTATGCATTGGAGGTTCCGTTTTGGGGATAAACCCAACCACCACCTCAAGCTCAGTTCAAAAAATTTTCAGCGGATTTATTTCCACCATCAAAGCTGCTACGTATGCACCTCGCGGGATCATGGTGCAAGAAACTCAAAGTGGCATGGAAAATCGCAGATAGAACATTCAGCCGTTCCTTAGCCAAAAATTCCAATTGGCTGGTGCTTCGATTAGCACGTTGGAACCAGGCGAATTCTTCCCAGGGCTCATGCACAAGGGTGGGTCTAGAAGCTGGAAGGTGCAGAACGAGTAACCTCGACTTTCGTTTACGCTAAACCACGGGCGTGGGAATTACCGTCTTTGCTCCTAGCTGCCATGACCAGGACCTTCGGCGGCGGCATGTCAAATGTTATAGACTTTTTGACAGTGCGCTAGGGGACAAGGCCAGCCACCGGCCTATTTGCCTTGCATGGCCCTCAACAATCACGTCGAGGATGCAGTTTACCATGCGGCCTAGCTCTACCTCTAGCGCCAGTGAGCATGGTATACCGGCACCGGTTTGGGGGTTGGAGAAGGATAAGAAGAATTTGAAGAAGTAAAGTAAGGCTTTGAGATTGCCATTGCGAAAACTATATCAAGGCCGTACACACCCTCGATTGATCGTGACCCTGCGCTCCCATCCCTCACCCTTCTTCTTCTCTTTTTGAGGTCGAGATTGTCCATCCCTCCCCCTCGTCCCGCCTCATTCTCAGACCCCGCTTTTGTAAAGCACCTGCAACGCACCATTTCTCGAACTCCTCTCAATTGCCCTCCATAATGACGGCCGGCGCATGGGAGAGAGATCAGGTCGCGCGCCTGCAAGGCGATCCTGACCATGTTAACGCAGTTGCTCGCGAGAACAAGGCAGCGGCATCAGAGAAGGATTTCGCAGGCGAGACCACAATCCAGGACATCGAACTTGCGACAGGCCAGAAGATGCCATGGTACCGCAAGGTTACCCACGTCACATCAAAGTTCATGCGATTCGTCGGTCCTGGTATTTTGATTTCCGTCGCATATATTGATCCTGATAACTTTCAATCCAATGTTGCGGCCGGTGCCGAGTTCAAATACAAGTTATTGTTTATGATTCTTCTTGGAAATGCTATCTCAGCATATCTTCAGGTGGGTTTTCTTGATAACAGCTTGACTAAATGTTTAATGCTAATTTAAATTACGAAAAAAAGTCGATGTCGATCAAACTTGGCTCTGTTACCGGACTGGACCTGGCACAGATGAACCGAGCTTCCCTACCTTTCTGGCTCAACGTTTCATTGTGGCTTTTGGCTGAAGCTGCTATTATTTGCACAGACGTCGGATCCGTCATTGGTTTCGCAATCGGTGTTCATCTCTTGAATCCAAGCATCCCTCTACCTGCCGCTTGCGCAATTTCGTTGGTGGATACACTCTTGATTCTCTTTTTCTACAGACCATGGGGAGCTCTTAGGTGGTTGCGCGCATTCGAGTTCTTCATTGCATCGATTGTCTTCGCGACTGTTATTTGCTTGATCTACCTTCTTGCATTGATCGATACTGAAGAAGCACCAGCCGGCCAGGTCTTCCTTGGATTCCTGCCATCCCGAACCGTCTTCGTTGGCGACGGTCTCCTAGAAAGTTGTGGCATTATTGGTGGTACGATTATGCCGCATACCATCTATCTTGGTTCCTCCATTGTCCAAGCTCGTCTCCGTGACTTCGACGTCAAATCCAAGAACTATACCCTTCCAGAAGACGCTGATGATAAAGAAGTTACGGTGATTTACCGTCCTTCCCTCGCCGCCATCAAGTCTTGCATGAAATACTCTATTGCCGAACTCTGCTCTACTCTTCTCATTATCGCCATCTTTGTCAACTCCGCAATTCTCATTGTTGCTGCCGCATCCTTTGACGACGATGATGCAGAGGAAGCAGATTTGTTCGCTCTTTACGAACTATTTGCTGAAACTATCTCTCCGGCCGCTGCAACTCTCTTCGCATTGGGTCTCATGCTCTCTTCTATGGCTTGTAGTGTCGTCGCGACTATGGCTGGTCAAATGATTCTTGAAGGTGCAATGCAATGGCATATCTCCCCATTCGTTAGAAGACTTGCTACCCGTTGCATCTCCATCATTCCTGCTATCGCCATCGCTGCCGCCGTCGGAAAGGAAGGTCTTGCAAAGACACTCTATGCTTGCAATATTGTCCTTTCTGTAAACCTGATTTTCACCTGTGCTCCGCTTCTGTGGTACGTCTGCAAGGACAAATATATGACCGTCGCTGTCAATGGGTCTACGACACAACCGCTTCCTACAGCTGGAAAGGAAAAGCGACGAGAAGAACAAGAAAGGGGTCAAGGACTTGAATCCGTTTCCTTGGCAAACGGATGGTTTGGAATCGGATTCGCGGCGCTCATTTGGATTTTACTTGTGTTCCTTAATGTGGCATCATGGGTGCTGCTAGGATTGGGTCAGATTGATGATTTATAAATCATATATATCAACCAGCCTTTGGGTTCCTATTTGGAAGGGTAATATACGAGTTTCCTTATTTTAACGATAATATCCTTTTTTGTCAAGTGGACTGCATTCAGTCTCTTCGGGTAGAGGGTCATAGACGATACACCTCGAAAACGAATGTTTTTGTCTTGTAATATGGGGGATATTCCTTGGGTCGGTATCGACATCTTCAATTGTCTATATAGTCATCCCCGAATATAATATTTAAGCAATACTACCCCTAAAATAGCTTTTAAGGCTGTTATATTGGTGGCTTTTGTCCCGTAGTATGTTGGTGGCACGGATATACCGGTCTAGGATGTCTCACAAGCCGCGAAAATGCAACAGGACCTCGTGATGACCAAGATGAATGCTATACGTACAGACAAAGAGAATCTCGCATTACACTTAAGCTAGGAAACAGCATACAAGGCACCAGGTAAACAAAAAAAAAAAAAAAAAGCTAGAGGGGTAATAAATACATACAAGTGGAGAAGAATAATGTAAAAAAAAGCACAAGAAATAGAGAAAGAAAAAAGTGAGAGCACACAGCTCAGGATACCCCGTTCGCCGACTTTTGTTTCAATCCGACTCGGATTAGCCTCTTCATCTATATCACCTTCATAGACATAGTAGTAGTTATCATTATTCAAATGTCCTTTTATAATAATCTAGCCCTAATGTTGATCCAATTACTCATCAAAAACTTCCTCGACTCTAGGTTGCATCCCTTGCGAGGTCTGCACCTGTTCTGTGGTAAAGTTCATTTGGACGTCAGCACCAGAGGGGGTAGGGGCGAATCCAGGAGTCTCCATGGGAGGATGGGAGTGAGAGTGCGAGTGCTTTCTCTTCTTCTTCTTCTTCTTCTCCTCTTTTGTCTATAGTACCAAGAAACTTTTGTTAGCACTTATCAAATTGCTCACGAGACCAAATGGAAATCTCACCTTTTCCCAAGCCCAAACCGGTCTAAAGCTGTCAAAGAACCCAACATCTTCAAACAAATTCGGATAAAGCCACAAACCAGGCGGAACCGCAAACATCGTGATTACAAACAAGATCAATCTGAAAATCGCCATCAAGAAGAACAACCCTAGCAATCCCAACATTCCCATACTGAGGTACCAGACACCCAGACGTAGAACAGCCGGCCACAATGGGAACATGACAATACCGAGCAGCAGGACGAGGACACCAAGACCAATAACCGTTCGCTTCCATTGAGGTCCTTCGTAAAACCAGACGTAGTACATATCCTCTCCGGCAGCCTGTTGAGGCACGATCTGTACATTCCATTGACCCTTAACACGTTTTGGTTTACCGTGCGAATGGTCGCCGTGGTTCTCAGCCTGCGGTTCGATCTTGTGGACGCGAAGGGCCATCATATGGCGGGGGAGGAGGAGGAAAGCCATTTCGGCATCTTGGCGATTGGTAATAGGTGGTAGGTTGGAGTTCTTTTTGGCCTGAGCTTTGGCGTAAGCAGGTGATTCAAGGGAGCGGAGAGCTCTTTTGACTGGATTTGTTCGTTAATATTGTTTAAAAGTTGTATAAATATATACATTAGACCTATTGAGTTGGTAGTTACCTTTGAACATCTCGACACGTTTACCTCCCAATATCGAAGTTCGAGGCTTCAGCTCTGAGTTCTTGAGGAAGTTCGCAACGGCGAGAGCTTCGGGAGTAGGAGGCTGAGGCCCCACGGGCTGCTGTCCTGGTGGAGGACCGGACATAGTGGAATGGTGTTTTGGATATCCACTATCGACAACAAGTTGTTTTGGTGGTAGGTGGCGAGGTTGTGAGAGATATACTGGATTAGAGCCAATGGACAGGCAAGCTAATTGGGTGTTGGTGTCGTTGGTCCTGTTCGATAATGCAATGGATGATGTAAGGAGGAAGAGGTTAAGATGAGAAAGATTACTAAATAGAAAGAAAAAAAGATTTATTTCCAAGCGCGGTGTTCAGGCCAGAGTTGCTGTTTGTTAAGTCACCGTTGCGCAGAGAAGAAGAAGAAGAAGTTCTGGCAGAGATGAGAAGGAAGAAGTCCAAAAGTCGGCGGCATCCCACTTTGGACAGGCGGCGGCATTCGAGAAGGTGCGTTTGGAGTTGAGAACAAAGTGTTATCCATCGCCCCAGCCACGCCAATTACCAGCCACACACACATCTTCCACTAGCCACACTTAGTATACCCTTTGCATTGTACAGTATTATCTATCAAATTGCAATTGGACGGCTGTGATTTATTATTCTTTACAGATAGATGCATGATACGCCTCTATATAATATAGTGATACTGTACATCGTCATTACCATAATTGCTATTATCATAATTATCATCCATCGTCGTCATTATCTGCTGTGCTCTGGGCTGAAGGCTTTCATCAACGCCTCAAAATGGCTCTTCTGTTCAACCGCTAGCTTACCCTCCGTATCCTATGAATAAGGTCAGTCAGTAATGCAACTTCTAGAATTGTGGAGTAGGTAAAGGGGTAGTTTTGGAGTAGGTACTCACGCTGATAATGGTCAAAGTTAAAGAATAATTGTTGAATAGAAATCGTTCCCGTTTCGGCTTATCTGATATACTCGCACTGAGCTTGGTTAAGAATGCCTCAAAGTCACTTCGTATCCTCCGTAAACTAGGTAGTGACCATGATTTGTTAGCACCTTCTTTTAGCCAAAAAAACATACTTGGGTTAGGTTCCTACCTATTTGTAGATGGCTCATCATCGCCTCCATCCGAATTCAACGACAACAGTGAGTGCATAAACTGTGCAAATTTCTGCGTCAAAGGGTGCGGAGCCGCACTCTGTCTGGCCATATCGTTCGCCGCTGTCGCAATGGCCGATTGCCTCCCTGAACCTCCTGCTGATTTTCTCAAGTTCTCGCTATGCATATCCATAACCACCTGGAATCGTGGCCAAAGTAAGATATTTGTCCCGTTGATATAGTTCTCCAACACTGGCACTCGCCTCCTTTGTAAGACGAACGCGCATTGTTGATTTAACCTGACGCAAAGGAGGATACCAAGAGCGTCGAGGCTATTGTCGATTAATGATTTCGTGAACGCCTGCCCAGCGTTTAGTGTGGGATCGAAGATTTGGTGAAACATCTTCGATACTTGGTCGAACTTTTTATGAGCGAAGAATTCTGTAAGGAAGGTGAACTCGAAAGCAACGTTTTCTACTAGAGCGAGGTTGTACGACCGGAAGGGGAGTTCGATGTAGTGGCTCCCTTTCTCATCCTCAGCTGCTTGAGCCTGAACCAATGGCGCATCCTGGTTCTTGTAGGTATCGAATCGCCGGCCTAATGTGATTGCATCGACAGAAGACGGAACCGATGCCTTCATTCCCGGTAGCAGGGGGCCTCTCCTGTTTGTATCCTCTAAGCCCAAAAGATCACTCTTTTCGATGATGTGTAGTTTGATCTTTTCCAGCGCTTTTTGATAGCGTTGGAAGTGAGACAGGTAGTACCATCGCATCGTATTGATGTAGGCTTGCCCTATCTCGTCTGCTAGCTGAGGGTGATGTCGTGCCATGAAACCGAACAGCTCCTTATATCGCAGAAAGCCGGTCTGCTGGATAATTTGAGCGTTTGTATTCGGGATTCTAAGGCTTTTGATCTTTGTAACAAAGTAATCTCTTAGTCTCTCGATTGCCTATTTAGTGTGTTAGCTGTTGATTGATGCGACATTACGGAAGAACAATCAAGATAAAATCTCACCCTGTTGGTTAGCTTCTCCAGCTCTGGCTTAACATCCTCCGCGGCTTTGATGTTTTGGGCTTTCCGCCGGTCCAAGGCCTTGATCTTCCTGTCAGCTTCTTGCAAGCTTTTAACCCAGTTTTCATTCACATCGCTCTCTGCTACCACTTGTATCACAGCTGGTGAGAGCGCTACATCTTCCAAAATTGGAGCGAGTAATTTCTCCACATCCTTTGGTACCATCACAGTTAGATTATAACCCTAAGACTTGGTCGGGATAAGAAATTACCTTTCGATTATTCAGCCTAGTATTTAGGGCTAAGGACCGATTCTGTAAAGTCTCAATCTCCGCACTAACGCGTCCAAGATCGGTTTTGAAGGACGAGAGGTATGATTCGACGGATTGTAACACTTCATCACAGGCCTGGTTCGTAAGATTGTCTAAACACTAACATCTCTGGGAGTTTTATTGGGACCTAGCAGCTTACCTTGATTGATCTATGCAGATCCTGAAACTTGTCCTTCTCCTTTTCATCTAAAAATGGTTCCTTTAGCGGGATGTTAACAATAGTTTACTGCTATGTATACTTACAATCCTCAACTGTCTGCTCTATTACGGGTTGATCCTGCGATGTCCGCTGAGGAATTGAAGTGTCTTGTTGAAGGAACGTATCTATTGACAAATCCCCAAAATCCAGATCTTCGTCCAAGCTGAGTGCCGCTAGAGGGCTTTCTTCTTCCTCGACCCTACCATTGGTTAAAGGCTTTGAACCTAAGATGTCGCCTAGCTTCTTCAGTGCTTCCTTCCCTTCTGAGGGCTTGCTGGATGACACGGCACTTCTATACCCTACTCCGCCAGCGACATTAACTACACCAGGTGCCGGAGTACCTTGCCTTGAGCCAGCTCCGACAAGAGATACATTGGATGAGTTGGAGAGATTAAGGTTTAATGACGAGGATCGTGGTGTGAGCCGAGGAGGGGCAGCAGAACTACCACCGTATACACCGGAAAGGACTCTTGTAGGCGGGCCAGGGTTGAAGACGGGTGTGCCAGTAGCCGATCTGTTGGGTAGCGGGGGAGTGCCAGTGGGCTCCTGAATGGACTGCGTGAATTTGTTCCACATCAAGGACTGGCTGATCATGACAAGCTGTCACGAAGCATTGTCTACGAATATGTCTTATGAGAGCCTGGGTATAATACGCTGATAGCGATTTATTATGAGCCTATGAAGTATATTCTGGAGAGAGGATATGTTGTCGCGTACCTGAAGAGCTGGGCTACTGCTGGCGTATGGACAGGTAAGCTGTTGGTCCCTGTTAACCTGTATCTGTCGATATCTATGCACGTATGATGCAGCGGAAGGCCTGCAGCCAAGCTTCAAAAGCAGGCTATGAAATATTTCGAGTCGCTAGAATGAGGTCCAGGTTTAATACCAATATCTAGACGGACCCTGCTCGTTTTCTGGTCCGTTTTGACGAGAAGATGTCGATGTCGGTACGGTTGCTGGTTGTGTGACAGCGTCCGGGCTTCGGTGTTGTGGCGGGTTGCGGTTTTGGGAGAGGCTGCTCCAGCAATTCTGGCGCGCGTTTCTTTCTGCCTCCATCAATCACACTCAATCAACACCGCCATCAACGTTCCAACGTTAACATCCGCCCATCTCGACCAGTCCGACCCGAATCGCCACATTCACACGTTTAGACGCGACTAAACTATCGGCGACGTTCATACAAACGAGCTGTTTGGCATCGCCACACTACGTTTTGTCTCTCCTTCTCGTCGTCGAGTGAGTTTCCTTCTGTGACGGGCTCCCTCGCCCTTGGCCTAGATAGCTTGACTTGACGAGGGATCGCATCAGACCAATCAAGGAAGAAAAAGTAGGCAATTGTTGTAGCTCCCACTTGCTTGTTTATTAATGACTATTGCATTTGCGGCACATGTTCCTGTTCTCTAAAAGTCATTGCTGAAGCTAATACATGGATTGTTGAAGCGTACCCTTAAGCCCATCTCACAATGGATCCCGACCATCTCGATTTCGGCTCCCCAGCGACAACCTCTGGCGCCACACCGAATCCATTGGCCAACTTGGACCGTCTTGCTTCCCATAGTCCTCTTCCAGGCGAAACAGAAACCTCTTCTCCCAACCTTGATAACGATAATGAAGATGAGGACGACAAGGAAGGCGATGTCTCAATGTTGGAGTCGTCAGAGAACGTAGACCCGAAGCCCAAGGAAGAAAAGAGCTCGGCTAACGGTTCTCCTGGGGGCGACGACGAGAATGCTGATGACGCCGGGGAGGGTGATGACGAAGATGAAGTAATGCAGGGAATGGATGGTGCGGAAAAGTCGGCCAATGGCGACAAAAAGGACGGCGAGGAGGATGCCGCTGCGGCTGCTAAATCCAACCTTGTCCAGCAAACCTTCCAGACCATAATACCGAGTTATGCGACTTGGTTTGATATGAATTCGATTTCTGACATTGAACGAAAGTCGCTTTCTGAGTTCTTTAACAATCGAAATCGTAGCAAGACCCCATCTATCTACAAGGATTACAGGGACTTTATGGTCAATACATATCGTCTGAATCCTGCCGAATTCCTCACTGTCACAGCTTGCCGTAGGAATCTCACTGGTGATTCTGGTGCAATTATGCGTGTTCACAGATTTCTTGAGCAGTGGGGGTTGATTAACTACCAGGTAATACCCGTCAATGGTTCCTTTCACTCCCAGCCCAATAAGAATCTCTCATCAACTATATTGGATTCATATCGCTAACAAATCATCTTTATTTTTCAGGTTGATCCCGAAAAACGCCCCAACAATGTTGGACCTCCTTTCACAGGTCATTTTAGAATCACCGCCGACACGCCTCGTGGTCTTCAACCCTTCCAACCCGGATCCGGCTCTCAAGTTGCTTCTGAAGGCAAGCCTCTCCCTGCCACAGAGAAGGCTGCTGCCTCAGCTTCCACTCCTAAAACAGGTGATGTTAAGAGTTCGGTTACGAAGTCAATCTACGAAACGACCGGCAAGGACCTTGGAGAGGCTTCGAAGACCAACGGGCATGCCGAGGAACCAGAAAAGCGACAACATTGGTGCTATTCCTGTGGTGTCGATTGTACCCGGGTTAGATACTACACATCGAAGTCCAAGAAGATTGAACTCTGCCCCAACTGTTTTCTCGAGGGACGTTTCCCCAATAGTTTTACCAGTGCCGACTTCCTTCGCGCAGACGATGTTAGCTACCAAGCGGTTGATCGAGACGCTCCTTGGAGCGACGAGGAGACTCTCAAGTTATTGGACGCTATCCATATCTATAAAGATGATTGGAACCAGGTTGCTGGCTACGTTGGGTCGCGAACCCGAGAACAGTGTGTTTTACACTTCCTGCAAATGCCGATCGAGGATCGGTTCCTTGAAGAGAATCTTGAACAATTGGGACCTCTTCAATACGATAGAATTCCTTTCACCCAAGCCGATAACCCAGTTATGAGTGTTATATCTTTCCTTGCCTCTCTCGTTGATCCGAAAGTTGCTGCTGCCGCCGCTCAAAGTTCTGTTCAAGAGATGCTCCAACTTCTTCGCGATAAACTTGACGAGAGCGCCGCAAAACCATCTAAATCTGATAGCGAAAAGAAAACCGATGAGAAAACCGAATCCGCTGGAGCTCCTACTACAGATTCATCCGACGCTGCCACCAAGAGCGCCATGGACCTTGACGAGCCAGCCACTTCAACCGCTCCTGTGAAGAAAGAGAAACCAGGTTCGCTCGACCAGATGGCTTCTGTCGCCCTTGGGGTCGTCTCTGCTCGTGCTTGTGGCCTTGCTTCTAATGAAGAACGTGAGGTAATGCGTCTTGTGGCCGAAACCATCAATGCCAACCTCCGCAAGATCGACATGAAGCTTGCTCACCAACAAGAGCTGGAGACTCTCTTGCACGAGGAGCGCCGGGAACTCGAAAAACAAAAGCAACAGCTCTTCCTCGATCGTATCGTTGCGAAGCGACAAACTCAGAAAGCCGTAGAGCTCCTACGAAAGGCACATGCTGCCGCTGGCGAAGAGACTCTCAAGTACGCTAATCAGCTCAGTTCTATGAACTTCGGGGCTGCGCCAGGCGGTGGAGTTGATGGTTCGCGAGCCCTACTTGTCCCATCTGGATCAGAAATTAACTCGGGAGCTTCTGGGCCTGGGGCTATTCCCCCAAGTCAAATAGAGGGCTACACGGCCTATGAAGCTTGAACGGCTTGGAACTGACGATAATGAATGAACTATCCTGGATCCCTTAATGGCGTCATGTCTCCTCTTCTTCCCTCTTCAACTCACCTCTACATACGTGATCCATTATTTTTAACTACTATTTTCTTATTATTTTTTTGTACTTTCTGTCTCCGGGGTTTTCTGCTTTTTGTTCTTATTCTCAGGCCTTCTGAGGAGATCAATTAGATCTCTTAAAAATGTACTATTAAGTCACGTTTAATAGAAGGCGCGGTTCATATAGGCTCCTCTTTAATCTTTTTGTTCTTCTTTGCCCTCTTCGTTACCGCCCTCCGTCTTTTCCGCTTTTATGGAGGCATATTCTTTGGTTGGTTTAAATTGCAGAGGATATTGTTAGTCTCGGGGTAAAATGCCCGCCCATTGATCAGATGAGCAATGTGATATACCTAATAATGTAAAATTCCGGATTTCGCTAAACGGTGTGGACCATCTAGGTGAGAATATACCAAGGGCCTGTAACCTGAAGTATCTCCAAACAAGAATCCCTCACGCTTTCATTTCAGTTAGGCCTTCGAGCAGTTTCCGCCTTAGCATTCCACAAAAACTTTCCCAGATGACATGGTCCACCCCTATTGTCCATCGTAACAAGATGTATGACCCTTTACTCGCCTCGGGCTCCATGGACGAAGCAGGGAGGCTGATAAAATCATGATCCCAAGCATCCGTCTCATCTACCATATCTTGGTCTTCGTCGCCTTTTTTCCCTTCCTCCTGGGTACTGGAGCCCCCGATTCCCACGACTCCTGCTTCAGACACAGGGCCACTTAAACTGATAAATATTCCCGCTGCAAATCCAAACTTTGGCTCTTGCGGTATTTCACTTATCCTCCCCTCCGCTGCCTCCTTCTCCAGTTGCTTCCTGCGTCGTCTGGCAGCTCTTGCCCACGTATTCCCATTCGTTTCCCCTTTCCCATTAGAGTATAAAGTCTCTACAGTACCGTACATTGTCGCAAAATACGGCAACCGAACGGAGCTCCACTCAAAGCTTTCAACTGGGAAATCCCCACACGATTTCTTCATCAATTCCTCTACCCGCGGCAATAGCGTTGATAAACCCGCGTCGATGGGCAGTGGAATCTTAAAAGTTGTAGGAAATGGAAGATGCGACCTTAATAAATGTGAAGTCGGTTGTCGTGAGATATGATCACCGGCCCTCCTATCCCCAAAACTCCATCCAACCGCCCACCTTTTCGTTTTCGCACCTTGTACAAATTCTCCAACTACATAATTCGCCACCCCGCTCTCCTTTAACTTCTCAACCACCTTTTCAACACTACTTCTTTTCCCCAACATGGAGGTATACCACCTGACCTTCTCCTTAAGTTTCAAGCTCTCCTCGACCATACGATTTACAAACGCAACTTCTCCACCATCAGTAACCATTTCTGTGGTGGAACCGGTACATGCTGATAATGGTGGTACTGCTTTCGTTTTAGCAGAGGATAGCATGTCGTTTATTGAGGTATAAAAGGGAGGGTTACACATCGTGAAGTCTATGGGTTGCGAGTAGGATATTATTTCCCCTTCTGGGAGTATTGTAGATGAAGAAGAAACGTCGAGGAGAGTTATCCTATCTTCCAATGTGTTTTGGGAGATATTATTGGCGGCCGAGGAAAGTGATTTTGAATCTATTTCGGTGGCGAAGAACCGCCATGTCGGAAATTGGGCGCAGCCTAACAGAGGGTATATTGCTGAGGCGCCGGTGCCGCTAAGATTACGTTAGCCGTGCTATGGTATAGATGGATTTAGGGAATCCTTACATGTCGATGCCTGTTACTTTGGGAGGCCCTGGAGAAGATCTTTCTTCATGGGTGTCTAAGATAAGATCATTCAACCAGAGGATATAATTCAACCTGACAATATTGAGTTAAAATTTGTTAGGAATCCTTTTATAATAAGGCTACCGGAATACCTGTTTGGGACCTAAGAACGGATTCATTCATCAACATAGTACTTAGGAATGGACATGAGGATGTACATACCCCTGGACATAACCTGTCTTCTGGGAGGTCAACTTCAAGATTAAACTCTTTCTTGAGCAGGGCTTTTGCTAGTTGCCTGTACGTTTGATTAATTTGAGGTTAGACAATATATCATAGTTCGGGATTAGTCTAAATTCACCTAATTGACTCCGGATCGTGGAAATTGATGGATGTGCTTCCTTTCAAACTAGATGCAAAGAATAGCCAGTTAACAAAAGGTCTTGAAATTTCAAAAGATATTTTTGGAGAGAGTATATCCACTTTACCATTTTGCAAGGCCTGGGGACTCCTTCGCCAATTGTGCAAAGCTCACGCCATTCTTGTAGACGTTTTTCGGATGCATCATGACATCGACGTCTAACTCAGGATTTTGCGTTGAACTTCTCAAAATACAACAGATGTAGTCTTCAACTTGATTCTTGACGCTTTAGTCTCTTTCGATTATAGCGAGCTCCCTGTTCGATCCGCTCGATATGGCTTAAAGCTATTGATGTTAATAATCGCGTCCTGATATTGATGTCAAGTTTAAGTTAAAAAGAGTGGTCGCGAGGGTCTAGACCACAGCATGATTTATAAACACAAAACATCGAGATATAAAACAAAAATGCAACACCAGAAAACCTTCCTCTCGACACGAACTGAACTACATAAGTACTTACTTACATAGTATGCATATCATATTCGGAACCGACGTTTCAAAAGGATGAAATACATCCTTAGACACCCTTTAACTCGCTCGGCTGCCTGGCGCAGCCAGAGGACTTCATGCAACCCTCGATTCATAAATACGCTTCACCAACCAGGTGATCCTAAAGTCGCCTCTCGGCGCGCGGATGCACCGTTTCGTCTTGCTATCATAGGGTCTGGTCCGTCTGGGTTCTATACGGCTTATAGAGTACAAAGCAAACTTCCTACTGCGAGAATTGATATGTACGAGGCGTTACCCGTACCCTTCGGACTCGTACGTTTTGGTGTAGCTCCGGATCATCCGGAGGTCAAGGTTAGCACTTTCTCCTTTCCGGCCTCCTATCGTTGATGTCTATTATATTTAATAATGTTATATCATTATTACTCTGTTGCCAAAATTTTTTATTAGATGTTTAAAGATTTTGCAAATCTAAAAGTCGATTAGCTAACCTAACTTCAGCCTCCATAAACACCGAAATATTATAAAATAAACAGTTCTGCATAAACAAATTCGACGAAGTTGCGCGTCATCCAAATTTCACATATATAGGAAACACCCCTATCGGCTCAGAGTCTCTCCCATTTTCATCTCTCCTTCCGAACTACAATGCAATTCTCTTATCTTACGGCGCTTCGAAAGATAAAACTCTAAACCTCCCTGGCGAATCAATATTATCAGGCATTCACTCTGCTCGTGCATTCGTTGGATGGTACAATGGTCTTCCAGAGCATAGAAATTTAAATCCAGATCTCGAAAGAAGTGATGGGAAAGCAGTGGTTATAGGACAGGGAAACGTGGCTTTGGATGTTGCGAGAATACTTTTGACCGGGGTGGATGAGCTCAGAAAGACTGATATTACAGAATATGCTCTTGAAGCGCTTTCAGGGAGTAAAATTAAGGAAGTGGAAGTTGTAGGGAGAAGAGGGCCTTTGCAGGTATCCACACCTTGATATACTTTCCCTCAATAATCTTTAACGACATCTGACACGGAATTCTAGGCGGCCTTTACGATTAAGGAAGTTCGTGAGCTGATGACCCTTCCTTCTGTTGGCTTCGAACCTGTCCCTCCCTCGATAATCCCACAAGACACTTCCACCCTTCCTCGTGCCAAAAAACGTCTGATGGACACCATAAACAAAGGCACAAAATCCTATCCCCTCGAAAAGAACTGGAAACTCTCATTCTTCAGCTCACCAACCGCCTTTTTATCCTCCTCTTCAAACCCCGGCCAATTATCACACATAAGGTTCGAAAAGACAGCCCCCGTTGAAGGTACTAATGGGGACAAAGTCGTTGGAACCGGCGAGCATAAAGATGTATACGCATCATTGGCATTTAGAAGTATTGGATACAAAAGTGAGCCTATTTCTGGGATGATTGAGGCGGGAATTCCATTTGACGAGAAGAAGGGGGTTGTGTGCAATACCTTGGGGAGGGTTGCAAGACCTACACCTGAAGGTGATATTCAAGTTCCGGGAATGTATACAACTGGATGGGTTAGAAGAGGGCCAACGGGGATTATTGCATCCACAATGATGGATGCATTTGATGCCGGGGATAATATTGTCAATGACTGGCTAAGCGGGGTTGAGTTTCTAGGGGAGCAAGGAGATGTAAGGATGGGTTGGGAGGCGGTGAAAAGGGAGCATTCCAATATAGGCCTTAAAGCAGTACATTGGAGCGATTGGGACAAAATAGATAAGGCGGAGAAAGAAAGAGGTAAGAAGATTGGTAAAGAGAGAGAAAAGTTCGGAACAGAAGAGGAGATGATGGCTATTGTATAGCCTTGATCTCCATAAAAGTGTGTATATTACTTCTACCTCAACATATATCTTCATTTATAGAGAACCTCATCTACCATTTCCGCAATTCCCAAACTAGACGTCAATCCAGGACTCTCAATCCCCAACAAATTCACAAACCCTTTAAAACCCTCTTCTTCCCTTATCACAAAATCCTGAAATCCTCCTCCCTTAGGCTGCAACTTTGGTCTAATCCCACAATAATCCGCCGTCAAAACATCTCTCCTTATACCAGGTAAATAAGTACTAACTGCCCCGACCGCCTCTTGTAACCTCGAATCCCTCGCCACAAGGTCATCAGGATTATCAACCCACTCAACATCTGGTCCAAACCTCATTCTACCAGCCATATCAAGCGTCAAGTGTGTTCCCAACCCACCAAGTCCCTCAACGGGACACGGATATATCAACCTCGAAACCTTGGGTTTCAAAGCCGAATACGAAAAGTAATTACCCTTCGCATAATATGGTATGACATGTCTTTCCTTTGGTAACAACATATTCGAAACCAACGGTGCAGAAAGACCGGCGGAGTTTATAACCACATCTGCAGTTATAGTAAACGGTTCGGAATCACCTGTAGATCTTGCAGTGATTTCGTAGTTCCCGTTTTTAGTCCTTCGAAGTGATTCGACGGATGTTTGGAATGAAATGTCAAATTGCTCCAGTGTAGAGGCGAGGTATGTCATATAATCATGCACAGAAATGATTCCTGTTGTCGGGGAGCTAAGTACCCCGAAGGGAGCATAAACCTGTTGCAAACCATATTGGGTTAGTCTGCCATGGCCCCAAGTTTTGGAGCACGGTAGCATACGTCAGGTTCCAGCTTCTCTGCCTCATTCTTTTCGATGAACTTAGTAGGCACACCTAGTCGTATACACTTCTTATGCAACCCTTCGAGGATCTCCCGTTCGTTCTCATTCTGCGCAAGAATCCACTTCCCAAGCCTTTTATGCGGTATACTCTGTCTCTCGCATAGATCGTACAGTAATTCCTTTCCACGGATACATAATTTCGTTTTTAAAGATTGTTCGGGGTAGTATATCCCCGCATGAATGACCTATAGTGGTTCAAGAGGTTAGTGGCTCATATTGGTCAGCTCTATAAAACGTGAAAAGAGTAGGATAAAACAATTAAAGTATTCGTGAGAGTAATCTTATCAACTTGCCTCGGAATTCCTCGATGATGTCTCAGTTCCATACTCCCCATGTCGCTCAATCAGCAAAGTGGGCTTTTGATATCTAGTCGCAAGCCGGGAGGCAACAGCTAGACCTACTACTCCGCCACCGATAATCTTCACAATAGCCAAAACGACAAGCCGTTAGCCGAACATTCATTCGGGTAATTAATAATATTAATTAATGAACCACTAGAAATCAAACTTACACAATGCGCAAAGTCACTGCTCCTCGACACACTAGTCGAGAATAGACGACGTTGGATTTGAAGCACCTTGCTGCGCATTTTTGCGTTGGAGGTGACGTTGAAATCTACACATGCAATCAGACGGTGGAGTCGTTTCGAAATTTAATGCATGTCTCCCTTGATACTGGTATCACATAACCTTTACAAACCTATAGCTTATAATAATAATCGATCGAGATGTATAATGCAAAATCTAGAACGTAGCATGTAAATACGTATGCCTATCCGTAGACATCGTGAATTTAAAATCTAGAATTGCTTCTGATATCCAATCATCGTCTACGCTCACGTCTACGTTCGAAACAATCTCAAAGGATTGAGGAAAATATGTTTTATTCCATATAAAAACCTCTTCTAGTCAATACACATAAAAATGCATACCCACTATCAAGAAAAAGGGGTGGTAGGAGCTGCTGGTAAAGGACGCAGCATTTGAGGTATAAACAATTGTTTCCCTCATGACTAAAAAAAACAAAAGCAAAAGAAAAACCGATCATTTTTGTTGACTATATATTACTAGAGAAAAGAAAAACAAAAGAAAATGGTGAAGAGACAAGGAATATAATCGTAGAGTCGAAAGCAACCAGACGTTACATCTAGAGCTTGTCGTAGTATTCGTTGACGTCTGGGATGTTTTCCTTGAGACCTTTGAGGCTGTTAGAATACTTCTTATTACTTTAAAACTTGGATACATGGATAACTTACCCTTTCTCTTCCTGGCTGGCTGGATGACCTTGGTGAAGATGTTGGAGAGGGGGTCGAGGGCATTTCCGAGTTCGACGGCTTGCCAATGGTCGAAGACGAGCTGTGGGAAAGCTTGACCGGAGGTGGCGGCACGGAGGTCGGTGGTGAAACCGAAAGATTCTCTGACGGGCAAGTAGGCCTTGATGGTGAAGAGAGGAGTACCTGGACGTTGTTCTTCGTGGAAGACCTGTCCGTTCTTCCTTGTCAAGATGGAGTAGACACCACCCATGGCGGTTTCTGGGACCTGAATCTCGACCAAGTAGGTAGGCTCCATCAAGTTTGGCTTGGCCATGAGCAAAGCAGCGTACATGACACGACGAGCAGTTGGAATAACCTGACCACCACCTCTGTGGATGGCATCGGCGTGGAGGGTAACATCCATGATGTTGAATCTGATCGATCGCATGGGTTCCTCGCAAAGTGGACCTTCTTTCGATGCCCATTGGAAACCAGAGACGACGGAGTCCTTGATTTCGTTGAGGTACTGGACAGCCTTGGTGGTATCGACAACCATGTTGGGGCCGTTGGTATCTGGACCGAAAGCCCAAATCTTCCTGGCCTCGGTAACATCCCAACCGTAGTCGTCGGCCAAGATACGAGCACGAGTCTTGACATCGTCCTTGGCGCTGACCTTGCCAGCATCGATGGCGACGGAGAGCTCCTCGTCGATTGGTGCGGCGTGGAGGTAGATACGGTTGTGCTTGTTTGGCGACTTGGACAAGGCGTAGATTGGTGGGTGGAGACCGTCTGGTCCCTGTGGTTGCTTCTCATCTCTAGGGGTCTCGGTGACGGTTTCACGGTATTGGACGACTGGGTCAGAGATCTTGAGTGGGATACCGGCGAATTCACCGAGATCGTTCAAGCAAATTTCCAAGTGCAATTCACCGGCACCAGCAACGACGTGCTCACCGGATTCGGAGGTGGTGATCAAGACGCAAGGATCAGACTTGGCAAGACGCTTCAAACCTTCGACGAGCTTGGGCAGATCGGAGCCGTTCTTGACTTCGACGGCACGTTGGACGACCGGGGAGACGGAGAACTTCATGACCTTCAAGTTGTGGGCGGTCTCGGAAGTAGCCAAAGTACCAGACTTGACCAAGAACTGATCGATACCGACCAAACCGACAATGTTACCGGCTGGGACGCTCTCGATTTGTTCAGCTTGACGACCCATCATCAAGACGGTACGCTGGATAGCCTTGATGAACAAGTCTTCCTTCTTTCCGGGCTCGTAGTTGGGGCCCTGGATTCTGACCTTCAAGCCGGACTTGGCGGTACCGGAGAAGACACGACCGAAAGCGTAGAAACGTCCACGTTCAGATGTCGGTACCATCTTGGAGACGTAAAGCATGAGTGGGGCATTGGGGTCGCAGTCACGGATACCGTTGCAAGACTCATCATCTGGAGGACCTTCGTAGAGGAGCTCAGCACGGTATGCCTGAGCGTTTTGAGGAGATGGCAAGTGGATGACCATCATCTCAAGGATAGCATCGGCAGCTGGCAAGAACTTTCTCATGATGGTCTTGAGGAGTGGCTTCTGCTTCAAGGCCTTTTCTTCCGATGTGAGCTTGATGCCGAGCTTCTCGACGGTGGCCAAGATGCCCTTTTCACCCTCAAGCTTGTCCTCCATGACTTCCTTGAAAATCTTGGAGATTGGGTCCATGATGAACTGGTTGAAGGCACGGTTAAGTGGCTTGCCCTCATGCTTGTCGTTCTTAGTCCACTTCTTGGTGAAGGGGTTGAAGTACATGTCGCCCTATTCGTTCAAAGACCATTAGTTTCGTACAATCTTTTTTGTTAAATAATAAAGGTGAAACTAGGGATCCATACCCATAGACGCTCCATCATCTTCTCCTTGTTGACACCGAACTTCTGGGCATATCGGGTAGCGAACGACCTGATGGTGAAAGCCCAACCCTGGAGAGCGGCAGCGAAGGCAACGTTACCCTTCTCAGGGGAAACTTGCCAGTCCTGGCCGAGGGCCTTGTCTTGGTAAGTGGCGATGATAACGTTGATCTTCTCAATGTTATCACGGAAGCTGAGGAAAATTTCCTCGGAAGTCTTCTGCAACTCGAGCAAGGTACGGTCGACCTTGTTGATACACAGAACTGGCTTGATACGCTCAGAAAGAGCCTGTCTTAAGACGGTCTCGGTCTGGACGGAAGCACCTTCGACGACATCGACGACGACCAAAGCACCGTCAGTGACACGGAGAGCAGCAGTGACCTCAGATGAGAAGTCAACGTGACCGGGGGAATCGATCAAATTGATCAAGAAGTCGTTGGATTCTAGTGCAAGCTTGTCCTTCTTTTCCTTCTCAGCCTTGACATTGTACTCCTGGATTTCCTTGATATCGGCAAGATCCTCCTTTGGGATATCGGCGTGCAGGGAAATGGCAGTAGACTTGATAGTGATACCACGTTCCTGCTCGTCTTTCCTGGTGTCCATGTATCTCTGGTCACCGGCCTTGGACGCGGCAATGATACCAGCGGCCGCGACTAAGGAATCGGACAATGTAGATTTTCCATGGTCGACTGTGTTGTGGGGAAGGTGGGAAAAAATTAGTTTGCAACAAATTAGTAATGAAACCCCACTAACGAACCCCGCCATCGAAGGAGGGGAACGTTAGAGAGGGAACGAAGGAGTTCACGACGTACCGTGAGCAATAACCGACATGTTACGGATATTGCGTCGGTTGTTCTATTTTACAGTCAGCAAGGGCCTCTAGGACGAGATTCAACAGCCAATGCATATTGGTGGCTGCTTGGGTGCAGGTAGAAGCAGAGACAGTGACGGCATACCATCAACAGATGGATCTCATCGACCGTGAAGCTACATCATCGAAAGACACTAGTCAGCAAAAAGATCACATCTATGTCTGAGATAGTGTGAGATCACGTACTTAACCATCTTGACTGATTGATGATGGAAGCCTTTCTAAAAAATGGGTATTGGTATTGGTATGAGGTGGTGGTGAACGAAAGAGAAAAGAGATGGAATCTGTTCTGGGGAGCAGGAAATAAAAAGCCCTCAAGAACCGAACAAATTTTTTTCTTCTTTTGTGCCCTCTGCCTTTTTTAGCAAAGAAACCGGGGTTCTGAACCAAAAAAGTTGGAGGAACGCTACCCTGATGCCTTCTCACTAGGAAGAGGAATCGGGTAGGGAGAATTAAGTAAGAATGGGTATTTGTATTTGTTACGAGATCAGTTTTTCTTTTAAATTCTGAATTTGAAGGGGTTGGGTGGAAGAGATAGAAGAGGAGGAGAGGAGAGGAGACGCCGGTTTTGTGTGGGCGTTTGCAGCTATAAAAAAGAATTTTTGTGTGCGTCGACACTCCACAGTAAACTGCAGTCAGTACAGCACTGGCTGACTACTACCACCAACACTGCATCATGACCAGGTGAGGGGTTAACCGGCCAGGGCTACCCAGCAAAAAAGCAATTTTGCCTTCTAGCGGGGTTGAAGCTTGGACTGGAACTGCTGATGTAGTATGTATCTACTGATATATGCATTGAATTGCAATGGATTGTCCATGATATCACGCTCAGCTTAGCTTAGACCCGCCCAGCAATGTCATCGGCTTTAGGCAAGTCTCTACCGCCTAAACTCCTGTACGTACTGGTCTTACATTACAATACGGAGTACATCGATCTAATTGCGCTTGAAACCGGCCCACTGGTGGTGGCCTCAATGCAATGATCGTTGTGAGCAATAGTACAGAGTATAGAGGTAGTATGTACGAGGTTGTCTATCATCACTAGTGTGTGACTCCCATAATGAGCGAGGATGGCTACTATCGAGCTCGATCGGAATAAACTTCTTATACACCCAGCTCTGCAGTCCTTTTTATAACTAGCACGTTGAGAACGTTACAAAGAGCATGCGTTCTGATCATGATCAGATCTTGATCTATCTCTCGACTTGCTTGCACTTTCGGACACATGATACGGATGAACTCACAATGAACCATAATGAATTACTGAATTTAACTCCTAGTCAAGCTATGCAATCCCAAAGATCCCGTCTAGATTTCGCCGCCCATAAGCTTTTCTCCCTCTTTCCCTCGAACGTTCTTCCCCCGATATTAAAAACTCAAAAGATCCAGTTCCGTATGTGTCATGATACTCTCGCTCCATATCCTGACCACAAAGCAACAAAAAATATATAACTCAAACAACACAAAAATCGCTAAAAAAAGATGACAAACGAAAAAAAAGATGGAACTTAGTCATACAGATCACACAGCTTGAGCGTACATTTGAGTGGCAATGCTCGTACCGGATGGACTTGTGGGTGTCGCTAACGGCGTTAGGAGCGAGTTTTGTGGGAAAAACACAAACCCGGGGCTTGGGTTGGGGTCTTGTTCATGATATGGCGGGACTGGATCAACGTCCTCGACGTTTCGAGGTCGCCATCGTTGTTGGTATCCGATAACTGGGACGGGAGAACCGGTAGTGGCAGGTGCGGAAAGGTGTGCAGTGCGGCGGTGTTGTGGAGAAGTTGGAGTTAGTTGCAAATGGTGTGCTTGAATCAGTTGGTAGGTTTGGGGTCGCTGTGTACGTGTGTGAGGGGTGGATGGAGGCATGGGAGTGGTTGGATAAGGGGAACGTTCTTCCTCGCCGAACATCCAGTTTGCAATCCTTGAGACCGCAGAGGTCAGTCGGACAGCTGTGGATGGAGTTCTTCGTTCTTCGCTGGCAGTTGGAAGAGGCAATGATGTTTGAAGCTGGGGAAGTACGGGCCTTTGACGTTGTGGCTGTGGTTGAGGTTGAGGGGCTGGCTGGGTATAGGTTGGTGGTGATACTGGGAGAGAGTTTCGTGGCCTAGGTGTATCATCTTCGAGCGAGGTTTCGCGGTTCGAGTCTACTTGGGTACCCTGTTGAGATTCTAATGACCGTTGGGTAGTAGTAGGAGCAGCAGTAGTGGCCTCGACGACGATTTCGGTACGTGAAAGTTGTGGGACAGACTCCAATGCACCGCCGGTGGTCGCACTTCGAAATCTCGCTGGACGTTGGGAGTTTCCCCTGCTAATAAGTCTTTCCAACTCCTGTAGGCGTCGTTCGAGGGAAGCCCTTTCCTCGAGTGCAATTTTGATGCGCACGACTGCTTCCTTGCATTCAGTTAAAGTTTGCGCCGCTGGAGCCTCTGTTCTTTCTTCTTCGACAATACCAGAAGCGGCAGTTTCAGGCTCGTTCGAAGTTGACACTGCCACCGACGCCGCAGGAGTCTCCACGGGCTCCTCCACTGCAGGTATAACTTCTCGGGGGGAGATTGCGACAGCCTCCGGCTCATTCGATGTTGGCACAGGCACCGGTACGTCTAGATCAGAATGCATAGAATCCTGATCAAACGAAGTAGTATCCGTGAACGTCCCCACCGAATCCCTCCTCGTGTCAAAGGTTGTAGCACTAGGGCTACTGACCCCATAAGCTCTTCCCATACCCATAGGAAATGGTCCAAAATCTCCGGGATTTACATTCAGATTTCCCATACTCTGCGCTGCTCTGACATGCGTGTGCACCGGTGAAGGACTTGCACAAGATCTTAAATCACCGGGCATACTCGCGCGACGTGTATGATTGGATAATCCAGATGTTGGGCGAGGAATGAACTCTCCGTTTAGGAAGGAATATTGTCCATTACCAAGAGAAGATGTTGAACCAAGAAGTTCATTCGCAAGACCCGCATCGTGAATGGTAAGCATCGGTCCATATGGAGAATTACCACGTTGCGCATCTCTGGCAGACGAAGGACAACTGTGTGATCGAACTGCATGGGGCCGCCGAGGCATAGAATCTACCTCGTCTACAGTGATAAGAGGGAATGGGGTCGGGCTTCGAGTTTCTGAGAACGTAAACAATATATATATTAGTATACATATTTAAATTTATCATGGAATGTTCATCGTTATACATACCTTCGGGCTCCTCCACGTTCCTACCCCAGTTAAATATGGACCGCTCACTGCGACTCCGCGCATGTGACTTCCTAGCCTCGAACTCATCGAGATTTCTTGTCTGCCCACCATTCTGGTCAGCCTGCTCTTCGGAGAACGGAAAGCAGCTGCCAAATATCGATTGAAAAGGCATACTGAAATAAGGAATAAAATAAAATAAAAAATAAAATAAAATAAAAATAAAGGAAAAGGAAAACGGAATAGTTGGAAAGATTGGGGTCAAGTGTCGTTCAGTTAAACAAAGAAAAAAAGAAAAACGAACTTTTAGCTTGAGATGATAGAGATTCGATACAATGATTGCGATCAATTAAGGAAATGAAGAAGAAGATATATAGAAGGAAAGAGACGGATAGAATAGAAAAATGGAAGAATGAAGTTGGTGCAGATGTATCGTCGAAGGATCAAAAGAAAAGGAAAGGAAGCAAAAAGGAAAGGAATTTAATGTAAAGAGAGAATATAAACCGGAATCGATAAGAAAGAGATATCCAAAATAAAATTAAAAACTTACACCAAAGCGAAGGGAAGCCTCAAGCCCTCTCTTTTCTTTGCAAAGTCAGTGAATTCGGGTTTGAAAGTTCTGTGTATCAATGAAATTCCTGAAGGCCTCAAATGAACGGGTCCCCAGAAATTAAACAGAAAGTATGATCACTTGTCTATCCCGCAGATGTATCCGGCGTCAGTCAGCTTGCTGTCCTGACTTTAAAAAGAGAAGGGAAAATAATTGAAAAGGGAAATTAATTCCTCCTCAAATATTGAAAAAAAGATAACGAAACACGAAGGGAAAGAACGAAATCATAAGCCGATCTCGAACATGCGTCCGAAACCCGACTTCTTATAAACCATTCGTCGCAGGCATGCACGTTCCCCCACGTTTCCGGCACCTCTGCAATGCAAGAGCCATCAAAAACATCCTCATCCGAACAGTATGCATAGCATACTTGGAAAAAAGTAAAAAATTCTGGAAGAAAAGTAAAATAAAATAAAATGGGGAAAAACAGACCCACAAGCCATCGCGCAACCAAAAATCTGGGTCTAGTCGAAACTCGAAACCGTGAAACTCAGCGTTGCGACTCGCGAAAGTCCCTTCGCCTCGGGAAGCATCTTGCATATTCGCGGCTTAAGGCTTCTTTTCTGTATCCCAAAATAACCAGCGAGAAGACTAACTACTTCCTGATGCACGTCAATCTGAAACCCCACAGTTGAACGTTTAAATCCCATGCCTCGACTCGTTTCCCTGTTGGTAAACCAAAGGCATCGTTAGCGCACGGCTCTCCAACCACCAAATTCCCCCTAGAATTAAAGAAGCCTGTGTGAAATGATATTAGAACCGCATTACTTTTTTTATTTTTATTTTTTAACCTCTTTCCTTCGCATTGAATCGAGATACGAGCAAGCATGCCTCCCGGGCCCTGCGAAAAACCAGCTTGATAGGGCTGTTTCGCACTGCCAGCCCGAAGCGCGAGATGCTGCTTTTCATTGGGGACTCTGCCAACACGGCCAACGATTGGCTCAGCACTAAGCGCACAGCGGGGAGTGGGGCCCCTGGCCGAGATCACCACTTACTATCCCCAAAAAGCTCAGCTTCTGTAATATAATTTATGCTAAAGTTAGACTCTTCCCGCGCTTCTTAGAGCAGACTTTTAATTACCGGTATATCGTGTAAAGCAAAAAATCGTCGGAGAAAGTGCTTTTCTAGGCAGTCTGTTAATGAGCATCTGGGTCTTCAGCGAATCGCTAGATATGCCGACAGCAGTAGGGCAACTAACCTGGCTCGTCATGCGTTTCCATTGGCTGTTGGACTGGTCGTACAGCAATAGACTGGGAACATTGGATGAAACAACCTCTCAATTGCAATTGCAATGATCCCCCCCAGATATCTCAGAGGGCCACGTCCGGCATTTCGCACAAGATACTCAAGTTCGAATTTGGATAAAATAGGTCCAGAGGGTCTTGAAACCACAGTACCAGATTGAAATGGACACAGGGAACATAGAATCGAACCTTGAAAATGATATGAAACGACGAAAATGATAGTAAATTCGTATAACGCTCTCCAGTTATCTCGCGAACCATGTGTATCCTTGATGCATAATGACAGCTAACCTATCAAGTGACCCATCGCTCTTCTTTCCCACCATACAAAAATAAATGCACACACGATATATGCCCTTTTTCAACGCCCCATTCGATACACACTTGATTTCAGGACGCCTTGCACGAATATGAAAAATAAGGAAAAAGAATCCCAGCAGCTGTCGCAATGAAAATGATCCCCTGATGAAACATCAATACCAAACATAAACACTGAATAGCATAGCAAACAAATATAACGACGGAAGAGGGAACTGAGACAAATAAAACAAGAGAAGCTTGGAAAAGCAACGAGTATTTGCTCGCTAACGAAACGAAACATCATTCTAACGGCCCCAAGGATTGTCGTCATTGGCCAGACTCCCGTATCTCATCCGGTCATCGACTGGGGTATCTTCCTCTTCCTCGTCTTCCTCAGCTACAACAAAGTTCCCTTGGGAGGTAGCTCTAGAACCACTAGGTCTCGAGGTACTAGTGTCGTGTTCTCGTGTATCAATCGGTGGGGGTATGTGCTCTGTTTCAAAACCCGATCTTTCAACGTGTCCCTCATCCTTTGGAGGATACTTGGTAACAAAGATCTTGGGATCTTCCTCGTTCCAACCAGGACCGCCTTCCTTGCGGGCGCGGACACGTTCGATTTCCTCCGCCTGTGTATCCTCGACAACAAGGTCTACAACTCCGGAACGGTCCGAGAAGCGGGACGAGGATGACTCACTCCGATGCAAAGTGTCAGTAACCTTAGACAGCAATCCTTGTGATTCTTGCTCGTCACCATCCGAAATCGTGGCCTTCCCTTTACGACTACGGGAGCTTGAAGCATTTGATCTCTTGCTCCTGCTTCGAGATTGAAGTTTGCTACGGTTCTCGGGTTGAAGGAGGGCTTGGTTTGTGGCTGTTGTAACAAGATAGCGAGATTGGTAGTTCTGCCGGAAACGCTCCGCACTATATGGTTCGTATGCTGTTATGACAGGGTACTAGTTCAATAGTTAGCGGCTTCCTCCTCCTTACATAGGAACACTATACTCACATTATAATCACCAAACTCCATTCCTCTCGCATCATCGTATATCTTTTCCATTTCATCGTCAGTGTCCTCATCCTCGAGATTGTCGGTAGCCACACTGCCGTACGACCTTCCAGCGCCAGCTGCTGCTCTTCTGGCTGGATCGTCAGTAATACCGGCGGCAGAACCAACTCCTCCCAGCAAAGCCGAGCGACTCGAGGGTACCGGCTTTGGTATCCAGTACTTTCCTTTGCCACCGGCTTGATATCTCATTCCTTCCATAATCCTTGCCATTCTCGCAGCACTCTCAGGATGTGCCATTGTAGTTCCATCTGCGGAGTCAAAGTTACGGTATTCATACCCTTTCCCGCCGAATGTGACCTTTGTGTCGTAGATCAAATCTCGAATACCATAGGCATCACGCAATGCATACTGAACTGGCATACGGGCCGCAGAAATCGTTGGGTCCGCATAATCCTTCCATGAAAAGGCGTACCAATGCGCAATAGCAAAAGCCGGCATTTCGCAACAGATCAAGCAGTCCTGAATGGCAGCTGCAAGATTGTCACGAGTGTACTCCGGTGTATCCGGTATGAACTTAAGCCACACCAATATCGAAAGGAAGAAACCTTGCCAGTACGAGGCAAAGATGATGAGTTTGATACACAGAAACTAAACCCCTATTAGCAACGGGTCCTGTCACAACCGTCATCCAAGGGAAACTAACCTTTGGTACCGGCCTAAATGGCCTTAAGTCCTGATGCATACATGCCCAAAACATACCCAGGCTGTATAAACTTATTGTCACGGAAAGATTGTAGATAATCCCACTCCAGAAGTACCCGCTATTAAGCCCAATGTATCCTTCCTGATAGGTATCGGTAGCTTTCATGATGATAGTTGAGAGGGCGAGTACTGGCTTTAGCCATGTGTATTGAAGGATCCCACGCTTGATGTTTAGGAAGGAGTGTGGGTCGCTGATATCGACTTTGGGAAGGCATAGGTTGAGAGGCCATAGGTGTGGAATTGGGGCTCGACCGTGAGTAAGGATTATAAGGGCTCGTTCGCCACCGAGGAAGTTAATGAGCAGTTGGAAGAAGGTATAGATAGTGAATGCCTAAGTTTAAAGTTAGTAGCTGGCATTCGAAGCTTAGTCTCATATAAGTTTTACCTCATATATATCTCGAATCGGGTCAAGGAAGAAGGCAGCCGCCGACGACTTCAAACTAAGCCATGAGGTTATGGCATAAATCGGGACCCTAATATCTCAGTTAGATCCAGATCCAGACCCTGACCTATAGCTAACGAATAACAAGGAATATCACGAACATCAACAAAATCCGCACAACATATCGTTGAAGCAATGGCTTTCGATAATTTTTCCTGCCAAAACTAGGTTAGCCGATGCGTCCCCTCCAATAAAGCCCTTGTATTTCGGATTGCATATGTACAGTTGGAACCATATCGAACTATTTCGAGTTTGTCATTAGCCCCTTCATCCTATCACCAAAAAGAGACACATCGTGTGATCTTACACCACGGACAACAGGGCGGCCACTATCGCGCAGACCCCCGAAAAAATGATGAAAAAGTTGCCTAGCTTGGTCCCCGTGCCACCGGGTTCAAGAAAGCCGGGCATTTTGAACTGCCAAAACTTCGATCGACGAGGAGAAGGCTATCTTTGAAGCATCTGGAGAATCAGGGAAGTTGGAGCGATCTTTGGGGTTGACGGGTTCGCCTAAGGGAGTGGAATGAAGGGGTCTATATCGTTAAAAGGCTACTAGATGTTGGACGATGGCTCTAGAGGATCGGACTTGTGAGGGAAAGGTGATTCGTCAGAGGAGGGGAGATGACGCGCAGGTCCTCGATGGGGTTTAAGTTGGGTTGGTCAAGCAATGTGGCCCATGCACAGCCAGGCCAAGACCAAGGGAAACATCACATTCAGAACCAGAACCAGGGATAACGTGCCGCTTTTGATTTCACCCACAAACAAGGCCCCGCGTGCGGGCGGGCAAATGTTCTCAACGTCAACATGCGTCTGGATTCACGACATGCACACCGATGAGCCGGTTTATACCTCTGTCGAATCACATCTGCAGCCTCTTCAAAAAATAAATAATACATCCTATCTTCAGCAGGATGTCAGCGAAAAGACGAGGCCAGTTTTCATTTTCGTGCCAATATAAAATTTTGCCCACGGCTCCGAACTAGAACTTACACAAATGTTACACTCATGCAAGGCACGTCGGTGTCAATACGTATTCACACGGGAAACCTAAACGGCAAGCTAGAATAAAATTACGGAATTCGAGTAGCCACATAGATTGTACCGAGACCTAAGATACATGTACCCCGATATCCTAGTCTTTGCTCAACCGTCCAAGATAGGCATTCCATCCTTCCTCTTTGTACGCCTTAGCAGACGCAACAGGATCGGGAACCGCGTATATTCCTCTCCCTGCAATGATGAAATCAGCTCCCGCTTCTACAGCTGATTGCGGTGTCTGATACTGTTGTCCCAATTTGTCGCCCTTCGATGCCATATTGACACCCGTAGTAAAGAGCACAAAGTCTTCGTTCTCCAATGGAACAACTTCCGTCTCAATGTCTCCTAATGTCTTAGATGCCACAAATCCGATGACAAACCGACTGTATTTCCGTGCGCACTCCACCGAAACTTTTGTATACTCTCCCGTAGCCAGTGACCCTTTACTTGTCATGGTTGCCAGGATCAAGAGTGCCCTTTGATCTTTATACGGGAAATCGTCCCTTTCCGCTGTTTGAGTTAATGCCTGGACGATGCCTTCTCCAGGAAGCATCGTGCAGTTGACAATATCTGCCCAGCTTGATATTTGCAAAGCTCCGCCGTGGTACTGCTTTTGAACTGTATTTCCGATATCGACGAACTTGCGGTCTTCGAAAATCAGAAAGTTGTGCTTGACTGCCAGTTCTTTTAAAGCTTCGAGAACTGTCAAGCTGAAATTATCAAGTATATCAATATGTGTCTTTAACACAGCAATGTATGGACCAAATCCTAAGCGCTGGTTAGCTGTTGCTCTCTAAGCTATGCTGATTTTCTCTTTCTTGGACGTACTGTCGGCGAGGTCCAAAAGCTCGCCTGCCCTTGTAACATCGGCGGAGACGACCACATTGGTTTCCTTTGCCTGTGCAATTTCGAACAGCCTTCGAGCAACCGGATGTGGGTGTTGTTTGGCTCGTTCGCCGTACGACAAGTGAGATCTAGAAGACATTCTAGAATTTGACAGTATAGGTTGTATATTGTAATGCAGAAGCCAAAGTTTCGCCGGTGTTCAACTTCTGGGAGAGTTTTTTTTTTTAAGAATCGAACCGACGAAGGTTTGAAACCGGTTTTCCAACAACACCAATTTACGTTGTTGGATTTAATTGGCACCGGTCTCGCAGCTGCATACAGCGGGTGATCATAAGTTAGGCTACGCCAACGGTAACAATATCTACTTACAGCAGAACACGGCTAACTTCGAAACATAATGTCAAAAAGCTATAGTACAGGAGTATAGCGAGGTCCAACGAATCTAGACTTGTGCCGCTAGCAGTCGTAGGTGTAAATGATAGTGCTAGCTAGCTATACATCAGGAATCCAGTACTTCCAAACCCGCGGTACCCGAGGCGTTAAAAGAAGGGTTAGTAATCCATGCTATCGGATCTCTTTTGCCAATGCCTTCGAGACAGTAGGGCTCCTTTGTTCCAGGTACCAATTTTCTATCATTGAAATCTTTGTATACTACATTCCGATCGGTGCCATACTTGGTTGCCAAGGTCGGAGCCTGCACCGTTAGGTTCATGAGAAAATAGTGTTAGAATCTCTGGGATTTGACCAGCTTGTTCTAAGGATTGAATGACGATGGCTCTACTTGTTGGAATAGCAGGGCCTGGGGTTTGCGAAGCCTAGTCTGAGACAAGGCCTAGGTTTAAGGATGATATCGATGCTGATGGTTCTCGAGGATCGGTCGATAGGCGCGCTTTGTCCTGGTAGAACAAAAAGGAGTCGATTGTCAAGCCGGTAAGATTGTTTATTATGACTGACATTAACGCGGCCCACAGGTTCATATCGATATATCCTATGCGTGTCGTAATTTTGTATATAAATACTAAATGGGCTTTTAAAAACATGGCGTTTTTGTAATCGTGTGTGCTTTTGAGAATCATGAAGTTTATTATAGATTTCTAAACCGCTACTACGTCGACTATCGAGACTAATTATCAATATATTAATAAGTATTAAAAACCATTAATATGTATACCGCAATCCGGTATTTTTAGTATTTTAATCCTGCTTGTAGAAATACGTATTGCGAAAGCCCAGCCCGAGGATGACGAACGCCGCTCCACCAACTTTTCTGTAACGAAGCCAAATTTCAAAGTTCATGCTTTATAACTCTGTGTATTTATGGACCAGCCTGGCCTAAAGGCCGTTCCACATATTGATATTATGGAGCTAGCTGGGCAGATACTTGGGCTCGCAAGTAAGACCGGTTTTAAATAAGAAGTTTATTGGTTGATGCTACCTATACATGTTACCGAATACACATTTGCCTTCCCTGCGCCCGGATTCTGGGCCATTAATACTTACCTAGGTATCTTCTAGGTCTAGATCAGTATATATATTGAATGCGTATATTGGTTACCCTGAAAACTAGGTGTCGCCGCGAACATGTTGCAGTGAACGACAAGATCGAAGTAATGTGTTGGAAATGTTGGAGGTTGTCTATCTCTATTCAAGAGAAAAAATACAGTTCCCGTCAAAGCTAAGGAATAAGGTATTAAGAAGGAGTTCTCAGGCATATCAGGCATACGGAGGCAGCTAACAGTGTCTACAATTAGTATTGGAAGAATTAAGAACAGAAAATGATTTTCACGAAGCACCTAGGTATTTATATGGGACCTCAAGCCAACAAAAAACCAACACATTTCTTAAGAATTCTGTTTGTTCACTCCCAGGATCTCCCCAAACCTCGAAATAGGCGGGAGGGAAAAAATTTAACCGCAAAACCATCTACGGCGAACCGAAGACGAAAAAAATTGCAAAAAGTTAGTGATGAGAGTGGGATTCGAACCCACGCACGGTTACCCGTACCAGGATGTCACTTGTTAAGGTATAACCTTAACCTGGCGCCATAGACCAACTCGGCCATCTCACCTACTTGCATGAAATGAGAACATAGATTAGTGCATCATATTTCTTCTCGAAGAAGGTAGCAATAGGATTGGAGGCAATGCGATGAGGAGGGGTACGGCGAACAGCGATTTACTACATCTTTCCGGTAGTATGGTCAATTTTAACTAGATTGGCGGCTTTCGGTCAGTGTTGGATCATGAACCGAAAAGAAAAAGAGAATTAATGTTTGGGCGCTCTATGTCGACCGAGCAAAGTCTGATATTCTCCAAATTCGAACTATCAACACAGGCACATTTGTGTGTATATAATATGTATGGCCTTAGCACCCAATGTTGGATGCATACTGACCGTCTTGACAAACTAACGACAGGAAGGCCGACATTATTGACAAAAATATCTGCTCAGATGTACTATAGCTCGCGAAGGCTCATAATGTTCTTAACGAAATTTAATATGGAGAATTTGTGGTATATATATTGAGTAGACAACGCTTTTGGCCGGCCGACCTTGCCTAGTTGTCGAGTTTGAGACAGGCTATTAAACCAGTGTCTAATATCTAGGTATATAGGACAGATCATTATTAGAGTGCTTTAAGCGTCAAGCGCTGTATTATTTTAATTTTAAAGTCTTACAAATCAGGTCTGGATACAGTACTAACATGCAGTATTTCCACAATTCAATTGCCGAAAGAGAAAACAAATAATTGATAGCCCTCGGTGTGAAACAATATAAATGTACATCTAAATTTTTTTGAATTTTGATAGATCAATTGGTCGCTGGTTGCCGGGAGGTTTCATCTGACTGTATATGTTGGAAAGATATATCTCAACATACAGCGAGTAAAAGCACCACCATTTATAAATTTACAGAGTCTTCTATATTGTCTTATCTGCGTAGTTACAACTGGGAGAGATTCAACCTTAGATAATCATACAAGAGATATTCAAAATGCATATCTGGCGCTTATCGTCGCCCTTTGCGATTTCATTGTGGTAAAAGCGATGACTCCACCTGATAAATGCTAGAAATTGCATAGTTAATGTGAATAGTTTGGATAGCTCAGGCCATACCCGGAAGCTTAACGGCTTGTCGACCATACTTGCGTGCCCAGTAAACATATCTTCCAGGTCTGTCGGGATCTGAGTAATATATGCATCTCAAGTTCCGTGCCGTTAGCAATTGGTCAATAGGTCAGCATATATATATACATAGTCCTGACTACTGTATCTACCTTGCCAGGCGCAAATAGAGTGTATAAACAGCAAAATTCGTCTGAACTCTTGCAATCCGGTGAGTTGTCGAAGTAAATTCGACCCTGTTGCTTCGAAATCATAAGTTCTGTTTCTTGCTTTCTTGGTGTGGACCTAACCGTACCCGGTATCCATTCCTAAATGTTGGGTATGATTGTATTTCGGCGGAGCTAGCTGAATATATACTGTATATATAGTTCGAAGTTCATGGATCGCTGAAAACAGATAGACATTCTTTGGAATCAGCTTGGTCTTTTTATTATCGATATACTCATCGAAAAGTCTACGGCAGGCCTTTGATTCTAGAGCCCTGACGAGAGTAGTAGTAGTATGTATATATAATGAGCCGCTGCAGTGCCTTGTACCTAGTTGTCCCATATATAGGCCTAGCGAAGGGCCCTTCGAGGGCTTGGTTATTACATACTAGCCGCGGCGAAATCGGCCCAGGCATGTCGTTCCGGGAAAGGAAGTATATTTAAGACTATCTATCGCAGGCCCTTGAGTAATCCTCATCATCCTCCCAGCTTTTCTGATGGTAAAAAAGTGGGGGTGGGGGCTAAAACCTGGGATTATATATATGTAGAACTTGAGAAAGTTGTGGCATTCAGTCAAATCCACAAAGCAGCGATGGTAACAAACCTAGGCAAAGGAGGCCCCGAGACTAGGTGAAGGAAGGTGGTTTCTGAAGATATATAGAAAAGCCGTCTCGCATATGGCTGACCAACACACACGTTTGGGTTGTCCTGCGATATAAATTTACATGCGTGGTTTAGTTTGCAGATAATTTTGTAGTTGTCTTGAAGAAAGGATGAAGGAGAAAGATTGTTCCCTGGAGCTAGAGGAGGAGGAGGGGGAGGAGGAGGAGGGGCAGTTATCTACATGATTCTAGCGTCGGGAAGAGTTACGAGCTGTTGATCAAGAAGCTTCCAGTAGGGCAGGTGAAGCTATTGGGGCTTCCCTTCTATGACCTAAAGTATAGTGCCTTGGATCATTTATAAGTTAGAAACTGCACTGTCGTACGTACATTAGGTATGTTGGTACCGTAAGCTTGCGTATAAGGTTTCGATCGATCAGTTATTAGCGGTACCGCAGTATACTAATAGCTAGTATGTATTTTAATTTTTAATAGACAGTTAGATAGAGGTCTTAAAATTAAACTGAGGGCAATCGTTCCAAAAAAATATCTCCACCAAACTGTCAGATCAACAAGATAGTCATCTATTAACAGAATACCCGATCCACTAATTTGGTTCACGAGTTAACACAGAGCCAGCGAACGCACATGTCGAGAACCAAATTGTGGTATTTTTTTCAGAACCATGCGTTGCCTGCACGGCCTGGTTACACGGGCTGTCAAGAAGTCTTGGATGTTACACAAAACTCTTGAGCCTCTCTACCTAGCTGCAGTATCGATCCTGGCCCTAATCCTGGAACAAGGTTGCCTAATTGATGCGTCCATATAATACCCCCTGAAGTTGAAATGTTTCTTATTTCTTCCTGCATGTGCGTTAATAATTGCAATCGCCACATTATTCTAACAAAAACGAACCACTTTTCATCAGTTCCGCCATCCTTTCATCGATTCCTCCAATCTCAGGTGAACTCGTAATGGGCGATTTAGTCGACCTCTCTTTCCCTTTCCCTAGTTCACTTGGCCTTTTGCTTGACTTTTTAGGGATTGGGACGGGAGCTAGCTTTACGGGCTCACGCTCACCTTCCGGGATTGTCGTTGCGTACTTAATCGACGGCACCGCGCTCGTACTTAGTGGAGATACCGGTGAGTCTAGGGCTGCTGCATAGTTCCTAGTTGATGCTTGGAAAGACGGTCTTTTGAACTGTAGTGGCTGTGGCGGAAGTGGCTTTGTTTCGGCTTCACACTCTGCGGGCAGTTTGAGATCGAATAGCGAGAGCAGAAACACTAGCAGTTTTTTACTTTCGCTGTTTTGATATAATTATATATTAATATTTTCTTTAGTAAAGCGATTTAAACTTTGGTTCAGAAGCTAGAGTATCAATATCTTACCCTTTCACGATATCATCAACTTTTTTCTTATAACTTCCCAAAATGACAAAAAGTATATTTCCAGCCTCTCCAGTTGCAAGCTGGTCGTTGGTATAGAACTCCCTGAACCTTGAAATATCTACTCGTAGTTTCTGAAGTTCTCCTGAAAGGCTAAGAAGACCTTCCGCACCTGGGTTTTGGGATCTGGAGATATGTTCATCTTGGGTATGGATCTCTTGTATGATCTCGCAGCAGTGACCGAGGGTGCGAAGGAGCTGACAGATGCGATTTAACTCTATGAGGCGAGGTGCTTGTTTTGAATCCGGGGGTATATCGATCTGGAATTCCTGAGACGGGACCATATGAGATGGAAAAGAAAGTGAACTACGGCTGGACACGGTGACTCGAGCTGAGAGATAGGCAAGTCGCTGTTTATACGTTTGGCTCTTAAATGTTTGAAATATGGTTAGAATCCATCACTAATCAGGTTTTGAAATCGAATGACCGAATCGATCTAGAGAAGTGCCATGGAAGCATACATACAATCTGATTCGTGATTTCCAACTCGATACCCCCAAGCTCTGGTTCAATCGTACTCAAGACATAACAACAATCAAAATACGCCCTTGCGGCTCCCGTATATACTTGAGCTTTATCAAGAACGACGGCCAGACGAGCCAAGTGCAAGGCGTGCCCGAGTATATCACTCTTGGAGTTGGTTATGCATGCTTGTTCAGACCGAAGCCAGTCGCACGTCGAAGTAGACACAGATACGATGGATGTTCGGGAAACATCTGAGGCTCCACCGGCGGAAGATTTACAAAGACTGAAAGGGTTTAAATTTTGCGAGATTGGAATGCAGTTGAGGCGTGTGGATTTTAGATCTTTAGCCCGTTTGAAGAGGGACATTCTGTCAACTTGATATTACAATATCAGGCTGCGAGTCCATGGAGCTACGTGTGATAATTAAATTAATTTGGATTTACTAATTACTATTAAATCGAAACATAGGAGGGTTTTTGATAGAATATTCAGTAGTTACTCTTCTACAGATCCAACTTTGCCTCAGATCTTGTAACCCATTATTTAAATTTGTAGACTTATAATGAAGTAGTGAATTAGTGCTGTGCCAACCAAAATTCAAAACCCGGAACTCTAACAAACCACACGGCTATCAATGACTCGGTCTCGCCCAATGTCCGATGTAACATTCATGAATTCAATTCGAATTCTGGCCTCCTCTACGAAAACAAAGAAACGCTAATTCAAAGGTTGCCTGCAATACAAATGAATAACCCTGGCAGCGTTGTCGATACCTTGTTGATATTGTTATATCCTCAAGTAATCATTATTCAAGCCGGTCCGGTTGGAGAACGCGATATCCGATCACCCGATTAAGCTAGTTATCTGCATAGAGCCTTGTCAGGCAGATCCGACCACGAGGTCCGGGAGCGTTAGAAACTTAACAAATTTTGAACGGACGATATTTGCGAGAGAAAGAAAGATAGGAAAAATAAAGGAAAAAAGGAAAGAAAAAAAAGGAAAGAAAACAAAGCCCTTTTATACCTGCATTGGCTGTACATACAAACACACATTAGCTTCTGAGTCAGGTACGGTACGATTCGTCTACAAATGAGTTTTAAAGCTAAGAAAAATATACAAGTGGTGTGAGGCTGTGAACGTGAACATGAATTGGGAAAAGAGCCTGTCGAAAGTAACCTGGATCCGATTTGATTCAAGACCGTTCGCCGCATCTGCACATGCACGCCAAACAGCTACTGCACTTTTGGCCAATTAAGCTGAATCAAGCTGCTGGGACTCATCCGTTTTCCTGCCCCCGCAAGACAAATGCTTAATTATAAATTAGTAAACGGGAGACGCGACTTTGAGTACGGTCGAGGTGTTAACCAATTATTGTTAATTCGGGCCAGCAATATTAATCGTACCGCGAGCAACTTCCTTTTCACTGTTAATTAGCGAAAGTCGCTATCGATCTGTTCTTTTAGCTTTCTATTTCAAAAGAGGCATAACCATTCCAATAACTATTTGAGTACTTACTTAAGTACTTAATTAAAGTAAAGTGTCTACTTTATATTTAAAAATCCCGCGGGGTCTATCGGTGGTGATCAGACACTGTGCAGTACACCTATAATTATAATTCTTGTGCTTTGACTGCAACAACCTTCACACTCAGCCAACCAAACAAACCAGCCAACCAACCACAACTGCAACTGCAACCACAACCACCGCAACACCTTTCAGCTCAAATCCATCTTATCCATCATCACAATAACCACTATCTACCATCATCTCCTCGTATTCTATCGCACGCTGACATCGTAAAAAACCGATCTTAAGCTTCAATAGCTCTGTCCTCCATTCCCAAAGCCTTGTGAACCTTCTCTTCCCGGCAGGACCCAAGCTACGATGCATATGGCTCAACAGCCTATTCAGAACGGCAACCTAGCTCCAGGTGCAGGTGCAGGCATGGCACCTCTCTCGACTTCCCCCTCGCATCACCCAACATTACCATGGTCCAACGGCATTCCATCGCCTCCTCGCATTCTGGTCCCGCCTCCAACTCTGATCAACGATCCCGCCAGTCGCGGAAGACCTGGAACCAGACAGCCCCTAAACTATGGCCCACCGCCCAATGGTACCAGTCTCAGTAGCTCCCAGCTACTTGCTAGTTCCGGAATCCTTCCCACTACCCTCCAAGATTGGCGATATGAATCTCGTCGTGAAGCCCAACAGATCCTCCCACACCTTTATCTAGGCCCCGTCTCTGCTGCAAAGGATCTGGCTTATCTCCGACGCGAAAATATCACCCTTCTTATCGCCGTCCGAAACAATGTTACTGCCCGGCATCGTCTTCTGAATGCCTACAATGAAATTGCCAAGGACCCGGAGCTCAAAGCTCGCATTCGCTTCGAATCAGTCGATGTCTCAGGTAACCAAGAGCTCATCGCTTCGTTCCCGATCGCCTCGAAATTGGTTGACGATCACCTCTACAACCATGCACCTCCAGGTTTCGCCCGACGTAAGCCAAATGGCCTACCGGAGCAACCTCCAAACCCAGGAAAGACCCTGATATACTGCGAATCCGGTAATGAACGTAGTGCTGCTGTTGCTGCCGCCTACATCATGCAGCATATTAACTGCAGCGCCGTTCAAGCAATACAGGTCATCCAGGGTCGCAGATTCTGCGTCTGCTTCGACGATTCCATGAAGTATCTTCTTACTGGGTATGAACCGATCTGGATGGCTAGACGTGATGTTGAAATCCAACAGCTCGCTGCCGCTGCTGCCGCTACTGCTTCTCAGCATCTCAACGCGGTATTCGGTAGACCCCAACAAGAACCCGCAAACACAGGAAAGAAGTCAAAGCGAGGAATCGAGGAGGCTTATGATGATGAAGACATGTCCGGCGGAGACTACTCGTTGCTCACAGAGCTTGATGCGGCCAGGTTCGAGAAGAGAGAAGGCATTGCGCCGTTCTCGGATTCCCAGTCATCAGCAATGTCACTCGACGATGCAATGGATGTCTAAAGCTTCTTGTCTAAGACCTTTTGCTACCTCTCTTTAATCATTCTGTTCACACGTAGTCTTTTCTTCAAAAACACTGCCGTTACGGAATCCGATATGTTTTTTTTTAATAAAAGCCAAGCTGGGGTGGTTTATGAACCGTTTGGTTACGCTTTTTGCCTCAGCTTACTTCACCCTAACTCGAAGGGACTTCTAGGGACGTCTTTTTTTTTTACTACCAGTCCTTTTTTTCCATTTGGAACTAGACTTCCAGCCCTTTATGAATGTTATGAATCCCTTCTTTGCATCACTATACCCACCTCTCGCGTTTGTCCTTTTTGCTTCCTTCGTTTTCACCCCCCCCCTTCTGGACCCCTTCACTCTGTGTATACCGAAAGAACGCTACTCTATGGTAAATTACCGTTCTTCTGTTCGCCCAATAGATCAAGCCCTTTCCTCTATTACCACCGTTCTATATCTTTTGTGCCTCGCATTCTGTCATATCATTCGTATTTGATTGATAGAGGTAGCCTTTTTACCCCCCTCTTTCTTTTTCTTTTTCTTGTTCTTTTTCTTTTTCTCACTTGTGCTTTATTTCCCCTGAGAGGGTTTGTTATGGGAGGAGTTTGGTGGACTTTACTCTTTTTTTTATTATTTTTATTACATACAAAGAAGACGATTGTTTCAATATAAAAAGTGGGTGGGGACTGGAAGGAGTTAGTCAGAAGCAAGAATTTAAGTACTTTATTTTTTGTCATATTTTACTATTTCCCCCCCTCTTCCTCTTCCTCTGCTTCTTCTTCTTCTTCTTCTGCTTATTTGCCTGATCTTGCTGTTTACTCTTCTGTTTTTTTATAACAATAAAAAAGTATAGTAAGTGATACCATGAAGATGGTAATCTTCATGTATGTAATTGTTTGACTTCAATTATATTATCATCGGTCATTATGTTTTTGTCCCATAAGCTATTAATATTAGTTACTACTTAAGTATTACTTTTGTCTTGTATCCAGGTATTACGTATTACGTATTTATATAAGTATATATATATATATAGTAGCACTCATGAAAAGGCATTTCATAATATCAAGAGGTCTAGAGGTTTAGAGAGTAAAAGAGAGTTTCTATAGAGTATCTGTATACCTTTTTTTTTATATGTATGCTCCAGGTGAAACAAAGAAGAAGAAAAGGAATAGAAGGCCGCCACCAATCGTACCGGCTTCCACCCATACCATTGCAATTTTCCACGTTTCTAACCGGGCAAAAAGAAGAAGAATTGAGAAGAGAGGGGGAAATGAAAAGGAAATCTATAAAACCACAGCGGGGGATCACTGCATGCAAAGCAGCAGAGTGTTCTGTCAGAAGGTGAAAGCAATTATCAACATGAACTAATCACCACCCAGGGTGGAAAAGAGAAAAAAAAAAACAAAGATCCCAAAGGATCTTTTAGAATCCCAAGGTGTATTAACAGCTGAGCTGAGCTGCTGCTGCTACTATTGCTGTTGCCGGATCACCTCAGACTCAAGCATCGAGGCTAGCGCAGTTAATACGCAACATGTATTATGAATTTTTTTTGAAACCTAGTCCCACTTCAAAGCACAACCCCTCCCAACAGACCCTTCAAATACTCCACCACTACAGAATCAAGCCCTCTATCATCTCCAAGCGCCACCTCAACTCCAGCAGACTTATAAACCGCAAACACCAACTCCTCAAAGACTTCCCTATCCCTCATCGCCTCTTTTAACCATTCACCATCTGTACTTTTCAAAGCTTCGGCCAGTAACCCTCCACTAATATGCTTCAAACTTCCTTCTTTCATCATCTCCACCTCCCGATGGTCAAGTGGTTTACTCTTCCCCGGTGGGTAAGTAGCCTTGATATAACACTTTTGTAAATAAGCCAACAAATTCGTCGCCTCTTCGTTCAGGATCGTAAATTTGTAGATAGCCCCATCGAAACATGTACCGATGATATCGGAATCCGGACTGATTACTCCAGGTAATTCCAAACTCCTTGGTCTCCATGGCGCCCGAAGATCGCCCATTCGCAAACTCGCAATGCTATTAGGTAGGTGGGCTTCGAAAACTCGGGTTAAGCAGGTTGTTACGCGGCATTCGGTGGGCATCCATAGACCAACGATCCCTTCGTCACGATCAGCGGCTATGAAGAAGTTTTCTTTTATATGTAGGTGACTTCGGCCGGCTCTTTCTTGGTCGTCACTACAAGAGTTTTGTTAGATAAAAAAATATCTTTTTTCTCGATATCTTCACACGCTGGGAAGAAGATACCTATAAACACGCTCTAAAGACGGTGAAGGGTCTTCCTTCACGCGGTATATCGCTAGTGCGTCTCTAGTGCTCGATACAGATATTATCTGATCTTGATCCCGTGTAGTAATCTGAAGTGGCGTAGAGTCTACGTTGTGAACAGTTTGGTTTTCGAATCTAAAGCATCCGAATCAATGTCAGAATAACTTGGCAGGCGGGAGTGTTTCACTCATCACTTACTTCCATTGGCCTGTAGCATTACGGACCAAATCAATCTTCGAAAGGGTCTTTTCTGTTCCGTATATCACTGAAGCTTTGCCATATGTTGCCAATGAATGCACCGGCTCGGGACATAAAATCTGATTCCGCTTTCGAATTTCCAGCTTCCTTTCCGTGCCAGATTTGACGTATCTTAAAGATAGAACAACAACTCGACCTTTGCGAGGCAATTTTTCTGTAACTTCGTAGCTTGTGCCCACGAGGATACAGTTCCACGATACACTCTCGTCTGGGAAAGCCCAGTCTATAGATGTGAGATTTAGCAAAGCAAAAAATAGACGTTGGATGATCAGATAGAGCGTACTGCAAAGACAATTTATTTTCTCATCTTTCTTATTGAAGATGAGTTCGTCATACTTCCCATCCCTTAGCTCACGAGGTGCCTGAGATTGCCCTCTAAGAAAGTTCGTATTAGTCCCCATGTCGTCAAAGATTCAAATAATTTTTGACTACTCACGTCTTTGGGTCGAGAAACAAGACAGTAGCACGTGGAGACCTCAGACCCCTTCCGGTTTCTAAGCTCGGAGACTCATATGAAGCTTGGTGACATACAACTGCCAGTAAGTCCTCCTTCTCGTTATAGATTATTCTGGAAGGAGTTTCCTTCAATTCAAGTTGTCTTGTGCATATCGTTGGCATCCTGCTGGTCATCGCAACTATTATCGAAGAATCTGTTGCACAAATGATAGGGTCTGGAAATTGTGTAGACCTGAAATCATGACTAAGGTGGCAGAATGCTTCAATCGAAGGCTATCAATATGTCAGCCTTCTGAATACTTTTCACCAACTTTCATAGTACCTACCTCAACTGTCTGATTGAAAACGACGGACGAAACAACTAATTCAGACTCTTCAATACTTAGTTGGAAAAGTGAGAAGGTCGAGTGAGCGAGGGCTTTGTCAGGAGTATCATCCCTCACAGAGAGCACCACAGGCAACCTTCCAACCTTGACCCTCTTTAAAGGGTTGAACTCTAGGGTCCTAGTGTCTAAAAATAGTTAGGCCCTCCCATCTCTTATTAGATACAATGCCATAAGTATTTACCTATTTCGCCATAGAAGACGTATCCGTGTCGAAGACCACATAGTAAAAAGGTCTTCCCGCCCGATTCTAGAAGGCAGACGGATTCACAAACTGGAGATTGGGCTTGTGTACAATGGGGGTCCTCATCGATCTCAGTTGCTGGGATAGCTATTAGAATATTTTCTCTAGTTAATGATAATCTCACTTACTAGAGATCTGAGCTCGAGGGGCAAGAAGGCCGTCTGGGTTGAGCTCGTAAAGATTCAGTGTGCTCGAAGCCTCAACCAAGTAAGATTTCCCTGAGCTGAAGTTGTATTAGTAAAAAAAACTATCACTTCGTACCCTGAGCATACACTTACATGTTTAAGAAGTCGAGATGAGTCGGCTGAGATGATATATCAAGAGGTTCTTCCCGTTTCTTGAGAAACCTAGAAACCCACTAGTCAGCTCACATTCAGCCCTGAATATGCAGCGTTGACATACTCCTCCTGGTCACCATTTGATACCGGCTGCAGCTCCATATTCCACAACTGATACCCAGATTCCGATTTTAAAACCAAAACCACAGTATCACCTTCTAAAGCAGCCGAAACGATACCATAGCCGGCCGGGCAATCCCACTCTTGTCGTGGAGTAGGCACTTGAATATCCGCTTCGACATCTACCTCATTAAGTGTAGTTGAATAAACGCCTTCCGTAGTAACTTGGACGGCACGCCCTTTCACAACCCCAGCAGTCAAAGTTTGAACGTTATCCCCAATCCTAAGAGAAATAACGTCGGCGGCATCGCTGGCATCCAGTGTATTGTACGGTAGATACCACAAACTCGTTCCAAGTACTAGACAGAGAAGCACAAAACATCCCGTCCCTGCACTCCCCGGAAGAGGTATCACCTTTGTCACAGGCTCGTTATGCTCAATGACGGTTGCAGGTCGACATTCGATTCCATGGCGGACCTCAGCAATAGCTCCGTGCTCTCCGAATCCTGTACATGCGTACAATCGGCCCCTTGAAGCGGAAAGGTTGCTTCGGTCAGCAGTTTTCAAATTTAGGATATCCATGTCGAACATCGGTGACCAGTTGAAAATTTCCTGAATGAAGAGCGGGTCCCTATTCGATGGTGTATTTGGCCGCTTAGGCGTGATCTATTAGGCCATCAGCATATACCCCAAAACTGCTCATCATCTTAGAAATGTCCCACCATGTAAGTACCGCCCGCACTCCCTTCGCCGGCTGCCACCAAAAGGTCGCTGCTGGTAGGCGTTCGAATTTCATGGAACGTAAGCGCCGCCCCTACGGTCCCGGCCAGCTTTCCGGATTTAACAGTCTCGATGTTGGGCCCGTAGCTCCCAGAACTATGATTGACGTAAATCCAGAAGAGCTCGCCATTTTCTTTGACGACATAAAAATCATCATTTCTCTGTGCGTAGTCTGCATTCCGATGCGGTCTCGCCCACGCGGTGACTAAATTCTCTAATAGACAACTATTTAGCAAGGGGTAGCTTCTAAAATAAGTGGAAGTAGAATTCAAGTGGTAGTGCTTACGGTCTCTATTGGCAACGATAGGTATTGGGAACTGCTGCCATTTACAGTTACCGTTTGTTATATCGATAGCTTTCCCGACACAGATCGAACGTTCACAGATCATAGCAAAAAACGTTGGAATCGTCAAAGGAATAATATGAAGTGGCAGCCCCCACCCTAGACAAAGTCTTAGTCAGAGTGCATATCATTCAATAGGGAACGTTACCGTACTCTCCGGAATTCGAAGTCCATCTTGGCCAAGCTGTGCCGCCCTTGAGAGCGGTTCAGCCGTATTCCATTCGTACAACAGGACTCTTGTCTGCCTCAGCTTACTACCAGATCCTTCGGCATTAGTATCACAGGCCCAAAGTGGTTGTCATCATTGCATAAAGTGCATACTTCACGAATAAAACCACAAACACAACAAGATTCTCCTCTTTTGCCCGCAGAAACTCGAGGTGAACAATAGTCCCAGGTACTTGAAATGTCTTTTCCTGTATCACACAATTGCTTTTTTTCAGTAACTGGAAAACACTGGTAGTGTTGAATATTGTAGAACGCAGAACATACATGACGGAGAGGGATGAAAGATTGACCATTTGCCAGCCTCTGTTCCAAACCTGCTGCGTCGTTTGTTTCGTACAATTTGAAACTGCCCTCCCAAGCACATACAGCTATGGCCCGAGAGCTGTAAGAGAACACTTTTGTTAGTTTCTATGTTTGTAGTTATCCATCCATACGCTTAATATAAAAACTTACAGAGGGTCGACCGATATAGCTTTCCCAACATGGCAGGCTTGGGACAATGTCGGTGAGAGTCTTTGAGTTGAGACTATAAACTCTAACCTAGCTCCTCTCGAGCCATCGACGTAGACGAATGCTAGATCCCCGGATTCCAATGCAATAACCAGAACCTGCTTTGGGACCTTTAAAGAAGCACTCGATGAAGACGGGAGGGGAGTGCTACCGTCTTCTTGCTTGATCTGATTCAGAAAATCAACCTTCTTTCTGAGATCTATCAGACCTGCAGACCGGATTTTGCAGAAGAAGTCGCTCTTTGTAGCTAGAAGCTCTAGATTCAACCTTTTCGACAAGTGTCGTATTTCAATATGTCGTTCCTATCCTCCCGCCTCACATCAAAGGAATTGCAGTGTTAGCGAGGTTTTCTATCACGGGAATGCCCTCCCCTCTGTCTTTTTTGTTAAAATAATTTGGCCAACAAGAATTTGAACCTTGCGGATAGTCGAAAAGGTCACGAGGGGCTGAAAAAAAGGCACCGAGGAATCCACGCACCCCAACAAAGATAACATATTTGTCGTCTGTATCGCATCGGATAGATGCAGAGAAGATAGAACGAATGACTGGAGACGGAGATAAACATTCGGATAGCAAGCCGTATTTAGGGCCCGTGTCAAAGGCTACATGTGGCGAGTTGGCTATTCCCTTATCCTTCAGTCCATTATAAACCTCGAGAGTTAAAAAAAACAGGCATCCTTTTGAGTAGTGTGTAATCACCTTCGTTATTTGCAGCACGTAGAAGTATGGTATCCTCCATCAGCGCGGTCGACGGCGGGGGATGTTCCTCCCTGTCTCCGGGATATTTCAAGAATACAATAGGGAAATGAGATTTAGATCTGATGAGTGATCTTAAAGATGGAGGTGGGCTTGGGAGACCTCTCGAGCTGCCTTTGCTTTGCAATTGGTGTCTCTTGCTAAAGAAAGAGCTGTCGCTTGTTGGAGTGTTGTTGCGTTTTAATATCTGCTAAATTCAAATCAGAATAGCTCTTTGGGTCGTAGTTTAGATTATAGCGTCGACGTCAGGATCAAACAACAATTAGGGGAAGAGGAGAAGAGGTATTTGGGACAGTCGGGATGTAGGATTTCGGAGGTGGAGATTGTGAGGGAGGAAACATCTCGAGCTGGCTTGGTACTCACCTCATAGCCAAAGTATGTAAGGGTCACCACCAAGCTTGCAAGTCAATGGAACATGGACAACCTCACACCGCACCTGTAAACTAGCTTGACGACGTCTGTTCGAAAAAACGGATCAAAACTGCAGCCATGTGAGTAACAGAACGGAGAAAAAAAAAAAAGACTTATGCAGAACAGTGGACTGACTTAGCTTAGATCGTTCGATCGTCGCTTGCCTGCTCGCCCATGGCAGCCAGTGCAGCGCCGTGCAGCGGTAGTAGTAATGAAGAATTACTCGCCATACCAGCCTTCGTCTTCACGTTTGATATTTGCTTTTAAAATGGAAAGGATATGATCAATATTTGCCATATAACGTCCAGGACTATTACGGATTCTCGTCTGTTGAAGGGACCCCGCCGACTAGACTCAGACTAGGGCATGTTGGTCTTGCAATCCATAACTAGTTCATATATGGTCGAGTGCAGTGGAAGTTACTCCGTACTAGCGTGTGGGTTATACGCGACCCGAACGGTTTAACCAGACCCCTCTCCGATGGAGCATACTTCAAGTCAACGCCTAATCAATCCCGCCAATACTAAGAGATACTCAAAGATACCTTCAACCGCAGTTGTAACACCGCCTAGGCGATTTAGGGTCTAGGCTTGGTTGGAGATTTATAACGATCCCCACCCAGCGCCTTGTTGGACATATCTGAATTCGCAACAGGCACCAAGAGAACCAATCGCGGCTGCAGCTAGCAATTACCCTTCTAACGGTTTCCTTCCTGGGTATCCTGGCAACAGTGGCCGTGCAATCACTGCCCTTTGCCAGTGCCGTAGGTAACCAGAGTAGTTTCTCCTACGGAAAACTACAGTAGCTATTAAGTAAGTAATAACTATTTACTTATCTAGATGCCTGTACATTACTCTGGGCATTATTATTGCATTGGACTACCGAACTTACATCTGGTTTTTAATTAGTGCTCTGCACAGTCGAGCTAGGAGAAACAAAAGAGAGAAAAACCTGTAACGAATCTTGCATACCGCCCGTGTATGTGTTTCAGTAGTCTATCATATAGCATGGGCGCCATGAGTTTTACATAGTCCTAAGCTGACTAGCTATGGGAGAATATAGCCGGCTATTATTAATAAATCCTCGAAGATATTGCCTCCTCTGCCTGGTTCGGGTAGCCGATCCAATGCCTCCCATTCGCTCCTTGGGCCCAAGAAACTTGGAAATCTTATGCAAGACTCGGTCCGGAGGGATATGGCAGTAAGGCGTAACTCGGAAGGCGGGATGGCAATGGATACCGGTATGTCATAAAACCACACTCCAACACCTTGGTAATGTTCCTGTATCACATTTTTTGACACCCATCACCCGGAAATCATCAAGCTAAGCTATAGTTTGTTCTTATATGTTATCGCTAATGCCTGGTATAGTATCAATCCGAAGACACTGCCAAGATCTAATTGGCCAGGCCGGATTTATTTGATGCAGCCATATCACGAGGTTGTAATGTGATGGAAGAGCCCCTCTTGTCAAGGAAGTAGTGGACAAGAAACGCAATTCGTGATAGTAGGATCATGAATCACCTCATGAACCTCGATATCGAGCGATTCAGGAATATTTTCATCCGATCTAGACTATAGTCCCGCCTGTCACGTTCGAAGCCTCTCGCCAACTGACGAATGATAAAAATTTGCGTCTGCAGTTATTTATAATGCAAACCCAGTCACATGGGTTTCTGGGACGAGGCTAGCTGCAGAAACAGAGTTGATATTGGTGACACGGCATGGAGATTCGAGAACGGGATTAGGCGAAGGTCTTCCTCGTGACGTTTTTGATGCATTCTTAAGCTCAGGGTGTGGATGATTCCCAGGCCCGCGTATGCAGGATCCTTTGGTATCATAGGACACACCCTCACAGGCATCCGTCAAGCAATAAGGTACGGCCTGGCACGAATCCGAACCCAAAAACCTGCACCATTTTGCATTTTTACCGATTAGATTTTTCTGCAAAAAAACGCCGCGTGTGCCGCCCTCCCGCAGATTCTCAGCTTAAGTCGCCCACCGGAATGCTTTGAATCGTGATTCTGCCCCAAGATCGTTGGATTCCTTCACTGACAGAGAGGGGTATTAATTTTGACTTCGGATCAAAGAAATGGTAGTCAATCGCTTTCCACTTTATGCCTGTGGTCTGGGAAAATCCCGCATGTTCACAAGCTACTCATCCAGTTTCTCAAGAGCACATTGTGCACAGAGAGCTCTCCGTGAGAACAGGGTATGAGTGACGATAGGTTGAACCTGGAGAAACCTTTCGATACTTCAATGTACCAGAGGTGGCGCTGGATTCAATCGCACTAGGCAATCAATATAATTCTTGGCCCCCATCCGGTCCCTTCGCTTCCTCGAAGCGACCCGTCAGTGATCTAAAACTCCTCCTAACCCAGGTTAGAATTCTGTCAAATTTGGCCGAAAGGCGGGTGGGTATTGCTTATATAATCTTTGACAATGAACCCGATAGCCGTACTCTGTACATCCAACGAATTACCGTTGGCGTATTGAAATAATCCCTGGCAAGGCATTTGCCGTTAATTAGGGTTTGTGATTGGCATAAATAGTAGGTATCGTAACGAGGGGGACAAGAAAACGCTCGGACTGTTGATGGTATTTCCGGAGTTGTCCATTCCACAGACAAATTGACAAAGGAACTCGGAGGTTGTGATCTCTGGGAGGTTTGGTGGTAGATCACGTGCAACTTGGTGGGGCCTTGGTATGCATATCATAGCGTCATAGGAGCGAAGGTGGCCTACCAACACGTGCCTGGCGATCAACCCGTCTACGTGCTGCAACTTCAACGTCGTCGTTGGGTACAGAAGAGGACATCGAGACGTCCGACCTAATTATCCGGTGTTTGGGTTCACGTCAGCCATACATAAATTCCGTGGACCCTATAACGTTCCTTTCTTAACTAGCACCGGCCTAACAAAGGCCGGCAGAGAAGCACCATGTCCGACGAACCAAACAACCTAGCGGCGGATACGAATGGTAATATCGATGAGAAGATAAAGTTGGAAGAAGACGAACTAGCACCGGTACCAGGAGACCCGATAGTACCGAAGGAAGAGGAAGATCAAAATCAAGATATCGATATCGATAAGGAAGCAAAAGGGTTGAAGGTCGAAGCATTGCGAGTTTTGTGCGACACGAAGAAGCGGGATGAGATAGCGGCGCTAGCACTTTCGGAGCATGGCCTTGTGAACGACGAAATAAGAAAGAGAGCTTGTAAGATAACCATTCGATATAGGGAATATGTTTTAGGCTAATTTTATTCTAGGGCCAATTCTATTGGGTTACGATTCTTCAGTCATAAAAACGGAACTCGAAGATGCAAAAGTAAAACTCGAAGATGACAAAATCATATTACAAGACTACCTCGGCCGGGTCCCGTATACGGATTTACCATCGCACCGTGATGAGGAACAAGTGGCATTAGATGTTAATAGGTCGTTCGTCTACTACCCATCTGGTAAGCATGGAGATCACCCTTAGAGGCTTCTCACGAGGGGCAGTTTGCTCATATGCTACAGATGACGGACACCTCTATATTCTCTATGAATACCCGTTAATCTCTATTACTGGGTAAATACAGGTCTTACATCTGAAGAAATGGATGCCCAGAAGCAGGAACTCCAGGACCTTATAGTGGAAGTGCTGCGGCGACATCCCATCTTATGCTACTTCCAAGTATGCGATTCACATTCTTTATATCCAAAGCTAGGGCCGAGCTAAATCGATACAGGGATTCCACGACATCTGTCAAGTGATATTACTAGTTCTTGGTCCCAAGCTCGCCCCGTTGGCCGTGGAGTACATGTCGTTGCTCAGAGTACGAGACTTTATGCTCCCGGCACTAGGGCCAGCACTCTGGCACTTGAAGTTGTTACATCCGATATTGTTTGCGGCGGACGAGAAACTATGCCGTCATCTTTCAACGACACAGCCATTCTTTGCCCTTGCTGCGACTTTGACATTATACGCCCACGATATCCAAGCATATGGTGACATCGCCCGACTTTTCGATGCATTCTTAGCTGAGTCACCAATATTTCCGATATATTTTTTCGCTACGGTATGTTTATTCCCGGTAAATTATCCGACCTTTTGAAGAAGATCTAAGAAAGTTTAATAGATTGTGATGTCGCGGCAAGAAGAACTCTTCGACATCCCAGATACCGAGCCGGAAATGCTCCATTCGATACTTTGTAAACTTCCTAAGCCGCTAGATCTGGAAGGTTTAATATCGAAAGCAATCGACCTACAATCATCTCACCCGCCTCATACTTTAGGGGTATGGAGTAAAGTTCCAAGTAGCAGCGTCTTGAAGACTTACAGGAGCCCAGTACGATCAAGTGGCAGTGTTGTCAAGAAAAACGTCAAAAGAGACTTACTACGGGGGGAGGCTCTGTTTAAGAAGCAAGCGAGCCAGCTATCGAGAGAGCAGTTCAAGACACAAGTAATAACTAACTTGCACACGCACAAAAGCATGATCGGCTGGACAGTCCTTGCGGGTGTATCCGCAATAGCACTCGGCTACTACCTTGGCAAGAGAGGGCTGGATACCAAATCGGTCTGGCAGGCCCTAGCAGTAAATTTTTGACAGGTTGAATTTTGTTCTGCGATATCGAAGAATATGAGACATATTTCGGCTATGTGTGTATATACCTAACTGGGACATGCTTTGGGAGGAAAAAGAGAAAGAGATAGACAAAACCCATGTTGCCCGGAATGCTCTTTTGTTCGCCTTTTCCCTTGCGGAATCCCGGAATCTAAAATGCAAGTCATGACTGGCAAATGGGAATTGAAGAAAAAATTTGAAGTTTGGTATTTTGTCTGGTAACGAGGTGGGTGGTGCGGGAAATTTGTGGGGAGCTCATCGCACTAGGAAATGTTTGGATGAAAGGTTTTTTTTTTTTTTTTGTTTTTTTTTTTTTTCTTCCTTCCCTTCCCTGAAGGTCCACAAGGTGTCATGCGAGGCCGGGTCCTCCATGCAGGTATTGGGCCTGCGTGCCATACGGACACGACCTAGCTTGAGCTTTGACGCCGCGGCTTTTTTTTGCTTGGACCAAGCAAAACGGGTAGAACTGCTCAGTTTGGCAGCACCTTGGAATTTTCTGGAGGTCTGGAGACTTCGTCAACGGTTCCGGAGAAGCCGCCGTAGATCGGAAACTAGACCGGAGAACGTCCTTGAAAAGCAGCTGGTCAACGTCATAGGAAGATAGATGAAGATCATAAACCGCGGACGGATACCGATAAACCATGGCCATGGTCGACGACATCCTACGTATACTACGCAGTATATATGCAAAGGTAACGTATAACTAGCTGATGTAAGTACATACCATCAAATCTTCTCATGCAACGTATGCCTGCATAGAACCAAGAAGAGGGTGTACCTGACCTCTGAGTGGTGGGAGAAAACCTCACACCCCCCAAATTCCTCGCTTGGGTTTCAAGCTGCAGGGCGGCGTCCATGGCGCTCGATTTGAAGAAAAAATTTTGCAGGCTGTTACGGGTTATATCCGATTTTGTACATATTGTGATATAGCTAGCTACTTATATAGGTATTCTTAGAATAGAATTCGAGATACAGTTATAGTGTATATATAATAGTATGTACTACTTAAGTACTTAAGTAAGCAAGTTATCAGGTATCAAACGATGTCTTTTTTCTTTCTTCCATTCATTTATCCATTCTTTCATTCATTCTTTATTTTAGTCGGATATAAATATATATTCCGATAGCGGTAAAGATACCAAGTATACTTTTCTTTTTCAAGAGTCGGCCGGGGGGTTGATTACGTCTATCGGTCTTTGTTAAGTTGGAGAATTCGAATTAGCATTTATTGGATCCGGTCTCGCCATCATATGCATCTGGAACTACCTCAAAGCTGTACACCTTGTGACCTCGAAAACCCCCCCACCATCGTATAGGACCAGGACTATACTAGTCCTAGTGACATATTTAGTCTATCCCAATCTTCGAACGGAACTACTACTACTACTACACACTCGGGTGTTCATTATCGACCGATCGCAAAGAAAAGAAGGAAAAGAAGAAGAAAAAAAAAGGACCCGCCTCATTTATATTTTAATTAAATACTTTTACTTATATTTGTTATTCTGTGTCCCTCACTCGATCACACTCCTTGAAGACTTCAACATATTGTCATTGTATTATCATCCAGGACATCGTCAAAATACTCAATTGTTATACACTTTCTACTCGGTAATTTAGCAATTAATTTCGACTGGAACCGGCACTGACCCGATCAGTATTTGATATCCTGGGATTTATTATTATTCTTCTTCTTCTACTTCCTTTTTTTTGATGGTTGGGGAATGGCAATGAAGGATTGAAGGACTGTGGACTTGCTGGATTGGATTCAACCCAAATCTCCGCCTTCATTTTCATCCTGTCCCTTCCCTTTCCCTTTCCCTTCCCCTCTCTTTTACTTTTACCTCTTCTTTTCCCTTTTCCTTTCCTTTCTTTTCTTTTCTTTTCTTTTCCAGTTTCTTTTCCCTTTCTCGGTTTTCGACATCCTGTGATTTGTGATTGATCGTATTGCCACTCAACTCCACCCAACCCAACCCAACCCGACCCGGCCAGGTCAGAACGGAACAGAGCAGAACAGAGCAGAACAGACACCAGCTGGAACAGACCAGGTCGGATCAGGTCAGATCAGGTCAGATCAGGTCAACCCGGGTCAAAATCGTCAATTCAAGTCAATTCAAGTCAATTCCAAGCCAGCCAACAAGCAGGGACCAGCCCAACTGCCAGCCGAGAAGGAATAAGACCAGGACGAGGGAATAGGAATCGGAATTGAATTCGAACATCCCACCTGCCTGCCTTGAATTCTTCCCGTTTTAATTCCACTTAACCCACTTATCTATCCTTCCCTCCCGGATAACCTCTTACTTCCTTGAGTATCCCATAAAATCCTCCGGATTCGCACAATTCGGTATCAGTCGGTCAATCTGCTTCTGTTTCTTCCTTGCCTCCAAGACCGCTAGAGAGGCTACAATCGCGGAACTTCTGACGGCATGCCGTTGGTCTACAACACACACCCGAGTCCACCAGCGCCTGCATCCATCCCCGCTGGTGGGCCTCAGCATATGCACTTTGTCACCACTGCTGCCACTACTGCGACTCCAGCCGTCACATCGGACTTCGGTGGAGAATCCGATCAGAATGCTATCGAAAATGTACCAAAGGACCGAGCGGAACTCATTAGGCGGCTGAAAGCTAGAAATGAGAGTCGCATTTGGTCTTTGAATACCAATGTGGGTCCCTTACTCTAACTGTATTGTCCGTCTTTTTTCATTCTTTTTTTTATATATTTTTATAGATATATACTATTTTAATATATTTTTCTATTTTGCGTCCTTTTTTTTTTTTTTTTTTTTTTTTTTTTCAAAAATAGCTTTTTTTTTGGTTTATTTGGAGTTGGAGTCATCCTTCTAACATTGACGTTTTGTCCGCAGAATCTCGAGATAGACCCGAAGTCGGACGTCCAAGAGACCGAAGATCGAAATGGCCCACAATCAGCGCTACATTCCGGCATATTCGCTCCCGACAGTCGACAACTCCAGCATCCCCCTTCACCTGTCGCTCCTCACTTCCACAATCCCTTCCATAATCCTCGAAACCAACATGCCGAAGTTGCACCGACGATCCATCACGGTCCTCTTTTTCCTTACGGACAGGAAAATCAGGGTCGAACAGGCCGTTCAAGGGCACAGTCGCTTTCTGGCTATGTCCTCAAACACCCCACTTCGCCACTTGCCCTGAACTCGTCGCAGACTGAGACCGACAGCATCGATGAATTCACCAATCCTATCGACATTTTGGACACCCCGCTTCGTACTCGCCGAGCCTCACTAGTGCCCTCTATTTCTTCGTTACACTCGTCGCAATCACCTGCACCGCCTTCGTACTCCCGTCACCCATCCCGCCGTTCGATATCCGATAACTGGTACGATTCATTCCCTGTCGCTCCGTCCCATTCCCGACAATCATCCAGACGGCTATCGTTCGGCGTGGGACTGGGCAGCGACTTACCTGTAGGATCGTTCGTCGGATCGTATGAGGAATCCATTCTCAACGGCCGGATGTCAACTACGCCGTCCAAACCGCTACAGTTCCTTGCACAAATCGGAGTCCTGGGTCTCGGGAAATGCAAAGCGTCCCTGAAATGCCCCACCCACGTTACAATCCCGTTCCCGGCTTACTTTTACTCTGTGGGAGACTACGACAGCCCGTCACCTTATGTCGGCCAGATAGATCTAGACACCGCTTTGCAGAACCCTGCAAAGCCATCTAAAAGTTTCCCAGAGGGCGGATATCGTATCCCTCCTCGTGGACAATTGCAGATCATCATCAAGAATCCGAACAAGACGGCCGTGAAGCTATTCCTGGTCCCTTACGACCTGACGGACATGAAAGTTGGCCAGAAGACGTTTATTCGTCAAAAGGCATATTCCGCGGACGCTTACATTGATACTCTTACCAAGCCGGGTGCTGTACCGATGACACCGGTGACAGCTCAAAAAATGAGGGATAAGGAACGGGAAGCTTTACGATACCTCATCCACTTGCACCTATGTTGTCCATCGAAAGGCCGCTACTACCTTCATCGCAATATTAGATTGGTATTTGCGAACCGAGTCCCCGACGGCAAGGAGAAACTTCGAAATGAACTTCATCAACCGGAACCAAAGTACTCCCCGTATAAACCAGGCGCTGATTCACTATCAACCCCGCGAAGACGGAGGGGAAGTAGCATATCATTTAGCCTTGCGGCGGAGGAATTCATGTTGAATGAGGATGCAAGGCAACGGATGAATAACTTCAAGTTTGGTGGACCCACGGCTGCGGCTTGTTCTGCTATTGCAGATAGGGACGAAGATGAAGATGATATATCAAGTCACACGACTGTTATTGCTAGACGCGGAAATCAGGGGTTGGATGCCAATGGAAGCAAGGATGCTGAGGTTAAGGATGAAGATGGAGATGTGTCGATGGGAGATGACGGGACTACCACTGTTACTTGTGGGTCATGGGATAAACTTAGCGTTTATTCTATGGCAAGTAGCAGGAGTGACAACAGTCCACATCATGGTTTATTAGCTATGAAGCTGAAGGGAGTACAACAGGAGAGAGAAGGATTGAAGAGAAAAAGTTGTGAAATGGAAGCATGCGGCGAAGGTGAACCTTTGGAGAAAAAGCCAGAGGTATAAAGGTAAGCGGCGTTCTATCGTTTTGATATCTGGGATATGCCAATTTTTGCTATATGATTTCTCGCTCTTCTCCCTTCTTTTTTTTTCAGTCTTGGATCAGAATGTCGATGCGATGGGTTTGGGTGATAGTTCAGCGCGGCTTTTGTTATTGGGATAGTTAATGTTCTATTTGGGAGATCGGAGACTGCGGGGACTGTCCAACTTACCTCCTACATTTACTCTCGTCAGTTTTATTCCTTTTTTTCTTTTCTTCGGGGGTCTTCTTCACTTCACTTCTCTCTTCAAGCAAAAAAATAGCGACGCAAAAATATGCATATGATACTTTGATATCTATCCGGGAGTTTATCTTACCTTTTATCTAGATGGGGATGTCTTCATTTTTTATATCTATTTATTCGTTTCTCTGTATTATATTTGAGTACTCATGGGGGTTGTCTATTTTATCTACTGGCGGGCTGTCTCTCGAATATTTTCTTATTTCTATTGTTTGGATTTTATGTTAATAGATCTCTTGACATGTTTGGATGTTCTCTTCTCTGCATTTTTTGTAAACTTCACTTTCCCTCCCTACATTATATACCTTATATATATCGATATCCTTCATCGTTCCCGGCGAACTCAAAATCTTCTCAACCTTCATCGTTTTTTTTTTGTATTTTTTTTTTTTGATTATATTGCCAGTATCTATATTTTTCTTTGGCTTCTCTCATCAAAACTGATACCAAAAAAAACGTCTCTTATTTTGATTTTGTTATACAAAATATATTTACCTCTTTTCTTTTTTTCTTCTTCATCTTTCGAAATTTCTTCTGTGAATGTGCAGGTGGAGTTGGTTAACGTTTCTAGCATATTTTGTATATAGATTTCATGCTGTCTCTGTTATTTTCTTCTTTTTTCTTTTGGCTTTCTTATCCTTTCCAAGTCGATGATATATTAGTTTGTCTATACGCATATATAGAAATCAACGTTACAATTCTCATTAATCGACCTCTGATATATTTGCAATTGATATACTTCATCAGTTGTAAACCTTAATATGTGCTACGTAAGTAAGTAGTCATATCTTAGGTACATATACTTAGGTAATATTATATTCTGTTCTACGGAACTAGTATATTAAGTAGTTCCAGAAATTGTCTACCAAGTCAACTAGATCGATACAGCAAGTACTATCTGGTCTCGTTGGTACTACCCCCGCGGTGAGATCTGAAACATAATTAAATATAACCCCCCTCTTCTGATCGAAGTCCTATATACCTATACAGATCTACTTTATTCGATCGTCTTTGAGATATCTTGCAAAAATGTATTAATGTGGACCCTCAGAGGAGGTGGTGAAAAACCACTAGTTTGTTTTGAAAAATACACATATAGAGTAGGTATTTTTGGTTATGTATAAGTAGTTAGATTTAGTAGAGATGATACGCTGGTGTCCTCTTTTTTTTCCTTTGTCTTATTTCTTTTCCTGTATTCCTCTTTTTTGAACTCTTGTCCTAACTTTGGTATAGACCTAGAGTAAATGAAAGAGATAGGTAGGTATGGTATGGTATGGTATGGTATCTTGTTAGAAGAAGAAGGGGAGTTCTTTCCACTTCCAATCAAAGAAAAAGGGTCATCAGAATGACCATATAGAAAGTCACAATCCATTAAACCCCCCGGAGCTTCCCCATGAATTCCAAAAAAAAAAAAAGAGAAAATAATACAAGTGTCCCCCGCCTCTCCTCCCACGCAATCACCATAAACGTCCAAAGTAATAGTCAAAAAAGAAAAGAAAAGAAAAAACCCAACTGATGCCATCCCAATTCCCAAATAGTCGAAACACCCTTTAACGCGATCCAGAAAAGAATACACAACCAATAAAAAAAACAAAAGGTTTATGAAAATATAGGTATATATATAGTATCTTACATCCTCCCTTCGCCCTCACTATATTGACTACCAAGATCACTCCATCCGTCTGTATCTCCAACGCTGGAAGCTAGATCACTGACAAATTCAACTCGGTCGTCTTCGCTTTCTCCTTCGTCGGATCCGATTACACTGACGGTTTCGGATTGAGAGTGAAGCGATTGTAATGTCAACCGTTCGTCTTCCTCCTCTTCGTCGTCGTCGTCCTCATCCTCGCTTAAAGCTCTAGATGGGGTACGAGATTGGACGTTCTCGTCCTCGTCGACGTTAGGATTGTTGGTGACATCTACGGTCCATTGTTGGATAGCCCAGTATGGCTGCGAGGTCGAGAATGTGGTGTGTGATTCTTCAGCGTCAGACACTGATTCTTCTTCCTCTACTTCTTGTGGGGGCGGGGGTGGAGGGGGAAGTGCTACTATCGCGGCTGGTACAGCCGCAACAACTGGTAGTGCTTCCTGAAACTGTGGATGTGAAGGTCTTGGTGGCAATGGTGGCGGCTGGTCGATAACTGTTGTTGGTAAGATGGCAGGTATCATCGGTGGTGCATCATGGGACATCTCGATTCCCTTTTCGGACATCGCAGGCGGCAGAGTATCCGACGAAGTATCGCTTCCCGGTGATGAAGATAAAGTCTTCTCGTTAATGTGTTGGTCTAGCGCTGCTTCTGTTGTAGCATCGAATAGTACTTGGTTTTCGTCGTCAAAGGGGGAAGGAGAGGGAGAGGTGGTGGAGGGTTTGGCGTTTAATGAGCTGGACTCTGGATCCTCGGCGGAACCGCGGTAAGGGTAAGGGGGTCTGTATCGGACTGCTGAGTCGGCTAGGTATGCATCTCTACTAGAACCCTCTGCCTTTTCGTCGTCACCGTGGAGGGTATTACTATCTGTTGAATTCCTTCTTGACCGGGTCCGAGAATTTGGTCTGTGGATATGACCGGAGGACTCGAGTGATCTACCGCTGAAAGCCATGGGTTGGTGTCTTTGTCTTGGACCTTCTGATGGCATTATTTCTTCGGCGAAAGTGTGCATTGCCAGAGAAATCTTGCGACGGGTACGGTCGACGAGTTCCTTGACTTGTTCCCGGTTTTCGTAGACAGTGTACCCAGCTGCGACGAGGACGGCGCACATTATGATGACGCCTGATTTGGCGATGGTGGTGTTAGCTTTATTGAGGGGGTGAAGAGGTTGGTTATAATAATGAGGATGGTATGGACCTTTTGCGATAGGAGCGGCAGGCATGATGAAAGATTTAAATATGCAGATATACTTAATAAAGTGTCTTTTTTTTGGTTTTCTATGGTAGAAATAAAATGGATAGATAGATATCTTGGTGAAAAAGATGGGATCGTGGATATCCTATGGAGATAGTAGATAGGAAATATGTTAGTGAGATGTGAGGCTAAACTAGCTGAAGGGGGGGTAGACGTTGGGGCATGGGATAGATGGAGGAGGGGCTCGTGGACAGGGAACTCGGAGTCTACGCACCACACAACCGCGCGAACTCCGATACGCACGCAGTTCAATCAAGTGGGAGGGCCGATGCGGGATTGGAAAGGAAAGGCGAGAGTAGACGATAGAGAAAAAAGCGAAATGAGTGGACTCGGACTCGCTGAAAGGCTTGTAAGTTAACGAGAGAGGGGGAAGAGAGAGGTATTTTTCTTTTCGGTTGAAACTTGTGGTGAAAGGCTCAAGTGCAGGTCCGTCTGGTGGAGGAGATGGTGTGAAGGTGGGCTGGATTGACCCCGGACGAGGTTGAACGCGAACAACCGAACTGGAACTTTATCGCCACCCTTCCTTTTTCCCTTTAAAACGTCAACGGGCGAACGAATAATAAAAGTTCCACGTTTGTGTGTTTGGGATAAAAGGCGACGTATGGCGGTTACGAATGCACTTGTAACAAAGGTAAACGGAATCTTCCTGCTCTGTATTATGATAGCTGAGATCTATCCGATGATAACGATAAAAACCGTTGTTAGTCTGCCAAGTCTGAGCAATCCGACAGGGGAAAGAGAGAGAGAGAGAGAAAGAGAGAGAGCATCCTCCCACTAAAAGCAATGAAGGCAACGGGCAGAGTGTGGGGAGATTGAAGCCGGCTTACCAATGCAATGCAGATCGAACAAGGTTGTAGGTCCTTGAGAGCTCTAGGAAACTCGACCAAGGAGAAACATACACAGGAATACCGAGATATTCAATGTGGATAAAAATATAACGGGCGTGTATGTGGGTAAGAGGCAGACGGATTAATGGGAGGTTGGAAGTGCAACTGCCTAAATATTAGGAGTTAAGAGGCCATCATATCATCTGATGTGATACCCGCCGACCGACCAGCCTAGCCTCAAAGTAAAGCAGCCCATGCTGACCAGATGATGTTTCCCATGTCTCTACTTGCTTGCTTGTTGCCCCGCCTTTTGTGGCGATAAAGGGCGGCAAACCGGATCCGATGGAGGGCAGTGGCGCATTCAGAGACGCCATAGTATTGATTTGCATGCAGCCTGGCTAAAGCCTAAAGCTTAACATAGTTCCGATCTTTTTTTTCTCATAACGCGAAAGGAATCGGTAACTATAAGCAAGAGTCGATCATTTTAGGACTGGGATTCCATTCTTTCCATTAGTTTCGGGCGAACAACGGCTGAAGAAGTAGGTAGCTAGCTAGCTAGATCCGCATCTGAACCGGCGTTATCTGTCTGTTGCATGTTTCCTTTTCATGATTGCTCCCGGTTGGAGGTGGTTGGATTAGTTAAGTTGTGTGTACTGAAACCTCTACCGCTTGTTTCATGTAGGATCCGAAGGAAGGAAGGAATGATTGATTGATTGATTGTTCCAAGTTATTGGAATAGTAATTGTTTGGTTGAAGGTAGGTAGTATATATTATAATATCCACTGCTGAACAGTTTGTTCGGAATTATGTCGGGTCGTAAATGTGCCTGCCCACTAGACAGTATCTGGACGTGTCGATGACAAACTTGGTTATAAAGTCGCAGGTACTGGAGAAATCCATAGCTGTTTCCATCACTATAAGTATCAAGCTAACTTGCTATCGTCGTGGTAATATCTGTAGGTGTATATGTAAGTAAGTAAGTAAGTAAGTAAGAAGTATATATCGAAGACGATGAAGAGTGCGGTTGGTTGGTTGGTTGGTTGGTTCGGTACAGGCCGTGCTGCAGCTTCGCGCGACCCGAGCAGAGAGCATCAGCTTAGCTACGGAGTAGTTACCTCTTGATAGGGCTAAAGACCTCGCTCAACGCACGACAAGGATCCAGGCTGACGTCGAGTCTCGTCTCTATAGAACGTATTATCGATGTATGTATATACTCCCATATCGTTTAAGATAATATAAATACCGAGTATCTTGATATTATAATTTACGAGATAAAACCTAAACACCTATATACTTGAATAAATAAAATATATATTTGATCTGGCCGGGTTCGGGTTGCAAGCTTAACTGATAGCTAGTTCTAATTACAGTACTACTGTTAACTGTTATTGAATTGTCAGGACTTCAACGACACACAACGCATTCGAGGTAACATTAGACCACATCGAATCACATCTTCGACTTCATCCAAGACAACCCGTACTTGTTCTCGTTTCTGTTGATATCTATATGCTTAACTATCTGTAAACCTTTAAAGCCTAAGTCCGATCTGAACAGGAGCTCGAACTCCAGAGGGCCAAAATAGACGCCGAATCGTAGCGGTGGATTCACAGCACGCACACAGAGAAATCCCCGACCCCTCGCACGCTCCACCGAAAAAAATCCAAGGAAAAAAAAACCCCACCACGTCATCATCGTCAATTAACCCTCGCCGTCTACGCTCTTCACGTCGAGAATAGAATAGTTTCCCTCTCCTCCACTGCCTCTGATACTACTTAAAGGCTCCCTTCCCCCCTGTCTTCTGAGACCTTTCCGTAAAAGGTATCTTGCACAATTTTCTTCCCAAAGCTAAAGACTTCTTCCTTCAAAGTGGCAAGCGTACGACTTTCTTGTCTTTTCTCCTCTTCACTTTCTCCACACTTCCCATTCCCTGTCTGCTCTCGTCTTCGACACATGAGGCGTGAACAGCAGCCACACAATCATCTCCATCCCCCCCCCAACTATCCTTTTTCCTGAATGGCATCGTGATTCACACGGACCGGATTCGCTTCCTTGTCCCCATTCACATACACCCACCCCTCTCGTTATCTATCTGTCTATCGACTTTCTCATCAAGAAGCTACGTACAACTCCTTGTTGGAAACAAAGGATCGTCAGCAATTTAACCACCAATCGACTGTATCGAACCCGTTGATCGTTGTCATCCACACGTTCGACTATCTTCATCTGCTCTAGCTATCGAAGAGCTGTAAGGACTTACTTCATCCAAGACTACAACCACCCCTCCCTTGTTTTTTTTTTTAACAAACCTTCCCACGCGGTAAATCGTTTACAATGGCCAAGGGAAAGAAAGGAAAGAAGAACGTCGCCAACGACGACTGGGAAGCCGACATCCCAACCACCACCGAAGAGCTATTCCCTGTCACCGCTCAGCTCGAAAATACTCCTGGTTATCATAAGGATGACGAAACAAAGGATAGTGGCCCTGCGGCCGCTACTGCCGATGACATTGCCGAAGACGTTGGAGGCGGTGGCGGTGGCTTTGGCTTGCTTGGTGCTATCAGAAAGAGCAAGGCTAATAAGAAAAAGAAGGGTGGTAAGAATAAGTTCGATGAGGATGAAGATGTGGAAGCCGCTCTTGCCAAGTTGAATATGGAGGCCGAGCAAGCTGAGGCTGAAGCAACTCAGACAAAAGGAAAGGCTCCTCCTCCTGCCGATAAGGGTGGCGATGATGATGAGGAGGAGGAAGAAGAGACCGGTGGAAGGGTAAAGTCTAAGAAAGAAAAGGAACGTGAGAAGAAGGAAAAAGAGAAGCAGAGAAAGAAGGAACAGGTTAGTATTTTTTATTTTTTATTTCGAAATATCAATCGATTCGGCTTTGTGATGGTCTCATCTAACGGTTATATAGGCTGCTCGTAAGAAAACTGGAGGCGCTCCTGCTCCCTCCACTTCCAAGCCCCCTCCTACCTCTACAGTTGAGAAGGCTGAGGAGAAACCTGTTGAAACCGCTCCTGAACCTGCTGGCGGTAAGAAAAAGAAGGTTTCTGCTGCTGTTCTTGCTATCCAACGTCAACAGGAAGCTCGCCGTAAGATAGAGGACGAGCAGCGTCTGGCCGAAGAGGAAGCTCGTCGGGTAGTCGAAGAAGAGCAAAAGCGTACTGAGGAAGAAGAGCAAAAGAGAGAAGAAGCCAAGCAAAGGAAGAAAGAAAAGGAAAAGGAAAAGAAGGAGCAACTTAAGAAGGAGGGTAAATATCTCACAGCGGCGCAGAAAGCTCAACAGAAGGCGAATCAACTACGTTTACAGCAGATGATCGATGCTGGTATGCTTGTTGAGGGTCTTTCCGAATCGAGTGCTGCTAAGAAAAAGCCTGTCTATGATAAGAAAAAGAAGAAGCCTGGCAAGACCGGTGATAAAGACGCCGATGGTGAACCTTCCACGCCTGTTGAGTCTACAAAATTGCAGAAAGAAGAGGAAGAACGGCAAGCCGCTGAGAAAGCCGCTGAGAAAGCCGCTCAGGAGGAGGCAGAGAGGAAGGCCGCTGAAGCTGCAGAGGTCGAAGGCGAAGCCGGTCCGAAGGATGAGGAGGATGTTGTAGAAAGCTGGGAAGCTGCCGCTGAAGAGGACGACGTAAAGGAATCCTGGGACATGGACACTGATGACGATATGGAAATTAAAAAAGAGAAGAAGGAGCAACAAGAAAAGGAGGAGAAGGAGAAGGAGAAGGCTGCCAAAGCAACTTCCGCCAAATCCAAGGGTAAGAAGCCTGTCGATGATTCTTCTGATGAAGAGACATCTGTTGCCCAGAGACAAGCAATGCAAAGAAAGGAAGAAGCCGAAGAGCGACGCAGGAAAAAGCATGAAGAAGCCCTCGCCGCACGATCAAAAGACAATCTGCGATCCCCTATCTGCTGTATTCTTGGTCACGTCGATACCGGAAAAACCAAGCTTCTCGACAAGATTCGTCAGACCAATGTCCAAGAAGGCGAAGCAGGTGGTATCACCCAGCAGATCGGTGCAACTTATTTCCCAGTTGAGGCTATTAAACAGAAGACCGAAGTCGTCAATCAAGATGGTTCTCTTGAATTCAACGTTCCTGGTCTGTTGGTTATCGATACCCCCGGTCACGAGTCCTTCACCAATCTCCGAAGCAGAGGTAGCTCTTTGTGTAACATTGCTATTCTCGTCGTCGATATTATGCACGGTCTCGAACCCCAAACAATAGAGTCGATCAGGTTGCTCCGTGGTCGTAAAACACCATTTATTGTCGCCCTCAACAAGATCGATCGTTTGTACGGTTGGAAAGAGGTTCCAAACAATGGCTTCGAGGACTCTCTCGCCAAGCAATCAAAGGCTGTTCAGAACGAATTCAAGGACAGGCTTGCCCAGACCAAACTCGCATTCGCAGAACAAAGTCTCAACGCCGAACTCTTCCACGAGAATAAGAACATGAGCAAATTCGTTTCTTTGGTTCCAACATCAGCCCACACTGGAGAGGGTATTCCGGACATGCTCAAGCTCTTGATTACTTTGACCCAGCAGCGTATGGCCGAAAAGCTCATGTACCTTTCTGAACTTGAGTGTACCGTTCTTGAGGTCAAGGTTATTGAAGGTCTTGGAACAACTATCGATGTTGTTCTTTCCAATGGTGTACTTAGGGAGGGTGACAGGATAGTTCTTTGTGGTCTTAATGGAGCTATAGCAACTACTGTCAGGGCCTTGCTTACACCTCAACCGCTCAGAGAGTTACGTGTCAAGAGCAACTACGTTCATCACAAGGAAGTCAAAGCAGCCCTCGGTGTCAAGATTGCAGCCAATGATCTTGAAAATGCCATTGCCGGTTCTAGATTGTTGGTCGTCGGTCCCGATGACGACGAAGAAGACCTTTGCGAAGAAGTCATGAGCGATTTGGAAGGCTTGTTGAACAAGGTTGAGAAATCAGGAAAGGGTGTCTGCGTTCAAGCATCCACTCTCGGTTCTCTCGAAGCTTTGTTAGATTTCTTGAGCGTTAGCAAGATTCCGGTCATGTCTATTAGTATTGGCCCGGTCTACAAGCGTGACGTTATGAGAGCAGGAACAATGTTGGAGAAGAACAAAGAGTTCGCTGTCATGCTGTGTTTCGATGTCAAAGTCGATAAAGAAGCTCAGGCCTATGCGGATGAAGTCGGCGTCAAGCTTTTCACTGCCGACATTATCTATCACTTGTTCGACTCTTTCACCGCCTACCAGAAGGATCTTCTCGAACAAAAGCGAAAGGAAACCGCCGACCTCGCTGTCTTCCCATGCGTTCTCCGAATTGTCCAGGTTTTCCACCAGCGTGATCCTATCGTCGTTGGTATCGATGTTGTTGAAGGTAGCTTGCGTATCGGCACTCCTATCGCGGTTGCAAAGCCTGGCAGTGAGCCAGTAGTTCTTGGTAGAGTGTAAGTCCCATCTTTCTTATTTTTCCTTCTCTAAAATCCCGTTACTAATATGCTTCTTTAGCACATCTATCGAACTCAACCACAAGGCTGTACCAATTGCCAAGAAGACTTCTCCATCTGTCGCTGTCAAGATTGAAGCCTCTAATCAACCTATCCTCGGTCGTCATTGGGAGGAAGCCGACACTCTTTATTCACATATTTCCCGCAAGTCCATTGATACTCTGAAGAATCACTTCCGAGAAGAAGTGGCTAAGGAGGATTGGGCTCTGATCGTCCAACTCAAGAAGGTCTTCAAGATTGATTAAATGCCTGCTGACATCTGACCAAAAGTCCTTTTTTTCATTCTATAAACGCATCTCTGATTCTTCCGCCAAAGGTTTTATGTTTTCCCTTTTTTCCTATGGGTTCATGGTGCATGGCTTTTCGCTTTCAGGTCTCGATTTGAGGCTTACAACCATTCTGCCTTCTGTGCTTTTTTCTTTCTTTCTGTCCATATGGGTTTGTAATCTTTTTATCATTAAGGACATCGTTATGCAGGGTTTACACTAAAAGTGCCTCAAAAGATGTTTTTTTTTTCTGTTGTCTTTTTTTTTTCACTCTCTCTATATCGATCATCACGACGCCTCTCTTGCTTTTGATATTTTCCTTTCGAAAATATTAAAATTCCTCCTCCTCGATGGATATTTTTTTATGGTTCGGCGGGGCAATGTATTACATGTATATTAATTACATTGCGTCCCCTCCCCATCGTGGGAAGGGGTTTTAAATATTAATATAGAAGGGAATGAAATATAAGGCGCTCAGGGAGGGGCAATATATCTCTACTTATTATCACTTTTTCGAGGCTTTTTTGTAAGATCATATCAATCTGGACGTCCGTGAGTATGCATTTAGTAGGTCACGTATATATCTTTTTGTTCGTAAAGGTCATGGAAGGGAGGTGTCACCTGAATATAAAGAAGGCTTGGGGTATTAGCCTCCTAGTATAAGATGGCATGACATGATGATCGATTAGGTGGTCAGCTATAGGTCCGATCGACGGGTTAATTGTTATAACATATATGCTGCTAAATAAACGAACTGTTTCAATTCATAATTCCGTGAAAAAGAGACTTCTTCCTTTCGAAAGTCAACAAATTTTAAAAGACCAAAAGCTCGTCGTCCCCATAAGCAAGATCACCCCTCGCGAGTCGCTCGAATTTGTGATCAAAAGATTATCATCATATAGGCTATAAAAAGATAGAGTCAAAGGAATTACCCCCACCCCCCGGGAGAAATATACAAAATTCGCCATGCATAGGTAATAAAGAAATAATTTTTGGAAAAAAATAATTTTGCAAATTTGGTACGAAAGTTTTTTCCCCCGTCGCCATATCCTCTAGTAGCAGTGATTTTTGAAATAAAATAAAAACAAGACGTCGGTATCGCTCATGGTGTTAACAAAAAGAAGAAGAAGAAGAAGGGGAAGAACAGGAAAAGATCAAGTTGACCTGGCCTGCGAGACAAACAATAGAGAGCGGAAGGGAAAAACTTTCTACATGAATTTTGGAAGAGGGAAAAAAAACAAAAGAAAATAGAGATAGAGAGAATATTCGAATATCCCCACATCGTAGCCTCTCCTCGCCTGCTTTGTATAAACAAGAAGGAAATAATAGATTGCTTAAAAAACTCCTTTACCCATTAATTCCACCTACTATCGTCATCTTCATCCGCCATATCGTACACATCATACTGACCAAGCCCAGCCTCTTCTCCTCCCCCATTCTCTGTTTGGGGGATACCGGACTCCGCATCCATGGAGTCTCCATAATCGTAACCATTCTCTGCGCCACCTGTCGGACCCTGACCGTTACTCCCGGTATTGGCATGGTTTTCCACCCAGGACACAGAAACTTTTCCGACTTGGGGAATGTCAGGGTTCGAATGGAAAAACCTGGCAGCATCGCCGCGAGTGTTGAATGTGATAATGTGAGAGTCCTCGACATCAGGGTTTTTATCAAGCTTCGTATATTGACTTCCACAGGCCTATAAATAAGAGTTAGTATCAATTCGAAGTATGAAATAATAGGAATTTGAAGGATCAACATACCAACAAGAAATGCTGCAAAGGCTCAATATTGGCTTCAGACACACCGTTAACCATAACTGTCTTAGTCCGGTTATCTAATGTCATTTTCTTGGCCATCGGAGCACCTCCTCGGCCTCTGGCGAACGGAGCTGTGCCACGGTATGCACCATAGACGCCTCTCCCCCTAGCTGGATATGCTCCACGGGTCGGGTATCCCCCAAACCCACCACGGCCTCTAAATGAACCTCGACCTCTATAGGACGATTGATGAAATTCGGACAGCGACTCATCCAACTTCGAGTGATCAATCCCTAGTGAAGTAGCCTCTGCTTCCAATGCCTCAAGTTGGGCCTTCAGAGCAGCTGTCTGTTGGGCTTCTTTAGATTCCTTGTTGCTTGTATCCAGGGTCTCGGCATCCCCGTTCGTAGCTCCTTTAGCAGCATGTTTCTTTGCTAGCTTTTCAAGGAGTTTCTTCTTCTCTTCCTCCTGGCGCCGAATTAAATCTACCTTCATCTCCTCCAGTTTCTTAGCTTGGTCGTCGATTTCCTTCTTCTTCACCATTCGTTCGTCATGTGCCTTCTGTGCTTCTTCCTGCTTCCGCTGGAAATCCTCCATATCAACCTCCATCTCATCTTGTTGAAATTGTTGGTCTTCGCTTTGTTGCTGGTGTTGCGGTGCCGGATGTCCATCGCCTTCTCCTTTCATCCAGTAAACCTTAACAAATCGATTGTTGAAGATTGGTTCGGGAGAACTATGTGCTTTCTTTGCGTCCTCCTGATTCTCAAATTTGACAATAGCAAGTTTATTCTCGGCCTTAACCTCCACAGATTCTATAGGCCCAAATGCTGCGAAGTATCCACGGATGGCCTGTTCATCGAGTTTATCATCAGGTATAGACTCCACCACCAGTGTTTTCGTGTGAACATTCCTAGGGGGGCCGAATGCCGAAAATTCCGACCTTCCACCACGTGCGCCGCCTCTTCCACCACGTTGCACCCCACCGCCACGTGGTTGTGGGGTGGTTTTTGGAGGGAACGAGGCGCTGGTCCGACGTTCGAGGTCCTGAGGGGAAAGCATGGGCGTATGAGGGTCGTATTCTGTAACTCGTTAGCTAAAGTCTTATAACCCATATTTACAATTGTATGGAGGCTGTACCATCTTCATCTTGACCCTTCACCTGTGGTGTCATAGGCGGAGGAACGACTAGCGGACTAGCGTGCAGATATGGACAACTGTCGCCCCTTCTGCAATATCCTTTCTGCTCGAAACTATGGCATACGCCCCTCTTCCCCCGGTTATTTTGACGGGGTTCGGGGGTAGACATCATATTTGGAGGCGGGTGGAACATGGCTAGCGGGTTCCAACCGCCCTGCAGGCTTGCTACCGCCTGCGCAGCTAACAGTTGGGTCATCGGGTCCGTCCCAAATGGCATCTGAGGGTTAGGGAGCGCCAATGCACCAGCGGGGCCAGGCATCATATTCATTGGGAATGCCGCTTGAGGAACCTGTTGGCGCGGCAGTTGTCCTTGCTGCTGTCCGCTCCTCCCAAAGTCACCTCCCCCACGTGCCCATTTGCTGTAAGGGTCGAAAGAGCCGTTCCCGGCGTTACGGTTGCCACCTCTACCTTGTGTCTTTGGATTCTTATTCCGAGAGTTGGTATAATGGCTCCCTGTCTGTTGTTGACCGGCGCCTGGAGCGTCTCTGTCGTAGTAGCCGCGCTTTTTTGGGTTGGTGTTTTGTTGGACTGGTTGGGGAGGAGGCACGCCTGGACTTTTGGGGGTGTAAGAGTCCTCCGAATCAGCGTCATCTTGGATAGGTGTCGGCTGGGGTATCGAGACCGGTGCGGCATGTGGGACGGTAGTGGTTAGGAGACCGCTATGTAGGGTAGAGTTCACTGAGAGGTAAGATTTTGAACGTAAAGCAGCGAATAGCTGATCGACGAATGGTGTAGTGTCTAGACAAATAGTATGCGACCAGTCAATAAACGGTACCTTAGAAGATAATGGTTGTCGATTAGGCGATGGAAGGGGCTTTAAAAAGAAGAAAAAGAGTAACTCACGCTCGCGTAGGAAGTCATCGAGCTGATCGATGCACATCTGCCTGACCTCAGCTTCACTCTGCTCATGCCTAAGGAGCGCGAGAACATAATCGGCAAGGACGTCTGAATCTGCATCGGATCTAGTAGTCCAGATTAGCGATTAGGAGATTTCCCAAGTGAATGCAGCTTAAAGCGCGGGCAAGGGATGGCAAATGGGTTCGGGAGGCTCTTCTCTCACATGTTTTCTAGGCGGGTGACGACCCACTTCTTGAGCAGGGCGCTGTCGCCATCGTCAAACAAGGGCATGATCCCGTGCCTGTAAAGATGCCAAAGATATACAGATAGATAAAAACCGGCGCTGGAGTGGCGATGATATGATTCTGGTGGTTGTCGCAGTAAGTATGCAGGTTGATGGTAGACTTGAACAGAGGATTGAACTGGCTGGGTGCAGTGTAGCTGTTTGAATGAATGGATTGAACGAACGAACGAAATTTTTGGCTGGAGCGCCCGCAGCGTGTTGTTTCGGGGCCAGAAAAGGCTTAAAAGGCCTCCAACGTCATGCAACACGCCACCGGCCCAATCACAACAGCCTCGTTCTCTCCTTCGCAATATTTAAAGTGGCGAACTTGAACTACATTAGGTAGTTACTTATCTGCGAGAAACCGCCTTTGAGTTTTTATTTTATCTTTATTTTTATTTTTATTTTATTTTATTATTCTCTAAGAAGAGAATAGTAGAGTGGAATTATAATTACCTTGTATATTCGGAATATTATGTATAGCTGCGCACCTTCAGATTACCCATGTCATGATTAGGCTTCCTGTCCTAAAATCATATTTTATAATTGCAGTCCTAATTCTCCTAAACAAGCTATTATATACTAATAACAATGAGCCAAATTTATAGGCAACTTTGAACAGTATTGCTCATAGCACTGTAAGTAGATGGGTAGTGCCTAGGCGCTTGTGGACGCACCCCACTGAGCTTCAGGTTTCTCTTATTGATAAAACTATATTTACGTATATATATCTAGTAATTATAGATACCTCGCTTTCACACTCGCGCTTGTCCGTAAATCCTGTCTCAATGGCTCTTTGTAGGGCATATATAAGATTTCGTTCGAAACTAGCGTATTCTTTTTCTCCACCAGTTGTCAGGCTTCAAATAAAGATATGATCAGTTTCGTCTGTAAATTTTTAGACCCAATACAGCCCAGCCCGGTGCATATCGGTATATCATGCATACTAGATATTTGATAGTTGCAAATCCTCCAGTGCGCCGCATAACTACTCCCTCGAAATCAGGTAATGTCCTGGGAAATTGAGCATGCGTGCCAATTATAAGGAGATAACCTACGCCACCAACATGTAGACAATGTGGCTAGTATGTGGCTTAAAGGGCCATTTAACAACAAGGCAACACAGAACTCTGTGCTGACTAGGACTTTTAGATTTCAAGGTAAAACTTACGGGACCAGGTAAAACAGCCTACATATGCATACTCCTTTTTGGTTTGAGAGGACTTTATTAAATGTGGTATGAGTTTCCAGTTCAAAATCTTAGATATATATTATATGGCATTGTAAATCCGAAGTAGTATATTTAGTCACATAAAAAAAAGTCTGGCCACGGCACAGTCGAGGAGTCTGGCGACGAGACAAGGCCACGGGACTGGCCTTTGTCCTCGCAAATATTCGGGTTGGTTTCAACATTGGTGGAACAAGGATTTCTACTAGATCCATATAATATCTTCATACTCCCGAAGTTATGTATATCTAGGATTCGCAAAGTTGTTGAAAGACACTGGTCTATCGACATATCAGTGCTCGCAGCTATGTACCTAACAGTTAGCACAAACCCTTGGCTAGCTCTTGAGGTCATTGGATTTAGGCTGTTCAAGCATATAACATACAAATTGTAGTGTACCCCTTGTACCATCGAGCTCTTTCCGGTAAAATTTGAGCGTTCTTTCATCAAAGTCGCTCTATACTCTTTCGCATCTTCTAAAGATATCGGCGGTGGTATATATTTGAGAACCATTTGGAAGAGCTCCTCAGCTAACTTTCCCGGGTGTCCCGAGCGAAGCACAGCTTCGAGGTCTGCCCTGATTTCGGGCTGCTGAGGTGTGACGGTTTTGGTTGTCGGCATCTTTTAAGATTGGATATTTTCAGGTCAGCATAGTGCCGAATGCAAAGAATAACAGAATAGATAAAAATTAAGCTACCTCGAGATCTGCCGAAGGGTCACATAGAAAAAATACTAGGATCTTGCGGTGCCCTGGCTTCGTTTGATCTTCCAATTGAAATGGCGAGACACGATGTTGGTATACGTTGGGGAAAACGATAGCCCGGTTGTCCTAATAAATGCCGAAAGCCGGGTTAATGAACAAATATCCTAGGGCTCGAGAGGATTTGACATGGCACACACGATAGTTTCCATTCGACCTAGCTCTTGTACCCCATAGCTGGCATTCATATCGTGAACAGTGCCCCAATTAGACCATTGGACGTGTGGGTTCCTATCAACCTGGACGGTTCGACGAAATCGAAGCTCGGAGTCTGTGATATTTTCCTGGGAATAGTAATAGATCCCGGTCGCTACAATCCGCTCGTTCTATGGTCGTCCAGGTTTTATTTTAGCAAGATCCTCTAAATGTAAAAAAGAGAAAAAAAACCATTAGATTATTTTGGTTTCAAGTTACCGTCATAGCTTCAACGTGCCAATTGCCTCCATTGTAAACCGGATTTTCAGGTGTTAGAATAATATTCGCGAGTTTAACAATAACCTTGACAGTCTTCCCGTTTAGTTTGACATCGTCGGTAATCTTAGGAGGAGACCACGCTCTTTGAAGGTATACGCTTCCCAGGTCCCAAATTTCGTGCTCATCAATTTCTGACTCATCATAATTATCGCTATCGATATATTCTAGCGCGAGATTTACGAAGTCGACAGTTAATTCTTGGTCGTTTTCATACTCTGATATTAACCTTTCCCAAGCGTCATTGTACACCTCCGTCGGAATCCTCCTTTTAGACTCTTGCCCATGATAATCAGTGACTTCTGTGGGGCTACCCGACCGGTGGCGGCGGTGGTTATTCTCGTTCAGATCCGCTAGAAGATGGTTAAACATCGGAACAAATTTTGAAAATATTTTCTCAAGAATTGGATAAAAGAGCTCTTTCTGGCCGGGTCCATTTAGATTGTTAATGTAGGACGAAATCTTTGTACTCGTCCCATCAGCGGAAACCTCAAATTCCGAAGGCAGCCAGCAAAATCTTTTAGACCACCCGTTCATGTATCGATCTGCTCTTGATGGTTCCACCACCCGAGAATCTCTGTTGACATCATAATCACGATAGCCGTCCCCAGAGTCGTCAGAATTGTAGTCAGATTCTCCACTGTAAGCGTCTTCATTGTAAGAGTGAATATAGCTCCCCGGTTCAAAGGCTCTGAGAGGGCATTGAATGATCTTCCCGTCAGTATCCACTGATCTCCCATAAATTATAGGCCACAAAGACGGATGCACAAGGTTGAGAACCGTATTATTTGTGCCTGGATGCCAATCCTTTTTCTCCTCGGGAACGTTTTCTAAAACCGCAACGGCTAAATAAGAGTTCCTTCGTATTTAGCGCCTTCCATCTCTCTCTTGATTTATCCTCGATGTTTGTTTCTCGACTTACCATCGATCAATTGTTGTCTTAACTCCTCATCGACCAACCCATCGGCCCTCCAAACAGCATCAATATCAGGCTCAATACAAGAACCACTTGCTTGAAGTTCTTCAATGTAATTTTTATAAGCTTTCAGCTCCTGATCAACGAACTCTATAGTTCTGGCATCCCAGACAATGACCGTGGGATAGGAGTAGCCGAGACGCTGTGAATCTTGCACCGCTGCCTCTTGTATCCACTTAGCCATGATCTTACGATCCATTATTTTTTTCTTCCAATCGGGCTTTTTTCTAATGGCAGTAGAGAAATTACGAAGGGCCTGGTCGATGAAGGTGAGGGCTATCGAAGATCCCTCTTCCAATGGGTGGGGGTATATGACCTTTGTAGCCATTGTCTTTACTCGTAGACGTCTAGACTTATGACTGAGACGGGATGAAATGATTAATTATAAGGAGAGTAAAGTATAAGAATTAAGCAGGATACACGAAAACGCGTGAGGATGAGGCCTGGGAAACGCGAAAGCACGAGGGGCGAATATGGTGCTTTTTATATGTAATTCGACCTTAGCGTTCTCGACTAACTTAGACTGAGGTGCAACTTGACATGGTAATTTCGCCAAGATGCATGAGTCTACCCTCTGCATAGTTCAGCTACGTGCTGCAGCTGCGCAGGTAATTTCATTCATTCCAATATTTTTGAGTCAGAGGAGTACTTACATATTAAATCTTTTCTTTTCTTTTTCTTTCTTTTCTTTTGTTTTTCGTGTTACTCACAGGCCTCATAAACTAGACACTAGACGTCGACTAAAGCTATAAGCTCAGATGAGCGAGCATCTCTCCAGTCCAAGATGGGAGATACAACACTACCAACACATAGGAATTCCGAAGAACCTGTCTAGAACCTGTTCAATTTAATACCTTACTTTTAGATACCAACTCAGTATCTTGGTGTTTGGGTAGATAGGCTTCAGAAGTACATTTTTTTTAAAAAAAAAAAACATTGATTCTCATAAACATAAGTTTGGAGAAGCTATTTCGCTTTAAAGGGGGTTATGAATGTGTGTATATGATGCATGATGATCGATGGTTCTAGTACTGTGACTAGGGCACTAGGGGGGTCTTTTCTCCCTATGTTTGTGCACCTCTATCTATCAGAAGTTGGGCTACCGCTTGATGCCCTCTACCTGTAGCCAGACGTAACGGCGTATCGCCGTTTTTATCTTTCGTTTCCATATTTGCGCCCTTGTCTAGTAGCAGCCGAACTATCCCCTCGTGGCCATTCCTTGACGCCCATGATAACGGTGTCAAACGGTTTCTTCCTTTTGATTTTCATAATTTCATTAGTGAACTATTCTTCAAATGACGGATAATTATACCTACGGTCTTTTATTTCTATATCCGCTCCCATATCCACCAGTACCCGTATTACTGACTCACGTCCATCCTGTGCAGCCCATAAAAGAGGTGTGAAACCGAAATTGGCATTGCCATCTATCTGTATGTTAGTGCTCTTGTTCATGATCAACGGTGCTAGCATATGAACTGCTGCAGTTCAAATTGATCGATTAACATCGATGAATTGCAGGCAGTATTGCACTCACCACCTTTAGTTTTGGGTTAGCGCCCTTGTCCGACAGTGAACGGGATACAAAGGAGTGTTACTCACTATCTCTCTCTTCGATATTGGCACCTTTATCTACCAGCATTTGGATAATTTTCTCATGTCCTTTTGTTGCAGCGCGTGATAGCATGCTGCGACCAAGTTTATCCTTGACCTCGATATTCGCGTCTTTATCCAACAGCGGCTGGACTACTGATCCATATCCTCTCTCCGAAGCATAAAATAATGACGTAAGACCACTTTTATCTTGGGCTTCAACGTCTGCACCCGAGTCTAGTAATAGTTGGGTCATTGCACCACGTTCATAGATCGAAGTCCACACTAATGCTGTGCGCCCTTGTTTGCCTTTTATTTTCCATTGAATTAGCGCCAATTTATAACAAATAACTCAGCAGGATAGTGGATATAGTTTAACTCACCGTCTTTTGCTTCTATGTTCGCCCCTCTTTCTAGGAGGAATCGGACTATTGATTCACGTCCTTCTTGTGCAGCCCACAACAGTGGGGTATAACTATAAACATCACCTTTCACCGCCAATATCAGCACCCTGATCAATGTGCCCACCGGGCAATGGATTACTGCCTTGTGCTCATTCCTAGAATTTTATAATGAAACCGTAGAGATTCAGTTACTTACTGTCCCTTCCTTCTATATCCGCGCCTCCATCCACTAGCAATCGGACTATCGCTTCATATCCTTTTTCTGCGGTCCATGATAATGGTGTACGACCACCTTTATCCCTTGTATTCGTATCTGCACCTTTATCCAATAAAATCTTGATCACCGATTTATATTGGTTCATTGTAGCTAAGGCGAGTGCTGTACGATCATTTTTATCTTTTCAGCAATTAATAGTCAGCATCGTTTCTAACTATCAGATCAAATGGACTACCATTGATTGCTTGGTCTCATACACGCTCCACCTGATCATGCATATTAGTAGTGGCGGTGTATAGAAACTCACCCTCTTTTGCTTCCAAATTTGCCCCGTTATCCACTAGTCTCCGGACCTCCGCTGTATATCCGTTTCGTGCAGCCCACAATAATGGCTCGTGGCCGTTACTATCTGTCAGCAGCTCAAACACTGCCTTATGCTCATTGTGCATGGCCCATATCGCCGGCGTGTATCTGGATATATTATCTTTTGCTTTTTTGTCAGCACCCTTGGCTATCAATACTCGGACCGCTGCTTCATGTCCTTCCTGTGCGGCCCACAATAGCGGTGTCCGAAAAGATCTATCGTGTGCCTCTATTTTTGCACCCTTTTCTATCAGCAAATGGACTACTTTATCATGTCCTTTTTGTGCTGCTTTTAAAAGTGGCGTCATGTTGGTTCTCTGGTCCCTCGCCTCCATGTTGGCGCCTCTGTCCACTAATATGTTGACTACTGCCTCACACCCACAATCTGCTGCTCGCCATAATGGTGTATAGCCGGATTTATCTTTCATTTCTGTTTCCGCGCCCTTGTCCAATAGCAACTGGACTACCGCTTCATGTCCATCTTGTATTGCACGCAACAGTGGTGTGTAATTGTCATCACGCTCTTCGTGATTGTCCATAGAATCTCCGTGGATTTCACTTTTTGATGGGAACCAACTATCATCGCGATGGGGCTCCTTCAACAGAGCCCTGATAACAACAGCGATCCCATTCCCTGACGCCCAAGACAACGCTGACCGCTCGTGTTTGGTATCCTTGGAGTTTATGTCGATGCTATCATCCGACTCGAGGATGAGTTTTACAACATTTGCAAGTCCAAAATATGATGCCACCATGAGAGTTGTAATATCCTCTGGGAAATCTGTATTGATATTTGCGAACGCGCCACTTGTCGAGGTGGTGTACAAGACCATGTTCGCCCAGTATATTCTAAACCAGGTTAGACATCGCCTTGTAGTTGTATCGCATAGCTTCAGGATCAAATCAATTTTCTCTTGCTCAATTTGTGACCCGTGCAAATGGGTCATCCAGTGTGTAGCCGAGTATTCAAGAAAGATTTTCCCTGGTAGATATTCGGGTATCAGAACTGCTTTCCCAAGATAATGGGTTTCGAGATCCGTGAAGAGCAGATTCTGGATACAAATATCAACAAGAACTCGGTGAGACTCTTGTAGTTGAATCGAGTGTTTCCATTTAAGGTCGCCTTCTGCGGGCTCGGGATCTGCCGCTAGGTTTTTCTGAACTAAGAATTCCTTCGCCGTATGGTGGAACAAGTATATCTTCGAGTCGAGAACCGTTACAAACAGACCACAGAGGTCACGTATATCATCACGAAAACGCCTTTCTGGTGTGAGATCAAGGTCCTTGTAGGAATGGTGATCATCATTAAGAGTCAGTGCCATGCACATCTCGTCTAGAGTTAGAGGCCGTGCTGCGGCAACTACAATTTGTAGTAGCCGTTTTGCTTGTTCAGGATTGCTGCTCCGAGATAGAATACCCTCGTATGCTTCATCAAGGGTTCTTGGGAGGTGTAATTCGGAAGTAACTTCGACCATTCTCCTCTTTGTTATCTCAACATTGACCTCGATGTCGTGTTCGATTGAGTCCAGGGTAAGGTGGACCCATAGATATGTTCTATTTGGAGTACGTTTGAATCTTTCCAATAAGAAAGTTCTTTCGCTATCCGTAAGTTTTATTTTGTCGCCGATATCATTAACCTTTGCTTCAGTAAAAACATCAATCTCCTTAGATATCTTGTCCATCTCATCTTCTCCATTTATATGAAGAAACGCGGACCCCGAGACCTTCAAAGAATGAAAGCCCTGGCGAATTTCACGATAAGGCCGACTCGTTACGAGAAATTTAAGGTTAAAAGCCGTCTCCGTGCGATATAACTTGTATAGTTCCCGGATAAGCTGAGATTTATCCTTGCATTCGTCGATTGCATCGAGAACGCAGACGATTTTGCCAGCTTCCTCATTTTGTGCGACGAGTAGGAGGGTCTCCCAAAGCTCACTGAATGAATCGGTGAATCCTTTTCCAGCTATCTCAAGGTGCTCGACGACCGCATCAGAAAGCAAGCCGGGTTTTGCTCGAAACAGTTGAAATAGCATACAGCATAGAGCCGTAGTAGCACTCCCTTGGCCTTCAAAGCCATCTTTGAAAAAGAAGTAACAGGTTGTAGTCGTCGGTAGGAAAATTGAGTCAATCAAGTATTTTGCAAGAACTGACTTTCCGCATCCAGGGTCAGCAGATACCCAAAGCATTGCTGATGACTCCCTCGCCTTCCAGTCCAGATATTGAGGATGGGAGGTAAACCACTCGCATGTTCCGGGGACCCGATGTGGGTGTAAATCTTTTTGATTTTTCTCTAGGGACTGATAAAGTTTCTTCAAGATATTTCTTTTTGTATCCTCAGGATCTGATCATGCATGTTATAATCAGCTTTGGGGACGTTAATTAATTCCGACGGTGTATTTGCAAAAGAAGTTTGATATATATGATACCAGCCCAAATTTATGTTTACATACCAGCGCCGACGTTGTTAAAGTTGATAACTCTAGTTGTGGATTAGTAAGTATATGATCAACTTACGAATGCAATATTGCGGACGGTTCTTACCCATAGTTTCCAATAGACCCTTGGATTCCTACTCGACTGTTTGTAGCCGTGAATGTTGTTTGTTCCATAATTTCGTACCAGATAGTCTAAATGCTACTATAAATGAACCTTGCAGAATATGTATTTTTTCACGAAAACTTTAGTATTTTAATATCGACCCTATAGCTAGCTATAGAGGGTTGAGGGTGTAAAGTAACGGTAAGAGTATCAATACACTAAGAGGTATGTACTTCTCATCTCAAGTCATCTAGATAAAATCTGCGATACATATATACAAAACTCATCATGTGGCACAGCTCAACTTCATGTTACCCCGCTTTCCATACAGCGAGTGTCATCATTAGTATTTACCTAAGACGGGACGTTAAGTCTACATGGCGGCATGGAAATCATTTATAGATATACATACAACTCTGGTATGTTCATCGCAGAAACGAGGATGTTCTATAAATGGGAAAACCGAGAGGACAAACCATGGATGACTAGTAGCTATACAATGCAATGGCCTAGGATGAAAAGGAAAAGCCAAGGGGAAGAAGGCTGAGTTAAAATCACGGGTGAATCGATCGATCGGTCAAAAGATTTAAATCATAAGAATACATATGCATAAATCTCCAACCAGAGCTGACTGAGTGATGGCGCGCGAAAGACAATGTGTATAAAATATATTGATATTGTATCGGCCGCCCGTCTAAAACTAGACTATTATGAACCCTACCATACGCCCATGAATTCACTAGGCTAACAGAAACTCGCAATCATATTATAGTTATACACAAGTCCTAGTAAAATTAACATTAATATTGCAGGTTTTGGACGGTTAATTTGATATCTAAATAACCTTATTATCTATGAGCAATACCGCGCCTATACATACCTAGGTACCTAGGTAGGTACTTATGGAGACATCTAAAAGCCAGCTTAAGCCAGAAGATACTCGTTACTCCAGTTTATATATATAATTGCAATCTTAGTGATTTTCGAGTACGTACGTCACACTGCCTAAGTTAGTCTACTAGCTATTATGGATCCATGGAGTATATAGTATCGTATTGGCATCTCGAACGCAAATGGGGCTCTCATTCCCCCAGAAATCACATGTATAACCTATCACAAACCCAAATCGAAAGGTGAATTAACTTCGGTTCCTGCTGCACATGCAACGTGCCAATCCCTCTGATTGGTCTCCCACCAGCCAATCCACAGCTCCAATTCGAACCGGTGGGGACCTCAGCTCGCCAAACTTGGATCTGGCGGAAACCCACTCTCGGAAGGGATGGATAGAGGTTGATGATGACTCCCGTTTCTGTAGCTTATCTCGGAAGTCCCCCGAGTAATCGATTACTCCAACTTAATATAATTAAACTTGGCCTTTTCCCCCTTAGTTAGCCAGCTCAAGATAGTTCATATTTCGAACGCACCCCTTAAGCTTCTAAATCTCCTTTCGGGTTTCCTCATTTTCACTCTTCTCCAGTAACCATTTCGAGCTTCAATCACACCGGTATTATCTTGATATCGCTAGAGATAAGCTAGATATCGATATATCTAAGATAGACATTCTGACTAACCCGCTTTAAACCCTCATCTCCAACGCACAACACAAAGCTCGTCGAGTCATACACAACCTCTCAAAAATGGCCGTCTTCCCAACCGCCCCTGAGCAGCAGCCCTCTAGCTCAACCATACCTCGAGCTCCAGTTCTACTCCCAGCGCAATCAGCTCCACAGGGACCGGTCACAATCCCTCTCGACCAGCCTGAACCGGTCGTAAAAGCCGTAAACATCGAAGATGGCGCGGAAGCCGGAGCCGATGCACCTTCAACGGCTCTCCGTCGCACTCCGCTCCGTCGGGATAGCATGAAACGACGTGAAGCGCTCATCAAGGGAAAGGAAGGCAGTAGAAGACGTCAAAGATGGGAGAATGGTTAGACTCCCTTTTTTTAACTTCTAGTTCCGCAAAAGGAACGAAAAACGTAACTAATCCCATCCCAAATATGACCAAAAACAAAAGACAACTTCTTAAACAACCCATCCTTCGCCCCTCCCACGGCCGAAGACTTTTCTCCAACGGCTCTTCACCCAAGGCGTGTCGTTCGTTACGAATTCGCAACACTTTGGGATCCATCCAATCCTGCCAAGTACGGCTATGCCACAGCTCACCACGTCCCATCTTCAGCTGCCAAAGGCGCAGGTAGTCATGACGAAAAGCGGGTTCCTAAGAACTTGAAGGACAGGCTTAAGCGCTCCAAAGGCGCAATGGACCTTTTGAAGTCCCTAGAGGAAGAAGTCAGGCGATATGCGGCTACGTTGTGGGGTTGTGTCGACGAATACTGTCATGGATCGAATGAGTGTGCTGTGGAGGACGATGAAGATGAAGAAGATAAGGATTGTGACAAAATGGACACCTCCGTTGACTTTGGAACTGCTAAAAAGTCGATCGTGGAAGAGGAAATGAAGGATTCTGAAGATGAAGAAATTGTGTTTGTCCCCCGGATGAAGACGATTAAGCTCGATTCTTCGGTTGAGGCCGCACAACAGGTTAAGGAACCGGTGGTACAGCGAGAGGTGTATATCCCTGTGCTCGGACCACCACTGGAAAAGTCGGTGTTCGAGGCACCGCATGATGACCAAGGAGCTAGCTTTGGGTGAGTCACATTCCAATATTCGGGTACTTATGCGGGAGGATGCTAATAGAAGTATAATTACAGCCGCTGGTTAGTGCATTCTATCGCTCTCTACTACGGCCTTAGGTCCTGGAGCGAAACTCAAGGTAGTCCGGCCAAGAGAATTGCGTTTGTAGGAGCACAACCGAACGAAAGAAAAAGGTTGAAATCGGGGCGGTTATTGAAGCATCCGAAGGCATTGCCAAGGCCATTGTGGATGATGTTGTAAACACTTCCAGGCCTCAAATATCTCATTCCACTAAGTCGAATGAAGGCTGCTTCGGTTGTTCGGTGGGCTTTTTTTCGTTTGTTTTTCTGTTCTTCTTCAGACCTTTCATTTATAATTTAGTCGTTATATACAAAACTATACTGGACAATAGTTTTATACCTCTAGATCGATAGGAGGTTTATAAAGCCTTGTTTGCTATATTGCATACCTTCTCCCGAAATTCAATATCAGTATCTCATCTCATAAGCTCGTAAAAAGATACTGTTCATAAATTGCATGTTCAGCGGTCAAGGCGGCAGCGCAACTCGAAAGATGGCAACCACAAAAAAGTCTAGTCACGAGACTAGTACTTTACACACATTTAAGTCATCCTAGAAGGCGCTAGGTGTTTCTTTCCATGCAGGACGACTTCCCCATCTTTTAGTTTCCACTCAATCAAGAATAATTATCGTATCGTCTCTAGCAAAGCATCAGGCACTTACGCAATATTGCTTATTCTGCAGAACAAAAACCACACGAACAACACAAACCCACAAGCCCAAAATCTGGAAAGCACCTAGTAATACATGTCCGCCTAATTTATATACGACTGTAGTCATAAGGTTCTTTGCAATTTTACCTCCTATTCGACTGAGAAGCTGTGACGAGGGAGTCGGGTGTTCTCACGCGTACGATTTAGTTTACAAGATAAACCGGAAGGTCATAATGATTACCTTCTTAGTAACATAGTCAGTTCAGTGCTTAAAGGCTATATTGATATTGATTTTTGTATCAAGGTCATTAGGCATTTATATAAGCCAAAGTAGAGTAGAATTACAGTTGATGTTTTGCTCCAGTAGTCAATAGGCTATAAACGTAAGTTGGAGCAGCTTGGAGTCGCTTGAGCTATCGAGATACAATCGAGAGGTCAGATTCCATTTTATATCATTACTTATTTAAACATCTCCGGCTATTGATCCCGGCTATTGGTCTGATTACAATTCACTTTGTAGATTTAAGATTGTTACGTAACCTACCTATGAGTTCTCTTTTAAACTTCTAGATTCTATCATATTTACCAGACGCCGAATGCAACGTCGATATCGACTGGATATTTGTTTTCGACCCTGCGGTTTCAGATGGAGTTGACAAGCATAGCTGCACTCCATTGCCTAAATTCGCGGTTATCAAACAAGTAGTAAGCCAAATACCGAACCGTCTAAACGTGGGGCTCGAAAAAACAAGCATCTGACCATATCCCATGGCAGACTAGTCTAGAAATACCAGGACCGTAACCGGGGAAACATGGGTATCCTTTTGTTTTTTGCCTTGAACAAATTATATTATCGTATGATATTATGTACTATTTTCCACATGCGTGCTAACGTGGATCTGATTCTGGGGCTCGTACATATTTTTAGAGAAGCTTCGGCCACCTCCTGGTGTTTTACGAGAGAACACGCTCAGGGTTTAGCGAACACTCGGTTGAAATTCACGTAAGTGGGACTTTTCGGTTGGGATCTTCCAGGGCCCAGGCTGGGTATGTGACAAGGTTGGGCTGCAGATCCGGATCAAGCGAACCAAACCATTGATGTTACAGCTGTCAGAATTTCAATTCAGGCTTAAGCCACGATAAAATTCAGCCTGCGGCGCCTAGTAGAAGACAAGCCTTAACGAGAGTGCGAACTCAAAATTCTTCATATGCATATTTGCTGTCGATATAGCTTATTGTGTATACGCCGACAAAGCGACAGGTTAACATCCACATACATCGATATGGATCAGATCGATCAAAGCGTGACATCAAGAAATTGGTTGCTTATTCGAAAAAATACGAACAGATGCCGCACCGATATCGCGTATACCGACATTCGGTTCGACAGCCGGTTCGACGGCCCGTGAATAACAAAATGTAGACGAGTTCGAACCGGTAAGCTCTATGGCTTGAAATTATATGCATATATGTTTAAGCATTTGAGTAGTTATAATATGGACTATAAAAGACGCCTATCCGCCACTTCCAATTAAGTGACACAACCTCCAAAGACTTTAAATCTATATATATATATTTCGAAAACAACCCCTCAAGAAACTCTTCCTTTCACCTCCATCTTTTTTATAACCATAAAAATGCAGATCAAAAGTCTGATTGCCGTCGCCATTGTTGGCTTGAGCCCTATTGTCAGCGCCACCGCCTTTACATGCCCTAGTAACAAGTACTTCTACTGTTGCACCAACTCCTCACCCTTGGGAGGAACCTGTAAGTTTAGTCAAGTTCATACATTAATCCGATTTCTCGCTTCTCTAACGGATTTATTTCTCCTCTGTAGGTGTTCCTGGCAACGCGGATGTTGGCTGCCCCAATACCGGACCGCTGTTCCATGCTTGCTGCAGCAGCGGCGCTTATGAATGCACTTGGGCAACTGTCAAACCCGTGGGCGTTTTCACATGCCTTTGCCCTTAAGTGGAGTTGGATATATAGGAAAGAAATTGCATTTGGGATTAGCTGTTCTTATGTCGACTTTAGAGTGTACATATAGTAGCACTGGAAATTATATGGGAATCCTCGCGTCGGGATGACGAGGTGAAGCTGGAGACTTCGATCTGTGGGATCCCGGGAATAGGGTCATGTTAACTACCATACGGTGGATAAATATAGTAATAAGTTTCGAATTGTCTAAATTTTCGAAACTTGAAGAATATATATCAATATTCCGTAAATCAAATGTTGTGTGCACTTGCATTATAACGTGCTGTCGTATTAATCCATGTTGCGCGTTTAAATGCCAAATCAAGATCGATCGATCGATTCGAATTCAGGAATTCATAACTCTATAGATGTAAAAAAAATCCCCTTAGCATAAACTTTCTGATTTCTAATTTTTAATCGAGTAGTCCAAGGTATGCCAGCATGTCAGTAGAGGCCGAAAAAATAATAGAATTAGCGCGATATCCATGTTTCCAGCCTGGGGCGCATGTAGTGAAATAAATGTTATAACGTCAAAGATTTTGATGTTCCAGAATTTACAACATCGATATCAATATATCATTTTTAAACGATTCCAAATAGGTAAATCTTCATGCAGGTATCATTTACTCTCTCGGAACCTATACACTCTGGGTTTATAATTATTCATTAAATTTATAAAAACTATTCACAAGCGATAGGCCAATTTTTAACACATATTATTGTGTAGCATTGACCTAACTAGCTAACCTAGCAGGTATGTATGGATGAAATCCGGTGAAATGGGTAATACCCCGCAAATTTGTCGGGTGATAGCAAAGATACATTGCAATCTCTACCATATAGCTGTTTGGTTTGCAGATCAAGGCTGGGGTACCCGGGCGTAGATTCAGCTTAAGGCAGACTACATATGAGTCAACATTGCAACTTCATGTACTTTCCTTCTCCCAACGGACAAAATAAACGTCCTTCTACAAACAGAAAATTCAAAAAGTTGAAAGAACAAATGAGTCCTTAGATATAGTTAGATTTTAGGTATTGACTTACATATACTCGCGAACAAGTAGAAGTACTTAAATACAGACCCTAATTCTCGACTCCTTCTCGAATCTGAATTCTCATCTGCACTATCGAGGTTGATCCCAAACTCATTCGGATAGCTAACACCAAAATACCACACAATGTCAACACTTTTCGTCCCCCTCGAAATCCAATACCACATCCTCTCCTTCGCCATTCTCGACTGGACATCCCAACCTTCTCTCCACAAGGTCTGTAAATCGTGGCAATTCTACATCGAAACTTCCCCAGAAGCTTTCTCGGCGCGGTATACCAACACTCATTGTCACAAAGCAGGTCAAGAAGAATTCTTTTTCAAGCCTCAACTCCACAACGCCATAGCCTACTGTCACAAAAACTTCTACAAAACCCAGGAAGACCCTCCAAAGTTCTCCCCCTGTGTCTTTGAAATAAGCGAAGAAGATGGAGATGTCGCAAGCATATCCTTGGAGATTAACTTGGAAATGTTTTTCGAGGATCCGATATACAAGCCTGCGGAAATAAAATTCCGTAACGGAACCCTAGAGCTATCCATATCACCAAAACATCCAATCTTGCCGCCGACTTACATGACGATTCTATATCCCGACAACTATAGTTTCCGCCATCCATGGTTTTACGGTCCGATACCTCCATACAAAGACGCTATTGCCGATGCAGAGTTTACGAAAACCGCTACTGTTGGTGACTTTTTGATGAGTATCCCTCGGACCATAGATTCAATGATGGAGTTTTTGTACCTGTCTTCTGATCACGCTAGTGGGGAGAAAGCTATGCTAATAAAATATTTTGAAACGTCGTTGAGGGTTGGAAGTTGTCGCGATGGCTATCAGGGATTGTTCTTGTTTGTGAGGGAGGTAAACGGGGGCCGGGACTGGTGTTCGAGTCGCTATCCAGCGCCTGGGGGGGTATACTACTAGTACCTACTAAGACTGGTATATATTTTATGCAGTTCCCCATACAATTTTTGGAATCTAATTCGGCTACTCCGCTGACATCTACGGCACGGGTTGAAGACTGCTGTTAGCTTCGAGGCTATAATGAAATCTTTAAATGGCCAAAAGGTCATCCTGAAATTGCATGAACATCGTTCTTTCTATTCTTTGATACAGATGAATCTATACTTACCCATTTACTCTACAGTTATCTAATTTTATATCTACACGACCTACGAACCTACTACTTCTACGACTCTCTTATTGCCCTCCCCAAAGAATCGTCACTTTCTCCGTCGTCCTTCTCAATCCTAGTAACCGAAGTTTTAGAAATCTTCCTCCCCGACCTAGTCATCTTATATCCTGGTCTATAGATAATATTTCTGACATTGACAGGCGTATATGCGCCCCCGACTTTTCTATTAGTAGTAGCGTTAGGCGTATATTTCCCCGGTGTTGCTTCTCTCATAAGCCTCTCTATCGGGACATACGGCGGACCAACTCTCCGAATCTTTGGTAGAGTTGAAACGGGGGTATCTGGTATATCGTCAGTAGTTCCTCTCCTTCGGGGTGTTAGTTCTTCGAAACGTATTTTGAGCTTTGAGGATTGTCTCTGTGTGGCTTGTGGAGTTACTTTTGCTGTTTCTTCTTCTCCTTCTTCTGGGCCTCTTTGTTCAAGGTCGGGTGTATTATTCCCCTTGAATCCCGTAGCTCTAAACATGGTCCTCTTATTCATCTCAGCAATCGTATCATAGTCCCGCCCTTTGTCACCAAAATTTAAAAACCCCAAATCCTGCGTAACGTTTTTGAGCTTCCTTTCCCATTCATCCCACCACCTTCTACTCCTAAACACATGGTCATCCGGATACCGTTTCATCTGATACTTCCAAAACCCATGATTCACAAATCCAGCCCACGCATTAGCCGTAAGTTTATTCTGTCGACTCCACGAATCTTGTTCTTCCCATTCTTCACTCAACGGGGTTGGTATTATCTCCCCTCCAAAGCCGGGCCTCAATTCCCGACCTAACTGTTCCCCTAGAGTGTGAATTAAACACGTTCTCACCATTTTCGTGGGATTGTAGAATGTCAAGTTGATCCCATCAACACTATCAGCTCCACCGAATAATAACCCACCAACAGGAGCGGGGATCGGATCGGCCACCCCCTTCCCACCAGCCCTCCTCAAATCCCATTTTAACATATCCTCAAACGATGGACATGACAAAACCCAAGCTCCGGAATCACCTGGGTCTGAAAACCAGGGGCCTGAACCGGCGCTTACGATACCACATTTGACTTCCCAGTATCTTTGTACTTTATGGATTTCGGGATGTTCTTCGTAATGCTTGCCGAGCATTATACGGACATCGGCGTTGAGGGAGAGCACGGTACCCTTTGTGAGACCTGTTGTTCGGCCTATTTTTAAGACTTCGGCACCGATTGGGAGATTGGTCCAACCTCTGGCTTCTACGCGGAACCGACGACCGCCCTTGTTGTCGCGGCCGGTGTAGGTGAATGTATTTGTTCCGATGCGTTCTAGTAGTTTTTCATCATTGGGTTAGTCACAATACGTAGTCTTAGCGGGTAAGTGACTATAGATATTAACTTACCAATCTTCGGTTTAATCACAACCTGATCCATGATCCATGGTCCATCCTTCATCTGTGCAATCCTCCAAGCCGAGGCCACAGTCCCTCCAAAGCTAGTACCACCTTTTCCATATTCCTCGACTAGTTTATCATGAAGTTTTAATTTCTCTTTACCCTTGCGTGTAAGAGTTTCTGCGAGGGCGTATTTACCCCTTGTATATGCGCAGATGGCTTCGTGCATCAATCCGTCGATTTGGTGGCCTATTGCTCTAGTTTCGTATGTGATATCCTCGATGCTTGGGCAGATCGGCTGGCATGAAGAAGCATTTATTATGTAGTTGGAGCGGTGGGGCCAGAGAGAGGCGTGGTTGTCGAAGTACATCACCTATATGTCATCTATTAGTATATTCTACGATCTCCAATTAATCTTCCATGAAGATAAACAGTATACGGGGGATAATACATGATGGCAAGTCATGGCATAAACCCTTCCCCTCCTATCTGTCATATACCCTGCCAAAGTACCCGATCCATAATCTCCTTTGGCGCTCAATGAGTTACCTATATTTGGTCTGTCTTGGTAGTTCGCTTTCAAGCCTTCGTCACTTGATGGGATATCGAGCCGTGCAATCCATCGAAGTCCATATGTGAATGCGTCTAGCTCATGTTGATAAAGTTTTTGGTCCCAGCGGATTTTATGGATGTTTGCCATTGGTGAGTGTGGGGGTGGGGTTGGTGAAAGACTCAAAGAAGATAGTGTTCCTGGAGAGTTAGATGGCGATTCGGATTTGGATTTGGAGTTGGCATTAGAGTCGGGGGTGGGTTTGGGTTTGAATTTGGGGCTGGGACTAGACTTGGATTTGGGATTGGGATTAGGGGGTGTGTAGGGTGTATAAATTGTCTTCTGCGGTGGGGTATCTGTCTCGAGAGAAGTGGTTTGCGCAGCCTTTGGGAAGAAGAAAGAGGGCCATCCGACTCTTACACCTGGCCGAGAGCCTCCCTGCGCGAGGATATGTGGTTTTTGCTCTTCTTCCTCTTCCTCTTCCTCCTCATCTTCTTCGTCTTCATACTCCCCTTTCCCGCCTACTAACCCATAGCTCCCAAAGAACCTCGAATTCCCACTCTTTACAAAGACGGCAAGTTCATCTCCAAACCTCATATTCCTCAACATTCCCTCTGCAACCTGTTTAATCTTCCCCGTTTCATTAGTCGAGACCATAAGGAACAAACAACTACCATTGACAGTAGTATTATAATCGTGCAATATGTGACGAGCATTCATGTACACAAACTCCGAGAATAACAAACACCAAGTACAATTCTGGTAATTTTCTCTTAGGTACTTCAGGAGCCGTACTCGAAGTGGTTGAAATGCATGCTCGTGGACTTCTCTTATATGTTGAAGCTCCATCCTAGGAGCAACAAGTGATATTTGAGAAAGTAATGCTTCATCTTCTTTCCTTAACCATCCCAATAACTTCCTGGCAGGTCTTGACTCCGGATCGTATAGACCTAAATGACGCCATAGCCTTACCGCGGGCTTAGCAATCAGTCTTGGGATTTTTCGGCTCTTAGGACGTTTATAGGGGGTTTGGTCTGGTGGAGGGGTAAAAGGGTCTTCCCGGACACGATCCGGGTGGGTGTTAAGCAGGTGACACTTCCTGACGTGCCATTCTTTGGAAAGGGCAACATCGGAGAGGTGGGTCGTGCGGAGGTCTGTGTAGGAGGAAGGATGGAGGAGGTTGCGGAGGGCGGTATTGTCTGTTCTTGGGGGTTGAGCCAAAATTCTATTATTAGTATCGGTAATGGTATTGAGATCTTCAGATGAAGTTGTGAAAATACTGGCGGTGTCGGAGTTTTCTGCATTATTGTCGAGGGACCCTGTGGGGGTATTTGGTGGAGAGATGCAGTAGATTGGTGAACTGGATGGTTCGATATCAGATTCGACGTCTGATTGCTCGATGTAAGCTTCATGATTTGGTTCGAGAATTGTCATATTCAATGCTCGTTCTTCTTCTGTAAATGATATCTCTGGCTCCTCAACATCGTCAATATCTTGGACTACTGAAGGTTGGATTTCCTCGAGTTCATCAACCTCAATCACAGTTGCACCAACCCCTTCTCCCTCTTCTCCCTCCTCCTCCTCCTCCTCATCATCATCATCACCACTGCCTTCCCCACCAATAGTCGTAGTCCTTTCACTCTCCTCAACCAGTTCTCCCTCTTCTTCTTGCTCTAAAACTCTCCTCTTCCCCTTCCCAGCCGGAGTGCCCCTCCCCACCTGTTCCCTATTCACAAAATCCCCAGTAACATCCCTCAAAACCTCGAACTTCGCTAACCCCCTCCTCCCCTGCCGCCCATACCCCCTTCCACCACTCGTCTTCATTTTCTGCGCCGCAACGCTCCTCAATGCCATAATATCCCGTTCCGAAAATCCAACAAATGGAGTCCCATCTTCCCCTTCCCCTTCCTCATATTCATCTCGAGCTCCATATATCCCTTGCCGTTGGTCATATTCTTCGTTATCAGAACCTATATGCGTTTTTGAAGGTGGAATTATCGTCTGTCGACGACGCTCTGAACGCGGGGTTGGCGATGATATACCTGTTGTAATATTTTCTTTATTTTTAGGGATATATGGTTTTTGACGGTGAGGTCTGCGGGGGGTGGACATTCTTCGTTATATCGTAGAATAGGTGGTTCGTTCTACGGGTTTTATTATTATTCTTCTTCTTTACCGTATGTATACCCGTATATATTGGGGTATATATGAGTAGAAGTATTTCTTTTATGTGCTATATGGTATTAATTTCAATTCTCTGTCCAAGTAATAAAATTTGTAGAAAGAGAACTTACGTGAATCATACTCCTCTGTTGTGAAAAAGAAGTAGAGGGAATATCGCTGTACAAATCTTGCGTGTGAGGATTCGAAACTAATTAATTTCTTTGTGACGATTACGTTTGGTGGATCGTTTCGCGGCTGCTAGACCGGAGCTTATCTATGTATGTTAGAGAAACAGCCCTAGGTTGGTATCTCAAAGGACCTCTGTCGAAACATTAGTATCATCGGTCTAAAGGCACTAAAAAGAGGCTGCTTGTAGGCAACTAGGTCGTTATGAGACTGAATTCATGAAACTTTCTGTGCGACCAAACTTTGAAAGAGAAAGAAAAAGAATCTGTCGACGCCGCATTAGCCATCGCCATTTCCATTAAAATTACCATACACACAAGGAAAAGGCAGAGAGAAAAGGAGCCAACAACTAAAAAATAGGCTTGAAAAACGTATCGACATAAGTATTTCGCAGGAGCGATAGCAATAGCAATAGGAACAGTCATAGTCGTAGTAATATTATGAAAAAAATGCAGATAAACCTTTGATACCCAATAGACCCAACAAAAGTCAAAACCCAAGGACCTTTAAGTAGGAGGAGGCGACGTTGGCGGCGGGGGAGGAGGTGTAGGTGTCCCCCTATCATCCAACGTGCTCGTCGAACTACTCTCAGTCTCAGGCGACCTTGTCAATGACCGTCGTTTCAGCTTAACGTCCATCGAGGCCTTTTCATTCTCTATATTGTCGTCCATAACACCCAGATGCCGTAGACTCGAACTGCTCTTTTTATGACCCATCCGTAATCTCCCCTTTGTCGGTGTCCCACGTAATGTACCATCGGAATCGGGGCCAAGTGGAGACGCACTGCTTCTAGCCCGTGGTCTAGTCGTTGTTCCCGAGGATACGGATGGTTTTCTGGCCGGACGTCCGCTAATTCCGGGAAAAACTGGCCCGGTGGGTGTGGAGCTTGATATTCCAGCGCCAACAATCACGCCGTGACTATTCATCGGCGGTAGATAACCTGTTTCTAGAATACTAGTTTTGATAGCTTCAACTTCTACCGCTCGTCGTTCGTTTTCTTTTTCCCAGTAATCGCTGCGATATATTTCCCATCCTTCCCTAAAATCTGCTGAGAAATGTTTCGCAAGTATGACCAGTTTGACATTCATTCCTGATTCCAAATAATCGTCTGGGTCGAATCCATCCGGTATAACAGGTTGCTGTCGCGTAGTATTCCCCAATGCCCTCTGCGCCAATGCCACATCAGCCGCAGACCTCGGTGGGGGTGTCCCCGGGGTTCCAGGTACAGTGGGTCCAGCTCTAAGTCCAGTAATCCCACCAGGTCTCATAGCATTCGAATGTCCTCTAGCCCTCACATGATGCACCATCCTCGGCGGGGGCACTCTTTTCAATCCAACCGAATAAATCCACCCGAGGGGATGTCGTTTCGCCACGATCTCTGACCAATCCCTCATTCTTTGCGAAAAGCTGCGATTGACGACGACGAGTTTGACATTAAACATCCTAAGACCTTTATTCACGTTTCCCACCAATCTTCTCGGCCATATCATTGTTTTGGCATATAAGCCGCTCATCCAGAAGAGAAGGCCTGTTACTATGCCACCGAGGAGACATAAGTTTTGGAAGGTGGAGATTATGGAGTATGGAGATGGACCGACGATGTAAACCGCGTTGAAGAAGTACCCGATCCAGAGACAGAGAAGGAAAAGGAAGACGGTGTATTTTCGACGACGTAAATGGAGTCTTTGGTATTGAGCCCGTAATGAGGCTTCGAGGATGATGAGGTTTAGGTATATTGTCGGAGGGGAAGTAGGGTGGTTATCCAGTGGATTCGGAATTGTTGGACGGTGGGCAGAACTCGGGGCACCAGCAGAAGTAACCGTGGTTGCAGCATCATGGGCAGCGAACGAGCTGCTGGAACCCGTGCCAGCTGAAAGAGAGGAAGTAGAGTCGGCGGTATGAGGGACATGGATGGAAGGGGTCTGAACGTATGCGGTTGCGACTTGGGCGGCTTTTGAACCGACGGAGGGCGTGCCTTTAATGATCTGGTCGAGGCGTGATTCTTGGCCGGTGCCGACGTTTGAGGGAGGTAGATTGGAGTCGGATTCGGAAGGTTCGTCGGCCATGATTATTATTATTATAAACAAATAAAAACTACTAAGCAAATCTGAGAAGAAGAAGGAGATTGGTGCGAATCATGGGGAAGTATTAGTGAGACTCCGAATGTGGAGAAGGAGAAGGAAGAGGAGGAGGATAAGATTGTATGGATGGATGGGGGAGAAGCAAATCGCGGGTTCGGACGGGTATGTTTCTGTTTCAAGTCAAGTTAAGCAGAGATTATGACCGCATTTAATAACAAGGATCTTATTTATACAAATGATATAGTGAAGTATAAAGTATATACAATTAAAAGAAGAACAGAGCAGTAGAGCAAGACAATTTAGATCGAAGCCGAAGAGAAACTGGTGATGGTAAGATCAGAGCTAGAAGAAGAGTAAGAGCAAGAGTGGTGAGATTGGTGAGAGGGATCTCTCAATCTCAACAACACCAAACACCACGTTGGGACTTCTTCTGGAGAACATACTAAACCAACCCCGTGATGTCGATTTGATGCAACTGCCACCGGGATCAGTCGATAGAATCCGGCTAGACCGACATGATGGAGCCAATGGGATGTCTTCGAAGGGGAACATGCATATGGCGTTCAGTCCGAACCAAGGTTGTTCTTCGCGAGGTCGACGCAATCAGGAAGCTGTATAGTATATTCCACCTATTCAAATTCACTACTGTGAGAGTCAAGATCAAGATCACGATGCGATAAGATCGTTCATTCTTATAATTATTATACCATCCCCGATCGATGTTAGATATTTTTCTAGTTAAGTCTGACTAAGCCTTCGAGAATTAAAATTCCTCAACGATATTGTTAACTAAATCCAGTCTAGCTCTGCAGAGACTGTACTGTGTACTATACTTCCGGACTTTAACTATAAAGTCCGCCATCAAACTGAATTTAATGTCCGATTGAGCGCCAAATAGACTACGTAACCACGCTGCTGCTGCACCCGGATTACACCCTGGATTATAATTACATCCTTGGAGAGCCCCTCAGCCTTGTTAGAAGGTACTAAGGTACCTAACAGTCAGGAATTAAACATTCCATCGGTCGAATTGTGACAAAAGAAAGGAACGGGCTTCGGGGTCTTAAGGGCTCCGAGTCTGCAGCGTGTGCACCTTAAATACACTTTTATCGCCACACTCTCGAACTCTTTCGATTACTTCACTTCTTATTAATATACATATTCATATTCATATTCATCTTACTTAAGTATCTACTTAAAATACGATTTTCAAATATATATTCATTCATCCATCCATCGATTGATTGATTTTTGTTTAGCAAATATACTTAATATCATACAGTTGCCGTTTCAATCAAGCTGCTGTAATTGGGGCACACGAGCGACCGTCAAGCTGTCTTTCCGGCTCCTGAAACCCTTCCGATTCAACATCACCAACACCCGTCAGCTTCAGCTCCGTCTGCTCACCAGACTTCAACAATCCAGACATAACTCCTCCATTTCATTCCCATATTCTGATTCTCTCTCTCATTTACACCCTGATTCGGATCCCCGTATCGTAGTATACTATCCGACAAGAACATCGAAACCCCAGTATTTTTACGTCGACCGTCGTCGCAATATTATAATGGCCATGGATGCCGCCGCTGCCGAAGGATCCTCCCAACAGTCGCCCCTTGCCAGTCAGCGAGAAACTGAAGAAAAAGTCAAGCTTCCAAGCAGACTCTTCCCTCTAGAATACGGAAAGGCTTTCTCTCAATGGGTATGTATATTTAAAACCCCCCCGAGTAGTTTTTCTCCTGTCATTCTTGTCTTTGTCCCTTGCATCGCTAACCAATTCTGATGATGTAATAATATAGTGGTCAGGTATAACCCCAGCTGCTGCCGAAGCCTCAGTTCTCCAATTCATCCCCATCTACTCCAAATCTCTCAGACCCGCCACTGGTACCGAAGCTTCGAAACCAGACCATACATCGCCTCCTTTGGAATCTACCGATGATCGCGTTTGTGCTTCTCACGAAGTCCATCTCTCAAATCCCAAACATTACCTTAACGAATTCTCCATCACCCGCCCCGAAGGCAAGACAAAACACAATCTCGTAGTCCTACATGGATACGGTGCTGGTCTTGGATTTTTCTACAAGAATTTCGATGCGCTGTCGAAACGGTCAGGATGGTCGTTATACGCCCTGGATCTCCTCGGAATGGGTCGCTCCGCCCGTCCACACTTCAAAATCCACGCTCAAGACCGTATTGCGAAAGTTCGAGAGGCAGAATCGTTCTTTGTTGACAGTCTAGAAGATTGGCGAAAGGCTCGAGGTCTTGAGAAGTTCACGCTCATGGGTCATTCCCTGGGCGGTTACCTTGCTACCTGTTATGCCTTAAAGTACCCGGAGAGATTAGAGAAATTGATTCTCGTCTCACCTGTCGGAATTCCAGAGGATCCGTATGCTGTCACAGCTCAAATGCCAGATCAAGAATCTGCCAGGCAAGCTGCGACACATCAAGCCGAAACGGCTGCCTCTGCGAATGTCGGAACAGGCGAACATGCTCCAAACCCTCCTAGAAGACGATATCCTGGTTGGTTCACATACCTCTGGGAAGCCAACATCTCACCGTTCTCAATTGTCAGATGGGGCGGCCCTCTTGGACCCAGATTTGTATCCGGCTGGACTTCCCGTCGTTTCTCATTCCTCCCCGAAGCCGAGGCCGAAGCGTTACACATGTACTCCTACACCCTATTCAAGCAGAAGGGGTCAGGTGAATACGCTCTCGCATACCTCCTCGCTCCCGGAGCATTCGCTCGTGATCCTCTGAAGAATAGATTCTCTCAGATTGACCGAAATCTGGAAATAGTCTTAATGTATGGTGATAGCGACTGGATGGATGCCAAAGCTGGAAAGGCGGTTAGTGAAGCGCTTAAAAAGGATGGGAGGAAGTCGAGGTTTAAGATTATTGAGAACGCAGGACACCATCTTTATCTGGATAATTTTGAAAGTTTCAACAGCTACATGGACGGTGTATTGGTGGATACCGAGAGGGCGGCATAAATTTGCCTATGACGGTCATATATATAGGACATGGGCTTTTGTAAAGTAATGGACTAACTACGGGTAGGTTAATTCGTCGTTTGGGTTTTGTTTTATAGAGGGCTAGAGCTTGTAAATTTAGCGTCTGCTTTAACACTTGGTGCTCGGTTTTTGTCTCTTTGTTGGAAGCATACCTAGTAGGTACACAGGATAGGATAGTATACAATAGTAATCTCGACTCAGGGCACGGGGTAGTTCTTCAATTGATAAAGAGTTAAGTGCAGATAGGAAGTAGAGAGAGATTGTAGTGAAGCTTTGTTGACTCGTAAGATTCGTGACAGTTGGAGAACGTCTAAGAACATAAGGACGGCCTCCGCTATCAGCAACTTGTTACTATAACCACCATCCTCTCTCTTTTCCCTTTACTACAGCAGACCATCACCATCACCATTGTGTCAACAACGTCACCATCAATATCCCGTACCCCCAATCTACAGTATCCCATAATCCAAAATGGCACAAACAGCAACCGATACCCAGGTCCCTTCCACTGTAGCCTTCTCAATCTTAGAGGAATACGAATCCACTCGCGAAAAGACATGTGCGATCTGTGGTGCCCAAACCGTTAACACCTGCAGCACATGTCATGGAGTAGCCTACTGCAATGCAGCACATGAAACTCAAGACCGATATTACCATCGTCTCATCTGCCCTGCTGCAGTCTCTATCCCTCCTCGTCCTCCAGGTGAAAACTTGGCTGCTATACTAGTTCTTCCAGAACATTCAAAGACTCCATACTACGCATGGACCCCTTACAAACTCAACCGTCACAACCTCCCTGTTTTCGAACAATCGAGCTGGTATGGCGAGGGGTACAAAAGCAAACCGACGATTATCACTTGTCACCCTATTACCCGTCAAACACTGCCCCATGCGATCATGATCTTCGAACCCATTAACCCACCACCCGGTCAACAACCATTGCGAACTACGCTGGAAAAACCGCAACCTCACACAAACCTCTGTGTCCACAATCTAACAAACGGTGTCAACTCCTCGGCGTTCAAGGGCACTTTGTTGATAGTCACCCTCGGGCGTACTCAAGATAGATCCAAAACCTGGATTATGTCCTTCAAACCCGAGGATATTCTAATTCTCGTCGAAGAACTCAAACGACCGAGTAATCAAATTGCCCTTCCTGTCAAATCCGTCAGTATCAAGGCCGTCGCCTGTTTTCCAACTTTCGAACCCGACCTTACCTTCAATGGTGACAACGCTAGCGACTTTAAGCACGCCGACTACGTTGCCTTTGAATCTTTGGATATTCCAGTCGACCATCCGATCTTTACATACCGTAGGAAAGATCCTCATATCTACACTCCACCTTTGGGGGTCTCCTATAGATTTCCCATACGTATGTTTCGATTCTTGAACTACCACGGTCTTCGCGGGAACAAGTTCGTTCCAACCCTCTTCCCGACTGTTGATATCATCCATTCAACCACTGGCACCCGTCCTTCCGCCAAACAGAGTAAATTCATTGCTGCCAAACTCGGAGCTGTTCTCTTCGCTCGTACTGATGGGAAACCATTGGAGGTTTCACATCTTCGAGAGTTCTCGGAGTTTGTCGGTAATGTTACTAAAACCTGGCAAGCGTATGATTCATTCATGACTACCCAGGAAATGGCGTTGGCTAAACATACGAAGAATGGAAAAATTGAAATGATGTATGTTAAGATCACGCGTGAGCAGATGAATATGGTTATTGAGATGGATAAGACTTTGGAAGCTAAGGCTTTTAAGGAGTTTTGGATGGAGAAGAATGATGGTCGTTTGGGACCATTTGAAGGGGTTAGTATGGATCTGGATGAGGATGGAGAGGATGAAGAAGATGAGAGCGAGGACGAGGGAGGTCCCGAGGAAGGTCCCAAGTGAAGATACGATGGCTCTGATGTTGCGAGCATTTAAGGGTAGTACTGCTTGGTATCTCGTAGTTTCAGAATTCGGGATCTTTTGAAAAGCCATGGACACGCTCTTTGAAGCGCTCGTTTAGCCTCTGCAGACGAGGCTATCTCGATATACACATCTAAAATCCTTTTTTATTTTATTATTCGTAAATTATCAGTCTGCTCAATCGATAAACTATCGTAGACCTAGCTAGATAGAATCCAGCAGTTTAAAACAATCAACAGTGGCTGCAGCCCAAAGTTGAATCCTGAAATATAAGATTTTGCGTTGGTCGCCCAGAATACCACGCTTCTTCACTACGGTGTTCAATCTTCAAGCTTCGAATCTAAAGGTTTTAGCTATCTAACTTCGTGAACTATAAGAACTATAATTATAACCTGTAAAATGAATAGTAACCTCTATAATGATAACATAACTCGTTCCTTCGTAAGCTGCTATTTAAATACATTTTATATACAATCCGATCCGATCAACTAAACTAATTCACCCAAAAAAAACAGAGGTATATGCCTACAATGTCCAAATTTCCAATGCACGCATGCTAGCCAAAATATTAAAAAAAAAAAGAAATATACCCAAAAACCAGATTGGCCACCTCATCGTAATTAAACTATCATATCATATCACATACGAAAAGAATCTTGTTTTTTTTCCTTCCAAAAATAAGGAGAAAGGTAGCTTTTACTCTGCCCCTCTCATGAAATAATCCTCCTCCTCTTCCTCGTCAGGTTCAACCACAACCACCTGCCCTCTTTTTCCTCTACTCCCGCTAGTACTAGCTGGCTCGTATCCATATGGTGGTGGAGGAGCACTAATATTAAACGGTGTACCCGATTTCCCCACTCCTGAGCTTTTCATAGTTAACGGTGGACTACCACCGCTACTATTACTACTACCGCTGATATTGCTAAATGTCATTATAGTTTGTTGCTGCTGATGATGATGGTGTTGATGGTGTTGATGGTGCTGATGTTGTTGGTAGTAGCCTCCATTACTAATACTACCACTACCGGTGGTGAATGCAGCTGCCATTCTTTTTCTACCGATGTTTGGTGACGAAGGTGCTGTGAATGATTGTTGGTAGTGTACACTTCTTTGCTGTTGCTGCTGCTGTTGTTGAGATCTCCAGGTGCCATTTCCAGATCTTGGAGGACTCCGTGGAGGACTTTTGGGGATTAATATCGGATGTGGAGTTCGACTGTGGAGGGTAGTGTTTAGTCGTATCCCCGTGGTGGTAGTGGTGGTGATAGTAGATGATTTTCTGGAGACTTTTGATGGAGATTGTGATTTTGATGATGAGGAGGCGAGAACGACGGAGGTTATCAGATCGACGTAGACGAGGAGGAGACGGGAGGATAGGAAGATTACGCTGAAGAAAGTGGTTACTGCGGCGAAGAGGGCGAGTGGGAGGGAGATTAGGAGGAAGATGGAGATTTGAAGGGGGGTTAGGAGGAGGTAGCGGAGGAAGGCGCGGAGGGCCATTGTTTCCTCTTCTTTTTGTCCTTTTTAAATTTTAGATCCTTCTCTTTGGCCGGTGTGAAAGGAGGGGTTAATAGGGAAGGTTGATATATAATATTGATTGGGGCGAATAATATCTGAGGAGGAAGATCGTCGGGTTTGGCGGGGGATTTGGGTTTGATTTTTGGAGGGTGATTTTGTCGCAGGTCGGAACTTTATTATTATTTTGGGATATTCGGATATGGGTATCGATTGATTTTTGTTTGATTTGATTTATTTTTATTTTATGTTTATTTTTATTTTTTTAAATATCATTTTTTATTTTCGTCGAAGTGTGAAGATGTTGAGTGAGGACTGTTTGACGATGTTGGATATCGGGCTTTGCACTTGCATGCATGGATATAATACGGGGCATCCGCGGACCCGCGTGACGGTTGATACGGTAAACTCCACGAGGAATTTTCCTAAAGACGACGAAATAGATGAAAAAGATAACGTTAATGCTACGAGCTGCATAAGAAAGAAGAAATGTTATGTTGAAGATCTTAAATGGGTTATAAACCAACTGAATATAAAAAAAAAGAAGTTTAAACGTTTGTCAGCTGCTAATCACGATATCATATCGGATTAACATGCATACTAATACTAGCACATAACAGAGTACATCCAGATCGAGTCATCGAACCCGGTCATTGAAATCAATTCCGAATCGACCAGAAAAGAAAAAAAGGAAAGGAAAAAGAAAAAGAAAAAGAGAAAAGAAGAACTTACATATGCGGTGCAATCAAACCCTCCCGTCAGCCTCCTCAACCACAACGACAGGTTTCGTCTTCAAATATACAACCCTCTTATTCTTCGCCCAGACCAAAAACCAAGCTACTCCGACAAAGAAGAGGAGGAGGAGGATGACGATTAAAACCACCGTTTCGTTGCGTCCGAGCATTATCCTACTTTTTATAAAATAACTACCAACTTGGCTTTAAACCTTTTTAATTTAGTGTATTTTTTGGGGGGGTGGGAGTTAAAAAAAGAGAGAGAGTCGGCCGGTAGTGGGGTTTTCCGGGGCTAAAAAACTAAGCTCTTTTCCTTCGGGATCAGAAGATCAGCTTAGAAGTATGTAAGTACCTTGACAGGCGAGGTTTTGTATGGGGAAGGAGAGGTGACAGAAAAAGGTATCCGAGAAGTAACGCGGTGTACCTCGGGATAGCTCGGTGCAAAGTGCTATCGCGCGGGGACGAGCTCAAGCGCCAGGGTCAGATTCTATATGTATGCGAAATAACTTGCTTGTGAAGAACAAGAGACGAAAGATATTCAATTCCCTTTTAGAAAGAAAGACTATAGAGAGACTACAGAGAAGAATGAGAAGGAAGAAGAGACAAGTTCACAAAGTAAATTCGCAATCGCAGAAGAAGATTCGATTGTAAGGTTTTTCCGCTCCAAAGGAAAGAGGGAAAAAAAAACACCATTGGAAGCGCTGGCGACAGGCCTTTTTCCTTCTTTTCCAGCCATCGACTTAACATATGTCAAAAGGGAGTAGTGTGTAAGTAAAATAAATGTATTATCGATAAGGAATCCACATTAAAATGCCTAATATGCCCCACCAATCAAACCCATACCCGTACCCATACCCTGCAAATGCACCGCATCGAATGAATGAAAGAAAGGAAAGAGAAGAAGGGTTCCCGGCAAAGAGAATGGGAAATGGCAGTCTACCCCAAACAGAAGTGTGACAGAAAACCGTCTTCTGTGCATAAATATGGTCAGCAGGGAACTGGCCCGAACCGAACAGTCTTTCTTTCGATAGTTCTTCCAGCCCCTCTGTCTTCCGGTCTAACTTAATTATACTATCGACATTGATCTTTCACACCCTCCAAAAAAGGTCTGGGGAATTCGAATCAAGTAAGGCTTAAGTAACATAACAGAGAGCAGCTGGTGCAGGCGGCGGGATCGTAGCACCGCATTTTTTTCACGATACTGATCCTGGACACCCCTTCCTTTTTTTCCCTCCTTCTTTGGGCTCATGCTGTGTAAATGAATTTTGCCAGATTGATCGAAGGGCGTTCGATTGTTAAGTGACCTTAAGTATGGGGAAGACCACGTAAGTACGGGAGGCCATCCGCCTTTTTTTTATATATTTCTTCAAGTGTCTCGAGATCTCCTCTTTCCCGCCTGCTTCTCCGCAGATAGTTTGCGAATCAAAAATAAAATAAAATAAAATAAAAAATAAACCTTCAATCAACTTCAACTACAAGGACAAAAACATCCGAGCACCCAAGTAAAGCTGGCCCCTCGTGCGAGCTAGCTGCTCCCTCGCAGCTTCGGAATCGAGAACGATCCTTTCCAACTCGCCGGGGTTCTTGGCCGGTCTTTTTCTCCCTTCAACGCCAATAAAAAAGTTACAACAAGGTCAACACAGATAAATGGCCGCATTCTGGATTCGCAGTAGTATTCCCGCCGGCCCTTCAAGTAGTTCTCGATCTTCTAATAGGAATCCAATTAACCGTCACTGTGATCTTGAAAATGAATTGATTCCTAATCATCCTTTGAATACTAACGAGAAAACCCCCCTCCTCAGAAGGCAAGATGTTCATAGCTATGGCGCTTCGGAGTCGACCTCTCTCTTGTCGCCTCCACCACCGCAACCAGACCCAGAACAGAACATAAAATCCATCCCGCGCGATCTTCACCGTCTTCGAATTCGTAAACTATTATTGGCACTTATTTGTATAACCCTTCTCACTCCGCTGTACACAATCGCCAGGTGCATTTCCCCCGGCTGGCCATGGCCCTCCCCTAATCCCCGCCCACCTTCAGTACCCTGGAGGTACTACTCTCGTCAATACATGTACGGTCTTACCCCAAACACTACATTATCAAGCTACACCCTCTCCGTCCACGAATTCATAAATCCCGATTTATTTCCCCTCGGCGTTACAGGCTCCGTCAAACTCCTAACAGGAAAACCAACCCAATCCCACAACCTCCTTGTCTACATCCAAGTCTATTCCAACTTCGCCTCACCCATAAACTGCATCCAAACGAATCGAATAATAACACCGGGACAAACCGAGAATATCACCATAACCTCCATCCCAAACCTCCATCCAGTAAACCGTAAACCCACGGAATTCCACGACTTTCAAACATTTGTAAATGTTTGGGTTTACACCCGTCCCGAGGCGAGGAAATTAGGACATGTTTCGATTTCTACAAACCTTTTGGATATTGAGATTCCGGAATCAGGAGCGAAACTTGAAACTGAAAAGTTATCGTTGTCTTCTGTGTATAAGAGTATTTCGAACCGTTTCCCCGTCAGCACACCTGGGAAGGAAGTGGACCCGCTATTTGCAAACCACATATCGCTATATTCCCGTTTTAATTATATAATCGGAAACTGGGGATACGGTCTTTCATATTCTGCCACGGCTTCGGAGGGTAGTGTTGATATTCGGCTTTACCCTAAACTAATAAGTTGGGGCAAATACACACCCGCGGATATCAATATAGTCGCAAAACACCATATCTTTATCCTAACACCCTGGTTTAAAGATCAATTGTCGCTTCGGAACACTTCTATATCGATGCTATCCCACAAAGGGGATATTAATGCCCAGTTAGTCACGGGTTCATTTACGAATCTTACGGCGTTAGAAGGGAATATTTGGAGTAATATGCTACCATATTGGGGAATCATCGCTGATGGTATATCTCCAACGAACACTCCAAAAATCAACACCTATTCAAAATTCAACTCTACACTCAGTATTGACAGACCGGTGGATGTTGGTGGGTTGGGGGATGATCCGTTTGAGATCATGGTTGGAAAGCATGTAGCTGAGGAAGGGATGATTAGTGTGAGATATCCGGATGGGTTTTGGAAGGGAAGAGTTGATGTGCAGAGCCTCTGGGGCAGGGCTGAGATTTTGGGGATTGACAGGAAGGAGAGAGATGAGGTCGTGAGAGAAGCAGATGGGAAGGTTTATCTGAAGGGACAGAATTTGGTGAGCTTTGCTGATGTGGTTGGAGGGAAGAAAGCGGTGTTTGAGTTCTGGGAGGGGAGTCCGGCGAGGTTCTTTCATCGAGATTATTTTTGAGGGGGGGGTCGAAGTGGAGGAGAAAGAAATTTGAGCCCACTCGGGTTTCTTTGAAGGGGAATTATAAGCAGGCGGTTATGAGGAAGAATACGGTATAACAGTACGTAATTATGATATGGTGTCTCTACTCTTGGTCAAATTGTCAGCGGTTTAGCAAGGTGCTAGCATGCTTTGGTTGATGTATATACACCGGCGTGTCTTCTTCTCCTTGTTTCTTTTGTAGCGTTTTAGCGATCGGATTGGTAGTTAGGATTTGGATCAGATTGTACTGGTAATTGTTGAATTTAATATATTTTTTACAAATAGTATTTGGAGCATTTGGAACCAAAAACAAGACCAGCCTATATATCATAAAAAATAGATACATCACGGGAAGCACGAACCATTATGCATATCTCATATGTATTTTGCATTGCGCATCATATCAAAAGGATAGGCGTGTTGTCAGCCAATGTGTGATATCCTGCCGTGTGGCTCAGCCTGGAGCTTCGCGATCCAGCCATCATTCCCACTTGGCCGCAATTCTAGGAAGACTGGCTATCCCACGACATCGTATTCTCCAGTTCAAAACTATCTTTCTCTTGCAAAATGTCTATCAATTCACTTCCTACGGAGATACTCCTCAAAATATTCAGCGATTTTAATGCGGAGAGCATCTTCTATGCTAGACAAGTTTGTCGGAGGTGGAGACAAGTCAACGAATCAAAGTTTTATAGCTTCTTAGAAATCGAATGTATCCAACCAAAGAATCCATACATTAGGTCTTGGCCTATAGACGCCGTGAAATATTCACACCTTGTGAAGTAAGCTGCCTACTAGGGCCATTCCGTTGAAGCTCCATAATTTTCAATACTAATTATGACAGGATCCTGAACTTAAAATTGCTGCCTGGCCATGAGAGCAAGATCGAGTCCAGCCAAGAAAGTCTCCCAGCCATTGTCAATCTCATACAGCCGTTCACCTTTGTCAGGGTTTTCAGCTACTCTGACGATTGCTCGGGTGTAGGATGGGGTAAATTTTGGAACATCATTAATTCTGCGGTTCTGGTGATGCCGTTGCTTGAATTGGTATCCATTGATCGTTGGGTTAGCGGGTTTCCATCCAAACCATTACCAGGCCGCGAGTTAAACCTTTTCGGCGAAGACGGACACGCCGATCTCGAGTCGACTTCAATCAATCGGGAGAACCCAACACGATGGCAATTTTCCGAACCGATACCTATTGACGTTTGGGTTAAAGGAGATCCGTTGATTGAAGGGGTATCTGAAAGCTCAACCTTAGTAGGAGGAGATCCCACTCTTCGTCAACGTCCACAACATCTCAAGGAAATTAGGATTTCTTTATACATCGATAAATCATCTTTGGCGATAATAAATCCTTTCTTCGAACGCCTATTCGAAATTTTTGGGCCCGGGTCCGAGAATAACGTTTCGGAGCTGAATATAAAACTTAACTGGTCCTTTAGCACACATGAGGAGGATATTCATCCACTACACGAATACAACGGACGCACTAGTACCCCGCCTTCGTGGAAGCTAGGGAACCTCCGGAGACTAATGTTTGAAAGTGAAGGCAGTTATTGCTTCGCACAAGAAGTAGCTGCGGACTTTTCAAAGCTCAAATGGTTATCTACAACTCGGTCGAATTGGAACAGGCTGCTAGAAGATGTGAGTACATGCATTTCGACCGGAAGGTTCAAAACCAAAATATTAGCGTAACTACGCAGTAGCCGACGTCGAACCTTCCCATTGGTTTTCACTTCTTTTCAACTTAGTGGGCGAACAACAAAAATCCCGGCGTCACGCTTAAGGATTTCCAGAATATTGAAGTATTCTGCCTCATAATACCCGACTACATAGGGTTTTATTTTCCCCGGGAAAAATCGGATTTTTTCTCTGCCGTTCTGAAGCAGCAATTAAACTATTTTCCGAATATAAAAGAATTCCGGATTGTATTAGAAACTATTTCAATCTACCCGGTAATTCGCAACGATCAAGGACAGCTAGAGATTGGTAAGCCATATGAGAAACCTACGGCTACGGGTTATGCACGTGGGCTCTTCAAGCATGATCCATTCAGATGGACTACTCGTATTAACCCTTTAGGACATTTTGAAGAAAAGATGGATTGGGGTGTAACGCAGATGGGGATGCTCTAGTATTATTTATTACGCATCTGATGTGTATAAAATCTACTTCTTTCGAATGCAATTTATGTGCATTTTAGTTACTTTGAAGGCAAACTCACGGGCTAAGTTTGGCCACTATCAACTTAGTCTATGCATATAAGCTTGATTGATCCTATATATTAACCGTACCCACATATGCCTAGCGAAGATGTCCAAGGTTTAAATTCTGTTGTAGTTTATCAGGTTAGCCTTCGACAGCGTTATATCTAGCTAGGGGTGTGAATTTAGCTCTGACATTGCCATACTTGTGAATCCATCGAATGGTTGTAACATTGTAGGATAGTTTAAACATTATTGGGTGTGGACTCGTGGTAGAAGCCCGCCGCTATATTCAATGCTTTGAAATCTCAATGACGTCATTTATGGGAGCGAACCAATGCCTCAAATGAAATCGAGGAGTGTTCAGTATCTTAGAGAATCACAGACGGCATATAATTCCAGCACGGCAGGGTCCCAGCTGAAAAAAAGAGTATGTGGTATTCTGACCCCATACCCGAATCTGGATCTTCGTGTAACAACGCAGAAAACCGGGTGGATCAGATCTGCCGAGGGTGTACATGTGCTACATAGAGAATGCGAGTGTAACATACCGAAATAGGGTTTCGAGGTTCACAGCAAAAACCTTAATTGAGGCTTCGGAACGTCCTGGTAACTGGCTCGTAAAACCAAGAATCTACCAGCACACTTTCCAACCGACAAGCAAGCCACCAGGTGATACTATCTATAATCCTGTAGACTCGATTGCACTAGTCATGATAGGAGGACAAAGAGCCGATCTAAATTCGTATACGCCCCACATTCAAAGCAAGTTCGTCTACCAGCATAAATCATACCTAGCAGGAATCCATATGGCAAACCGTCAAATGCACGTGGGAGCCACACCTCACGCTTCCCGCGAGAAACGTGGAAAATGCAAGCCCCTGCAGGTTTCACGCCCACGCTACCTCGATCTGCAAAGAGGGTTCTAGGCGGTGAGCCAGTGGGTTCTTCGTATCCGAGGAATGTCGAGTGGACATCTTGGCCAACTTTCCCCGCAGGCTCTAGCTCTTATCGATTCGGGATATACCATCGGGTCAATTTGCTACTGATTTCGTCTTGTGCCAAGCAGGATTTAATCACTCTAGAGAACGCGAGTCGCGATTCCTCTAACGCCATGGTCGATATCACGAGATATTAAGATATTGACAATGAGTCTGATACCTACTTGCAGACACTAAGCGTTTGAGACCAAACAATTAGGTCTCTGCGAAAGCCAATGGCTCTACGCGAAATAATGCAGGCGGTTAATGGACTCCGAGATTCATAAATTAGCTTGATTGTCTGAATGATCGTCACGAAGTTTTAAGATTTCCGACTCGAATTGCTTCAGGGAATTTATCATACGAGACCTAAGCGAACGAAAACATCACCTGTAGGTTCATCTCGAGTCGAGATATCGCAATCTTACGCTTATAAATTATTCAATCCCCATTGTTTTACTCTTCGGGGTTGCATGCAGTATTATTAAAATGCTGCTTGATAATAGTTTTAACAAGCAATGCCCTGCCAGCAGAATGTTTGTTTAAACCTGCAAATCTTATAACGGGGAAAAAAAAGCTGCAGAGTCCACTGCGACACGATAACATCCCGGCTGAATCTCTAGATGTTTCTAATTTAGACAGCCTTCCCTTCTATTCCTGTTTTAGTCAAAGTTTACATGAAGGCGGGAGTTAGGATCTTAATGAGCCCCCACTATAAGTAAGATCCGTCTACCGTCATTATTGTGCTATCGTTTCGACGATGTAGGTTCACGAAATGCAAGGGTGGTCAGGCCACGTTTTTCGTGGAGCTCATGGCAGCGTCTCGAGGCTGGATGAGAAGCATGCAAGTGGGGACGAAAACATTCCACGAGGAAGCCCTCACAAATTTCTAGTTTACGCCAGAGAAAATATCGGGTGTTCCTGGCTTTCGTAGAAATGTGGCTGCCACATGTTGCGAGAATCGATGCAAGGGAGGGGTGGTGTATGTACCTTGGTATCAATAAATTTCCAATTGTATACCTTCATCCCCACCACATCCTTTTTTTGACTCGTTAAAGGAAGATAGAAAGATATGCCTCACGTTATGACTGAAGGGGCCTGGCTAGCCTGAATTATCTTCTTGCATAAGGGCCCCATAGGAAACGTGACCGACTTGTTTCTTTTTCCTGGCCGCGTGGTAGATGCATGACCCGATTTGCGTTGCACGTTGTTGCGGAACGAGGAGACCGGCTCGTAGGTCGTCATTTTAGCGGCAACTACGGGATCCAGTCAGATTCAAGACGACATGTTACCTGAAGAAGATGATATCTAGAGAGTTTAGGTAAAATAGTCCCGGGGACTCATTCGAATGGTGCAGGACAATGGAATTGTCTACCACATCGATTATGCAGTCCTACATACCTCTCATCGATGATCTTGGAGTCGAGATGGGGAGGAGTCGCAGCTTCGGACTTTACCATTTTCCTTACACACCTCAATCACCCTGTAAGCCACCATCGTGGAGAGAGCAACCATTTTGGATCTTCAGCAATCAGGTTCTATGCAAAGTGGAAATATTTTTTCTGTCTGTGCAGAGAATGGCATCGAGTTACGATGCATTTGTCATGCACTATTTGAGTGCGGTGGTGGCCATGGCTGGTCAGGCATGTAAGTACACACCTTTCGATAGTTTACAATGGTTCGCACTAAACTACTGCAAATTAATTATCTTAGCCGCACCATAAAGCAAACAATACTAGAGGTATAGTGGGATTGAAGCTCTTCAGATGGTTGGTTAGAATCTCGCTTTCTTGCAGGTGTGTGCCCCGGTGGGGCCTCGTTGCGAATTACATAGGACAAACGTATCCTAGCCCAGCTGCACGCCTCGTGCAGAATACCAAAGAGAAAAAAGCACCGTCGACTACAAATGTTCAGACACGGCATGAAGGTCACTTCGCCTATAGCACGGCAGAGCCAAGGAACCGAGACCCAATTCCCACACACCCTCTTGCGGGTTAATGGCCACGCGGTTTTGACAACCCACTTTGATGTTGTGTTTGCGTTAAGCACTCGGCTTCTGGGATCTTTTGGATGGTGGCAGCCCCTCAGCGCTAGACATCCACTTCTGATATGTTCTGCACGAATATTCGAATATCAAATAAATGATGTCAGCCTTAGCACTAGGGCACCCCCATGTAATAGTCGTAGGTCTATCACATCTATTGAGTCAAGCTGATCAGGACCTAGTGTCTTCGAATGTTCTTCGCTAGAATGATCTTTGAAACCGCGAGAGTGGCCCCTGCAGACAATCAAGCTGCAACTTATCGATAGTTATACCAGGCCTCGATTCTACCATGTGGCGTGGCTTATCGAACTTTGGGCCCCGCCTACACACCCCAGCCCTTCGTTATTCGCCCACTAGATACCTGCATCATGTACATGTAGAAGCCATGAGGCACAAGGGTACGGGCGATCCAAAGCTAGCCTAGGCCGAATACTCGAGAGTAGATTCGTATATTTATTAAACCATCCCCCAGACCTCGTGAGATTTTTTTTCCTTTGAGAATTCGAAGAACAGAAGAACTCCAACAGCGACTTGGCCTTCCATCTGGCATCCTTCCTTATATCATTGCCAATATCTTTTCTAATCACCGGACAGTCGCTATATCCTTCTTTTTGCAGCTGAGTCTCTTGTTACTTTACAACAGATCTCAAGATGTCGATGTCCGAACTTACCAAGGATCAGATCTCCTCTGCCAATACCATTTGCTTCTATTTGTCTGGCATAGCACCACCGTCATGGTGGGACAGAGCAGGCAGAGAGATCGTGCTTGCGCTCGGTGAACTCTTTAGCCTCAATCCGAATGCGACTGATGCGGATGTCATGGAACTCACTGGTTGGAACCAAGCCAACCTCGACTTTGTGAACTCCGAATTGGCACCGTTGAATGAGACTATCCCGATGTTCAGCAGCTGGGTCAGTGTTCTCGACCATCCCAAATCGACAGGTTCCATCATCCCAATCTTCGTCGTCTTCACCGTTCTCTCGACCTTTGTTATTGGACTTAGAATCTGGTCTCGTGTCTCTATCCTCGGCCGTGTTCAGTCTTTCGACTGGCTTGCTATCCTTGCTTATGTTATCATTGTTGCTTGGTGTGCTCTTGCTGTTTACGAGAAAGAGGCATCTGGAATATTTGCCTCATACTGCGATAAGACCTACAATCAGGCCAGATTCAGTCAAGCCGTAAGTATCAATCATTTTACAACATCTAGCTTAGCTACTCTATATCACATACTAATGAATTACTAGGCCTACTTCATGGGAATGGCACTCTATCCTATTGCTATCCTTTCGATTAAATTCGCTCTTCTTCTCTTCTATCACAACTTGTCTACCTGGAAGCCACTCAGATTCGCCGTCTACATCACTGCATTCATCAGCTTCGCCAACGCTATGGTCGCTATGTTCATGTGGCTATTCCAGTGCAACTATCCCGATATCTGGAATCATGGTGTGGACCCAACTTTGACCTGTGCCGCCTTCGACCCACTTACTATGGTTCTGGGAACTGGTATTGTCAACATCATTACCGATGTAGCCATCTGGTATGTACCCCTCTCCGACATTTTTTCGTTTGCTTAGCCGCGCAAGAATGCTGACCCCACCCGCAGGTTTATTCCACTCCCATTGGTCTGGAGACTCCAATTATATCCTCGCGAGCGAAATCTTGCCATCATTACCTTTGGTCTCGGTGCCGTCGCCTGGATTGCCAGCATTGTTCGTCTAGTTATGGTCAAGCAATACCTCCAATATACCAACAATTCCACCACTCCAATCAACGCATGGGCCATGTGAGCATTTCCCCACACCTGACTTTCTCAACTTTTCTCCGCAAAAACAATATACTAATTATAATTTAAAAAATAGGGTCGAACTTAATGTTGCTTTGATCTGCTCTTCTGCGCCAGCCTTGCGAGCACTCCTCGTCAAGCATACTCCAAAGTTCCTTTCTTACAGCTACCCAAGCGGACCTGGCAGCTCTGGTTCCGACTCTGCTACCAAGATCAGCCGGGTCGAAAAGACCTTTGTTATTTCACAGACCGAAGAGCGCTCTTCGTCTCCCGATGAGGATTACGTTGAGAAGGCTTAAAGATACCAAAACTTGGGGTTATCTGAGTCTGGTTTACGAGACAAATATTATATCCTTTTTTCTTTTGTTCGCCCTATCATTTACTCATGACTCTATTCTTATACAATCCTTACTACTTTAGAAGAAGAAGAAAGAAGAAGAAGAAAAAAAAGAAGAATGAAGAGTCCGCAGGAATGGGAAAAGGCGGCTTTCACGAGCCAGGTGTCTGGGAACGAACCGGTGTTATTGGTTGTGGGTTTTGTCTTAGAAATGCGCTCGTGGGGGAGGAATTATGGGTTTTATTTTCAAGGCTCTTCACCATAGATGGGAAGAGACCTTACTTTACTTCTTTCCTTGGGTTCACACTTTTAATGATCTTTGTACGATGTACTTTAACTTCCATTCTTCTTTGGCCGACGACAGAGTTGATCTCTTCAGTCGGTGTTTTTTTTTTCCTATTATAACTATATCTTGTATAAAGAAATACCAAATTTATTGACTTCGTTTGATGATACAGAAATTCCTCTTACCATCTCGTCTTTTTCGTCTCATGTACCAGATAAATCTAGACTAAAAGCTGACTCCATTATTGGTACCTTAAGCTGTTTTTATTGGCGGGGCTGCCGACTGGGGAACGTCTTCTTGCATCCGTCTAGTGGGAAATGCAAACAAAGGAATATGTGTGGATGGATGGTGGGCAAACTTCTTATATACGAACATCCCTGGTTCATGTGACCTATCATGTTTTCCCTTTGAAGCCATGGGTCCTAAAAATCCACCACCCTTGGCTTTTCAACAACACCAAGGCAGGACCGTATATTATGCGCATCTCTGTATTCGGTATCGTCTGAACCGATCTATGCATAGACGGCACACATTAATGAAGCAGCGTCGAAAATAGTAGTGCCCGAAAACTCGTCAGGATTTCCCTTGCCGATGAGTTCCTAGAATTTTTCGTCTCCGATGGATGTTCTAGGAATGGGGCTAGGAAGCAAAAAAAGTGTGGATTACATATGTGACATGGTATTCGCTGGAAGATATCTTCCCATAGATAGAGACCTAGGTTTGATTATAGGTGGCGTTCTGTAAAGTCTCTGAAACGCTCTAAAGACTTATCGTGGGGATTAACGGCCTTTAGGATCACCAGATGATTACACCATTTTTTTAAATTTTTTTTTAGAAGTTCTGCACAGTATTCTTTAAGAGTGGAGACATGTCGACAGGAAAACATTTGTAATCCTGTACATGCACCCATATTCGCGAGATGGTATATGCCCATGTGCTTCGCGAATTCTGTATGAGAGATTAAGTTTGCCTAATATCTTTAATAAATTTCCCTTAAGGTTTGCTTTTCCTTTTGCCTAATATTAAGGAATCGAGATGTTCATCATTGGGACGATTTGGAACAAAAAGATGGTGTCCAACATCCAACATGGCGGAACGTGACGTCCCGATCGATCGTGAAGAATCTTTCGTTGGGAAACCTCTTGGAGGGTGGCTTAAGATTTCTACTGGGCAATATCTAACGACTTCTTTTTCTTGCTGCAGGACTGGGCTGAAGTCACGCCTTCCAAGAGTAGTTTGTGATTCGACTCGCATGGCATGAAGAAACGTTGAAATGCATTTGTCAACTAAGATGTCACAAGAAAGAACGAAAAAAAAGCGGGGAAACATAATATTCCTTCGAATTCGGCTTTTGCGAAAGCTGGCCAAGAGTTAACATTACTGGTGGTGTTTGTTGGAACAGACTTGTGTAAACTAGGCACATATTAGGACCAAACCTAAGCAGTATCATGGTCAGGAGTATCATATGTTCGTATAACCATGGTAGGCGACCATCCTGAAGCCTTGGATAGGTGCTATAAGATGGGTTTGAGGAAACATCTTGTATCCTTGCTTCCCAGGAAAGTTGTGGATTCCTGCGTTGTCTGAGGCGAACCTGCCTAGCAACCTGGGTGACATGATCTTCCCGTGTGCCATGCTTTTCGCTTACTGGCTGGATGGTAACACGGGAACCTTAAAGCCTCAAAGAACCAGCAAGGAAGGCCTTGGGGCGATCCAAAAGGGGACGGCTGAGCTGAGATCTGTGAAGCTGAAATAAATTCAATTTGAGATCCTCGAGAATCTCGAGCGATCGAAGTATGGATGTCACAGACCATAATCATGCTTTGTTTTTCAATAATGCAAAGGATCCTAGGAGGGCAAGATATCATGTCAATTCGCAACATCAAGAATTGGGAGGGTTTTCGGCTGAACGAGGGTGATCCAGGTCGCAAAGTGGCACCGACCACTAGCGTTGGCGCTTCCATTGCGTGAAGATAACGAAAGATCCCACCTGTTAGCTCTTGCAAGTTCGATGGGCTAACCTCAACCTGGCCAAAGTTCGGCTCCTAATTTAATTCCCGTGCTGGTTCTCTGGTCGGCTTTATGATCCCTTGTCAAAGTTTGGAAGCCAAGGTCGGTCTTATTCCCATGGTGCTGAGTCGTGATAGTAAAATGATGACAACAAGTTAACAACCCAAGTCCGAGAACATATAATTGCAATTGCCGTGATTGTTCTAATTCCTTTGAGACATTATACCCTCTAAATGCAACTTAGTGGGAACATTTGAGTACTTCATAACCAATATTTTTTGCCGGACTACGCCTCAACTGTGCCATGGCATTTAGTATCTTGTTGAATTTCTGGTTCCCGAACATCTATTGGTGGCTAGTTGAAAGTGGATTGGCACTAGGCATATGCGCCTCGTCTCCCTTGGTTTCGAGATTCGATTCTTCAGTCCATCACATATACAGTACAAATCCGAATTTCGTATAACCCCACGGAATGGGCCAGACTGGTGTATATGATGATACCTTGAGAGCATTTGTGCAGTATTTTTTATTGAGTAATGGCTACGCCACGCTCTTTTTTCATGGATGAGGTCGATAACAAAGGTCTGATATTGCAGATGCGAAACAACGCAACGTTATCTCGATCATCTGAGAGGTCGCTCTGGAAGAATAGATGACCCACATTCTGCGGTTTCCTAAATACCTTCCTGTTCCTGAAAGAAGGTCTCAGATATCGTCTACGGATCGGAAATTGACAAGAGATCCGATAGGGTCTCTTAGAATACCGCCCTTGAGACATGAGCCTTTGGCTTCGGTATCCGACTCGCCAGTTAAATCGTTAGAAGGAATGACGGGAAGGAAACCGTATCATGATTGCCTCTTGTCAGGGGATAGATAGAAAGTTAGTTATTGTAATAGCAAGCTGAAGGGGTCTGCTTGGAGACCCCCAAAATTCATACCTTTCCTCTTGCCCAATATCACTAAGGGATGGGGAGGGGAAACAGTCGATTCGGGTCCTATCCCATTCCACTTCCTTACATCGATCCAAGTCCTAGGATCCTATCCCATTCCACTGCCTATCATCACATCTTTCAATCCTAGATTGCACGTATCACTTCCCGCGATGCATGCATCCCTCCTCTTTTTCTCACTATTCTAACGTCATATCTCAACATCACGATTTACTGCGATATTTTCCTTCGAATTCATGTCTCGATCACGATGACTGGATTACACTACTTCTACCCGCCCTTGCATTGATACAGCCCGCGTTTTCGTCCGATCGCCAGCTGTCAGCTATCACCTGGGATTACTTTCGTTCCGGAATTGCCTCAGCGAGCCCCTCCAAAAAGCCTCAGTATCACAATTTTTCAAAAATAAAGCGAGACTTCTCCCCTCATATGCGGTGTAACGGCTGCCTTGCGTCGAAAGCATCTACATCGTCCGATGAGGACGTTACTACCAGGCCTGTCTTCTGTATAATTCCGCGGGCGGGGACGAAGAAGGGTTAGCTTTATCAGCAAAACACCAGCTAGTTGATATATCAAGAACCATAGTGTTCGTACCATGGTACCAAATCAACCGAAACTTTACAGGGATGACTAAAGTCTCTTGCTGAAGACGGTGACAAGTACTTGGTATCCAAATTAAGCAATGAGATATATACTATCCAACGGGAGATCATGCGGCACTGTCGGCAGGCTCGATTCACATGGGCAGATTTTTTATAGATGCAGTTAGCGCCATTGTATGGAATGTTGGCCCGCAGGAAGGCCTGCCGTCGGGTCGATCGAGGCTCAAAGACAAGGAGTAAAGTCAGGGCCATGTTTTCGTGCAGCAAAGAGAAGATTCAACAGTTCCTCGCGGCTGATAAATCGGACTAGATCTGATTTTATCTAAAAGAGTGAATCGACTGGGTTTTTTAGTCGAGATCCGGACTCCTGCATGTAGTACAACATGCATTGCATTGTAGTTTCCACATTCTTAATCTAACTAACATAACATCACGAACCTCCACCGAAAGATGTGTTGTTCATGTTGCACACTCAGAAACCCATCACAATCCGATCTTGGCACTCGGTCGGGGCCTTCAATCTCGAGAAATGGAGAGTAAAATCCGAAATTTGGCCGAGTCTGATCGAATTTTACGATTTCCGTGCCTAGAGCCCCATCCTCCCGATATTCATAAATTCCCATCTCGGTCATGTTCGGTACTAATCTCATCGCGATGTCGACAGCGCAGCGTGTACAAGGCGGCAGTCGATTCGGCGAGCTCGATCAAAAAATTCCAAGATATCTCACAATCAATGCAATACATCTGGGTCGGAACACTCAAAAGACAATAATAATGTATCCTTGCATCTGTGTGACTTCGTCTGCTTGATTGCTGCCTGCGTTTTCACATCTGAATTCGGAATCGGACCGCCTTTGAGTTTTTTTCTAGTATCGCCGTTCGCGGTATTCGTCTACCTTTAGTACTCTGCCTGCGGTGTGTCGAGGATCTACGGTTCTGCCCTATTTTCCAATCCGGATTTGTTAGTGCAGGGCTTATACAACGGCGCTGACTCTTCAGGCTCAACGTTCTGTAGACGGCTGCAGGTTTATCCGACCGCGACCGTGCAGCGTCTCCGCCCCGATTGCAGAGCTTACGAAGCTGTCTCGACGAGGCCACAGACAAGGGTGCGGTCGGTGCGTACTGTCCGATACTGCTATACCTTTGTAGATCGTATTGGCAAGGCTTTGGCATCGAAATTGGCAGAAAAGGGCCTTACAGTATTTTCCGCTAAATGCCGTGGGCCAGACCCGGTAGGCTGCCATTCCTAATCTCCTAGCACCGATTTTACTACCCCGGCCGGCCAGGCCAAGTGAACAGACCACTCTGAGCTCAAACGACAAGGGAAGCTCCCTTGTAGTTACATATTTTTTTGTGATGGATGCTTCAGTCTGTCGTGGCTTTTCTCGGGCCGTAGCTTACCAAATCGCAGGAACGGGTCGGACAAGGAATATGACTCTGGAGATTGGGCAGCATGAGTGTATCAGTTCGCCTTACGTCCGATTTGAGGCTTATGATAGTCATGCAGATGTATTTTATAACTGTGCATGCTTCTTGTCCTAAGTGTATATAATTCGTCCTAGATGCCCAGTTAATAATCGATCTTGCAGTTTCAAATCCAAAGAGCTCGATCGAATCCTAATATAATACAAGACACCCAGGAGTCCTACGGTAGTAGGACTAGAGCTAGTAATCACTGATACAAATATTAATATCATACCAATCGGATTTACATTTCACACCCACAAGTAAACATATATAAAGTCTATCATCATCGAAGCTTTTGCACCCAAATCTCCAAAACCTCAGCAGTCACAACAGACCCTGTGTCATCGATCAGCATTTCCTGCCGTTCTCCTTCTGTCCACTGTCAAACGACCAAGGGCCGCCGCATATATTTGCCCCCTCGGCCGGATTCTTTTTTTATACGCCGGACCAGCATCGAAACAGGGAAAAGAGCCAGCTGCCAGGGACACCATCCAGCGGATCGAGCTCATCTAAGGCTAATCGGGGTTTTCAACGGTCAACATCGCGTCGTCCCCCAACACAGCGACACTAAGTCGGCACTAGTCCCGTCATATTGGCGTATAATCTAGCGACATCTCGATACCCTCAGGTTTTTACGATTCGCAGGCCTACTCTGAGAGGAAACTGTAGCAAGGAGGTAAGAATAAGCCCGTCAAATGGCATTTCAGGGCAATTTCCCATACTCAGAAACACAGGATTGTTAACACCCCCCCTTCGCCTAGATTCACATTATCCCTCAAATACCAAGCAACCTCTGACGTCGGTCGATAAATATACCCGGCTACCAAGTTTTTTTTTTTTTATAGCCACAGCTTTCTCTTTAATTCTGCAGCCCACATTCGTCCGGGACGTACTTCCAAGAAATATTAATTATCTTTCTACAAGAAAGAAAAAAAAAACACAGCTTGCACTATTATACATACGCATTACATACTATCGTGGCACTTTATTTCTCGTTCATTCATAAATCGGAAACCCCAACCTAGATCGCGGCAAGAAGTTTTCCCAGTTCAAGAAGAATCTCAATAGAAGCACAGAAACTTTCGATTTCCGGAACCCATACATTCTGCAGCTATTTCCTAGCTTCTATCAAAACATCAAACTTGAAAAACTCGCTCGCTTAGAGCCAAAAACGTCCTACAAGATGCTTCATTCGGAGACAACACACGAGCCACCAAGATACGACCGAGACGCTCGAGTAGTCCAAACCATGCAAAGAGCTCTGGAAGGTAATTAATAAAACTCTATATCCAAGTATCTTCAACCTCATTCGTTCAAGAAAGCTAATACATTCGTTCATAATAGATCTCTGCTTGGAATGGAACATTCCATCCCCAAAATACAGATATAGCAAAAGAGCAAGCGTTGGCTATGGCTATATTACCGGCCTCCACGCAACAGTACTAGTCAATGAAATTGAATACTCGTCGCCGCTCGCCAGCACAGATTGGCACCCTGGTTGGGGTTCCTACAACGATGCTCGAGAAGCGGTTGCCGGCGAGGTTTTAAGAGCCCTTGGTGTCATCCAGGACGAATCTGAGTACGACGACTAGATTTGCGCTACAATGGTGCCACGACTCTCCAAACGATATATTTACTGAAACGATATTACAATACCCGGTTTTTTTATTAATTCGATTGCTTGCCTGGTTGCAGCTTTCGAATCATTATTATTACTCTTTTACTACTCTAATTCTCTGGGGCCCTTCGATACCAAAATTACCCTTTTCCCCTTCTTCTTTTTTATATCTTAGCTTTGTAATTGTACGAGAAACGGATTAGCGAGCGGTTTCTTTTGTCATTAGCATTGGGGGTTAAATGTCTGTTTGTGTCTACTTTTTTATTATTATTTTTTTTTAACCTTCTCTTCGAGGTTTTCCCTTTGTTCAAGATATCTACAAAACGTTTAAAACGGGAGGCAAAGCATTGGCGTTTTTTCGGTTGCACAGGCGGCCAGGCTGCAAACATGAAGACAGCCTGTAGCTGCATTATTACCTTGTTTGTTTCTATTCTTGTACCATAAAAATATTATTCCAAAGGAACTATACTTTTTTTTCTTTTCATTCTGCTCATCTCCTTCATCATAACGTTCGTCCCTTGACATCTCGTCTGACGTAGCTATATTCCTCCATGAACCCTTATACCTCATCGTCCCTGAACCCTTACTACATACGCAGTGCGTACTAATAGTGATGGTCTTATTGATGAGCTGGCGCTGGCATGAGATGACAACTCACACACCCTTGATGAACTCGACCGCCTTGGCTTGGGTATCGTCTTTCGCAAGTCCATGCCGTCGGTTTGACGTCATATCCCATGCCATAGCCACGAACCCAGACCCCACATGTGCATTTTCCCAAAATTGCAATCGCACAGAACAAACTCCACACTGGGTAATATTTCCCACACCTTTCATTCAACGTCTCACCTTTTTTTCTTCTTGTTCCCTTTTGATAGGCGGTACGTATACTACGCGAGAGTCGCGGGTCGGAACCGTACCACAAAAATGGCAGATCCCGAAATAGACGACGCCCTCGATGAGGTTCTCGATGACTCGCTGTGGAGTCTTGGTGTTTATGATGCCCACTGTCATCCGACGGATACTATGGATGTTGTCCCCGAGATCCCAAAGCGCAAGGTTCGGACACTGACCATTATGGCGACAAAAGCTGAGGACCAGGAACTCGTTGCTCAGGTAGCACGGGAGTATCCTGACCGTATCGTTCCGTCGTTTGGATGGCATCCATGGTTTAGTCATCGTCTATGGGATGACATGAAGGCAGGCGCGACTGGTGTCACGATCTCGAAGGAGGAGCACTACCGGTCCGTTTTGACAAACGAACCGACCGAGGCGTTTATCGAGGCATTACCAGAGCCGAAGCCATTGTCGCAGTTTATCACCGAAACGAGGAACTATCTGGAGGAGTTTCCCTCAGCACTGGTTGGAGAAGTTGGTCTGGACCGAACATTTCGACTTCCTAACCCCGCTTCGCTCATCGGCCCCGATGATAAGAAATTGAGTCCTCATAAAGTCCAAATGGATCACCAAAGGCGCGTTCTGGAAGAGCAACTGCGACTCGCCGGAGAAATGGAACGACCGGCCAGTGTCCACGGTGTTAGCGCTCATGGTGTTCTTTTTGATACTTTTTCATATCTATTCAAAGGCCATGAGAAAGTCGTACGATCAAAAAGAACCCAAAAGCGGGGACCTCATGACTTCGAAGGCGACGAGGATTCAGATGAGGATACAGGACCTAAACCGTTCCCTCCACGGATATGTCTGCATTCGTTTTCCGCGCCACCCGACTTCATTAAAACCTGGCTAAACCCTAGGATTCCGGCAAAAATCTACTTTAGTTTCTCAAAAGCTATCAATGTGGGATATGGCTACGAAAGGTTTGCAGAAATGCTGGGGTTAGTACCAGAAGATAGGCTTCTCGTCGAAAGTGACTTGCATATCGCATCAATCGATATGGAACGCCATCTCGCAGGAATAATCCACAGGATTTCCCGCGAGCGCCTTTGGGACCCTTCGAAGACGGTAGAGACGACTGGGAGGAATTGGATTAATTTCGTCTATGGGGAGACGGCATCGAAGGCGCTAGGACTGTAGTCACCGTTACGGAATAGGTTTAGGCATCTATGAATTTACGACATAATGATAACGAACTTAGGCATCATGTTTCTTTCTGATAAAAGATTACAGTCTAGCATACAAACAAAAAAAAAAAGACCCAATCCGGAACGCCATCATTATACCCCTCTTCGGTCTGATAAACTTAGAAGGAAAAGAAGGAAAAAAAGGAAAAGCCATTAGAAAGAAACATTTCTCATGATTTCCTCCAGCTTTAAAATTCCATAACTCCGACGAATGCTTTTAAGCCGCTTTTTTCGCAAATAAGCAACAAAGTATAATACCCCAGATATACTCCGGCCACCGACACCATGGTATTTTTCGCAGATAAAATTAGCAAGCAGATACCATAGATCTAACCTTCTTAAGACGAAGGTTCCTCAGCTGCTGCCGCTTCCAATTCCTTTTCAGCCTCCTGTGCAAGACCGGCTCGTTGATGTTCCCGTGCGGCGAGATATCTAACCCAACCGAACACAAAGATTGCAACCACAATGCCAGCTACCGACAATCCGACAGCCATACCTACTGATTGTCCCGTGGAAGGACCGAGATCTCGCTTGAAGATCCTTTCGGCTGCATGCAGTAATCTGGGAAACGATGCATCGACAGCAAATCTTGCATCCCGTGGCTCATGAGAGATTGATGTGGCTGGTAGCGGCGCCATTGTACGTGATTTCCGGTGTTGTACGGTGTGAAAAGGTGTCGCTGAATCTAAGTCCGAAGACGGTTCGATGTCTCTCGCTTGTATTCGTGATATCGTACGACGCCTGTTGTATAAGACACGGCAGCCGGTAGTCGGCAAGTAGGTAATAAGTCGTATTATATTATTATTCCGTTTAATGTGTGTGTGTTTATTTCCGTTTCTTTATTATATTATTTCCCGATTGTCGATTCGATGGTCTATAGAACAAATCTAATATTAGATTGATTTTTTTTTTTTGGAAATAAGATCTTGCCGGTTCATCTGCACGTCTACCGGCCGTGTTATGTATAATTGACTTTTACTTACAGATCCCAAATCTTTAATTTAATCTCCCCAAATTTTCAAGCCTCAATTCCGCCAAATTCAACACTTATAAACCTTATTTTCGTGCTCGGGATGCTAAACGAAATTGATCAAAGGAAAACAAAAAAAGACTTCAAAGAAAGAAAAAAAAGGAGAAATCAAAAACAGACAGGTTGCGCAAGAACTCGGAAGCGATCGAGCGGCCCTTTTAAAGTTATCAGGCCATGGCGGGAGGAGGCCTGGATCCAGACGATTGAGGAAAAGAAAATTCTCAGCTCATTCCCGCAAGGTGTGCAGAGTCTGGGGGCTTGCTGTGCGTGCCGCTGTGGGCATCATCATGCATAACAGAGGAACCCTCGGGTTGCAGCCATTTGTGTGTATGTATGTATGTATGTCTGTTCACGCACGCACGCCGGAACTCATCCTCGTCTTCAAATGTGGGAATGCCAATTATGTGGTTGGGATTAGCTAAATGCACGCAATTGAATGAGCTTCATTCGTTGAAGTTGGAAATATAGTACACGTGCGGTATACGAGCCGAATACTCGGTTATGTTAAGACACATTGACAAATTGTCAATGGATAGAAAAGGAACGACACGAAAAGGAAAGAGCTCAAAAATTTTTCCATGACTCCCTTGCAGAACAAGACGCGAAGGTGAACTGGCAGCTGTTTACGGTCCGTTTCCTTTCGATAATGCGCAATCGCAGACGCAGGATGTGAAAAAAAACTGGGACCCATAAGTCAGACTGCCCTTTTTTGCCTTCGGTGCATGCATGCGTCTACGACCGAAGTAGCTAAACCGACCTATCTATCCGGGATCACTTTGAGAGGTTTCTGTGATAAACCTTGAGTACCTGAATATTGCCCACATTCTTGGGATGAGAGGATCCACAATCGAACCCCAAAAGGTTCCGGGGTATCAATTAAGGTTAGACCGAAGCCGAGCTGTGCATCCGAGGACCGGGGAGGTTGGTCCTTGACAGGGGATTGGTCCACGTCGACGGAAGGTCACGCCTCATACTCTGGTCAACAACTTTTTTTTCTTTCCGCTGAGAAGACCGTGGGGTCGATGGATGGCATCGATGGGTATGTGATAGTTGATGCATTTATGTGCAGTAGTTGCAATAACTTTGTGATTTTGGGATGGCATCGATGCATCTCGTCTTTTTGTTCTATCAAGGAGTTTCATAAAATTTTGTAAGACCAAGCACGGCATACGACAAAATATTTATGGAGGTTGTGGAACGTCAAAAATAGATGTAGGGTTGCACTGTCCGTGTGTATGATATCATGACTTCGCCTGCGAGAATGAGACTGATTCGAGGAATGGCCGACGAGGGGTTTACAGTTGACTATCGATATCTTTTGCAGGACCGATTTCGAGGCTCACGAGATGTCTATAATGCTAATGCTACTCAAAAAGAATGAAGCACCAAAACGTATCAATTCGGAATTCTTCCTAAACCATTAAACATTACAATTACTAGCTTATCATAGGCGGCTAAACCGGTCCCGTGCCTATAAGTTCGAGGGAGTTCCTACAACCCTCTCTAACGCCCCACCAATATATCCAGCAATATACCCTTTACCAACACCTAAAATCGCATACAGGGCTGCGAAAAGCAACCCAATAAGAGTGAGGAAAATCCAAGATGAATTATCATGCATCGCTCTCCTCAAATTATTTACCCATCGCGGGCGTCTTTTAGGGACCGTTAAGGCTCTCAATGGGTTGTCGTACGACAACTCAATACCGGCCTCATGTAAATATGCAACTCCAGCTCCAATTCGCTTCCAATACTTTTGCTCGTCTGCCACAAGCGATGAAACCGCCATGGGATGAGAGGTTTCTACGCTAGTCAGTGTCCAATCTGTCCAACGTACCCAAACACCAGAAGAAAAGTCGTCGAGCGGGTTGCTAGAATAAATGTTGGCCTCGCTGACACCACGACCGTTGTCATAAACTTCAATTAGCTTTTTAGAGATCATATCGTAAATGTAAATTTGTTTGCTGGAGGTAAGGGCAAGGTATGTTCCACAAGCAGAGAGCTGGAGGTCAGTGAAGCGCAGCTGGTGGCCATTATGCTTGTCCGTAGGTATAACAGCAATCGGAGTATCAGATGCATTGTCGCCCGAGATACACCAGACGAGGATTTCGCCAGCTATTAAAATTAGTTTTAGCATCAAACTTGGCTACGAAGGGCAATTTGAGTATTACCTGGACCGCCAGAAACAATTAAACTATCAGTGAGAATAAAGTCGTGACTGAAGGCAGTAGTATCTATTTTCCATGCACTAGGTTAGAAAACAACCTAGCTGTCTGATCAATTGAAGTTCGGAACAAAGTCTTACAAGAGCCTCGGTTCAATGGTAACGGGCCGTTGATGTTCGGAAGCTGAGCAGGCTCGGCTGGTGACACAGCCTTTTTATGTATTTTGATTTCCCGCACAATCTTGCCGGTCATGAGATCCATGATGACGAAGTATGTGCCTGTGATCTTCCTCATTATAGCGCTAGGGTGTCGTGTAATGAGGGCAACTACATAATTCGATGTGATATGAAAGTTCTTGACATGCGCAAATCCTCTGTAGTCGTCATCCGGATGATACCAATCAAAAGATACATCGAATGCCCATATAGGCTTCGCAATTTCGTTCGCCGGTTTACGACTGTCGTGGGCTTTCAAACATACAAACATAGACCGACAGTTTTCGGCATTTGAAAGCTCAGATATCTTGTCGTCTGGTCCATGATAGGTGATGGCGACCATGATATCTTTGTGCGAAGTAAACCGGTCGGGTTGCCGGTCGCCAAATAGCCATGACATTGCTGGATTTCCAGTAGTGGGATCAATCTTCGAAACCACAAATCCGCCCCTCTCTGGCTCTTCCGTTACCATGTAGCCAGCGGGAAGCGGGTAGGGGAATAATCTATGGCGCTCTACTCTTCTTGGCCTCCCGCTAGCCTGTCTTGCCCTTTCTTCTCCGGCTTCGAGGAGCCCAGCAGCGACAGCGGTCTTATCATTGTCGATATTGCGCGCCTCGAAGAGGATATTGCCTCTATCTGCGGGAACTGGCTGCTTTACGCTGTACGACAGACCCCTGCCATTCCCACAACATGCCATTTCAAAAGTCCGTCTGACGAATCCTTCCTTGGTATCCTTGAGAGAAGGCAGCTGCCATGCTACTTTCTTCGCCTTGGGGATGGTGACATCCGACTCATGAGGGAATGGCTTTTGCAATTCTTTCATGAACTTAAAGACCGTTCTCCAGGACCGGCTTTCAAGAAAGCTAGTTCCCGTGAAGAGTACGTCGTCAAGGTGGGTATTGGGGTGCATCCCGTATCTGACAGCCGCGGGCTTCCATATCGCACTGTCGTTTTCGCTGCAGAATATCGTATGGTGGAATTGTCTAGAAACTAATGCTATATTAATGAGGGCCTTCAGATGGTCTCCTTCGGATGCAGCCGCGAAGTTGATGATCTGAAGCCATATCTCTGGGGGTAAGGTCTCCATTGTGGCTGCGTAACGGTTGTGTTGGGAAAGCTTTAAAATGAGGTTCAGGGATGAGCTGCGGTCAAGATAATACGAGAGTTGCAGCTGGTCCTTTGAGGTTTGAAGTTATGGATGCGTCCGCGTTCTTTATATCATCGAGATGGTAATACGAGCTGAATGACGTGAAGGAATCCCAAATAAGGGACAGCGCAGGACAATGTAGCAGTCACTATGACTATTTTTAAAGAACTGCTATCGTGTTCCTTGCATACTTCAACTTCGGGTCGCGTTAGCCCGCCGCACTTCAGCCCCGGATCCCGTTTGCCTTCGAGCCTCCGAATCCTCGGGGTGTCAAAAAGAAGACAGAGTTGCAGGTTAAATAAAGAGATTCTTAGTTGGTATTGACTCCCAAGTTGAAGGCGAAGCAGCCGAAAGTCTTTTGAATGACGAATATACTTACGAAAAGGTGAGGCGTCTTTCGATTCTATATCCACTCGAACTTTAAGAATCTTAAGTGTAGTTAAAGAACGAGCTTGGATATTTGTAAATACAACACATAAACTGCAACATTTTGATTAGATATCCTAACTTTTAGAAGACAGGCAGCGCATCTAGCTAATTAAGTGGGTACTAACAGTGGGGATATTAGCAACAATACCGGCCGAACTACACCTTGGTTACGCCCTCAGAAAAGAGAAAAAACAATTGCTAAATACGAAAGAAAAAAAGAAAGAAAAGGGAAAAAGCTGATGCATACTAAGCTTATCTTTGTAGACATGATAAGCTTGTAGTTGTACGTATGAAGCACTACGGGTGCACATGCCAGAGCACTGGTACCACAATACCATGGTACGCTCGTGGGCAGGGTTCGGTATCGAATTAAGCCCCGTTGGTAGTTTCAACTCGAGGGTTCAATCGGTCAAGCCAGCTATGTTTGCGCGGGCTTGGGCTCTCCTTCGACTTCTTCTTTTTGCTTGAGCTGATTGACATTGATCTTGGAATTCTCCTTTCCTTTTCTTCATCCGACGACGAGGAAGATGTAGAGATTATGCTGGTACGACGATGGCCCTTCTTCTTCGAAGAGAGAGTGTACGCCTGCTCAGCAGCCACTCCGGCCCCAGCCGCAGCAATTCCGGCCGTAGCAACTCCCGCAGCGGCCCCGGAATGCTCGCCGGCTTTAATAAACCCAACGTGGGAGTTTCCATCGATCTCGAGCGGGTCGCCCTCGTAGTCGATATGCTCCAATGGTTTCTTCGCTCCTTCCAACATATATCCCTTCTTTGTGAATTCCTCCAAGGTCATCACGGGAAGTACATTCCCCTTATGAATATAGGGTTCATGCTCAATGTGTTCATGAATCGGAACCATAGTGTGGACTACGTGGGGGACCACTCGCTCTCGTTCGATGACTGGCTGGATGTAGTCGTGGATATGATGATGAACATGTTCTCCAACAACTAAGCTGGTAGAATTGGTAGTTTCGACGGGAAGAATTTCGCGCTCGTCTTTGAATTTACCATGCTGGATGGGGCGTTAGCGGATTAACCAAATTTGGGTGTCTAAAAGCGCCATAGAAGGCCCGGGTATACTGACCTCAGTAGCAAGCGCCGTCTCGATCTCTCTGTCCTTTCCATGGTGGCGGTTCCGCTATAGTATTGGTGCGTTTGTTAGCCTTTCCGACCTAGAGGTCTAGAGTCTCAGTAAAAATATGTATATTGAACTTACGTGCTCAATGGGAATCACATTATGGTGATGTTGCTCTACTTCGACAATCTTGTCTTGAATAGGTTGAACGTGGATTTGGTGATGATGTTGATGGATTTCCCGATCGACTGCCTAAAATCATTACAATATACTTCTTAGCGCCTAGTGGCTTTGCCAGTGAGAGAGGGAATAAGATATGTATACGCACGTGGGTCACTGTCTCATGCTGTCTTTCCAATACCCGCTCGTGCAGGACGGCAGGCTTTGTTTCTTGCTCGATGTCAACGGAATGTTTATTCCCATGGTGCAGGAATTCCGTGACTGCTTGCTTTGCCGCCTGCATCTTGATCTCGGTGGACGTCGGGAACTTATTATAATTATAATAAAAAACAAAAAAAGGGCAGTAGATGATCGCAAGCCGAACTATGGTGGAGTACCCGTCGGTTTGGCAGTAGTAAGGTTTAATTACAATTAAAGTCTGTCGAAGTTAAACTTAATGATTAATTGAGAAAAAAAATCCAATAACTTCAAGATCAAGCTCACGATATATATAACTTTCTCATCGACATACGAAAAACATCCTTCAACTTTCCGACGAGGATTTACATATGCTTGTTGGGCAATCAAAGATCTAAAATGGGACGAATTTGGTTTCTAGAAACCCCAAATGATGCACTGATGCCGTCATTCCTGTGGTATCAAAGCGCTGTAGCAGCCACTGATAACGGTCAGGGTATAGTTATCACCAACATTCCAGAAGTTGATTCCTAAAAGGCAATGGCCTTTGACAATCCACATGTGAATAAAGCCATGTGCCCAGCATGCATTTGGCGAAATGAGTGAAAATCAGTTGAAATGCGTGGGAACCGCCCAAAGCGTGCCTTCCACCGCCTCCAGAAAGGGTTTTTCAGTAGTAGTACATATGGTGAATATTGCCACACTCTTTTTGTGGATTTGTTGGAGTTCAATATGAGTAGCATTGAGTTTAATGATCGCTTGCATGTTCTAGAGTTTTGGCATCGAGGCAAATCTGCATTGTAATAAACTTTTGGGTTAGTAAGTCTGGGCGTACATAAGATAGCCGCCTAGAATCGTAGGGTTTTTAGTATTGATGCCTTTGATATTGGTAGATTGCATCATGTGCTAGCTGCTTTATAAAAAAAATCAAAAAAAAAAAAAAAAAACTGGATGTCGGCTGGATATAGTTAGCGTCATAACGGCGAATTGGTTGCAAACATCGACGTATTTCTGAATTATCGGCCAATTGGTTTATGATTAGTTGATATTTTTATCCCAAGTCAGCCCGAATCAGTCCGTCGATGAACACTTGTTCTCCTCGTCAATCGTGTATGGTATATTTCAGTGGCAATCATCGGCCGGGATCTCGAGATCTCGAGACATAACCTCGCCTATCCTGAAGCTACAAGGATCGGGCATCCTGGATTGGGCGGTCCGACGTTGCTCTCTCGCCGAATACGGTGCCCTTGCCCATCTGCCGCACAACCGAATTCGGTTGACATTGTACATTGTGCATTCCACAGTTCAACGTCGATATTAATTTCCGGATTCCGCAGCTTATTTGACGTAAGAAGTACCTACGATGTAAGTATCTGAGTAAGAGTATGCATGAACCGGTGAAATTAGACCCTGCAATTCCTCCAAGTATACTAGTAAACAGCCCGAGAAGGGTCCTGGTTGAGTCTGCAGCTGACATCACACTGATCACTGCCATAAACCAAGGTAGCGACCCCACTGATCCGTTGGCATCGATCGAGTTTGATGCTTCAAAGTGGTACATATGCATAAAGTTAAGAGAAGGCCAAAGGGGAGACCTTTCGGGACAAGAATCGTCCCAAGGACCCACTTATAGGGAAAATCTTCTACCAGGTCGTACGTCTATCGAGCGGGGCATTCCGAATTTACAGAGTAAAGCTTTTCACAGAGTTAACGTTGCAAACGCCTGCAAACGCTTGCAATTGTCTTGTGTGTGCACAATAGGGGCAGCTACCTTGTCTTTCTGGCTTGGCGCAAGATAATCCTGTGAAGCTTATTATCGTAACACGCGAGATATTCCTTCTACATGTACATAATGGGTAAGTACATTGTACACGCCACCTTTCGTGTTTGAAGTGTTATAAAAGCCTCTAACTCTCCAAGATAACACCCTCTATAGTAATCATGTTAAGCTTCTGTCTGTGTGTGTGTGTTTCTGTGTATGTAAGTGCTTAATATGTGCCTAAGATAGTACCCGAAAACACTCCAACGAGCCCACCTAAATGCGGCGTATGGTGTGGCTGTCATCTCTCCTGAACACTGCATGGCTGAGAAGCCCCCATATACCCATTTCTCAAAATAGGTTTGTTCTTACCTGTTCTTCATGTACATAACCTAACCGCTGCCCAGACATGAATCCATAGCGTCTGCGAGTGTCTTCGGAGGTATATTTCAACTTCTTTCTCAAGCAAATTCATTCGTCGAACCTTGCCTTAGCTCCAGCGCCCGGCGCATGTCGGTGACTAAACCCGTTCCTGCAGGGCCTTTCTCCTAGTCACTGCGCCTCCTTTCGGATTCAGTCTCAGGTTGGGAGCACCTATCTGGAAACGACTGAAACCGCGTCGGTTTACCTTTCACAAGCAGATTGCAGCTCGCGAAATTCTTCCCGTCTTAATTAAACGCCTACCGACCCAGGTCGGCAGCTTTTTTTGTACACGTTGGTCCGGAATCACCAATCCTATATCTTCATTTCCTGGCTTTCACGGGTTTGAAGGCCAAAAAGCAACTTGGAAGAGCTGGAAACTTTACATCGATATTCAGGGGACCCCAGGAACCGGTTCTGTTTTTGAGTTTGGCTGCATATAAAAATCTGGATACTACCTCAAAACAATGCGAAATCGTCTTAAAGAGCGCTTGGAGGATGCCACTGGCATAGAAAAGCTTCGGAGCTCCGTCCGTCAGGATCTATTTGACGAACACCACTTCCTTCAACACTATCCCGTAGCAATTGAAGCTCCAGCTAGAATTTCAGACCTCAGATTGATAGACATGGCAGTGGCACCACCTCAGACACTTAGGCATAAGCCGTCTATAGACCTGGTCCAGGCGGCCCAGGCGGCCAGACAGAGCATATGGAGAGGCTTGAACAAGATGCGGTCAATCGACACTCTACGGCCCACTAAACCGGCCGTAGATCTGATGGAAGCTGCAAACTTTGCTAGGAAGTCAAGGGGAGAGCAGCCTTTGCCGCAGCATGCTGAGCCAATGGAGCCTGTGGCCGTAGCAATCGGTACAGACAATTCTCAGACACCTCGATACACCAACTTCAGTTCTCCGACACCAAGTTATAGTCCTTCCTTTTCGAATTTATATGGACAGGCACGTGGCGGGACACCACGTGCTGGTTCTCCAGTTGAAACGACCGAAGTTTTAAACTTCTCCCGACCTTCATCGAGCAGATCCAACATTAAGACTCTTAGACGTCGTTCCCAATCGGTGGAATACCCGAAACCTTGTATCCAATACGATAACGGACAGCGACCGTCGACTTCGGGTTCAAATATCAGCAATGGCAGTTCATCAAAATCATCTCGTGGCCCCCCTACCAGTTATAAGGCTCTTTCTCCACCACCGATCCCATTTGCATATGAGGATAATGACGACAGCGAGTCAATTGCAGAGCTGGCTTCATTATTTCCTCTACCAGCAAAGACTCCTCCAGCATCTATCAAATCCCCATGTGGTTCCATCCGGTCGAGGTCTGCTTCGATGAAGTCGCCCCCACCGTCGATTAGGTCACACAGCAGGAAGAGCACCAGTACAAGCGTTGAGAGTTCTGGTAGCTATACTCTGCCACCGACCGATTTTCCCCTCCTAGAAATCTTCAAGCCCAATGGAGATCTTCATGATAGATACAGGTCACAGACTCAAGACGTCGAGTACGTCGGGGCCAAGTACTCAACTCGTAAGTTTTAATTATCGATTGCCTTGGAAGTTATTCTTACTAATACGGTGCACAATAGCTGTGATTCACGAAACAATTATTCCAAAAGTTCACAATGTCATCACCACGGAAGTAACCCGTCATCATCACACTCACGAAATCCGCCAACATGTCCAACCAATTATCGACAGGCAGTACGAGGCAGAGAAACACTGGGTCCAGACCATCGATGGAGGATTCGTTCAAGTGACTGCTGAGGCGGCAGAAAGGCTGAAGAGCAGATACAGATATACCACCCGTGTCGAAGAGACTATCCCTTCTGCAAAAGCCAATAGCCCACCCACGTGCAGCTACACATGGAAGCCTCCAAGGGACTCACGAAGCCGGGCTCGAGGCCACACGGCCTAAAACATTTAACGTTTTTCTTACAACAAAAAGTCAACAATTATATCCCTTTTGGAGTATATATACGAATTTTATTGGGACGCTTACCATCTCGGAGTATATAAGGAGTGAGCGGGACGACACAAAAGTACGATATCCAGGAACGATAAAACGCCTTTTCGAATTTCCTTCTTCTTTTACCTTTCACTTTTCTACTTCTTTTTTTTCTCCTTCTCGCTTGCGCATACCCCAAGGCCTGAACATTGAAAAAATTATCGCGATGCCCTTTCTTCCCCCCCTTTTGATGTTAATTTATAATTGCAAACGACCGATGATATACCTGATTGTACGATATGTGGGAACATGGGGGCATTTGCCGGAGTTTGTTTGATTTATTATACCGCTTTGCGAAATATGCTTTTGATTTTGCTTGTTTTTCTAACAGCGTTTCCCGCCCTTGGTCGTTCGATTTGCTCCTGGTTCTGGTACCTTTTTTTGTACATATACGATATCTTTTTCTCTTCTTTACTTTCTCTACTTACTTTTACACCTGTTCGATAGATTCAACACAGAATGGAGCTCAAACGAATATAGATTTTTCTGGTTTTAAATATCTCTTCCTTCCTTCCTTCCAACTAAAACTAAATTACATAACCCCGAATCCGTTATGGGTGTAGATGGTTCCACAAGCCCTTCCCAGGATGTTAGTCTTCGTCTCGAGGATAAGCCTACCCGCCAGAGCTTAATTTATCCGGTATTTACCCAGCAGCTTCCAAAGAGCTACCCCAGTTCGGAACAATACCGGAATCAATCACCCAATTACAATGCAATGGCACCCAAAAAAAAACCAAGAAATTTTGCTTTTACAAATCCTCAAAAGCTAAAACTCTGGAGACGGATCGAATTGTTGCGGGGGAACGAAGTTCGAAAAGGTCATGGGTTGACGTGACCCGCCCTGGGCCTGCCGTAACTAAGATCAAGCGAATTACTATGTATCTTAAGAGTTACATTAGGCAGAATTGACCCGAAGGATGCGTCGGACGGTAGACGAATGATGGAAATCTGCAAGCCATCCGGCATGGAAAGGCGGAGAGCTCCAGGGAGGTTATTTGTATATAAACCGAGATATTCTGGGGTCTTGAACGCTTATAACTCTGGGTGTATATCGATCTCGAGACTTGCGTGCATTTGGTATCAACACTTTGACCTCTTAACTTATAGTCCTTTAAATATATCTATCTTATTTAAAGTCAAGGATTTTTGAGTATAGCCTTTGATCAAGATGGCAGCGGCTTCTACGACCGGTATCCTCAAAGTCAAAGGAACCGATATTGTAGATAAGGATGGAAAGACCGTCCTACTTCGAGGGGTAAGTGGTTACCCCCATCCTTCCCCCTCACCATGTTGGAATTTTGCCAAAGCAACGCATTTCTCTTGTCGGAGGGGTATTTAACATGCATGAAATTCGCAGGCCGGCATTGGCGGATGGATGAATATGGAAAACTTCATCTCAGGGTATCCCGGTCGAGAATATCAAATCAGAACAGCCCTTTCGAAAGTACTAGGCCAAGAGAAGTCGGACTTCTTCTTTGACAAGGTAAGAGAACCCCCCCTCTCTTTAGATTTCTCGGCAGGGATCAATATCCAATTTCATATTCAAATACATATTTACATGTACCGGTACATGAAATACATACTAATAGTGTAATACATAGTTTCTTGAATACTTCTTTACAGAATCCGACGCCAAGTTCTACAAAAGCCTCGGACTGAATTGTATCAGAGTACCATTCAACTACCGACACTTTGAAGATGATATGAACCCCAGAGTTCTCAAACCAGAGGGTTTTAAGCATCTCGACAGACTTATTAATATATGTGCAGATCATGGGATCTACACAATTTTAGATCTCCATACTGCGCCGGGTGGACAAAATGGTGACTGGCACGCAGGTAAGCAAAGAGAAAAAACCGACAACTCATCTTTCATAGCTTTTTTTTTTTTGCATTCCAAGCAATTGCGGAAGTAATCAACTAACAAAGCATTGTATACTATTCTCTCCAGATGTCGGTCACCACATTCCTGAATTTTGGACTCACAAGGATTTCCAAGATCGTGGTATCTGGCTATGGGAACAATTATCTGCGCATTATAAATCCAACCCATGGATAGCAGGTTACAACGTTCTTAACGAACCCACAGATCCAACTCACTATCGTCTTCAGCTCTGGTATGACCGCGTGTACAACGCCATCCGTGCCATCGACCCCGACCACATCCTTTTCCTTGACGGAAACACCTTTGGCTCGGATTTCTCACACTTTGTGCCTTCGGAGACTTGCCAAAAATGGGAGAATGTAGTCTATAGTGTTCATGATTACTCACGCTATGGATTCCCCGCATCGAAGGAGTGGTATACAGGATCCGAAGAGCAAAAGCAGCAAGTCAGAAAAAACTATAATAAGAAAGTCGAGTGGATGTTGCAAAATAATCTACCGGTCTGGAATGGAGAATGGGGACCGGTTTATGCGAGGCCGTGGTTCGATGGCGACGATAGCGATAGGATTAATGAGAGCCGCTTGAAATTGTTGGACGACCAGTTAACTATCTATGATGAGGAGAGGATTCCGTGGAGTATCTGGACCTACAAGGATATTGGATTTCAAGGTGAGGAGTTGCAAAATAAAGTTCGTCTGCGAGCCTAGTACCAATACTAATACGAGAAAAATAGGTATGGTATATGTCTCCCAGGACACACCATACATGAAGCTCCTACAACCATTCTTGGAAAAGAAACAGCGTATGGCAATTGATTCCTGGGGTACAAATGAAGTGCATATTGCACATATTGTCGAGCCGATCCGGGAGCACCTCACAAAGAATATCGCTCCCGAGTATAGGAATCTGTATCCTTACCCGGTCATTCCATACGACTCACGGGTTAGCAAGATTGCAATCAACATACTTACGGCCGAGTTTTTGGTTCAAGAGTGGGCTGATTACTTCAAAGGGAAGAGTTTTGACGAGCTGGACGAGATAGCCTCGAGCTTTAGGTTTGAGAATTGCTTGCAGAGGGAGAGCTTGAATAAGGCTCTAGTAGCACACAAAGATGTACATCAGTGAGCGGGGTTGTAGGTTTATAAACTTAAGGATGAGCCGTATATGGGGCAAGTAGGGGTAATATGAGTATTATATATTGTATTAGTATCCTTAGGATTTAGTGTATTTCATGAAGCTTGAAAAGGACAACCGTTTGTACAGGAATTTCAAAACAAAAGCTTCTAAAGACGCCAAAACGTAAGCGCATTCGTAAGAAATTGAAAGGACGGGGCGCCATGCTATCTAAATGCATCCGCTTTATGCTGTCCAACAAAAAGAAAAGATATCAATATCAACAATGAGACAATATGATAGGTCTCCTCCAAATCCACGATCACATCTGCGCCAAAATATCCTGCTCTGAAACCTTTTTCATCTCAACTGCTTTGAAAACACCAGATGCTTTGGTTTCACCTTTAGCCGCCTTTTCATAGGCTTCGTCGCTTCGATCCAGGAGGACCTCCAGATCTTCATTACTCAAGATTTCGTCGCCCTCCTTTGCGACATCAAACTTCTCAAAGTCGTCGCTCATCAGGATCTTTCTCAAGTCCGCGAACTCCTGTTCCTCTGTTTTAGTATTTGTAGCAGTCATAGACTTAAATTTTCCCTTTTGAATGACTAGCTTCTCGAGGCGGCGCTTTGCATCTGCCTTCTCAAGAAGCGTTTGTTCTACTGTAGCAGCAGTAGCTAAGCGATATACAATGACTGGGCGTGTTTGCCCAATTCTGTGAGCACGATCTTGGGCTTGGAGATCTTGTTGCGGATTCTAAAGTGGAACGATTAGTACACTTAAATCATCCGCCGGATTTGAGATAAGACTTACCCAGTCGGAATCGTAAAGGATCACGGTATCCGCCGATGTTAGGTTGATACCCAAACCTCCAGCCCTTGTACTCAACAAGAATAGCTTGTGTTCAGAATCAGAATTGAAAGACTTTATTAAGCTTCTCCTATCCTCCTGCTTGACAGAGCCGTCGATACGGCAGCAGTTCCATCCTCTCAATGTTGTAGCCCATTCTTGAATGATGTCTAACTGGACCTTGAATTGACTGAAGATCAAAACCTTATGGCCCCGGTTGAAAAGTTCTGGGATTAGACGGTCAAGTAGCATCATCTTGCCGCTCTCTGTGACAATTGTCTCGTCTGGGTCTTTATCACCCCATGGCCAGTAGAACAGGTGTGGGCTGTTGCAGGCCAAACGCAATTGCATGACTGGGTTCTGCATCTTCTTGGCCTTTATCTCCCTAACAGCCGCCTGGTAGGCAACTTGCTCTGCGCTGAGCTCTGGCGAAGTTTCCTTGGATTGGGTAGGAGTAGTTTCAAGCTCTTTGAAATATTGCCTATCACTCTTTTCCTTGTAGTCGACCCGCAACTTCTTGTTGGACCTGCTGTTTTTTAACGCCTTCGATGGCACAGAGAGACTGCTTTGGTCCTCCTCTTCCATATCCCCGCGCTTGCGCTTAGGAGTTTCGGTTCCTTTTGTGCCCTTCTTAGACATCGCTTTCGCCACGGCATTGGCGCCCGAAGCTTCCAGCAGCTTACCAATAAGAAACTCTTCTGTATCTTTGTCTAATATTCGTCGATAAAGCTCTTTCTGGGTCTGGGATAATGGCGCGTACAGAACGTACTCGCGTTTCTTCGGCAGGGACAGCTCAACATCTGTTTTCATACGACGGAGTAAGAATGGTTTCAAGATTTGATGTAAACTTGAGACCAAATTAGCTGCCATGCTTTTTTTGATCTCTTCGCTACTCTTCCCTTCTTGCTGGAGGTCGGAGAAGTCGAACCTGTTCTCCAAAGTTAGAATCTAGACTACATATAAGATGCAGGGCAACTTACCAACTCTGAAAGCTCTCGACGTCATTGAAGACCTGAGGCAAGAGAAAGTGGAGTAGAGACCATAGTTCAACAAGGTTATTCTGCAACGGTGTTCCCGTTAACAATAACCTGTTCGCCGATGGGTATTTTTCAAGCTCTTTAACAAGTCTGCAATTGAAGTTCTTTAAACGATGGCCCTCATCAATGACGATATACTTCCAATCATAAGAAGCAAGATACTTGCGGTCATTCATGATGATCTCATAACTTGTGCAGACAACTGGAAAGTCCGGTCCAACATTTCTATAGTTCTTTGTCCTTAATTTTGTATCGCGGAGATTTTCTCTTTCCTGAGGGTTTCCATGGTAGAGAACTACAGGGATATCCGGTGTGAACTTTGCAAACTCATCGACCCAGTTTGCTAGCGTAGATAGTGGGGCGGCAACCAGGAATGGGCCATATACATGCATTTCACGAAGAAATGCGAATAGGGAGATGGTTTGGAGTGTTTTTCTAGAGATTTATTAGTTTGTAAGCTCCATCAGTACCTTTACAGGAAGCTTCACTTACCCTAAACCCATCTCATCCGCCAAAATGCCGTTCAAACCGTTCTCAAACAGACTTGCCATCCACTCTAGACCTTCGAGCTGATACTCCTTCATAACACAGCCGGTTACAAGCTTCGGCTGCCTTGTATGTAACTGCTCGGTAGCTGTAGCTCCAAACGTTTCTGTCTTATCCTCTTCAACAGCTGCACCCAAAGCATCTTTCACGGCAGCTGTAGCCTCAGGTTTTTCTTTCGAGAAGAATGTTAATATGCTGTTTTGTTTCTTGACTGGCGCCGGGGCAGCAGCCTTCCTTCCTCTCCCTTTCTTCGCTGCCGGTTTTGCCTCAGGCTCAGCGGCTTTCTCAGTGGCACCAGACCTTGTCGCTCGTTTGTTTTCTTTACCTGTCTCTTCCTCAACCGGCTTCTTCTGTTCAACAGGCTTTGCAGCAGCTTTCGTCGTCCTCTCAGCCTTTGCCTTCCTGCTTTCTTCCAACCGTGACGTTAAAATTGTTGAATAGATCGTACTCTTCTTCAACAAGAATTCCAACCCTTTCATATCAAACCCATCCTTTTGCAACTGTTTGGATAGCTGCTGATCTTCTTCTTCCTGCAAACGTTTAGATTCTTCTTCATATTTGGCTTCCTCTTCTTTCATATTAGATGTTACGAGATCATTTTCGATTTCGATGATTGTATCTTCTGTTTCGCCGGCATCCCGGAAGGAGGTGTAGTCTTCGGCTGGCGTGGTGGGGGATGTAGCTTGGATTGGACTTGTGGAAACATCCTTATCTTTTTGCGCACGTGGAGATGCCGAAGTGCTTGTCGTTCGTGATTTGGGAATTGGCATTGTGACAGTGGCGACCTTTTCGCTTTGGAATGAGGCTGCTCGTTACAGTGAATTGGATATACTATAAGGAGGTCCGAAGAGAGATTCGTCGCAGTTTCTTTGTGTTGGAGCAAAAGGAGCAATCAATACCCTTTGTAATCCAGGACGATTATAATTAAGTGAAAAGCGGCCGAGCTTAGGGGAACACTAGCAAAAGCTGTTGGATTTTGCAGCTGAAGGAAAAGAGAAGCGGAAAGCCACCCCTTTAAGCTTACTTAAGTATCGACGGGATATCGCGGGTTGCCACCAGGGAAAAATACGGTGACGCGCTGAATTGATCAAACTGGAAGACGCGTTAAGCTCAATATCGAACCCTTGCGAAGGCACGGAGTCATTGGGAATCTGCATCGGAACCGGCAATCGGGCCAATCAAAAGGTCCGGGGTGGGTTCCAACAGGGTCAACTCAATTGCAACCAGCAGCTATTGAATTTGATCAAACTCAGCGTGGATATTCTGGATTGCGATAAATTATATTAAGTAAGGCCATAGGTATCCATTTTGACGTGTAGAATAGTAGATGTATATATATTATCTTCATGTATCGTTGGGTCAGTAAATGGTTACCTATATGCAGAGTAATTATAATCTACAAATGTATGTATATATGTATGACGACCAGAAAATTATATTACCGGTATACCCCGCCACGAACCAAAAACTCCTCCAAAACCTATTCCATGCCGTAGTGAGATCTTTCTTGGGCACGGATTTCATCCATCCGGCTCTGAAGATTTTGCTTCGACTGCACCAATTGTACGTATTCAGGCTGATTGGTAGACCCTCCGAATGTGCCCATCGAATTTTGAACGTTTTTCACCTCGTTGCGTAGAGAGTCCCATTGTGCCTGGAGAGCATTACCAGTATTATCTGCTCCGGGACCATCATTCCAACTGGTAATCCAATTGATAGCCATGGCAAGAGAAGCCATGTTCCTGCCCTGCCAGGAATAATGTCCCTGGTCCGAATTATGTCCATTATCCCTTTCACCCTTTCTCCAACCTCCAAAGGAGTCGACGTATATAATATTGGGGAATGTCTGCGGGTTACATTTTGGCGGAAGGGTGGTGTAAAGAGACCGATTCACGTCGTCGGCCTTTTTCCTCAAGTTCTGGATAAGGTTACCAGCGCCTTGGAGACTGTAAGTCCAAGATAGCAAGAATAGCCGATCAGTCGTAAAACCATGCTTCAGCATCTTCGTAAACTGGTCCCTCATGATATGATCGTTTTTATCGGAATTGCTGTATTCATTTCTGACGTCGTATTGAGATCTATTGAAGATACCCTGGCCTGAGAAACGGCTATCAGATGCTATTCTGAAATCTTCAGAAATGATAACGACTGCAGGACCGCCCGCGATGAAATCCCTGAGAGGTGTGTCCCATATAATCGCAGTAGCGGGATCACGTCCTGGAACACCCTTTGGCATCTTCCAAAGGTTCTTCAAGCCGGTTTCCGGATTCGTAAACATGTCGAGCACCCGCTCCCACTCTTCTGGGGTAAAATCTCGATACCAGTCATGATTGGTATTATAAGCATGCGAAAGATTAATAATGACAAGTTCCCTGTTTCCTTCGTCTACCAAGAAACGGTTGACTGAGTTGATGACGTCTTGGATGTATTCACCACTCACGCCCTGCCACTTAATCGTGCTATTGTTAGTATTAGAATAATGACCGCACATCATCTCATTCGAGTTTCCGTTGTTGCCTTTCCCAATACAAGGACGGACGTCGAAATATCGAGCACCGGCAACCAATTGGCCGTGGATGTTCTGCCACTGGGTTAAACTATTGTCTGAAGTTGCTCCAATTGTGCCCGAGCCGTTCTTGATAGCCATACCACTATCGTGGCTACCCGGTATACAAAGTTTTCTGAGAGGACGATTGCCAATCAAACCGAGGGACGCTTGCATCCAATCGATTGGGCCATTGCTCGGGAAGAAGTTGCCCGGGTTCTCACCGGAGAGAATGAAGGCAACATCCCCATCATGGATCCAATTGACGTTAAGGCCGGTTTGGTCATTGGCTCCCTGGGAATAACCCTGAACACTGAAAGTTTGAAACTCAGCCCAAATGTAGAATCCACGATTCGACCAGGCGTGGAGCATGAATCTGTAATCGGTGCCCTCCATGTGGATACCGACATCACCGCCTGGATGCGAACCGGAGCCCCATTCAATGTAGATACGAGAACTCCCCCCCTCTATTTTTTTCCCATTAGTTAGTTAGTATTAAGCACTGTTAAGCTCTCTTGTATCCACTCTCGTCCTCGTTTCTACCTTTTTATTTTGCAATTTTGGTTTATTGAAGTCGGGATGAACTTACTCTTCGGGATGCGAAGGTACTTTCCATTAGGCTGCCATTGTGCGTCCCAACTCTTCATCTTGTGTTGCGTTGTACTGGTGACAACCCAGTCGTAGGGGGTGCCATTGACGACGTTCAAGAAACCGCCTTCACCCATTTTGAATACGTTAGATTGCGGGGTAGCTTAATCGATATAGATTCAAGTGCTTGAAGTGAAAATAAATAAGAATGAAAAATGAAAAATGGAGGGGCTGTTGTTTATTTTATAAAAGTGTAAACTGAACTTGAATGAAACCTGGTGTAGATGATATAAGTTCTCAATTTAATCGGAAGGGAAAGAGATACAAGAAGTTTGAAGTTAATTAAATAGAAATGAATCTTCGGATATCAATTGAAATCTCTAGACTAAAAAAAACCCTAGAAGGCTGGGTTTCGCTGATGTGCCGAATTCCGATCGATGGTAAGGGAAAGGGTTCAATTGAAACATACGTCTACGTCTTAGCAGGAATGTCTTCCTCTTATCTAGTACCTCCCCCCCATGTCCCCTCTTCGAGCTAGGCACTTGATGCATATGGTGCATATCATCGCTACGTGTCATCGCTTAGATGCGCCGCCCGGCCGCGGGGCTGAAATCAATACAGCTGAAACCTGAATGTCGAAAATCGTAGTCAATCGCAGTTAATTGGAGCTTGGACGTGTTTGTTTTGGCGATTTAGATGCTGTTGAAGCTGAGCTGCACAGCTCTGTAGCTGCAGGGTATGCAACATCGGTTATATGAACTTTCGCTTGCAGCCCACATCGTACGTAACCCCAGTCTTATAAATTATAATGAGGGATCAGTTTTCAATTCGGTGCTCACTTGGTTTCTTAGCATGCTAGCACCCACAGTACCATGCGGGTGCAGCAGGTGAGCTACCTATATTACCAGCTGCTGCTCTGGTGGTAGGATGTGAGATCATTCGAAGACGATGGCGGGGTATCGTCGCAGAATGCTTCTTTATCCAGTCAATTCTCACGGTGCTGCCATGTGGAAGTTCACGGGACTGCTACAATTAGGCAGTCTCGAACTGTCTATGCTCCGGGACTATGCAAGTTAACTATAGCACCTAGTTATAGCTGGGATTTGGCTTAGAATTCAAGATGCACCTACAATGGGGCATACGCATGGAGAAAAGGTCCCGAGACTATAACGGACGAGGTAGCACACTTCACTAAAGTTTAGTGCCATCAATCGCCATCAATTTGTATCTTTGTGTCAGCAACCCTCGCCCTCGAGATTTTCTGGCTTTTAGTTTGCGTGCAGGGCAGCCAATCCACGCCGACAACGAGGATGGTGGAGGCGGGGTTGGTTTTTGTACGACGGACACTGCGAAAGGTGCTGCAGGCCACGAGGCTAGGCCGAGTGTTCCACTAAAAAGGATTTTTTCCCGAGGGCAAATGCAAGTTTAGCTTCGACTTATTTCCGTCGGTTGGTTCCGGGCCTGCTATTGGCCTCGGTACTAACTCAGGTGCCTGTCCTTCAACTGCCGTAGTTGGACACACCGAGGGAGTTTCAGAACCGACGTCATAATACTGGATAAATTCGCAAGCCCCAATTTGAAGTTGAGGGCATGGTATCTACTTCTCGAGATATGGCTCGGAAACAGTTTAAACCCTTTCGCGAACCCGGTGAGGAACTTGTTATAATTGTATAACGTTGAATCGAAATTCACCAAGTAGGATAATATAAAACACGGTGTATTAGTTGTATCTAGAGTAAGCACCGCTATTGTAGACAGCAGACGAAGTGTAAAAAAATATATCCATCTATCTACAAGATCCTGGCCTTGGTATAAAACCCCTCCGATAAGCACAAGAATTATGGCGAATGTGCCAACAAAAAATAAATCTAGATATCAACTGTTTATCTATCCAGCACAGATAAAAGAAACAATTCGCCTTCGCAAATGCCCAAGATAACAAAGGAAAAGAATAGGAAATCCCGCCTCTCACAAACCTTTGGGAATATAGATATGTACAATTAACCTACAACTTAGCTGTTGGGGCATTTAATTCCGCCTCCATCAACGTGCGAAGGTCATCGGCAGCGTCGCGGAGGTAGAACGACATTCTTTCGGCTCCGAGCTTCTTGGAGACAACATTGAATTGGATGCTATTTAAAAACACAAGTTAGCTTGAGTTAATTTAATTTTAAGAATTTTATAATTGGCTTACCTGTTCTCATTGATCATATAAGCGATACCCCAGCCACCATCAATAACTTGAGACCATCCGTATCCGTTGAAGTACTCGCTAGATAGCTGCGATGTTGACAAGTACCAGCTGGAGCTGTAGCTATAGGTGGGGTCCTGGTAGATAGCTGGAACTTCCTCGCCTGGCTTCAACAATTGCTTCAATCCCCATAGATGCCTGTCTACACCCTTTCCTTCAGAAGCCTCAGCGATGTACTTAACGTGAGCGTTGATGGCTTTTCTGAACAATTCACGGGCAGTCTTGTCATCGACTTCAGGGTCTGTGATGGCATTGCAGAAGGCAACCGACTCGTCGGAAACACTTCGGCATGTTTCGGTCCTACCCTGTTGGAATTTTCTGGTGGCAGCGGACTCGTAGGTTGGTCTGTTCTTTCCGTACATCTTCTTGTAGGCAAGCTGGATGATCATTTGGACGTAGGCGTCTGGGGAGCACTTGAACTTCTTGATCAAGCCCTTTCCGTAGCCTTGGTATTGTTGAACACGGAGTTCGTGGAGGCCAATGAGATCGGCAAAGTGGGCCTCGGCAGCATCAATAGCCTGCTCAACTTCCTTGTTCAGGGTGAACTTGACAGCCTTGGGTTCTGGGAGGTGTGATCGGACAGAGCCTCCGAAGTCCAGCTTGTTGTTGAAGATCTGATCGTTGATATAATCGTTCAGTCGGTGGGTTGGTGTACCGTCCATCATTGAGTGCTCTCCCATGAATCCAGCAGTACCGTTGTCGTTGATGATGAACTGAAGTGGCTTGTCATACCATCTGTTCTGGCCATCACCGTGCCAGTATTGTCGAGCGCGCTCCTCAAGGGTAACTGGGGCGGTGTCATCGAGGCAGATAACGAATCCCGAAGCCTCAAGAGCCTCCAAAGCCTCCTTGTTTCCTGGACCAGCAGCAATGAGCTTTGGACGGACATCCGTCCAGATGTCTCTGTTCTCGGATGTCAATGCACCAACGGCTGGCACCTTCTGGGCGCTAGCAAGTTCGTAAACTCTCTTGAATTGTTGCTCTAGCTCAGCAGTGCTCAACTGTTGACCGTTGACCTCATGCTCGATCTTGAAGAACTGGTTCTTTCGGACGGCAATGAAGTATTTGTGCTCCTCGTGATTGTACTTCTGGGGATAGTCTGCTGGCTTGGCAGGTATTCTGGAGCAGTTCCACATGTATTGGTAGCTGTCCATGCTGATTGGGGCCTTGCGCATATATTCTGGCTCCAAGCTGCCGCTATCGGTCATCTTCTTGAATTCCAGGGCAGCAGTTACGACGGCAGCAGCTCTCTTAGCTGGGTCCCTTCTCTTCTTATCATCTCGATAAGAATAGAAGTACGAAACATATGGCACAACAGGATCTCTGTATCCAAGATAGGCATAGAAGTTCCACCAATCCAACATCCAGTTCTTTACATTGGGATCTGCCTGTTTTGCGACGAGCTGCTTTTGCAGAGCCTCGCCCTTGCCACCAGGTGCAATAAATTCCTTTACCGCCTGGGAAGTTTTGTTATACTCTTCTGGGGAAGCGATCGCGTGGACGGATTTTAGGTATTTTGCAGCGGTTTCCTCGAGTGTCGGGACGGGGAGGCGAGGAAGGGATTCTTCGAAGCGCAACATGGCACCTTTGGTGCTGTCCTCCTTGTAGCCTTGAAGAAGGTTAGCGCGCATGATTTGACAAAGGGGTAGACCGATATAGACTCGGTCAAGAGACCGAAGAATGCTTACCCTCGGGAAGGGAGCTCATTTTCCTTGAAGCTGGAGCCATCCTGCTCTGTATAGTCGATGAAGTTTTAGTAAACTATATCTCACGGAATGATACGGCATACAACCGAGCGGCTTAAATCAAAATGTAAAAAAAAGTGAAAGGAAAATTTTTACAAATGCAAAGGAAGATAAAGGAATGTAAAGTGAGAGGGAAAATAATATTTATGACGGAGACTTACAGCTAACAGAATAGGCGATGGTGTCGGCCTTGGGACCGAGGCAAGTGCAGGCGCTCTCTGGGCGAAAATCCGTGAAGCTGTCGGAGTTCTGGAGCCTCGGCTGATCACACTCCACATGTTGGCTGTGTTCCGCGGGTGTGTTTAGGCACAACAGAACAACAGAGGGGCTCTAAGTTAGCCGTTCGATCGGATACCCCACAACAAATAGTTGGGAAGGAGATTGTGATCGGAGCGTGGATGGGTCAACGGCTGTGGGCGGAGGAATGCGTCGAACGGCGTCGAGAGGTGCGGACCGGATGGCTGATCTTAAATACTAGAGGTTTCGCGGAAGTTGGGACGACAGGAATGTGGATGGGTTAAATTCGGCAAGTTGGAAGTTGTAAGAAAAGGCCCGAAACCAAAGTTAATTCTGCTAGCCGGGAACAAGCTTGTGATCGGAGCAACGGAGTGGAAAAATGGAATCCAAAGCGGTGTGGGGGCCCGGACAGTGCATTTGGGCTGCGGGGTGGACGGAGGACTTGCATATATCCAGCAGCTGACCGGGACCGTTTGCTCGAATCCAGGGTCGGCCAACCGCTTGGCGATGGCATCGAGAAGGTCATCAGTTGCAGCTTGCATAGAACAGAAGGCGGCAACTAACGTAATAGCTTTCAGATGTCGACCTGTCTTTTCGTAGGAATTGTGATCCGATTTCCATGCCACATCATTCGAGTTCTTTTAGTTTTGTTTTTTGCCTTCAAAAAATATAGATGGATAGTAAAATAAGTGGGAGGTATAATAGGAGTAGGTAGATGATATTGGATAATAGGATAAATAAAATAGACAACGCCGTACAGACCATGATCATGAAGTAATATGCGGGGTATCCTGAAAAAGAAAAGAAAGAAAAAAAAGCTTCAAAGGCTGGGCATGACGCTGAAGATGTAGAGGGAGAATGTAAGTACTCAAATAGGCCATCAGTAATATAAGACCGTGTAAATTTAGAGCAACGTGTGGACCGTGTTATTTTTTCCGCGAGCTTCTTCGCACGGTTTCCTTTTGGATCTTTGCTTTCTTCCCCTTTGGAGGCGCACGGGTAGAAGCGACTGATCTTGATCGCTTCGTGGAAGCTGGGGACGGCGGCTCCGATTCTTCCCCACTTTCTGCTTCCTCTTCCTCCTCCCCTTCACTACCCTCCTCACTATCCTCTTCCCCTTCCTCCTCACTGCCCTCTCCTTCCTCATCTGTCTCCGCCTCCTCTTCCTCGGGTTCAGGTTCGGGTTTCTCTTCCTTTTTCTTAGTAGTGGGACGCCCGCGTTTAGCTTGCTGTGGCTTTGGTTTGACTGCTACTCTTCCTTTGGTCTTCTTTTTGGCGTCTTCCTTTTTGTCATCCGGAGCCGGTGTAGACTTCGCCGTCCCGGTACCCGCTGACTTCGCTCTGGTAGCCCTCCCTTTGCGTTTTGTCTGAGTAGGAGCTGCAGGTTCTGAGATTGTGTCAGTAAAATTGCTTATCAATTGGCTACAACTGCTAGGAATTGAATTACCCTCTTCAGTCTCATCTGCCTCGCTATTTTCCTCCTGCTCCTCCTCCTCCTCCTTCTCTTCTTCGACTTCCCTCCGCTTCCCACGCCTTGTATCTGCTTTAGTTTCTTTGTTCTGTTTCGGGGCGGGTTTCCGAGGCCCAGCCTTCGTCGTCGGCTTCTCTTCCTCTTCCTCCTCCTCCTCTTCCTCCTCTTCTTCCTCCTCGTCCTCCTCGTCTTCTTCTTCTTCGGGTTCGGGTTCGGGTGAAGGCTCCGTCGCGAAGCGGCGACTCATTTTCAGTTCATAGTAATCAACGTCCGGGAGATCGAAGTCGGTCGTAGGTGGGGATTCATATCCATCATCTGTCTCCTCCTATCTAGAGCTTTAGCTCACGTCTTGAATGTCTTGTCCATCAGGGCTTTCGTTGGCCTACCTGATCATCCACTGCATCTAGATAGTACAAGCTCTCTAGCTTCTTCCATATCCCAGGTATATTCGTATGAGTATCGGCAACACCGTGGTTCTTCATTAAGTTCGCGATGGATAGCATCCGAAAGTGTTTGTGCATCCCTACTCAAATGGCAATTGACTTGTAAGCACCTGGCTATTGTATCGCAGCAGCACTAGTAGTCCTGTACGCTGTCGTACCTGCAGGTTTCCATTTTATTATTGCCTTGAAGAGCGTAATTTCTTGTTCGTCTGTCCAATTGTCCGGAGGCGGCGGCAATGACCGTAGGAAGTCATCCGAGGGTTGAGGTTCAGAGGTCGGTCGGATGGTTTTCTTGAGCGTCTCTGCGGCGGGGCCTGTCTTCTTCTTCGGCCCCATCGTGAAGTCCAAAAGCCGTGCCCGCTGTTTCTTAGTAATGATCTAGTATTTGATAAAGTTCTCGTCTGTGATGGGCGATACAATTTAGCTGAAGGTAATGGTGTCGTGAGTAGAGGTTGTGGTTATGGAGTGGAGAGAGAGGTTGAAGCCGGCAATAGCAAACAGATGCGCATCGTCGTCATTTGGGTCAACGCGTTCCAATGCGCCAGGTCAGCGCCACAAATTTCCAACCAGACCATGTGGCACCAGCCTTAACGAAGGCCTCGAGACGCCTCACCAAAACAAACAACCTTACCCTCGAACTGCGGCGGCACAGTAACAGCACCTTGAATACATATCCTACGTCGCAGGTTCACCGCCAGGTCATGTTTGTCGGCCCTATACGCGTTCGCTGCTGCAATGGGAACGTTCGATCCTTTCGCGCTGCCGGATGATATCTGGGCGTTACCAAAGAGTGATTTGGTGACCCAGGTTCCTGAGGAGTCCTTGTTCAAAAGAGATTTAGAAAAGCGTGAGATATATTTTCAAGAAAATCATATCTTCATAAATCATTTGTAGATACTGACTGTCGGGATAGTTCTTCAGTTGGATCCACCATTTGAAACTGCCTTAAACCCGAAAACCGAAACGCTCTTTCCTTCCTCGCCATGGGGTAAACTATTCCCGCCATTGAGCTTCCCCCAACCAGATACACCTCCCCAAGACCCTGAAGCTATAGATGCTGCCGAGACTGATAGTGGTCTTGGTGCTGGCGATGACCCATGGCTTGATATATCATCGACGAGCTCCAACGAAAAGGTTGTTGCAAGCTCGGCACAAATCACGTGAACCAATGTTAACATTCATTATCAGGGTCAATTGATATCGTGGGAGACCTTTCTGTCCCAAAGACCACATAATCGAGCGAACCCATTTGTTACAGAGGCTAGATATCATGTAATAGACGCTATGATTCAGCGTCACGATGATGACGGGACGTCTCAGGAACCCCCAAAGAATATCATTCAAACTGATGTTCTAGTATATGTAAGAGAGGGTACCCTAAATTCTACATCCATAAAATGATGCTGATAATGTTAGTGCCTCCTTCATCTTGTTAAGGGATGGGATTCAATGCTTTTTAAATTCAACGAAGCAAATATGGAATTCGAGGCGACCAGGGAAGGCCTACGGTTGTCCGGAACGTCGGTTGGCCTGACGAAAGAGTAATAGCCTTGACTTCAACCTTCAAAGGTATTAGCTGATAGATATTATACAGTCTGATTTCACACTATTTAAAATGTGGCAATCGTCTGAGAGCTCTTCAGGCATTTGCCAAAACCGTCTACGCAGACATAGGGTTAGTACGAACTGCCTACAAGTATTCTTTGGCTCCTCTAACTCATTCATTTAGCTCCTGTTGTAAAACTAGAGTCGGGTTGGCACATTGTATTCAGATTATTACTGTTGCAGTCCAGCACCGATTGACAGTTCTTTTCACAAGCATCCAAAGCATTCTCCAACTTGATGATATTATCAAGGTCCCAACGATGATCTTGGAAGCGTTGCTCAAGATTGTAGAAAGGGTAAAGGATACGAGATTAGATTTTCAACTTTTGTCTGCTATTTTTGAGCAGATACAACGATCAGAATATAAGAGCGACTGGTTGCGGTATCTGCTCTTGTTAATGCTTCAGCGAATAACACGCCCTTGGCTTACGATGGTATCAAAGGCTATTGGTATCACTGTTGAGAAAACGCCGTTTGTGGACGATATTTTCGAAGATGAGGGATTCTTCATCGAGCTCGGCGACCCCGTCCTTCAAGAAGGAGAAGAGGAACCGCATACTGACTTGGTGAGTGGTGCACCCGTTGTCCTCAATTTTCTCCTCTGACCAGAAAGTTAGATATTCGCGCCTTCCAATATTCCGTCATTCCTCATGCTCGAAGAGGCAGAGCGAGTTCACGAGACATCAAGGGGGCTGAGATTGCTACGACGTTTCCACCCTGACCATCCACTTCTAAGTGGCCATGGGGTGGAAAGAGTTAAAATGCGGTGGAGTTTTTCATGGGATGAATTACAAGCGTAAGGAGCCCGGGATTGATGGAATGACACAGAATTAATAATTTTGTAGAATCGACCTTGAAGCCGCTGCCCACGAGAAACGCCTCCAGCTTGCTATGCAAGCGTTCAACCTCACTAAAAGGTCTCGCTTCTCGAGACTCACCGACCATCCGCAGCTAGGAGGTAATGATGGGTTTTCGTTTGATTTTATCGGAAAATCTGAGGAAGAAATCAAAGCCAGTCTTGCGGCATCCCTTGAGAACATGAACTTTGAGCCACAGCGACAGTTCGGGTTTGAAGGGGCAGCCGATGACAAGTTGGGGAATGAAGCACTTACCGTTGAACCAATAACATCAAATCAACCAACGACAGCCAGATACCCGCCTCCATTATCAGTAACATTTTCATTATCGATCAACCCGATCCTCCAGGCCCAGGCGCGGCTCACCAACATGGCATGTATGAGATTGCTTTTCAAAGAACAGCGAGTACAAAGCCAGTACGAGCTCCTCCATAGCTTCTTACTTTTCGGTGACGGTGTTTACGTCTCACGGTTATCAGCTTCGCTATTTAGCGACGAACTCGCGAGTGGGACTACAAATTCCGGAATTAGGTCAGGAATTGCAATCGGCGGATGGGGTTTACAACTCGGTGTACGAAACGACTGGCCACCAGCATCGTCCGAGTTAAGATTAGCGTTAATGGGGATCATGGCTGAATGCTACGCATCTGGTATTGGAAGAGGGACGGGGCATAAAGAAAACGACGATCTTCCAGGTGGGCTTAGCTTCTCCGTTCGTGAGATGACTAAAGAGGAGGAAGATAAGTGCAAGAACCCGGATTCACTTGAAGCATTGGATTTTCTCCAGGTTAGCTACCGACCGAAAAGTCCATATGATACTGTCATTGATTCGGTCAGCTTGGTGAAATATGATCGGCTTTTCAAACACTTATTACGAACCATACGCATGGTTTATGTCGTGAACAGGCTGTTCGGATATACAAATCTTGAGCGGGGGAAAGAACGGCCAACGACGAATCCTATCATCCTACGATTCCGAATCGAGGCCCACTTCTTTGTCTCAACTCTCGCGAAGTATATGTTTGAGACAGGGGTGGAAACCGTTTGGAAGGAGTTCGCAAAGAAGCTCGACGAAATCGAACGTAGACTCGAAAAGTATGATATTTCAGATCGATACGGCGAGATGGAGAGTTTGGGACAATTAGCAGCATACCACAATAGTTGCCTAGACCAGATGCTCTTTGCAACAATGCTACGTTTAAGGCAGCAACCGGTGTTAAACCTAATTGAAGAGATATTCGGTATGATTCTAAAGTTTGCAAAGATGGTTCGGTTGGAGCATATTGGCGTTGTGGATCCGTTAACGCCAACGGACGACTCGGCGTTTGGGAAGCTGTATGGGAAGTTTAGGAAGCGCGTTGGGATCTTTATTAATGTGGCCCGGGCATTGAGTGAGAGAAGGGGCTATGGCGGGTTGGCAAAGAGGGAGTCGGATCGAAGCAAGGATACTTTTAGAGGACCAGGGGATGCAGCGGAGGGTGGGGCGTTGGGACAACTTTTGGTCAGGTTGGAGATGTCCACATATTATGTCGACGCAGCTAAGAAACTATAAGCAATTTTTAGCGATGGTACCCGATAACAAGGTCTTGGGTAGATTAAATTATTATTAATGTATATACTGGCTAAAAGGTGGTTTTTTGGAGACCCGGGCCCGGGCCCGCAAGCTTATGCCCAGTAAAATTGGCGGTATCATATCGCTGCCGTAACAAAACTTCAACTCATGTCGCGTTACAAGTTAACCGCCAATATTGCATTGATCTTGAAAGCACAACGGCAAAATGGAGAACTAATGCTTCATTAAAAAAATTTTTTGAAAGGGTGATAAAAAAATTAAAAAAATCCAGTTGCGCCGGTGGATCGAAGAAATTTGAACAATCCACAGAACTCCCAGCCATGATATCGTGATACGCTCAGCAATAGGTAGAATTAATTAAAAAGATATATATATATGTATATAAAAGCTTATCCGAAAACTCCATCCGATTGCCCTCAAATGAAAATCAAGGCCTCCTAATAAAGCCAACCAACGGGAAATATCATAAACAGTGCCCCACCAACAGTACCAATTATCAATAGCACGACGAGAAATCCTGGCGGTGATATAGTACTCAAGCCCGGTGCATCAAACCCAGGGAAACGAGACCGAAGCCTTTCGCGAAGAAGCGTTTTCTCCTCGGGACTAAAAGTCACAGTCTGAACTTCGATGTTTTCTGAAACTGCTCTTGGAGCAATTGCGAGTGATCTTGATGCCAACCGCTTATCTGGCGACCTAGTGCCATGGTCGCTGGAACCCTCATGATTCAAATTTGGTAGAGGGGCTCTTGTATCAATTATAGGAGCTGAAAACCGCTTTCGAAGAATACCATTGAGAGAGTCGAGAAAAGAGTTTTGTTCGTCATGGCGATTCTGTTTGAATACCGCGATCTGGTTGAGGTCTTGGTTTGGGATGGGGCCAGCCAGGGCTTGGAGACCAAAGATTCCAGCGGAGAGGAATATCGATAATGTTTTGAGAGAAACCATTTGAGAATGGTTTTTTGAACGAGTGTCGCAGATCGATGTATTATAAGATCTTAGGTTGATAGTTGGAAGATTGAACGAAACGAAGGTAGAGAGGATTGTTGGAAACTTGGGCTGATCAACAGCCGGTGTTACGCTGCTCAGCAGACGTAAATGAGTGGAAGTACTTTGAAGTACTGAAATTAAGTTAAAGATTCCAGGCCTTAGAAATCGTAAACCAAGTAAATACAAGAATTTGGGGGTCAAGTAGTAGTTATATAGATATTCAGGCGCCACATGGTGTGTCAACATGTGCCCAGCCGTCGGAGAATAAGGCTGCATCGGTAACAGAAACTTTATTTCAGATAACTCGAGTCTAAAGTGGCATGATATCTGAAATCACTTTAAAGGTGAGGGGACTAATGATGTTCCGATTCAAGAGGTCTTGAGATGGGTATGGAACACTTTCATTTCTTTTTTTGTTCCGTAGAGTATTCCCATCCCCATGGTTCATAAACACCCAGTATGTCAGACCTAACTGCGCACCTCATACGGGGTCCGCCGACCTAGAAATTTCTGGAAATGAAGAAAGCTTAGCCGATTCAATTCAGGTCAAGTGCTGGCTAAAACGGCTTCAAAACATTTCCGCTTGGATGAATCTATTCCTTGGACCAGGCGTGGGATGTAAAATCGGGAACGTGGCTTTGAATGTGTTGATATGGGGGTTAAAGCTGTCGCACCATGTTTCGAAAAGATGCGACAGGGGTTTCTTGACAGAGCTTAGCAGAGTCAAGATGTATCATCGAGCCCAAGAGGTGATATTCTGTACTCCGTACATGGTCTAAAAATGGGATACTGAAGGAAAATCTTCACCATACTTCCCCCTTTATTGGCTGGTTGCAGGCCTGGCCCGCAGCTCAACCTAGCTAAGATGGTATTCTGCCTTGCAATGACATATGACATCTTGGATGACCATCGGTGGTCAAGATATTAACGTGTTGTGTTGGATCGACAATGGTGATCGTTGCCGTTTTTGGTCATGAGCGAAAATTTTTATTGCGATGGCTTCCAGGCGCCAGGCATCAATTACCTACGGATAGAGTGAAAACATAGTCGTTTACAACTAAACGAATGGTGATGTGGAAACAATGATTTAGGCGTCAGCACAATCCCTAGGATCGGGAGAAGCGATGTATATAAAATTTACAAGATTTGGCTTAGGTTTCGTACAGCTGTTAAGCAGTAAATGTACATATCCAAAAAATATCTCCAACACACCTTTCTGCGTTAAAACTGGATGTACTAAAATCATGACAGTTCGGTCAATTTCGGCCCGTTTAGAGTGATTCTACGGTTATTTTGTAGGCAAATGGCGAGGCTGCTAGAAACCCCAGGAAACGTGTAATTTGGCAAAATATTGGCTGAGCTATCAATCAGTATTTAAAGCACAACATAGGATCATGGATTGATGGTTATTGGTCAAAAAACAAAAAAAATTAACCTTTGCGGATGCATCTACTGCTTCTCAAATGAAGAGAAGCCCGATGCGGGGGTCGAACCCGCAGCCTTCAGATTAAGAGTCTGACGCTCTACCGATTGAGCTAACCGGGCAGATTGTAGCTTGTTGGAGACATCCCGCTTAAAATTTCGTATATACACCTTTACAATTCGGTTACGAGACTGAGAGACTGCCTAACAGTGGCAGTCTATGGAATAGCAGCTTACGTGAGACGATTCGTCAGTCGTCTCGGGGCTTCAAACGTTTTTGGGGTCTTACACACGAGGTTTCGCTTGGAGAGCAAGTTTTACCGAAATCTCTGGTTTCTAGGTCTTGCAATTACCCAGAACGAGCTTTTCCAGAATCGAAAACCTCATAGGCTGGATCTGTAAATTTTAACTAAATGCACAGAATATTCTTTAACAGAGTCTGGGGATTCGTGCTACGTTTTTGAATAAAAGAGAAGGTGCAGAGAGATCCAGGTATATACATAGTCAGATCCTAGATTCAACCCAACAAAAGTTTTCCTAATCAACATCACTTAATAAAGGAACAGCCGAATATCGAGTCCAGTGGTATACTGGTATCGTGAGAGTTCCCTGCTGAGAAAAATGATATCCTTTGTAGATTTGAATCAACACCCGAGAGAATTATCATTCGTTCCAGAATGAGAGTTGAAGCCTAAGTTAGGATATTCGCTGTTTAACGTTTGAGTTGCAGAGTACTTCGTACAGATTATGGGGCACAGGATCGAAAATCTTAACCGAATGTGCAGGAATGTGCAGGGTTATGTCTCGGCAACTCTGGTCAAGGCCTTGATATTTCCGAGCTCCACTTTGCATTGCATAGGTGTGGGGCTTTGATATCATAACGACTAATATTTCCCGATCGTCCCTTTTAGTCTAGATTAATACCGGTCTACTTAGTGAAGGTTGAATAATGCTGTGAAGTTCAGTACCCATCATGGGTTAGCTATCGTTGATGCTTAGAATAGCACAACGTTGCATCCAACTTTCAGTTTGTCATCAGGATGTATCGATGTATACGTATATACATGTAGTGGCGAGTCAAAGGATGCCCATATCAGTACTACACTCCGCCAAAGTGCTCATATGACTATTCTACCACATGTAGGCTTATATTCCCTCTACGAGATCTAGTTTTCGAAAAATCTTCCACAGGCTCAGTTGCGCATGGCACCATTCTTGGCTATTCTTAGCATTCAGCCACTACCGACGGCATGCTACCCTACAGGGTAGTATCGGATCGTCCCTAGAGCCTCATGGCCTCAGCCGATCACAAATTCCACCATCCCTGGGCAGTGTGTTCGGTTCACTCGGGATAGTATCTCCCCGCATCTCCCAATCATGACTTCATATGATAATAGGGTTCATAACGTTTAGCTATGTTTTGCTTTTTATGACGTTCAGCCGTAATGTACATGGTATCTGGTGGGAGAAACCGTCGGCGGACCCTGTATTCGTCATCCGTAATAATTGTTCACTCGAGATCTCTTCACGCCTCCTGTGTATATAAAGTGGAATTAATACCCGGCGTTCTATTGAAATTTTATCATCATCATCATCATCATCATTTCGATCGGCTGCATCTACAAAATACTAGGAATAAATATCATCCATCTATTCTTGCTGAAGAGACCCCGCAATTACTTTGCATTCTATAATATTTAATTAAGCATAATGCATTTCTCAAGCCTTCTCGTCTCTGCTGCCGCCACTTTTGGCCTCTCTTCAGCCATTATCACTGGTATCTCGGCTCCAGCCACTATCAAACCTGGTGATGGTTTCAACTTCTATATCAACACGGCAAACTATATCCAATCAGTTGGTACGTGATCCAAAACTCTACTTGAACGCTAAATAATCTTATTTTAACTATTAACACTATTTTAAAATTATAGATGATATCGCTATTGCAGTTGGTATCGCTGGTGGAAAGGGTTTCCCAGGAGCCCTAGGACAAGTCACAGACTCGTGGTACCTCGGACCCGAAAAATCCAATATCGTCACCCGAATCCCCCACTGGACTTCCATCCCAAGCACTACTCCAAAAGGAAAGGCCACTTACACCGCTGCCATTTTCTCCCTCTTTGGTGCTGCGGATGCACAGACTTTGGTGACTTATAATGTCACAGTCACCATTGGCGATTCGACCTCGACTAGCTACGTTACCAGCAAGCCATAAAGAGAGGATGGAATCCAGGGACAACTCAGCGACGATTAACGTCACGATTCATGATTAATACGCACATACATAGCCAGAGAGCATAGCATTGGGAGGAGTTTATTTGATTCTCTATTTGTTACATACACTCCTTATAATAACTACTAGCGATATCATTCGAATGCAAATCGATATATTCGCAACATAAACGCGCGCGCTTCTTTTCACCTCGCATACTCAAAATATAATCAAATAAATCTTCTAAGTATTGAATCTCTTGATGGAGCTTGAAAAATTCAATCTAGTGAGTAGGAATTTTCGAGCTCATCCTCGCCGAGGAGTTCGTACCCCCTTGATTGCCAAGGCTCCGTGTAACCATCGATCGTAACCACACTAGTCTAGGGACGCTCACCTTGGGTAACCACATGATACCTATGATCACAACCCTAGATCTAGATTGGCCAATGCATGTTGGTTCTCAAAAAATCTACCCAACAATACATCCACGTATCCAACAAATTGAAAACCATGCATACTTCAGGCAGAAATATCTATGTTTCCGGGATCCCGTTGCCTATTAATCCCCTTGACCTCAAAGGCCAATCCTCCCCAAGTTAGTGCAAGTACTCGAGTTTAGGGTGATCGTAGTAATCGTTGTCATAAAACTTTCCAGCTTTTGTACGTGGGAACGCAAAGGCGAACCAATGCAGCTGTACTAATCTACTCAAGCCGGCATTATATTTGTAGGTAATACCATAGAACGATTGAGGTTGATTGAAAAGGTGTTGCAGCCTATGAACTAAAGATCGCAACTACATTGCAATCCGGAATGGCGAACATAAGTAGTTTGTATGTGGTTTATAACCTTCTCCATTAGACTTTATTTCTAATATCTGGCCCTCGCAGACGCAATTAATACTTCTCTCGTTGATTTCGTTTTCCACTGACTACCTATTTTGTCTCTAATATTAATATGGTTCTATATATATATATCCGGAATTGTTTTCCGAATCAATCTAGCCCATGCGAATATGATCTGGATCACATTCATAACAAATTTCGGAGGCTTTACACCTCATCGAAATTACAACTTTGGGCCCTGAGTAGTATTAAGTGATATCTAAATCATTCACTATAGAATACTTGTTCTCGAGCTCGAACTCTGTAATTATAAAGTATTCAAGCACTAGAGCGGCGAAATTTTATTAAAAGTTCGGGTTTAGTATCTAATTAGCTGTCTCAATGCTGTTTGAATTTAAATATTTGTACAACAAATCGCTTTCTGCGTGCTGAAGTTGTTCGTTTTAAAGTAAAATCTAATCTCAATTGACGTTATGCATCTATACTCGAGAAAGTGTCACATGACTACATATTTCACTAAATATAGCTACATCTTGATCGATATTCCTATGATAAAAGTTGAAACCTGGAGTATCGATATCAGAGGATTCTTCGGCTCCGCGAATGAAAACTCGGGTAGCTCAGAATGGAAGTCTTTGCCGTTTGCATTAACCATCAAACTAATCGAAAGACATATAAAAATACTTGCAACGTATTAATGTATGATAGCCAAGATTATCGTTGATCTAGATTGCGTGGGTGCAAAATTAAATGACTTCCTCCGCGGCCGTTCGTCTCAGAATTGGTGGCAGTGATATTGAGACATCTGTGGCGTCAATGGTGAAGAACCACAGCCTTATGCAGGATGGCGACGCTGGTGTGACAATGAGTAAACTAGTTAGCCAATCAGCGAATAGACCTTTGCGAACCAGGTGCAAACTTGGCATGGTGCTTAGGTTCTCGAAGCGAATACGCTTGGCTTCGAGTCTAGAGTGGCTAGTGACTTCCATGTTTTATCGGGGATAAAAAAACTTTTTGCGTGCTGCGGTTTGACACCAATGCATGTTCGATCGAAAAGGCATTAGTCTAGAAACATTTCGCTTGAACATTCTCACACGATTGTGTATATATACTGTCTGTTGGTCGCCTTCTAGTTCCAGTATTCTCCCATCCAATCCAAACCAACATTCTACATTCACTTCAATATCTAGTTACTGGGTAACTACTTCAATTCTCGATTTAATTCTTTTTTATTCGATCATTCATTTAGTCACTTTCTTTTATATCTTCTAAATTTTGTTTCGTCTGGTTCACGAAACACCTTTACTTTCTCAACTTATAACACTTGACTTTATTCCACTTCATTTTAATTTCAACTTCTTCAAAATGCCTTCCTACACTAGCATCTTCGTCTGCAGCATCTTGGCCCTCGGTGCTTCCGCCCAAACCGATTACGGATACGACGCTCCTGCTCCACCAGCTGATTCCTATGGCGCCGTGACATCTGCCCCAGAATCTGTTGCAACTTCTATTGAAACTTCTATTGCAACTTCTATTGCAACTTCTATTGCAACCTCTATCGCATCTTCTGTCGCAACAACATGTACATCTTCTGTCGCAACATCTATTGAAACTTCCATTGCAACTTCTGCAGTAACATCCGCTACCTCGTCTGAAACATCCTCCGAGCCAGCCAAAGCGACTGCAGCAGCAGCAGCCTGTCCTATTAACTTCGAAAAAGGCTGCGGATTCCTTTGCAGCGGTCCAAAATTCGCTCCATCTTGTGAAACCGAATGGTTCTTCAACAAAGATACTGCAATCTGCACACCCTGCCCCGGTATTCCCGATAAATGCCCTCCAGCCCCCGAGCCATCTTGCGCTTTCGTTTGCAAGGCTCAAGGCGCTGCTGCGAGCAAGGGAGAAGCCGAAACACCATTCTGCTGGGCTAGTGATGTTACCAAGGAAGGTGAAATCGCTTGTACTCCCTGCGGTGGTGACTATGGTGACTATAATGTTGCTTCTGCGACTCCACCACCACCATCCAATGTCTCCATCTCTACTCAAACCTACGAAAATGGTACTGCCACCATTTCGACTCATCACGGAAACAACACTACTTATGCTCCTCCACCAATCTACACCTCTGGAGCCTCAACTATGACAATTGGGGCTTCTGCGATCGTCGGTTTGGCTTTGGCTTTCTTTGCTTTGTAATTAGTTAATTAATTTCCCATGTTTTCGCATTTGGTTTCGAGATCTCGCATAAGCACCGGCGCAAGGGTTGTTTTATCGTTTTGAATCGTTCTGGTTAGGGTTTTTATTTATTTATTTTATTTTAAAGAGTCATCGGTTTCAAGCAAAAGTAGATTATTAGTTCTTTAAATTTCATCTTTTATTCTTTCATAAGATATTCTCACTATAAATTTTTATTGTATCCATCATCAAGAAAGTGACTAAAATTTGGCCCAAAAAGAAACCAAACTTTTGCTTTTAAAATGCAACAAGTTTGGTGTTGTAAAAAAAAAAATTCGCCTATCTATGGCAGCCTTTGCTCCGATGCTCTGCAAGAAAACTCAAGACGAAAAAAAATTGTTGACAAGAGGGGGATTCGAACCCCCGCGGGCGAACGCCCATGAGAACACACTAACTTAGTCAGTGAAGCTTGCGCTTGAGTCTAAGAGGAAAGTTAGTAATTGTTCTGAGTGTAACTAGTCTCGAGGAACCATGTCCTGGACTGTGATGTTCCTCGAAGAGGAAGGAGATGTTAAACTTACCACACGCCATAACCACTCGGCCATCTTGCCGTCAGATTTTCTGGGCCAAAAGTTTATAGCGCCTAGGTTCGTTAATGGAAAGCTGACGGCTGCATTGGGTTTCGAATTTTATGATCCGGCCTTGCGATTTTTACAAGTTCTGGCAGGCGGGCCCACTAGCTACAGAGATCGAAAGGTTTTATAATTTAGCCTAAGTTTGCTTGAAAATTACTGATGTTGGTATAATAGGTTTGAAATTTTGAGCGCCTTCTAAGCTATCATTCAAATCCTAACTATCTAGCTAAGTCCGGGATATTATAACCTAGCTCCACGGAATACTTCTGCCCTCTTGGGCGGACTGTCTTGCTAGTTCAATCACTCGAATTCCGTCTCTACTCTGATGGGCCTTCACGAACGGCTCTTCCCCAGCCAAAATAGCCTTTGCAAGATCCGAGTAGTACTTCATATAACTGCCAGTCATACTTGGAACGCTCCCAATATACCTCTTGGTCCGGCTGTCTAAAGTTTGGAACTCAGTTACTTGCGTTTTCGTGCATAGTTTTCCCCAGATGGAAGGGTCTTCGACCCCGAACTTCGGATCTGTGCTCTCCATTCCTCCTAATAGCTGGGTTTCCTGTGAGTCTTCGCCATACTGTCGTAGCACTTGATGTTAGCGTGGTCCGAATATAAATTATCTTAGATAGAAAATAGTCAAATTCTTAGACGACCTACCTTTATGAAACTTCCATCATACCCTCGAATTAAGTATTTCAACGGCTGCTCCATCGGAGTTACCACGCTAGTCGTCACTGTAGCGATCAACTTCTTCAACTCTCCACCAAATTGAAGGATAATGACAAATGTATCATCAATATCACTGTCCGAAGGCCTGAGAGTTCTGTAAAACCCGGTCACGGAAGTTGGAGTTTGCCCAATTAATAGTAAAGCCTGGTCTATGCTATGAGATCCAAGACCATACATAATACCATCGCCGGGCTTGTATTCTCCTCCTTTCCAATTAGCTACCCAGGGTGGGAGATCTACGTCGTAATGAATAGTGACGTCGGTGAGTTGGCCAAAGACACCCTTTTGTGCAAGGTCGTGGAGGGTACGGAAGTCGGAGTCGTATCTTCTGTCTATATTTTTTTTTTTTTAAAGATTAGTGGTATTCGGGTTTAAAGTTTATGGAATCTACAAAATAGTGGGATTAATACTTTGAAAAACAGTGAGAACTTTGCCCTTTTCTTTGGCTAGAGCTATGAGTTTATCGGCTTCTGCGGCGGTAGGGGTGAAAGGTTTCTCGACCACCACTACGGGTCCCATAAATTAGCACACCAACCGCTAGTTATAACTTTAGAGCTTTTGAAATTAACTCTTACCATGTTTTCCAGCTAGAAGGGATTTTTCTGCAAACTCGAAATGTGAATCGTGATGAGTGCAAACGATCACTAAGTCGATGTTTGGATCTGCGAAGAATTCCTCTGCTGTCCTGTAGTGTTTTGCTTGGGGGTAGTCAATAGTGCAGTGTTTTCCTTTTTCTATAGAAGAGCCTGCTGGTGGAGCTTCAGCACGCTGTAAGAATGCATAGACATTTAAATCTGGGTTTGGAAGGATATATGGAAGATGAAAGCATCGTGTAGCGAAGCCGTAGCCAACGAAGCCGACATTTAATGGTGCCATAATTGCAACAAAATATGTCTATAATCTTGAAATACTTCTTTTAGATATAGAATAGAGTGAAGATGGCATGAATAATAGAAGCTGGGCTGTCTTGGGGTTATATGTGGAATACAATATTAATATATCCTGTTGGGCGGGTTTTCATTAGTCATCGCGGAGTATCGGCTGGGAGGATTCTCGGCTAGATTGTGGGTCTCTCCCCGCATTGACAAGGGATATACCTTTTACTGTTTCGACACTAGGTTAGTAGATTCTCAGTATAGGCGCACCTGCTGTGCCAGTGCTGCCCTTTGTGACGTCTGGGAACGAGACCACGTAGCTCTCATATTGGGAATATATCTCTCGGCCGTATATATCTATGGTTATTAGGTTCTCTGCTTTAGCAATACGCCAAAGGGGCCCAAGAATACGGCGGACATGGTTATAAAATAGAAGAATTCAAATATAAAGGTAATATTTGGGTCCGAGTTTGTCTTCAAAACAGATTACCGTGGTACTCTGGGGCAGACCCTTTTTTATTTCTCATGCGACTGATGCACGACTACCAACTTTACGCCGCCTTTCCTTCCCCTTATCCTTCATGACAAGATACAAAGATGCTTTTGTTGACCGGTAATGTGTAAATGAGCCTTCTAAATCATCAATTACCTCTTCGATATCCGTCAACCGAGCTTCTCGAAGGTCGTTATAAAACTCCATTAATGTCCAATCAAACGGTGGATTGGTAAATTTAGATTTTAACCACTCATCAAAGTTTTCTCGCAAATCTTCGAACCCCTTGAATTCGTATCTTTTGTACCCCTTGCCCTCAGTCGAGTTCGGGTTTATAGGGCGGCGGGATACTAACAGGAGATATTTTTCTGAGGCTGTATCCCTATTATTATGTTGCAATGGTTGTACTCTCGGTGGTGTAGGCGGAGCATTAGAAGCTATAATGCTGGGGTTTGAGTCGTCCGATTCAGGTCCGCTACCGCCGTCCGGGGGCGCTCCGGGGAACGCCATATATAGAGGTTGAAAAGGTATTAGGGTTTCAGCTTCGAGAACCTTCAGCCTTGGATGTGGAAATGATGTCGAGGATAGGCTAAGCGGCATGGGGTTTATCAATGGCATAGTGAAGCCTGTTGCGGGATCGAAGATATTGTCGGAATCTATTGATGATAGTGCTTGGTTATAGCAGTCTTCTGGTGGTAAGGACAAATCAATACCAAGTTCTGAGCTGAGAAAATGTGTGAATTCTGCAGTTTGTGTTTGTGCTTCGCTTGGAAGTGGCCAGGTGAAATGGGGCTCTGCCATTTTGCTAATTGCAGCGCTTAAACTTGTCGATATTCCTATAGTTTCATTCCAATGTTCTATGTTCTGATGCTCATAAGGAACAGAGGCACCTGACTCTAGGATATCGAACGAAGGCCCCCGTGATTGGTTCGTAGGATTTGGGTAGGAAATATATGCTCCTAGAGCGTGATCTCCGGAGATAGCGATGTTGTCTAGTTGGTTTTGTGAATTTATTGAAGCATCCTGCTCTAGTAACCCGAAGATTGGGTCAGTGTTTGATGTTGTTTGCAGAATTGGTTTAGGGTTTCTGATTTCTTCGGTGTCAGTGGCGAATTTTATCAAGCCTGTAACATTAACACTTGGGCCCATCTGACTATCGATTCTTTGGTAATCCAATAGTACATCTTCTGGCTGTGCCTCTGGTTGAGGGTTGTTCCATCTAATGCAATTAAATAATATCTCTGCTGTATAAACGTCTGTGGGGCCTCAGTCAAATCCTTGATAGTTCGTTGTGGAGAAGCGCAGCACTTACGTGGACTAGGGTACGGCCGGGGTTTCCATAGAGGGTAACAGAAGTCAAATATTTCATTCCAGCTTCTCGCTGATAGGAGACCTGGGGGAGTAATTTTATTAAAATGATTTCGCCTCAGGTGTTCTATAACAGGTTGAAGCCGAGAAAGTTAGTATTCTACCTTTATTAAGACGGTTGTCGATTTATATGGGCAGTTCATCTGCTACAAATAGCCAAGAAACCAGGTAGAGGCTACCTGCAGCTATGATAGGTATGGAACTAATATTCAACGAAATTTACTTACTTGACACCAGACAAATCCCTTCTTCCAATAGCTACACAACGAAGATAAAGTGAAGGTTCACCCTTTGCGAACGGACAAGCTAGTTGGCCACTTAACGCCTTTTCTGGATTTTTCTTCCGCCGTTTGGTGGGTGGCTTGTCCCCATCGTCGTCTCCCTTGTCGTCTCTCTTCATTCCTTGATGCTTCCCAGTATCTCGGGATTTCTCTAAAGTCGTCCTCCCATCCCTTTGTAAGCTGGCTGACGGAGTGTGCTCATCGCTCTCAGGTGCACCGTTTCCTTTACCACTAGGAGTTTGGGTGGTATCATCGTTATCAACCGCGGTGGACTCTTCGGAGCCTCCAAACTCAAGGATTGAACTAGATATAGAAGATTCGCGGCCCAAGCGGCATGCAGCTTCACGCCAGGTAAGTAGTTGTAGCAGAAGGAGTATCATTTTTAGTTTCGAAGCTCTTTCAGACAGGAACGCCGAGTCGTAGTCGTCCTCTGCAATACCGGGAACTTCATGGGAATGTTTCAACGGGAGGGCCCGGGGCCGAAAAAGCTGGAATTTAGCAGGAGGGCAGTTCGACTCAATGGCAGTCATGAGCTGCCGGGATTTGATAGGTTCCTTCTCCCTCATTTCGCGAAAAGATACCACAGCTTCTTGGATCTGTTCCCTATTGTTAGGAAATACTGTCCCTGAAGGATGCCATATAGCATCCCGAGGGCCTAGTTTACCCCAGATAAGTCCGGATAGAACCCCCAGGTTTCTAGGAACAGAAAACGCCTTTTCTGTCTGATGCGCTGGTGGATCTAGGGCATGAGACTCAACAGTCTCAACAATACGCGGTGAGAGTTTAATGTGTCTGGGTACGAGACCAGATGAGAGCACTTCAGACTTTACAGATGGGGGATGCGAGATATTGATGCTTCCCGCAACAGTATCTAGGGAATCCTTTGCTAAGTCAGGGTCGACGACTAAAGTTTGGTCTCCAAGTTCTGGGTTGGCCAACGAGACCAGGTTGGCCTCGTCACAGGACTTCTCATCCCGAGCTTCTAGCTAGGCGTTAGCTGAGACTTAAGCGAAATTCTCTATTCGCAATTTGAAAAGAAGATTTAAACTAAATTATAAACTCACCTATAAGAGGAGACTGTGTTTTTTCGAGGCAATGGGTGGCTCCGTCTAGAGCGTATTCATTCGATATCAAGTTTGATTTCTTGAGTTTAAGTGCAAGTCTTTGAATTGTCGATCGACGTCGCAAAACCTCATCCATTTTTCCCACCTCTTTGTACTTTTCCATAAATTGTTGGTTGCTATTTCCTTTTTTTCGTGGGTTTAGGATCATAGACAGACGCCGGCTCCCCGAATCCCAGTCTCGTACGAGACTGCTCGAATCCACCGTTATCAGCGTGACTTTATCCTCAACACCAAGCCCCGATGATTGATCTAGTTGTCCCTTTTCCAAGGCTCCCACATTACCCTTGCTTTTCATAGCCTTAGTCCTCGGCCCATCATCTTCAGGTGGGGTTGGAAAAGCGTGCAGACTCTGATCGAAACCCGGTGGTGACTGTAGTTCCCGACCTGTCGTCTTGTATGTTGGTAGTTTAGAAGATTCGTCCATGGTCTTCCTATGACAATATTCATTCAACCGTTTATTAGTCTCCGGTCTTCAAACTAGATCTGTCAATATGTATACGTACTAGATTCTAAATTACGAAACCTTGTTTTATAATTAGGTTAGGCTTTAGCTTTGCGTTGTATTGATGTTGCACAGCTGTGACTATTTCTGTTGATATAGATTTTGGAAAACAGTTTTTATATTCAAGGAGGTAAATTAGATATCGATCTTTGGTAACATGACCAATACAAGAAAAAAACATATACAAGTATTTCAAAGAAAAGAATAGGGAAATACTCGACCACCCAGTGTGCAAGTAAGCTACCCTTTTATGGGCGCCATTAATTCATAGCCTCCCGCGAGAGAACCCTTCTAACTTGGCATGAAACCCATCGCCCGGTGCGAGCCAGACATGGGTTTGCGATCTTGGCGTGCATGTTACACAGAACACGATAGAGCCAGCTGGTCATGGTCTTCAGGAATGTACCCAAGTGTAAGTACCATCAATGTACTCCTCTGAAGATTTGTATTAAATTAAATGGTCTTTCTTCTAAGGTGTACATGCAGTAACCACTACTGGGACTGAACAAAGTACCTAGAGGTACCTGGCCTGGGTGTTGACAGCATCGTGACATTGCATCAACGCGTTGACAGAGCCTTAGATCCACGAGCGAACGAATATCTTCATAAAAAAAAGCCCACCAAGAACCTAAATCACGAAATACTCCGTCAAATTTCATGATTCGAGTTTTTCTAGAATCGCTGGAATCTGACGATTCGAAATATGCTATTTTCAGGTCGACTGGATGATTCGTTCTTGCTAAACGTGAAACCAGTGAAAAGGATTCCACTGGGTCCTTGGCATTTTTTGATTTTGAGCTTCAAAATGGTCACCTGAGCCGTTGATCATCCCTGGGCTGCAAAGCCGGTTGCTGTGATGGGAACAGCAGCTCTTGCAGAAACTCTGCAAAGGCTTCCTTGCTGCAGTCTCGTAGAATCATATAGAATCATAAAAACGTGTTGCTCACGATAATTACAACAAAGAGTCACGTGTCAGGACCCTTGCTGCCCCACGTCCCTCGCAAAGGCGGCGCCAACGCGTGTGTCTGTGCTCTCTTGCAAGCCTGCAAGAATTGTGGGTAGCTCTCAACCTCACCTTCCAGCATTTCCCTTCATCCCTACCTACCTTCCACCACACCTTCAGCTTAAGCTATCCCGCCTCGCCTACCAATCATGGCGACTCAAACGACTACAATACCCGATCAGCAGATCGAAGATCGAGTGCGAGTCTTCAGTGACTTCCTTGATCCCCCCGCTAGCGTCCCTAATGCCGATAGACGTTACACGCAGGCCGTTCGTGAGATGCTGAATAAAGGGCAACGAAGGTTGATTGTAAGATACTATAGCTCTTCTTTAGCTTCGCTAAGAATCCTGGAATCCAATTGATTAGGGTTTTTGGTGTTTTTTTAAGTTAACATTTAAGCTTCTGTAGATATCACTCGACGATATTCGAAATCACAATGCCAAGCTTGCGAAGGGAATTCTAGAAGCACCGTTCAGCCATATCGAACCGTTGACCAGGGCTGTTAGTGAAGTCTCGCTATCCCTAGCTGAAGCTGGGAAACATAATGTCGACAAGGATACCGTACGATTACACTTCCAAATATATAAACTATACTAGAAGGCCGGGTCTAATAAGGAAATTAATGATAGGATTTTCATGTTGGACTGAACGGTAACTTTGGCGACCATGCTGTCAGTCCGCGTACCCTGGGTTCTGCCCACCTCAATCGGATGATATGTCTCGAGGGTATCGTCACCAAATGCTCGCTAGTGCGACCTAAGGTTAAAAAGTGCGATAAGCTCTAGTCCATTCTGTATGTCGATAATAAGATAACTAACGCGTTTACACCAGATCCGTCCACTACAATGAAAGGAAGGAACTTTTCCACGCAAGGGAATACCGCGATCAAACGATGACAACCCATGCGCCAACCGCCTCAAACGTCTACCCCACCGAAGATGAAGAAGGAAACCCCCTCGTCACCGAATATGGCTACTGTGTTTATCAAGATCACCAAACGATCTCGATACAGGAAATGCCAGAACGTGCTCCTGCTGGCCAACTTCCTCGTAGCGTCGATGTGATCATGGACGACGACCTCGTCGATCGTGTCAAACCTGGTGACCGTATACAACTTGTTGGAGTATATAGATCGCTCGGAAATCGTAACCAGGGCTCTGGTAGCTCTACGTTTCGTACCTTGATCATCGCCAACAATATTGTTCTACTTTCTTCGAAAGCTGGTGGCGGGATTGCACAGGCAACTATTACGATGGCGGATATCAGGAACTTTAATGCTTTAGCGAGGAAGAAGAACGTCTTTGAGGTATTAAGTCAGAGTCTTGCTCCTAGTATCTACGGCCACGATTACATCAAAAAGGCTGTGCTATTGATGTTACTCGGTGGTATGGAAAAAAACTTGGAGAACGGAACACATTTGAGAGGTGATATTAACATCCTGATGGTCGGTGATCCATCTACTGCAAAGTCGCAAATTCTTCGATTTGTCTTGAATACTGCGCCACTAGCCATTGCTACTACAGGAAGAGGATCTTCAGGTGTCGGTTTAACAGCTGCAGTTACTTCAGACAAAGAAACCGGCGAAAGAAGACTTGAAGCCGGTGCCATGGTTCTCGCCGACCGTGGTGTCGTATGTATCGACGAATTCGACAAGATGAGTGATATCGATCGAGTCGCTATTCACGAAGTTATGGAACAGCAAACTGTTACCATCGCGAAAGCTGGAATTCATACCAGTTTGAACGCAAGATGTAGTGTTGTTGCAGCTGCTAATCCTATATACGGACAATACGATCCGCATAAAGATCCACACCGAAATATCGCGCTACCAGATTCGTTGCTTTCACGTTTTGATCTGCTGTTCGTGGTAACGGACGATATTGAAGACCAAAGAGACGTGTTCATATCCGAACACGTGCTCCGCATGCATCGATATCGAAAACCGGGAACAGAAGAAGGTGCACCGGTGAGGGAAGGCCAAACACAGCATTTGGGTGTCGGAACGGAGGAAACTCAGGAAGATGGACCGACGCCAATGTACGAAAAATTCAACGTGATGCTTCACGGTGGTGCGAAAGTTACGACCAAACGAGGGAAATCGAGGGATACACAGATTCTAACGATTCCCTTCGTTAAGAAATTTATCCAATACGCCAAGAGCCGTATTCAACCTGTACTGACGGTTGGTGCATCGAATTACATTACCATGACCTACTCGGCTTTGAGAAATGATGAAGTGGAGAGTAATCAGCGAAAGACGTCGCCTATGACCGCCCGTACGCTCGAGACGTTGATTCGTTTGTCTACTGCTCATGCGAAAGCTAGGCTTTCGAAGAGGGTCGAGGAGCAGGATGCGAGAGCTGCTGAGGAGATTTTGAGGTACGCATTGTTCAAGGAAATTGTACAAAATGAGAGGAAGAATAAGAGACGGAAGACGGATAATGATGGGGAAGAGGATTCGGATGACGATTCGGATGATGATGGGGAGATCGATGCTGCTGCGCCACCGGGGCCTAGGAGACGGACGACGAAGACTAGTCAGAGGACCGAGTTGATAGAAGACGATGAGGACGAAGAGATGGGAGATGACGACGATGATGATGACACGCAGCCGACTGTTACAACAACCTCTACGAAGAAAGGAAGAGGTAGACCAAAGAAGGGTACTCAACAAACCGAAGAATCGCAGGAATCGTGGGCATCATCGCAGCCGGGAAGTCAGCTATTACAGGATACAAGTTCCGCGGCGACGGGAGCGGAGAGCTCGGGACCCGTTGAACTTTCTGCAGCACGACTTGCGATTTTCAGAGCGACGCTTGGAGGGTTGATCAACACGGACTTGTTCGTTGAAGAGGCGGCATTAGTTGGATTATTGATTGCAAGGGTTAATGCGAACCTGCCTCGTGGTAACGCCGCGTTTAACCAGGAGGAGGCTATGGCTGCTTTGAGGAGAATGGAGACAGATAATCAAGTCATGTGAGTCCACATATTTTCCTCCCTTTTTCCGTAGGGGATTTTTCTTTTGGTTGAGAGTAATTTTTTGGCTAATAATCATTTCGTTTAGGTTTGGTGACGATGATAAGGTCTACTACATCCCATAGTGAGGGAAGTGTAGATATAGTGGGTCTCATTTCTCGGCGAGAGTTACATTCTCTATCGAATACCTGGCATAGAATTCTCGAGTCTCCTCGATTTAGATGCAGAGGAGGCTGGGTGATAGACAAAATATTATTGCATATAATTCGAGTAGAATGGATTATATATTTTATCGAAATAATAGCCACCGAAAGAGAGCACCGAAAAATGCTTGACGTTCGAAAACGCTGTGTGCGTGCGTGTATAACCGTGCGACGAAAGAACAAACAAAATTAATTCCTTAGATAATCCGCCCTGCAGGTAGATATACTACGTAAGGTAGGTACCTGTGAAAAAGTACCGCCGGTGTCAAAATAAGCTTAAATAGAAATAATTCGCAAATGCCGAGACGGGGTGGTCAGCAAGGACCGTTTATTGGGGTCGCCTAGAAAAAATCCAAACATTCTAGAAATTTTTAAAAAAATCGGTTAAAGGAGACGAAGAAGAAGAAGAAGAAACCGACCTCTCTTTTTTAAGATTTCCTATTCGTTTCTTGGTTTCCCGTCGCACGGGGCGAATATCGGTTGGTACCTTGCATGAGATGTGTCGCTTCTTTGTTGGCACGAGATCAAGCTTGGTCGATCTGGCCGCCACCCAGAATTATAATTATAAGTAGGTAAGTACCTAGGTACTTAAGTACACAACCACGTTCGTCTCCTCTTCTTGAAGCTTTGTTCTGGAAGCCCGTTTAAATAACAAAGGCTATCAATTAACAGCTCAATTATTACCAAGAAATCAGAACAAGGTCATCTCGCTCGTTCGCTCGTTCGCCCTTGGTATGTAAGTAAAATACATAGCACAATAGCTAGGACCACGCCAGACCAAGCTCAAATGTCTTTGATCTGCCGGGAATACCGGTAACCGATTGGACTACAGCCAACCGGGTTTAGTGGGACTGGGGACATCAAAAAAGCTTGGCCCTTGCTTGCGTGCCATTGCTTTGGGTTTTTTTGCGACCGCTGTTCTCTTTTCGGCAAAAAACGTAATTTTAATTTTCACAGCTTCTTTCGTTTTTTTTTCTTCTCGTTCTTTCGGGCGTCCGCTCTGCGAAGCACCGTTTTTGTTGACCGGGGGGGTACAAGGGACACTGCAATATGGCCAATTGATTATGAACAATCGAAGGGAAAAGAGCTCGTACGGGGCAGTTTGGAGCCGAAGAGGTCCGTAGAAGGTAGGCTTAGAGGGTATGTACGTAGTATGTCGAGGAGGAAAGAGGGGGTATCCTCAATAGATATCATCTCGAGGTCAATCGGTTTGGTTTGGCTTGGTTTGATCAATTGATCTGATCATGAGGTTTGGACCGCCGGCCGCCTAATTCATGTATGAGCCCGAGCTAATGCCGTCGACGGGCCGGGCACGATCGCAGCTTCTGTTCCTAGCCAATTGATGACAAAACCGAATAAGGGATTCCGATGACTGGCTGGCCGTGATGGTAGTTGGAGAATTTCCGTAGATTGCAAATTTACCAACCTCGTCTGGCTCTCTCCACCATGCAGCGCAGGGTACGGTACCCGTACATTATCGTAGCTTAGCGTAACGTAGCTCGTATAGACGATTCCCTGGATGATGTTCGAATGACCTGATATGAATCTGATATACATACTTAGTAGTAGTAGTAGCAGTAATATGCCCTTGCAATGCGAGATGGATGTTATGTAGCCTAAAAACTGGCTGGTCCCCATTCCTCTCAACCACAACTACCTTCCCTTCTTCCTTCTCTTCTTCCTTTTAACCTCTTCTTCTTCCTCCTACTACTCCTCTTCTAATTCTTTTTCTATTCTAACCTCTTCTCCCTCTGCATTCATCATCTACACTCGTTAGTCTTGCGACCGTCGAGTAGTCCTTTATTATAATATCCCAAGTGATAGTATAGTACTTACATACCCTGGCTGCATTGAAGGTAAGCCTTTTTTTTTTTTTTTAAACTCCCAACGACTTGCTCTTTTCTCTTTGGCGATCCGATTTAAGCCTTTTTTTTTTCTTCGCTGTCAAAAAAGTAAAAAAAAAGTAAAACCCAGAAAAAAAATATTCAGAGAAACAATTACACACGAAAAGGCATTACTAAGAACCAAACAGGCGCCCTTTTTCGGATGTTGGTGCCTGTTATCTTCCTGTCTTGTCCCTGTCCCTTCCTGTAGTTCTGGTTCTGGTTCTGGTTCTGGTTCTGGTTCTGCGCTGTTATTTCCATTGCATTATTAAAGAAAACCCACCATCAATTGGGATCTCTTCCCGCCCCTTTCCTTCCAATCTTCTCATCTTCATCACAAAATTCCTACCTTGGTCGGTTCGATTATACTGTAGAACTTCCCAGTGTTTTTCCGGTAGTTGATATCTCATCTACATTTCCACTCTTCTTTGCTTTTGTGTTATCCTCTTTTTTTCCTTTTCTTTTCCTTCTTGCTTTCGCGACTCGCAGGTATCTAGGGCCCTAGTTCACTTTACACGAGAAAAAAAAAACACCACCCTTTCCCTCTCTCAAAATCCACTTATCAGCCGAAATCTCAATAATTAGTCTCATATCAAACACAATTAGCTAACAGTTATCTTTCTCATGCAGACAACGAATCTAGTTGCAATAGAAAAATAATTCACAATGGAGGCACCGGCTTCCTCAGCAGAATTTATTGCTGCTGCGCCCTCGCAGACAACTATCAACAATGCGCCTCTCGCAGCAACCGCCATCAACAACATCCTCCAGGGAGCTTCCGTATGGTCGGTTGCTTTGACTTTGTTTGCTGCCTGTCTCATCTATGATCAAGGTAACACGATTTCCACATTTCTTGCATGAGACGATATACGAGGGAATTTATTGATACTAACGGTCGACGAAATCAATAGTGATGTACATCTGGCGCAAGGGAAATATTGCTGGTTCTATGTTCAAGATACCATTCATGGGTCCTTTCTTGGAATCTGTTTATCCGAAATTTGAGGCGTATCATGCCAAGTGGTACTCTGGGCCTCTTAGCTGTGTGTCGGTTTTCCACAAGTACGTATTTATATATATACAATAGCTCTCAAAAATATGTGAAGTCTGAAGACAACCAAGGAATCCCTCCAATTCCTGTGAAAAGGATGTCCAAACCACAAGACTACTCTATAGCTATAAACCCTAGCTTCTTTGTTGGGAAATAGCGGCGCAGATTCGGAAACTGTTGGCTAACTGAACCACGTCTAGATTCGTCGTTCTCGCATCTACCCGAGACCTTGCCCGAAAGTGCCTCAACTCGCCTAGCTTCGCTCGCCCGTGCGTCGTTGATATCGCCATCAAGCTTCTCCGTCCCACCAACTTTGTCTTCCTCGATGGAAAACGCCATGCTGATTTCCGAAAGGGTCTCAATGGCCTTTTCACCCGTCGTGCTATGGAGTCTTATCTCCCGGGTCAAGAAGCCATCTATGATAGATACTTCAAGCGATGGGTCGAGCTCAGCCAAACTGGCAAGCCACAGCCGTTCATGCCCGAATTCCGTGATATCAATGTCGCCCTTTCCTGCATGACTTTCTGCGGAAACTACATTTCCGCTCAACAAGTCGCTATCATCACTGAAAACTACGTTAATATTACCGCTGCCTTGGATCTTGTCAACTTCCCCATTATCATCCCGTTCACTCGTACCTGGTATGGCAAGAAGTCGGCTGATTTCGTCCTTGCTACCTTCGAAGACTGTGCCCAGCAAGCCAAGGATTTCATGGCGGTGAAGGGGGCCGTCCCAATGTGTATCCTCGACCACTGGGTTAAATCTATGATGGACGCTAGGGAATGGGAACGTCGTGTTGAGGCCGGTGAAGTTGAAATGAAGTCCCCAGGTGCCCCATCTATCATCCGTGATTTCACCAACAAGGAAATCAGCGAGGCCATGTTTGCTTTCTTGTTCGCTTCCCAGGATGCCACTTCTAGCGCCACCACTTGGATGTTCCAGCTTCTCGCCGATCGCCCCGAGGTTTTGGCCAAGGTCAGGGAAGAGCAGATGAGAGTTCGTGAAGGTGACATTTTCAAGCCAACTACCATGGATCTTTTGGACAATATGCCATACACCAGGGCCATGGTTAAGGAGACTTTGAGATACCGACCTCCAGTTTTGATGGTTCCTTATGAGGTTAAGAAGGATTTCCCGGTCACTGATACCTACACTGTTCCAAAAGGTAAAACTTTTATTACCACCAAAATATACCCCAGTCACTAAAGCAAGATTCTAACTTTCTGTCAAACAGGCTCTATGGTTGTCCCAACTTTGTACCCCGCTCTTCACGACCCTGAAGTTTACCCAGAACCTGGTACCTGGAAGCCGGAACGCTGGATCGATGGCGATGCTGAGAAGCAGACCAAGAACTGGCTCGTTTTCGGAACTGGTCCTCACTACTGCCTTGGTCAACACGTAAGTCGATTCCCCGGGGGAAATCAAGCCATTGAAATTTACTAACGAATGTTTATATAGTACGCTATCTGCAACTTGATGTTTATGGCTGCCAAGGCCGCTCTTCATCTCAACTGGGATCATTACCCAACAGCAGACTCGGAAAAGATCAAGATCTTTGCTACTATCTTCCCTGAGGATGACTGCCATTTGGTCTTCACACCCCGATCCGAGCTTTACGCTTAAGCTTGATGAATGAATGAGCATTTGTTTTTATTTTATTTTTTTAATGTTTTGATTCCCCCCCAACTGGCTTTTTCTTCTTCTTCTGAGATACCGCTTTTAAAACATTTACTCCCAACCTTTTTTTTTTTTAACTTACCCACCTTCTTCCCAAGAAGCACGCTATGGCTAGCGGTCGGACTACTATCAATCATTTATGAGGAGGTGGACGGCTACTTCTTTTTTAATTCACGAATAAGCAGCAATTTGGTTTGAACCCACACTATCGACAAATAGACAAGTCCGATAGAATGAAGGAACACGAAAAAGCAAACTTGCTTTTTGTATTGATACCTTTTGCAATTAAGCGACTTCTTTTTTTCCTTCTTTCTTTTTTCTTCTTTCCCATTCCCCCATTCCTCTTTTCCTACCTGCGGTTTCTGGTTTTAACGTTTTATTTCTCTTTCTTCCTTAGCAATTAGTATCCAGGTTCGTTCGGGGTCCTTTTCTGTATAAACTCTCTTCTCTTCCCCCCCTTCTTTCCACCGGCTGGGTTGTGGTATTATGATTATAATGCTGCGGTTCTTTGCCGGTGGAGGCCCTGTTCGATACCTTGGAACTATACGCTACCTCTTAGGGATTTTGGGATGAAAGGATGGACGTTGGTATTGTGCTTTTTTGTTTTGTTTTTTGTTCATTTTGCGTTACGTTAGGTATGAAAGAGGATCGATCTATCCATCTGTATAATAATATTAATAGAGTAGGGGACGGCTGCCCTACGAGAAGGGGGAAGTGGCTGCGGCGTGAGGAGGAGAATAACCAAAAAAATTCTTGAAATGAAATGAAATCCATTGTTTGGAAGTAAATTTATATAAGTAAATTATGAAGACGGTACCCAGTAAATGCAGAGCTGGGTAAAAGACTTCTCTCCATTCTAGAGAATCAATCATCCAATAGCAGGCACCTAATATTAGCCTGTCAGCGTAATATAACTGCTTCTTCGGAACATACAAACATGAATTTGAACCTGAGGACCAACGTTGGCTGGTTTTTTTCTCAATCCATCCAAAAATCCAACAAGCCGATGTGTTGGGACAAGAAAAGGTCTCACGACCGACCCACATCAAAATTTGAACTGGCAGGAACCCGGCGCCGCAAAAACATTCGAAACATCGAGACGACAAACGTTAACGACCATCCTTCCGAAAACCCTTCAACGGCCGGGTCCACTCCAACCGGTACCCCATTGTCCCCCCCCTAAAGCTTCCTCACAGCCACCGATACCAATCTGCCCCGAGGAAGCCACAAGATGAGCTGAGGCTGGCCAGGCCGACCCCGATAAATCCGCAGATACCACGTTCCATTGCATACCAACCATCGTCGGGGTTCGACGACCATCTTAAAAGCAATGTCACGGACAAAGTTATTCGCCCTCAAGCATCCTGTACGACTTTCCCTTCCTCTCTCTCCCCTCTCCCCCACTACTACCCCCACCAATGAATGCTATCTCTACCAAAACCCCTCCTCCATGCATCCCCCAAAAAACATAAAAAAATTAACAATTAAAATACCAACCTGACCTTAGTACCCCCGCCAATCCTGGAACAAACAAGCAGTCTACAACCTCTACCGCTACCGCATGCCCCAAACCTCCAGAAAAACCTTCTACCAGCAAAAATTCCGCGCAAAGCAAGAAACCCGTCGTTTCCACGGCGAATACCTAACCGAACGAAAATGGAACTCCATGTTCCGCCACACCCTCCGCGGTGTCGTAAGGATGAACCCCGCCATCATGGCAAAGGATGACGGCAGTTCCGTGGTCAGCGGTAGAGGTACGGGTATCGATCCGAAACCTTTGAGAATGGTGGAATTACCCAAGGATATCGAACGTAGGAGGAAGGAGTTGAAGGATGCGAATCCGCAGCCTATACCTTTTATGCAGATGACTTATGCACCGTTGGAGAGGAGGCTGGATACGGCGGTTTATAGAGCTTTGTTTGCTAGTTCGGTTAGGCAGGCTAGGATGATGTGTTTACATGGGAAAGTATTCGTGAATGGTGTCAAGGTATATATATATATTATGCTTTCTGAATCCCTTCCTTTCTTTAACTTTGAGAGATGAATTGTACGGAATACTGATATTTATATATTTATATATTATAGATGCCACACGCAGGATACATGTTAAACCCAGGCGACATGTTCTCAATCGACCCACTGCTGGTAATGAAAGCCATCGGCGGCCCGGAACGTAAACCCTTCAAACAACTATCCACACAAGCAAAATCCGACCTCCAAAAGGCAATAGAAGAAGCCCAATCCAAGACAAAATCCTCTACATACCTGAAATCCTCCAACAAAAAAGTCCTAGCGGGGAACGCTGCCGCAGAAGTCGATACGGAAACTTTCACCGCCGCAGGCGTAAAATCCGAATCCACCACCACCACCACCACCGAAACCGAAACCGAAGGCGAACCAACAACATCATCATCATCATCAACCGATAAAATTGTTACCGAAGCAGGAGGAGACGAAGAAACATCAGCCGGGAATAAAAAATTCCATCTACCATCCGATTGGAGAACTTACCTCCCCAAACACCCCCGTTGGAAAATCTACGACGAATGGAGACCGAAGAGGTTTATGAACTTGTTCGCTTTCATACCCAGGTACTTGGAGGTGAATCATCATATCTGCCATGCGGTCTATTTACGACATCCCGTGGCTAGGAGTGGAGGTGCTGAAGTGCCGAATCCGTTCAATGATGGCGTTATGCAATTGGCTTTTAATTGGTACTTGAGGAGGAGGTAGTCGGATGTTACGTATAGCTACTTTTATTTCGGGGATGGGAGGGTTTTTATGGAGGAGGAGGAGGATTTGTATATACTTAGTTTTTTTTTTTTTTTTGAACAGGATATAGAAACCTCGATATGAGATCGAAGATGTATGTACATTATTAGATTCGAGTATATGTCCCAACAATTTCCCATGTTTTAAGCTACCTACTTATCTGGCTACTTCTAAGTACCTGCGTAGGTTGTAGGTATGTATCAATGTAAGAACATGGTATATATAACTACTCGAGTACTCGTATTTGCCCCTTAGATATCTCGATGACTAGTCTAGTCTATTAATACTCAAGCCTCCTTCCTTTGTATATATAAAAAAAGAAACTACCTAGGTAGTCTTATAGCTAAAAGCCATTAGTTTGATTATAAAAAAAAGAGGGAAGAGAACGCACGCGAAGAAAAGATAGGGGTTTTACACGCAGTGAGTAGTCATAAAAGAAGTGGTAGTAGTATAGACACCTGAACAAAAATTCGTTAAAAAAAGAAGGAAGAAAAAAAGAAGAACCACACTCCATTATCCAGCATGTTCCACAATCTCCGACACCAACCCTTTTCCTTTAATAGTACTCTTGATCTGTTCCGGTATCGGACACTCCACAAAGTCATCTTCCTCAGTTTCCCCAGGAACATAAACATTAAATGCCGTAGTCTTGCTGGTATAAATCTCAATCCCGACACTTTCCTTCGAAACATAAAGCGTTCCGCTATCACACCCATCAACTGTGATAGCTGGTACAACCCCCATGATTTGGAATGCAAACTTTTTGGACTTGATCACATCGATCGAGGAGACAAGGGAGTCGATTACAACGTTTGTCTTTTCGCATTCGTTCATGAAGATGGCGTTGAATTTACCTTTGATTTGGAGGGTGGTGTTTTTGCAGTGATAGAGGGAAACGGTCTGGTTGATTCCGACGTTGGGGAGGCTTAGTGATTGTTCGTTTTCGTAGTTTTCCTGTTTATTACTATTATCAGCATCATAGCTTTAGGAAACCATTGGCTTCGGCCAATAGATGTATATGAGAGGGGAAATGAACGTACAACTCTCCACTTATTCCCATCCAGCTCCATCTTTGGTGGCTTCTTCTGTTTCATATGGGCAGGCTTGGGCTTGGCTTGTGGGCCCGGAGACTTTGGTCGTGCAGCCTCGCCGGATACGAGAGATGATGCACGTAAAGATGGGTTCTTGTGTGTCATCTCGCTCTTGTCTACTTTACGAAGTCCGGCAGTAACACCGGTACCTTGGTTAAGTTGCGCGAATACGGCTCCCATGTCGCCTCCACCGCTGCTACTGCTACCGGAATCCTTTGGCAGTTCAAGAATCGGTGCTGGACCTGGAGGGGGTGGAGGTGGGGGAGGGGGTGGTGGTAGAGCACCGCCTGTTGGAGCTGGTGCTGGGGCCGCGGCGATCGATTTCTTGAGGGTTGTCATGATTTCGGGAGCATCGCCGCCATCACGATTCCACGAAATACCATGGACATGGTATTTTCGTACGTATTCCTCAAGGGTTTTGCAAATATTGTACCAAGAGCGAACCCATTCAACATGCTTCTTGTCCCTGCAAAAGAAATTCGTTAGTTCCCTACTATATTTAAGCATTTGAACTTGTGTAGTTGTCCACATACTTCTCCTTATACTCCTTTATCACTCTGTTCCCATAGAACTGACCAGCATTTGCCATCTCGGTCACGAATTCCGCAGGTTTGGTGTCCAAAGTCACCCAAGCCAAAGCCGGTACAGCCTCACTAACCATGGATAGATGGCTTTGTAGGGTCCCAGCCCTATGAGCCTCTCTATGTTCATTTACGCTATTCATGTAGGACTGCATGTCTTTGATAAGGTCGAGGTACTCCTTTGATGCTATGTCAGGTTTCCTCGCCTTTGTCGATACGAGCAGGAATAGACGCTGAGCTTGGAAGCCCTGGCGAACAAATTTTGCCTAGATAAAAGCTGCATGTTTAGTTGCACAATGTACTTATATTAGAAATGAGAGAACTGGCGTGTACGCACCTGCTCAGCAAGCAAAGGATCAATATCTCTGCTCAACTCCTCAAATTTATCCAACAGGGTCAAAACGTCTTCATCGTAATTAACGATACTTGACGGCAACGGTTCCGGCGGTGGGGGTGGTGGAGGAGGAGGAGCTCCAGCCGCCGCTCCTGTAGTTTTACTAGCCCCGGCCGAGGTTTCTGCTGCATTCGAGGCGACAGCAGCAGCGATGGCTGCTGGAGCTTGTCCGAGACTCTGTGATTCAAAGGTTACAATATCCTCCAATCGAGACGTCGCAGCTTCGAGTCTACATGCGAGACGTGTTAGCGTTTCCCAGTTGAATAGTTTCTTTCCATCCGTCGGTGGCAGTTCCCCTCCCATCCCTTCTCCTTCTCCTCCTAGTAGGTCTACATCCTCCACGCCCCTTGCTGTGTCGTCTACAGCGCCACTGCAATTATCGTCTGCTCCGATATCAGACACCTCAGATTCAGGTCCAGGCTCTGAATCCCGCCGGGTAGATTGCGAGGTATTCGTTTCTGAGTTCTCACGGTCCCGACCAATAGTGCTAGCACCAATAGTCGAAACCGCACTTGAAGAACCCCAATCTCGGTGTTCTAGATCTTCTTGATCTTTACTTGCTTCTCCCTCGCAATCTCCAGCTGTGACGGTGAGTTCGGAGCGCTTGTCGTCCGTGGCAGTAGCGCTGTCATCTTCGGGGAGTATGGCGGACATTTTAGGTGCAATTGACGGCAACTATAGCTTCGCTTCGACGAAAACACGCAAAAGGCCCGACAAAAAGCATGGAAGCTGATGGCTTGTATGTGCACGCCCATTCTTCACATACAAACATGACTACCGTAAGGAGGAATAGAGTGAGAGAGTATTTGCGGGTAATCTTTCAACCTTAATGGGCGTGTGCCTCGCCGCGTAATTCGGTAACTTCGATAAATTCCCCCCATACCCGGATTTGGACAATTCGAAAGCTTATATTATGAGGGAGAGCTTACCTCTTGATCAGCGTTGTTAGGTTGTGAAGCTGGGGCGGATTGTTGGTCGCCATGGTCGATATTTCGATACAAGGAGTCCTAGGAGGTTGTCGGAATTTTTTGAAGTTGGAAAATAAGGGAGAGTAAGGGAGCGGAGCGAGAGAGAGAGAGGTTGCAGTTGAATTAAGGAACTGACCTGAACTAGCTGAGAGGTTGGCCGGGTGGGATGATGCTGGCGGGGCTTTAGCTTACCGGCCATACAAGCAGCGCAATATATTAGGCCAACGCAACACGGGGCTAACTTGCAACAGACAGCCCTCCGCTGGGGCATGGGATTGTGAGAATTAACGGAGGCTTGGAATGGGATACCGATGCGGGTTTAAATGCATTGGCGCTGCTTCAGGGGCAATTTGAATGTGTGTCTCCATTCTAGATTAGGTATATACTTAGTAGTTATTTCAATAACTGTGTATGTTTTATAAATTTATGCGTATGTGCTTATTTCGAGATGTTATCACAATGTAGAATGAGTAGAATTCAAATGCAATAGAAATGGAGTCGCTTGAGAGGTGCGTGATTGATACATTAACAACCAATTTGAATATTGCAACTAGCTAAATGCAATCAGGGAATGCAAATAATCAAAAGTATAGGGTAGTGAGATGCAATTTATGGTAATGTCGTGATGAGTATTATATAGACTTCCATCGTGCTTCATTGATAAGCCGTCAGCATGATATGCTCAAACTGCACCTTCCAAAGCAGTCTCTGCTCTAGGATTTGTATGCCGCTAGATTGTTCGCTTCCAATATAACCTTTATCTCAGAGAACTCAAGCTCGTCCTCGGGGTCAATATTATCCAAAAAAGCCAGTGCATTACCCTTAAATGCTGTCACAAGAAGTAGCTTGCGCTCCTTCTCCGACATTTTCGAGTCAAGAACTTCAATCAGACCCTCAAATGAATTTAGGAACCGTTTGAAGCTTCCGGTGCCGTCATAAGTAAGATTGCATAGCCTGTCTCGAGCCACAAGCTTCAGCTCAGAAGCACTGCAATCCTCAGGAGGCTCCGAAACCTCGACATAAGAATGGTCATCCCCTTCATTTGCATTTTGAGGCGATGATTCGGCAGAAGCTTCTTCACCATCAGAGGGATTCGATTCTTTCTCACCAGTCCCACAGGCCTCGGATGAGCCCTCCTCCTCTTTGTGTTCCTCGCACCATTTCTTGTATTTCTTGAAGAGATCTTCCGGCTTTTCGTGGAATAGGTCGATGAATAGCTTGTCTGAGTAGTGACGGTTTTTCATCCACCCGTTAATACGAGGTACAGTTTCGGGACCGTACTGCTCTTCTAACCAAAGAAGGAAGTATGCAGTCCTCTCGTAGCCATTGTCCCACGCATCACCCTCCCCACGGTGCCAATGAGGTGGTCTAAAACCAGCCTTATATCGAACCCAACTATTTCCCCACAGAGAAATTATCAGAATCATCCCATAACTAAAACTCGGATGAAGGAGGCAGTAGGAATGAAACTTACTCGGCAATCCCTTCAATCAAACCCCCATTCGCCCCTCCAAATGCATTATATTGAAAACAGTGCACCATCTCATGTCTAATAACTCCCAAAATCTCCTGTTTATTTTGTTTCCCCTTCGATCTCTCATTAACCCCAGCAATATAATCTGTAGAAAAATGTATTTCTTTGTGATCGTCATCGATGTCCATGCCAGTAGTGTAAGCAACGCCATCCATGCTGCGTATGATAAATGTGACTGATCGAACGCTAGATACAACACGTTAGCGATTTAAACTTTAGGACTGTAAGGAAGTTAAGGGGAGTTACTTTGTCGGCGCAGTTTTCGGGGTATATAGCGTATCCAAAACGCCCACCACTGCTTCGACGAGCACATCATGAAGGTTCAATCCACTATCAAATATAACAGAAGATCCATCATCACACACATCATTAAATCGTAGTCTAATCAGCGGAATACGATATCCATCTCTCCAGATCACACCCTTCCCATGTTGAACTTCTACTTCTTCTTCAGAACTCATTATTTCCGGGTTTTCTGGGGAATCAAGTCGTGATGTTTGTTGGAGTATGGGTGGGACTGTAGAGGAAGTGCGGGGATGGAGTGGTTGTGACATGTATGTGTGCTTATATATCCTGGGGGTGAGGTGGGAGGTGACGACTTGCACGCCTCCCTTTTGCCTTGGTTCTAGTTTGGATAAAGAGGATGTATGTCCGCGTCCGATTTGGGGGTTTGGGGGATGATTTGTAACGGATTCGGTAGGCTGAGCCGGTGGTGTGGCTAGTATACGTGGCTAGTGTGAGCTTTATCTGGGAGCTGATCTTACTGGTGCGCCACAGAGTTCTGGAAAAGGTTTAGATGTCGATACAGATGGTGAACCTTATGAGATCATGAGATTGACGAGATCCAAGGTTTTTTGAAAATTGTCCGCCGGTGAACGGGAGATGAGTCTTTTTGACATCATTGGGAGTCGAAAGAGGAGGAAGGATATCATCACCGTGGTGCAACATGGTTAAAGAAATATAAAGATGGTTTAGGCGACGCCACTAATTCCTTGCCACACTTTTACAATGTGGCTTGTTTATGCAAGAGCCAGGATCCTTGTTTATCCGCTTTCTATTTTCCAACAAGGAGGCCAGTTGTTAGTTGTCGAAATATCAGCGCTAGCTAGCCGGTGCGACAAATTCGCCTCTGAATGTCCTCACGATTCTGAGTTTTAGCTTATTCAGGTGGGATATTTCTATATCCATCTTTGATGTTCAACTCTCGGGTATGTATTAATTTTATCATCATTCTTACAGCATTCGAGTTTTACAAACTAACTCTTAATTCTTATTGCTGTAGCCGACTATCCTATACGGAAAGATTTACTTCTCACCAGCGTGCACCAGCTTCTCGATGGCCTTGAAAGTTGCCAAGAAAACAACCGATAATAGTCGATATCTCAAAAAAACTACTTAGTATTGCTTGTCACCATAGCCTCCAATTAGCCATGAGCAATTCTATGAGGGCCTGTCGTGTTGGAAAGGGCAACTTTGTGCTTGCGTATTAATGAGCCATCAATCAACCAAAATAGACAAACGCAGCTATACCCTGGTGGAATAATACGCATTGGGCAAACCGGTCAGGTCTCATATATTGACGATACCACAAAAGCGCTAGCCTAAGAAGCTATCAAGATGGCGATCAAAGAAGCCGTTACAGCGATATAGCCACAGCCACTTGAGATGTCGAGTTTAGTCACACATGTTGTTCAATCAGCCGCAGTTCTCTTATTTGCTTCCCTAGATGTTAAAAATAGGGCTGTCGAAACTATCGTCTTGCCGCAGCAAGCGTTGGAAAGGTTGAGCTATTGAAAAATGCTATCTCTCTCAAGGATGTTAAATTCGAAATGAAAGGAGATATCCCAGGTGGCAAACGCAGCATAGTTTTCGACGGCTCCATTGTGTTTGGAACCGATTCTAACGCCTTGGTATTTGGAGCCGCGGTGACATGGGCTACGGGGTATCCTCTCTTAATTGAAGGGAAAAAAATGCAACTCTTGAAAGCCTCGTCAAGCGTGTGCTATTCACAAGCTTAGATACAATCGCGTCAAATCCCCCACCCCTAAATGACGGTGTAGGTTTCGATGGCTGGGATAAAGATGTGGTCCCCACACCATCATCCTCCTGGTCTGCGGTTGCTGGTCTAGTTTTTGAGGAAACCCCTCCGCTGGGAAGGATTTTGAAGTCAATTAGTGTCACATATGTCACGAAAGCATTCTGGGCCATCATTTCAAGTTCCCTTTGGATGAATGCTTTACGATTGAATGCAACAGTGACCTTGCCAGAGAAAACTCTGAGCTTAGGGTGCACTGCAAAGATTAATATGAAAAAACGTCCGGACCTGACAAACCAAGAACCCTGGATTATAGGTATTGTCATGGCTATCAGCAATACCAGCTTCGATTTTACAGTTAATATACCAGCTGGTATGGATATAACGAATATTGTATACGATATCATATCAAGCGCTATGGAAATACCGAGGATCTTTGCGCTCCCGGTTTTCCGAGGAATTAATCTCAGAGTAGAGTGGGAACCAACGAAACAAATAATAAATAGATGAAAACTTTATGAGATCCGGAGAAACTTGAGAGATACCCAAGCTCTTTGGAAAGTCTATAGCAAAGATGAAGAAACCCTTCATTAGAGGAACAATTATCTTAGGCTCGCTAATAACTGCAGAGGCTTCTTTACATGGGCTAGTAAAATAAGATTCCCCCTCTAGTTATAACTTCGTCTGAATACATAGGTCACGCCGCTAATCGATTGGGTTAAACAACATAGGTTATTCGGAACTATTGACGCAAAAGTGGAATTTGTGAGTACTGCACCGCACCGTTATCCGTGCTTGTCTAATCTTGCGCCTATAGGTACTACCAAAGGGGCCTTTAAGAATTAATGGGCATGACATTGGAGAAATAATCGAAATTGTGACATACCTCTGGGAACAATTACGAAATCCTTCTGTTCGTGGAGGCCCACCACCCACTACCGCGCCACAAGCCGCACTAGCGATAGGGGAGTTTATTAGCTCCGCCGCCGCCACTACCGCGCTTGCTGTGGTTGATATCGCTGAAGTAGTGATCGCTTCAGGTCTTCTTGGTGGTGCACTTTGGTTGGCAATGAAAGCAAAGATCATCACAAGGGTAAGTACTTATATATTCCGCGTCAAAAACTCACGCATATCTATAAAACCTCGAGAATATGTCTAACTTCAATCCTTATATATAGATCGCGCAGCTAGAAGATAGCATCGCCGATAAGAGATTAGCAGAATCAAAGATTCGAGACGGACTTGCAACATACGAAGATCCGTCTATTCCAAAAATCCAGCCAATACTAGATCTACCCGACTTACCGGTTCTGATAAACGGCGATTTTGAAACGGGAAACCTGGACGGCTGGGAGGTTCTTCCAGAATCCCCGGCATGTTCGTACCAGCTCCTATCGCCAGGGTTTACTGGCTCCTATCGATTTTTAGCCCGAGTCCCTAGCGGGGAAACCAGCACACCGCCTTCTCCTTACTGCGGAATAAAGCTTAGGCAGAGACTCGCGACGTTTCCAGTTGCGAGCCAATATAACTTCACTATCAAATACAAATTTCTATCCTACAAAAACGATTGCTACGTTAACGTATTTGTCAACGGGCGTCAGATATTAGGATGTAGGTCGAACAATAGGGATTTGGTCAATCAGATACAAACCGCAAGAGCGCAGTTTACGGCAAGCGCCCCTAACGCCTTGTTGGAGATATACTGCACCGTTTGTGCTTATCAGTCTATGAATTTTGAGCTTGACTCGATAGAAGTCTCGACGGTGTTGATAACGCAATGATCAAATGGTACTGGTATGGTTTTCTTGGTCATTTTGCTAGCTAGAAGTGCAGCGGTTAAGAATCTATTTTTAATGACTCAGCTAGTTCTAAGAACCGATTGATGAAGCGGAACTTCTCGAGCTCGACATCACGCATCATGAACTGCAGAGACGGCAAGCTTAGGAGTTTGCGTTGACTACGTTGCACATTTACAATAAAATAACAAAATGTAACACCATTTTTTTGCCGATCCTAAGTTAACATCCGGGCCAAGAAAGGTTTCATGAAATTACTAGATAGCCGAGTTCTATAGAGCAAAGTCAAATTAATTGTATTGTAATACCAAAACTAGTGTTGACCGTCAATTAGGCAGAGTATAATCTAATCCAGATCGATATCTCGATAATATAATATCGGGTACGTCTCATTGAAATATTGTACCACGCCATGCGCTACATGCTACATCTAAGCGCGTTTAACCTTCTATATTCGATTTTATGTTCCTAGCAAATCTTCGAAGGCCTTTTGGGTTAGGAAGCGGACGTTCCTCGACTCTGGAATGTAAACAGCAACCCATTAGCAACAAACGGGCGCGTGGAGTTCGCATAGCCATGCATAAGATTCCGGAGCTGGGCGGTACTATAATACACGTGGAAAGCTTAAATGGAACGGGGGAAGGGTGCAAAACCATTTCTACTTATCAGCCAAAAAATAGCTTCATAGGTGCATAAATTGACTTTCTAGGTGGACACGACGCATCGAATAGTCAATTTGGGCATTATCAATTCCCTGAATACGAGACATGAGCTGGTTTTGCAATTGCATTGCAACGTTTGCCACCGCCTTTCAGCCGCACCTGCAAAAGCCATATCTCGAGAATCCACATTCGATAATATTGTCATCGCGAATGGTCTGGAATTCGTGCCTGAGCTCCATGGATCGTAATTTCCGAACGAAACCCTGCGAACAACTTAACGACTGGACTAGGCCCAAATAGTGTTCTAGCCTGAGCATTAACTCAGCTATCAACAGGGCCTAAACCAGTCCTGTCGCTTGATCTAAACGCTTTTGGGAATTACCGCCATACCAACGCAGATACAAACCCAGAGTCTGGCGCCTCAAAAGTAAGTTTTCTTTGGTGGCATCGGTTGGCGGGCGACGTTGCAAGATGACCTCTAAAGGGGTTATTCCTGTGTGCGACGCGGACGCCTAACGCATATAAAGTCTAGAATTCTCGTGAGACAAATGATTTTCTCGAAAGACTGGCATTCTCAGTGAACTTTTCTAGGTTTCTTCAACCTAATTGTGATCAATTGGAGAAAGGGCCTTGACAGGTTTCTAGTCACTCGTTAATATATATACACCCCGACGCTCGTTTAACGTTTACACGCTCCTGGAAAAATCAAGCTTTTCTTCTTACTAATACGCAATCCTTGTTTTTATAATTAATTATTTCCTCTTTACCGGTTTACGATGTTTATTTTGAAGAGTTTGGTGGCCGTCTTGGCCTTGGGATTGGTTCAAGATACCATTGCCGCTGCAGCTGCACCCGCATGCTGTACGAACAAATGCGGCAAGTCAGTCCAGTTGGCGAAGAATGGAAAAAAGGATTGTTCCGCACTTCTGATCAAGACTGTGACTCCCACTAGGTATGTCAAAGAATATACACTATTAGTCCATTCTATTACTCTATGTAGATGTCGGGCTGGTCTAGCAAGATCCAACAAGGATTGCTAACATCTGTCACATAGAACCACCACCCATTTTAGGACGACGACTATCACTCGAAAGACCACCCTCTCTAGAACGATAACCTTGACTGGAGGTTCAACTGTTACCAAGGCAGTGACTGATACTACAGATATCACGGTCACTACTATCGCCTCAGAGACCGATTATAGCACCAGCACATCCCTCGCAACAGTCGAAGAAACAGAAACTGTGACGGATATCTCCACCGCGGTTGAAACTAACACTGAAACAACCACGGTTCCTTACGTCTCGAACTCTTTCATCAAGCGTAACGCAAAGCCTACCAAGCCAGCCTACGCATCTGCTTGCGATAATAGTGCATATACCCGTGCTTGCTCCTGCATTGGTATAAAACCCAAGACAACCACTAGGGCAGCCGTCGTCAAAACCGTTTACAAGACTAGAACTGCCTACAAAACCAATACGGCGTATACAACCTTTACTGTCTACAAAACCAACACAGAGACACGTACCAGCACTGCCCCTGCTGAAACACGTACCGAAATAGTCTCTCTGACTACATACACGACTATTATCTCTGGTACTGCCATTACTGCCACCGAAACCCTGACTCTCACGGAGTCTGCTACCACCACTGAAACAACAGTTGTTGTGACCACTCAAACCGCGGCTCCAGTACCACCCACATGTGTCGGGAAAGGTTTCTCATTTCATCTCACTGGTAGCGTCGTAAATGCCAATGGCTGGGGTATGGGTATGATAAATTCTATCGGTCAAGGAATCTACGTCCGTTTGTTTAGCGGAGGCAGCTCGGCAATGGTGATCGACGGTGATAACGGGCTTCAGAGCTGGTACGGCTCTGATTACCAATATGTTATTCTAACTGGAAGCCTCCCGACCAAAGTCTGGATCAAATCCGCCCGATCGAATGTCTCATACACATGGCAACAAACCGCACTGACATGCGGCATTGGAAGTGGTCCGAATTATGATCTCACCTGTAAATCCGCGACTACGACCTACTTGGTTACGTTTTGCCGCAACCCAACTTACTTCGAATGGGAGCTTTACGTTTATACTGATGTTAGTCAGTTGGCTGGGATGGTATGTTCGAACGATGGTGCGATTAAAGCGACATGTATCCCCTAGTTTCAGTTAGCCAGCCTTCTCTTTCCTATAATCTGCATAGCTCTTTAGAATATATAAACATCATGGGGATGCTAGTTTTTGCGTGGCCTGTACTTATACTTAGTAATACTAGTAATTGAAATGTCGATGTATACATTTTGATTAATTGATTCTTCTCGTTTACGAGATAAATTGATTTCGTTCTTCGACCAATATGTTTGAATTTAGTATTTGCACTCAGTCAATGCACAGCGCAAATTTAAAGGTCCTATGAGTGCACATGGTGACACATTTGCACACGTGACTTCTTTTGACATGAAAATCCAAGCAGTTTCGGACCTAGGTCACTATTTCTAGACCTCGGCTTCTCCATTCGATTGGTCCAAAAATCAATCCATTTGGCTTAGAAATGGGCTCAGAATCACGGTAGACGTGTTTTGACCATCGCAGCCTGGTGGAGGTTGTTACATCACACACACAAAAATGTGTTGACAACGTGGTATTCTGAAGCTCACCAAAATAAACAACTTGGAGCTCCAACTGCAACTTCTCCCCTCCATTATCTACTATCTTCAACTTCAACTCATCAACTCGTGCCTATCTAGGTGCATATTTATATACCTATCTCTGTTTCAAAACCCAACCGAAATGTCCCGTCCTTTCTCCGGAATCCTCCAACCGGGAGGCTCAATGGGCGCCAACCCAGCCGCCCCAAGGCAGCTGTCCCTCACCGAGGAGCTCGAACGCCTCGAACAGTCGATAACCCTGACAATGCAAGAAATCGACCGAAATTTCTCACAATGCCATCGAATAATCACACACTCTATAATGCCTATTGTCGATAAGTATGCCGAACACTCTCGCGACGTATGCAACAACATCAGTTTTTGGAAATCTTTCTTTGAGGATTCCGCAGAAATCGCGCTGGGGGGTTATGGACAGCAAGAACCTGCCCCCGCGGGGGGTATGTCGCCACAAAACGAGACTACCTATGAAGAAAGCCAAACTCAAGGAGAATATGGGCAAACCGAAGTTACAGTTACACAGGGCATGGATATGACTGTTGATCATGAAGGGGATGAGACGGAGCAGAATCAAGAGAGGACTATCACATTGGACGAATCCGACTCCTCGGACCATGAGTTCGAAGAAGAAGAATCCATTCTGGCTTCGATGAACTTGGGTAAAGCACGACGCCCAGAGTCTCGCCCAAAACAAGCTACGAAGTGGGCTGCTATGCAATCGCCGTTTGATAAACTTAAGCAGGAAGTCAGAAGCCAGCAGCAACAGCAGCAGCAGAAGGCGACATCACGTAGATTGTCGATTGATTCGATGGACGAGGATGAGTCTATGACCCCACCACGGCTCCCAGCAGGTATGGAAGGTATAAGCTTCGATACAAAATCATCGTCAGCCTTCGATCCGCCTACCACCCCAGAAGTACTCCGCCAAAAGCTATCTCGTCGTCCCGTAGCATCCTCCCGAGTTCTTGATTCCTTCGAAGATGACGACTCTCCTTTCGCTCCACAAACTACCCGTCAAGCCCCGACTTCCAAACTGCCAACAAGAAGAGCAGACCCAATTCTTCATCAAACTGCAGATACAAACTGGCGTATCCAAGCTACTCCGCACAAAACACCCCGCAAGTTCGCCACGGCAACAGTAACCCCAAAACACCGGGTTATCCCTTCATTCGAGGACTCTTCTCCCATGTCGTCTCCACCTCCGCCACAGATCACCACTGTATTTTCACCTGTTAACACAATAAAACGTTTTAACATCCAACCGCGCCCAAAAGCAGGCACTCAGCCTACCTACCAAGCATATAAAGATCCAAAGACTCCCATTACTGCAAAGAAACGCTGGGACACATTAGACCCTAAAACAATGACAGCTAAAGACCTATTAATGGATGACGAATTTGATTTTGACGACGATGAGGATGATTTCAAGAAGTTGGGTTTCAGCCCACCCGTTACAATGCAGTTTACTCTACCACCTTCCAAATTGATGCAAACACCCGCGAAAAAGGCATCGAAGATGCTGGTGAATGATATCATGAAGTCTGCTGGGTTCAGGGCGGGGTTTGCTGGAGGTGATGATACACAAACTACAACGGATAATTCATTAGGAGATAGCCCGAGCATGTTTAGAGGGAAGAGCCCGGATTTTGATTTCGACGATTAAAAGGTCGCCGAACTTGCCACTCAGCGGTTTGAATGGCTAGACATCTTGTTTCTTCTACCAGTATCTATATTTATGGACATTTGAATATAGTGACTCGAACCATACCAAGATTTACAGAATCCTTTTTTTCTTTGTTGAATGTAACAAAGATCCACAGTAAGCAAGCACCAATAAACTATCTAATATCTAATATCTATAATACCCCAGATGTAGTCATATCTTGGAAATTCTATCTTTATGAATGTATCAAACGCCTGAAACGCACCAGTAGAACCTCCCGGGTATATCCTCACAGTGTGGAAGAAGACGAAAAAGAATATCCCCACAAAAAGCCCTTAAAGTCTAAAGATAGTGTATGAACAAAAACGCGGGTAGCATAAAAACCCCCGGCCACTCATTTACTCTGGCTTGAATAGCTCTGGGAAGACTGTCGGCAGTTCTTTCAAATTCCTGATTTGAAACCTCGACGCCTTAACCGCAGGTTCCGGTAGCCCCTCTTCTACGAAATGAGCTGTTCTCGTCCATCCAAACTCGGTTGCACCTTTGCAATTCGACGGGCTATCGTCGACGAAGAAGCACTTCGACTTATCCGTCACACTAGCTTCCTTCATCGCTACATTATTTATATAACCCCAAGTTAGCATTCATTCCCATACCTTCAGAAAAGTACAAAACCCAACAGATCATATAATCCAAAAAATTAACATACCCTTCAGAAACGCCTCCTCCTTCGGTTTACAAACCAACTTCTCCTCCGCATAATCACAATACGTAATCCCTTCAAACAAATCATCCAACCCAAGTATCTTCACAACCCTCTTCCCATGATTGACATACGCATTAGTAAACAACCACATCTTGACTTTACTCTTATCCACCTTTTCCAACAAAATTCTAAGCTCCGGATCGGGTTTCAGAATATCTTCTAATGGCAGAGCATCGTCTACTTCGGTATTGTATTCTAACGCATCAATCTTGTGGTGTCGGATTAATCCGTCCAGCGCAAGACCGTAGTCTTTGTAATAGCGTTTGTGAAGGGTTATAGCGTCAGCGCGGTCGAGAGAGAGGTGGTGTTCGAAATAGTCGTGGATGAGGAGCTGCATTCGGTCGTGGATTTTGAAGTTGCGGGAGTAGAGCTGGAGGTATGCAGCGGGTGTCAGTTCACATTTTTACCCTAGATGGGATTACGGATGCGATTTATGGAGGCATACACAATTATCGATATCAAAGAAAAGGACGAGGCGCTCGTCCGGCGTGGAGGAGGAAGGTAGTGATGCCATGGTTGCGATATCGATTTAGGCGTATGAAACGGGAATAAATCTAGATTGTTTGAAACAACCGATGTAGATTGCAAAACAGATGGATTCTAATACAATAGTGACGAAACAACTGCAATGATATTATTTATGAAGATGTACAAGCTATTGTCGCGAAACGAGAAAGAAGAGGATAAGAAGAAGAAGAGGAAGTAGAAGCTACTGTTTGTATCTGGTGAAGCTGTGTTTGTGGTGTTGGATATTTCGTCACCAACCCGTTTTTATATTCCGCGAACGGCGAGCTCGCTTTGTCGCGGAATGCCGATGTTTTGAGTCACAGGCGACGACAGCTTAATAATCGACATTGCGAAGTGCGTCTACTTTAAGAAGGTGGATTGGCATCTTGCATTAGTCTAGTTGTAACTGAAGCATGAATTGAGATGGCCGGGATCATACTACCCGATTGAGACCCATGGCCTCTTCAATTGGTCGACTAGGTCGACTCGTTGTCAACGTTATTGTAGGATGAGCTTAGCATATGAGAGATTTAGGATTTTTCGGTACAACTTCGTTCATCGTATTCCCATTTCCCGCTTTGGTACATCTATGTATACCCAGGTACATATCTAGCTCAAACACTTAAGTATACATACTTACATATCGGCTCATCAGTCATCATTGCGGTTGCGTAATCGACGGTCGACAGGCTAACATGCGAATTAAAAAAAAAAAAGACGACGGGGGGCGTGCACGCCTGCCAAATACAAAGTCCACCAGAACTAATCCCGATGTTTACTGGAGCTACTTCTTCGACGACGACGAAGTTTGTCCATAAACTCCCCTGCCCATCCTCCATACCCAAATCTTTCCATGTCAGGGTCATCGGCCTCTTGGGCTCGCATCGTCTGAATCTTAACTTCTTGTCTTCGCTTCGAAGTTTTCTTCACCTCTTGTTTGATGTTTCCCTTCGTCTCCTCTGGCTTCTTCGTGTCCTTTTTGGCTTCTCTACTGGCCTCCTTCTTGGCTTCCTCCTTGGCTCCCTTCTTAACTTCCTCCTTAGTTTCTTCAACTAACTTGACTTCTTGCGTCACTTGAATACCTTCACTGGCTCCACCCGCTCTATTCACTTCTACTCTGCTTATTACCGGTTGATTAATCTCCCTCTGAACTTCCGCTAGCGTCTCCGACTCCCGAGCCGCCTGTGCTTTCATCATCTCCCTAATAGCGACTGCTCTCCTCATATCATTAGGCGGATCCACTCTCCTGACCTCCTTGCTAACTTGCTTCTTAACCCGCATCCCCCATGGCACAATCCCGCTACCATTAATAAGCCCAATATTCTGCATATTTTCATATCCTCGTCGGCGTTGTAGTTGTTGTTGTTGCTCCATATGCTGACGCCTAACGCTCTCACCACGGGGTTTTGACTAGTTCACCGTGGCAGGTCCTGGCTTCACATTCCCTCCACCTGCTCCATTTGCTGGTGTTGGCTTCTTTTGCCTAAAGCATAAGAACTCAGCTCGAGTGTTCCTCCTCAATCCCATCAAAACATTCCTAAGGTCCGCCAGCTCCTTATGCAGTGCGGCACGACTTGGTCCGTCGCTTCGTCTATCTAACTCAACGTAAATCTCACTTTGTAGCTCTTGGGCTCTTTGCGTAACGAATTGCCCTAGTGTCTGGTTCACAAACTCAACATCAAGTGTAGCCTGCAAGAGGGCGCTAAGACCGAACTTGGTGGTTGGATGTGCTTTGAACGTATTGAGCATGGCGAAGGAAAACGACTCGAGCATGTACGATACTATGCGTTGTAGCAAAGTCGGTGCCGTAGTGACAACTTGTGAGTGAACGAGAACAATTTGAAGGAGAGCCTCGTGAATGTAAGGGGTGACAGCTGCTGCTTTGTTTTCAGGGATCCAGTCTGGTGATATCAAACCGGTCCTGATGGTGTCCTCCAGCGCTCCAACACGTGGTCTTGTATAGGCTTCAAATAGCTGGTTGTCGATCTGTGCGAGAGTCTCTTTGACGAGCTGTTGAAGAGGTTTATTAGTCTTCCATTTGTAATGCATGATGCAGTGAAACTTACATTGGAATCTTCGGTCAACGGGATACCGAAGGCATTCTCGAATTGTTCGAGCAGTTGTGGAACAGCATGAGCTTTAATTTCTTGAAGATTGCTCAGAGTCAATAGCACTCTCACATTCTATTTTTATAACCATTAGTATGCCAGTATCCGCGACGACGCATGGAAATGTACTTACCGAATCATTCTTATCAACAGAGAATGCCAAACCAGACTGTCCAGCTGTCGTCGATGTAGCATTGTTGTTGACAGTTTCTGCAACTTCGTCTTCCTCTTGGTTGGGATCTTTTGGCGGCTTGACCGAGTTCTGATAGCACCCGCTCAGAGCAGCATACAAAGATCGCCGAAACTGTTGTCTAACAAATGCCACCAACGAAGCGGCGGGAGGTGTAATAGCTGGATTATCAGGTCCAGCCTTCGCTCTATTAACATGAAGTATTTCCTGCAATCCCATCACAATGGCTCTCTCAACAGCTAGGAATTGGCTAGGAAGCTTGGTGATAGCTTTATTCTGCGATGATCGAGTCCAATCTTCGAGCACCTTGAAGTTCGAAGAATCCTTCTGCCATGCGAAGCAGACACCATGTACAGCCCTTTCTCTAGCGGTGGCAACCATCATGCGGAGTTGATCGGTAGCCCTTCTTCCAATCGGGAGTTTAGCCAACTCTGCGGCTGCTGTTCCCACCATACCAAGGATCTGGGCGAGATAATAAGTTCCAGCAACCGAGTTGCCATTCGGGGGTAGAAACGCATAACCATCAGTAGGTAAGTTGGAAGATCGTTTTTGAAGTTGTAGCCAGGAATCTGGGGAGTGCCCTGTATTCATAGTGGCAGACATTGGAGTTTGTGGAACCCCAGTTGAAGGGGTTGGGGGTAAAGAATCAGGTGACATCGGGGTGGTTGGCGACATAAGAGCACTGATATCCTCAATTGGGGGGCTGTTGAAGAATTCTATAATCGATGATACCAAAGAAGTGAGCAAGTCTTCACCGCCCTTCCTTAACTGAGCGACCTTATCCTCGGTCAGGTGGTGGTGTTTAAAGCCCGCTTCGTCGTGTCCGATTGGTAAATTCTTCTGCGTCTTGCCATCAATGAAATTCTGAGCGATAGTCCAGAAGCCCACGAGTTCCCCTAAAAGGCCTTCGCTTGGAGACAGTGTAGCTGTCATGATCGACTTGAGGAGCTCCCAGAACGCCATTACCAACGGTGTGTCATAGCCGTCCGCATTACGACGCATAGGAGACCTCAGGTAATGAGCGTAAACATCGGGAGCCGGTTCGGGTGCAACAGCGACTCGTCGTCGTAATGCTAAACCGGTAAAGTTAGTGTTTTCCCAAGTCCATACAGATGAAAATCTCCGTACCTTCGATTTCCATTCGAGAACGCTCGAAACTAGTAGTGATCTTGGCTTTCAAAGCATCGTAACGTGAGATCAACCAAACCCAAATTGGATTCTCTTCCACTCCAAGTTCAAGGAGGATACTATCTTCTAGTTAGCCAACGATCCAAGCGTCAAATAGTGGGAGTTCATCATACGCAATTAGATCAATGAAATTATCATCCTGGCTTGTCTCCATAAGACGCCGGTATGTTTCTCGTTTGTAATCTTTGATCACTTCCTCGACCTCGGCCCACATCCTCTCGGCAATAATAATGCGGTGGATATCAAGCTCTGTTGGCGGTCTTCCAGGGACTAGGATGGCCCTTGCGGACTCAACTGTAGATTTTGCTTTAAAGTACTCTTCCTTCAGCGTATCATAGTCCTTACGTTTGATAGCGTCCACAATGATACCACTCATGTCAAAGACTTCCCGGTATTTGTCGATACTCTTTAGCAAAAATCTGAGTTTATCTTCTCTTTCTTGGTTCTCCATAACAGGCCCAAAAAGTGTCTCAGCTTGCGCCTGGGCGGCATTAAGTGGTGTTCGGATAGTCTTCAAGCCCCATTCTTCTTCCTTGATGAGCCTGAACGTCGCCTCTTCTTCTCCTTCATAATTTATTGTCGTGCTCCCTGCCCTCATCTCCTTATAAACGGAATCGATGGTACTTTTAGCCAGCACAAATCTCTCGAAGTTATTCGATACAAGCAACTTAAGCGCCGATGACTTCTGATTGATACTGTTGGTCAGGTATTCCAATCCATTCTGCAGGTCGTCTACATCACTGTACATGTGGACGTCTCGTAGGAAATCGCCCGGAGAGAATGTTTTCGAGGAGATTAGATACTTGTTACCTAGGCTCCCGATTTCATTAGCTCCTAACCAATATCTTTATCCCACCAACAACAACAAGGGAAAGTCTTACGAAGTCTCATATTATTCTCGACATTTCCTATTTCATTCTCTCTCAAGATGGCAACAACCGAGTTACTCTTCCCTAACGGATCAGGTTCATCTAAGAGGGTATTGTTCTCTCCACCAGGGACGCTGAGACCCGCTCCGGCGATCTTCCTAATACCACCATCCTGCAAGATCGAATAGCGACCCGACCCGGTCCTGCCATGCATGTTTCCAGAGTTATTCCTACCATGGCCTCCGACGGCTTGTCTAGCCGGACTTCTAGCGGGACTACGCTGGAGACGGCTAGCGGGGGAGCCGGATCGTGTTCGTTCTCGGTCAGATGGTGGACCTCGTGGTTGGTCGACAGTATCTTGTTCATCCCATTCTCTCGGGAACATTTCATTCATATGGTAGTGTTTTAAGATGGCCTGATTGGTCATCTGGGGTAGTTTGATGGCCTGCATTGTGGCAGCGGTTGGCGAGCTTGGAGCTCAGACGCGATACGTGGAATTGTTGTTAAGTCGGGGGTGATAATGGTCTTGATGATGTAAGGGTGATGAATGATGGCAGAAGGGTAAGGAGAGCTTTCGGAGGTTTTAAGGCGGTGAGATCAATTAATTGTTTGTTGATGGAGATGCGACGGCGTGGATGGCGCATGGAGTCGAAGGAGGTGGCCGTGGGGAGCTTAAGTTATCCCAAAAAGGAAGCGTCCAGGCTGGTCTACAACGCGCCACATCCATTTTTAGCCTGTTGTATTTTGGTTCTCAAATCCCATACACTTTTGTTAGTATCGTGTATAAATCGACAGACTAAATATGGATACAAGATACAATTATATCAAGAGCTGCAGACTGGACTGGACTAAACTACAAACATTATATCATTGTATTGTTTTGACGTTCACTATCAAGTAGGTCTCAATTCTTATTCTATAAAAAGGTCTAGCTATACTAGCTATATCCAAGAAGCACTCATGCACCGCTGAAGAACACAGTAATAATACAATGGGTATCCGCTATAGAGGCAAATAATTTGACGTCTAATTCGACTCCGAATAGTACTCCCCCTCACTTGAAGACATGCTTTCGTCTATACTGTCCTCTCCATGAACCCCAGAACCATCTTCAGAGTCAGTATTACTCTCATCCGACACATTATCTCCTCCATTTCCTTGCTCGTCCGAGGTTTGGGTTTTCTTCTTCTTAATCCTAATAACCCTCTCCCGGTCCAACAGTTTTCTATAATACCGTTGCTGCCAGATTGGAACCACCGGCCCTGCAGCTTCTTGCCTCCAATCGTCTCTCTTCCATTTCTGTAGTCTTCTAAATACCCTCAAATTTGGTTCTTCAGGTATTTTCTTTTCTAAATCTTTAATCTCCTCCTTGATCTTTTCTTTTCGGCCCTTCCAACCACCAAGGATACGCCAAAGTCTCTTTTCTTCAAGCTTCGAATGAAGTTTATCAACTGCGTTCAGGTACTTCTCGTCCTTATTTATGTAGTGTAATTCGTCGAGTATGTCCTTTCTTTGCCTTGGTTTCAATGCTTTGATCGGAGGCGCGTGCAAAAAACTCTCGAGATGGATCGGTGTATCAAGATAACTCGCCATATCGCTTGCCGTTATTCTTCCATTCCCGTTTCTTGGTTCTTCATCTTCTGTCGCTTCCTCCTGCTCTTCGTCTTCGTCTTCGTCGTCTTCGTCTTCCTGGCTATTACTCAATTCTTCTTCCTCCGGTGCATCTTTATTATAGTTGACTTCGTCTTCCTCATCCGTCTCCCATCGTTCATCCTCTTCCCCATCGTCCAGTCGCCTATCCTTTCCACCTTTAATCGAATTTGTATAGAAACCTAAATCTTCGAAAACCTTCAACTTCTCTTCCACCACATCATACTCCAAAAACGTAGGCTTTTCTCCCTTTCCCTTTTTCTCAATAGCTGAGTCGGACCCGATGACCCTCAGCCCAAGCTTTCGTGGCAGTCGTCTCCAATACTCTTCTGAATTAATAGGCATACCCAACATCTGTAATGCCGCAAGGACATCCTTGCATACAACTTCTCGGGATTTTTTATGGTGAGTTTGTGCATTCTGCAACCTTGAGTTGGCCTGAAAGATTATAACTTGTACAACTCTCCGGGTAATTGATATCACGAGGGTCTCAAGATCCTCGAGTGTTTGTTTGTGGATCGCAGAACTCCCCAACTTTCCCTCATAGACTGAAGCCATGAATATTCTAGATCGCATGTATTAGCCATGATCTTCATAAAACCTTAGAATGAGTATCCATGCATACCTCTCTGACAGCCTCAGCCAAGTTACTAAATCAAAAAGTCTTTCCTTCTTAGCCTCAAGCTCCCCACATACTTCTCCTTCCTTCCTCTCAGTTTCTAGAGCCATTTCCAAGCTCACTGCATCGCCACCATCCCACTTCCCCTTGTTCTCTTTCTCCTCCAATTTCTCCAAATACCCCCTCATCCTCTCTGCTTCTTCATCCAAAGCCGTCTCACACTCCTCGCCGACCTCCACCGCAGCCGGAATGTCCTCCCCGAGCAGAAGCTGAAACCTCGACCTCTGATTCGCCATCAATCGTCTCTCCAACTGATTCTTCAGAACATCCAAATACCCCTGTACTTCAATCACACTCTTACTTCTAACTTCCTCCGCCAACCCAACAGCATTATATCTTCCCACCCTCGGCAATGCCCTGAAGAACCTTTCTTTCTCCCCAGAACTCCAGGGCACCCCACATACCTCTGACGCGGGGAAATGTTCATCAGGGTACACCGTCCGTGTTCTAGCGTCTCTAATAGCTTCATTGAGTAGTTCACGGTAAGGTTCATTAACAGGGGCTAATGTCTTCCCACGTGATTTCTTCTCCGGGGCTACAATCGTAGGATCCTTTAGTGCCGCATGTTTCAACCGTCGAATAGTATTCGCAGCTTCTTTATGCTGACGCACTGTAAGTAATGCCGTGGGCTCTTCCTCGGACTCTTCTCCGCCAGACTCCCCCTCCTCCTCCCCGGAAGAGTATGCATCTTCGAAATAAAACCTTCGTCGCGGGTTCCCTTTCCCCAGGGTTGTAGGAACTTTGAGAACCGCTCCAACTCCACTATCAGAATCCACATCCATCTCTTCCACTCCTACTCTGTCGTCCTCATCATCGTCATCTTCATCGCCTATTCCAGCCTGTTGCAAAGCTATCTTAACCCTCTTCCGTATACCAAACCCCTCTACTTCTTCAACCTCATCAACTTCAATCACCCGCTTCCCCGCCAAAACAACTTTAGACCCATCAGAAACAGCCCCACCCTCCCCGGTATCAGTATCAGTGGCAGTAGTAGTAGGGAACCCTAATCCAGCATAGAACTGCTCATCATCATCATCATCACCAACATCGTTAAACTGATCTACCACTCGTCGATCACTATACCCATCAAGATACCCGCCAGTAGCAGTAATACGAGAAGAAGAAGATCCAACCATATCCCGCAGAGACCAAAAACCCCTCCCAGGGCCTTTTCAAAAGTGGGGTACGGGGAACCGTATCACGAAAAGATTCAAGGCCCTTCCTTTCCACCCCTATTTTATTTTCCTCCTCCTTCTCTTTCGTTGTGTTTCCGTGTCGTAATATATTTGTTTTTAAGACAACCTAATATTAAACAACCAAGCAAAAAAAAAAAAAGAATTTGCCTGCAGAATAAAATAAACTTCAAGGCGGCGGGTCGCGTATCTTTCTTCCTGCTAGTAGCTCCGACGATAACGGCTCGTAGCGATGCATGCAGCGTAGCGTGGGGTGGTTATTTTTTTATTTTATTTTTTCCTGTCGGTAACGTTGCCGTTGATTCAGGGTCCTTTTTTGCCGGTTGGCGGGTGTGTGCTTTTTGGGATGTAATGATGATGGTGGTGATGGTTAAAGTGAGTTTGGTTGGCTGAAAGAGGTGGTGGCCTAGCACGGCAGGATAATAGTAAAAAAAGCGGAGGAGGAGGGTGGTTTTGATTGATAACTCTTTGATACCCGTTTGATTAGGGTAAAAAATCGCGACCTGTTAGATTCCGATTTCCGCAACGTGAGACCTCTCTCGCTCTCTCTAATCATAACTATAGTTCCTCAGCATTAAGCCCTCTTCTCTCGACGGACGAAAGATCCGTCCGTATGAACGGAAGCAAGTGTGTAAATGGAAAATTGAAAATGAAAATGAAAAAAATGTCTGAGTGTAAAATCTAGGCACCAGACGAATATTAATGCCCACCATTCAAAAGAGGACTTTTGTAATTGAGAAGCAAACTCTCATAATACGTATCATATCAAGTGTGTATTGTAAATCTCAAGCTTTCAAACTTTTATGTCAGAAGGAAAACCCGCAGTTTGTTCCGCGCGCCCGGGTTCGTGACGGTTCAGGTTAAGCTTAAAACGGATCAGCGACCAACGGGTGGCAGGCACACAGCTTAAGTCTAAGTACAGTATGTGAGCTAACCTACTTCACCACCAACACAAATCAGATCGTATCATGAGAGACAAAAACACGGCAACCGGCGAGCGGGACACGAACAAGGACAAGCCGCGCAGTTCGGGGGGAAGGTGAGGGAGGGTTCAGTGGCCATAAGTTTTCATTGATGTTGAGCGGCCGCTTCCCCGGTAGCTATCATATGACCGACTGACTTCCTCTCACAATCGATGCCATGTCTTGAACATAATTCATATGCTCAACATAGCCCATCCGCCCGGTCAGCCAGTTATATTTTTAGTTCATGGGCACAAATCATCGATCAATCCAAGGATGAATTCTTCACATGGCCAAAATGAATCTACAGTTGCGAAAAGTGGAGTACCCAACAATCTAAAAAGCCGCTAAGTTATAATCTAGCAGCTCCATTTATTTTCGTCGATGTAGTGTAGTAAATAGGTACAGTAGTGGAAGACACTGTAGTATAGGTCCTTTGTTCCTCCCAAAAAGAGACGCACTCTGAATCAGAGTCCTCCAAAGCAAACGAAAAAAAGATTGACCGCCAGCCCCCCCCAATAGAATGAATCCCAACCAGCAAGGACAAATGAAAAGAGAATCGATGGGCCTTCCTCTAACAAAATCCTTGAACCAGTCAAAGAGACATGTTAACGAGTGTGAGTGTGAGTGTGTTTGTGTGTAAAAGGAAAAACAACCTTTAGCGTTAAAAAATAAATGCAAGAAAAGAGAATGTTCATAAGCATTCTCCTTCTGTCAAACGCTGTTATACAGTATATAGGTATATATGGTATGGTATGGGTAAAACAATAGCAGAACAAGATTGAAAAAAAAAGGGAACGAGAAAAGAGACAGTAACGCCAGCTCCCAATTGAAAATAGCAAAATAACGAATAAACAAAAAAACTCGAAGGAATAGCGTAAGGAGTGTGTGTGGAGCTGGTTGTTTCAACTATCAAAGTAGAAATCAAGCAGGCAGCGCAAAATATCAAAAACCCAAATTTTGATCCCTATAAAGAACTCCGTCATGAAATGCCTGAATGGTGGTGTACAAATGAGACGAGATAAAATGAAAAAACCGAATGTCGAAAGCGGTAAATGAGATATTGAATAGCAGTCGAAATAAATTCAGAAAAACCACGCTAGTTTTAGGTTCGTGGTCACCATCATGGGATTTTTTGTCGTGAAATAGACTGTTCGTTCCGCCCTCAATATTGTAGGCAGGCCGTTTCGGGGACTCCAAGTTAAAATTTGGAGAAGACACACGCTAAAATCGCAAACCAAAGAAAATTCGAAGACCGAGGTCGAAAAAAAGAAAAGAGTATTCAGGCTCGTGACAAAGCAGTTATTGAGTTTTTTCTGCCGACTGGACGAACATCCGTCGCAGATTGTGAATGAAGTGCTAATGGTGAGTGTGGGATCGGAATTGGAATTTGAGGAACTGGTGGGACGCCTTGTTGATACGGCGATAGCATAAATGACATTTTTGGGAGGTTGCCTTTGGATCCATCCGGTAATTTTGGAAGCGGGGCGGATGGTGGTGGGTGAAGAGGAGGTCCGTGAACCGATGCGGAAGAGGAAAGGCTTCCAACAGATCTTCGATTCTGATTTTGCGACTTTTCCTTTCGTGGTGTAACTGGCGCCGCGGCGAGTGAAACCGGTCGCGGGCGACTTTTCTTGATTGGAACTGGGGGTGGAGATTTGGGGTTAGGTAATGAAGTTGATAGAAGCTGAAGAACATGGTCTGGCGAAGGTGGCGCAGATGATTTACGATTTCGTCTAGCACGTCGGTGGGCAAGGTCCACAGGGGACGGAAGATCCCCGACAGACGATCCAGCTGAAGAATATCGTTTAGGAATAGAGGGAACAGGAATTGGAATTGGTGGCGGTAGGTTCCCACGGCTGCGACGTCTTGCGAAAGACGATGATGAAACCTGTGTGAGTGTGGGCGACGGCGGGCGCTCTGAGGCAGTGTGCTCAGTCCCAAGCGTTGTCGAAACAGGTCTCGATCTAACTCGTAAGTCCGTTGACGAGTACGAATGCGAAGTGCTAATTATCGAGAATCGCTTGTCAAAAACATCTGGCACAGGACATCTCTCTGGGCTAGTGTTCAGGGAAATTTGCGATCCTCTTCTTTCGGATGATACTGAGTTGTTGGAGTTGGTTCGAAGGCTGTCCAACACCAAACCGTCTCGAGATATCGCGGTTGATGCCGATGTAGCAATTTCGTCGGATCTGCGCCCACTGGTCGAGTTCTTCCTTGAGCTCGCAGGTGTCTTTAAAGGGAAGTACTCTTCTTCCATAATGGTCCCAGCCTTCGAGGCTGGTTGGGGGTGTTCCTCAATGCTGGGTCCTCCCAGCCTTGAGATCTCCTTTCGAATTTTAACCAACCAGTCCTGCATTTCTTCTGCGCCATCAAAGACTAAGAGGACGACATGAGCATCAAATCGGGCCTTTGGCATGGCTCTCGAGATGAGACTCGGTCGTCGCTCGTCGGGTGTAAGTGGAGGGACTTCCATACCTCCAGATGTGATCTGAAGAACGAAATGTTTTCCCTCAAAAATATCGGTAGCAAAGGTAAGACTGTCGGCTCGAAGTTTTAAAACCCTCTCTGGCTCCCTATCATAAGACCCTTCACTAGGGTATTGGATCAGAAGACCAGGCGCAAGCACAAAAAGCTTTTGTGCCCATGCGACCTCAAGCGACCTCGATAGCGATCCCTTCCGCACAAACCTGCTCCTTCGTTCCGAGCGAGCATCATGCTCTTGTGAATATTTGACGATCAGCTCTGGTGGTATCAGTGGAGCCGTGAGAACGCCAGATTTGATAGCTTGTTCGAAAGCGACAAAAAGGCAAGGACTGTCTGTCGAATTCCGTGATGTAGGTGGCGGTAAAGGTGTGTTTAATTCTGAAGGTGGAACGAAGAGTGCTTGAGAGAAGCGTGAGGCATGGGGAGTAGATGGGAGCGATGGTGCTTTGGATGCAGGAACTTCGGATTCGAACTTGCTCTCCCTCTTGAGCACAGGTGCAAATTCAGCCTGTTCCAATGCAGTGGTATGAGGAACCTTCTTAGTCGGTGAAGACCTCTGTGATCGGAATGGTCTGAAGAAGTAGCTCAGAAAACCCGAGCCACTCTTCTTTTCTTTCGAAGCTGTCACGGGCATGGTATCTGGTAATTGTGATAGATGATGTGTCGAATGTTTGTCATGGCTAGAACTGGAAAGCTTGATAGCTGAGGCCTTCCTACTTATGCCAAAGGACTTTCTCGACTTCGCTGGGCTAGCATGTGTGATGTTGGTGGCTGTATCCATCTCGGATCCTGCAAATGCAACTGTGGCCGTCGTACTCATCTTGACGGACACTGTCATAATGCGTTGGTTTTGTCGTTGACCCAGAAAGGCAGTCTTCCTTCCCTTCGAGTGCTTTCTTTCTGCTATTAGCAATTACTAAGATTGAATATCGTATGTCCAAGTCGGAAAAGCCATCGTAATGCAAGCCAGTAATGATATGGTATGTTGTTTCTTCTCTTGTCCTTCGTAAGCCCGTTTTGAGTAACGTGGAAAAGGAAAAACTGGAGAAGTCCTAAGGCTTTTATTGTATATTCCCTCTTCTTACTCGCTTCCCAAAAAGCCCTTTTGCTAGCACCCTTTCGCCTAATATTTTTGGAGGAGCCGGGACGCGCTGGTGTTTTTACCGAAAGGCCCAATCCTAAAGTGGACAGACAAACCGATCCAGTTAATGCTGTTCAGTTTGCTCAGCTGAGCAGTGCAGAGCAGGCAAAGGGCAGGGTTCTGTTGTGTGAGTTCGCCTTGTGGATTAGTCGGAAAATCCGTCCTAAAGGCGAAGCTTAACCGGCTTGACCGTTGTAACTTTTCAATCTTGATATCCAACCTGGTTTTTTGTCGAGACGTTGGAGAATTCAGTCGAGTGTATCGTAAAAAGCGGATAAAAGAAAGAGAAATAGAGAAAAGTATGCAATGCGGCTTCGGGGTGGAATGATATATTATACCCGAGGGCCTGTGATACAGCAAAGGGATCCCTTCTCCCTTTGCTCGTTTTTTTGACCGCTAGTGTTTTGGGTGGTGTGTGGGTGTGCTTTCCGGCTGTATATCAGTCTTGACTGAAGGTTCAAAGGAGGTTGTATCGCCTTTTGGCTTCCTCGCAGACAGGGGATGGGGGGCCCAACGGAAAACGAGGGTGTCCAAGCCTTTCCCTTCTCTCTTTGCTTATTGCTCTGGATTAATTTTTAAATTTTTATTTCTTTTCCCACACCTTGCTTCCCCAAGCCTCGTACCGGTACAGACCTCGTTGACGTTGAATGGCAGCTCAAATTGAAGGGCTACACATGTTCTGCCTTCATCTCCTAGCGGGCGAACTCAGGATACCATCAGCCGCGGGTATCATACGAGGAGTTGGTTATCGAGAACGAAAAAGAAATGAAGCCCGAAATGCAATTCTCGGAACGAGCTTCAACGAGTCGGTGTGTGACAACAGGTTATCGATTTTGTCCACTAGTTGCAAGTTGAATTGTCGTGGGCTCGCCTTCTTCCCCGTCCTTTGTTGTAGCACCCAGATGTTGGAAATAGCTTTCCTTGCGGGCACAAAAAACTGTTCGCCTGCTCCTTCCTCCACAAGCTTCGCTTCTCGTTTACTTCCCGTGATAAACCAACAGGTTGGCTAGAGTGATTTAAGGATCGAAAGCGACAACTTGTTTTTCTTCCTCGGGTAAGGGTAATGATTATGGAAGTAGACGTTTAGTATCAATCGGCTCGAGGGAATCAACCAACGCCCGAGCTCGAGCTCGAGCTCCAACGGCGAGCAAAAATTTTCTCGCGCACTGGTATATTCGCGCTTACAGCCTACGATCGAGATCGGATTATCACGGAGAGACTCGACGTAACCATAAGCATTTTGCGAACAAAACGGGCCAGCGGTTGGTTTCCACTTGTGGTGGTTTTCGTATACCCTGCTCTGGTGCGGAGCCTCCAAGGATATTGTATACGAAGCCCAGCTCAAGGATTCAATCATGTGTCAGCCGAATATATGATGTCCCGCACTCCTAAAATCGATTAACCCTCGCCCGCAACATCGTCGGCTCATTATAGTCATAGATCACAATCGTGGGGCAGATGGTTTTGCAAACGTCATCTTTTTGGTTTTTGGGGGTAGTTCCGTTCTTGAGCTGTCGATTTGTACGGTACATCTCGACAACCTCAAAACCCGTTGACGTGCCCGCGAGGTCCGGGATCACGGGGCTGAATCATCCCACGTCTGAGATCCGCTAGATCCCTTTGTATCTCTGACCAAAGGGATTTCCTCCCAGATAGTTAGCGCATCCCTCACCGCGAAAAAAGATAATCAATCATGCATTGCATGAGAACGCAAACTTCCGCAGCATAAAATGGCATACACAATAACACTTCCCATACGCCAAACCTGTCGAACTTGCAGAAACACTCTGGCCTGGCGGTTTCGACGAGCAAAAAAAAATCCCGTACATCAGTCTGGCAGGCCGCCACCATCAGAGCTTTCCCTCTCAGATAGAAACACTCAGCCCTCTTTTTGCAAATTTCGCTTAAAACCGCCCCGCTGAACCAGTGATTTTCCTGTTGGTGGGAAGCACGAGGGAGCAAGACACCGAGATATTTGCGAGCGACCGATGCACCTTTCACAAAAAAGGCTGCACGGGAAGGGAGGAGCCCCACGCACCTGAGCGGCTTTGGTTAAGGCAGAGGCCGACGGGGGGCACATTCCCAGCGCGATGGGTCGCCGCCTACTCCCTCTCATGCATGGTCTCACCAGCCGAACCAACCAGATCGCAGCAGGAAATGCGGTGAAATTCAAGCTTGGTGGGAATTTTGGACAGCAGGATCCACTTTTTGGCTGGCTCTGCCTGTCTTAGATCGCTCCTACCAGGCTGCATGACTTGGAACCGAGGACCAGTCTAGTTGACGGCGGCCAGACTTGACCAGACTTGCTGCGGAGTTCTCTTGGATTAGTGTCCGTATATGCAATACCATAGTAAACAAAGCAGTAGCTTGTTCAACTCGATCGAGCTCGTCGAGAATAGTGAAGTCAGATGATTCCAGACCGTCCTAATTGGCGGTCGTGTGATGGCTATGACGAAAGGTGCATAAGTTCATCTCCACATATTGTCGATATGTAGGGACGAATTGCGAAGTGAGGAGATACTCCAACTCCGTACTATGTACTGTGTATGTATGTAAGTACTTACGCACGCTCAGATGCACTGGAGGAGGAGTTAATGTCGATAATGTTTCAGCGGAGGTCCCAAGTAATTTCGCCTCTGCACGCTGTGAACGGGCTGCCAAACAGCAACCTCGCAGCCAACACATCCCAATGTTAATGTTAATGCTGGCAGAGATAGCCCCGCTCGACTCGATTCGATTCAACCCGACTCGTTATCATATCAGGCCACGCAAGGACAGACAAGAGACTTACACGACATTAGATTAGATTGGATTATAATATTAGACCTGCTAACCAACCTGTTTACTAACTAACCTCCAAGCTAACTAGACACACAGACACAGACGTGACGCTCTCGCAAGGAGACACGTTACTCATCAATCTAACTACATGCTAATGCCAGAGCTGCAAACCATTAGTCACCATGCTAATAACAACTTGATGTCCTTGCTGCAGTCCAACTTGAAGTCTTCAGCTCCTTGCTTTTGTTTCGCCCTAAGAAAGATTATCTACCTTTATTTTTCACTGCAACCAGGAAAGAAACAATCGAGCGTTTCAATTGCTCGTCTCCCTTGAAGCAGGAGGAGATCAAGCAAACAAGCAAGGCCTCCTCGTTTTCCCATTCATCAGAACCTTGCCTCCTTTTGTCCAACGCCCGGGGCACGGGTCCTTCTTTGACGACATTCGTTCAATTTCTCATTTCGGAGACTTTGCCCGTGCGCTAGTTCCTCTGCTCACGGTCCACTTCCTATCATGCCCCGAGGCCTGCCCGAGGGTATTCTTTTCCGAGTTAAAGGAAAAGACCGTTTCGGCTCACGGTGTACCGTTTTTTTTCTTTCCTTTTCCTGGCAACGGCAAGACGCTTTGACTGACGGGAGAAAAAAAAAAAAAAAACGAATTCGCAACAATTCCCAACGTTTTGCTTCCGTCATGTGAAAGTGCGTATGTCCGTCGCTTCAAACATCGCGTTTCGTGATGATCAAACCTCGTCCCTCTCGGCATTTCTCACAAGGCAGCGGGTACGAGGAACTACTCTTTTTTTTCACACAAAAAATTGTGGAGATTGAAGATTTGACGGCATTCTATTTCGGCCTCTTGAGCTTGAGCTAAGTAAAGTGAGGTTGATTGCAACTAACTAATCGGACTTCAACAACCGTCTCGGAGAAACCGCCAGTGTGATCAATATTTAGCTTTTACAAAAACCCCACAGATGCAACCTTGCTTTTGCCCCCAGATGTCAATCAATCTCACTTGACGGATATCCATAAAGAGCAATCGCCGGTAACATTGGAACACACTCAACATCACATCGCCGCCTGTACTATGTAAGTATGTATATCAGTCTCACTATCATATCATATCAACCGAGTCCCAGCGCCATGGAGCCCGTATCAAGCAAGACACAATAAACCTGACATTTGCCTCACCCGTTAAACGTCGATCCAATTCTTTGGGTACCAACCGAAATGAAAGGCGGAGAACGAAAAGCTCATCATCAGCTCATGGGGTCCCGGTAGGCTTCACTTTCGTGATCCTTGGCACGAAACACCAGAGTCCTTTTTTTGGTTGAACAGGGGGGCTCCTGATGATCACGCCAGAAACGGGCTTTGCTTAACAAATATCAAATTGACAAGCGTTTCGAAGCGAGAACTGGGGCCTATCGGGTGGGAACCAGCTTCATCAACGGTCGTATTGCTTTGCATGAACGCGCGACTTTTCCTGATAGCAAGTTTAACGTTTTTTTCTCTCTCTTTCAGATGCTTGAGGTGATATATCTAAGCTAAAATGGTCTGAGGTTCGAACTTAGCGATCTTGCATTGTAATGCATAATGGAAAAAACATATCTGGTCCGAACACCGATTGACAAGTTAGTTTTCGTGTTCAATGCTAGGCTACCGAATCAATAGAAACTGGCATCTCGATTCTTGAACCGGATATAGCTTATAGCTCCTCGGATCGGGTAGCGAAGGTTTTCGGCTCGAAAAGCATGACCAAATTTTTCTTAGCGAAAAAACGGTATTCTCTCGCCTCGGACTCGTTTACGTCGGCGGCTGGGGAAGAAGAGTGCATAAAGTATGTAGTATACCTGGGCTGGGGTAAAAAAGAAAGAACGAAGGATACCATTTCTCCGGATTCCTAGCTGACCCTGGTCGGCATCTCGAGACTGGAAGAGGAAAAATAACTCGCGGGTATGCATAATTCTCGTATGGAGCCACGGATATACCATTTGCGTACTACCGGCTTATTCTTCCACCGCCTCTACCCGTCCAGCCTACGGTCTTATCCTTCCGGCCTCTTGATCATAAGCAAGGAATTCCGATTTCATTGCCAAGCCGTACAAGATTTTCATGAGGTTGACAATTACATATTTTTGAGTTGAAATAAACTTCGCGTATCTGGCAGGTTTAATGCAGGCTGGAGCGGCAAATCGTGTCCCTACGGACCATTCTTCTAACAAAATCCAAAAACTGGAAACTAGAGACTAGAAACAAGGCTTTCGGGAGGAGCACCTGGTTTTTTTTTTTCCCTTAGAACATTATGATATCAGTGGCGATTTCCCTTTAGAAAGAGGGTCCAGTCCAACCCCCAATAGGCATCTCGAAGAGATTTGCCCATTAAACAATTAACCTTCTTCCGTGACGGGACATGTATGTCCATAGCATGCACAACTTTTTCCGGAGCTGTAGTTGATTCTGTGACTTACATACACAGAACGCCGCACCTTGACGGATAAATTGATAAAGAAGCATCATCTAATTAGGCTCAAAGGGGAACCAATGATTCTAGTCTTGGTATTGATCATCCCATGTTTTTAACCTTTTGGCTTGCTTGGGTTTTTTTCCTTTCGAGCTTGCAGGAGTTAAGAGCTTACTGTCATGTAATAATTGGACTAACCGGGGTAGTGTCTGGGCCACTGTTTAAGATCAAGAATTTAAAGTGGCCGTCATAAAATCGAATCGAAATACCATTTTATGAAAATGTTACAGAGAGAGAGACCTAGAGAGAAAAGGCTGTATTTCCGCGGCCGGCCGTGACATTGCATCCCATCGATCGTATCGAGCCCCGAGCCCGAGCTTTTGGAGGCCTTTGCAGCTTTGGAGCTCTCTCATCGGCCTAGAATTTGCTTTTTGTGGCCTGCTTACAAAAACTTTGAGTTGAAGATGCGGTCTGGACTCTTTCGATTTGTGTTATTTGATCACAACTATTCAATATGCAATGACAGAACTCCAGTTTAGTATATTCAATCACTGCTGTAATATATCTCCAACCGCCTTAAAGACTAATTACACTGTCTAGAAACCATGGCAGATTAAATCAATATATCTTGCTTAAGATTTGAGTGTATTTGGCTGCAACATTAATATTCCATTGCATATGCAACCACATGCAAAAGAGCTTGAAGGTGACCAAAGAATAGGTTTGAAAGGGTGTGTGTGTGTGTGAAAGACGCCACCAACATCATGCAATAGGTTATTGCATCGCGCGAAGCTTCCGCGAACCGGTCCGCATTGCGCACAAACGACAAGTACAGAGTATACGAGTTGATGGACGGCGGGAATGCGATCAAGACCTGGACTCACCAGTCGAGAGGGTCTAGAACCCTCCTCCGAATTAATTTTGGAGTTTACCTTCATATGCATTGTTATAACAACAGAAATATTTTACAAACATGCAATTTAGAACGTTAACTCCGTCGAAATTAATTAACTTCCAACGTTCAGGAATATTCTCCTCGTCTCGGATTATACAAAGAAATCACCATCTCGGGATCGATCGAGGAATGCATTAAGGACCCTGAACCTACATGCAACTAAGTAAGTGTGTATGTACATGTCAGCCGCCCGGCTGGGGTAATTAGAACATGGAAGATCGAAGAACGTTCGAACATTCCTTGAATTTATCTGCCTCGAACCATTCTATTATGATGTCATGATCATGTTTGCACTAGAAACTTCACTAACCAACGTGGCTAGTTATCGATCGATCGAATGAATTTGAATCAATGAATGAACGAATGAATGAATATCGAATGAATCTTCAATAATTCAACTTTAATTTCGATCCGTTTCATAGGTCAATTGATCTAAACGTCCGCTCGACCGCTAATTAACCCGCTGAAGAACTAAATTCCAAGTTTCCCTTGGAATGGAATTAACCAAACCCGTCGATATATTCGAGAAAAAAAAGTTTAGGCTCCCGCGTAGGATATGAACTAATTCACATTCCACGACCATCTGTCATGGCCGGCGGATTTATATTATTCCAAGGTACCGGTACAGTACTGCTGATCTCAGTAAGCTTACCTAGTACCCTAGCTAGCCCGAGTACTACAGGGACGAGCAATAGCTGATTCCATATCCATTGTGTCGGGATCTTGCCCTTGGGGATAAAATCATTGGTCGGGAATGTATAGCTTATTCTAGATATATTATACGAGAGCTTCCGGAATTCCCCAGGCCCTGAGCCCGGGTGTATCGGTCGATATGCAAATATCTTATCTTTATATATATACTCGAGTACTCGAGTATATATGAATTCGTAGGTTAGTAGTATACTAAGATTGAGGGTGAAAAGCAGTCCATAGATGCATCTAGATGTGTCGATATATTTGTATACCCATTATACATATACACCTGCCTCAACTTTTAGACGCTTGACCGACCCCATTGAAGAAAGGCTGATGCCCGTATAATATAAACCTATGATGGTTATTTAAGGATCAAGAGATAATCCCTGCGCAGGCTGATATCGCCGCACAGCTAAATTTAAATCTCGGAAATCTGGAACCTCTCATACGAAAATATCGACGTTCCATTGTAACGAATTTGAAATTTTTGATAGAGTCTGCCAGATATATATTCATATTCGTCAGTTAAGATTTAGAATTGGGCGACCTTGATTTTATATATTTCATTGCATTTGTTATGTTGGCGTTAATTGGCGGGTCGAGCGATGTCGACAACTGGACGTCGGATATCGATACCGATTAATCCCAACTTCCAAGATCCAACATCACCAACGTCACCAACGTCACCAACGTCACCAACATCACAGCCGCCCATCAATATAACTTCCATTAACATCAACCTCCTCCCCTCCCCTTCCTAACACCTCACCAGGGACCTTTCAGAAATCACAGCCTTATCTGAAAAGCCTTTATCCGGGGCTCAAATCAAGCTTCACAATGACAACCGACACTACCCAACCATCTGCTCCGACTTCCCATCCAACCTCAACCTCGACCACCTCCGCCGCAGTCCCCATCCCAACTTCAACCTCAAACCCACATCCCCGCTCCGTACCCCTCGCTCGTACCTCCTCCGCCTCTAGCTCCGTAAGCGGCGGGATCCCAACTCGCCACCGCCCCGCCAACGTCGCAGAACTCCACCAAGAACTCGAACGTGAACAAGAAGGCGTTGTCAACCGCCTCCTCGGCCAAATCACTCGAGTCGCACAAAATGTCGCCGCCACACATCCCGGCACGAACCCGGATGACATTGCCGCAGCCGCAGTACCCCTCTCGGCTTCTCCGCAACTAGCGGCGCCAATCCATTCGGGTCCACCGGGTCACCATCATCACCCTCCAAGTGTTACCGACATGCCGTCTTCGTTCTCACCAGCGATCGGCCGTTCTCGTTCGCCTGCCCCGAGTGGTCATCATGGATATGGTGGTGGGTATCACCATAATACCTCGCATTCACGACACAACTCGTTGTCGACTCGTTCGAGGAACAGTAGTCGTACTTCGTCGCCATTGTTGTTGCCAGTTGGGATGGAGTCTTCTGTCTGGCCTCAAACGGCGAATGATCCTTTCTTGATGGGTGGACGTGATGAAGTTGCGTTTTACAAGGCCGAGACGGATATGCTGCTTCGCGAGAATGAAATGCTGAAGAGGAGAATCAAAGAGTTAGAGGACAAGGCTTCTGGGGGGGCTGAGGGGTCTACTTCATCTGCGAATGTCCCTGCTGCTTCCTCTGAGTCTAAGGAGAACACTCCAGCTGGAACTGCTTAAAGCGGTTTTGCTATTCATTCCATCATCCCCTTCTACTTTTTGCTACAACCCTTTACAAAACCAAATTTTCATAGACTTGGGCATCTCATAATATAAAAAAAAGAAAGAAAGAAAGAAAAAAAAAGACACCCATACTGGCTATGGTATCTCCATTACCTGTCTTTTGTTACACTTTACTCTCTTGGAAAAGCTGTTCCTTTGAAGCATAGGCGTGTGTGGTGGATTTCAGAAATATTACCTGTTCTTTTTCATATACCCTTTCTACACCTTTTTTCTGCACACTCTGTTTCGACATCCCGTTTTTTTGCTTTCATGTTTTCCCTTGAATTTTAGGCGTAGAGAGTAGGGGAGAAGGGGGGTTTCTTACGATGCATATTGTTACTATTCTTGTTACTAGACCATCTCAATCTGTTACCATCATCATCATCACCATCACCGTCACCATCAATGCAAATACACACAATATCATTCTTCTCATAACCCCTAAATCCTCAAGAACTGCCAATATGTCTCGTCCCTAGACGTACGGTACAAAGGAAAGAAACTATTCCTACTTGGTAATGAATATCCAAATTAACTTCCCAGAATGCGAACACAAAAGAAAGAGAGACATGTATTTTATATCGTCAAAACCCCCTCCATAACCTTCACCGCCTCCCCCTCCAAATAAACCTTCTTAACCCCCCTCTTCCCATTCGCATCTGCATCTTCAAGTAAAACCCTAACCCCAATATCACTCCTCCTCCCCATCTCCACTCCCTGCGTGACCTCAAACTCCCACTCTCCAACCCCCTTACCACCTTCCCCACTACCCTTAACAATCGCCAAATAACTACCAAGAGCACAAGCTGCACTTCCAGTAGCCGGATCCTCCCCATCACCTCTAAAAAACATTCGACTTCTAATCTTGATTTTTCCTTTAACCCCGTCCTGGATAGTTTCTTCGAGTATTGTATAACAATAAACCCCAATGAAGCTCCTCCCACCGGGTGGAATCGTAGCCCCCAAATCGGTCACCATATCCAACACCACACCTTTCCTTCCAACCTTCACCGCTTGTAAAACACTCACACTCTTAACTTCAACCAATGCGAACGTCATCCCGTCAACAATGGAAACCACGGGTATTCCATTAGCATCCCATCCTCCACTACCACTACTATTAGTAGTAGTATTAGCCACCCAACTCTCAAAAACATTATTAGCCCTCGCCACCCCCACCGTCGAATTCTCAAAAATCTCCCCTTCATCCCCCCCAAACTCCTCAACCGGCACCCCAACAATCTCCCCAATCCGTTTCCTACTCACAGTCCTCCCCCACAAAGTAATCTTATGCGGCGTATCAATCCTAACCCTCCCATCCACATCCTTTTCATACTTCAACCTCCCAGCCGGTATCAACAACTCTCCTTCCTTCTTCACTTCACTACCACCACCAAGGTACCACCCAGCCCCCACGGTGGGATGTCCTGCAAACGGTATTTCCTGCAAAACAGTCCATATGGCTATCTTCGTATATCCCTCGTTTTGTTGTTCGGGTCTTAAGGACGAAGATGGGTAGATGAAGATCGTCTCGGAGTATCCGAATTCTCGGGCGATAAGGTGTTCTTGGGTTTTTGATATGGTGGTGGAAGGGGGGATTGTGACCACGGCGAGAGGGTTGCCGGATGTTAGTGGCTGGGTGGTGAAGACGTTGAGGGTTACGTAGGGGAGTTGAGGCATCTTTTTAGTATGCTTATAATAGAACGAGAGCAATATAATGGTTTATGGGAAAGGATGATGGTAGAGAATTTGAGAGATGGCTGGGCTGAGCTATGTGCTCGAGGTTCTTTAATATTAGGTATATACGGTCAAGAGCAATTGAAGTAATTGTTGGATTTTTGGAAGCGTAAACTGCGTTGTAGACGTCACCGTCACCATCAACATCGACGAAGAAGTTTGAAGTCACAGAGTAAATAAAAAATATAAAAAAACCAAGCCAATGAAGATTTAAAATAATCCCCCAAGCCTAGGACACTTATAGGATTTCAAGTGACCCACGAAAGCACATCCTACTCAATACCTAATATACCTACTTCAAGCAAGTAGGCATCGTCGGTTGAGCCGAAATAATAATCAATATCCCCGCTCTTTCTACCATTGCATTCCAGGGCTACCTTATGACGAAAGCTTCGTGAAACCCAGGTAAAAACTTATCCAAACCCTAAATGTAGAAAGCAAATCCTTCACATATGAGAGTTATCGATATAGGCAGCAGCGTACCAGCTAGCTCATCGATTGTGCATGAGAATTAGTCATCGCATCGCTGTTTAGCTAGCCGAATACCGCTCGATACTCCCTGCATCTTCATCTAGGTATCTGCATGGTTCTCGAGAGCCGTGCATATGCTCCCTAGCTTTAGCCCTTCATAAATCCCCAATTGATCGGCCTGGACAAATATTTCTCTATCAATGCAATAGTATCTTTCATAGTTATGAAATAAATAACTGAAAATAAAAATATATTCACACTGAAAGTAAAATAAAAATATAACAAAAAAAAAGATGCCAGAAAAAAAAAAGGGTGAATCGATTATTCTGCTATGAACAAGAGGAATGAAGGGAAATGGAGAAAGAGGAAGAGGAAGAGGAAGAAGCCCATATAATCCAAGCGAAAGTACCTCCCAGTTTCTTTAGTTTCCCAATTCTATATTCAAATTGACATACGCACTCCCGATACATAACACACCCGTCCGTCTATAACACCACACCCGCTACCCCTTCTCGAGGCATTTACAGCTTGCTAAAAATCACACCTCCGTTAGCTTCCGCCTTTCCTCAATCACGGAAGATTATATATAGGGGCAGTGAACTTACTCAATGATAGCCTGAGCATACTCGTGTGTCTTTGCCGATCCACCAAGATCTCCAGTCAAGTACTTACCCTCAGCAAGGGTATCGAAGATGGCCTTCTGGATCTTGGTAGCGTGCTCATTTAGTCCCATGTGTTGCAACATCATGATCGAAGAGAACAACAGGGCAGTTGGGTTGGCGAGAGCCTTGCCGGCGATATCTGGGGCGGATCCGTGGACGGCCTCGAAGATGGAGCACTTGTCACCGATGTTGCCGGAGGGAGTGAGACCGAGACCACCAATGAGACCGGCGCACATGTCGGAGAGAATGTCACCGTAGAGATTTGGCCTGCAGTCAAAATCTGTGGTTAGTATATACGCACTTAATCAAACTAAGTTGTAGTGACGGCTTACATGACTAGAACCTTATCGTTATATGGTGTTGGGTCGGTAACTATTATCGATTTGCCTCGTTAGCAATCTATTTTCGCCCCCACCATTTACCAATCTTACTAGCGGTGATTTAAAGAGAAACATACCCATATTCAAGCAAGTATTGTCCAAAAGCTCGTAATCGAACTGGATCTCAGGGTACTCCTTTGAAAGCTCCTTTCCGATCTCCAAGAACAAACCGTCGCTCTGCTTCATGATGGTGGCCTTGTGCACAACTCTAACCTTCTGCTTGCCAACAGCGTTCGCATACTGGAAGGCGTACTTCAAAACTCTCTCGCTGGCTTCCCGAGTAATCAACTTGATACTCTGGACAACACCGTCGACAACGTGATGCTCAATTCCAGAGTACTCGCCCTCGGTGTTTTCACGGATGAGAACGGTATCTACGCCGTCGTAGGGAGTCTTGTATCCGACAATGGACTTGCAAGGACGAACATTGGCGAAGAGGTTGAATGTACGACGGAGAGTGAGATTGAGTGAAACGTGACCCTTGCCGATGGGGGTGGCGAGGGGTCCCTTGAGAGCGACAAGGTTACGTTTTATCGAGTCGATGGCAGGTTGGGGGATGGCTGTCTTGCCGTCGACGAGAACAGGTGTGACATCGATTGGCTCCCAGTCGATTGGAACCTATAAGAAAAAGAGTTGCCATGTAAGAATATATAGTCAAAGAGCGATCACAAGAGGAGCGGAAGGGCTGCTTACATTAGCAGCACTGTAGATATCCTTCACACTCTGCGAGATCTCTGGTCCAATACCGTCACCCTCGATCAAAGAGACCAAGTAGTTTCCCTGTATGCCAACGATGAATTAGTTCACGAACATCCTTGTTGTAAAATCTGGTGTATACATCCGAACAGTATCGGGATATATCCACCACCATGCAGGGAATTAAGAGGATTGTAACGAACATTTCCCTGTTTCTGGCCCTCGAAGCCACCGATCTTTACTTCGGAAGCGTATCCTCTGTTCCACGACCTCTGTGAAATAATAGTATATGAATTAGCTTTGGACTTATTTCTTTTGTTTTGTTTTTGTTTTCCATTTTTTAAATTTCTAGGTATATATCCGAGACTAAAAGAGAGAAGAGGGAAAATAGGCATGATGATATCATGCCGAGCGGGTGGGAATTAAAATGCATACCTGAGCAATGGCACCGGTACCGGCCCGAACAAAGGGTTGCCGCGACGAAGCCAATTGGCGGCTGGCTACTCTGAGATACGACATGGTGTATATACCAAGGATGGGTAGAGAGAAAGTGAGATGGGGACAGAAAGGTTAGATGTCCGGTCGAGTGGATGCCGGGTAGGGAAGAGATAGAGATAGCGAGAGAGAGAGGGATAGAGAGATAGACGGAAGCCGTGACAAGGAAGAAGGAAAGAAAGAAGGGAAAAAGATAGATAGAGAGACAGATCTGACGGGAAGTCTAGACTGGTACTCGGCGATGAGAAAGAGGGAGAGGAAGAGAGGAAGAAAGAAAATCTTGGACGGTCGACCGGGAGCGATAAATTTTGACGGGATTGACTTTCTTTGGATTCTGAACGTACCTAACCTAACGACTTGACTTGCCGGGGAGGGGTTTAACTTACGGCTGGTCGGCGTTTGCTGCATGAAAATTTCCACGCTGAGGCCTTCCCACCTTCCGTTCAGATGGCTCCCCACGTCGGCTTCCGAATCCTCCAACAACGTAATCAGATCCGGCCAGATAAGATGGCCAAGCCCGAACTTTGCGGCTTTTACGGGGCCACATAATGGCGCAGTGGGGTGGGATTTATATAGTACTATGTAAGTACTTCCTAACAAGGTATTTAATAAGGTAGCCTCACAGGAATAGCCCTGTTCATACTCTGATATATATCGCTAATGGAGTTGGAAAATGTAGAGTTAAAAGGATCAAGTCACAGCCTTTTAATTATTTACTTAACAAGGTGTATGAAGGGGATAGGAATGCGGGGTTAAGCATTTATAAAGGAAGAAGGGGAAGAAGAAAGAAGAAGCATTATCGTATGTCCATTCAACATAACCCGCCCGCCCCTCCGAATTCCATCGAAAAAAGAAAAGGAAGAACATATTATATCCATGAACGTAAGGGACCACAGGAGGAAAAGGAAAGGGACAAGAGAATAACGGGATAGAAGCAGGCAAAAAAAAAAAGGCTATAATGCAATCCGTTCACGCAATCCACACTTATCAAACAAAGGTGGCCGTGAATGTGAAAATGATAAAAGAGAACAAAAGATACGATTTCCGCCGAAGAAAAAGACATGTAGTAGGTGTTCTTTGAATGCCCACCCTCCTTTTTGCCCCTGTTCTTTCCTTTAAGCCAAATATCCAAGACGATCCCCATCCAACCTCTCCAAGTATTCTTTCTCTAGCAAGATATCAATACATTTCTTGATATCAGGAACCTTGGGTGTAAAGCGTGATTTGATCTGGGCGATAGTCTCCAAGACGAGAACAGCGTGCTTGAGCTTCTTACGAGACTTCATGATACGGACGATAGCAGACTGCGGGGGGGGAAGAATATGGTTAGTATTGGGGCCAATATACGTATGAGTGCAGGATGAATAGTGACTAACCTGCATAAGTAGTTTACGGTCCTCCTCAATGGTCTTGTGAGTGTCCTCAGTCTCCTGCTTCTGTTCCGCCCTGACTGCCATGTTCAAATTGACACGAATCTTCTTGCTCTTGAAATCAGTGTTCAAGGTCAAGGTAGTTCCGGGTCCGACCTTGCTCGATGCTGGCTCAATGTTGAGAACCTTGGCTTTGATAAACACACCAAGGGAAGGGTCGAGATAGTCACGGGAGAGGCTAGTCGTTGACTCGATATCCTCATAGGTATACGAGGTAGCGTCGTTGAACATCAAAAGAATAGCCATCTGATAAGTCGAAACGTGGAATGTGAATGGGACCTTCGAGCTTTTGGCGAACGTCGCTTTGACGTCTCCCTTGCAAAGGTGCCATAGCCAATTCAACTTGCGACCGCTGTGCTTCTGGAAATAAAAGGTTTGGAATCGGTCGTACGTCTTGGTGATGACTTGTGGGATGTTGAACGGTGTATTAGGTGGGGTTAGAGGCCAGAACGAAGTTCCCAGAACTTGGATCGAGAAATCGACCGCTGTCTTGAGGGACTCTTCATCCAAGGTGTTGTTCATCCATTCTTTGTAGCTGTCGTTAAGATCCTTGGAGATCTGCATATCCTGGAACATACGCTGGAGCTTGTTCGTGTACTCGAAACCGCATGCATCCTTGAGCTTCCCGATCATGCTGGTCTCTGCATCATCAGATGCGGATGTAGCATGAACCAATCTCTTTGCCAACATTCTTGAGTAGAACTTTTGGAACACATCCTTGTCTTCGACGTACTTGAAGACCGTCATTATACTGTCCAGCTTGCTCTCGAGGTCTGCTTCTTCTGCGGCCTTTGCACTCTTCTTCAGCAATGAGTCGGCGTATTTAGCCAATAACTCAGGCGACTTGGAGGACGCGGCCTTGCAGACCTTGTTCCTGTTCACAAATTCTCTGCAAGCATTGTCGAGCGATCGAACAAATTCGGTGTCTTCCTTAAAGGCAATCTTGACGAGGCTAGAGTATTTCTCGTGAACTTCGAGGAGGGCATCAACATAAACCTTTGGCTCCAAGTTATCGTCCGCGTTCTCATTAGCGACCTTCTCAATCGCTTCAAGGCCAGCCTTTCGGACGTGTGCCTCAAACTTAGTCCTTAAAGGTTCGAGGCCTTCTGTTATCCTAGATAATAGGTTGTACATGCGTTTTAGGTCGTCCTGGCGGTCGTTATTCAACAGAACTTGGAACTCGTCATGAAGAAGGGTCTTGTGCTCTTGAATAAGCACACGCTGACATGTTTTCATCAGCGGAATCATTATGTCCGGATGAAGATAGACGTGAACGCGTCCTTCCTCTTCGCTCAGGCGAGTCTCAGCCTTCTTCATATATTCGACAACGCTGTTTTCGGCAACGAATTGTTTCGATTCGAGTTGGTAATAAACGTTTGTGATTTCTAAGAATGGCTTCTCGAAGAACTCTCTGTAGACATCCAAAGTGGACTTGGATGAGTCGTTCTCATCAAGACCCAAAGAAACTGTAACAAACCGTCAGTAATGGAGAACCCGATTCTGTCAGACTTTTATCAAACGTACCGAAGGAGTCAACGATGCTCTTGACCATGGCTGTTTCGATAGTCTCGCCGTTTCTCTGCTTCTCTACGAGTTTGAGAACGCCATCCATAACGTTCTTCTGAACGCTATCAAAAAGATCGAGTTTCCAGCGGACAAGGTGTAGCTAAACGATCATAATGTCAGTCCTTAAACTTCAAATTTGAAGGGAAGTCTAGGGTAGCGTACAGTGTAGACGTCGTAGATGTTTTTCTTGCCTTCATCCATCTCTCTCTTAACCCAATGTCGATTCAAGTACCTAAACAAATGGTTGATATACTTGGCTGCTGTCGTATATCGGTCCCATTCCCGGATGTAGAATCCAAGTAGAGCTTCATCTGCGAACTGACCAGACTGCTCCTTCAATCCTGCAAGATGGGCGGTAAGGTAGTGAATCAAATTGTTATACAAGTCCTCCCCCAGCAAGTGAGCACCCCTATGGACACCGCCTTGGTGGTGGAGAGAGGTGCTACTCGAATTTACCGCCTTTTGGGATGTACAAAAGTTATGTACAGCACTACATAAATGTCAGTGGGGATACTTTCATCAAGCATGACTTCGAAGGGACGTTTTGATTCTGGAGCCTTACGTGTAAATTCCCATGTACTATAGGCATAATGTATTAGTCATGATCTCTAAGGAGTTATAGGGAGAAGATACATACGGCCTTCATGTCCATTCCTTGCTGTAAATCGTTCATAATCTTGGAGATTCCATTCTCCAGATATTGCCATCTAAAACCCAGACAGTCAGCACGAAGTTCCCAGCTATGGCTGTTCCGAGCAGCGTGTCGATAAAACTCACGTTTGCTCGAGATCCTCCCTGTTGGGAGTCTGCGGATGGAGTGGCATTTTGCTGCTGTATCGTTCAAATAGGCCCTAGTTGTTGGGGGTTTGAAGAAGAAGTTCTACGAACGCGTCGTGAAAGGCTGTGATGCTGGAGGATAAGCAGCCTTGCAACCAGCTACGGACCCGAGAGATCTAAGTACGTAGTAATCTGGAGCTGGAGCTACTATGGGAAGGGATGATGGGACAAGGTCGGCAGGAGCCGAATATCTAGGCCGAGAAAAGGTTTGACGTGTTAGAATCTTAAAGGAAAGAAAGAAAGAACGCAGACGCAGACGCAGATGATGTGAGTGGGAACTAAGACGGGAATGAAGTGGAATTTGGTGGGTTAGACGTGGGGTTCAGGATTGTCCGGAGATAGGTGCTCAGACAAAGGATCCGGGAGTTGATATCCAACGAGACAGATGAAGCTTCAACCTTGAGACCGTGTCCTTGGGTCGATACGATAATATTTTGGAGATATAGTTTACCTTTAGTCTTTTCTCTATTGAAACGATTTGGGGGATCCTGATGAAGCTGGACGTGGTAAGCTGAGCTTAAGTTCCGCGAGACAACGTGAGGTGTACGCCCTCTTGGATAGTGTTGCTCCCCTCGTCTGTTGACTCAATAGGTAACAGGCTTGGTAGCGAGGCTGCGAGTATTCAAAACCAGACAGTTCGTCAAGCAGACAGCTTGTGAAGCTGAAGAAGGCTTTGGAAAAGTGTCGATGGTGGGTGGGAAGAGATGGGGAGAGAGATCCGTAGAGGGTTGAGGTGGTGTAGTAGTAGTAGTCGTAGTAGCAGTAGTCGTAGCAGCAGAGGGAGCCGGCAGTCAGTCAGTCAATGACGGGCAGACTAACAACGGAGTGACCACCACTGACTGGTCTGGAGCAGCAAGCAGGCGCAACCAGAGAAGGATTCGCTCAACGCACGCACATTGGCCCACAGCCTTGCTCTTCTCTGCTCGATTTGACTCGACTCGACTATTTAACTCCCAATTAACTACTAGTACTATTATACTATGTACTATACTCCAACCACCGAGAACATAAAGTGCTATTTCTTCTAGCTGAGACACGTCTTTGTGACCAGGGTTCTCCAACCTGGGGGGTTTCCGCTTGTTACTACAAATTGACTGTTGGACGGAGCCCAAATGCAGGTGGGGTCAAACATCAAGGACCCGGGGCCATAATGGCAGAAATCAGCCTCCCGTCGTGAGCAAGCGCACGCGTCTATGAGTAACACCCCGAATTTCTAGGAACTTCGACTCATTGCATGGATTGTTCGAAGCCTTTGAAGCTTTGCAGGAAGGCCTACATTGGGTGAAAAGCCGTCAGACTATACTTACCCTCAGAACTCTGTCTTTGTTGTCACTTTCCGCACCCCGAAGGGCCTTTTTTATATATATGCTCTTGATTTACTGTGATTCTATTGGCCTATCTGGATAGATTCCAAAATGTCATGTTTTCTTGGTATTTGTTCGGCTATATTTGACATATGGTTCAAAAGATGATGGGTTATATATGTTCGTCAAGACGAATCCTCAAAATGAGGATCGAGATTCCTGATCTATGGTATTTGAGAGTTAAGATGTTAAGGTGAGAATGAAGATGGGAGCGAAAGTGAGAGTAAAAGTGAGAGTAAGAGGGAGAGAGTGAAGGGGTCACAGATGGGGAAGGGCTAATTTCAAGGAAATGACTTTGATTATCACAAATGAAAAAACATCTCAGTACCGGAAAATAAATAGTAACCTGAGATGGAATTGAAGGAAATGAGTGAACAAGAACGCCCTCGCTGATGTCGATAGCTCAACTGATTGATTACGTCCTGTAAGCCGAGGGGGAAGTACAAAGAAAAGAAAAAGAGACAACCACCAAAACGCCGGTGCAATGCAAGCGAACAGTTTTCGGAATGGGAGAGAGAGAACTCGGATTTAATAAGACAAAAAGAAAGAAAGAAAGAAGGAAGATAACGCCGTCTCCAAAGATATATTCCCAACAAGATATCAAAACAAGAAAAACAAAAATAAAAATTATCAATTAATGAATGTACTGAATGTAACTTCTGAGGGCGGGTTTTTAGGCGTTTGTCCTCGATACTCTTTCGACCAATCTGAATATGCTGACAGTGAAGGTGCTAACCCAAGCGCAGAGGGCGAGGAAGAGAAAGGATGCTAACGCACGCTGGCGGGAGCATATGGGCCCGTTGGTAAAAAAACGTCTGGCATAGTCGAATGTCTCTTCGTCTGGGGCTCCAGGAAGGGCAGAGCAACTCTGTTGAACGTCGTATAGGGTGTCGAAGGCAAGGGAGAGGTTGGCAGAATCGAATATAATAAACACAAGATCAAACATGACTGATTGGGTTAGTATATATCTGCCTTAGATTTCTAGAAGTTAATAGATTTGGCAACATACTTAATCGTATCTTGGCCTTGGCTGAACGTAGCCCTAACGGTTTCCCCGAATACTCGTCATAGGTGATATATATCAAATATACCAACGCGACCGTATCGACGACTATCGCAAGCACAGTTGATGGAAGTTGTGGTGTCCCATTTTTTTTACTGAGAACATATATGCTCGCCGAAAATGCCAATGCACAAAGAGAGAGGACCCAAATGATGGCTCTGAACGTCAATGGGACCATTGGGTTGTTCAGAAGGATCAGATGGAGTCTTTTGTACCAAATTTCCCTCTGTTTGGCACTGATACCGAATATCTCCCTCTTGGTGTTCTCCTCCTCGTCTTCTCCTTCACCCTCGCCCTTCTTTGCGAGCCATGGAGCTGAAAGTCCATCGTCTCCCCAAACAGCCCCACTTTCCAAATCCTTCCTCTCCGATGCCGAAGTAAAAGGTCGACCCGAAGAATGTTCTGCAAAGTTCCTCCATCTGCTGCCTTCGCCTGCACTAGCACTCGGGCGAGGAGTAACAGGTGTGTTCTCCCTTCGGTTATCCCATATCGACTTCTGGGGCGACTTATGCGTTGGAGGTGGAAGCACGGGACCCTGGTCTACCAACTCACCCTCATCTTCGTAACGTTGGACCCATGCTATTGTTGGGTAGAAATAAACATTAGCTTGAATGGTCTGACGTCGCAGTATACGTAATTGGCTTAGTAGCAGTATCGCATCGAAAATCGAATGCATGCACCGCGTAAATCAGTAACGAGAAGGGCAAACATACTGGGCACAGTCCTAACGGCCCGCCATTGTAATTGAGAATCGCCAGAAAATCGGGCACGTTCTGAAGTCGCGGCCGTAGATGCCTTTGTGGATTCGGAGACAGCTGAACCTTTAGAAGCACGCTTTGTGGTCGTGCATGCTCTGCCCGTCACGTTTGTCGAAGTGGCTGGTTGGACTGGAATTGGGAAACTGGATGGCGGCTGTGCCCGAGGAGCATCCTGCGCCATCGATTCGATTGGATTTTTTTTTATATATATATTAAATTTATTAAAAATTTCGAAAGGATATTCGTCGTCGCCGGACCCTCCTCTTTCTCGTCGCTCTTGATATCAATACTAAAATTCTCCTTTCAATGTCGGGGAGAAGTCGAAGGAAGACAGTTGACAAGAAGGAAAGAGGAGATGTTTGGGAAATGAGGACTTGGTGTTTTGGGGGTTCCAAGAACGCAGCCGGATGGAAATGGGAGCGAAATTGAGAAGGGGCACCGGCCTCCTTAGCTGGTTGGCTGGTTGGCTGCTGGCTGGCCTGTTCGTCAAAACAGGAAAACCTCCTCACCAAAAAGCCCAATTTTTCTTGGCGATGCAGCTCTGTTGCAGAGAAGTGGTTAAAAGCGATGCAAGAGAGAGAGAGAGAGAGAGCGAGAAAGAGAGAGCGGAAGCCTAAGACGACGACGATGGTTGGTTCGAGGTCGAGTTAGAGTTAATGCAACAACTAAGTAGCCTTTAACTTACCTAACTGAGTATTGAATGACAAGAAGAAGCAGACGATGGCGGGGCATTCCATGCATACGTTACATACCAAGCGTAGTTCAGGGACCAGTAGTTAGGGGGACAAGGAGGACGAGGAGGGGATTTATGGTTATCGTGATGAGCTTGATCTTTGAATTCCAGGATCGATCAAAAAGGGTATCACCAGATGCACCATAGATTGTTCGGTCGGTCGGTAATTTCAACTGGAATCTCATCTGATCATGGAATTATGACAGCATGTCGAGGCGTCGAGGCGTCGGCGTAGGCGTCTACGGTCGGGCCTACTTGCCTGATCCCCACGTGGAGTTAAACTTCGCTCTCGTTTGAGCAGAAAAGAGGCCATCGTATATATTACCAGTCAGTTGGTCGGTCGGTCGGTCGGTCGGTCGATATTAGCTTTCCGAGATGTTAATTAACCGAGTCGACATCTTCCCTGGTCATCTCCAATTCCCCATCTCGACCTCCCTGTACAGCTGTGCACCGTGGGCAGCTATAGCTAAGACAGGCCTTGTGATCGTGAAACACCATCACACAGACATCACGTTGGCTTTTGCTCAAAAGGAAACCACAGGAAATCTTCAACGTTGGGAAATGCCGTTGCTCCGAATTTTCAATCAGGCTATCCGCTGCTTTACGGCCGCAAAACCCTTACTTCCTGCAGGCACCATAAACTTCCTGCTTCGTTCCGGATGCACCTATCCGATCGAGTCTAAGATGACCCCGTAGACGTACATGCGGCGAAACTCACATACTATGTATATCTGTTGAATTATACCTACACAAACCGATGAGCGGTCCCACAGACCACAAACGATGGTAGGTCGACTTATTCCGTTCCCGCAAGGTATCGACCAGCCACAAAAGCTTGGTAACTAACGTGTTCATAAGCAACCGAGCCTGTTTCAACCTCGTTTACACGGACTGCTTTCCTTGGCCTAACGGGACGCTTTATATTGTACATTTTGCATGTACATTGGCGTCGGTATTCGAAGTGACGACCTGGTGACGTCTATCGGCCTTTTGATAGACACTTTCGATGGTGTTATCAGTGAAGGAGTTGCTTGTACCGCAGATAAAGCCTGCCAGAGTCGAACACCCCTTGCAGAAACATGGCAGCTTGAATGGCTGGTAACTAACCGATGACGAAATTCACTCGTTAGTTAGCGTGGGGACCAAGTCGCCGCGGCTAGCTAACTATGTGAGGGTGGGACGACGTACCCACAAATTATCTGCGAGAGCCCGTCGGTCTTTTTTTAGGGGGGCTGCTGAACGTGGGCACGACTGACAGATGGTACCGGTCCGAATGCCTGCCAAAGGATGCTGGTCAAAGTTACTATCTTTCCTTTTGCTGCTAGATCTCGTGCAGAAAGGCTCGCAGTGACAATACATAGTATGTATATTGTGAGTGACGGCGCACACACCTCCCCACTGGGAAACATCTTGCGAGGTGACAGTTTGCAGTCTTTTTTATGGTGTGCACATTTCCACGTCCTAGTCGGAAAGCAGACAGCTTCTCCCGCCAGCCCTAAATTTTCGACTTGCAGCCACAGGATCTACTTCAAGATAAAATCCCGATATTGGTGGTCTTGCACCGCACAAATATTGGGGCGATAATAATACACATGGCTACCGTTTGCTTGGATTGATTCTCACCGGCAGATATTTAAGCTTAAAGACGTCGCAAACACGAGGGGAGATCCTCGCCTTACGGATGTTCTTTTATCAAGGGAAAAGGCTTGGCCCTGCCGGTGAGAAAAAGGGTCCAGAAGGGATTTATGCCTCCTGCTTGCTGCAAGAGTCGATGCAGCCAGCAGCCAGCGCAAGTTTGGGGGCCAACTGTGCCTCGAGTATGGCCATCCTTGCTGTTTGCTGCTGACTAGTGTGGCCTTCGCACGGCTAGCATTTGTTCCGCCAAAGCTTATCAACGACACACCACTTTTTATGGAACTCCCTCGTCCAAAGATTGCAATGTAACCATTCGGTCTGGGCCCCGGTATGCACGTCTTGGGCCGGTGCCATTTTTAGAGAAGGGCCTTGGAGCATGGATGAAGGGAAAAAAGTAACGTTATTGAACGCAGATGTTGAAGTGGAAAAGTGTCGTGCTTCTCCGGCGGTTGATGACTGATACTATGTCCAAGGAAGGGGCTGAATGTCACCCGTTATTTTGCTATAAAAGATATATTTTTTTTCGGGCAGGCAGGAACCAAGGACTCCTCTTTTGAGGTTGCATCGTCTTGCACTTCAATTTCCGTGTTCTAAGACACGTGAGAGAAACATTGGAAGAAAGGTTTCTTTCAGGATGCAAAAATGGGTTTTATCGATGAAGATAAATCTTTTCTGCCCATGCTCTCTTCCTCTGAACGCAATATCCGTTCCTGACTAGATGGATGTTGATCCAGTCGAAGAGGCCTGGGTCTGCATCGGGATCCACAGCTGAGGAACCCAGCCCCGTCCAAGGCTATCGGCACCGTACGGCGGGCTAGTTGGTTGGGCAGTCCTCGAGAAGTCGGATCATATCGCAAGCCAACTGCGCGAACCCAATGAAGTAATCGTATTCTTGGGTTACTTCGGTGCTGATATAGCAACTTGTGAGAAAACCCACCACGGATGCATTTCTCTCCTCCTCCTCCTAGTCCCTCCTCTTCCTCCTTTTCCCTCTACTCGATTGTTTTTCTATCGACCTTTCGTTCTTCGGATCTCACCCCGACTTTCTAAACTTCAGACGGATTCACTCGTTTATTCGTTTTTCACAAAGGTACGTCTGCGGGTTTGGTTACACTCTTTCCGGCGTTTGTTCCTACAGCCCTCTCTGCTGCCTCTTACTAGTGCCTGTATTTTTTTTCTGGGCACAAGAGCTCAAATTGCACCTGCATGCAACTAAATATTCGCATTCGCTCTTTCCCACATATCTTACAATCCATTCCACCGCCCTGCGAATAATAAAAAGTTCCGAATGATAGCAGTGTAGACGATATTGTCGTCTCCTCAATGCAATGAAAGAACTAAACTTCAGGGGAAAGAAAAAATCGGTGTCACAGATCCCCTTGCAGTATTTGCCATAGTCATCCGGTCCGACCTTGAGCCTATTGAGGAAGCCCGCACATGGCAACGACATCACCCCATTTCCGCGTTGTTTCTTCACTATCTCGTATTGCAGTTATAAAAGTCCTCTATCGGTGATAAAAGATATGAATGCATGCATACCTCTACATGATAAGCTAACATTGCAACTTGACGTTTTATTATTATAAGGACTTGTCAATTCCAAAAAAGGACTTCTCCAACTTTTTGTCCTCCCGTCTCAGACGTAATTCTACAAGAAGCTTTTCTGCTGTACAACCACAAAGGACCCCCCGTTCCAAGTTCTCGACAACGGGAGGATTTTTGCATCACCTTAAACCTTCGCTCGTTTGTCAGCTTTTTCGAAACGAACCTACCGATAAGGAAACGAACTACTCGGAGTACCTGCAGTGTTCCGCGTGAAGAACGTGCAATCAACGTGTTGTATTTTTAACGACGCAGATGCGAGGTTTCGAGCTCCAATCTTGGTGTCCTTGAGCCACCTGCATTTCCCACACGCATGAACGGAATTTCCTTGCTGCATTTTATCGATCGCATGCTTGGTTGATCCCGTCGATCACGGACACATATTTCCCACACGTTTTTTTAATATTATATTTCATTTTATATATTTTTTATTTTAGGAAGATATAATTGGCAAGGGTATATAAAATTCAAAGAGGAGGATACGAATAAAAGAATTCAGAGGGATCCCGCCCATTTTACTGGGCTTTTACAGGCCTAAATGGCTACAATGGACGAAAATACGCCTCCAACCAACGGATCAGGATCTCGGCCAGCATGGGGAATCGACAATGAAGTCGAAAAGGCGCTTGAGAGGGTGGTAGACGTGGTGGAGGCCGGTCAGGAACGCCCAGAGCAGAAGGAAACACTTCTAGGCGACACTATAACAGCACCTCTTCCCGTACGGCCGGCTCCAGCCCCAGTTCAACCCCCACAGCAGAGCGTATGGGCGAAGAAGGCTACAAGATTAAAGAAACGAGGAGGTTCTTTTAGGAGCGAGTCGAATTTACCGCTCCCACCGGCTCCACCACAAGCGCACCGTCACTCCTATACACCAGTCGTTCCATCTCCCTTAAATCCGGCTTCTAGTGGAAGCGAAGATAGCGGTAGTGGAAGGCCGAGCCATTCGAGTAGTAGTATACATCAAGATGCACTTGTGGCGCCATCCGTATCCCTCTCGAATTCCCTGTCGACAGAAACGAGGCCGAAAAGTGGACATCTTTTGCTGTCTCCTGAACCGGTGATACCGACTGGTATGCATTGTTTACCCCTATTTTATCATTTTTTTTTGGCTAACTGTTCAATATAGCGTCTTTGATGGACTTGGGCCGCGAATATGATCGATATCCAGCCAGAACACCGAGGAATAGCATTATGCTACTTCATAAAACACCATCTGACACGCCCTCCCAAAGACATTCCAACCCACTATTAGGCGAAACATCGAGCGTTGAACACACATCTGAAAATACTGAGGTCGACAATGAAAAGCTTTTCGATCCGTATAGTGAATCGTTTACAAAACCTACGTTTCTTAATGCCGGTTTCCCGTTATACATGGACGAGAAGGAGGCAGACGATTATATGCATAATCCGGACGAGGGAGACAAAGAGTTGTCCAATCATTCTATCAAGGATATCGGATTACGAGGATTTTTGAGCTTTTGCTGCTTCTGGATCTTTGTTTGCGGACTCGTTTCATTGTTTATTGTTTTGCCGATTCTTACATTCACAGGATACGTTAATACGCCCGGTGAAACCGAGAACCCGCATGAGACAGAGTGGCAGATGCAACCTTGGGAGTTTGTGGAGACAAAATACTCATTTCCGATATTAGGCGGAATAAGAACTAGTATGGTCGATCCTGATACTCCGGACTTTGCGAAGACGAGAAAAGCGACCGATGGAACAACATACAAATTGGTTTTCAGTGATGAGTTTAATACCGATGGGAGGTCGTTTTATGACGGAGATGATCAGTTTTGGACCTCACCTGACCTTCACTATGCAGCCACGAATGATCTTGAGGTAAATATCGAGTCCATTTTTAGTATATTCTTGGTGCGAGATACTAATTTTTATGGCGTAGTGGTATGATCCTGATGCAGTAACAACCGCCGCTGGCACTCTAAGGCTCAAACTCGATGCATGGCAGAACCACGATCTCAATTACAGATCCGGCATGCTTCAAAGTTGGAACAAACTCTGCTTCAAAGGCGGCATTCTGGAGGTATCGGCATCGTTACCTGGACCTGGTGGTAAGATGGGCCTTTGGCCTGGTATTTGGACACTTGGTAACCTTGCGCGGCCCGGCTTTCTCGCAACTAGCGAGGGTACGTGGCCGTATGCATATGATGAGTGCGATGTTGGGATCACGCCAAACCAGTCGAGCACCGATGGTATCTCCTTTCTCCCGGGTCAAAGACTCAACAGCTGCACCTGCAAAGGCGAGGACCATCCTAATCCTGGTGTTGGTCGGGGTGCTCCAGAAATCGACGCTCTAGAAGGAAGTGTAGCTGGCGGTATCAACATTGGTGTCGCCTCTCAGTCCTCCCAGATTGCTCCTTATGACGCCTGGTACGTCCCAGACTACGACTTTCTTCAAATCCACAACCACAGTGTTACGGAAATGAACAGTTGGTGCGGTGGGCCTTTCCAACAAGCCGTTTCTGGTATCACGGCCCTAAATAACGAATGGTATGATGGGAAAAATTTCCAGAAATATGCATTCGAATATGTACCTGGAAAAGGCAATGGTCACATAACGTGGTTCGTGGGGGATGAACCGACTTTCACCATGAAAGGCGAAGCAACAGGGCCTAATGGAAATATTGGAGCTCGACATATTAGTCAAGAGCCCATGAGTATTATTCTAAATCTGGGTGTGAGTAATAGTTGGGCTTATATTGATTGGCCGGGTCTTGAGTAAGTTGGACATTCTTTGAATCCTTGAAAATTGAATTGATCGCTGACCGCCCACCCCATAGATTTCCTACAACCATGTATATCGACTACGTCCGAATATACCAACCGGAAGGCTCTGAGATGATAACTTGTGATCCTCCGGGTTATCCTACTACTGAATATATTAAGAAACACATGAATGCGTACACCAACCCTAATATCACCGTAAGTTCCTTCATTCCTATCCGATACTTACATTTGGAATCGAATCTAACTTAAAAATTAGAGCTGGTCAAAAGCCGGATATACGTTCCCGAAAAATACCCTAATGAACGATTGTTCGAAATGATCCACTAAGTTACGATACGATACCCCTTTTGTTACAAAGTTCTCCGAGCGAGCAATATCGATACCGCAACCCAAAAATTTTACCAGCTACGAATGATAATCCATAATACACATAATTAAAACCCAACAGAGAGACGATACATATGCGGTCCCTCACCACCATCACCACGACCACACCCTTTTCGCAATTGCATTTTCTTCCTCACATTCACCTTGAATCTGCTCCTCTGTTCTTTCGCAAAAACAAAAAACCGGGGAAGAAAAACCGGAGTTCTGGTAGTTTCCTTTTTTGGTCAATTAGGTCGATAACACTCGTCGACCTTAACTCCTGTATTTCCTTAAGGCGTAGCCTTTGTTTTATTTATTTACTGTTTTTTTTTTGTTTGGAAGCGTAGCCACATACAGCGGTTGTCTCTGGTTTTCACTTTTTCTTCTGTACCTTGTTTTATTGTCTATTGTTTAATGTCGTTATGAAGCCATATTGTTCCTTTCATATGCATTACTATGGCATGTACATATATAGATTTCGGACGAGGGGGATTCTTCAATTGTGAAGATAAAAAAAAAGGTAAGTTTTCTTTTGGGGAGTTTCCCCTGGCTCCCCCCTATTATTATTATTATTACTATCATTGTCTCTTGGGGCATTTTATCGGGGATAGCTCAGGGCGGGTACATACTTTTTTTTTTTTTTTGGATTACTATATACTTTAGTTTTTAGCCATGTTATTTTATGCATATTTCTTTCCCTGGGAATTAATGTTTGGTTTACACACGCACACACACACACACACACACATATGCTCTATGGCGGATATACACACAGGATTAAGGTGTGGGAACAAACAAAAGGGGGGGAAGGGGGAATGCACAAAAAAAATAAGAAGTTTATTTAATCATTTGATCAATTGACTGGTCCTTTTTTAATTTTTATTTATTTTTATGTATAGCGTTAGAGGGGAAGGGGGTAGGAGAAGTTTTTAGATGTCTTGTTTCGTTTTTTTTTTTTTTGGAGTTGAGCTAAACTAACTAACTAGCTTGTCTGTATATTGTGGTATGGTTTAGTCAGTACTACCTGTGATTACAATTGTTAACTTCGCACTTGGTCTTTGGCGCGGGTGAACTGATATAGATAGCTGGCTGGGATATATTTAAGGTTGTATATTATACCATGATTACTACAGTTCGCTGGCTGGTTTTCATCCCTGCTGTGCTGGGAAGGGAAAAAAGCTCATTCTAATATATAGTACTAGTATACATCATCGATCTTGAATGAATCCCAAATCGATCTTGAACGATATAAATTTATACATAATATAATTGGCTAAACTTCAATTGATTGATTGATTGATTTCTTTTTTTGCATGAGGAAAATGAATGCTAGCTATTCGTAACAGTAGATTGATTGATAGATAGATAGATATCAAGAGAGAAAGTAAGAAAGAAAGAAATGAAATGAAAAGAAATCACCAATGCATTCCCACGCCTACACCTTTTCGTGACTACCCTTCGTATCATTAATATATTACACAGACCATACTACCTAAGGTCTTCATGACGTCGTAAAAGGGAAACAAATAAAGTAAAATGGTAAAAGAAGTAAGCTTGCAGGGGGAAAAAAAGGGGTGAAAGATCGGTGAAAGAAGATCTCGCATGAACGAAAGAAAAATCAAAACCAAAAACCACCTTGCTCCACCGACGGAAAAAAAAAAAAAAAAAAAAAAAAATCTTTTCTTTTAGTTTCAACTAAATTCTCCACTCTTCATCTTTTTTTTGTTATGTATGTATTTGTTGAAAAGTCCATCCAGCGCTAATTGTTCCGATAAAACAAAAAAAATACAAGAATTGCTTTTGCGAGTTGCATTCAATTAAGAAAATTCGAAAATGTGTATGCAGGCGGCGTTACATACCCACTTTTACTTTACCATACCCACTTAAATCCCCTCTTTTAAATTCGAAAGAAAGAAGGGGGATAAAAAAGAATGCGCCGGCCGTTTTCGTCATATTTCGCCCCTCTCTGTTTCTTCTGGCTCGTTCCTGGTGGGACGCATGCCACGGAAGCTGCAGGTACGAATTTACTGGACGGTTGTAGTAGCGGCAGCAGTAGTTGCAATTGGGCTAGTAACTACTGGGGTGTCCGGAATTGCAGTAATTGGTGTTTTGGGAGTAGCAATTGTAACCGGTGTGTCTGGGACTGGGGTGACTGGTGTGTCCGGGACTGCAGTAACAGGAGTGTTCGGGACTGCAGTAACAGGAGTGTCCGGGACTGCAGTAATAGGAGTGTTCGGGACTGCAGTAATAGGAGTGTTCGGGACTGCGGTTACAGGAGTGTTCGGGACCGCGGTGACTGGTGTAGCCGGAACATCCACTTCCTCCTTCTCCTCCTTAATCACTACCTCCACGAAGCTAGGTTCGTCCACCTTCTTATCGACTATATCCCCTTCAGTGGTATCAGGGATGCTCTCCATCTCCACGACCGTAGTGGTAGCACTGATGCTACCTCCAATTCCAGCTTGACTTCCAGTCTCATCTTCATTATTGGTTCCCTTTGTCTTCCCAGTTTCTTCGCTACCGACAGTATCGATAGAACGTCGGGAAGAATCCAAGTTCCTCACATCGACCATTTCCAACCCATCGAACGATGAGTTACTCTTATGGCTTGCACTACCATTCGAAAGTTGTGCATATTCCTCTTCTGGGTGCGTTTGTGATGACATGATAGATGGTGTGGGTGACTTGACGCTCTGCGAATCCTGCTGCGGTGCGGATGTAAACGCCTTGCGACGCTTTTCTCCAGCCCAGGAAGCCCATGATGAAAAGTAAGAACTGGCACGAGATGGAATAGTCGTCTGGTTTTGGTTTTGATTTTGACTTTGACTTTGGGCATGGTTTTCCGGTTCCTTGTCCTTAGCGACAGTGTCTGATGGAAGAGGGCCTAAATTTTCCACAAAGATTCGTAATTAGTTCCGCCACCTCTTTAACCCCCATGACTGTGGTGATATCGAATACGTACTCGGCGTAGGACTGGGATCGTTGAGGCTGCTAACATCCGTTCTAATAGAACCAGGACGACTAGCCCTCAACCGTAGCTCCTCATGCGCCGCAAGCTCGGCATTTAACCGCTCCATCTCTTCAAGTTGTTTGGCCGCCGCATCTCTTTCCTTCCTGGCCTTTTCGATATCCGCCCAAAGCGTATTTATGGCAGTAGAAACCTTCCGTGAACCGGTAGCAAATGTCTGGGTAACTGCTGCCATCTTTTCGTTGATCTTGAGTTCCGCCATTTGCCTGAAAGGGAAAGTTGAAGAGGGATTGTGAGCGAGCTGGTTAGGGGAGGAGTGACTGGAGAAGGGTTGATGGGAGGGTGACTAACTGGTTAATTCTTCTTGTCAGATCCTCATACGCACGAGCGCCGGCGTAGACGTGGCGTGGAGGGATAACATCGAAGATATTGTCCTCTATACGACCTCGTAGTTAGTTACTAAGTCTAACCCTAGAAAATGAATGCCGCAAGGATTGCTTCCTACCGGTGAACTTTTCAAAGATCCGATAGTTTTCGGTCGTCTTCCAGTGGTGTACCCAATCAACCCCAAAGTCGGCAGACGGATCCCCATCCACTTCCGCTAGAAGGATAGCGTCATCCGCATGTCGTTCAACATACGTCGAATACTTGACCGAAGACAGCAATGCCAAAATGTACTCTTCAAATTGCATGCGAATGAAGTCCTCGCTACCAGTGAAGGCCATAGTTTTCGGCCGGGATGGGTCATTCTCATCCCAAGAGTCGACAACTGTCTGCGACAGACTGTTTATCCATCTTTTGTCCGCAGGTGTGAGAGTCAGTGCAGCTCTTAGAGATGACGATGTGATATTTAACGATAGATCGTCAAGCTGTGACTCCTATCAGTATTGATCCAAATATATATAACGTCGTTAGGTAAAACTCTCTTACATTGACGATAATATCTGAATACCGGTCTTTCTGCTGTAGTAATAGCGAATTTGTCGACCCAACAATATACGACTTCGTATGTTGGTCAGCCAGCATATCCAGCTGCTGTAACGGTGTATAAGGACCGAATAAGCTGCCCTAGGTCCTCCCAAAATCAGCGCTCCGTAGACCGTGCACAATTCCCATATAGAATCCCATACCTTTCCGAAAATCTGCAAAGGACATCCCATATACGCCAACAGTGAATGACGGTCACTTGTCTTCAAATCCACGGCTTTCTCTCTCGTTTCTTCATAATCATTCAACTCTGGGTCACTAGCATCCTGCAATTTTTCCAAAAGTCCTGGTATCAGCGATACTAATGCGAACTGGGTCATGCACAGCTTTTCACATGATTTCGAGCTAAAGAAGAGCATTTTCGGTTGCAGGAGGGCGCATTTAAAAAGAACGAGGGCGTTGTGACGAAATCTATAAATGAACTCGCGGAGTGAGAGCCCTAGAATCATGTCTGTATTAGAGTGTTAACGATGGATTCTTGGCTTTGAATTAGTGGCGTACCGAGATAGGTCTCACGATCAAATCCGTCATCTCGTCCGCATATCGATCTGACGAGACTTTCTCGGAATTTCTACACAGACAAAAGCAACAGTCAGCATTTGCGATTTCCACCCATAGCGTCCCAACAAAAAGGAGAGGATAATAAGCACCTTTATGATTTCCAAATCATCAAAATTCCTTCATCAAACCATTGAATATCAGCAAAGTTTGTCCCAACCAAAGGATCTTCTATCTCTCCATCCGCCTCCCCAGGTTTCACCCAAACCTACCTCTGTGCAAACCAGGCACTGGTAACCATCACCAACTGTTCCCTCAAGTGTCCAAAATAGACGGGGCTGTCGGTGATAACCACCACCGCCTTCTGAACAGTCGATCTTGTGACTTCTGCACTCCTCTCCTTCAGCAGCCTCGAGTCCAACTGCATAGTGCATGATATTCCGAACAACGAGCTAGCCGGCCGATCCCCTCTTGGTTCGCGCTTAAGCGTAAAATAGCTAAAGTCCTGTTCGAAGCTATGGGACCCATCGCAAAGAGCCATGAACGGGAAAAACGGCCATTCTGCATCGGTGCAGACATCATCAAGATCCTCATCTCCACCAAACCAGTGTTCTACATCGGGACCTCTATAGAAAGAATAGGTTAATGGGTTGGTCAGCCAGGGGGGGGGTATTTCCACTAATTCGGGGTTTCTATCGAAAGGGTATGTATATGCGGGGAAAGGGTTCCGAGAGTGTGTGTGTGTTGAAAGGGAACTGGACGTACTTGGCATGGTGGAATCCGACGATCGAGACAATTGGCGGGAAAGACTTTTGCCTTGGTTTGGTCATTGTTGATGGTCGATATCACTTCTGTCAGACTCGAGATCGAATACTCCTTGCCGGGGTCTGAAGAGGAATCTATGACGAAGTTGGAGGAAGGAACGGCCGGGGTGGGTGGGAGTTAAAAAGGTTTTGGGAGTCTATCGAAGCGAAGGAAGATTAATATGGTTTCTCGGCAGCCCAGAAGAGTTTAAAAGCAAAGGGCTGGAATAAGAAGGCTGACTAACTGGCAGTGTGGGTGGTAGTCCTTCCTTCCTTTCTTTTTTTTTGTTGAAGTGGTGGAATAGTGATATTGGAGGTTCCCGAAAGGATATTGAAAGGTAGAGTGCCGTTGACACCACTGGCTTCGATGACCACCACCACCACCACCTGAACTGCAGTTCTCCTTCCTGTTTTCTTTCAGCCGAAATGACTGGAGGGTGTGGAATGATTGATTCGGTGGCAATGATGTCGATTTTGGTAGGATGTCGGTCTATTCACCGCGTTAGTCCGGAGGGTTTAATCGAGGGAGCCGTTTAGCCAGTTGGCGACAGCTTGGGTGTTGGTCGTCGGTTTTCGACTCGGATTCGGACTGGACTGGGGGGGGAATCGACCTTTTCTTTTGACCTTTGGACCCTGCACAAACGGGCGCCCTTTTAAGATCAGCTGGGAAAGGAAGCTGATTTATACGGAATGCTGTTATTTAATATTCAAATACTGAAGGTGAGAAATAAAAAGGAAAGCAGGATTCGGAATTCGGGGAGGGCAACGAAACATACCAAGGCTCTAATACTGCAGGTTGATGGAATCGAGAGAGTGAGTGAGTGAGAGAGCGGACGTGTCGAACGTCGGCCAATGCCATCCAGCCAACCAGCCAGAAAGGAGTACTCCCGACTTAGTCTGGAAGAAGTCCGACAAGGGCCTTCTGGTCCTTTTTCTTGGCCGTTGCGCACTCTTGCAGCTGCATAACTCCCGATGCGATCACGAATATGCTAAGATAATTCAATCTATTTGACCCCATAGCATAGCATAGCGTAGTAGGTCATTGCGGGAACGCCACCAACTGACGGTCTAAGGCAAACTAGCCGGCATTTCTAATTCAGAAAAGGTTCCCCTCGATCGCCATCTATAATGTAGACTAGTACCAGTCGACAAAGCTATAATACTGTACCGAACTGGATTAGACTTATGATGCAGGGATTATGGATCGAAGGATTGTTTCGAAACAAATTCCAACATCCTCCATTCCCAATACTGTGTTGATTTCCATTACTCTAATTACTTCGAGTCTATATTTAATATATTTACTATCGAGGTATGTAACTAGCTTTTAACTTTGGCTTCTTTCGGTGGCTCCCTTCTTAAAACTTCCGATATCGGTTTTAGATTCTCCTCCGATAATAAATTTTATCATTTTGGAGTAGTACACGATGATATCGTTTCAACCGAATTCAGCCCTACTCGACTCGTTCGCTCGAAGTCTATAAATCATAACCTTATTTCACAGCTTCTCAGTGAGTTTAATTTATGTTTTTTTTTATAATTTCTAAACTTTAAAGTTTTATTTCACTTTTGCTAAGCTTCTGGAGTGATGCATCACAGACCCATAACCATAATGTCCCATAACCTTTTTTTGTTTTTTGTTTTGGTATATTTGTTATTCAGCTTAGTATATAATTCTGTCATTTTAGAAGAAAGATATATTAAATCATTTATCAAATTTCAATTTCAATGCGCCTTATCCGTAATTGTCCCCATAAGCTAAGTACTTAGTTTTCTAATGAAACCTGTTTCCAGTCAGTTAACAAAAACCTTATCTCTAAAAAGAACATTTTCACAGCGGATGTTGTGCAATATAAACAAATACCGCTTATGCGGACAATCGATATCAATCCAATAAAACGAAGGTCCCCTGCATACAAAGGTATACGCACCAGATATACATCAACATCGATATCAAATATATATTAATACCGACCCATACGTCCACACCCGTACACCATACTCACAAGAACGGAGTACGATCTATAAACTCAGCCGCTATTATATATACCATCCTATCATGGTCTTAACTAGTCTTGTATTAAAACGCTTCGACAAGACTAGGTCTTAACATAGTCTTAACATTAAAACCCTTCCAAACTAATTAACTGTAAATCAATTATCAATACTCAGCAGTAAACCCGGTGCACTCAAATTAAATCATACTTCCTCCACCCTGCATGCATGCATGCATGATCAGTATCTATCCGTCAATCGATCTAGAATAGTATACGTAGGTTGATATTCAAATATATTCCAATCAATTAGTTAATAATTTAATACACACTATCTACCTAGATACCTAAATACTATAAATCCAAAAAAAAGAAGAAAAAAACCACCGGTTTTTATTTTGCAACCAAGGACCCGTTCCATCCACAAGCCACTATAAAAAAAAACAAAAAAAACAATAGGATAAATTTAAAGTGCATGCAATGGGTCCATGGATGGGGGGGAAATATCATCTCGAGGACAGCAATCTAGAAGCGCTAGCCCCTCATTTCCCATCTACGGCGAAAATTTCTTGTAGAGTAATATAATTTTTTTCTTCTTGTTTCTCTTTCTGATCTGATGTGATTCAAATGGATATCATTGGAAGTCCAAAATTCCACAAAAGGAAGGGAAAAACAGAAAAAAGTAATACGATAAAGACTCAGTATACACAAGCAATGAATAAACTTCAAGAAAAAACAAAAGAAAGGAAAGAAAAATTCTTAGAAATCCCGAATCATCAAAAAATATTTCCGAAAGAAACCTCCGAGGCGATATCAGTATCGCTGAAAACTGACAGCCCATAGAGAAAGTGAAGTGAAGTGAAGAGTGAAGAGTGAAAGTAGTTTTGTCAAAGCAAAGATGTAAAAATCTCATTTTTTTTGGCTCTCTCGTGTGCGTCCGTCTGTGCATTATTTCATATCCAAGAAAAACAAGGTAGAAAAAAAAGATATGTTCATCGAATCTTTTGGGGTAGTAATAATAAAAAAAGAACGCCCTTTATGTCTCGTTTCTTTCCGTCAATGTCCGTTTCTTTTTTGTTTGTCACGTTAATTGTACCTGGTATTTGCTTTTGTTTGCCCTTTCGCCTTGTCTAGAGTGGCGTATCGTTTTGGTCGACGTTATGCTGGAGTATTATCATTAATTAGCTTTTTTTTCTTCTCCTTCTTCTTCCTAGGCTATAGGAAAAATATATGATACTCACATAATCGAGAATCTCGCTGTACATCATGATCTTCCATGTGTCAACTGGGAGGTCGGCGTCATTAAAAGACCAATCGAACTTCTCAGCCGCTACGGGCTCATCTGAGGGATCGTGGTACGGAGCAAGGTATTCATGTGCTAGAGCTTGTGCGGCTGAGATTCTCTTCTTGGGATCGAAGACAAGCATTCGTTCGAGCAGATCGACCGCTACCGCCAATTATTAGCTCCACCCCTAGAATATCGGATGGGTTCGTCTCACCAGCTGGATCAGCGTTCTTGAACTTTTGAGAAAGTGGGATACGTTCACGTTTGGGTAACGACTGGACGAATCGCAGTGTCTAAGCCGAAGAAAAATATAAATTAGCGATCGACAAATATCCAATCGGAGGCATCATCAAAAATTGTACTCACATTCTCGCTACAAATAGTATGGATAACGTCCTCTGGCGGGCTTCCTAGTAGCTCTGTGATGATTGAAAACTGGTTGACGTGGTCCTTTCCGGGGAAGAGTGGCTTTCCCTCCAACATCTCCGCGAAGATACAACCTGCACTCCAGATATCGACCTCGACATCGTACTTCTGCCAGGTCAACATGATCTCCGGAGCACGGTAGTATCTTGTGGAGACATATCCGGTCATCTGCGGATCCTGGATTCGAGCAAGTCCAAAATCGCAAATCTTCAAGTCGCAGTTTTCATTTACCAAGATGTTACTTGGTTTCAAGTCACGATGGATGACACCGGCCGAGTGGACATATTTCAAACCTCTCTGCGATTTTCGAAAAACTGCGGTTAGTTGGGATTTATGGGGGCAAGATGTTGATGCTAGGGTAATTGGAACGCCTTACTAGAATTTGATAAAGGAAATATTGAATGAATTGCTTCTCGAGCGGTCTGGATGTCAATAGCCTGTGAAGATCCGTACCGAGGAGCTCTGTGACAAAGTAGCTACAGATTCCGGCCCGTTAGTACCCCGAGAAAGGATATTTTTAAGCTTCGAAGAAAGAAAAAACTCTATGTGAAGCTTACATGTCTTCGAGTGGCGAAATGAAGATATCGCTAAGACTGATAACCTAGATTGCAAATCAAACCGTCAGCAAGGTAGGGGAAAAATAAAGGTGAACAAAGCTTTATCGCCGGAAGTTAGCGGGTTGGCGTACATTTTCATGCTTCAGATGCTTGAGTAGCTTCAATTCTCTGTATGTTCGTTTCGAGAGAACCGGTGTGCTGAATGGCTTCATAATCTTTTTGATGGCGACGGGTTGGCCGGTAAGTTGGTCCTTTGCAGAGCTATTTTTGCAGGGATTCGAGGTTAGGAATTGGAGGCTTCCGGTGGTTTTAAAAAAAGTTAGGACGTGATTTTTTCTTACCAAACGAGCCCAAATGCTCCCATACCGACCGGCTGCAAGTCTGTGTACCTGTAATTTTCATTTGAAGTCAGTCGAGTCCTGCGATTTCATGGATGCCGGGATGTTCTATGGTATCGTGAGGTTGTCCCGGCTGGGGCGCCTCTGACGTCTATGACGACATTTCGCCAAAAGGAAAAGGTGGGTGGAGGAAAAATTCGCAAGGGGGGGGCAAACAGGCACAACAAACGACCAAGGACTACGAACCTGCTTGTGATCTCGAAAGTAGTGCCGAAAATCTGGGCGCGGATGAATTCTGCCATTTTGAAGGTATTTGTATGGTGGACACGGTTGATGTAAATGTCAAGGATAAGGATGAGGCAGAAGAGGAGGAGGAGGAAGAGTAGGAAAGAGGAGTGAGAGGGGGGATTGTCTGTCTGTACGTCTGTCTGTCGGTCGGTCGGTCGTTTGGTTGGTTGGCTGGTTGGCTGGCTGGCTGGCTGTGGGTTCCAAGCTGCCTGGAAGAGAAGCAGAAGAAGGAGGGGTTTTTTGTTAGTGGTGTTTGTACAGGTGCTGGAGGAGATCAACAATGCAATGCACTACGACTGCAACTACAGCTAGCAACCTCGTCCAGAGCAAGATCAGGATCAGGATCAGGATCAAGATCAAGATTAGGGCAATGAAGGAAGAATAAAACGAGAAAGAGAAAGAGAGAGAATAGAAAAACGGGAGGAAATGCTTACTCTCCAATCGGCCGGTGAAGGCTCGTTAAAAAAAAAAAAAAACGAGTAGATCGCTTTGTCTGCTGTGTTCTCGCTGTTTCGGTCAAAGCCAACTAGACTATGGACTGGCTGGATGGCTGACGGACTGGGAGGCAAGATTCAAGCTAGGTTGAGGCAAGAGTAAGCTTAGGTTTGAGCCGGCGGGTGGATCTTTCTGGAAAGGTATCAACGGGAGGGAGTTGTTCGATGATTAGAAGAGATTGGAGTTCAGAGAAGATCTTAAGAAGAGGTGAGATAGTATACAACTGGGAATTGGCTTTTTGGGAATCAATTGTTTCTCAAAGTTACCAACTTAACAGCCGGGTCTTAGAATAAAAGGTTTAAAAGAGAAGAGAAGAGAAGAGGAGAATAAAATGAACTGGCTGGTAGTCGTTCTGAATCAATCGAATTCTAACCCTAATACGAGGAATGTAACTGTGATCCACGCAAACAGCCGAAGTATCTACTACCTGCTAGTTTTTATATACCTGGGTAAATGTAAATGGGATTCGATTTGGATTTTGGGGAGGATCGCAGCTATCATATACTATCCATCCATCCATCTAGCAGACCAGACGAGCTCGAGAGGGCGGGGGAACGGCGACGATTCTTTAAACCCTCAGCTACATAGCTAGCTCTACCTAAGCTACTCGAGTACATACATACATACTTCCTTACGTATCCAAGGTTTTTCCACCCTTCGAAATTCGAACAGGAAAGAGCCCTGTCAGTTTTTGTTTGCAGTTCTCTCGATCTCCACCGCAAAGTCTGATGGATAAATACTAATCACGATACACGTGAAGCCCAATGCGTTTAATGCCCTTGTACCGGTACTTTTTTTTCTCCTTAGCTTCACTTACCTTATTTCAGTTTTTATTTTTTTTAGTCAAATCCATCGATGACGTCGTGGCGTTTTAAACCTTGTCCCCACCCGCAGTGCTGCACGGCTGGGCAGGGCATCAATATTGGCATGGGGCTGGTCCGACCAACCTGCAACATGCAACAGTTATGTAACTAGCAGGGCACGAGCATGAGCTTATACTGTAACTACCTACTTAACATACCTGTGAACCTGCGGAGAACAACTTGGATTGGACGAGAAAGACCCCAGGATTCTCCGCATGATTCGTTCCCAGTCCTGGAAGTGGAACCGTAACTGCAACTGGAATTGGACCTGGAACTGGGCCTGGACCTAGAACCGGAAGCTCAAGACTTACCTCGAGCTGTTCCTTGGTGGCGCATTAACCCTCGCTTCTACATACATAATATACAATTCGAACAGGATGGACTGTTTACGTCAGAGGTCCATGCGCGTTTTATTTTCTTTCTTTCCCTTTTCCCCGGCAGCCGGTCCCTTTTTCATTTCCTTGTTCCTGTTCCCTTTGCATTGCATTGCTTGGAGTGTGGAAATAATACAACAGGCCAACTCTTTTCTGCTACATGTCTCTTTGCATACATTCTACTTCTTGTTTTTTATTTACGACATCGACTTCATCTATTTTATTTATTTTTATTTTATGTTATTCCTTTTATTCTATTTTATCTCGAATGCTAACCATCAAAGTCTAACAATAAAAAGCCACTAATCCAGAACATCAATTCCAGAATGTATCTCACACAACAGTCACCCCAACCTCAACCCTCAACCGATGCATGGTCCTAACATGCACAACCACAACGTCAATCACCGTTCTCCCCGGTCTCCCAGCCCTAAAGAACTTCTCCCCAGGTCCTTCATCATCACCATCATCCAGCACCAACATGGAAGTCAACCCCCAATCCCTCACCCAAAAACACGGTTTCCCGTAATGATCTCTATCCTGTCTAACCCGAACCACAAATACATCACCAGAACGGACTATTATATTCTTTCCAGACTCGATGAAACAGTCCTTCGGAACGATTTTTTGTGGTATCGTGGCGGGAGTAGCAGCGAAGTGGGTGTCTAGCTCTCGAGCGAGGTTGAAGAATGGGATATTTATATCTATACATTTATCACATAAATCTCAACGGTTAGTATATATATCACATCAGGGGTAAAAGAAAGGAGAAAAGAGAAGAAACATACCCCCCAAAACCTTCAACCTCGCAAAAATCGAATATCTAACCCAACTAATCCCATCCCCATGAACCGCATAATGTCCAATCCCCGACTCCCCCAACGGTTGCACCGATTTCACACCTTTCACCTTCACAACCTCCCCAAGTCTCCTTCTAAACATCTCCTCCGCCACATCCTCCCTATCACATTGAAAAACCACAATTCTCCCACAAACTCCACTAGTAGAAGTAGTAGTAGTAGTAGTAGTCTTTAAATACCTCCCCGGAATCTCAAACTTATAAGAAACCCCACAAAACTCATTTCCAACTTCCAACTCTTCCTCCGGCACCACAAGGTCTTTAGCACACGTCGCATCCGGTGCGATCCCCAGGCATATTTTAAAAACCCCTGATATGGCGGATAAGGATATATCAGCATTCGATACCCGACCAGAATATACAAATCTAGGTTCCGTATCCAACGTTCTACATTTTTGAAAAATGCCGTCGTCGTCGTCGATGATAGAAGAACCAAAAGGATATAGACTTGGTCTGCGAGAGTCGATGGAGTGGTCGTTGGAGTTATTAATAAGATTTTCACCATCCATGAGGTTGGATAATTCGTCGGTAGACATGATTTCGAGAGTATTCAGTGATGATGATAGTGATGATACCGGTAACTCAGCCATCATATCTTCTAGCCTCGGCGGAGGACTGTTTGTATATCGATATCCACCTTCACCGATTAACCCAAAATGTGGTCTCGCGATCAATACTTCTTCTTCATCCTTCGAATCAATATCCGGCATCCAACCAGTAAAAACGTCCCCCATAGTCTATAACCGTTCATAAGAAAAGAAATAAAAAATAAAAAACAAAAAATAATGATAAGAATATACCACTATAAACGTAAATTTGATATATCACCGAATCTGAAACAGAAACTCGTGTTTAAAAAATAGAGGTCTTCCCTCCCATATGTAAATCTTTCTACAAATAGAGAAGTAACCGTAATGTCTTTCCAAGGTAATTCGCGATCCATAAAGGGAATATGCATGAATATCAATTAAAACCCCCCCACAGACCGTACCCAATCGCATGGTAGCGTACCTCGCGTGCTTCGCAGATCGGTAGATCGATCATCGTGGCATATGCGCATGGCATTTATACCTGTATAAGCTAGTTCCCTAGTCGACGCGGGTCTGGACTATTGACAGAGCGGGCCGGCAGGGCAACTTACGAGGTAGTTGAACAAGTACTCAGCTAGTCAGCACTCGGGTAGTCTACCTTGTAAAGTATCAGCAGGTATTTTACTCCGGTAGTTTACTTGAACTACCTTTATGTACCCTATCTTTTGGCTACAATGTACACCTCCGCTTTTCTCCAGGTAAAACAACCCCACCATAGATCTGAAATACATAGCATAAAATCTGCTACGATGCTACATAAAACCTCTACCAAAACAAATCGCTTTCGAAGTATCAAGTATATACTGTCCCTACCCTATTCAGTCTCACATTCAAGCTCCCTTGAATTTTCGCACGTTATTATACTATAGCTCAGTAGCTACCTACCTAGCTCGCCACAGTCAACCTCCAAGACCAAGTCAAGCTTAGGAGCTCACCCCCCAAGTCTATCCCCGCCACTAAAAACCCCTCCATGCATGCATTAACCCCCGCCACCAAGAGGTACCCAAGTACCAGTACAACAGTATTTAACCCACCCATAGTCTACATACCCAGTTTTCACATAAGCAATATAAATTAATTAAAGACTAAACCCGATTTAATCCACATGCGAAAACGTTAAACTTATAGTGATACAAACTTAGTTGTCATTGCTTCGAAACACAGTTTTTAACTTAATTAATGCACCCGACATGGAAGACGTCAATTTATTGGTATTGGCAGGTACTGGTAATTCTAATGCTAGTTAATGGTAACGGTAATGCTAAAGCTAATAATGGTGCTAATGCTAATGATAATGCCGACATTGATGCCGATGAAGGTACAAAATGGATTTCCTCCATAGCGTTGGTTGATTCTTGGGACTTTATTTTAGTCGTCGTCGTAGCCACATCATCGATCATAAAGCGTCGTGGTATTGGTATATTTCATAATAGAATTGCTAATGCATTTAGAGCAATGGTCTGGAATAAGAAGAATAAGATAAAAACTGAGGCACATTCTAGACTATAACTATACTTCATGTACATGTCTAGGGTTTTCCAAACCGATTTCAAAGATTTTCCGACAAAAAATGTCTTCATGAACTATTCGTGATGCGTTGAGATAAATACCAACGTATTAGATTGCGCGCGGTCCATTTATAATTTTATATGTTTCGAGGATATATCCCATCGAGGAGACATCCCCTTTATATTCTCCTTTGCACTAGCCTTGAAGCCTGTTAAGTAGCTAGTAGTAGTGGTATTGATTGAATTAGAACCTGCTGATTACGTAACATCTGCCCACCAACAATTTGATTGATAGAATCAACCTTTCGAAGGCAAGTGCACGTAGAGATGAAAGCTAGAACTAAGTGAAAAACTAAAAAATAAATCTAAAAACTAAACAACTTTCTTTGGACGTCTTCTCTTCTTTGGTTCGGAGTTCGCTCTCGAGGCCTCGAATTCTTCCACCAGTTTAGGGGCATTGATATCCTTAAGTGACACCCATTGATTCTCTAGATCTCTTCGGCTGGAAGCTCCTTCCATTGGACAAGAAGAATATCTGCAGATTGCTAGTGATGATTCGACCGCTTTAATGCCTTTCTCTTTCTTCTCTTTCTTCTTTCCTAGCGCCTGTATTCCAAATCCTTTTCCAGAACTCAAATTTGTAGTTCAATAACATCAGCCACCCCGGATCCCCGTCACATCTGATCGACAAAATGCCACAGCCAATAAGCTCCTGGTAGGATAGCCACATCTTTCATATAAATATCTTTCCAGCTCAAAGATGGGTGAGTGTGATAAATGATTCCTCAAAGTTTATACCGACCCCCCAAAAAATTGCACCCAGCCCCTCCGCCTATAGAACTAGAACCTGAAAGATTCGCCAATGTAGAGGTGCTGAAATGGTCCTTCAATTTTCTCGCTGCCTCGAACTATTATCCAAAATCGACAATGGTATATATGTTCAAGTCAAGAGGTGGGGGGTTTCTTCAATACCCCGGGTGGCAACTGCTTTCTAGTTTCTAGGATGAGAGGCTGAAGCTTCTCATCGACAGTACGGGCCATGACCCCTTGGATCTCGCGCTCAACGCTGGGAGACATCTCCGACAGCTTGAAGACCTCGGTTCCGATTCGAAGTCTTCTAACAATTGCTTTGCTTTGTCCCGGGCCAGAATTAATTCGGGGATTCGCGGTCGTATTTTTTTGTGTGGGGCTGTTTGTATCCGTGCACGGGCTCGCTGGAGACGTAGAGATTTGAGAAACGGTATCTCCATTAATACTGAACCTATGGAACACGATGTTCTACGGCCGGTCGTGATGGGTCTTGCTTATATCTTAGATAGTGTATAAGTAGTAGGTATAGGTAGGTAGGTAGGGAAGGATGATGTAATGGTAAGGGGGGACGTGAGCGTTGTATCCTTCTGTAGAATATTTATACTTTACTTAGATAGCTACAACTACTTAGTAATATAGTTGCTTTTCCCGGTTTAGATAGCATAATTATTATCGATTTTTATGCTACCAAATTATACACAAGTAATTACGGTGAATATCACGATCATCTTGCTGGTGTCTTCTAGAACTTTGTGGGAGACTGTAGACATGAACATGTTGGGGGGGGATTTGAGAGAACCTTTTGGAAGAAAATAGTACTGTTATGATATTCTCAACTTTCTATTCAAGTGTCATATTCCACCCTTGTATACCTATACCTAATATTCTCATGCCATGGTCCCTAGAACACTTCGTATCGTATATACGGTACTGCCTTACCACGTTTCATGGGAGTATATCTGTGGTATTTTAACTAATTTTGCGTTGCCCTCCATATAAATACCCATGACTGGCCCCAACCAACGGAACCAGCCCCCAACCTTCTTTCAGTACCGAAGCTTAGAACAAGAAATATTATCACTTTTGATGGAGATGTCCGCAAGATAGTACAACTAAGTATATTTTATATATTACCTACCTCTTATATAATATCCTTATTGATCACCAGTCTCGACCTATCGACGGCGAGACTACGTCGATGGTATAAATCGCCAGAAACAAACTATTGAAGTACTTGTGTATTTCACGCGATGGTGTTCTTGAAGCCATCACAGAGTACCTAATATGATCAGGACGTCGACGTTATCGATGTTATCAACGATGCCGTCAAAAAATTCGGTAGCACCTGATAATGAGACGCCACTGGAAAAAAACTCTCGAAAATGGTATGGGAAGGTGTCCAAGGGGCACTTCTCCAAAGTAATTACCTATTCAACATGATTTTCTAGCTTGGCTATCAGGCTTGTGGCATTTCGACATCTCATAGACTCCGAACTTGGGTAAAGGTGAAGGAAAAGTAGGCATGTATTATCAGCTGAACTTGCCTGGCTTTGAGGAGCAGCAGGAGCAGCAGGAACAGGCTCTCACCGAGCAAACAGAGGAATCAGATCAAGAAAAAACGGTGGATCACGATCACGAACCACCCAAGCATCACAGGCACACAAAGCCCAAGGACAACCATGATGTAATAGGTAATAAGACATATTTTTAAAGATCTATACGGCTATATGTGCAAGGTATTTAAAATCAGAGCACGCCCCAGTCCTCGCTTTAACTTCTCCTTATTTACTATTTCACTACCGTCTTACGTATAGGACCAACCCCCACCTTCACGCTTCGGTTCACCGAACTGTTCGATATCACACTTTGATCTCAGACTTCAAAAGAGCAAGGATTGCAAATGAAACAATCCGGAAACCGGAGAGCAACATGTTTGCTTCTCGTACTTCGACGTACAGAACAGTTCATATGCTAACCCTTAGAATAAAGACTCTATAAAAGGTAAGAATGGAGCTTATAATGATAAAATACCCTCTGATAGCACTAATTTTCTTAACTTATTTCAACCAGAGAACTGACAAATTTACATCTAGTTTCCTCAAGATCCACCCGCTAGGTGTGTAGGTGAACATGCAATCCCGCTTAGCGGCACACGTATACATTCGATTCTCCATCGTAAGCGGAAGTGTATACGTAATTGGGAAAAACAACTAACTATATCAAGCCGACTACATCGACCCCAGATGGACCAACCAAGGGCTTGGACGAGATCGTATGAATGCGAACCGTACCCAAACCGCCCCCGCACCATGAATTCACCACCCATTCCCTTTCTTAAGGATTTCTTTCTCCCCTGGTTCTGGGTGGCCCCCGATACCCATCCAATTAGTCTTTTAGGACCCTGCCACCCTCAGATACCTAGTTCACAGACGAGGAGCAAGAATCCGAGAGTGGCCAGAGTGACCATGAGAGACATTTCGCGTCAGTTTACGACGACTCTGCCACAGTGTCAGCTACAATGTCAGCCCCACCCGAGTATAAAAGCCCGTCAGCCCCGCCTGGGTACGTGAGCCCCCCATACGAGGGCTGGCCTGACATCGATAATATGCCGAGATCAGTTAAACAGGCAGTTCGTCAGTGGAGAGACGGGAAGATTGACAACTCGGAGTTGGAATCGCAGATTCCCCTGTATATCAGGCAGAAGGAGGATGGTAGATTCTCAAATAAGGCCCGAGTAGACCTCTTTCTCGAATAAGGCCCGAGTAGACCTCTTTCTCGAATGGGGTGTCCGAGCAGACATTCACCAGACGGATCTTCTCAGCTTGTTCCGGGGTAGGCTTTGGGTAACCTTCGGATAGTTCTGCGGGTAGTTCTGGTTCTGGCGTAGATATAGGTGCATGGTTAAAAAGATAATAATATCTACGACGCTATCTCAATTACACAAGTGACCAGATATCCACTTTCAGATGCACAATAAAAGGCAAAAGGGCGAGAGAGTAGTATTCTTCTGCAGTCCATCTCGTGTAATGAGAATTCTACTGTGGGATGCGATCATAGCAATAATTGTAAGTTAACTAGATTCTTTTCAGTCATATAATCATATATACTTCACACTCGCTGTTTCCTCCCCCTTCTTTTGTTTCCCGCGAAGAAGCTATGAGGAATAGTACAGCTAGCTAATGGGTGTAATATATTTATAGAACCGGCAAGGCGCCATCTTTCCAGTGGGTCAATATATATACAAATAGTAGATTGGAACGTTAAGATTAAAATGGGTGGAAAGCAGCACTGGTTCCAGCTGGATCCAGTTTATGAGATAAGTGGAAAACGATGGATTAAATGAAACCGGCGTATTGTATATATTCTCGAGATGTATAAAACCCTCTAGCTTTTTCGGATTTGCAGTTCACTGGACGGATTATAATTATAAACGTCAAAATGTTTGTTGGAATTTACCTGCAGGCAAGCTGAATTGCAAATCTTGGCTTCTGTACAGAGCATTAACTACAGCCTAAGTTCGCCGATAGCTGATCGATAATAGAGTATCTACAACCCCCAACGGAATAAATAGACATTCTTTTTTTCAGTATTTGAACATCTCGAAGAGCTTCTCGTCAAGCTAGCTTGGGTGACTAAAGCCAATGAATCTTTTCCAAGAGGTACCTAATATTAATATTCTGTCTCAACTAAAAAACCCGCACGGCCAATGATAACCAGATCAGATCAACAGGGGCGCATTTAAAGTATTTATTCGCGCCCGCCGTCAGTGATATCATCCCGCATCCACATTTAACACCTCCCAAATCCTAACCCAATACAAAACCCAATGCAATGCAATGTCACCGCCCTGCCCCCCCTCACCCGCAACCTTCCCACAATCCACCCCCCCCTCTTCAAACCTCCTCATCAAAACCTTACTAACCCCAATAACCCCCCAAACCCTCACTTTAACAACCGACATAACCCACCTCACCACATCCTTCAAAACCCGTTACTTCCGATCAAAGTCCGGTCGAGAGGCATCGATATGGGTTTTCAACCGACTAAAATCAATAATTACATTAAATCCAAGTGAGATCGGTGGAGATGTGGTTAATGTCAATGCATCCGTGGAATTGTTTAATCACTCGTGGGTTCAACCGTCTGTTATTGCGAAGGTGGTAGGGGGTTCTAATACCGTAAATACCTACTTACCTATCTACCTACATCCCTTGGGTACTTATGTTCTAATGAAAATAAATATGTAAGACAATAGTCCTCTCCTCCCACATCGACTCTCTAAACCTCCACCTGCCGCATTTCCTCCCAGCACCGGGCGCGAACGACGATGCATCAGGAGTAGCAGCTTTAATCTCAATATTCCAAATCATAATATCCTCCAACCCACCTATCAAATTCAAAAACACCTTGGAATTCCATTTCTATTCGGCGGAAGAACCAGGGTTCTGGGGATCAACCGATGTTTTCAGCAGTTATAACAAAATGTACAGAGATATACATTCCGTCTTACAATTCGATATGATCGGTCGAATCCCCCCTACGAATAACAAACAGAAAGAAAACGATAATATACAAAAATCAAAAGGAGAAATAGGAATTGTTAATGACTTTCTCGATGAAGGGTTTAAGAAGTATATCAAGTTAATAGCGGGTGAATATACTGGTATTAACACGGTGGATACATATTGCGGATACGCGTGTAGCGATCATGCTTCTGCTATAAGATATGGATATCCAGGTGGGCTGCTAACTTCTGGAAAACTTGAGGATGGATTGGCACGGGAGGATGATGTTTCACATACTAGGTATGATACGATGGATAGATTGGATTTATCGCTTATAACGGAGTTTGTGAGGTTTGGAGTCGCTTGGGGGGTTGGATTGGGGGTTGCTGATATTAGGATTGATAATCGTGGAGGAGGGAGGGTGGAGGATGGGAGGAGAGGGTATTTGTGTGATAATGGGTATCCGGATGGATTTATGGGTGGGGTAAGAAGGTTTTCGGCGGCGAGAGCGGCTGATCCTTTGGGGATTGGATTATGGATTTTGATGTTGGCGGTCATCTTGGGGATTGCGAGGCCTTGGGAGGAAGTTCCGATTGTTATGAAGATGGGGAGGATGGTTAGAAGGGGGGTTAGGAGGGGGTACGGGGTGCTCGTGAGGAGGGAGGAACCGGATTAGATATTTGTGTGTAGAGAATATCATGGTATAACATTCCCATGATGGTGGTATATGTACTCGTCATGATGATACTGCCTATTATTGACGAAGTTCACGAACTTTTGTCGTGTCGTCGAGTTTGATGCAGACCGCCCCCTCGATATACCCGGATTTTAGTCGGGCCACTGTCCTTGAGATAACTGTCTAATATCATCGGGACCTAAGCACGAAGCCTTTAACCATAAAAGGCCAATAACCCAACTTTCCATAGCAGCAAAAAGTGTATATACCATTATCCATCACCCCCCAAAAACGCCATAGATAAAAACCCCACCCTCCATCCATTCATTCAGCCCTTCAACTTCGGCCCAGCAACATCCAGCCCTTCCAATCCTTCCATCGGATCCCCTCCACCACCTCCACCACCAGCAGAAGAAGAGGAAGCAACCCCCTTCGCCCCCTCCACAGCCTTCCTATCCTCCTCATCGACCTCATGCTTCTTCAACCAACCTTCCTGTTCCCAAACCGCAACTTTACTTCCAAGACCACTTTCCACCCTCCCGGCACCACCTTCCCTAAAACCCAAGTTCTTCGCCTGACTAACCCTTATGACCCGTCCGAATAACTCTGCTTGGTCAAAGTTATCGATTGCGGCAGAGGCATCGATGGCATCTGTGAATTCGACATAGGCGAAACCTTTCGGTAATGATGTGGATTTGTCGAGAGGGAGGTGTATGTCGGTTATTGGACCGAAGGGGAGGAAGAAGGTGTAGAGGGTTGAAGAGGTGGTTGTTGTGGGGTCTAGGCCGGCTGTTTTTTGTGAAATCGATGAAAAGGAAAAGGTTAGTGAGATGTGTTTTTTTTTTTTTTGGTAGGGAAGAAGTAAGGACTGGTTGGTTACGTACTGACGTAGATTGTGGCCTTGACTCGTGTTTCGTCGGACATTTTGGACCTGGTAATTAGATGAGATCGAGAGGTTTTTGGTTTTGATGTTTTGAGGAAGATCGAATTCGAAGAAGAGGGAGCTTAGCTTTGGGGTGATATTTAGTATATTTTTCGCGTATTGAATTGGAGCTTGTCGCCGACTAACGACCTGCACGTCTGGTCTTGGCGAAGTATTATACGTAACAACTTAGATGCACTTTAATTCTAAACCACCATGTGCATGTGCACTAGTTATTTGGTACATAGCAAGTCCTAGGTGCCTACTCAAAAGTGTCTACCGTTATCTTATATACTATACTATTAGCTATTATAATGAAGTCTCCTTAAGTACCTCTTAGTTATAAGTACAAGAAGTATCACCAAAGCTGATGCTCTTAATATTACAACAATAGCAACACAATTAAGTTTACAAATTGATTGCTCCTGCACAGAACCGAATCGCTAGTGTAGTTCACACTCCAATTGTGATCGTAACTGTAACTTTTAATACTTATGTCGGAATGGCGGAGCTTCAAGGGGTATCTAAAAGGATTAACTAAATAGGTAAGTTAATACAAAGTCATTAGATGTGTGATCGATGTATGGATATCATCGATCCTAAATACTATATGAATATCGTCAAGTTTTCCCGACACAGGATCGACCTGTATATATGAGTAGTACCTATAGAAATGTGAGATATATAGATCACATGCCTGGTGTATGCTTTTTTTTTCTGTATATAATCACTCATTATTACTCTTAGCTTAGCTCACTCCTTTTAGATTACATCTCACCTTCCTTTAGAACTCTTTCTCTTTCGTACCTCCCATTACCCGTAACTCACAATTGGTGCGGTTTATGTGGAGTAGTTTGGTGCTACTCACTACCTAATGATGGAAGCTCGAACCTGCCGGCGGTGAGAGCTGAAGTCATGGTAAGTATGAAGCATTAGTCAGTTCTGTTACGTGTACGTTGCTGGCGTTACCCTCAAGATTTGGGGTCTTGGGTGCAGCCCTGACATCAGTGCCCACAATCACAAGACACACTAAATATATCATACATCCCAGGTGGTTGGAAAGACCATGGAGTACACGACGTAATCTCTATAACCCACCTCGAGCCCGCGCCAGATGGAGGAGACCCATTTGACAGGCCGAAGACTTTCGAGGTCCCGCCCGTCTTATATTCGGCATTTTGCAATCTTAATTACTAGCTACCTATCTATACATCCATCAATCCACCCATCAATCCATCCATCCATTGGTATCCCAAAGCCTCAATCCAGCCTCACAGGTCCAATTCTAAGTCGATAACATACCAACGCTGTCACTCGAACGACTAGAGAATGCAGTACAGAACACCATCTCATCGGAACAACTTCAAAGACGTCGAGTCCGGTTTGATGCAATAAACACATCACTAAAGAATAAATTCCTTGAATCCATCGCTCCAAGTGAATAAAAAGAAAAACATCCAAGGTATCACAGTCCCCCCAAGAAGTAATAAACCCGACAAATTGAATAGAGCTAATGAAGTTGAGGAGGTATAGAAGAGTTTCTTATAACAAGATAATTCCAAAATCTTAGAATCCATTTGTTTCATTGTATACACGAATGCACTAGAGATTTCACCACGTTTCTCGGAAGAGCCGGGAAACTGCCTTCTAGGCCTGGGTAAGAGACAAGCACACCGTCTAGAAGTCCTAGTTTACTGATAAGCGCATCTTTTCAGATGTCAAAAGATTTGCGGATAAATACAAAGAATCCTCATAAGAATCCTACTTTTTTTATAGCGTCGCTCGATAAACGTTTCACTTCTACCTTCCCCAAAACCGAGCTCTAGCCGAAACTTCGTACGAATTTGATGAGAGATAAAGGTCTATGACTAGAAGGAAACGGGAAATTTTCATGGAAGCAACAGTTTTAATAGACGCAATACATCATCCGAATACTACTAAGATTATATACGAGGCATCTCTTCAGCCACCGACGAATACAAGTTGCCAAAAACTAGTATGTGGTTTTAAAATCCCTTTTTTTACTTACCCTACACAACTATTCTGAGGCATTACTAATATATATATATACTTTAGCAAAGGCCGTGATCCCAGGCTTCTCGGATAAGGGAGAACGATCCAGTCATCACCCTAGGTGATCTTTGGGCTACAGGCAGCTTCGTTTGGTGACATGTTTGCCAATAAATGTACAGCTACGATATATGTTGTTTGGGTTGAATTCAATTACTTTACATGCTTTCCTCCGGCCGAAGGGGGTTCATACGTGGACCTGGACTCGTCTGTAGGAACCTCAACCGCGTAAAAATCCTTCTAGAGAGACAATGGTGTCCATAATATTATATTCATTATACTCACCTTGAGCCTGCCCCAAAAAGAACCAGGCCCGTTTGATAGCCCCACGAAGTTCTCCCAATTGAGACTGGAGATGTTCTAGAGCCCATTCGTAAAGCACCGGCCCGGGAAACAAGTATCGTAGTTGATACCTTGTCGAGACTGCCGGCTAGACTAGAAAAAACCCGGAGGTTCGATGAATGGGTGAAGAACCCCTACAAACAGGGTTCGACGAGAAAATAGGATTTAAGCTTCTTTCAACATCAAGAAAATATGCAAACGTCAAAAACGTTATTGAAGTAGAGTGTGTGGAATTGGTGTCACTACTGAAAATAACATCAACGACGAATACCACATTATGTCATCAAAACGTTTATCGCAACGATTCCCATTTATTGTACCTAGGGGAGCTGAGGATTGGGATTTACATACACGACGGATAAAGGATCTCTTTAGCGTCCAACATGTTACAACGTGAGCATGCCGCCTCCAATATTATGTTTATAATAGATTGGATCAGATCAGATTAGCTCATTTAATGAATGATATATCATATCATACCATATCATATCATATATTGCATCAATCGAAATATAAAAAAAACCAGTCACATTCCAGTACTAAACCAGGCGGAAAAATATAACCTTATCAAAGGGTTACTTAAGCTGGGAGTAAGGTATATTTAATTGTCCACGGGAAGTCAAGTCTTTGGGATATATATATTAAATACTTAGGCAGTATATGGCTGTGGGGTTGCACGCCGACACCGACCACATTTACACTCGCATATATATCATATACTAGCTGTATACATAGCTTGACTTCATCTACTAAACATCTTCACTACACTTAGCCCAAACAACCATTTTAAATTTGTCAGTTTTAATTTTCAAGAATTTATAAAAGTAAATCATCACCATGGCTCTAAAACTACTTGCCTATATATAATCAAATCCAACACGGTGTCTAAAATACCATAAGAAATTCAAAAAAGTACCGACATACAGAAATAAGCAAGCTGAGGTACATACATACATACATACATACTTAGTACGTAAGTAAGTACCTATGTACCTGCATGCATATGCATAAGTCGCTATCTAGCTAGCAAGCATATCAAGGCACAATCACATCGATGCAGCTTGTTGATAGGTTGAAAAAAAAAAAAAAAGATTGTACCTGTAAGGCTGGATGACTGCCTAAGCTACCGCGCATGTGGCATAGCTGTCATCTCTTCCCTAGGCGTCCTTGATCCCGCCCTTCCTTCGCTCGCTGTCTTCCCCCCCCCCCCCCCCTTTTTTTTTTTTCCTGGCATATATGATCTTAATTATAATTTTTATGTTAAAAATATAGTTATTTATGGCACATATGGTGGACCTATATATGGTGGTATCCGTAAGGTAAATAGATAATGTATTTAAGTAGCTAGCCTAGGTAGCTAGCTGGTACGCAAGTATTCTTCATCACAGAAGTAAAAAGAAAGAATTGATATATTATCATCGCCGAATATATATTTTTAATACTAAATACTAAATACTAAATATCCAAGAATATTAATAGCTTATTAAGGTAATTCTAGAAAGAAAGTTTCGAGGGTGTATAAAACAATTTATGTATATTAAATTTCAATTTACTTTGTATCCACAAAAATATATATATATTTTTTTAAACATATTCTCCGCTAGCTACCTAAATACCCTCTTCGAATCCCGACAAATATCTGTCTATGTATTATAATACGTCTGTAGTTTATTCGTAGTTACTTAAGTACTTACTTAGTTAATTAATAAATACAAAATACTATTGTATAATTATAATATAAAAGTAAAGTCCCGCATTGCAGACCCGGTCCAAAAACTACATCTATGTGTACTTATATATATATATATAATAGCTGTGGTAAAAAATATAGTAATTTAAACTGCTGAGTGCGATAGCACTACCCCCTCCCTCCCTTCCTCCCTTCCTCCCTCCCGTGTATACAAGTTCCCATACATGTGCTCCCACGTGCTCCAAAAAGGCTTCCCGAATTTCCTTCCTTCCCCCCCAATGTCCTCCAATTTACTATAACCCCACAAACCAAAAAAACCCATAGAATCGAATAAATTATAAAATAAGAATCGACCCTGGTGTTTTTTTTTTTTTTTTTTTTGGGCGAGGTGTTTCGTATGTATTATGTATGTACTAGGGAGAAAGATCTATTTGATCATGATTATATTGAATTGTATTTGCATGTACGGGAGAGGAGAACATCCGGAGTCCGGATGTTATTTCGATATTAGAAGAGAGAGAGAGAAGAATTTCTATAACACTCGAAAGCGAGAAGTAGGGAGGCACCAGCAGTAGTAGTAATGGTCAAAAAAAGCATTATTATGATATTGTAATTTCGTAATTTGGAGGGGAAAAAAAGGTTAAGCTATCGAAAGCTGTAGTAGTAGTTAAGGTTTCTGGTAGGAGAGCGGATCCGAGATAGCGGTCTTCACGGCCTCTCGCAAAAAAAAAAAAAAGAGGAAAGATAAAAGATATTGCTCCCATCCGAGAACACAAAAAAAAGAAAAACAAAGGGAAACACCACCTTGTGATAATCCAAACAGAAAGGAAGAAAGAAACCAGTTAAAGGAAGAAGAGGGAGAAAGGAAAACCATGATAAACAAGAAGATATCGGCCTGCAAAGCAAAGGCAACAGAAAAGAAACCCGGAACTCCGTAAGGCGAAAGGACGATATTTTTTAATAAGGACAAACATGGGCAAAGGAGGAAAAAAGAGAAGAGTAACTAAAGGGTCAACGGTAAGGAAAAGAAAGAGAAAACATCGAAGCAAGGTCATTCGGTTCCAACTCAAGTACCTGGATGAAAAAAATTGGTACAATTCATTCAGGTACGGCCCTCCGTGTAACGTACAATACATTCGCGAACCGAGAAGGTTGGCCAAAGGGTGAAAGGGAGTAATAATCGGAGTATCGTCATCAATCCCGCCGAGGAAACCGAAACGTTCAAATGAAACAGGGCGGAAAAGTCGTAAATTTTTTCTGTCGTTAATCGAAGCCCGAGGAAAGAAGACCGTTCGTCTTATTCGTAACCGAACTGTCGGCCCGCTATGATCTTCAAAATATATAAAAACATCCGTCCAAATATTAGAGCCTCGAAATATATAGATACCCAAGCGCTGTGGTTATCGGTACGGAAAGGACACCTCGCGTTCGGTTAATCTTCAGGTTGGTTCGAATTTGCAAGGTCGCCTAAAAATGGCTCGCAATACCGCCAATAGAGAGTCGCACTTTTTCCAAACTAAAGCGATGGGTTGCATGTTGGTAGTTTTGGTCGGTTATAATATACCGGAGTCCTTGAGGGCATTCTGGAGGATCGTCTCCTTGACTGCAGCAAATACCAATCTGATATTAGATGTATCGGTGGCTTGCGTAAGACTGTTGCGGTCGTTAGTAAGCATTTATAATAGGTCCCTTAAAGAAAAAACTTACTGAGGGTATAGATTTAGGTGTGCACGATTGACTTGGTTGAATCTCCAGAGCAGGTACTTCGCGGCTCTATTGACATCCGGGCCACCCGAGTAGTCGGGGAAGTAATTCGATAATGGAGTCCGCGGCAGCTTTTGCCTGAACAGATCCACCTTGTTTAAGAAAAGGATGATACTTGTTCGAACAAACCATCGGCTGTTGACGACTGAATCGAATAGTACCAGTGATTCCAACATTCGGTTCTAAAAAAACAAGTGGATTAGCGGCCAGCGGATTTGATTATTTATGTCTCTGTTTTCCTTACCTGGTTCTGTTCCTCTAATAGAACTTGGTCGTATTCGCTCAATGCGACACAGAAAATGATAGATGTAACTGATTCGAAGCAGTGAATCCACTTCTTCCTTTCGCTTCTCTGACCACCGACATCAAACATGCTAAAAGTCTAGTTAGTATGAAGATCCAATTTCCGTTCATTCCAGGGGGTCCATACTGAATATTTAACTGTCCCATAGTAAATCGCGTTTCGTAGATACCAGTGGTTTTTGTTCTAGCGCGTAGTACATCCGCTTCCGAAGGAATGTATTCTGGCGAACCTATCCGTGCAGCTTCGGCAAAGAAACTAGAGGTAAAGAAAGGTGTCAATAGGGACTGGGACAGGGGATTTTCGAATGAGGTAGAAGAAAAGACATACTATGGTGCCGAATCCATAATGTAAAATTCGCTCTGGTGTTCTAGTACGGAAGGAACCGCCGGGTCGTCCCATAACGCGGCCACAGCCTTGCTAACGTGAAGGTCGAGAGGAACGTTCGGATCCGGATCCACTTGGAAGGTATACAAAAATTCCATATGTTCCTGCAGGTCGGATGTCAGTTCTTGTCGGTGAAAACTTGGCTCTACAGTTATCGTAGTGTTCTCCTACCTTATTTGCTTCATGCTCCGGTACAATATCGAACTGTCGCATAGCGTCTATCAGAGCCTTCGCGCAGTCGACCAAATTCTTATAGACCGTTAATCGGTAATGTTGCAATTCGTCTACTGTGTATCCGTTCTGGTGTATAATCTTCATCTGTTTCACGATGGTCGATTTTCCACTCTCACCAGATCCTGTCCAGCCAACCCGAAATTAGATATTAGACCAAAAAAAAGATGATAAAAAAAACACAGGATACACAAAATCTGGTAGCCTTGTCATCTCGGAAGATGTAGATTGGAAAGGGGAGCAAAAAAAACCCTTACCTAATAACAGAATTTTACATTCGCGTCTTAACCGCCGCGAGTCATCCATGATTTCCCTGTCTATTGCCTGACTCTTTTTCCTCTGTTCCATCTCCTCCGATGCCTCTCTCGACATGCAGCCACCCATTTTGGCTGACTTGCAATCTCACCGAAAGAGGAAAAGAAAGGAAAAACGAGAAGTGAAAAATCGAATGCAAGTAGTTCAGTCGATCGGAGAGAATGATCCTGAAACTGCGATTCTGGGAGTTCAAAAAGACCTAAGGAGAAACCGAGAGACCAAAAAGAAATATAGAAATTATAGTGTCGGAGGTCGGAAATCAAGGCGAAGATATCAAATCTATCGAATGGGGAGTCGGAACGCGATGGAAACTGCCAGAGTTCTGGTGATGTCGGAAGGGTGTTGCGAGATGGGCCAGCGCGTCGATTATGGTATAATGTATGTAATGTACGATGGTGTTGAGCGATGAATTTCCCGATCGGAAAAGGAAAAAAGGGAAAAAAAAGTCGAGACGGGTTTCCCGGCAGTCGGAGAAGCTCAGGATGGACGGGAGACGTTTTGGATTGATGATATATAGGACGATTCGATATAGGAAAGGATTCGAAGCAATCCGGCCAAGTCGAGTCGAGTTGAGTCGGTTTCGGGATTGGGTTTTTTTTTTTCGAAGGTTGGAAGGTTTTGGGGTGAGGATGGTGGATGGATGGGTTTGGATTGGTTTTGGATGGGATGGATGGATGGATGGGTGGATGGGTGGATATAATAAGTAAGTAAGGCTGTTGGGTTGTTTGTTGCTGGCTGGCAGGCAGGCTGGCTGGGTGGAGGTTTATTTCGAGAAATGCAACTGCAAAGGGGGAAGACTGGAGCACTATATAACAGACACACCACTACCGCCACAACTAGCAGTATTAAGTATGTATTATCACTAACGAAAGTAATAAGTAATAAGGAATAAGGAATAAGGAATAATAAGCAACTAATGGGAATAGGAATGATGGGTGATAGTGGTTGGGATGAGGTTAGTTTAAGAGAGGGAGAGAGTAAGAAGAAGAATAAGAAGAATAGTAGTTAGTACTTAAGAGTTAAGAAGTATAAAATCGGAATGCATTTGGGGATACAATAGAATGCTTGTTTGCTTGCTGGAGGTTATAGTTCAATGGCTGCTGCAGTGGTGCCGTAGCAATTGCTGCAGGAGACATACACTCACTCACACGCACAGGGCCAGCATAACACAGCACAGGTCGGGTCGGGTCAGGTCAGGTCAGGCCAGGACACCACAGGTCGGGCCCGTCGAGACAGCACAGGACAGCACAGGACAGGACAGGGCAGACCGGGGTTTCGGAGGCTGGACAATCAAGAATGCTCCAGTTTCGAATTCCTGCTTTCCCCAATCAATCAATCAACCCATCAACCAACCAACCTACATCATTACACACTAAAAGAAACCACTCCCCTCGAATCACAATATATCATCCAAAAGTATGTATGTTGTCAGTAAGCCAGAACTTGCCGATAATTATATTAGAATCACTGTATTGTCACTGAATAGACATCTCTCTCTCAAGTTTTAGGTATCACTGTGATCGAACAGTCCGTCGAGTGATAGTGAACAGTAGATCACAGCTAAAACATCAGAACTCCGCTGGCTCCAATCCGCAGCTTCACATTTCTACTTTTTTTTTTTTTTCCCTTCCTCCTTCACATCAGAAACCGCCAAAGGGTGAAGCAAGAAAGCAAGCGGACAGGCGAGTGCAGCAGTGCAGGAAAGAGAGAAGAAAAAAAAGGATGCCAGGCTGATGCCGCAAACGTGATGGCACCAAACATCCTTAACAGCCCCTCCAAAAGAAATTTAAAACTCCACACACAAACAGGAAGAAGAAAAGAAAACATCAGACTGCCCTCTGACAATTCACTAACGCTCACAGATACCCGACAAGACATCTCTTCCAAGTCTCGATTCGACTATCCTTACATGACTACTTGCCTGCTTTCCATGTCTGTATGAGACTATGACAAACAGACAGACAGACAGACAGACAGACTGTCGCTGCTGCGGCTTTGCTCGCATATGCTGACCGACTGACCGGCCGACTGACTAGCCGACTGACTGACTGGCTGGCAAGAAAAAAAAAAGAATTACCTCGAGCAAACCGCTCAGCCCGGAACATGTGTCCCATCTCTTTTTTGCCGAATCCCGCTTCCAATTCTCACAATATTAACCAAGTACTTGCCAATAAGTACTCTTTGATATCAAAATTCAAATTAATTATTTAGGTACCCAGGCAATGATGAAGGAATTAGATTCGCCCTTAGCTTTCGTCGATATACCGACCGGCTTACGGCAATGGTCTAATACAATATCTTCATGCTTTGCCTTGCCTTGCCTTACCTTGCCTTGCTTTTTCACCCTTCACAATCGGCGAAATTGGCGAGATGGATCCACACCTGCACGGGGGGAAGGCTGTTTGGTAACGCAGCTCACGCATCTACACACATTCAGTTGGTGGAGCCGAGGATAATCGTCCTGTCATTGATTCGGCGATATTTTCCTCTCGCTCGGTACATGCAAGTACGAAGTACTCCCTATGTAAGTACAGTACCTGCTCAAGACCGAAAAAAAAAGGGGTGCATCTGCTATCCATGCTCGCCTACTCCCGAGGGACGGTACCTGTCTGTCTTCGCGCGGGGATGGGAATTCCGGATGATGGAGACGACGTTGATCGATCCAATATTACCTCAACCTCCTATGAAGTATGGATTCAAAGGAGAGAGTGATATTATTTCTTGTGCTGGTATCTTGGGTATTGTTCTTTTTTTTTTTTTTGCTCCCGTCCTGCCTGCTACATAGCATACCATCACGGCTAAGAACTGGTCTGTGCCTGAATTCAGGAACATGTTCACATTCCCAGCATCCGTGCGCATTGCTGACACGCCTAAGCCCTATCGCCTACGCTGCACCACAGTACCTACGCCGACAGTGCAGAAGAGCTCTGTAGAGCCTCAAACCGCTAGTTACACCTGCACCGGAGAGTAAGTCAAAAACAGCCATCCATATAATTTACCCCCCGAAAATAAAAATACAGGAGACAATATACATATATGTATTATTCAACAATATAATTTACATCTCCGACGTGCCGCAACGGACTATTTCACCATTCCTCTTTTTGTATCTCCATTCCTGACTTAAGATGAAACGAAACAAATCGCATTTGTCGGAGTTATATATAGCGGGGTTTCTTTTTTAATATTCGTCAAATATACTAATATACTATATCTAAATCTCTCACTTTTCAAAGAAATTGCCGACCTTGCGTAAGAATCCAAGTAATTTTAATCTATCGATTATTTATTTTAAAAAAGGATATATTGTATTATCAATTATAAGCTTCTGGAAGGTAATTAATTCGAGATAGTCGATGTTTCGGCATCTCCCTTTTGCTCCGGCCCGGGGTTTTTTTTTGTAGATATAGATTAGAGAGAAATCGAATTCATGATCAGACCATCTTAATAAATTTAATCCCGATTCAGATATTCCAATTAGAATGATCATATAAAGAGTCGTAAGCATTGTATATTCTTCTGCAACGTTAACGATAACCACTGGAGATCTAGCGCATACACTCATTATCTCATGCTACCCATGCGCATTACTCAGACTCATGCCAAAAAGTCATGCCAGCAAGCCAACCAAGCGAAAACAAGGCTGCTTCTACCGAACCATCCTTCACCAAGGTGGAAAAGAACTCACCAACATCAGCTGAATCCTTCTGTAGATTGGAATTCGAATCATATCTCACAAGCCAGCTCATCACCCTCCTCGCAATTTCAAGCGAATAGGCTGGCTTCCCCAGAAATGATCTTTCAACAATTAGTTAGCCATCCATGTGTCCCCAGGTTTTTCGTATAAACGTGTCTGTCTATCGGCTAGCCTAACTACTTTGCTAGCCTAGTAGCTAGTCTAACCCGCCAAAAAGAAAAGGGAGGATGGGATATGGATATGGATATGGATATGGATATGGATGGATGACCGGGTCAAGGACAATAACCAAGGGTTTTGCCTGCTGGAAAACCGTAAAACCTTGCCACGCTTTCGTCGGAGCGAGAGACGAGAGACACTAGTTCCGTTACAATAATAGGCTATCGTATCTTCAACTCTTCCTTTTTAAAATTTCTTCTTCTTCTCTCTTTTCCGTCTTTTGCTCATGGTGTTTCGGGAAGGAGAACAGTTAAAGACGGCTTGCAGTGGCTGACAAAAATTTTTGATATAAGATATTCGGTTCGAGAAGTTATCCGTTCCTGTACATGCGGCACGAAAGATCCTCCCAGCCTCTAGTCTTTCCCTCCAGACGAGGGAAGAAAAAGAAAAAGGAAAAACAAGGTATGAACAGCATATCGACCGATGTCAGAGATCGAGACAAGGGTCTATTGAAGGCAAGCCGAACAGGCAGATGCGAATGCAAAAAAGGAGCCAACTTTGTACCAGCAAGATGTGCACTCTTTTTTCCATTCCTGCATATCACAGCGTTTCAGAAGCACAACGTGGACGTCGAACATGAAAAACAACCAATCACCGGTCGTCATTGACTTACAACATACTTACTTACCTATACCTATGCTATTAACGGTAGACTGGTGGCACTTGATCCAGCATATAACATCAACCCTGCCTCCGAGATGAAATAATCAAAAGATTTCCCGAATAGGGAATATATATGATTTATAGGACTCTTTTTGAATATTGGGGATAGAAGGATGCCAGGTATCTTGAAGGTTTATGCACTAAAGTTCTCTTTTAGGATTCCATGAGATTATTCATACCGTTTTCTAATCGTGCTGAAACGGATTTTATCAAAATCCGAAATACCATACCGATCTAACAAAATTCCAGAGGTTACTCTTTTTATCATAAGTAATCACTACCCATGGCCCAAAGTTCCCGTCTTCCCAATATATCAGCCCAACGCTATCGATCCAGCGCTAATTGCTAAAATATTCGAACAAAAGAAATCAAGTTTTTGGTATGTTCGCGGGACAGAAAGCAGATAGGCATCCCGCCAACTTCCTGATTGATCACGTTTGCCTCAAAGCTCCGGACGGGTTAACGCGGGACGAGCGAAATGGTCATCTTTTCCTCTGGAGCTACGAGCCGTGCTTGCTGTTCTAGCATGGTTGCTAAGTATACTTCGGTGTATAGCAAGTTTTTTTTTTGATCATGATGCCATGTGTGCAACCGTGGCGCCAAAAAAATACCGAGCCCGCCAGCCACCGATCTTGGATCATGCGATTCCAATCATCATGTCATTGGACACCTTGATTCAATGTCCTTTCCCCGGGTACATGTCAAAGGCTTCCCCAGGTGGCGTCCTTGCCGGGCTTGGGAAAGAAAATCTAGACTTCCGACTCCCAAAAGAAATCAGGTAGGGAAAGACGCGTCTAGACCTTCCGTCTAGCTATACCGTTTTCTCTGCTTTAGGTCCGTTCTTTTCCTCAAGTTATGGACCTCAGCCACCTCTTCACCGGCTAAATACACCCGAATTTCTCTGGCATAAGCAGCCAAAAAAAACCCTATCCTCGAAAATATCGAAATTTGTGGCGATGTCAGAAAAAGTACTAATATTTAGGTATCACCCTAGAGCGAGAATGGTATTAGTCCGAACGCCTCCATCCCTTCCCAAAGAGCAAACCAAAACCAAGAGCGAAAGCCTTGCAGCTGTCGCAATTGTTTCGTGATTAGTTCAGGTTCCTTTGGTCGGTACTACATACGATAAAAAATCTCAAACATGGGAATTTTCTGAAGCAAGCCCTTATGCCCTTGACTCGGAACAAAAGCTTCATCAGTTTGATTAGAACAAGGCTAAAACTTTATCTTGCCGCATTTCCGCGACAAGTTTATTGTTATGGGTGAGATTCCCTGGGAGAGATAGAATAGTCGAATGTTACTACGCTTGAATTCCTTGGTATTCAATATCTTGATAAACCTCAAGTTTACTAGGGGAAGCTTCGAAGTCGTATCTTGGTCTTTGGATGATATTACGCGGTGGCGTGCAGGTGTTCCCGAGATCTTGAAACAACGGGGGCCAAGGGAAGAATTCTGACAATTGACAGAAACAACCGGAGATATTCGCTTGGAATATGATATGATATCCACCAGAAAGAAAGGGAAAAAACATGCCAAATATGTGGTTCAAAGATACCAAGATACCAGGTTTGAATCCACGGTACACTTACTCTACCTCGACGATATGCGCGCAGACTAATGGGGGATACACACGGGCTTTACCAGGAACCCCGTATACCACGGTCCCAGTCAGTATTATATCCAACCGCTCTCTCTCTCCATCGCTTTTGTCGCCCTCGAAAAAAAGGGCCGCGTCAGAGAGCTGAAGAAAAACCTGTTACATTGAACCCTTAAACCCCAGAAAATGTCTAAAAATATATACCCACCAAAACCGTCCAACCCCTCCCCATGTCAGCGTGATATCCAACGAGAATCTTATAGGTCATTGAGCTCGAGCGCTCTTCTTCTTGTTGTCGTCGCGCTCGCGCTCGCCGTAATTCAGGGAAGTCCGAGGGTTTTTTTCTTTTAGATCTTTTAGGCGGTTTGTGTTTGCCTTTGCGCTGCAGCGGTTGCTCCGTGGACAATACTTATTTATCTGTGCAATGGAGGCGAGTGACAATAGGCGAAATAGGTTGAATGGACTGGGTAAATCGGGCTTTTTGTGAAAATGACTTTCTTATGATGATGGTACTGGGTTAAATTGTGGCCAGAAGCCACAAAACAGGAATATCTAAGTCATAGCTGTCAAAAGAGTTATATCAAAAAGTAGGTAACCATCGGAGCTCAAGATCGGGCAACCTAATCCCCAGGATCTCAAAAAAAAGTGTGGAGTTCCAACCAATTTTTGCCCCCAAAATCCAGATCCTCAACGTCGTATACCTTTTCCTTTTTTTGATCATGCGATACCTAATATCAAATCTATACCCAACGAAAAAAACTAAAGCCTACATCTTTGTCTCATGATTCACGATTTTTTTCTCAGTAGATTTACTTTTCCTTTCAAACCCTTGAGTCTCCCCGGTCCTTGTCTTCTCGCTCGCCTCTTCTCTTTTGGATTTTGGAGATTCATTTTTTTTTTTTTTTTTTATGGTTATGGTGATGGGAGATATAATCCTAGCCTTGTCGTTCAAGACCCTGCCCACCCACCATTCTACCCCATGCTTTTTTTTTTCGTCGACGAACTTCATCCTAGTTCCGTCAGTATACTAGTAGCCTCCATTACATAGTACCTCACCTTTTTTCCCTTTCCCTTTTCTATCCCCCCGCTTCGAAAGACCGATGGTGTGTGTGTGTGCTTGTGTGTATTCGATGACACACATTCTTTTGATATCAGACACCTCGTTCAATCGCTCGCTCATGCGAAAAGGCAGGAAATAGGCTTTTCGAAACCTGCATATACATATGTAGTCTTTCTTTCTCTCGCATTTCACAGAAGAAAGAACGGCGAAAAAGGGGATCATGCGCATAGTAAGTGAGCACATGAGCTCTCTTTTTTTGTTTCTTAACAAGAATCCCTTTTTTTTTTCCCCTTATGTCTCTCTCGATCAATCATGAAGCTGTATCTTTTCGCAACTTCTGGTTTAGACGAAAGGGTCTTACTTTGACTATTAAACCAAGAAACGTGTAATATCAAACAGTTACAGATGACGACTACACTAGTATATCCAGCTTCTCCTTCCAGAACATCCGTCGCAGACACTCTTTCAAGCAAACGCATTTTTTTTCGTAATTAATTAAATGTACTTCCTTTTGTAACCTTACAATGGAATCTCCTATAGCTATAGCTACATATACACCCAGCAAACAATAGTTGATATTACGCTACAGGTGGTACTTACCAATTACCCATAAATTCGGTCTCCACATTTCAAAACGCTATGACCCAAATTTCTGAAGGGAAAAAAAGCCACACACACCTCCAGAATACTTCGATTTTCGGAAAGTCGATTGTAAGAAGCCGTTAAAATTTCCTGATTTGTACTAAGGTAGAAGTCTTCGAACATTTTTCATTTATGAAGCTTATATATAAAAAAAAGATTTGATTTTTTTTGGTTACGTTTATAGAATCGAATGTATTTTCTTTCCCCTGCCGATTCATGATCGCGGATCCCGTGTGGTGGAAAGAAATAATGGGGCTCTCATTCTTGGTCATATACGTAACATGCATCGTTATCGGGATGTCACCCCGATACAAAGGAAAAAGGTTTTTTTTTAGGACTTTAATTATTTTAAATTTTAAACAAAACCGTTCCTTTCCGAATCCCCTGGAGTACTTTAGTTATGTACCCATTATTCGGTTGTTGACGGGAAGCGGATACGAGATTGATGACATATATGCATGATAACTCCTCAGGTAAGTAATTAAGTACTGACCAAGTACCGCCGCCATAAAAAACGAAATACAAGAAGAACGAGATCAATGACAAGTCCCAAAGGTACCCAAGAAAAAGAGCCGTTTTTATCGTTTTTTTTTAACGCTTTAGGAATAAACCTGCATTTCTCCCCGTGTTTTGTATAATTGTTAAATATATATATATATATATATTAATTACACGTTTTACAAGCATGCATGCTGGTTTGAAATCGCAGGAAATCGAAAGAAAAAAACGTTTATGTACCGTACGCTTGGGTGATTTTGACGACACACCCCCCTCCTTGAATCTACTGGGGGGGTTTTTTTTTTTACTTATCTGCCCGGATATCCGGGATGTGTTAATATTCCTTTCGGGGTATATAGTATATTATGGTGAAGGAAGGAAGGGGGGGCTGTGGTATTAAGATAATATATACCGTAGACGAAGTACATGAATATGCTCGTCATCTTTGGTGGTGGTCCATGGTATCAAAGGGTAGAAGGGGGAGGGATGCTGGGTTAAGAGTTTTCTTTTGAGGTAACTACTTACTTACTTAACTAGCTTGATAGAAGTGTCCTATAATTATAAGCTAGTTCAAATGTTTTTTCCTGCTGTATTATGGGAAATGTAGTTACTACCGTGGGTGACTAGATATATTTTATATTCGTATGTATTTCCTCGATATAACATACAAGAGGTGAAGTACTGTAACTTTTCGGCGTCGGACCCAAACGCCCGCCACTAACACCAGTTGGTAAATAAGGTACAGCCATAACTCGGCCTCACAGATGCCGTTTCATGATTTCGCACTGTGCTTTAGACTCCGAAACTCTTCCAACAAGTTAGGTTGTAAGTACTTATTTACATAACGGGCAGTGCGCGGTACTTACTATAAAGAAGAACCAAAGGCGGAGCTCAAAGCGTCTAAAACTGTGTAACATTCGACATATACATTAAAATTACCAAAACAAGTTATGGAAGTTTGACCCCCCCCCCTTTTTTTTTTGTTTTAGGAGGCACAGTAGGTTGTGGTTTCACCGGTTCCTTCTTTTTTTGGTGTTACCATGTGTTTTTGAAGGTGGCTTGTTGGGGGAGGAGGTTGTTATAAGAAATCCAACCTATGAGGGGCGTTTGGGGTCTTTGAAACAGTAACGACGTGCAACGCATTTGTATTGGAAAATACAACATTTTGTTGGGGGGCGGTGGGGGTGTGTTGGAGGTTTAGCTGTCGTTTTTGTTAGCTAAGGGTGTATTTGTATAAGCTGAGGGAGGAGGACTAGTAGTAGTAGTGAAGAGCTGTATAAAGGATGGGAGATAGTATGATTACTCAAATTTAATTTAGTTCTGTGGGACTTCATTATGCATTAGTTTCATGTCTTTGGTCAGTTGGTCATCTCTTAAACGCTTAAACACACTTAAAAACCTATCTATTATACCTCGGCACGTTAGAATTTAACTAGACAGCAGATCTAGGGTTTAGATATATATATAAAAGGTGGGGTCATGAAGTTGAAGGGTTTAGAAGGGGGGCTCCTCCTGATACTCACCGCCGGCGCTGGGCTTTTCGTCGAAGGGTTCGAGTATAAGAATTTGGTATGTGGATATATATCCTGATATACTGCTGCTATAAATCTTTAAGCCTTATATAGTCTTGTATTGGGAGAATACTATTTAAGAACACTGGTTCGACAGCCAGATCAATATAGAATCAATATTCGCTGACGATTCAATTAGAAACCGCTAGTAGAAGGCAAAAGTTTATACTCACCTGGACCACCAGAAATTGATAATCAGATACAAATTCGGCCTCTTTTTGGGGCAGTACACGGGAAATGTTACAATATAACCGGCGAAACTTTCAAGGGCGAGACAGTACTAAAAAGGTATCAACACTCGGACTTGAGAGCGCTTTCTGAAGGATTCAATGAAGCCGCCCGCAGCTTGTCTGACACTCAAACGTTATATACTACGACCCCGAATTGTCCAATATCATTCTGCGTGAAAGATAGCCCGTGGAACTACAAATTTTGTGTCAGGCCTGGTATAGAGGATCTAAGAGATATTAGGTTCTACAGAAGTGAAATAGCCCGTGGGAGTACTTGGATTACATGGCTTTTCATGGATTATGTAGAGGGGGTGGCTTGCGAAGTATTACCTCCCCTACCTCGAAAATCGGATTCCGAACCTATTCTCTTCGCGAGTATGGGCTATCAAAAGAATTTTACGGTTCCACGTAATAAGAACCCAGAGCTGCTTCCGTGGGAACTTCAACTATGGTATGGTGGTTGCAGTCTACAGGAGATACGGGCTGCGAAGTTAAAACCTTACCCTCCTGGATACGTATCCCCTTCGAATTCATCCGCTTTACCTACATGGCTATCAGATTCTCCGAAGACATCAGTCAGACCCTCGACATCCACTAGGATTTATAATTCTTCGACGGCTACAGTATCATCTACAATGGAGATCACACCGACAAGCCTACCCGAGCTTAACGATATCGATTCGGATGCACCCTCGACAATAGTATGGAAACATGTATATGAAGCCGAGTCGGGAATTTTGTATAAAAGAGACCATGATGTTCCGTTGGACGACCGCGGTTGGTTTATGAGATGTCACGTCGACCCACTATCCATGCCCTTCCAACAAAACGCCACTCTTGCTACCATATCGAACATAAAAGAAAGTATTAGAACCGGATCGATCCAGCCGGTCTTTGACTACCAGCCTCACCCAGAAAACGGCTGCCGACAACATTACTGTGACCCTTCTACAAACGTCAAAGTCTCGTTATGTGGCGAAGCGTCCGTAATCCTTCAGGGGAATTTATACTTAAATGAATTGATCGAAAAGACTTTACACGGATTAGTAGAAGAACCCTGTTATGAAGGACGTAATATCACATCAAATCCAAGGTTCTATAGGATCTCACATCTCCACTGGATTGGGAAACCACCTCGTCTGGATATTTTAGGTCCTCAAGTTATGATTGGTCAGCTCGAAGCGGGGATGTCATGCGATGCCTTCTTTTCTAAGCTTCAATTGGTGGAGACATCACTTTCCCCTTTGCCTTTGATGCCGTCGAATTCATCATCGATCCTTTCCATCAAACCTATGACTACCACTTATCATACGGCGCCATTGCAACCGTTGTCGACTCTTTCGGTGCACATGGCCAATCCTGACATGATAATAAATACGGACACAGCGCTTCCAACTTACATACCGCCAATGCCCAATGTCATACAGACATCCAAAAAAAAGACGGTCAAAGAATTCCCTTACTATCTCAAAGACTTTGCAAAAACCGGCAAAGGAGGAAACTCGCTTTGGTTATTTAATGAGACAGAAAAAACTGGGGGACTTGATCCTAATGGTACAATCAAGTTGCAAAAAGGATTATACAAAAATATGGCGGACAAGAAGTTTGAGACATTCGAGAATTTCCCTGATTTTATTGTAGAGTTGCCGGCCGATAGGGAAGCCTACGAGGGGGACTGTACTCATTACTACTGTGATGATGCTTCCAAGGCGTTGATTTCCATGTGTGGCAAATGGTGGAATGGTCTTCCGGCTCCTTACGCAGATACTGTACCACCATCTTATAATGTTAATGCCGGCAGACTCATAGCAAAGAGTCGATGGCTAACGTACTTTTGCAATGCAGTTGGACAAGAAAACACCGAGTGGACCAATACTTGTGATATCCACGATTACAGCCCAGAGTATCAACTCGAGCAGTCCAAAATACCTCTTGATCAAAGGAGGCCGTACCCTTTCACTCGAGGTTTGGTAAAGGAATTCTCTCCTGAAGACGGAATGATAGGACCCGCGGCGTTCAGGGTTGAGCATCTTTCACTTCATGGTGTTGATAATTGTTACGATTGGAATCAAACATTATTCTTACCAATCAACTGGTGGATGAAGCCTGATCTAAAAATACTTTACGATAGTGGAAAGAGGTATGAGAATATCGGGAATAGCACTTCTATATCTATATCGACGCCCACGACTAGCCTCGTTCCTTCTCAAACCTCAGGCATCACTGTATCGGTTACAATGTCAAACGAGGCTTCGTCAACCCTAGTATCAATGATTTTGCCGATTGATACGATGCCTGATATCCCGGGAATAACAAGTGAAGTAGCAAGTCTAGAAACCCCAGCCTCTAGCTCGTCGATATGGGTTTTAGAACCACCACCAACACCTGTCGGTCCAGACCGACCCGACCCCACAGAAAAACCCCAACCTGAGGACCCAAAAAAATTTCGGGTTATAGCTTAGACGGCAAGGGAGCCTATTCGACCAGTCGTAGTTTTGTCCTATCGGATACCTTTTTGATTATTCTGGGTTAATTCATTCATTCTCAACTCAACTGATTGGCTGTAATATCGCAGTTATTGTTCCGTATTTGACCTTAGTTAGAAAGATTTTTGTACTTGAAACGCATATTCATCCAAACTATTCCCATAAAGTCGTATGCTTGTTCGATCGTGCTTGCGTGGTTTCTCGGAAGGGGTGAAGACTGTATTTATCGTTGGCTGGTTCTTAGCTTAGCTTCGGCGCAATATTAGCAGCATAATTTCTGATGGTTAAAATGTGTTGAAAATGTGGTCGCGCGAATTGCTAATCCCGGTCGACAGTCGACAGTACACTACGTAGTGCAGTGCTACTCCAATATCAGTCTCGTTCGAGAAGCTAGAACCCGGCGCGTCTGCACATGTAATGTATATGTAAAGCACGCTGGCCTTTACGCCAGCACAGCGTGCTGCTGGTACTATAGTTAGGTCCTTGAAGCAGATATTGGAATAGACAGCATTTCTCTTGACTAATAGAACTTAACTGCCATGAGCTCCATTGAAATTTCCACCGAAAATCGAATCGACAACAATTACAATCGAAAAATTGTTGAGTGGCAATTGCAAGGTCATGATCCATGATATTGAAACTAGGCTCGGTGGCACTGACCATATTTAATCCCGGCCCATACGTTCAACGTGAGCTAGCTAGAATTTCCAATTAGCATTGGTCTCAGAGGGGTATACCACCCGAACCGTCCGACGATGCCCTATCGATAAGCTATAGCTAATCGAGGTACGCCGAGGAAGATGGCGTTTTTGCCCCACCTTCGTTAGCATGCACCTCTGCCCTGTTAACGTTAGCTTCGACAAGAAAAAACCTGCCGTCTCTTTGTAACTCTAACCGTTCCGAACTCCTCCATTCCTTTGGCTGCACCATGCAACAAAACTTATGTCCGCAGTTACTGCAGACGATCGTGGTCCAGTCTGATTGTCATATGATACACCAAAGCCGTGTTTTTTTTTCCTTTTGAGGCTGATGGTGTACTCGAGTAGTGAGGAATGTAAAAAGGTATGCGCGGGAGGGCCTAGGGGGGGGAGGGGTAGACGAGATAGCTGCATTGATGCACCCAAGGATGCATGCTTAAATTTCCAAAATAAATAATTCCCGTTAGATTGCTATTTTTCCCAGCAGCAGCCCCTCCGGAAACATGTGTACATGTATGTACGACCTATGCATAGGTATCTGTTGAACCGTTGGCGTGAATTGTAGGTGGTATGCACCAGCCCCGCTTTGGACGCCCCGCCTGCAACCTGCAGCTTTCGTCATTCTGCTTTGCAAGAAATCCGTATCACAGCAGAAGTGTTAATATTGAACCTAAATCGGATGGTCAACAAGGCAAGCATGGATTTTGAGGACGTGTTTTTTTTTATTCACTCACCTTGGTTTTTTGCATTGGCCGATATTGAGTTTCTGAAGTATCGAGGTCGCGAGGAATTTGAAATGCAATTGAGATTCGAGTACATGAAATGAACATACACTCTGGCGTTGGAGCTGGGGCCACATGCATCTCTGAATGCGCGCAGAATTCAAACTGTCCAGGAAGAAAGAGCAGAATAGCGTGTCAGTACGTAGTACCTTCGCTATCGATAAACTGGAAAACGGTGCATTCCCGGGATCACTAGCGCCGCTAACAGTACCCAACTATACCGCTTGCTATCGCAGAGTATTACTCTACGTACCAGGCCCGGGTTGCTACGTGGTGGTGGTTGTAGTGGTGGTGGTGGTGGTGTAGCTCCAAATGGCTGTAAAATTCCCAGAAGCTGACAGCTCGCTGTCTCCGCTTCATTCTGTCATCCACCTCTCCATTTCCTTCTCTTTTAAAAAGGCCTTTCCCCTCGTCTTCTGTCGTTGGAAACCCTTTTCTGCACTTAAATTCGGCGTGTTCGACGTTCTGGTCGAGATTAAGCTCGAGTCAATTGTTAACCTCGTCCGTTATATAACGTCACTTCACTAAACTCCGAAACAAAATGTCGGCCACTCCAACCCCGCCGTCGCCCAGTATTACCGGCCAGGATATCTTGAGCCAGACATTCGCAAAGCGTCCGAGACACAAGCGGACGGCTACTGGCTTTGGATCCCGCGAGATCAAGTCTTTTGAGTCGAGCGTTCCTGAACCTCTTCGTAATCTGTATGTCATATCTTGAAAACGCATGCAGAAGGGCGATTGCTAACTTGTCAATTAGGTGGAAGAAGTTTGTATGTGAAGTAAAGCAAGTGATGAAGATGGAATTGAGCTAATACGCCGGGTAGGCTGCCACTAACTTCAGCAATAAAGAACAATTCCAAGTAAGTACCGAGCTATACCTGTGTGTGTCTCTCAAGAAAGGAAGAACTCTAACGAATTTCGATTGAATAGAAAGAAGTCGTTCACCATGTCGAAACAACCCTTGCTAGATCTCTATATAACTGTGATGATCTGTATGCCTCCCTCCACGGCCAATGCCCGTGCCATTGGATAATTCCATTCGGTTTAGGGAACTAAATGAGTGACCTCTAGTGCCGTATACTCGGGTGCTGCCCTTGCTATGAGGGATAAGCTTATCATCGACTGGAACAAGACCCAGCAAGCCCACACATTGGCTGACCAGAAGCGAGTCTATTGTACGGGATTACTCTCAATTCAATTTATGTAAAGTCTAGTTGAACTTACTATTGGCTAGACCTGTCCCTCGAATTCTTGATGGGCCGAACCCTCGACAACGCCCTACTAAACCGAGACATTAAGGGATACGCAGCCGGTTAGTAGTTTAAGATTCCCCATATATGAAGATAAATATGCTTACTTGAGAGATTAGAGGGTGTTTCTGAACTTGGCTTCCGCATGGAGGACCTTATTGAACAAGAACACGATGCCGCCCTTGGAAATGGTGGTCTTGGTCGTCTCGCTGCCTGTTTCTTGGACAGTTTGGCTTCTCTTAGCTACCCAGCTTGGGGTTATGGCCTGAGATACCGATATGGTATCTTCAAACAGGAGATCATCGACGGTTATCAGGTCGAGGTTCCAGATTACTGGCTTGACTTCAACCCATGGGAGTTCCCAAGACACGATATCACTGTTGATATCATGTTCTACGGCTACGTACGTCGCTACACCGAAGAAGATGGTAGCACTGTCAACATCTGGGAAGGTGGTGAAGTTGTTCAAGCTCTAGCTTATGATGTTCCAAGTAAGATATCAACACAGATCCCGATGTTGGAAGTCGTCACTATGCATATGCTCACAATGATTCGTCAGTTCCCGGATACGGAACCTCAACGACCAATAACTTGCGTCTCTGGTCCAGCAAACCCTCAACTGGTGAATTTGACTTCCAGAAGTTCAACTCCGGAGACTATGAAAGCTCGGTTAGAGACCAACAGCGAGCCGAGACAATCTCGGCCGTCCTTTATCCTAACGACAAGTATGTTATAAGCTCTACTCGAAAGTCTTGGGTTTTATTGACAAATTTAAAAGCATCGATGTCGGAAAGGAATTGCGTTTGAAGCAGCAATACTTCTGGGTCGCCGCATCCCTCTACGATATCGTTAGACGTTTCAAGAAGTCCCACCGCGCATGGACTGAGTTCCCACATCAAGTTGCCATTCAGCTTAACGACACTCACCCAACTTTGGCGATCGTTGAATTGATGCGCATCCTTGTTGACAAGGAGCACCTCGATTGGGATACCGCATGGAACAGTGAGTGATGACTATTAGAAATTAAGCGTATCAAGAGCAAGACGACTAATAAAGCGGATAGTTGTCACCGAAACTTTCGGATACACAAACCACACCGTTCTCCCAGAAGCCTTGGAGAAATGGTCCGTCCCACTCTTCCAAAACCTTCTCCCACGTCACCTCCAGATCATCTACGACATCAATCTGTTCTTCCTCCAAAGTGTTGAAAGACGCTTCCCCAAGGACCGTGAACTCCTCGGCAGAGTCTCCATCATCGAAGAGAGCAACCCTCAAGTCATCAGAATGGCTTACCTCGCTATCATCGGTTCCAAGAAGGTTAATGGTGTTGCTGAGTTACACTCTGACCTCATCAAGACCACTATCTTCAAGGACTTTGTCAACATCTTCGGACCTGACAAGTTTACCAATGTTACCAATGGAGTTACTCCACGAAGATGGCTACACCAAGCCAACCCGCAATTATCTGCTCTCATCAAGGAGAAACTTGGTTCGTATGATTTCTTGAAGGATTTGAGCCTCCTCAGCGGATTGGAGAAGTTCGCCGACGACAAGACTTTCCAGAAGGAGGTAAGAGTTAAAATAATGTTCATTTGATTATATTTAAGAACTGGCTAACTGGAATACCTATTCAGTGGATGGATATCAAACTCCGCAACAAGCAGCGTTTGGCCAAATACATTAAGGATACCACCGGTATTTCGGTCAACCCGAGCGCTTTGTTCGATATTCAAGTCAAGCGTATCCATGAATACAAGAGACAGCAGATGAACATCTTCGGTGTCATCAGCAGATACTTGTCCTTGAAGGCTATGACTAAGGAAGAAAGGGCCAAGCAGGTGCCGCGTGTTTCCATCTTCGGAGGAAAGGCTGCTCCTGGTTATTGGATGGTAAGCAAGCCGTAGCAAGCATCCACATTCGGTACATAATTTCTAACTCATATCCCCTATTATAGGCCAAAACCATCATCCGCTTGATCACAGCCGTCTCCGAGGTTGTCAATAACGATGCCGACATTGGAGATCTGCTCAAGGTTGTCTTCATTGAAGACTACAATGTCAGCAAGGCTGAGTTCTTGTGCCCCGCTTCAGATTTGAGCGAGCATATCTCAACTGCTGGAACTGAAGCTTCTGGTACCAGCAATATGAAGTTCGTGCTCAATGGTGGGCTTATTATTGGTACTTGCGACGGTGCAAACGTAAGGGTCACCACTTTCATGAAGTATGTTTAGAGCATAAGCTAACGATTGCGACCATTAGATTGAAATCACCCGAGAGGTAAGACAGCTTTTCTAAATAGTTAAAGAAGTGATACGGAATGAAGGGATACTAATATATGTAATAGATCGGTGAGGAACGTATCTTCCTCTTCGGCAATCTTGCGTAAGTCGTCGTAATACCCTGAATATTTTATGGGTATAGCCTGGTTTTGCTGATGCAGTATTTTGTATAGTGAGGACGTCGAGGACCTACGCCACGCCCACCGCTATGGCAAGACCCCGATGGACCCCTCCCTCAAGGAGGTCTGCGACGAAATCCAAAAGGGTACATTCGGCGAACCCGGTGTCTTTGCCGGTTTGATCCACGCCTTGACCGAAGGTGGTGACTGTAAGAACCCCCTCCTTTCCCTCCCAATTCCTACTTTTTTCAAGGAGAATTCTAAACTCACAACTCTTACACCTTTACTAGACTACCTCGTCTCCGACGACTTCGCATCCTACCTCTCAACTCACAAACTCGTTGACGAGGCGTTCAAGGATACCGCTGCCTGGGCACATAATACCATCGTTGCAGTATCCAGAATGGGATTCTTTACCTCTGATCGTGCGATCAATGAGTATGCAGATGAAATTTGGAATATTGACCCCGTCAAGGTTGATTGAATTGAGTGAGAGGTTACTCTTCTAGTTGATATTCAGGAAATCAAAAAAACTCTCCTTTGTCTTTCTTTCTTTGTAATGGATACTGAACCCTTGGTGGGGTTGGTCGGTCAACTTTTTGGTTCATTGGGCGGCTTTTGGACTTTTTCTGTTTTTTTCTTTCTCCCTCCTCCTTTCTTTATGTTCCTATGAATCAATGGTGGGAGGTTTCACTCTTCACTATCCCTATACTCTCACTTTTTCCATTTTTTTTTCGATTAAAAAAAAATAGGTGGTTCTCTCTCTCTCTCTCTCTCTCTCTTATAATTTCTATATATTCCTTTAAACTAAAATAGGGGGAAGGGCTGCATATGATAGATTTGATGAGATGGTAAAAAGGAAAAATCGTAACCAAAAAAAACCCCCCGTACGTATACTTTCTTCCTAGCTTGGTATTTAGGTGATATCGAGAAATGATTAAAAGAAAGAAAAAAAGTTAAGTAGGAGGGAAAGTCCAGCCTAATGTAGTAATTTGTAAAGAAGAAGGGAAAAAGCTAGTTAAGGTAAAGCTAAAGAAAAGAGAGAAGAAGAAAAAATACATAAGAAGAGAGATATTGAATGAACTAAATTGAACTAACTCTTTGGTAGTTTTTGATTTTGACACACACACAGGGCTCAGAGGAGTTTTCTTCCAAATGCTAGCTTAGCTAAGAACATATAGACACAGAGAGAGAAGAGAAGAAAAGGAAGAAAAAAAAGGAAAAAAAAAAGGGGGGGGGAGGAGCGAGAGAGAGGAAGAACTAGCTAGATCGCTAGACGTCGACATCAACGTTGACGAAGGTACAATATTGAGTTAGAAAGAAGAAGAAAGAAGGAAGTCAAGTACTTAAGTAGTTATTATAAAGCGAAGTGAATTGATGATGGTGATGATATTTTCGAATCGTTAACACGCAAAGGAGGATAGACGAGACATACGGACATTACAACAAGAAGAGAGAGAGAAAGAAAAAAAGAAACTTCGGCTGCATTATACTCTCTTCTCCAACGCTCAAGGGGGGATATCGGTCACTGAACAAGGAACAAGGAATATAAAATGCAGACGCAAGAGAGCTAGAGAGAGAGAAGTAGAAAATAGTAGGAACAGGAAAGGTTGGATGGGGAGGGGACATTCGTATTTCGTTTCTTCGCTGCAACATAAAAAAAGACAAAAAGGGCTTTAGACAATGAAAAAGAGGAGGTTGAGATCACTGATCTTCAGGGAATTCATCCGGAGACAGTGCCAATACAGAAATGGTGATCCAACGAGAGGTGCAAAATACATGAGGACAACAAAAAAGGAGTTAACGCCCGTGTCGTCGTAAGTTAAAGGGAAATAGAGAAGGGATGATAAACTTGGACATGAGCTAACATTTTGCAAAAGGCGGTGGTGGGGGGTAGAGTTTGTAGGGAAGAAGAGAATTATTAACAAGAAGAGATGCGGGAAAATGTGGAACAGTTCTCATAGTCCAAGCGGTCGAGGGTAATGGTCGTTGTGGTTGCATCCAAGGATGACCGTGTGCAATCGATGGTGCGTTCAATTTTAGCATTGTGGAAAAGGCATATTTTGTCAGATTGGAGTAGAGGGAAATTCAGGTCGAGAGTCGGAAAAGGTAATGATGATGGTAGTGCGGAACCGAGTGTCGGACGTCAATTCAAAACCCCCTAAATATCGTGTGGCCGAGTTTATGAGACAAGATTGACGCCTGCGAAGATCGGCTTCGCATTCTCGATTATAAATTGTATGGCTTCATTCTTGGCGTGTGTGTCACGCAGCTCTAATTCTCCAGTCTGATCGCGCATCAGCGAAGGTGCGAAGACCACAGCGAGATTTCGTGCGTTCATCAAGTTTTCTTGTTGGAATCCAGCCACCCTAGAACACTATTAGTATATTTATTATAAAATGGCTGATATAAATGTGGACGTACTTAGTAAGATGGTTAATGATGAAGAAAAGGATGTCTCGATTAAGCGACGGCAACTCGTTGATAAGATCTTTGACAGCTTCCTTGCGCTGCTCAACATCCGCAATTTCTAAAGGTCACAAATTAGCCCATTCGTCTCCCAGCACGGCAACCGACAAAGGGATACTTACTAACTGAGTCCACCATACGATCGTAGATGGTATATGTGATCAATGGGGTCGGCAATTTACGGAAGTATTGTTTCAAGACGCTGGTCACAGCTGTGATATCCACATCCGGGTTCTCCAAATCCATCTCCTCACCACGTTCAAATGACTCCTGAATCATACGAACTTGTGAAGCGCCACCACCCTTTCGGTAAATACCCTCGTAATCGAGACCTCGATTCTCAACTTCAGCAAGGCATTTAGTGATGATTTGTGGGATCCGTCTGCCTTCATAGGCAACACGGGCTTCCAACTCTGAACCCAACAATGGTACTGTGCGGGAACTTTCGTTAGGCTCATGTATAATTTCACGCACGCAAGGGTTTCTGTTGGACGACATACCTGCAATCTCCTTTTCGTGGCTCGATTGGTTGCCACCCTTGAGTTTCTTGAGAAGGCCGCCACGCTGTGTTCCATACTGTTGGTTGTGATCTACCCCGTTCAACTTAAGCCCAGGGGAGTCAACCGTATGAACAGGTGGTCCATAAGCAGTACTGCTGAATGGTTGTGATTGTAGAGTCATTGGTGCATCGTGATGGTCGTTCTGATCTGATGCAAACACCCTGCCGAAAGTCTTTCCAATCCCTTTGCCAACAGCCGCGCCACCTTTCTTCCAGTTGAACTTCTTAGCGGGGGCACCAGGTTTCCTAATGTTGACAACGTGGGGAGCTGCAACAACAGCCGCGCCTTCCTCATGGAGCGTCGTGCTTTCACTAATAATACTAGTAGTAATCGTAGCAGTCGATCCAGTGTGTGAGAGCACGGATTGGTTGTCCGAGCCTGCACCATAGACGCCAGTTCCATTAGGAAGAGCAATCGGGGCAGTTACGTTCGGGAAAGCAGCTTTGTTCTTCATGAAATTTCCTTGAATACGTCTGGTTAGTTCGTTATTCAAGTCGGCTAGCTGTGCGTTCTTGAGGTTGAGCTGTTCGGTTTCCTGGATAGCTTGATCGCGAAGGCGGATGGCGGTGGCTGTCTCTTCCATCGCATCATTCTTCTTGCCTATTAAGCCTTCCAGTTCCTCCTTATGGGATTCCTTCAGAGCGTTTATGCGGCCAGCGATTTCCTGCAGTGTGGTTGCAACAAATTCGTCAAAGTTGATCGATTTTCTAAGCAGACAGTAAAATAGTTAGAGATCAGGTTCTTTGTTAGTATCAGATGTCTTAAAACTTACACATCAGCGTCAGCCAACCTTTCTCGCAGCACCGAGAGCTCAATCATAGCCATTTCTTTGTCAGCCTCCAGAGAAGCAACGGTTGTTCGCTTCTCTTTGATGTCGTTCTCGAGACTCTCTTTGATTTCGACGGATGTCTACCCAATAAATCAGTCTTAAATATTCATTTTTGAATTCTTTTGAAAATCGTTTGGTCACTCACGTTCAGCTTAGACTCAAGCTCCACTAGTTGTTGGGTCGACCGTCGTAGGGCGTTCTTCAAAACCAGATTCTCTTCCTTAGCATTTGAGTCAATGAGGATGTCAGGAAGATCAGGTGAAAGCATGCCTATACTTCTTGTTAGACCAGTTAAATAATAAGACGTTCACATGTGCACAACGTACTGCTCCGCCCAGCCATATCACTACGACTACGTCCATGTCCAACGGACCTGGAGGTCCTTCGCATAGCTGGTGACCCCAAATCAGTCGCGGGGCTAAAAATTTTGCCTATTTCTTCCTCGAAATTGAGTTCGCTCTTAAATGGAGGAAGAACTGGAGATGATCCATTCAACAAATCAAAGGAACTCGAACCACCAGCTCCATGGCTTGTTGCCGGGCGAGCTGGCATGGGGCGAACTGGTGCAATCGACGACGAGGATGAAGGTTGCGCTTTTTTGTGACCACCTGGAGATGTCTGGTTAATACTAGTAACAGACGAGGCGTAGTTGCTAAGCTCACTGTTGGTTGCCTCGATCTCGGTTTCTGAGTTGGTTTTTCGAGATACTGAGGATTGGTGGGACGGAACGAACTCTTGGTGGGAGCTTGAGGTCTTAATCGTCGAAGGTGCGGGAACTGGAGCGCCCAGAGAGTCCTTGCGAGGTTCTGGAGTAAATGAAATTGGAATTTCGATTTCCCCAGTAGGAGAGTCTTCTTCGTCGTCAGTTGGTACCTTAGGAGTAGCTCTCTTGGTTCTTGGGACCTCTTGTAGTTTGAAGCTTTCCGAAGGATTTGTGGGTTTTCGAGCGTGAGATGGAATGATGTTGTCAGCTTTTGGAGCCGACCTGGATGGAGCTGGTGGGATCGAAGAAGAAACCACATCGGTGGTAAAGTTCTGCGGGGATAGTATGATCTGGTCCGAAATAACTCCCTCCTTACGGGCCTCATTTGGTCGTTCTGTATCTGCAGCTCTCGAGTCCTCTCTTTCCCTTGTTTGCCGACCCTGGTCGCGCTGCTTCTGTCGCTCACGCTCCAGACTCTCCAACCGTCCTTTTTCCTTCTCGATTTCAAGCTCACGCTGTCGTTCAGCTTCAGCTTCCCGCTTTCTGGCTTCCGCTTTCTCGAGTTCCCATCTCTCCCGTTCTTTGCGTTGCTGCTCTTCGCGTACTCTATTTGCTTCATTGTCGGCAGCTCGTTTTGCGCTTTTTTCCTGGATAGTATCATCCGGAGATGATTGAGAATGTTGAGGGGGTGGAATTTCCACTGATTGCGTGGGAGGAATCGTGCGTGGCGCGTAGGTGTCGCTTCTAGCAACGTTTGAAGGGATCGGCGGGGGCAGACCCTCATCTAACAAGAGTGGGAAGTAGGATGCACGATGATCGCTGTTTGAAAGAAGCTCCGAATTGTCGTCTGAGACAAGGGAATACATAGACTGGCGTGATTTAGCCTTGTTGGTATTACTATTAGAATTACTTGAGGTCGTAGATTTTGAAAACTGGAATTCATTCTGAGTGGCTGGCGGTGAGTGGACGGGATATGGAGAATGTCGTGGGGTGGTTGCCATTGGCGAATGGGCGGAATTTGGTGATGCATCGCCACGATTCCGGCTCGTGGTTCCTGAAGATCCAGCTCGAGAAACCTCAGGCCTAGGAGGCCGTGGCGGTGGGCCTAACCTCTGCTGTGCTTGCGGTTGTGCCGGTTTATGTGTCGGAGAGTCGGAATCTGTGTCAACTGGCGGAGGCATTGGCAAAGCCTTATCCAGAGCCAATGACTGGTTACTGCTGACTTTTGGTTGATTCCGAGACTTTTTCCGCCGCCTAGCCATCAGGCCTTCGTGACAGCTCATGCAAAAGATGCCTTGAGAGGTTCTGGCATATCGCAAATTTTCTATCTTGCGTTTGCAGTTCCTACATCTAAAGCATCCCGCGCAAAAAGCCTGGTCACCGGTGAGGATAGCCAAATCTTCGATCTTATTGCCGCAGGCATTGCAGCTGTATGTACAATTGTTGCAGATGAGAGAACCATCACCGAGCAGAAGAAGGTTGGCATCAGAGTCCAGTAGTGTGCCACAGGTATTGCACCGGAAGCAGTCGATATGCCATCTGTTCCCCGCAAGTTCGAAAGCCTTTCCCTCCTCGAGGATCTATCGATAATTAAAAGAAAAAAAAGGGTTTGTCAGCAGGGAGCTCCAAAGCTTCCCCAACCAGAGCGCCTTCACAACTCGGTGGCATATACGAATAAAGATGTCTATGGTAGCTCAGAATCGATTTGCTGAGTAAATACGCACCTCACCACAGCCCTTGCATGGGAACGCAGAATCATCAATAACATCAAGAGGCGAACCAGGTGGGTATCCTGGAGACTCCATCATCTTAGAAGTATCGGTTGTGATTCCAAAATAGAAGATATTCCGGCCGAACTTCGAATTCCGGTCGCAGGTTGGCCGAAGGGTGTTATGCGAGAACTACGGGACGTGAGTGAAATAGGTCGGGGAAAAGAGTGGTGTGCTCGTCGATGGTATCTGATAGTTGATGGAACGGCCGTGAAACCCAGAGATATGGCCCAGGAGTGGGTATTGGAGGTGTTGCGACGGGATACTCGGTCTGGAATGCCAATTACCGATAGGGAGAGCAGTTCCGGCTGAGTTGAAAGGGACGGGGGAAGGACCAGCTGAGAGCTCCAGATTGGGGTTCCTATGGTTCCTTAAACGGTGGATTTGTAGGGGACCAAGCACCACCAGCATAGAAAGCCAGTTAAGAACGGTGCGACGGCCGAAAGTGGGAAGGTGGATGGCGCCGGATGGAACGAGCGGATCAGGTTAGATTGATGACGACGGAAGACGACGACGACACGGGTTTAGTGGGTAGAGGACAGGCGTCTACGATGGTCAAGTCGAGACGGAAGATGGTGATGAGAGTGAGGAAGAGGAGAGGAGCAGAGGATGGTCGGCTAGTAGTGTGAGGATGAGAGGAAAGGTGGAGGAAGGTGGTGGTTGGCTGAAAAGAAGGGGCTCGTTAGCGGTGAGCAGGGCAGGCAGGCAGGCAGGCAGGCGGGCAGGACAGGGCAGGGAGAGCGAGAGCGTGAGAATGCAGTGCAGTGCTTTGAACTGACAGGATGAAACCAACCACACGCAGAGAACGCTCCCTGCTATTCTTCCCTCGATCTTGGATCTTGTACCTTAGATCTTGAGATGGTATATGTATAGTGACGATGCCCCAGAGGCAGATTCGAGCCAGAACTCGAAAAGAATACCAATATCATATACCAAGAGTATAGTATAGTCTAGTATAGTATCAGATGTACTTCATAAGTACTACCAGTATATATTGGTTGATGCTTGTGGTGGTGGTATATATAGAATCGAATGGTCGAATCAGCTCCACGCCTGACGAGAGCCAGGAACCGAGACCGCCAACAATACTACCACCACACTACTATGTACCACTCCAGGTGTGTGTATGCAAGTACCTCTGGAAGTACCCCAGGAAGCACCTATTGGAGGTACTTGGGGACAGAGGTGTATCTGTGGATTCACAATCGGGTGGTACTTCGCGGCAAGCGGAGGCAAGAGCTTCTTTCTCTCTAATATATTTTCTTCCTCTCTGTTTGGAGGGCCGTGTGGGGTTCTCTGCTAACCTCAATCGATCGAGCAAGAAAAAAAAGTATCTCAGACAGCGGGTGGCTCGGTACTTCAGGATAATGTAGCCGAATGATATGACCAGGACATGGGCCAGGGAGCTACCAGAGCAGCCGTCCAGGAGAGCAAGCTAGCAAGCGGGCAATCAAGCAAGCAAGCAATCAAGCAAGCAGGTAACCTAAAATCTGGGTAAGTCAGTATGTAACTAAGTAAGTAAATAGGTATATATTATAACAGATCAGTTCGATTGTCAGGCGGTAGGTGGAACAATCAAGTATACAGAGGAGAAGCGGTGTAATTGAAGAGTGAGAGGAAGAGGAGAGGAAGGAGGAAAGAAGGATGTGAATTGAAGCTTCCTGTGGAGTCTGAGTCTGTCTGTCTGTCTGTCTGTCTGTCTGTCTGTCCGTCTGTCCGTCTGCCCATCTGCTGTGTATGTTCATTCATTCTGTGGATGGGATTATAACTGTCTTTGCTTTTTCCGTGTTAGACTTTCCGTCCAAACTTCAAATCAGAACTCTACTTCACCTCAGCATACACTCTAGCTCTAACCACTCACTACCTCGAGGCCTCTCATGCTCAGGTACCGACATTGTATATCAGGTACATACATACTTACTGACTTACCAACTTCCTTACTTACATTACCGCACTAGTCCAGGGGTTTCCTCTCTTTCTTTCTTTCTTTCTTTCTTTCTTTCTTTCTTTCTTTCTTTCTTTCTTTCTTTCTTCCTCTTCTTCTTCTCGTCATGCATTAGTTACATACATATCCCGTATTCGGGATGCATTGATTGGCCTCCTGGATCGAAGGCGCTACAATCATCAGGGAAGAAAGCTACTACTAATTAGAAGACAAGAGGTTGGTACCCGTGTTTACTGCCCTGGCTTCACAAGATTGACCTAAATGCGAATCGCTAAAACTATATAATCTTACTACTATCACAACATACATACATACATCCCTAGGTACTCACACGCATGCTGCAGGTGCTGGTTCCTGTGATATATCATTCGTCTCCTGGATTGGGTATGTATTTGGCATCGAACATTTCCAATTGTGCTTTCCACCTGCATGAGAAATCCAAAGCTATCTCCCTCTCTCTCTCTTTCCCTCCCTCCCTCTCGCGTGTGCGTATGAATGTTAATAAAATGAACACCATGGGCGCTGCAGTACTGACTAACTATTATTCTTCTACACATGGTATGCAGGAGGTAAACAATACGAATGTATCAATAAAGACATTAAGGTGGTTCGGAAAGCAACTAGCGAACGTTCGGACCCTCGTGAACATCAACGTCCCCCTGCTTCAGACGAAAAGCTAGGTCGTCAAAGAACCCTTGAGACCTCGAATCCAATTAAATCCCATGCACCCCCCAGTATGTACTACGTGCTCTACCATGTATATGTGAGTACATAGCCGGCCAGGCCCAGCCGTTCTCGTCGTCACAGCACATATCACAGGATCTAGATATTTTAGGAAGCTCGGAGACCCGGTCAAGCAAGATCAAAAGTGCGGCACTTTCTGCGACCTTGGCTTGGTCGGTGCATGTTATGCCTATTAACTATATCATATCACAGTCTATGATATAACTAGTATGTATGTACATGTACCTATATACATGGCGCTGCCTGCTGGCATTCTCGCATACAGACGAATCATTATCACGAGGTTTCGCCCCCTGCCCTTAGATGGAATAGAAGAAAAGAAATAAAGAGAAGAAGAAAATGGTAATCTATCTGGCGTATCGGCCGTCTCGACTTTCAGGGACCTCAATCACGCTAAACAGTCGCCGAGACCAAGCCCCTTCCCCAGTTCCCCATCTTCCCGCGTCCCTGAAAATCTCAAAGGCTGGAAAGAAAAACCCTCCACCCGGCTACGGTGATTACGCGATTCTTGCCTGCGTCCTGTCTTAAGATCTTTTTTTACAAATGACAGCTCCCAATTTTTAGAGTTCACGTTTTTTAAGTTAAGGTGTGGATTTTGATCCATCCAACGCGCATTCTTGGTATTTCTGTCGCAGATAGACGCCACGAGCTTCAAAACTTTAACCACGCGGGTTAGGTATTTTAATTAATATTTTGGGGAAAAGACAAAAATGAATTGAACTCAAATGTCCTTCAGTTCTCGCCCCTGATTTAAACCTACATGTCAGTATGTAGTAGGTACACTCGGTGCTTTCCCTCGAATTCAAGGCTACAAAAAAAGAGAATTCACAGGAATACAAACCCAGGTATGGAAGCCTCCCTGCATCGTGCAGGCACGGCCAGCCTAAATTGCACATGTTCATGTAATATAATATCGGTATATGTATGTCAGTAAGTGTGGGCTTACAGAGTAAGTAAGTACGACGCCGCTCGCATCGCAGCATTCTGATATCACATTTTTGTTTGGTCCTTTCGGTCCTGTCGTTCCAAATCAGTCGCACGTATAGTAGTACCACATTGCCTAGGTATATTAGGTACTCTGTATTACGAGTATTTATGACAGCCTGCACCGCCTCTGCTAACTAGTGCAACCGGTACCTGTGGCGTTTGAATCCACTGCTGCATACGAAGTATATCCATCCTGCCGGGTAAAATGCAGGGTCCGATGAGATGCAATATAATATACGGCTGCGGATATACATATGCCGTCACCACCACTTCATAAAAAAAATACAGGCAAAATCCCCCAAAATACGATGCATGAGCCGCATACCCACCTAATGCAGTATCAGAGAGATAAATGTTCCAATTAAGCATCCCCGGGTTTTCCTTCCCTTCTGTCATCCTCTTCCTCCCCGCTCCTCACACTCTCCAATAGCTTCACTTCCTTATACTGCTTCACCACCCCATCCTTATATCCCTCTAACAAAATCTTCATATCCCCTTCTGTCATCTCAGCCAGCTCTTCAAATTCCCAACTTTCACAAACCCTACTCATCCACTCCATCCTCTTTGCCCCTTCATCCTTCTCAGGAGCAATCGCCCTTAGCATCTTCCTCAGCTCCCCAACTTTCACAATAGCCTTAGAGGTCTCCTTGGGCAATGAATCCGCCACCTTCCTCCTAATCATAGCAGCAAGCTTAGGTCCATTCCCACCCGTTGATACCATAATCTGTAACGGACCATCTCTATGCACGCTTCCGAAGTAGAAATCACATTCCGGAGGGACATCTGCAACGTTTACAGGGTAGTTTAGTGATTTACATAGTGTATAGATCTCAGTTGATGCGACTGGATCGTCTATTGCGGTTAAAACTAATGATATCGATGGGATGGAGGATAGATCGGAGGGTTCGAAGTTGCGGGGTATATAGGTTATTCTGGACTCGTGGGTTTTGAGACGATAGGCGGTTTCTGGGTGAAGACCTGAGGGTGGGCAGATAAGGGTTACTAATGCATCGGCGCTGAGAAGGTGAACGAGACGAGTGGCTGCTACCTGTTCTTATTTTGAATTTTTTTTCATAGGGTTAGATTTTTATTCTTATTTTGATGGAGGGGATCGATATACTGGTGGGGTTTACGTACATTCCCGCCCCCGACGAGGAGAACTCGTTTGTTACGGATTTGCCAGGCGAGGATTAGAGAGCCACCTGATTGGATTGGCGGGTATGTAGATGGGTCTTCATTTGGGAAGGTGGGGATGAGGGAGAGTGGATCAGCTGTGATGGATAGGGATGCCATGGTGGGATGTATATGTGTGGAGGATGGCGCCGGGAGCATCCGTTCGACGAGCTGGAGCTGTTGGAGCTTTAACCTAGTTGGAAGTTGCGAAAGCAACACAGCGTCAAGTTTCGAGTTACTAGTGACAGTATAACGTCTTCACAGAGATATAATACACCCAGAATTGATATTAACTATTAAACATACTACTTGATGTTATTTTTCAGCTAGAGCGATCTCGAGATAGGAGATCGCGATATATGATTATTTCTCCGTCGCCCTTCGGAAATATATCTTTTATGCTTGAGCCTCGAATCAATTGTCGAGAAATCCAACATTGCAACACGAGATATGGTTAGAAGAGGATATCATGGTCTCGTTCCCAGACGTCACAAAGGGCAACGGATATCGATACTGGCCATACATATATACTTACTTATGTATTTACTTAAAGTAAGCACTTACTAAGTACATATGTACATGTTCTTTCTTCAAAATGAAAACGGACCGGTGGCTCTTCGGGCGATCTCGTCGAGCGCTTAGACTCGGGGCTATCTTACTTCCCGGAAGACTTCTTCTCTATCCAACGGCATTGCATAGCTAGCTAACAATCCGTCAGGAACATATCTTCTGATTTCTGGACTATAGATAATCCTGTGCATTTTAATCACTGCCCAATTTGGAGAACCCGTGCCGAATTGTCTTAGAGAAAAGTATATATTCAACACGTTAACATGAGATAGAAGATTAATAAGAAACCCAATCTGAGAACGAAGGTTAGATACCTGTCAAGAAAGTAGATTATTTGAAAAGTAGAACACAAATATTATTCTCGGTTTTAGCGGTGCGGATATTCATATATTTTAGGTTATGCGCGTAGCTATCTATACCTTCATTAATAATCCAGTACGGCTTATAAGCTTAATGTATCGGGGGCCTATTTGATTCTCTTGAAGGTAATCTCGACACGAATGCCCAGACTGAAGAAAAAACAAGGAGTATAATTCTTCTTTTGTAGGTATTGGCACCCACCATCATAGTCAGTGGGTGTGCTACGATATCTCATGAACATCGGGGACTTGTTACACGGGGCATCTGGTGCTGGTCTCGTTACCGGATGCTACGAGGGGTGGCGTGCCAACATAACTCTGTGGCAAAGCCGTTGAGCCCGCCTAGCCAATAGGAGGACTAGAACACCTGAGCCGGGTCCATGGCCATGGACCCGGGCATAATCAACTGCGAGATCGTCAGGCCCAGCCCAGCCCGCCAATATATAGGTGCACTCATTTGTGAGTGGCCAAGCTTCGTGCCTCTTCCGAATGAGAATCCAGTTCCTCCTCATGTAGAGTAAAGTTGGCCGCGGTACTAAATTTAACAGCGACAGCTGGCTTTAGCGGATCTTGTCATTTAATGCAAAGGACCAAATCATGATAATGATAACCTTTGGATTCAAGGTTGCACATAAGTTACCCTTTGAAGACTAGGCGAATCAATGATTAGGGGTCACATGACGACGTGTCGACAAATCGAAGCTTCTGTACTCCCACATAGTCGGACAAGACAGCTCTGTGGGGTAAGAATTTGATCGTAACCCTTCTGAAAATTGTATAAATAAATATCAAATTAGAATTGTTACAGTATTAGAAGTCTTTAAGTTCTTGGCGAGTGCGCGGGTGTTTTCAACGTTTTGCACAAATTCGTGTGGAATGTGTGGTTTCGATCGAAATATTTCGGCGCAATAAAGTCGTCATTCGTGCGTTATCATCCTAACCTCTTGGCCGGCTGAAATGGCGAGGTAGTTGCAGCACGCCGGCACGTGAGTAGGCGGTGTGCAGAGTTTCTTCCTGATGCATGGTTCGTTTCCTTGGCCAGTCGTAGGTAAGGTTGGGGCGGGCAAGCGCATGTGGCTGCTGGTGACCTTTCTAAGAGTCGAGAGAGCTCTGGGTGCAATACAATGCAATGAACCCTCCCAAAGAAATCAAGAAATTCTAAAGTTTTTGTAACCATAAAACCACGATTGAGTTTGGCAACCTAATCCAATTGGCGATACCTATCAGTTTCTGATTAAGTGCCTCAAGCCGCCGACTGGCTTGGAGCTAAAAACCTGGGCCCCGCCCTTGTCGGAAAATGCTGCCGTCGACGAGCTCGCGAATCGAGGTTCTTCTGCCCGTCACAGAATAAAGCTAGCGCTGGTGTCACAGGGGAGTTTACCGCTACTCCTTTCTGCCAGCGTGAGTCGTAGCTCGTAGGCCGAATTGCAGTCTCCAGTTGGTAAGCATATGTCTCTGGCCGGCTGGAAAACGTGTCAGACCGCGTCCTCGGGATTGAGCAGGAAGAAATGTCGTGTAAGATCGTAATTAAAATCGCAGGCGTGCATTTTATAAACTCTGGGACGGTCGATTACTCTGAAGTTCATATGCATTTGAAGCCCTTCTCCACCGGCTTCCCGTCTCTGCCAGCAATATCATCCACACCGACAGGGTCTGCTCAGGACACGAGGACGAGGACGAGGAGACTCCCTGGTCCCACCCAGCGAGCGAGCGAGACTTTTTTTTTCGCACACACGGCCGGCGAGTGGAAACCGCTAGACGAAAAATAACACGGCCGGCTTGACTCAATTTTTTCTTCTGTTCTGTCCTAGGAATTAATTAATTAGTACAGTCGAGCGAGAATATTCGAACTTCCTTTTAAAATCGATAGAAGATTATATACTACTTACTTGTTGATACTTAACTTACAGGCTAGAGGTTTAATTGATAGTCTCTAGTTTATTTGTTTATACCCGTCCCAGTCGGCCAGGTCGAGTTCACGAGAAAACACCACCGGCACCCGCCTGCAGTGTGTTTCGAACGTTCCGCTTTCCTTTCGAGCATTCAAAACCCTCCAAACAACTACTTTTTGTCTGCCCAGACAGAGCAAAAGCAACACCAGAAACTGATAGTGTCGATAGCACTGTCCAAGTAAGAGAAAAATGGAGGCGAAGTCCGCCCCGGCAGCTGCGGATAAACACGAGGAGCCCACCGTCGTGGAGGCATCTTCGACTCCCATCGAGCTGTTGGCGGAGGCAACTCAACTCGCTCGCGAGGCATTGGCCCATCACGCCAAAACCCAGGCTCTTCACGCGTCAAACCCCAACGACCCTGCACAGGACTCCTCTAGCCCGGTGCCGACCACCAAGGAAAACGAGGCCCTCGGAATTTCTAAAGACGTCGGCGGGTTTGACGCTGAAAAGCAGTCATCGGCTGGTGCTGGGACTGATGCTGGGACTGGAGCTGGAACTGGAACTGGTGCGGGTCTAAAGGCGGTGGCCCCGCCATTGTCCATACCAGTACCCGCTGGCAAGCATGATGATAGTAACCAAAGGGACACCACCACTCCACCGAACGAGAGGAAGACACCGTCTGATGAGATGGTTATCTCACCTATTATAGCTGCTACGCCGCATCCCAACATTGGGAACAAGCGAACTGCTTCTGGTGCTATCAAGGCACCGAGCACATCGCTCCCTGCCACACCGTACCAACCTGCTACTTCATCTCCTCGAAACGGCCGAGAGCGGATAGGCGAGGTATTATCCCTTTTCGCAGGCCGTACCGTATCTTGGATGCTGCCATTTTAATACATCCAACCTGGTGTACATGCTAACCAGGTGTTAATTTGCATAGCTATCGACCCAGCTCCGCTCAAGGTTGTCATATGCAATGATCAAGATGCAGAACGGTCTTCAAGGGCAGAGTTTTGATCAGGTGGAGAATTATATAGTCGAGAAACGACAGAATAGACTATCACAGTCACCTTCCATAACTGCTTCAAACACTCCTTTGATCCCACCAGCTACGATCGGCTCCGTTCAGACTGGTGCTGCAAGCCAACCTCTGAAGCGTCAGACCTCAGTCGACAGCTATTCGGGTGGATTGGGTATATCTTTAATGCCTTCCCCGGTCCCGGCGAGCCCTCGAGCCCCTCATAGCCGTGTCGGTCGCCATTCTCGAACCACTAGCGACCCATCTGCTATGTTTTTGGCCCCTGCTGCGAATATAAGCTCACATCAGGACCCAAATTACTGGGTGAAGCCTCCTCCTTCCCCACTACCCTCAAACATACGAGGGAGTGGGCACAATCCAAATCAGGCGTTGGACTCCTTCGCTGCAAGGTTCCAGATGTCACCGGGTCGCCATCTGGCACCGGCAGCTCCAATTCGCCACCATGCTCGGTCGCCTAGCGGGTCTCATACTTTACCAGTCCGTCGAGGGAGGCACCCACCGCCGTCTTTGCCCAAGACATTCAGTAATATGAGCTCTGTGTCAAATATATCCTCCGCTCCTACAGATATTCTTAGTCTCTCCGAGGAACCAATATCTTCTCAGGCAAATCCGTCAGCAGCTGTTCGTCCCTGCACCCCTGTTAGGACGAACACTCTGACAATGGAGCAGGATGCTGTGGAGTCTCTGATGTTTCTGTCATCACCTGGTCATTCGCAGCACAGGGGATCAAGGCCGGCGTCTAGATCTGCCGTCTCCACACATCAACCACAATTCCAAAGCCAGCTTATACAGCAGGTCTGGAACGGAGGCCCTACCGACCGGGAAGGTGATTCTTTCATGGAAACGGCAGCCAGCACAACCGTTGACGATGAAGAGGTTCGGCTGGTGGAAGAGGACGACGAGCTGGATAAGGAGTTGGATAGACAGCGGAAGAACCAAGAGTATGGCGAGCCAGATACGGATCACGAACTTAGGAAGGAGGTTAACGGCGTAAACTTGTCAAGTAGGACACCACAGCAGCAGGGTAGGGGCGACCATGCCGCACGGGTCAAAAGGGTCAAGACGATGGAGGAGATGCTGAGTGCGGCAGACAGGGCGGATGCAGCGGCACATTGGCAGTACACCTCTGGTACTCCTGATAAACCAGCAGCGGCACCAGTTGCACCCAGCCCCATGTTGAGTGGTTAAGGCCATTTAAATATCTGATCCTCATTTCGGTAAGCCAGCAAGATTCAAGTAGTTAGGAATACCCCTCTCTCTCTTTCGCTTTTTGTAAGTATATATATTTTTCTATCATTCTGATCTGGTTGCTTTTCTTTCTTTCTTTCTTTCTTTTTCTTTACTCTATACCCAGGTTATGAATTCCTTTGTTTGCGTCTGTTATTGATACCGATATGGTCGATTGAGTGCTATTTGGAATTTCCTGGCGTATAGTTTAGCTGTTTTGAAAGGGCATTCATTTTGTAAGGACTTTTGAGGCAGAGCGGTACAGCCTTGACTGTTGCCCAGAGTGGGCGATCTGATTGAATGAGGAATATAATATAGATAACATTTAACATACACCTGATGTTATAAACAAAATACACTCGGATAATAAAGAATTTGCTCTCAATAGAAGGGGAGCCCAATATCTCATATATAGTATGTGTATAGAGAGAGATGAATAGGTAGGTACCTATTTCTTTGCATGCCGGACGGGCCTTCATGGTGTTTTGATATATTGCGTTGAGGCGGACAGCTAGAAAACCCTCCACTGCCCTGCTCTTCACTGTCGCAACCTTCCCTCGTTTACCACCAACCTCACTCATCACCACCACTGCCTCCATCGGCTATCACCCCCAACTTATCCTTGCTATCTTTTAATCGAGGGCTCCTATCTAGTCTTCTACCTGGACGCCATCAACTGAAATCCAGGTGGAAGAAAAATTCCTAGACATTCCCTTGTTTCTCTTACGCTTGTGATTACACGTACCGATTGCTTGTTGCTCTGTGGTTTGTATATAGTACATCTTCACTACCCGATTTGGGGCTATCAGCCCCATAATTTTTCCTTCCGACCAAACAAAACCCCCCTTCCTGTGCAAGTGCAAGTGGAGGCTCAGGAGTTTCCCTCGACACAATTCGGTTAGCTACATTTAACAGACTGTCATTAGCCATCAGCCGTCTCCGGATTGATTATTGACATCGTCATCGCACATCATTTCTCTCAGATTTGACAGCTCTCTTTTGGTTTCTTCAGTCACAATGGCTGCTTTGACCGGCATGCCGCAGTCTACTAACATACAGCTATCAGAAGATCAAGAAAGGACATCTCTTGAAAAGCTATTGCTGTTACGCGACACTGTTCGTTCTGGAAAACATCCAAACGTTAGACCTAAGCATACAATAGCTGCTGGCGTCGATAGTTCTGGTTCAAATAACCTTAAGAGCAGTCAGCCCGTTGCATTGAACGGGAAACAGAACGGAGCTGCTCCCTCCGTTCTTTCAGCTCCGAGCAATACGATCGATACTTCGGCTCGACCAATCCCCGTGTTCACCGGCTCCTCAAAAGGCGAATTAAACGGCGGACGAACCGTGATCACAGTATCTGGGAGGGATGCTGCCCCTCATCAAAATAATGGTAGAGACCAGAGAGACACCGGACGCCAACAGGGGCAGAGACCACCGCAGCAGCAGCAGCAGCAGCAGCAACAACAGCAGCAGCAACAGCAGCAGCAACAGCAGCAGCAACAGCAGCAACAACAGCAGCAGCAACAGCAGCAGCAACAGCAGCAGCAGCAACAGCTACCGCTGAGCCAACCTCAATGGGATCCCAGCCAACAGTGGATGATGCCTCCTGGACAGAACCAAATGCAGGGCAGCCCAGAGGACATGAACGCCTTTGCGCACCATCTCATGTTGGCTGTTCCGCAATCCCAGAACCCGTTTGAATTGCCACCAGGATTCCCGTTGCTACCTGTTCCGCATTTGCTGCCAGCTCAAGCTTTACCAGGGCAGCCGTTGCCCCAATCAATTCCTTTAACTAATCAAACCCAGCTACAGCCTGAGCCTATGGTCGTAGACAAATCACCAGTAGTAGACACTCGAAATTCTGAGAAGAAAGAACGTGAGGCTATTGGCAACAGTAAACATCAACAGGTTCAACAGAACGGAAACAACCAGGCATCTCAAGCAAAGACCGTATCTTCCGCTGCTACTGACCTACAAGCGAGTTTGAAAAAGGCACAGGAATACGCAGCTACGCTCCCACCAAAACCCGCGCCTGGAACAAAGCCAAGCACGACCAAACAGCCACAACAAGACAAGAATCGTAACAATAGCGGCCCAGCTTCATCTCCAATGGCGCCAACGTTCCCTGCCAACGCCGATAGACGTGATGATGAGAAGCTAGGCTTTCAAGGACGGCCCCAGCGAGAAAATCGACAGTACGGCGATAACAAGCGTGGAACGGAGCCTTTACGCAAGACTGCAATGAACAACAACCATAACTCAACTAAAGAAGAACGGCGAGAACGCGAGAGAGATCGCCAGCTTGAACGGGAGCGGGAGAGAGAACGAGAACGAGGTGGCGATCGGTGGCAGGTTCGTGAGAACCGGGGCTTCGATTCCAAGGTCTTAACATTTTCCCGAAGTATATATTGCTAAACGGTTTGGTAAAGCTGATTTTTATGAATATATAGAAACGGAGGTCGAGTTCACCACTATATGATGAGGCACCCACAAACAAGGGGCCGGCCTTCGCTACGCCACCAGCTACTCGTCCCGGTGAGGCTACGGGATCCAACCGTCCATACGATTACAAACCGGCAGATCTCGACGAAGGGGACGAAGCTGTCACGGATCCGAAAAAACGAGCTAACCCTAAGGACGCTCCAAAGCAACAGCAAACCATGGATAAGAAATCACCTCCACAACCTGTTAAGCGGGAGGCTCCACCTCTTTCACCGGTTGTTACAATTCCTCGAGGATCACCTACCCTTGAACCTTTATCCCCTGGGAAGGCTGCACGTTATGGGATCCCGCCACAGGACCGATATGCTAAGCAGCAACCAGGCTATTTCCGCTACCGTGACCCTTACCCTCCTCCGCCTCATATGATGGGGTACACTCGTGGCCCGTACGAAGCAGAATATGGGTATCCTCCACCACGCGATCCTCGTCCGGTGTCTCCTCGAAGGGTATATTTGCCGGAGGGACGTGGGTACGCTCAGGAATATGTCTACCAGGATGCATACCATGACCCATACTACCCGTACCCTGCTCGTCGTTCTGGATCATCGCCCCCACCACCCCCACGAGTGCCGAGACCACAATATAGGTACGAGGATGAAGAGCTACAGAGGGCCCCTAGAGGCCGCTCGCCTTCGCCTAGAGCTTCTAGCAGAATGCCTACTGCCCGTCCTAGACGCTCTAGCAGATCGCTCTCACCATCCAGAGAGCGTCCCACCCCAAGAGCGAGTGCCCCGCCTACAGAAGCGGTTGAGGAATCACGAGCCGACAGGGCTCTCATTCGGGCCTCGGACGGGCCTCATTATGCTGACTATGCACCATATCCTCGTCCCATGGCCCCATACGATGCCTACAGTGACCCTTACAACAGGCCGGTGATCATCCGAGAGCGCGTTCCTGTCTACGTAACCAGGGTCGTCTATGTCGATTCGAATGATCCTGAAGGGCGGCCCTATAGACCCAGATCTCCTGGGTATTCCGCTTCACATGCGCCCCCGCCACCAGTACACCCACATGGGCCACCGGCACCCTCTCATCCTCCCCCACCAATGCGCAGGTATGTTGATGACCCTGACGTCATGATGAGTGACCGAGTATACAGAGAACGAGACTATGACTATGCCCCCTATGATCGCGGGTATGGTAGGGAGTACGCTAGAGAGTACGCCCCCCCTCCAATGGCACCACCGGCGCACCACCATCACCACCCACCAGCCCCCCCTCCTCCACAGCCAATGAGGGATGGGTATGCTAGGGAATATGCCATGGCCCCGCCTACCGCTAGGGAAGAAGAAAGGGAACGAGTTTATCGAGAAAGAGAGTATGGCGCGGGAAATCCGCCAATGGGTGCATCGCGGGATGTCGAGGACGGGCGATTGCCATACGGAAGGGATAGAGGTATGGCACCCCCAGCGCCAGGTGGGGTTAGGTATGCCTAAACCTTTTGGCTATTGATTTTGATGCTTCATAGCAAGCATATTATCTTCCATTGGTTTTTTCTTTTTAAGCTTTTTGCAAGATTTGTTTTTCGTTTCTACCCCTTTCTTCATTGACTTGTAATAAAATAGTGTTTATCCCATCTAAGATTTCAGCCTTTGCTGGGAGAGATGGAAAGAGGCGCCAATGCGCTAGCGATTAAATCGCTGTAACATGTGGTTCCATTGCTCTTACATACAAAAAGCGAATGTTTCATGCATGCTTTTGGAATTCGTTTCTCTAGCATTGTTACTAGCCTCGAATCCATGGTTACTTGCGCGAAGCCTTCTTTTTTGTACTGCGTTTTATCCTTCCTTGAGAAAAGTCTCTTCATCCTCTTTATCAATAATCTAGACGTTATTCGGCCCCTCAATATAATCTGTGTGAGACATCCTTTAACCTCTCTCTCCACCTTCCGTCCCTCGTAGGCTCTACTCGAAACCATTGGCTGGGATAATAAGTTCCACAGGTTCCGAAATAGATATAGCATATGGCAGCTCGTATGTGCAGTAAGCTTATAAGCACGACGCTTCTATAGATCTAGCTTCGGGTCGGATGTCCTTCAAACCCGCCTTAGGGGGTAGGATTTAAATGAAGATACACATGGGCACCTCGATACTATCGTTTTTGATTATTTGTAATTCCAGATCTTTGTACCTAGGGTTCAGAGTTACCTCGTGAGGTAAATTCTAGCTCAGATAGAAATCTAGATGGAAGGGAGCTCTTTAGCAAAATTTTGTCATTGAAGGGCATGCATACTATCGCGACGCTAAAAATCCCAACGAAACCAAGTAATCGATATTACAAGGTTCGGCCACGGATGGTATCTAGTCGCTACTGTTCTAGAATATGTATAATGTCAGGTAACTTCGAATTCGAGAATAATGTCTGAGACATATATAGGGGGAACTAGCTAGGTGGTCCTGCGAATACGGGAGATGGCCGGAGCCTGGTCGATGCAAAATGCATATATGTAGGTATATATTAATTTTTGATGTCCCGATGGGAAGCGAGCCAATAGTTTGGAAGAGTGGGAAACGTGGTATAGATTTATGAAGTATGGGTTAGTTATGACGCTTAAGTAAGTTAAGTACCTACCTACTTTTTAGTTGGTTGTGTGCATATATTGAACGGGCTTCGATTCTACCGAGGTTTGATGTCATAAGGCGTTCTTCGTGACGGATTTAAAGGTAAGAATTTTTTTAATTTCTTTATTTTTATTTTTTTTATTTTCTTCCTTCTGCTCTTTGAATCGTTTTTTGCTTTGCATGTTTTTTCTTTTTTTGAACGGGAGGCGTTCAAGGATTTGGGCTATTGGGACCTTCCGGTATGGGATCGAAGAGTTCGGGGAAAGAATTTTTCTTTTAAAACACCAAGTTTTGATCTCCGTCTTCTGAGATTTACGATTTCGGCTGGTTGATCGATTGCGGATGTGTATATACTATTGGTTAAGGATCTTTATAATTTTACATTGGGTATACGTACGGAATCGACCCGGGAGCTTTATTACCACCTAGCAAGTCTTTATCGTTCGTGAATCCCTCATATACATGTTTTATAAATACTGATTGATATCAAATGTAATTAGCTATAGGTGATCTGGTATATGTAAAAAGTATGGCATTGGATTATTCTAGAATACTACTGAAGTAGGCTCAAACACTTTACATATCCAATATTTGAAGTTACTGTATACCAACTTGGTTTCTGACTAGTAGTTGTAAGGTATCTAGATAGTTAGTTCGAATATTATATTTTACATACGTTTATGCAGCATATACGAACTACATACGATTCAAAAAGGATGAACAACGGGTAGATCTAAGAAAGTATTATAAAATATCGGAGTGTACTGATCTCGTACCCAGACACACTAACTAGTGTAATAGGTAATTAATTCGCAAGCAAGGCGCAATTTATTTACGTAGGCATGTACCGCTGGTGGGATCATCTAATTAGACCTGTCTATCAATTCGCGCGATATAGCGGGTTTGGGAAGGAGACACAAGATGATTCAGAAGGAACAAATGGTAAAAAAAACCCAAGTTTTATGTCAGTGTCAAAGAGGGATGGGAGAGCATTAGTTGACTACCAGCCCTATCTAGGTAAGCGCATACATCCTTTTTTTGTGTCTCTGTTGATGGGAGGATATATCGATAGATGGCTGTGCTAATGAAAGTATACTGTTGTACATTTGATTGCTATAGCTACCGGATCCAAAGGCTTAGTTATTGCTGGATTCAAAGTTAGGTTACTACCTAAGTATGTATACATGTACCTACTTATGGAGAATAAAAGACCACAAGGGGAGGAAAGGGAAAGAGTTATAATTCAAAGAACTACAAGTAGGAAGGAAAAAACGGAAAGGCAGCAACGACTAGAATCCCGGCGTATTACTGCGAGGAAGAAAGAGAAGAACAGTATGGGTGGCAAATGCTAGGAGAAAAGTGTCACGGTCATGATCATGGTCTGACTCGACTTCCTTGGGTTGACATAGAGGGAATGACAAGGGCATGGTCTTAAGAAGGGATGTTGACATGTTTGACAAGGGAAGGCATGAATGGACGTTGAGATAGGCTTCCCGCTTGGATTTGATTGTTGCATTTTGTTTTTTTTTCTTTTGTTTTTTTTTCTTTCTCTTATATTTTCTTTTTTAGCCTTCTTGTGTAATGCAGGAGCTTAATGGAGCCTTTATCCGGACGGATAGATCATCGAAGAGACCGGATTTGCATTTATTTTATTTTTTTTGTAACGGAACTCAGGGTTCGCTTTTATCTTTTTCGGTTAATGGGGAAATGGAATTGAGGGTCCTGCTTTGCGGGGCATAGTTAGTGACGTTGGAGTTGAGTTTGAATGGAGCCATTAGGGTGGAGAGTGATCAAAGTAGAGAAGGAAATATTGTCTTGTATCTCCGAATTTCAGTTGCCTGGCCATGGTCTTTTTACTTTTCACTTTTTTTGTCTCTTAGCTCGAGTACCTCAAAAGGTAGAGGCCGTGAGACTTAGAGTTTTTTTTTCGCGGCCTGCGAATCAAGCAAGTGAGTTGGATATCCTGCCTTCCTAAAATAAAATTGATGGAAAACGGTCTCTTAAGAGTTTCTTTTTGTATTTGCAGTGTCTGGGATAGACGATGTCCCAAAACCTGGTAAGGCGGTGATGATCCGATTTGTACATACTTACCTGCGAAGACGCATAGGTGGCTCGAAGAAACATGGTGGTAGCACCGGTCTTGCTAGGAGAAGGAGCCTTTTTTTTTTTTACGTATAGGAGTCTGAGGTATAATAAAATGCCAGTGGAAATGGGCGTTGGATTTCGGTATGTCGTAAACGGGGGGGTTCCTGCATGGTGTGCATATGCAGAAGGCATGTAAGCGGACGCCGCTTTCCGGAGGCGAACTGCAATCTGCAGTGTCGCGGGTTTAGCGATGCTGAAGCCGTCCAAGGCGAAGAGAACATCGTGTCGTACGTATGTTCGGCCTTGCAGGGGCAGTCTTCCTGCTGGAGGAAACATTTGTAACTTATGCACCCGGGCCCTCGCGCTCGACGATAGGCCTATAGGCTCCTGAGGTTATAGTGCAGCTGCCAGTCCCTCCCAATCGCAAAGAAATGCTTAAGCTTCCGTTGCGTGCGTTGTATGCACTCATATTAGAGTTTGCATGCCTCGACGAAGGGATGTGTAGATGTCAACAGTTGTGCTCTTGATGTCTCGGGACATTCGGTAAGTTAAAACAAAGGACCGCTTGAATAGTTGGATGACGAAAGCTTAGGCATGCCCTGGCCCTCGAGTCTAACGTGAGTAGCATTTTATTTTATTTTACTTTATTTTATTTTATTTTTTCCTTTATTTTTCTATTGCTTGCTTGTGTGCATGCATGTTCCCCGTTCGATTCGGTCTTGGCTGTCCAACTGGTGCCTGTTTGGAGAGAGTGCGGAGGATAGACGGTGGTAGGGGCCGACTTTGGCCAGGTTGACTGGCGTATATCGTCATATCCGCATATCCGTATATTATTTGCACTAGAGCTTCGGATTCGCTTGTGTGATGGATATCATGGATCCGTATGATATGAGCTGTGATTGTGTCTCGATGTGTGTGGCCATGTATCACTAAAAGTTAGCGTTGTCGCGTGGAGAGGCTCGAGCGAGAGTGATCGGTGAGCTAGATGGATGATTTTACTTACAGGATCAAGCTAAAGGTGATGAGGCGGATATCAACATCGCGAGGCTCGCTTGTCGTCATGATGACCCTGCACGGTGATTTCGGTGCTGTGAAGTCGTGAATTGTTTAATTTCTTAATGCCCTCGTTTTCTAATCGTGAGATCGATGCATATGAATGTCACTCTTGTCCAAATATCGGTGAAGAATACATACTTCATAGTGTACCTCATACCTCATACTTCTCTCTCTCTCTCTCTGTCGACTCTGTCGACTCTTCCAATTGACTCTCTTTCTTTCTCTCTCTCCCTCTCTCTCACCCCGGCAAGGAATCGAACCGAGATCTAGATCTAGTACGTCTTCCAAGCTCCCGTAAACCCTGACACCCAACATACATAACACTACCACCTTCTCTTGACAGTTCCGCCTCCGGTTCGAACGTAGTTACGTTCGGTAACCCGAAGTTAAGCAAGCAAGCAAGCAAACCAGCAAGTAAGTACGGACCGGTCCCTCCGGGTGCAGATTGTGATTACAGAGTGAATACCAAGTCAATCCCCATTCCTGACTTCGAAATGTGGGGTTTCTGAGCATCTGGACCAGCCTGGTTTCATCTGCATACTGTACACAGTAGCAGCACCCTCGCATCGAAAGCCTCATTCTTTCTTCCCTCGTCTCTCTTCCTGTCTCTGCACGTCGGGGCCCAATTGAATCGAATCCAGTCTACCCCCGCCCGCTCTCGTATGTGCTGAACTCGACCTCCCCTGCTCGCTGTTTTCGCTTCCTGCAGATGCACCTCCACATCACTCCTCTGGCCGGTTAGCTTCCTGTTGTGCTGCTGGGGTAATTGCCTTGTCTTCATGCACCTTTCCAGGCGCTTTGCAGGTATCTCTGGTACTTTGACTGCTCGAGGACGGACTAAGCAAGTCCAAGTTACCATAACCAGATCCCAAGGTCCCCACATTGCTACATTACATACCTTAGCGTCTCCTCATTCTCTGCCCTATCTTTCAGGTGTGCACACTTTAAATCGGAGCCGTGCTCTTGCCCACGCATTTCCTTGGGTGCCGAGCGGTTCGACCGACAAGGAAAAGTGCATTTTGCAATTGCTCGAATTCATTCATCCATTATTTTTTATTTTTTTATTTTGTTTTTTAGGTGCATTTCCCTGTCAAACCGTTTACGTTTTGAAGCCCCATTAAAAGCTCATATTATCCCTCCACATGATATTTCTTTTCTTTCTTGAAAAGTGCATACCGAAGTACTAAGCAATACCTCAGATCTTTGAATTTCACGCCAGGTCCCAAGCGAGGTTGTATCAAGATAACATCTTTGGGGAGAAGCCCAGATTTCGAAGAAACCCATTTTTTGGTCCTTTCGAAGTAGACAATGGACCTCTAACAAAGTCGACCCGCTACTTTTTTTACTTCTCCCAAGCTAAAATCTCGAGGGATCGAAAACGGGGAGGCTTTTTACGCCTGCAGCCGCCATTATTAATATATTTGCTATTGAAAGGGAGAAGCTTGCCCGGCCTATCTCGCCAGCATCGGACAGCATCGCATCACCGCAGCCGGATTAAAACATCAACCGCCAATTCACACACAGACACTAGACTTGCAGACACACGCATAGTCATAGAAAATAATAAAAGGATAGATCTGGAGTATCTATTCGTTTATTCGTTTATTCATCTATCCGGTTTTCATCATTCGGTATTAACACTCTATCCACTCGCTTCCAACTTCCGCTTTGCTTGTCCTAGCTACCTAGCTAGCGACGTTTTCCCGAGATCCCGCCCTTCAACGTTTTTTTTTTTTAAATCTGTTTTTGATACACCATCGAAAGTCTACCCGTTGCAGATAAGAGGCCCACCAAGGGAGAAACGATACGGCCTTGTCTTGTGGATCGAAAGCTACGCCCAGGGTCTAGCTTGTTTCCTCTCTTACACAATACATCCACCTTTCAGCTCGTGGATCTTTCAGGTATTTACATTTCTACACTTTACATTTACTTCCCTTTGATCGGCACTCTTAAGAGAAGCTTAAGAGGCCATGTACATGTAGCAGGCCCAGGCTGCGTATCCCGGTCTTCAACATCGCAATTGCAGCATCTCCGCTTTCAAATCCCTTCATTCTGGCTTGTTTTTGCAGAATCTTGACACGATTTCAAACTCTACAGCTCTGTCAGTGTTTTGCTTCATTAACTATATCGTGCTTTGCCTGGTCTGAAGGCTTTCCCATCTCTATTTCCGTTTAAATTTTTTGATTGATATCATCGCAATTGAACATTTCGACCCAAAGAGCACCCGTTCCTAAGCTTCCCCCAACGTCCTCCGGATCTCATCCTCCGTGTCTTAGTTATACCCGCACTTTCCCCATATTCCTATCGCCGTTGAGAACCTGGCCCGGGACTGCTGTTCTTTGAAGCCGTGCCTGTGTTCACTAGGATCCCAAGGTTGGACCCAAATCTTGGCAGTGCCTGTGAGGAAAGCAGCAGCAGAGTGCCGGATCTTCTTGTTCTCCCTCTCTGTCTGTCCTTCTCTACCACCCATCACATTTATTTGTTTTTTTTTCCCCTTCGTTGAAACCAACCAAACCGAGCCAACCTGACAGCCAGGACGAGCCGAAGAGTGCCTCTGCTGGGGCTGGTAATAATTAACCAGATACTGGCATATTCGGGGCTCCCATCTCGGACTATTCCCCGTTCTGCCACTTCCGAGTTGGACCTACCTCTGTCGTCCACTTTTCCTTCTTGTTCCTCCATCTCGGTTGCAGCTGGATATCCAATAATCCTCGCCTGCTTTTTTTATCTTTTATAATTTTTTTTTTATAAAGAACCAAAAAAAGTCGATTGCAGGAACTAATAAAAAGCATCCCCGGCCAGGACGTTCATTGTTTCTATTCTGTATCCCGTTCTTGCATAGTTCCAATCATTTGTTCCGCTAGATTATTTCGGCCGGTTGTGCTACGCTTCGCTGCGGTTCTTCTCTTGGGCTAACGTACCGCAGAAATTTCACTAGTACCCTTCCATTACTTTTTTTTTTTTTTTTAAAGTTAATATCTTGTTATCTTTATTTTTTGATACCCCGAACTTAGAATCTCGACAGACGGGAGCTTCGAGGAAACCCTCACATTTCAGCATACTTCAGTACATACAATACCCCGCTCGATCTCGACTCTTCATCGCCAGTTCCCTTCGTTTGGTTGTTAAACTTCGTGGTTTCGTTTATTTTTTATTTTTTTGTTGTGGTGCACTGCTGGTACTGCCGCTGCTTTGACGGGCTGGGCTGGGCTAAGCTACCGAGATTTTCTTGCTTTTCACAAAAGGTCCGTTTGGAGATCAAAGCTTTAAAACAACCACCAACCGATTCCCATCATTTGGCCTCAACCAATTCGAATTTTCTGCACCGCTTCTTTTCTGCTAACTTGTCCATCTTGTCTTCCTCAGTGTCAATGCCCTTCGATAACATCCTCCTTACATTTTGACACCTCCGTGTTGTATCAATCCCGCTATCTTCTCCACTTCTCCGCTTAAGCTTGATTTAGGCGGTCGATATACGCACACACTACATCATAGCATGGAAAGACACGGCCAAGTCTCCATGCAAGGACGTTACGAGTATCCGCTAACCCGGCCGGTTGCGCATACTGGCACCATCCAAGTCCCGTTATCTTCTTCCCTTCGAAACCTCGACCCTGTTGGCGGTAAAGGTGGTTCAGGAATAACCGAGAATCTAAGCTTCTCATTTTGTGTCGAAACCCCGTCTCTTACTGGTCCTGATCCCACACGGATAGCATTCGCAACTCCGGGTGCCAAGGAAAAATGGCTACATCCAGCTGGCTCCGATTCGGCGAACCTTCCGCCCTATATGCTACCGTACCATCGTCAGACCTTGGACAACCTTAAGAGGCTATGCAAGTCGTTAAGCGATGGACCCGAGCATGTCGTCGCCAGCGCTCAGATCAATGAACCGAAACAGGTTATGGGGAAGCCTAGGCGTCTACCCGTTACTACGATTTCGCTATATGGTGATCCAGATGTTGTTTTGAGGACACGGGGAATTCTACTAGAAAGCATCCCCTTGAAGCTTGTATGCTCCCTATCCCGAATTCGATTAAATAATTTGGTATTCTTATCTTTAAAACTTACTAATATTTTCATGGAAAGAAATGTGCTACCGTCGACATTGATGTCGATCAAGTTATCGGTGAAGATGAAAAATTCAGGGCCGATGCAGCTCAGCAACTCGAAAGGATATCTGACTACTGCGGCGTGGATATCTTTGTTGTACACCCAGAACCGACCAAAGGCGTTTCCGTGCGTACCGGTGGTAGTGACACCAGTCAAGACACACGTCTGAAGATCTTAATATATGGTGATGTTGAGAGCGTTGAATGCGCTAAGATCAGGGTCTTAGTAATGATTGATGACATGGTAAGTCCTTTGCAGAATAACATGCCATATACGCGTTTACAAACTAATTTTTTTATATAGCTTGGCCTTCATGTGGACTCGATATTCCTTGAGCTATCTTTGCAAAGTTTGATGTGTGGCCGGGGCCGTAAAGATATTCAGCATGTCGAGGCGGTCACAAAAACGAACATCTACCTACCCACTGCATTCCCGGGGGTCTACGGTTACAAACCTCCTAAAGCTACACCCCGGCACCCGGATATCATATTTATCACAGGGCAACCCGAAATGATCAAACAAGCGGCGAGGATGATTAGCGAGTTGGTCTCAAATTGCAAACTTTATGTTAAGGATGTCTCGTTATCGATGAACAAAATTGACTTTATCATCCTCGAACGCTTGGATGTGGTGAAGAAGGTTATGGCTGAAAATGGGTCTTTTGTTCAATTCCCTTCTCTCGGGGCTGGAAGGTCTATGATGCGTATCCAAGCACCAGATATCCCACCTTTGGATCGGACTATTAAGGCCATCTTGAATATTGTAAGGCTCTTACCCGCCGTGTGGCCTTATCTAAATTTTGTTTCCCTCGCAAGTTTGCTAACATGATATAGTCACATCAATACTATAACGCCTCCTGCTGGGTACTTCTGAACGAGACGGCTCTCTCGTCCATGCGGCCGCTCCTTCCGCAAGAGGTTCAAAGACTTCTTACAGACATTTGCGTTTTTAGCGGAGCCGATATCGCGTTTAGTAAATTCGCATTCGAGATTTATGGCTCCGATGATGCAGTCAAACTCGCATTAAAAATAATTTCAGACGTCAGATTTGTCAAGGTATGTAGTTTATTATTGCCGCCTGAGTGGCTTAGAAACTGGCTAATTCACCACAGGAAAACCGCTCCCAGATTAGAGTCAAAGTTCAAGTCGCCAACGAACATAAGGAATTCGTTAGCGGGAAGAAGAATGGGAAGATCAACAAGATTATGGGCCAAGCTGATGTTCAGATCTTGTTTGAACCTTTCAACGAATTCGACTTTTACATTGATGTGATCGGAGTGGACTTCCAGGCGAGCATGCTGGGACTGGAGCTTGTTGAGCAAGAGTTACCGGCCGACATCTCATTCTACATCCCTGACCGTTATCACAAGCGAATTATCGGCATTGGCGGACAACATATTCAAAGCATTATGCGGAAATACTCGGTATTTGTCAAATTCTCAAATGCCATGGATAGGGATTCCGGGGGTGGACGAGATACCGAGGAAATTGCTGTGGACAACGTTATTTGCCGAACCCCAGCTAGAAATGCTGCGAGCTTGGAGCTTGTGAAGCAGGAGATAAATGCTATGGTCCAACAAGTTGTAAGTCTTCTATATATTTTCTCATCGGGGCCTGGGGTTGCTGATATCCCGATTAGGATTCGGAATACGTCGAGGAGACAGTTGTCATTCCAAGACTCTACCACCGCACTCTGATCGCCCAAAGCGACTTGCTAATAGGGATTGAGAAAAAGTGGTCTTGTAAGATCAGATTTCCAGGCACTGAAACAGCTAGTGACGTTGTCACTGTTAGTGGACCTGAATGGCAGGTCCCGCACGCCATCCATGAGCTTTTGGTACGTAGATCGTTATCCCCTGTAGTATGATATCATACTGATTAGCGACTAGGCACATGTTCCCGAAACCCACACAATCGATATGACGACTTCTGAAAAACTCCAGGACGCCTTATCTTCGACCGACTTCAAACATAATGTGGTTGATCGTTTCAAGATGCAATATGGTGTCCTAGTTGAAACGGTACTCCGACCCAAACGCCTTTCGCAAAATTCGGCAAAAGGGATATGCCAAATACAATTTACATACACTCGGGATAATAGAGCTTCACGTGACATTGCTATCGACTTGTTTAAGGACTTCCTTATCTCTAATGGTATCATGCCTGACTTTCAGGGATTGCCTGTCCGGCCGCAGTCTGATTCGTTTGAAGACTCGCTTCCATACTTCAACAACAAGCTCTTCCCAACCGCCCCCACGCCCAAGGGAAGCGACGAACCCAACAACTCGTCTACAACCTCCCTTCCACTTCCAATGGAGAAACTCTTCAGTGGAGTGTCCCTCTCTGATAGCCCAGGCCCCAAAGCGCCCGAAAACGGTATGCCAGGTATCGGTGGATCCTTGCACCATGCTTGGGATGCTATGAAGACGAAGCCACGCACGAGCCTGTCTGACGAACAGCGAGAGCGCCTTGTGAATGAGTTACCGGATTACCTTCGACAACCCGGTATTCTGAAGGGAACCGCTGGCGAACGAACCTCAATGTACAACGATTCGACTGCTGACCTCGACCCGTCCCCTGTCCCATTTAGCAGAGCTGTTGGTACCAACCCACGATCAGAACCCATTGGTCACCCATACTCAATGAACGGGATCAAGCGCAATTCCGGAGAAAACGGTCTCCAAGCCCCCATCGGACCAATTGGGTCGATGCAACCCCCGAGGGACGTCCCAAGATCGAGGCCAAGCACCGCTGGGAGTAACATTAGCGGGATTAGTGATTCTTGGTCGATGATTAGTAACACAGTTCCTCCTGGTGTCGCCTATCCCGACGCAGACAGCAGAAAGGTTTGGGGACACTTTCCGATGTTTGAGAAACGCCATAATGGTCAATACTTGGTTCCCTAAACACCACCAATTTCCGATTATCTTATTACTTTTGGTCTTAACTGAATGAATGATGCGATGACAACGACGATATCCTTTTGTTTTTACATTGACCGGTACCCCGATGTCGTATTCCCCATTCAATAACCCATTGAAAAGACACCCATCATAAAAGTCCGATTCATTTTTGACTTTCTATGGAGTTCCAGGATCGCATTTAGCTTTTTTACTTTTCATACTCTTTTTTTTTTAACGACGGTCTCGAGCTCAATCCAAACATCAACGATACCCTGAAATCATTTTTTACTTTGTTTTTGTTACGAATATCATACATGTCGCGTCCTGCCTTCTCTCTACACTGTTCGAGCCTGTTGCATTATATCCTCTTCTCACACATACCTCACCTTATTTGTCGGAATCAGCTCTCACGGCCTTTCCCCTCTAGGTGTAGAATAACAGGAAAACGAAACGAAACGAAATAATCTAACGCACCTTAGGCCTTTTTAGCAAATGGAGGATACACGCGACCCATAAATACGATTAGTGTTCTTGGACTGCCCCTTTTCTCCTCGAAGTTCCAGGTTTATTTTCCTTTTATTTCCTTTCGAGACTAGCGAATACCATCTTGTCAGACTCGTCATATCTACTTGATTCCCTCTTTGCATTTCCACTATCATTTTATATCTTCATATATACCTTTTCCCGTTTTAGTTTTTCTGTTTTCTTTCTCTTTCTTTTATTTCCTAAACGCTCTATACCCATACCCCAAATATATGTTATGGCGACTGGCAACGAAACAAAAAACTCTTTTTCTAAAAAATTTGCACAGACTGAATGAACAGAAATGGATATTTACTACTACTACTACTACTACTATATATATAGGCCTATATATTTACATAAAAAAAATATCTCCTGTACCCAGATTTCTATTTTGTTCTACTATTATACCAATTGTTACGAGAACTTGTGAATGAGATACGGGACTAGTTTTTCTTTCTTTTTCTTTTAATTCTATATTAAGTTTCTACTCCTCCTTTCCCTTCTTTTTCTTTTTATTCTTTTCTTTTCTTTTCTTTTCTTTTCTTTTCTTTTCTTTTCTTTTCTTTTCTTTTCTTTTCTTCTAGCGGGTATATACGAATGGCGATGGCGATGGCGATGGAAAAAGACTCTTTGTAGTAAAGCCACTTGCCACGGAAAAAAAACCAAAAAATGAAAAAAAGAGGTAGTATATTTCTTTTACAATTGCGATGGAGTTTAGGAGTGGTCCGGGGAAGGGAAGCGAGGGCTACTATAGAGGGTATCCGGTAGTTAAAAAGGTTCTTGAATTTTGTGGACCCGCTTGGGGGGGGATATAGAAAATCTGAATGAAGGCTGGTGTTACTTGCGTATACATAAAGTTAACTGATCATATAATTATAACTGTCCAATTAATTCCGTTCTAAGAAAAGATGGGGAGATCTTTTTTGGCGTGGAACTTGTGTGCTCGTGGATGGGTGTGTCTGTTTAGACTCGTGGAGTTTGTTTCACATATATGCCTATATATAGGTAGGTACTTACCTACTAGGTATATGTGAGGAATATGATAAAGTGACGGATTAAGATGTAATGTGGAGTAAGATGCTGTTTACTATGTTAAGAGGATTTCGAATGCCTTAGATTGTGATATCATTTGAGGAGTTTGTGATGGGAGGAAGAGGTAGAGATAGTATGTATCATATCGGCTGTTGGTCTCGTTTTGTTGAAGGTATAATTGAGGTTAACGTTGGATCGATTGTGCTTGTAACTTTGATTCCAGCATGTACTTTGTAGGCATCAATAAAGGCTGTGCTATCGCTATGAACATAAGATTGCAAAGGGAAATTGAAGCATTTAAAAACAGAAAGGTAAAGACACCTGGATGCTATACAAGAAGGGAACGGCGACAAAAAAAAAATAAAAAATTTGAACATCCTCATCGATAACTTTCATCCATTCTGCTGCTTGTGTATATTCCACTCCATCACCGCCATCTCCTTAGCCTTGAATCCAGGAACTCTTGAGTCAAAGCCTCATTACCTCATCGCCTGTTACCTTCTTTTGCAGCTCATTAATAATTAAGTACCTAACTACCTACCTACTCAGCATCAGGCGCCCTAATAGCCTCCGGCGTATCTTCCTTCAACAAATCCTCAACTTCGACCCTTAATAACCCGGCCTTCTCAATCTTATCCACCAAATCTTGCAGTTCCTTTCTAACCTTTTTGATCTCCTGCGTACTAATATCCTCCTCTACATTTGGAACAGCATTCTTGACTTTCTCCTTCCAATCTGAGTTCTCAAAGTCGGCGTGATTGTCGAGTTCTTCCCATTCTTCGCGTTCGTCGTCGTCTGGTTGGCCGTGGGCGCGGTTGTGGGCGATGTGGCGGGCGTTGCGGGTATCTACCAAAGCGGAGATGAAGAGGAGGGGGAGGTAGCAGACGCTCTGTGATAAAAAAGGAACGGGTTTTTTTTTGTTAGTTGGTTTGGTTCTTTTTCTGGGCGGAGGGATTGGTAGAGATATTGGGTAAATTGGGGGGTGAGCTTACGAGAACTCGGTCATTGAGTTTTGCGTATCGTTTACGGTCCATCCACCATTCGAAGGGGATTACGAGGAAGAAGACCTCGATTAAATTGAATGCTATATTGAAGCGGGGGGATTATGTTTCGTTAGCATTTTTATTGTATTCTATTTTTTGTGTTTTTATTTTCTTGGTATGCGTGAAAGGCTTACGGGGTAAAAAGACGTTTTCATCAGGAGCGCGGACGAATTGAAGGGTCTTTTGAGCGAACTATTGGGTGGATATTGTAGTTAGTATTGTGTATTATGCTTAGAAAATATCAGGAGGATGGGAGAGGAGGGGATTATACCAAAGCCATAAATTCGTCGGTTGCATTACCGGTGATATCTTCGTAGGCACTGTTAAATAGTGCGATAAGGATGTTAAGCAGCTATGAGGTCCATTGGTTAGAAGATCCTTCTAATATATAAATTTTTGTATTGGAAAAATTGATAACATACCAAGACCATGATGACGAATGTGAAGATATAGTAGAGAATCATTCCAAACGGTGGGGAGAATTTATCAAAACTGTCGAATTCGGGGGATTGAAGGATGGCATTCGTCATTGTACGGAAGATGAAGCCGGTCATTGGTGGTGCTTCTTCCGCGTCGGTATTGTCGAGGCCGATGAAGGCTTGGAGAAATCTAAATGGATATTAGTATTATTTTTATTAAACAAATATAAACCGCTTTTGTGATCGTGATCAAGGTGTTCTTCAGCTTACCCGACCATGATGATGATTAGTAAAGAGAAGAAGATGAAGGTTTCCTGGAACATTTGCTTGAGGATTACGAGCATAGCGCCAAAGACGCGGAATGAATCCAAATAAAGCAGAACTCGGCACCAGAACATGGGCTAGATGATGAACTGTTTAGTCAAGGTCCACAGTGGGTCTCATGGTCTAATACGTACGGCGGAGAATGCAAGAAAATTGTAACTGAGGACATTATATTTTATCCGATCCGGTGTGTCTATTGGCTCGGAAAGGGCTACGCAGCGAAGGACGAAAGATGTAGTCATGAGGGTATATAGAATACACTAATTTCAATGTTAGAAAACTACTTATTGATGTTTTTGGGGCAGAAACTTACATTGAAGACGTTCCAAAATCCGAGATACCATCGTCCGACTTTCCAAAACTTTGCAGCCTCATCGAAGATGAATCCTACAGTGAAGACGTACAGAATACCCTCGACAATGTCAATATCTCCATCCGGGTTTACGGTATTGATAGCAGCGGTATACAACGCCAAATAAATGAACGAAACAAGTATTTGAAATGCATTCTGGTAGGCTGGAGCTTTGAGACGGTCCGGGTGTACGTGGTTCCAGTAGTTTACCGACGTGAGTTTATCGTAGCATACGAATTGCGTAGGGTCGAGTTCATCTTGAATGATCCATCCGTTCCAGAGGTATTTTATACACTTCTGATAACCAGAGGAACCGATGACATCCAAAGCGTGAAGATCCACGGCCCTTTCGACAGCACTCATAGGATCCGTTCTCTCACTATTCTGTAAGTGACTGAATCGTTTGACAAGGAGTTCTTGAAATAGGTAATCCTGGTCATCAGTAGATTCAATGATTCTCTTCGCAAGTATCTGACAAGCCACAGCACGCAATTGTCCTAGATCCGCGTCATAAAGTTCTTTCTTGGATTGCCAACGGAACCATTCGAGGCAGACGAGAAGACAGTATATTACACACGACTTATTCTCGTCTCCTCCGGCGTTCCGGGCTAACTCGATGATATTGTTGTTGATTATTGCGGAATGAGGTCTGGTGATTTGATCTTCGTCGAGTTCGCAGGGAACGGTTTCTTCGACGAGGTATTTGATGCGCATGGCAACTAAGGTTACGGTTTTGGCATCGATGCCCGTGGGCTGTTCTTCTATTGCATTATGGTGGGTAGTACGGCGCCGGCTGGCGAGAGCATGGCGGCGGGGGGTATAGCTGCGATGATGATTCCCATAGATCAGTTTATGCATGTCCACCATTTTGGCCCTTTTTTTTTGGATTCAATTCTAGATCTCTCTTGATCGGTTTTTGGAAGGGGGAGCGCTCCGGGATTGGTTTATTTTGTTTGAAGTTACTTTGTCATTTGAACAATTAGTATTTTGTTCAATTAGATATCCTTTTTTCCCTTCCTTTCCTCTTTCTTCCTTCAGATCCCTAGTCCTAGGTAGTTAAACTGGTATTGTATTGTTATCAACAGTTTAATTATTGTCTTTCTTCTGTATCTTCTGTACCGTTAAAGCTGTTAATTAAAGTTGATGTTTGGTTTTATTTAGTTGGGTGAGGTCGGTGATGGTTACACAGCTGTGTTCCCCTTTAAGAATTAAATTAAAGTAGCGTAACCTCAGCCTTTGATTTGAATTTGACGTCAACCGCAACCGTCAATCAATGCTAACTTCCGCAGTTTCACTTCTCTAGCGAGGGATACAAGTTCAGAAACACAGACTAGAGAGAAAGCCCATTAACAGCTAGACGCAACCAGCCTACGGAGAGTTTGGGAGGAAAGAGGGGGATGGGACTGAAGAGGAGAAGTGGCTGGGACACGCCCGTATTCACGCGGGATTAAATTAAATTTTAGATCTAAAGGAAGAAAGAAACGAGACAGACAGTTAGGACTTTCAAGATTCCCAACTTTTCTTCAGCTCAAAACTGGAACAGCTGACCAAGGCCCAGCATGTTTTTCAGCCGAAAGCTTCAATTGGCTACCCCCGCACGGAGTTTACGAAATCCAAAGAACCCACCTTTGGGGAATGCGAATGCATGCACGGCATCGCGTCCAAAAGTGTTGACGTACGCCCAGCCCCATGCACGTCACTCATTTGGGACTAGCTAGTTATGTAGCAGGGGGAGGGGCGTGGAATTGGAAAAAAACGATCTCGACTATCGATACGTACCAGATAGCTAATTCGCTGGGTGCGAAGGAGTCGGTAGCCGACCAGTCAGCTTTTTGGAGGCTGCGAGAAGTTGCTGACTTTATCTTTCTTAATTAAAAACCTTCGAAACTTCATGCTAGTAACGCTTGTGTAACATGGCAAGGCTGTATACATGATACCAACTTAGTATACCTTGTCCTTGAGCGTTTGGAGGATTGTAGCCTCGAGACCAGGGAGGATTGCTTGTTTAATTTAAGAAAGAATGCATGTTGGTTGGATTAGTATCAACTATTTCACGCCCTCGAGACTATTGTCCCCTGACCTCATCTGTCTCGAGACTATTGTTCCCCATGCAAGGTTCATACAGGCGCTGAGCTCGAGGTATGTACGTGTAACGTAACTTAGACGCAAAGTGAACTAAATCTGTTATTCCATAAGCCAGGCATCTAACTAACTCCTAGCTATTTAGTTTACTTACATACGTGCGTCGTCAAAGTGTGGACCGCGTCTGCAATACGAGACTACGTCGTACAAACGTATCTATATCAGACATGCTAGGGGTTTTAAATATAATTATATATACCTAGGTAGTTTATTTGGGAAATGATAAAACGTTTAAACTTGTATATCTGCAGTTTTACATACAATGAAATATTATTTTTGGCAAGGGTATGCATATGCACTGGATTCTTTCGCTAAGTTATAATCCAGCATGTTGTGATTAAACAACGTCTATAGTACACATCTATACGTACCTATTTACACAAGTGTACATGAAAGCAATCATACATGATCAATTATCGATCTTTCGTACATTTGTAGTTCGGTTCATATGATCACCAGAATCACCAAATCGAGAAGGTAGACCTTGACAGGTATTAACACGTATTAAACCGGCGGGCCTAGCAAGGTCTCCCCGGATAAATACACATATACGATCCACAGATGCACATTGGCGACTATATAGCACTATCCCGCATTTTGCATACCGGACCTATATGGGTCCGAAATATATATGTTTATAGGTATATATAAAGCTTGATGTTCAATTCCCCATTTATTGTATTCCATGAATCTATAGCCGTCTATAGACGTAAAATTATAGACGTAGAACCAATATTAACATCGTACATTTAAATTTATATTTATAATATTCGGTCATTCAAGATGTCATACGAGACTTATACATTCCCCCACCCGGTCTTAGGCCCCCTCACAGGCCGCCTCGTCGAAAACGATTCAGTAGTTCACTTCCGCTCAATCCCCTACGCCACCATCCCCGCCCGTTTCCGTCCCTCAGAACCCCTCTCCGCAATTCCCGAAATCTTCGACCACCGTCCTCACCGTCAATTCACAGAATATGGATTCGCCTGTCCCGGCCGCGCCCATGACCCTTCTGATCTCCCCGGGGAACTTCCCCGCCAATACGACGAATTCAAATGTCTAACCCTCACCATCTCCGCCATAAAATCCCAACTAGATATTGTTTCATCAGGATCATTAGAACAACTTAATCACCTCCAAAAACTCCCCGTTTTGATCTACCTCCACGGTGGAGCCTTCACCGAAGGTGCAGGTCACATTTCTTCAATGCATGAAACCATTCGATTAGCATCCTTCTCCATCACCGATTCCTCCACTCCAACAATCTTAATCTCGATCGGATACCGACTAGGTGCATTCGCCGGTCTCGCAAGTCAAGATTTATTAGACGAGGCGATCGAAAACGGGGATGAAGAGATTTTTAACCAAGGGCTTTTCGATCAACGGAAGGCTCTCTTGTGGGTTAAAAAGTTCATAGGAGGCTTCGGTGGTGATGAAGACAGGGTTACGGTGTTTGGAGAATCTGCCGGGAGCATGAGTATTGCGTTACATTTATTGGCAGACGAACCGTTGTTTTCAAGATGTGCTATGCAAAGTGGGAATGTTGCGACTTTTGGACGGACTTTGAAGTGGGATGAAGTCAACGGGATATATGAAAAGCTGTTGAAAAGTATAGGAGGGGATGCTGGTGGGACTAAAGAGCAAAGATTGGAGGTTCTAAGGAATATACCGCAAGAACGGCTTTGGGAGGAATTTATTGGCATCGGAGGGGCAGTTATGGAGACTTATTATGGAAGTGAAGGGACGTTTTTTAAGAAATTGGAAGGAGTGGTGCCGGTTTATTCGAACCATGTGGAACTAACCGCAAAGAGGGAGTGGGTTGATGGTGTTATCGTTGGCGACGACTTTTGGGAAGGATACATATTTAGGAACGGATTGACACATGCGAAACATAAGAAGTTTGTTAAGATGTTCAAAACGGTATTCGGGCAGGAGATGGGGACAAAGATCTTGGACAGTTATGATATTGAACCCGACGAAGGGGTGTGGATGGATCAAATGAAGTTTTTTGTGAGGGTGATGTATTTGATTGGAGATCTATTCTTTCAACAGCCTACCGTGCAGATGGTCGATGGGTTATCTAAGGCATATTATAACCCTCAGGCTAGTGGGGATGGGAGGAAACAAAAGGTTTTCAGATATCAATTCAACTTACCGAATCCGTGGCCCGGGTCACCATTCTCCTACGTTTCGGGCCATCACTTTGTCGAAATGTTTTACCAGTTCATGACATTTCGAGAACGGTACCCTACCCATCGAAATAAGTTTTATCAACGACAGTCTGAGGAGATGGCGAGGTTATGGATTGCATTTGCGAACGGGAAGAATCCTTGGGAGGAGTATAAGGAACAGACGGGTTATAAGATTCAAATTTGTGATGATGTCAACGGATGGCATTCGAGGACTAGAGACGAAGATGTGGAGAGGTCTAGAGACGAACAATGGGGGGAGAGGAGGTATAAGCAATGGGAATTGATCACGGAGGGGTTCGAGAACTTGGAGAAGGAAGGTGGGAAGGAGAAGGTGGAGTGGGCGAGGAGGAAGTTGTGGGATATGAATGGATATATGGATGATGAGGACTTTGTGTTTAGTTTTGGGAAGAAAGAGGATTGAATTCAGATCCTCTTTAAATTAACTAAGTAGTTAAGTAGGTACCTATTAATAAAATATACATCTAACTACTTGGGTATACAGATATATTGTGTATACAGGCTCCTCGAGACTAAACCAGGCATAGTCTCGAGGGCAGCATCGTCAATTCTAAAATACAACTTACAATCTGCGTTGTTTATAACTACTCTCGAGTCCAGTTCATAATCACAGCAATGCTATTTTGTATATAGCTCAGGTACTGTCTCAATATAGATCTATTATCAGTACGATGTTTTAAGATATAAGACCATGATTAAATGTTCGTTATCTAATTAATATTCTGAATGACTACTCATATATCAGAGTGCCACTGCATATTTACATCCGCTCCTATATCGATGTCTATATAAGGACTATATAAAATAACTCCCCATAAACGCCAGCCGCTATGCCCAAAGTTTTAGTTGAAAAATTGCTATAAAAGATCCCAGCCTAGGATGTCCTCGATATTCCAGCTATATTCCTCCCCCAAGGTTCCATTTCCTCCAGATCCTCAGTAGGGTACGGCGTCATCAGCCCCGACCTCTCACTCACAACTGGACTCCCCACTAATTCCCCCCTCTTATCCACTCCCCCCACCAATGTCGAAGTCCCGGTGGTCATAGTCCCTCCCGTAGAACTAACCGGTACGATAGTCCTACTATTCCTCCCAGACCTCCTTTTCTCCTGCGTAGGTAAACTATCTGTTATTCCAACATTCTTCACCTTCCCGAGTAACACCCCCCTGAAATACTCCCTAACGGGGCCCCAAATCGCCACCACACAGACCACAAAAGTCCCCAATCCGGTTTCAAACAGAGCGCAAAGCACCAAACTCGGAGCCGTAACATCCCTCCCCAGATCCGACGGATGATACAAATACATCTCTAACACATAAATCCTCACCGCCTGTGTCGCACAAGTGACAAACCCCGTGAAGAAAACAATACACAACGCCAATTTTTTCGATATCTCCAAATGCGACTTCCAAACAAACGGGAACGGGTAGATTAATAACATAAACTCCGTGAATAGTCCGAATACCTCTGTTACTATGGTTAACTTGTGGAGATAATCTGTTCCGCCGTTTTCGGGTGATGGACAGTTCCAGGGGTTCTCCCAGGTGTCCTTTAGTGGGAAACAGCTGACGAAGATGTTCACTATTCGCATTATAAACTGGAGGATACTGAGGAGGAATATTCCGGAAAGCCAGTATTTGGCCTTTTGGGTCGTTGCGAAGGCTCGGTAGTAAAATAGTACGATTGAGATTTTAATCAACATCACCGCGAGAACATTGCAGAGATCGTGAATCCATAGCCATAACAGGAATTTCGATAGTCGGTCCAAAGGTAATGTGGATATTGTAGACGGGACAATTGTTACGGTGATATAAACCCATATAGCCCAGAGTGCCCACGTTAATGGTAGAGACAAAAGGATGAAGTAGTCGTCCCATTTTATGGAAATGGAGTTTTTGATGCGGATGTAGAAACGTAGGAAGATGCCGAAGGTAGCGAGAACGGGGAGAATAACTTCTACGGCGGCTCCGGTTTTGAGGTCTGTGGTGTAACTGGAATTGGACATTGAATGGCTGCCACTGCTGTTTAAACTTGCCGCGTTGGGGATGTTGGATTCGGGGTTGTAGGCTGTGTAGTACATGTGGAATCGGCGTGGGGGGGTATTGCAATTGGCTAGCTACAGGCGCATGGATCGGAAACTGGGGTTTAGGCGCTGCATTTCATGGAATTCGATCTGGAGAGAAAAGGGGAATACAATATCGAATCGATTCTAGAATAGATAGAGAATGCAGGTGGAAAAGGGTATGAAAAAGGGAAAGAAATGTCAGAGCTTTGAATAATAAACCATGGACGAGAACAAAGCTAGCGGTTTAATCATCAATCATGCATGCGCAAGCAAGAGCCGATAGGGCGCGGGCGCATTGTGTGAAGAGCTCAAGCTCGCTCGGCCGATCCATATCGCTCAGCCGCAGTCTCTTGCTGCGTAGTACTATGTAAATAAGTAGTGAGAGCACATATCTGCCTACGAGGGCTGCAGGGAAGCTTTTGGTTGAAGTTCTTGGGTATAGAAAAGGCATTTCTCTGATTGGTTGGACGCACGGTGGCGTTAAAAGGGCGGGTCTTTTTTTCTGTTTTGGGATATCAGAATACCGTCGTGACCTTGATGCCAAGCGTAGCACTTCGCAAACCCATTTTTAATAGTTTGCATTTGGGTCCATGGGTGGGTGCATATGCTTACAATTGCAACCGGTGCAGCTGTGGGACATCAAATTCTCAGAAGGGATTAGTATTAATGCTGCCGTCAATTCTAGTTCGCTCCGCGCTGCATCGCCATCGTCGAAATATGGACGGCAAGTAAAGCGTATAGCTATAACGTTGGACGCTTTTATGGAGACAACAGGCCTATCGTTATCTCCTCAGCCATAGATAATCCTGCAGAAGAGAATCCTACAAGGGCATCCAAAGAAACGTCTCCGACCGTTTAGAAATGCACAGACGAACTGATTTACGAAACGACCCCCCCATCATACATAGGAAACTTATGACATCGGTATCCGAAAATGCCTATAGACACATATAAGAAAAGAACATAAGGGAATAGTTGACACCATTAACGAATACTTTAGGATATTTCCAAAGAGGAAAAAGAGTAAAATAGAGAGAGAAAAAAGCGGAAGCATACACCCATTCTTTTAATCTCAAGGAGAAACAAAAAGAAAAGAAGTTAAATACATTCAACACCGTTCTTGTGCCTGTACTTGTGCGGGAGCAGAGAAACAGTAAGAACTTTTGTGCGAGAATCGTTAATGTCGTGAAAAAAAAAAAACCATAAGAAAAGAGAAAAGAGGAAAGGATGCAAGGTGGAAGAAGAATATTGCAAACAAGAAAACTAACAAAAGGAAAAGGATGAACACCCCCGAAATAGTAGAAGAAACAAGATAGAGGTAAGATATGTTCAAGAAGCGAGCTTATCTGAGTTCAGAAGCAATAGTTAACGCCTAGTGCAACACTGATCAGAACCCAGAACTACCTTCAGCTTCGGTATTGTCTTCCCTTTCTCCTGAAGCGTCGTTTCCTCCTTTCCTTGGAGTTAGTGGAATGCTAGCACGAGGGGAGTTCGGGGCGTCAGCAACTGGGGCATCAGACTCGCCGTTGGCGGCTGGCTCAGCATCAGTTTCTGAAGGTTTCTACTCATCAGTCCCTGCAACATCGCCAACTTCACCTTCCGACTCATCACCGGAAACCTCCATGTTCTCGAGAGCCTTCTCCTCCATGAGTTTCTTGAGTTCAGCGTCATCGCTCTCTGTGACTGCCTTGGGAGCCATTTTGATGGCACAAACACCCCCTGCTGCCTTGATGTTTTCGTCAATAGCTTGGATCGCAGATTCAAGAACGGCGATACCGGATTCTTTCGACAAACACTGAGAAGTGAGAACGTAGAGTGGTGGAGAAACAAGCTTGACTTTGACTGGGGTTTCGGCAGTCTGTTTAGCCTCTGCAGCGCGGAGGGCGTCCTTGATAGCATCGATACCATCATATCCGAAGCATGTGACTTCGACGTCGGCACGGACCTTGGTTGGTTGTGGGGTCAAACGTTTTCCAATGTAGGTCATCAGCTCTTCCTTGACAGCCTCATTCGGGAAAGTGATCTCGTCCCACATATCGGGGTTTCTTGGAAGCGATAATATAGGTTAGAGTGACAAATACAGCCTCATTTAGTAGTCGGACCTGGGTGACCTACGTGATAGAGTACTTGAAAGCATCAACAGTATGACCGAACTTCTTCATCAAAGGCCAAGATATCGAGCTGTAAAGGTCCTCCAAGGGAATCTTTGTCTTTTCGGCAACGTGTCGGAGGATGGAATGTACCATCTTAGATTTGTTGAAACGCTCCTCACATTTAACAACATCCTCAGCACTGACACGACGCTTGCTGAGATCGATGTAGCCCTTCTCCTTATCGACTCTGAGAACCACAACGACTTCGTTACGTCCAACACGGATGAGCTTTTGAATGGAACGGATACGACGACGGGAGAGTTCGGAGAGTAAGATCATGCCGTCGATATTATCGTACTCGAGAAGTTTTACGTATGCACCCATCTCGGCAATCTAGCATTTTGGGTATTGTATCGGTAATCATATCCAGCCGGTAGTGCTTGACGGGAAGTAGCTTGGAAGTGTGCGAACGAACCTGCTTAACATTGACCATGACATAGCTATCCACTTCGGGATACTTCTCTTCGTAGTATCGACAATTTGTTAACGACATGTTGGTGGTTATTGAGGCGAATGTGGGGGTGGTAGAAGCGGGGTGGTCGGACGTGAAGCTGGCGGGGAAGCTTTCTAGACGACGGTAACTTGGTCACTTGAGTATGAACGTCTAGACTAATATTAACAAGAAATTGGTCTAGTTTTGGTGATGTATGGGAGAGTGAAAGGCAGCAGACGAGCTAATGGAGTTGGTAGAGCGAAAGATGGGCGACTCTTGAAGTAGTAGCTGATGTAGCAGGTGGGAAGCCAGGGATGAAGCCTTTTAAAGTCGAAAGACAGTTATCAAGACGGTAGGAGCTCAGTGGATTGAGGCAGACGGGTAAGAGCTATGTCTGGGGGTGGTGATGGTGGTGGTGATGCCGTCTGTTGATTGGTGGTGATGATGTTGGAGAGGGAAAGAAGGTTGGTTTGGTAGAAGACAGCGGAGGATAAAGAAGACAGCTTCTTCTTCTTCTGCTGTGAATCATACACACACAAATCTAACAAAAAGTCACCACACAAAATACCACATCACGAAGTTTCGCACAATTTTCAGCATCTATGAGGTATTTCACCTCGGCTTAGACCTGCCTCGTATTCACTGGGCTCCTAGCAGGGAACGAAAAAGTATAATCTCGCGATCGTGGGAACCATTTTGGTTAGGTTTCCCCAGGTCTCTTTTTTTCTTTGTATGGATGTGTATCTGGTACATGTACATTACATGTCGTGGTTGAGGCGCAGAATGACAAAATTTTCTTTCGCTTGTCGGCGCTTGTCCCCAACCAGCACCCCTGCAAGATTGATCCCACTTCTTATCGATAAAAGCTTAGGCCTGCTATGGGCATTGTACGGTAATTTGACTGAGCATCAACTGTATGAGTGTTTAATTTTCAGGGCGCGAGGCGATTTCCTGACTTATGTCTTTTAATATGAGGATGGGAATAACGCATAATATATAATGCGGGGTGAGTTATCACTGACATTCCACTTTATAACGTCATATGCATATGTTATTGTAGATAATATAATTTAATCACAAGCTTTGAGATTCAGGCTGGTTATTTGTATTATATTAGGTTTGTAAACTGGATATGAGGGCTTTCTTTCTTTCTTTCTTTTTTGTCGTTCTCAAAGCTTTCAAGACGCCCGCGCGAATCTGACATTGATTCCTTAAAACGGCGTTAGATATATACAATATATGTGAATTGGAGGGTTATCTGTGTATTACTATAGCTATAATGGGCCAATTGATCAAGATAGGATCCTGCGAATGTATGTATGTACGGGTTAGTCCTAAGTAATATTGTTGGTTTGATTGGTATATTCTGATTTCATGGTTTAGTAGCACATGAATGTAAGGACAATTAATGTAATGTCCAACTAGACTGGTTTATTAAAAAGCCCCAAGTATCGGTTCAGTATAGACTAGAATTGAAGTATTGGAGTATTGGAATATCGGAGTATCAGAGTATTGAAGGACTATGAAGAATGGTGGACGGAGAATGGAGGTCGTGGTTGTTAGGGGAGCTGTGGACCCAGGGCCGTACCAGTGCGGGTCCAGTAACTGGGTAGGCTCATGGCAGTGTCATTGGCTGTCCAACATTCATCCGATACATCCATCCCCGCCACCACCAAAATACAAACACCCCCCACTCCAACTACTGCAAACCCCAACTTCAACATCTTCCAACATCAACTTCAAATACAATCCTAGCATCGGATACAAACCTGCAATCTACAGGAAGACAACAAAACAACAAAACAATAAAATAAAATATAAAAAAAAAAAGATGTCAGAAGCCGGCCTCCCCCCAAACTGGGAAATCCGCGTCTCCAAAACTCGCGGAATCCCTTACTACTTCCACCCTCAAACCCAAGAATCGCGCTGGGAATCCCCCCCGGGCACCGACTCCGAGAAGCTCAAAGCATACATCGCCGCAAAATTCTCCTCTTCCGGAGCTAGCGACCAAAGCTCCAAACCTCAAGGGGAAAAAATTAGAGCTGCACATCTACTCGTCAAACACGAGGGAAGCAGAAGACCATCTAGCTGGAAGGACGCGGAAATTACGAGAACTAAAGAGGAGGCTAGATCTATTCTGCAAGGGTATGAAGAGAGGATCAGAGGAGGTAGTGTCACACTCGCTGAACTGGCAAAGACGGAAAGCGATTGTTCCAGTGCTAGGAAGGGTGGCGATTTGTAAGTTTTCTCTGCCTTACTCATTTCCTTTCTGCTTTCGTTTCATTGTGTCTGTACACGCGTGGGAGGCTAGATACTGACCCGCCATTTTGTCTTATAGGGGATATTTTGGAAGAGGTGATATGCAGAAGGAATTTGAGGATGCCTCCTTTGCACTTCTACCTGGCGAGATGAGCGGTATCGTTGAAACGGCTTCTGGATTGCATTTGATTGAACGGTACAGTCTTCACACCCGCATCCATCCTACTCGAAACTTAAACTAACCACACTGACACGACACTTAGAATTTCGTGAACAAGATAAAGGTGACCCTAAAAGTAACTCTAGCGAAGCGTGTATACCTAACTACCTACTATCCTGGCCATTGGTTATTGCAATCTTAAGAATGTTAAAAGGAGGTTTCTTTTTTTCTTCGATTCCTGCCCAGTAAAACAATTGTACAAGAAGAACTGATAAAAGTACATTGAACATCACCAACCCTCCATACACCTTACTACTCAGCCCGCGTCAAGTTCAATTCCACGATATACAAAAAACCCGGACGATTTCCTTCTCTCCGTGCTCCCAACCAATACCGTAGTAACTTTTTGAAAAATACCCAAGCCCTTTAGCTTTTTTTATAACGGTTTCAACGATGTGTGTCTAAAGCACGCTCGTTAGTGATGTCGAAGCATATTCCTCTAGGAGTTAGAGAGAGAGGTATCTATTGACTTACGCAAAAAACAATACTTTGATTGCTAAGGCGAATCCGCCGTGTAAAACCAACATGACGATAAGCACTATTTTCGATGTTTGTGCATCGATTCCACTGATCACAGGGTACCTAAACAAAAGCAGCCTCCTCGTCAGCACCCTTCATCATTGTAAACCTCCAGTAGAGATGCAACTTACAAGTTCCTAAACAAAAAGGTTGCCGAGATTCCCAACCCAACCGCGCAAAAGACCCAGTTAAGAACTATGCAGCCACAATTAGCTCCCTCAATCCGTCATACTTCCCACAAACCTCCAGAATGAACGATAATTCAAGGATGATACTTACTCTGAATCGGACTAACACTAGCAATGCTCACTGGTACCCAAATCACATTTGCGTACCCATAAAGACTCAAACACTCCAACAAATTCGCCGAGTCACTTCCATACCACTTCAAAACCCCCCACAGGGCCACAGGCACCAATGCTGTATATCCATACACTAACCCAGCCGCCCCCGTCAAACTTGTAAAATTGTAATTAAACCCGTCGCTGCCCTTAACCTTTGCGAAGTAACTCGCGAGGGTGGAGGTCAGAAAGAGCATTAATACGACCGTTGAAGCGATCCATACAGGACCGTAGAGGTCTGGATTGCCTTCTAAGACGTCTAGGAAGTTGGATTTGGGGAATAATGCGGCAAAACAGCGGCGGAGGACTTCGGAAGTATCAACATTGAAGAATTGGGCGTAGAAGGAGAGGCTCCAAAGGTAGCGTTTGCCTGTGGTGTTGGTGGCATTCTCGCCAGCCGTGCGCGATGAGGAGGCGCCGCCGCCTGTGGAAAAGAACCCGCCTGGTATGAAGAGAACTGTTAGTTGTGTGGATTACATGAGGGTTTATCAAGTCGGAGATGGGGTAGTACGTGATTGGTCCGATGGGATCTTGCCAGTGGGAGGGTCATTGTGGCCGAAGTCTGTAACGAGGCACTAGTTAGCTCTGTACCGACACTGTGATAGTATCTATAACGAACCTTGGAAATCGAGACCAGTCTCGAGATCAGTGTGGCCTAAATCGCCCTGTTCCAACCATCGCCACCGTTGTCTTAGCTACCACATTCCTTGGATCTTACGGAGATGCCACCTATTTGAGGCTTCCTGCGCGGGGAAGAAAAACCAACCTCATCGTCCACCTCAACAACTACATCATAGCCGGCTCCGGACGGCCTGGACATGCTGGGCGATCGGGTTTTTGATGTCGTTCAATCGTGTCGCAGTTGACCTAAGCTAGGACGTCGAGATGTTGAAGCTGGCGAGGTTTCAAGTTGGACAAGTTGCGCTTAAACAGTTAGCCAAGACATCGACAGGCGTCGTCATGCAACGCGAAACCCATACAATAGCTAACCATAGCTATACTATCTAACCTACTTGCTTACTTACTTACTAAGTAAGTACTTAAGGAAGTACAGCTTAGTAAGTCCGTAGGTAGCCAGTTCCAGCTGCGAAATCGAGTTCTTACATGTATGGACACTTGCCTGAGATCGGATGTGAAGTTTTGCAGTTAATTATCGGCGCGGTCGTGGCCTTGGAAAAGAAACTCGATTTAACAAGATCTTGGCTTTTATTGTTCTTCCTTGAGCTACAATATAATATGTACTTAAGTAGGTGCTTAAGCACTTATGTATGTGAATATACATGTAAACGACTCTCATGATGTTTAAGAAGCCCTCAATCGCATTATCTTCCCCATCGGAACCAACCCCGATTCTGTGGATTACTTTCGTCTTTCCTCCCTTCATCGATTTCCATTGGAGCTGTAGTAGTTGGCTCATCGACAACAGGGGCAGCCTCCCTCTCTAAGCCCGGATACTCAATATAATTCCACGCGATATCGAAGAAGATAGGTTTGACAGGTATCGGCTTAACTTTCGGTGGGAAGTCGATTAAATTGGTGAAATCGACACCGGACTCCGGGTATACAGCCAAACTTTCAATGAGTGGCTTTCTTACGGCTGATTTTTGAGCGAGGGTAGAAGACTGCTGGGTTAGGCGGTCCATTTCGGCGAGGGCATGATATCGTTGAACATTGGCTTTTAACTCTGCGGCCAGTATCTTGATCTTCTCGGATGGGATGGAAAATGGATCGCTAGAGGTGGGTTTTATTTGCGATGAGAGTGAGACCGCGGTGTTGATGCTTTCAGATGCACGGTGATAAAGAGCAAGTGAATTTAGTCGATTGCCAATATTGGCATGCGAGGCGGCAATTGCCGAACACCTGGTCAACGAATTAATAGAGCCCCTAGAGCATGAATAATCATGGGAACATACTTGAGGGCAAGGTAGTAGTGACGCTTCATCTCGAGTTCATTGCCGAATTCCTCATCTGCTGCGACACCTGGTAGCTCTGCGGCTTGTTCCAAGTCCTTGCGAGGCCGTTAGTTAGGATTAAGAGTGGCAATCGTGATTGAAACCGACCTGGAGTATAGCATCCCAAAGCGCAACTTCTTCCTTGAAGCCAGAAACTGCACCGGGTCCATCTTTCTCTTTCTTATCATCCCAAACACCCGTAGCCATAACACTGTTTCTTCGGATTCTCCACGAAATCAGATTATAGTTCACGTAAGTATAAATAACCTGTAGGGCCTGGATTCTCTCGTCGCCGGCACTTGCTCCATCATTCAGTGCATCATCGATTGTTTTCTTGATCACGTCCGCAGAATCTTGCCATGCTGCCAAAATCTCGTCGAAATGGTCTGCTCTGGATTTCCCAGAATCTGCCTTGTGCTCATCAAGGTACGATTCAAGGTTTTTTTCGGCCGCAGCCACGCTCCCCAGTGCAAGTGCAACGTCTGCGTCTTCAACTGGCGCGGTACGGGTTCTCCATGTTATTGATTTGACAGCTATTGGTTTTGCCACGGATCCAGCGGCAACCTGCTCCTCTTCTTCAGGCTCCCTTAAAACATCTGCGTCTAATGCGGCGATAGCGCTAAGAAGTTTTTCGTCGTCTTTGGGGAAATGCCGGCGGCTAGTCGTATCAATATCCTGGTTTCTGGGCAGACGTAATTGATACGAGCTGTAGCGAACCCCAGCATCAATATTACTATTTAAAATCTCCTTGAAAGTGTCCCCCCGAACGGCAGCGGAGAGCGCGAGATAAATTATTCTGGCAGTCGACAGGTATGCAAGGGCTTTATCCCACTGCCCCTTCTCAAAGGCAATCGCACCAGCAATTGAGTCCGCGTAAGCTCTGGCTTCGAGTATATCATTTTGGCTAGCATTACTTTCTGGGTCTTGGAGTAGTGCGAGAAGCTGGGAAGCATATTTGTGGGCCTTGTTGAAGCGTGTGATAATGTGGCTGCGTGTCGGTCCCGATAGAGCCGATGCCCCGGAATCAGATTTCATGTACATTGCAAAAGCCCACGCCCTTTCAGTAGAGTAAACGAGGAGATGTACATATCTATAGTGTGAAGGTCAGCTACCTGGGAGCTACAAAAAAGGTAGGCTAGAATGGTATAACAAACTTGGCATTTTCAGCAATGTTCTGAGGCGTGATAGCAGCCTTCTCAACATACTTCCGAGACCGACTAGCTGATTTGCCGTATACATTTCGCCTGAGCTTTGAAATTCTGCGAGAACAAAGCGCTCGATAGGCATTGTAGTCGCCGAGAAGGAGGGGATCAGAGCGGAGCTTGAGAACTGTGGTTGTGATATCCATCCTGATTACCGTGCACGCATCAATCCGAGTCCAATGGCGGTATCGATAGCCTAGTCCGCAGTATATTAACGCCCTGAGCTTCAACTAGGTCGTGTGCAGCCGCGATCAAAAGTAGGATGTTGGCGGTATGTTCGAATTCGAATTTGGGTAGATGTGACTGAATCGAAGCTTGGTGCTACTGTAGCATATCGCAACGAGTGTGGGTTGTCGTGGGGTGAATTGTGGCGGTGGCTAGTGCTGCCTGACAAAATCTAAAAATCAAAAGTGGCGTGTTTCTCGACATCCAAAAAATTACAGGTCTTGGCCATGGCCTGGAACTTCAAACTTCCCACTCGCTTCCAAGTTCAACGCCTAATTTGCACCAAAAAAAATAACATACAAAGAATAGCTCTCAGGGCAATTTGTGACAGCCCGTGAGGCAGAGAGGTGGGATTGGTAGTCGGTATTTTACATAGGAGGACAATCTTCATACATTCCGTCAATTGTTATACCTTCGGGAGGACGCCGCATCTATTACATTTTATTGGCATGTCGATACGCAGATTGTGAATGAACGTCAATGTTGGCACTGTGGGCACCATTGCTTCCCCATAATCTACCACTGCCATCGAGATCGGGATATGTTTTCTAGTGCGTATGTATGGACATACCCACCGCAATTATATCGAACTTGGACACCCCTCGTTCCGTCGAATGGATTACTAACAGCAAAGATTCTCAATATAGCACCCACAATCCCAACTGCACTCATCGAAGAGGTCCTTGTGAATACGACGGCGAGAATTAGGGCCGCTGAGACGGGGCATGCTCGAACGGGTAGCTGCTCGCCTAAACCGTCGAGGCTGTACTCTCTCCAATGTTAGAACAGCAAGTCTGTCATCCGGTCGGATGCTTCATTCAGCTTTTTGGATCCATGGAGGAGAATTACTTTTGGGACGGGCAACCGACGATTACGAGGCACCCGAAGGCTTCCAGGACGTATTACTTAGCAAATTCAGGTCAATATCATCAGCTTTGTCCGGACAGGTGGACCGAATCTCTAAGTTCGCTTCGTTGCTACCGCCCCCTCCGAGCCCGTCTTCATCGGACCAATTCTCCATATCTGCCTTTGGCCTCGACTTCCTATATCCACCGCAGGCTATAGCACTTCTTCAGCGACTCTCGGTCAGGAGAAGTTTGAGGATCTCTAACAACCGAAACGGCTACCTCCCACGGTCCTACAGCTCCTTCGTTGGCGACTCCTCAAAAGCGAAACGTGAGGCCAAAATCAGAGCCGAGTTAGCTGCAAGGCAGGATGAAGAGTGGGAATATGGTCAATCCGGGATGGCAGAAGGGTTTTTAGACAGACGGAAGAGGGACTCGAGGGATAAGTTTATGCCTTCTGAAAAGAAAGCTAGATCGCTCCAAACATTAAACCCAGCGGATTTTGATTTGTCGGAGGAATCTTTCGACCGGGCATGGGCGTGGTATTCTAGAGAGGAGGGGGCCCCGGAGGAACCAGCGCTTGTATTGGAACCAACGTCACAAAGAAGACGGCTTTTGCTTGGATACCTCATCAATAGCAAACGGAAGGTTGATTATGAACGAGTTATTGTGCTTATTGAGGACCTGTCTCCTGAAAAACGTCGGGATGTGGATTGGAAGACTCTTATACACGCGTACCTTTTCCTGCACCAAGTTGATCCCGCATACGTCGCTCTTTCGAAGCTGGTTGAACAAAGGATCAGCAGCACCCAAGTCGGATTTGAAGAGTTCATTTCCTATTGTCTCAACCATGATACCTGGGATCGAGCTATCCGTTGTTGGCAGCTTTTACAACAAGAACTGCCTGAGTCGAAGCGTGGCGGTCCATCAAGCACTGAAATTGAACTTCGAGCTGTTCCACGATTTCAACAAGTTCGACCGCAACTTATCGTCACTTCAGTTCCTGATTTTATGAACAAGTATACTGCCTGGGTAGCGAACCTACTGAGGAACGATATTTTGGCTCGCGATTTGGCAGTATGGCTGTTCGTTGGGGTGAAGAAGAACTTCGCATCAGGTGGGGCAGCTGCCTTCACTAAGGCTGATATCGACTGTGTCAATAGGCTTTTGGGATCAAAGGCGTGGTACACTCCGGATGAAAAGGACTTGGAATACACTATTCTCGGTACGCCATACTTGGAGAAACATGAAGAGGTCATCAAACAATATTCCAAGTATCGGCTTTCCCCTAAAGCTAATCCATCAAACATACTACTCTACCGGGTTCTGCTCGCATCTATAGCGGCTGGGGACTTTAAGGCAATGCAAATGGTGTTCGACGACTGGTTTAAGTATCATAATCACCCAACCATTAAAGCCTACCGACAAATGATGGACGTCTTTGCCAAACGGGGGGAGGTAAACATTGTCGAGGAACTGTATAAACAATTCTCTAGTCGATTCGCCCCCACTGCGGACGACTACGGCCATGTACTCAGAGGATACGTGGAACGAGGAGAAGTCGCCACTGCAGTTGAAAAACTCGAAGCAATGCCTTTACTGAATCTCAAGCCTAACCTTGAGTGCTATAATACTCTATTGAGAGGTTTCTCCCAGGCAGAAGATATGGAAAGTGCTATGGATTATCTCAATGTGATCCTTGAGCTCGGATTCGAGCCAAACTCGGGCACGTATGGTTCCATGATGTACGTCTGCGCGGCTCGAGGTGATTTTGAGAATGTGGATCTTCTCTTTCGAGCGGCTTGCAGGAAGATGACGCCGACTGTTACTATGTGGAACATGATCATCTGGTCACATGTGAATGGTGGTGCTCGCTCTTTAGCTTGGAAGTTGATAAATTTCATTTACAGGCAGGAAATGGGGATCCCTATGACACACATGTATAACATGTTGATGAGTGCTCATGCCAACAAAAAGGAGCTCCGCAATGTGGACAGGATCTTTAAAGAAATGCAAGAGAGGGGGGTTCCGTTCAATTTTCACAGCTATGCTATCATGATGCGTGCACTTACCCAAACGCAGCATCGAGAGAATCTTCAAAAAGCTAGGCAAATGTTGGACCTTTTACAAACACAGAACATCCAAACCGGCCCCGTACCATACGCCACACTCATGCAAGGCTTCCTGCGTCGACGGAAATACTCCGAGGTTTTTGCCATTTACAAGACAATGATGGAAAATGGGGTGGAACCAAATTTCACCGCACAGTCCATGCTTCTCCTCGCCTCTATTTTTGAAGCACAAGAACTAGCGAAGTTTACGGGTAATGTTGATCTCAGCTCTGCTGAAGAAATATCCCGTCTGGCAATTGAAAAGTTCTCAGGGTTCGATCCCACGAGTTTCAGTCCCGTTAAGAGCGCCGTTCCGACTTATATCTTCACTCCACTCATTTCGGCCTATATATACAAAGAAGACTACGAATCTGTCCGCAAAACGTATCAACACTTCCTCGAGATTTCCTCACTCAAAGGTACCAACAGCATCAAGCCCACCATGAATATGTATCTAAAGCTGCTGCATGCATCCCAGAGAGAAAGGAATTGGACCGGTTTGCGCGAAATTTGGCGACTGATGTACACAGAAGCCCAACGGCGCGGACGACCACTGACTCAGATCAGCACTGGATCCAATGTTGTAACAGTCAAGAAGAGAGAAATGTGTCCTGCTTTTGATATCATGCTGAAGGCAGCGATTGATTCGATAGAAGTAATCGGCCCTGAGGCCGATGCCATCACCGTTGGAGAGATTGGGAAAATGATGCAAGATATCATTTCCTGGGGCTTTGAGCTGGACGGCGGTAACTGGAATTCTCTGATTGTTTTGGCAGCAAGATCGGGAGATCTTGAGCAGGCGTTTCGACTAGGTGAAAGCCGGCTAGTTAAAGATACGGGGATACATTACAGAATCAGAGCCCAGCAGAGATTCGGATTTATCGGCTGGGCGAAGCATGCACAACATCCACATCTTCATACGATCGAGATCCTAGGAGGCCAACTGAATAAGCTTTTCAGTTTAACACGAGGTGGCACCGAAGAGGCCGAAAAGGCAAGAACCTTGGCTAAGAAGATCGCAACAACCTGTCCGGTCATGTGGAGGCTATGCAACACCCGAAGCAAGAGAGGCCAAAAAGCACAAACTGATGAGATTCACGCAAAGATCCTTGACTTCGCCGAGATTTCAAGACGGCCGCAGGTCGATAAACTCAAGATTACACGTGACTATGCCTTAGCGCCGTTTAAGGTACAAAAGGAGCGATATCTTAGGGGTTCGAGGAGGTCGACAGTCGAGATTCCATTCGGAGATATGGAGTTTGACTATGATGAATAAAACTCGTGCCTTTTCTTTCTTTTTTCTTTTTTGTGAAATATTATTAACGATTAATTGTACATACATTGGAACCAAGAGCGCTGCTTAGGGGTCTGTTGGCTGGTCCGAACGCAAGAGACGGAGACGCGAAGATCGATGGCTTATGAGTAGCCTTACGTCCAGGTAGCCTTAAATTGTATATATATTTTTTTGACCATAGAGCTGACAAGATATATTCCATCAATATACATATCTTAATCCCTTCTAGGATTAAAGTTCAATTCGGTATATGTACCGCAGGAGTGGCCTTCCTGTGCATTCGTGATCATGTGGATACTCGACTAAGTTTTAGATACCTGGATCCGCAGACTGTATAACTATCCAGAAAAAAAAAGCACCCCCACAATCTCTAAGTTCATTTGATCAATGGATCCGTTAATTTCAAAGAAATTATCTGATATCGATGTATACGGTGCATGATGGGAGAACATTCTCGTAGCTTAGGCTGGTGGAAGTATGGACTTAGCTAACTTGCGGTACCCGCACCGGCCTAAGCTAAGGTACAAAGGCCTAGACATGACAAGGATTACATAGGCATAAGTACTTATACATAAGAAGAGACTAGAGGCCTAGAAAAATTTAAAGGAAGGAGTGAAATTTAAAACTTAAGTAGCTAAGTAAATCAGTAAGTACCTAGGTACTTAAGTATCCCACTCGAAGTGTACTTCGTGTTGTCTGGTACCAACGAGACCAGCTAGTACCCAGCATACGCACCGTACAGAGACGGCCTTGGGGAATCAAAATGAAACAAAATCAACACACTTGGCGAGTATTTGGAAATCAGTCATAGGCTTTCAACGTTTGCTTGTTCATAAATTGATAAAACGAGATCGAGATATCGAGATATATGCGCTTTGTGCCCTAGTTGTAAGTCTGTATTAAACAGAGAGTGGAGAATGAGAGAAAGGAAAGGGAGGTTCAAAGAAAGCAGAGACGAAGAATAAGAAGAAGAAGAAGAAGAAGAAGAAGAAAGAAGGGTAAATATGATGTGGAGACTGATGTAATCTACAGCGTGGTGAATTCTTAAATAAAACTATTTGGCGCAGAGTACTCGAGTAGAAAAGTAATTTCCAAAATAAATACAACTGGGGTCTTTAATACTTATACATGTAACTCTTGTTTTTTTATTGGCCTTATTTAAAAATTGTTTGTTTGGTGTTTCTACTAAATTTCGCTAGATTCAAAGCTCCCCCCTGGGTTGCCATCACCACTTCCACCAGGATCACCACTTCCACCAGAACCACCACTGCCACTGCCACTGCCCCCTGAGCCCCCATCCCCGCCCCCCCCTGAGCCTCCGCTCCCGCTGGGACCGGCTTCGTCACCATAAATTTTAATTGGTATACCGAAACGACGTCTGAATTCTTGGTAGTACGCTTGATTCATTCCTATGTCTGGGCCTTCCAGATAATAGGGCTCAGCGGTATCTGGGTCTAGGTATCGTCTTGGTTGTGAGAAACGAAGAGTCCCACTACCATAATTCCAAGTAAAGTCGGCATTATGGCCCTGGACCGAGTCAGGAATGCTATCTAGGGCTTCTTGAAGTACGGAAATTGGGAGGTTTCTATCCTCCGGCACCCGGCTAACTAGATCAGCGGTACAAAAGCATCCTGTGGGTTTAATTTAAAACACATGAATGGGTAAGCAAGGTGCATTTCTGCTACTGGCCTCAGGTACTGCATGTAAAAGGGAAATTGTCTCTCCACTTACCCAACATCACACTGCACCTATTTGCTGCAAGTTGCGTCCAACACTTACGTGACAACCCCCAGGGTTGGTCCTTTGTTCTTTCATGCAGTGGGACCCCATACAATCCACCATTTTCATCACAACGGCATGAATAGCATCCAAGCTGTCGGGAACGGATATGCACCATAGCTGCTTCATGTTTGACCAAAGTCCAGTCTGTCCAGTCATCAAACGTGATATGCATGTCGGGGACCTCGCGTGGGGGTATACGGTAGGCCCAGTCTGGTGGATTACATCTCACTTTCATCTTACCATCTTTATAGAAAAAGCTAGGAGGGATTTCCCCGGCCCGCTTTGGGCTAGTTTCCGTCATGTTCTGTGATGGTTCGGATGTATTTCCCGCAAGCTTGGGGGTAATATCAACGTTCGACGTACCAGATTCCTGTGGAAGGGATATGGCTGCGATCATTGCCATGATGGCGGAGGTGATCAAGATTGAATTTGCCCGCATTTTTTGCAGATTGTGGACCTATCAGTTCAAGATAAAGGGAATCGAAAACTAAAATAAGTGTTTATTTAGATAGTAAAAAACGTCGGGGTAGGAAGAAATGGCATCAAACTCGGGTTCTGGGAGGCTTTGGAGGCTTAACAAAATCGCCCAATGACCCCAGGAGGATGTTACCTTTCTTAAGTCCAAGAATAACAGGTAGGGGTAGGACTAGTTATAGTTATAAGTCCATCATTTCAATACGCATTGCTGAGCTGCGCTGTTGGAGCAGCCTCGTGGGTCAACAGCACAGCACAGCTGTAAAGGACACCTGGGATAACTTCATCCGCAAAATTGTGTAGAGAAATTCGAAACCGAGACACGCAGTGATCAGCAAACATGATAACAGGAATTGGCTGTGCAATCGATCCTGTTTTACCGAAGGCTATCCAAGCTACGCCACGGTAATCGATGGTCCCTTATATGTGTCTTTCCCACAGATATTTCAAGAGTTAGAGCGTTCTTACAAGCTTACCGGTCTCGCGACAGTTCTATGCAGGGGGTGGGACAGCCGGTATGTTGGTACATAGGAAGACATTTGACGAAATTGTACCCACGAATTTCGCATGACGAATTCGCGAACCTGGAAGATATTGTACGGATCTACAAGTGCAAGTAGGTACTTGAAATCTCGGTGCATTTTCACGGCTTAGTAAGATACATTGATGGTGGAACACGAGGCCACAGGGCACCCGTCGCCCAAACCACAAGTTCCCTACATATACAACCACTACTACCAGAGGATCGCTCACGAAGTGCGCCCAATATACGTACGTACTACATATACCGAAACTTTATTTTCTAACTTACAAACAGCATAAACAACATTTTCATATCAAAATTCCTTTATTGTGCCAGTCAATCAAACTCCGAAGTTGTGTGCGCGTAGACTTGTTTGCATACTGCGCTCAGACAGAATAGTTTTTTGTCAGAAGTGCGTTCGGGGGCAGCTCTGGTTCCGAGACTAGTATGTACATACCTAAGCTGGGGAAGCATAACAGTATATTAATAGCTAGCTTTTCAATGTACATAGACTTAAAGACGCCATGTCACACTAAGAGCGTTCCAGCCTATGGCCTAGCGCCTCGAGTCCAACTACTCTTAAGGCGAGGAACTATATCAATCGTCGTTAGTACATGTACAATACATGGTTTCAAAACCGTGACAACAGTTAATATTAGTTGATTATCCCTATACGTAAAGCCAACGTTGGGCCAAAGTATTCGCATTTAATCGCGCCTGTACATGTCTGAGTTATAACGTTATAGTGGCCGGGCTTTTGAGGCTGCTGCCTGTGTTGATCATGACCGTCAGGCTCCTGTTGTAAAGTGCAGGAGGAATTGTAGTCTTGGTGACCCTTCTTGTGTTAAGAGGAATTGCAAGATATCTCTTAAACTCTCTTAAATCTACTGAATTCAACCCGCCATATGAAAACCATTTGCCTTTAACAAAAGGCTTTCCCCCAATTTCCAAAGTAGACCGGTTTCAGTTTCAGTGTAAGTTGACACTGTAGTATAGTCTGCCAACGGTAGCACTTGGTTTACAAGATCTAGACCTGATCTGAATCGATGGGTTAAAGCTTACAGTTTCAGCCCAACCAATAGCTAATTAAAGACCCAGTTGCAGTGATGGCGGCGCAACACCTCTGTTGGTGGTGAACAACAACAACAAGTTAACGACGACAACAAATGCAACGTTCACCAGTGCGGAGCCAAACGATATCGTGCATATCTGGTCTCGAAGGTGGATAAATCCCTGAAAAGAGGATATATTTAAACTGTGGTTTTATGCATAGTAGTTCAATTTGTAAATTTAATTAACAATCTTGTATGCCGCGTATATGTCCCATTGAGCACATGTGTGCATACGCACGAAGTCTAGATCATGTCTATCGCGTCTGCGTGCGCATGCATGCATATGCGCATGCGCAGAATTCGCAAAAACTAGTAAAGCTGGTTCTCGAGGCTATAGCTAGTTTGGCTACGAGACCTGAGTTCGAATATTGGGACCAATGATTAATATTGAAACACCAAGCATTTGATTTTGGGGAGTTAAACTTATAAAATGATTTGACTATTGATTTCTCTGTTTATCTAGCTCTAGCTACAGACTAATACCGTATACTAGGAGCCCTAAACGTTTGATGAATTGAGCGAAGTGGAGGGCTTACATGTATCGTATTGTGAAAGTAAGAATATGAAATAAAGAAAACCAATCCCATCCAACAAATTTAAGATACGGTTACAAATACAGGCATTGGGACTCGGTCCCAGCCCTCAAATATAAAGTGGCTAAGGCTTTAGAGCTATAGCTATAAAGCCCTAGTCTAGCTAACAAATATCTTAAGAATATCTATGTTACCCTCGCTATATCCTTCGGGTGGTGAAAACATTTGTCCATTCGGAAGGGTCTGGTAGCGGGACCAAGGAGACAACCAGGCGCTAACTCGGTTGAAGGCGAATCTCGGATCGAGCAATGTCGTGGGTGATGGGTGGTGTAGGAGATGACCTGATTCGAGACGGTTGGAATGAAAATAAATTATTCGGATTTCAACCGCCTTACAGCGTAACTCGAATGAGGTTCTAGGTGCTCTCGGTTCCAAAGCAGCTCGTACTGGTGGGAGATGGTGGATAGGCACCGAGCTCCTCGCCATTCTCGTTTCGTCGTTGGTGGCTGTCTCGCTCTTTAGGACATTGTTGCATCTATAAGGTGCGCGCTCGAGACACCGCGTTGTAATTATGGCAAATATCTCTCCTACGGATGAGAGACACAGACTTCCTTCGAGTGGGAGAGCAACGATGTTCGATGTACCCGTAATTTCTGGGCAGGCGAAGAGGAACCTGTGCTGTTTCACTGAGAGCCCAGTATGGAGGAGATCTCGAGCTAAGATGGATATAATGATGGGTATTTGCCGTCTGATTGGATCCCCAATGGTTTGCAGAATCGCGTCGATCTCGTCTGGCTGCGCGGAAAGAATTTCCTGAAGGTGAGTTTGGAGGACGGGTCCGATATGATGTCTCTGCCTCACTGTTGGGTACGACAAGTATTCTCTTATGAGGTTTCCGACAGTAGTCATTTGAGCCACCCCGGTGCAAAGGCTAAGATGCAAGCCGACGTTGCACATTAAGAGGGAGTAGGAGCCCGCGCTGAGTCCTTGACAAAGGGTTTCTTTTGTCGTAAAAACATCTTGCGCTTGGAATGTTCGGACGTGTTGGATTTCTGGGCTGCCGGGCCATATGAGTCCTCGAAGGGTGGTTTCGATATCTCCTCCGGGAATGGATTGAAGTGCACAGCCCGAGTTAACAACGGTTACGGGGACTTGCAATTGGAAGCTGGGTGTATCTTCTGACTTCACCGCTCCTTCGTGTTGTTGAACAGCCTCCTGCGCCATATGGATGGCTTTGCAAAGAAGGGTTTGGAGGCCAAGGTTGGGCATTTTTATTTTAGGGAAATAATTCTAGAAAGAGATAGATATAGATCTATAGATAGAGGGCTCGAGAGATGGAGATATAGAATAGATAAAGATTGGCGGTAAAATGGGAGGTGAAGTTATATATATATTATGAGCTATAACTAGTAGCTATAATATTGACGTTGGCCATAAACTTTCACTCGGACTGGTAAGTCTTGTATGTAGTTCGTAGAGTTATAGCTATAGTGTCGTCAGCCTTGTCAAGTTAGCCTGAATTCTGCTTGTTGAATAGAGCTAGAGGGTTGAGAACTATGGAATCAAATCACAATTGCATCTTAACTGCTGGTCGAGGGGCTCTATATATAAGTCATTTGCATACGCCTGAGCCAACCATGGAGAAACTACTGAGGACGCACGAGACTCTGAAAATGCTAGGCCATTGGGTAGAACTATAGTCCAACCTCTGGAGATCTAGGCTGGAAGTTCCCAAAACCAAAGCAATGAGAACGCTGATGACAGAGCATTACTTTGCCCTGTACTGTAGAAATTAGGATGAACCATACATGGAACGGCTGGCGACGCGTCTTCACTCAAGCGTGTCATGTAAATTCGATCGATTAGAGCTAAATTGTACTCGGGAAAGAAAGACTGTGTGATCACGATGGGGCACATGCATGGCATATGGTGGTACGAAAAGTCACGATAGAGGCATGCGAACGTATCAGTGCAGTTAACTTGGGTCAATATCAGGTTCGGAACCGATACCCCAGCAGCTGGACAGCCTTGCGTTTGCAAGTTGGTTCGGAATGAAATATTCTAACAAACAGTTTCAAGATTCCGTCACAGGTACTCTTGTTTCACAGATATGGCAGATTTGGCTGTTGCAGCCGTGCATACGGGTTGGCTCTGCAGTTGCCCTGGCCTGATGAGTGTACGGGATCCATGGATCCATAGATCAAGGTTCAAGTTTCATAATATTAATCTACGATCGAGCGGGCCGGTTTTGGATTCGGCGAGCACTTCATCATCGGACCATAGGAACAATACATATCTGGTGCTATTGCAGGGAAGGGACAAAGTAAAAAAAAAAAAAAAAAAAAGAAGAAGAAGAAGAAGA